AGGTAGTCAGTCAGCGCATACCACAGCCAGGAGGTCAGTACAGGCTACAGGAATGTTCAGCTACAGCCAAATTTGCTTATAGACGACATTAATCTCGCCCAAATCGACCTACACCATCTTAACGTAATTAACAGGCGAATATAGCTTCAAGAACGCAACTAACAGGCGAATACAGCTTCAAGAACGTAGTCAAATTGAGGGAAAAAAGCGTATATAGGAGGAAAAGGAGGGGGGACCGGGGGCCCTAGCTTACAACGTAAGCGACGTGCAGGATTCCAATCCAACCAACCATAACAGGCTAGCGTTTCTTCCTAAGGAGTGAGTATTGACGGTATCCGCCTTTGATGTCTGCAATTGCTGCTCGAATCCCGTCTTTTCAATCGTCCGCCACTGCCGAAGCTATTTGAAAGCACCTTTACTGTTGTATTTGTGGTTCAGGGTAACTTGATGGTAATGGAATATCATCTTACCTTAGGTGCCCAAGATCCGAAGTGAACCGACTTCCATCAGTGCAACACACACTGCGTGGACACCGGTTCCTAGATGTATTCCAAAGGGCGTACAGGAACGGTCAACGGCAGTGATGGCACCCGGGCTGACAATCCAGGACGGCATCTTAAGATCCTGCGCAGCTCAACGTTACCGAAATCGGATGCGCTACCCGGTGGCACGATGCAACCAAACTCACCCTGGCCGTATAAGTACTCTACTAACCTGTTGACTCATTCACCCAGCATCAGGAGTCACATCTCAATGAGAGCATGGGAAATTGACTTGGAACCAAAACCAAAGGACACTTACTCAGCTGTATAGGGCCTCCCGCTCGCGAAGCTAACTCCTTACTCCAACCGGAACTACGACCCTCGCCGAGATCAATACCAACAACGGCCGTAACCAGGTCACGCGAACACTCGCCGCGTCGTCCTTCCCGGGATTCGGATTCGAACAAGTTCCGGCCGCATTCCACGGCTACGCCATGGCCCTGGCAATACCCAGCCAAGCTGCCCCGGGGGCGGACCTCAATGGTACAACCACCTCCAAACCCACGCCAGCAACGACCTCCGAGTCAGGATCTGCCGCAGGCGCGGCCGCGAGCCCCGAGCCGTCACCCTCCCCCTCACCCAACGTCGCCATCGTGCCGGGGTACCGTCCGGGGGTCCTCGGCCGCACGCTGGAGATGCACATGGACCACTACTCCCGGTCGCACGGGTTCGGGCCCAAGTTCGAGGGCGGGCTGGCGACGGGGATCGGCGATCTGGTGAAGCGGCTGGACAGGCCCGTCAACGAGGTGTGGTCGGCCGTGATCACTGTACCACAAATTCAACCCCGCGATGGCGCGGTGGTGGTGGAGCGCATCGTCGGCGTGGTTTACGTCGACGGCGAGTGCTCCGGCCAAGAAGGCGTTGCCCGCCTGCGGTGCTTCATCGTGGATGAGTCGGCGCGTGGGTTGGGCGTTGGCCGAAAGCTCCTCGACGCGGCCATGGAGTTTGTGCGAGAGAAAGGGTTCCGCGAGTGTCAGCTGTCGACGCTGAGCAGCTTAACCACGGCGAGGAGCATGTATGAGAAGGCCGGGTTCAAGCCGGTCGGGGAGAAGTGGCTGGATACGTTTGAGAAGGGGACCATGTCGGTGGACTATGCCTGGCGACGACCCGAGTCGGTTTGAGTCGCGCATGTAGCCTGGTGGTATCCGTATATCTGGTTGTACTATAGTAGTACTTAGGTAGCGAGCATTATTTGTTTTGCGTAGCCTATTTAAGGGCTCGTTCTTACGCTACTCGTGAAATATGCATGGAGATCCTGCTGACATATATCACAGATGCGCCAACGTCATCGCCTGTGCCGAAAACCGTGCGGTATTAGTCGCTTTCACTTTTCCCATCATCCAAGCAAATTATCGAATCATGGTACCTCACAAGTCGGCCCCTAGCGTCAAGGACTCCAACCCAGCAAGCTCACGACAACCCCAACTACCCATACCCCTACTCTCCAAACTATCCAAACCCCTCCCAACCCAACCAGCCCCAGAACCCCCAGAACCCAAACCCGAATCTCAAACGCCTCGGCCACCTCCATTTTCATCAACTTCCTCTGCTTACTATGATAATAATCCTCCCCATCCTCCCCCTTCCCCGCCAGCCCTGGAGAGGGCGACTGAAACGGCGACGACCCTTCCCCTCCCCCAACATCCTGGCCCTGGCCTTTACCTTGCACAACAGAATACCGGTAAGGGCGGTACCGATAGACAAGGCGGTGCAGCCAGCCGGGGAGACTGCGCTGGGCGGGATGATGATAGGCGTGGTAGCGGGCGCGGGCGACCGAGTTGCGCAGGTCGACCAGGGCCAGGGAGAGCAGGAAGGAGATGAATATCAGGGGGGTCATGACCAACTTGTAAGAAGATTAGTTTCATGTACAAACGGCGCGTGATGTGTAATCGATTCTGTGACTTGCCCTGTATGGGAGGGACGGCTCCGGCGGACCGCGCCGGGCGCCGGCGTCGCCCTGGTTGGCGCTCACCGGGACTGGTGGGGCGGCCATCCCGAGATGAGACGGGGTGATGAGCGGTGGTGCGAAGAATGATGGTGATGTCGGGAAATCAGTCGCGGGTGCTGTCTTTTATATCCTTTGAGAAATGATGCGCTCTAGACTTAGCTAGTTGGACCCTGCACTGAGTTTATCTTAATCTCAGGGGCTGAATGAGATGATGTTGATCCCGTGTTCCGAATTCAGATGGGTTGACGCGGCCCGCTGAATGAAGGAATTCTGCTGGGTCATCCACCAATTAGGAATTGGGGGCGGGAGGATGAGTAATGCGACCCCTACAGTCCTCACTCTGGAACACCACTTTTGTGTTGGTTGCTATTGTGGTATGCTATTGAGAAGAGAATTGCTTTTGAGCTTGATGGGAAATGCCTGAAAATATCTAACACCGATGCGATGGAGGTAATGCGGAGATCGAAGAGGCATTCGTCATACACCTATAACGGCCTGAGGCCCCACCGAGTGTTGATCCCATTGTTGGGTTATTGTGTGGTATTTTCCTTTCTCTTCTACATAACTTCATAGGCGAGCTGTGCCTGAGCCTTGTCCAGCACCAGACACATCGTACCGTCAAGGGAGGGCAATGCACTCAATCTCAACGTCGACGGCCTTGGGCAGTTGCTTCACTGCAACACAGCTCCGAGCCGGCTTGTGGACGAACCACTTGGCGTACTCCTCGTTCATGTTCTGTAGCATCTTGTTTCAGTGTGTGTGGCTCTCAGATAAACGAGCAGGAGTTGCTTACGGCAAAGTTGGCCATGTCAGTAAGGAAGACGTTGACCTTGACCACCTTCTCGATGGACGAGCCAGCCTCCTCCAGGACGGCCTTGAGGTTGCTAATGCAGGCAGCTGTCTTCTGTTGGATGGTGCCCTCGACGAGGTTGCCCTCGGCGTCACACGGAATCTGGCCCGAGCAGTAAATGGCATTGGGCGTCTTGATGGCTTGGGACTGGATGGCATCCGTTAGTGATCCATTGTTGATCGCCTCACAGCCGCATCGTAACGAATTGTAACGAAGAGACCGTTCGTTGACTTGAGAACTTAACGTACGTAAGGGCCGGCAGCTGCAACCTAGTCAGCATTGATTTCCATTGATTAAAGGTTCACCAAGTCAGCAACTTACGAGCCGCTGCGTTCTTGGTAAAGACCGGAGTGGCAGACATGTTGTGGAAGGGGCGCCGGGCAGAATGGGAGACGAATGGTGATGCTCGCTCAGAAACTGATCTGACAAGAACTGGAAAACTTCGTCTAACGGTAGTTGCAAACATAACAAGAGTTCAGGTCCGGCCCCGCATGCAACAGCGCTCTCCACGATTTATTTGGAGGGGTTGATTAGCTTTCAGGTCGCTCCGTCCCGCTCCGTTCCTCGGAGGCTCGGACCACTGTCGTAAGTACGCAACCCGGCCGGCTTGGCCCGGCATTGAACATATGTAAGTACCTGAGTTTCTCAAGTGATGCGAACACAGACCAGGATAAAACTAGCAGTACATGTACTATGCAGTCCCGCACACCCCCGAGATCTGTATGGGCCAAATTCAGGCCTCAAATTCACCAATTCTCCTGTGTAAGCTACCTCTGAAACAACTTAACAAGTGATGGGCCCGTAACTGAGTAACGGGACTGAGATTTCCACTTGGGAGCCCTGACCACATCGAGTAACAGCCTTGGCGGTAACGACTCCCCGGGCCTGGTTCCCGGTTGACCTTCCGCCAAGTGTCCAAAAGTAAAAGCGGGCCCTTTGTGGGGCTCCCGCAGCTGGAATTGACCACCAGGCTGCCCTGCCGTCAGAAGGCTCCAGGCATGTAAAAGGGGTGCACGCAATATATTGCGAACTCGACTCCAATCCCGCGGTCTGCTCTACATACGTAACCTCTCATCTATCCCTTCTTTACTGTCTTTAATACTTCTTTAGGGTTCCGACTTCTTTCTTTTTCTAACTCTGTTGGTTCTTTTGGGGGAGGCATAGGGAATCATTGCGGGCGTGTCGCTGAGGTACAATTGGGAATTCTCCCCATCCCTTGCCTGCTTCGATCGACCTTGTTGATCATCGACTTGTCGATCAATGCGGTCGTTCCTGGGCCCTTATTTGAGATTGAACCACATGCTCTCTGGCGGCATCTAGACCCCAGCTAAATAGCAGCAATTCCAACCATCTCAAGATACTCAGCTGACGCTTCCTGCCGTGGACAGTTCACCCGCCATGGCCGCCTCTTCGACACCCCAAGGCACTTTGCGCCAACGGAATGTTGGCCCCTCCCCGTCCAAGAAGGCCAAAGATGGCGCTTCTTCCGATGTCGAGCTTGACAAGCACGTCAAAGCCGCTGCCGTAAAGCCATCCAACGCCGGCTCCGAACGCGACCACAAGATCGCCTTCACCCTCATCACCATCATGGCTTTCGTCACCAGGTTCTGGGGTATTAGCCACCCCAACGAGGTCGTCTTCGATGAAGTACACTTTGGCAAGGTGGGTTCCCTATATACCGCTCGATTCTGGCGGCCGGCTGACGCCCTTTTGCTTTAGTTCGCCTCGTACTATCTCGAAAAGACTTACTTCTTCGACGTCCACCCTCCATTCGGCAAGCTTCTCTTTGCCTTCATGGGCTGGTTGGTGGGGTACGATGGCCACTTCCACTTCGAGAACATTGGCGACTCGTACATCGTGAACAAGGTCCCCTACGTCGCCTTCCGCTCCTTGCCCGCCCTTCTAGGTGCCCTGACCGTCTCGGTTGTTTACCTGATCATGTGGGAGTCGGGATACAGCCTCCCGGCCTGCATTGTCGCAGCTGGCCTCATCCTCCTCGACAACGCCCACATTGGTCAGACTCGCCTGATTCTGCTCGATGCGACCCTGGTCTTCGCTATGGCCTGCAGCTTGCTCTGCTACATAAAGTTCTACAAGCTGCGTCACGAGCCGTTCTCGCGAAAGTGGTGGAAGTGGCTTATCCTGACTGGCTTCGCCTTGTCGTGTGACATCTCGACCAAGTACGTCGGCCTGTTTGCCTTCATCACAATCGGCTCCGCCGTTGTGATCGATCTTTGGGATCTGTTGGACATCAAGAGGCCGGGTGGTGCTTTGACCCTGCCCGAATTTGGCAAACACTTTGCTGCTCGTGCTTTTGGCCTCATCATTATGCCCTTCATCTTCTATCTTTTCTGGTTCCAGGTCCACTTCTCCATTCTCACCCGCTCCGGGCCTGGAGACGATTTCATGACGCCCGAGTTCCAGGAGACGCTCAGCGACAACATCATGCTGCAAAACGCCGTCACCATTGACTACTACGACACCATTACCATCAAGCACAAGGAGACCAAGGCATATCTCCACAGCCATCCCGATCGCTACCCGCTGCGGTACGACGATGGCCGTGTCTCCAGCCAGGGTCAGCAGGTCACCGGCTATCCTTTCAACGACACCAACAACTACTGGCAAGTTCTCCCCGCTGGCGAGGACGACCAGAAGCTAGGCCGCCATGTCAAGAACCACGACCTCATTAGGCTTCGCCACGTGGGCACGGATACCATCCTGCTATCGCACGATGTCGCCTCTCCGTACTACCCCACCAATCAGGAGTTCACTACTGTCTCTATTGCGGACGCCTATGGCGGCCGGGCTGCCGACACTCTGTTCGAGGTACGGATTGAGCACGGCAAGAACGGTCAGGAGTTCAAAAGCGTGTCGAGCCACTTCAAACTCATCCACAACCCGAGTAAGGTCGCCATGTGGACTCACACCACGCCGCTCCCCGAATGGGCCTACAAGCAGCAGGAGATCAACGGTAACAAGCAGATTGCCCCGAGCTCCAATGTTTGGCTGGTCGAGGACATTGTGTCCCTCCCACCGGATCACAAGCGTCGCGAGAAACCTGTGAGGCAGGTCAAGACGCTCCCGTTCCTGCGGAAGTGGTTTGAGCTGCAGCGCTCTATGTTCTGGCACAACAACCAGTTGACTGCCAGCCACCCCTACGCGTCACTGCCGTACCAGTGGCCGTTCCTGCTTCGCGGCGTCAGCTTCTGGACGCAGAACGATACGCGACAGCAGATCTACTTCCTCGGCAACCCCCTTGGTTGGTGGATCGCAAGCAGCGTACTTGCGATTTACGTCGGTATCGTCTTGGCTGACCAGTTCTCCTTGCGTCGTGGCATGGACGCGTTGGATCATCGTAAGTGTCTTCCCGTGGCAATATGCTCCCCCATGCCTCCCTCTCAAAGCCAAGCAGTACGGCTAACCCATCCCTCAGGCTCGCGCTCCCGCCTCTACAACTCGACGGGTTTCTTCTTCCTCGCTTGGGCGACTCACTACTTCCCGTTCTACGTGATGGGCCGCCAGCTGTTCCTGCACCACTACCTTCCCGCCCACCTGGCCTCGACCCTGGTGACGGGTTCCCTAGTCGAGTTCGTCTTCAGCCAGGACGCTCCCGAGCACGAGGTAGCCTACCTGGCGGCCAAGGCCGGCAGGAAGAATGCTCAGCCCAAGCGCCACCTGACAGCCCGCGAGCGGTTCGCAGGACAGAGCTTGATGGGCTCGTGGATTGCGGCCGGCGTGATCCTCGCCGTGGTCGCCGCCAGCTGGTACTTCTTCTTGCCGTTGACGTACGGCTACCCTGGTCTCACGGTTGAGCAAGTCGTCCGGAGGAAGTGGCTGGGCTATGACCTGCATTTTGCAAAATAAGCAGCTGTTGTGGGAATGACTGGGGTTTCCAGCTCCCGGTTAATTGCCGGAGTCAAGTGTACGATTTCAGAAGGCAGCCGGTCCATGATCGAGGTGACATATGGTCATCACCGTTTCCAAAAGGTCGTAAGCCATTCGTCAAGGAGTCTTGAGAAGAAGGGCAGGCTTCTACAGGGGTATAAAATCTTTGTCATATTTCTTAGCTAGAGGGAATTGTATCCTGCGTTTGAATGATGAATCTATCACTCCCACAAGCTATCCCTGGATGGGCCTCCTTGCTTTATTGCCATCGCTCGCTATCTACGCAGTGTCCGACCCCAAGGGCCAGATATACGATCCACAAAGTTCTTCAGCTTCCTAACAAACCACAGAAACACAAGAGCCAAGTCTCTTGATTAGCCACCTACCTTCCATTACATCCGTTCCATCGCCCCTTGTAAGACAGATTGCTCGATAGTACCCGTCGAACCGGACCTGCCTGGCTGTCGTCACGCAACAAAAACAATCGTCAGCAAACTTCAAATTCTCCCAAATACACCCAACCAAAGAAAGAAGTCAAGGGCAGGACGAAAACAGAGAAAGGCCCCTTCAGAAACCCAGATTATAAGCACTACCAACCCCACCACCAGAAACCGTCCCTCCCCTTCCTTCCACCCCAACCCTCACAGCCCGCCCAACAAGCATATGACGATGCAAGCGTAAACGGGAAGGCCGAGAGGAGAGAAAGTGGAGGGAAAAAGGAGAAGGGAACGGCCAGGCAGCCAAGGAGTGTATGCCGTCTGTTAAGACGGAGTCCCACTCGAGGGCGGTTCAGACGGCTCTTCCTAATTTGTATAAAAAGTGTAGGGTTGCAACGAGGTGTTGCGAACGTCATCATGTAGAAGCCATCTCCGTCCCTCTTGCTTCTTTCTTGGTGCAGTTGTGCGCGGAACCTAGAAGAGATGGCGACGTACCGTAGTGTATTTCATATGACTGTGGTTGTAGCGTTTCGTTTCGTACCGACTCAGAATCGTGTAGTAGCCTGCCAACCAGGCGAGAAGAATTTCTGTCCGTCTCAAACGAACGAACGCACATATGCCGCTTTCCCTGCAGACGTTGCTGCTGGTACACACCTAGGCTGAGCTAGGAGTATTTGCGGGTGACCTTCCCGGGACTTGGCGTCGCGTGAGATAAATCGCGTGAAACGGTGAAAGAAGGAGGTTTCGAGTGTAGAGAGAGAGGGAGGTTTGTTCAGAGCGAGAGAAAGAAAAGCAAAAAAATGAGCGACCGGCCGGAGCTAGATCGATCCAGTCAAAATTGGACTCCGCGGTCAATAGAAATTCCACAACACAACGAGTAGAGGAAATTGCCATTCCTCTTGTCCATCAGCTGCCTGTTGTGTGCTGGGAGGATTCTGAGAAGACGTGAAGTCGGGTTCGAGGCAGAACGACGGGAGTCAAATCTTCGGCTTGGAAAATCTTCGACCGAGCTTCGGCTTAAGCCCGGCTCAGCCCCACACAAGCTGAGCTAAGCTGCCACAATTTCGGAAGGTCTCGTGCACTACCCACGAATGCGCCGCCAACATTCCATCTCGAGCTCAAGTCTAGAAACCAAAATCACAAGACGTCAACAATACATTGGATTGTTCTCCGACACCTTCGATTGCTATTCTAAGTATTGAGAGGACATCTACCTAGCATTCCAAGGGCTAATTGACTTTCAACCCAATTATCTGCAGACAGCTTCCACTGTGCCATTCACTTATCCGTGAGCCGCCATCGTCAAAAGCGATATTGAACATGGAACAAGGGAACTTTGAAAAGAGCAAATATCAACTATCAAGACACAGAAGGGAGATGGCGCGGCCTCGATCCTGCTCAGGAGCCTCCAAGGAGCCAATCTCTCCGGAATCGCTAATGCCCGCTTCATTAAATCATAGCAAAATTCATGTCCTGCTTGCAACAACCGAGGCTAAAGCCCGCGTGCCACTGGCAACCCATCAGCCGAGTCTTGGTTGTTGCCAGCCCAAACCATCGTAAACGTCTGGTGATGGAAAGGTCCTCGCATCTAATGCGGGAGGAAAGCGCTTAGGTCGTGCGCCGACCAATCCACGCTCAAAGCATTCAGCAGGTCTTGGGAACAGGGCTGGGCATAGCCAGCAGTCAGGCTGGGAATCTCGGCTGTGGCGAAAAGAGATTCGTTGAACAGTGGCTTCGAAATCCCAGCGGCGTTGGGGAATAGAATGAAATCACCACCAGTGGCGGCGTTCGCAATGGCTCCGTAATCGTTGTGGTCGTCAAAACCCTCGTCCACCTCAGCAAGAGATGTGGGCGTATAGAGCATGGCATTCCCTTGACCGACGGGCGAAAGTTGCGCGGGTTGCGGCTGGCACATCTCGGCCGCATTGAACGGGAGTTGCGTGACATCCTTGTTGTAGATGTCGACGTGCATGGGAGTGGGCAGCTGGACGTTGGCACTGTAGATATCCTCATACAGTGAGAAGTCCGTCGGAAGGTCTTGGTAGGCTGAATTATGGTCCATGCCAGAATCTGTAGACGGAGTGGGGTTGTCGATAGGAGAGTAATCAAGCGAAATTTCCTGAGGAATCATGTTGAATTCGCCGTTGTTGGGAATGTACGTCGGGAAGTCGAGGCTGCTTCCGTATGCCCGGCTCCAGTCGTCGGGAGGAGTCGCAACCCCCATGCTGTGCTCGCTCGAGGGGGTGGGCAGGTTCTGGAGCTGGGGAGTCGGATGGGCGGAGTTGCCGTTGACGCTGCTGCCAGACTTCTTGCCGTTTGTCTTGGTGCGAACGTAGGTCCAGCCGTGAGCCTTTTCCATGTGCTGCTTGCAGTTGGACTCGCGCTTCGACTTGTACGGGCATGGCTTGTACAAGCACTCGAACATGGGCGGCGCCGACGAATGCTTATCGTTGTGGTGTCGGTCCATTTCCTTCTCTGTGGGCCACCCGTATTCGTGGTACTTGCAAGTGGGAACTGGGCACTTCCAAGGTCGCGAGTGTGTCTTCTCGTGCTTGGTCAGGTCGCAAGGGCGCTTGAACTCCTTGTTGCAACCTGGCTCACGACATTTCTTGGGGGCGAGCTCCTCGGGACTGGCATTCTTCTTCCGCCTCGCCATCGACCGCATGATCTCCTCTTCATCTTCTAGCTCCTGGCTGGCTGAGCGCTTGATTCTGACGGCGCCATCGCCTTCCTCCTCAATTCGCTCAACAGGCTCCCCAGTTGCCATCGAGATCATTTTGCCATTCTTCTTGACGCGAACTAACTCGGCGGGGCGCCCGTTGATGTGGATGCCTCCGTGCAGCTTGATCTCGTCGGTGCTATAGGAGGACGAGTTAATGAGACTGGATGTAACGGGCTGAACAAGGGAGACATACGGGTCAACATCCATCTCGTCTTGGTCACCCTTCTCCTTCGCATCAGCGAGCTGTTGAGCGTATTGGCGTATTTGATCGACGAGATCGATGAAGTAGCCGCTGCTGTAGGGGATGTCGCGAGGGCGGGTTTGTTCCCGATCGCTGAGATATTCAACAGTCGCCTGGATGCATCGGATTGTCGTAAGGCAGAAATCGAGATAAAGACCCGCGGCCTTGGTCCTCTCCTTCAAAAGTAGGGCACGATAAGTATCACCCCTCACACCTTTGTCAGCAACGAGCTCACTTACTGGAGCAACTAGAAGCAGTGTCTTTTCGAGATCCCTGAGGCAGACAATCTCCTTGTCCTGGATCTTCTTGGGGCATTCAAGCAAAAGCGGGTGGAAATCCTTGAAAGCCGGCTTGCCGAGGAGCGGCTTAAGGGTGTGCTCGCAGATGCGGCTAGTGGCGCGGGGGCTGAGGCCTGGAAGGCTCACTGCTGCAGCTTCCCCAGAGACGACGGCCCTGGTGACAGCAGACGCCTTCAATGTTTTCTCCTTCTTGATGGCAGCAGTCTTATCGCTGGTTGAGGCGATCGAAGTGCCCAAGCCGCTGTCAGATTCGTGGTAGCGAGCAGACCGGCGAGTGCGAGGGCGGAGAACCCTGCGCTCCACCGGCTGCTCACTGCCCATTACCGAATCGAGGGTGTGATTCAACACTCCTCGTGGAATTGGGAGGCTGTCGTCGCGGAAGGCCTTGCGGCCAGAGGAGGACGAGTCGTCCTTGGTGAGACCAGCGAGAGTCTTATCAATATCGCCGAGGGTTAAGGCGACACGACGACGGTGGGAGTCTATAACATCGTCCAGGCTTGTCTGGGACCGACGGGGCAACGGCGGCGGTCTGAACACTCTCTCCGGGGAAGACGGGGGAGTTGTGGGGGAGTGGAAAGTTGCACCTTTCTTGAGGACCATGTTGGTCTTGACGGTCAAGCCCCTCGAGTCCGGGCGAGTCACCGGTGTTCTGCGGGGATTCGAGGACATGGCTGCTGATAAATTCGTGGGGTACAGCCAGAGCTTTGTGATAATTGGCGAGCACGAAACACTGTGTCAAGTCCTCAAATCAGCCTTGCAATGTTCCAAACACATTGATGGCTGGGCGCCCGCGAAGAGTGAGTCACAATTGATATGCAGCACCGGATGCCGTTGGAGACCCTTGCACCTTCCCCAGAGATACGACAAGCTTGGGAAAGAATACAGGAGAGCGAAGATGAACAGGAATCGATGTGTGGAAAGAATATCTTACCTGATCACGGATGATAGTGTGTCGTGAAAGCGCCAGGGACCCGAGACGCGGTGGAATCAGGGCCTGGCGGCGCGGTTAATGGGTCAAAAGCACCACCAGAAGCAACCCGTGATGGCAAATCTGAATGACGAAGGAAGCGTAACTACCGACGGCGAGGGAGATCAGATGGAGGCGGGCCGAAGGGGAAAGAAATCCTATAACAAAAGGAGGCGACCGACGTGGTTCCCAAGCCTAGGCCGTCTGGTCTAAGCTCAGCAGAACCTTGGTCTGGTAGGTGGCCTTAGGGATCAATATGCGTCAAGAGAAGGATTTGGACGCAAACTCGCTGCGTTGAAGGACTCGGGGAACAAGAGAGTTTGACATGAGATGGGCGAGAAGGGATTCTCGGAGAGATGATGAGAAATGGATGGGGCAGACAAACGCTGCTGCCTGCTGCGCGACCGGGGTAGGCGGTGCCGACCCCTGTCAAAGTGGGTCCGAAAGCAGGCGCAGCTCGCTTTTATTAGTTTTGATTGGCCAGCCCTGAATCCTTCCAATTGCGGCCCCAAAAAGCGCCCTATTGATAGCGTTTGTTGGCTGCAAGGTCCTTGTGACCAGCGGCTTGAGCTTGGAGTTGACTGAGGTGTTGCTAATGAACAACTCTTGAAAGTCAGCAATTTTTCTGGTAAATCCAGCAACCTTTCAGGTTCCGGCCTATCAGCATCAGGTGTTTTCCCCAACCCTCAGCCAAGTAGCATCGACACGAGCATCACCACAATCTTCCGTCCCGTCGAATTGGAGAGGCAGACGGATTTCTGTCATTCTGATCAGATGGTTCGGCAACAGACACGCGCGCATGACGAACGGTCGTTGTCAACGCGACACGTCAACCTTCCGACCTCTCGATTAATTGAGGTTGCAGATCGAGAAGCATACTGCACCACACTCACCTACCATGGTATGGAAAGCGACCGATCCGATCACTGTCTCCGGCTCCGAAGACAACCGAAAAAGGTTGGCCCCGTTGGGTAACTACACAGTAAAGGGGGTCCAGTGAAAACGCAAAGCCGCTCTTGTGGGCCGTGGCTCAGTCACCCCTTTCCTGCAATCACCTTGACACAGTTTGACCAGTTGACAACAGTGAACACCGGATGTGGCTGGCGCGGCAAACCAGACAAATAACTTGAGCTTGATCTTATCGCGTTCTCTGCTTTATCAAATCGGCGGCTAATCACGTTAACGCTTATGAGATCAACGAAAGATTGAGAAGGCAGGCCAACGCAGACAACAGAGACGCAAGAGACTATCTCAACTCAGGCTTCCATTGCCCTTTCCACCAAACCGTCTAGGCTCGCGGGCAGATAGAGCGCTCAAACTGACAGACATATCCCAACGACAATCGGCAGCGCGGTTCTCACGATTAACAGGCAAGCTAGGTAATTGTACGTGTGTAACTTCATGATTTATTACCGCACTTCAGCCACGACGGCCTGGATGGTTTTACAGACTGCGAAGTGACGATATTGAGACGGGATCAGTCTCAGCGAGAAAGTGAAACTACACAGTTTTCTAGCCAATCACGAAATTCAGAGAGGCAAAACCTCTGCTGAACGATGCAGTGATGCGGCCAAGTAAGGCCAGTCGACTGAAGGGAGAGGTCGCTTGCAGCGAAAATCTAAGGCGACTCTGAAGCGGCCCCCAACTTTCAGAACGAGGAGAGGGAGGTCTGGACTCTGACACACTCCTCGAGAGTCGACACAAGGGCTTGTCAAAGTATGTAACGTCAATAAATAGCCTCCCGATGTGCTCGCATTCGCGGAGGCTTGAGATTGGTCGATCTGTTTCCCTTGCGGCCGGACGATGTTCCCATTCCCCAATGTCTGTGTTCATAGGGCTGGCCTATGGGCGGCGATCCTTGGGTCTCGTCGCATTCTTCTGAGCCATGCTTTTCACCGGTTCCATCGAGCGTCATCCACGCCCATCAGTCACAGACTGTTGTTGCTAAGCTGTCGCAAAAGGGCGGGCGGCGAATGCCCCTTGTCGAGCGGGAAACCGCGCGGGGCGCATGCGTCAAGCGGAGAGATATGATCTCAGCCCTATGGTCGTTCTTGCCCCCAACCCGCTGAATAGTTACACCGTCAACAGCATTTTCGGCGAATCAGGTTGTAGAGAATTGGGAGCCTCAGGTCGATTACGGACGACGATTCGTTAGCTCAGATGGAGGGGAAAAGGACAGCAAACAGGTCGCGGGCGCAAATGCTTGGCTGGCGTTTTCTCTGTTTCCCCTCTTTCGAATTCCAGGCACCTGGATTTCTGAGGCTTTTCTCTCGGCTGCTTTCAGTCTTCATTCTCAACTCTTAGTGTGCTTCTAAACTGTTGCCTTCTTACTACTAACTGTTGGGAGCAATCTGAGGACGCACGCTTCGTCACCGTCCTATCGTCCTAATAGTCTTGGAACGGGACCGCCCAAGGCAGCATCGTTAACTTCCTCCTATCTCGGCTCCATATCGATGTCTCTCGGTGTCGGTCAGGTCAATCGCAAGGCAGCGGATTACCAATGCCTGCAATGCCTTCAGGGACAAGATATAGCTCGATTGGGTTCAGTGCTTCTTTCCCAGCACGTATTCGCCTCGAAAACCACTAAGCCAGGCCTTGAGATCACACTGGTAGCATTGTAGCATTGTAGCACAAGCGATCTGAGTCATTCTTTTGATTCCGCAGAGACCTGCTCTGATGTCTCATTTGCCTTGTTGGTTGGTTCTCATGTCCCGACGGCCAACTTGCTTTCATCTATCTGATATGGGGGTATTTGATAAGAGTGATGCGACTCCGTCTCTGGAATTGTGACCCCCAATGGCTGTTGCTAGTGTACTCTACACCCAAGGGAAGCGATACGTTGTCTCTGTTTGCATGGTGCGCGTTCAATGTTGTCCTTGTGTCAATTGCCGGTCCGTCCCCCTTATAGAGCTAGAGGTCGGCCCCTGTCCCGTGAGGCCCGCCACGAGAAGGGAGGTAGCTATCATGAACAATATTATGCATCCTCAGTAGGCTCAGTTGCGCGAAACCAATTGAACTGATCGTGGGGAACACACAATTGAGCTTCTTTTATCAGCGAGACTGGATCCGACTGCTCTCTGGGGTAAGCCCCCTTAGGTGGGTTTGTAATCTGGACGGGTTTCGCAGGGCCCGGCTGCCGGACAGTCCCGCGTCGTTGTCCCGGTCCTTGACTGGTCGGCGTCAGGGGTCGTGTGAGTGGTGGTGGACGGGGCGTCGGGGTTCGCGATGGGAGGGAAGACTGGGTGTTCTCCTGGTGTGCTTGGCTGCTTGGACCGAGGCAGAAGAGTAAGGAAAGCAAGCCTTTTTCGCTTGTCCGTCGAGCCTCAAGATGTGCTGGATGAACAGGACGGTAGCTCGAAGCAGACTTCTGATTGTTTCTCGGGTCTCGCCGACTGTAGGTGGCCATCACCCTTTGTTTCTGATGTCTTGTATAGACTATGTAATGTGCTGGGCGCGCGAATGTTCAAAAATAGGCCCGATACCTTGGTGGTTTCTTTTCCAGGGGGAGGAGTATGGCAGTCAATGCCCTTGTGTAAACCTGTCTATTGCTTAGTATTAGTCAATACGTGCGTTTCGATATGGACGAGTCGACGCAATTTTGAAGTTCAGTGGATAAAGACGGGCTTGCCCCTTGGGTTCGAACAAGGCTGAGAGCGAAGGCCATTGTTTACCACAAAGAAAGGCACCCGAAGCCGAGTTCCCCAAAGAATCATCTTGTCGTTGGGGAGAAGAACGCCTGTCAATGACGTCTGTTGGTTTTACCGTCCAAGATTGCTCGTGTAATCATGTACTACGAGCCAGTCCAACAGACCTGATGCCTTCGAGCCGAAGAAGCAACTGCTCAAACCCGAACAACTTAGATCAGAGGATACAAGTTTGTGTAGTATACATGTAAACCAAGAAATCTCCCCAATGTTCTTTATTCTGAGTTCAGGAACAGCCTTCCCTTTCATGACAATGGCATTCCAAGACATTGCTCGCGTCCACTGAACAAAGATGAGATGCTTCGAGAGCATAAAAACCAGACCTTGCCCGGTGTTGGGCCTGGCAAGCTTCACCAACTCTTACAAGCCTCACTGAAAGTCGTGCCAGGAGCAGGTCTCGTTCGTGATTGACTGTCGGTGTCTGCTTACGGACCAGGTCAGTAGATCTCGCCCCGCTTGTCGGCCACCCTGAGCCATCCCACCACCAGTCCTATCCCGTCCCTTCCCTCAGCCGCGTGCGGCGGGAGCAGTGTTAGGGGGCAGCAGAACAGCCCGAAGCTGACAATGACTGATAACAGAAGACATGGCTTCATCGCCATGTTTGATCGGCCCTACTGCCCGATCCCCCACTTCTATCAGGAGACCTGGTCCTACCTGAGCGGCAACACTGCCGTCCTGACCAGCCTCCCCAACGTCCAGGCCGCCGCCCTTAAAAGAGCCAGGAGCATGAGCAGCCCGGCGTTACCAAAACCCGGCCCGGCATCGCTTGGCAAAGGGGAGCAAAAGCCCTGTGCTGGGGACGCCCCCATTGAAATGGAGACCCTGAAGAGCAGCAGTGCTAGCACCAGCAGCGCAAGCAGCACCAGCAGCACCAGCACTGCAAGCAGTTCCATCTCGCTGCCCTCAATCAGCGACACTTCCGCGTTCACCCCCTTCCGGGAGATGGTAGGCACGGCTATATCCCTAAGCTCCAGCCTCCCTACCGTGCGCCCAGCCCCCAGCCTGACTCGGCAGCCGACGCCACCACCACCACAAAACCGGAGGCGTCCCATCACCGACCGGGTGTCCATCCGCAACGGCATCCGAGTCATACAACAGATCAAGGAGGTTGACGTCGTCCCAAAGACGCCTCCTCCCCCGGCCACAAGCTACGACGGCCTCCGCAGCTGTCCGCCCACGTCGATTCCCGACAGGCCCGGCACCTGGAGGCCGTACCGGGGCCCGCTGCGACGACCGCCGAAATTGCGACGCGATACTCGTAGCGTACATGACATGGCGACATGAACTCTTCACAGCTCAGGTGTGAACTTCAAAAACCTTACCAGACTGCAAAGCCCCCGAGCCCAAGCACCATGATGCTCCTCCCCCCCCCTCCCCCAGATATGACTTAGCCAATGGCCCCACCACCTCTTCCAAACTTCCAAATGCTGATCCCCAGTTTCCCTTGATCAACTGTAACGCTCATTATTGTGTCGATCCGGAGAAGTGAGGTGTGGAAGTGTAGCCTTGCTCGTAGCCATATCCCCTACTGAGGTAGGTCTGCAGCGGATAAATGAGCTGGGGCCTGCCGAGTGTTGTAAGTTGTGACTAGAGCAGTTAGTCCCGAATATACCTTGCCTTGAATGACAAGTATCACCCCAAACATGGTGTACTGTACAGAATCGCAAAAGGCACAGCCTCCATTAAAGAACCTAGTACTATCGACCCGTCATGTAAAATTTCCGCTACGCCATGGAGATGAAAATCTGAGTGCCTCATCTCCTGGGTATCATCCCTCCACAATGCCCAAACCCGTCCGCGTCCTTATACGAGCCTCTCTAGTCCACGGTGCTGTGATATATCGCACTATATCGTCCGACTCCCTCGGCGGCCATCGAACACCGACGCTTTCTATTGGAGCTACTAGAAGCTATCCACTCATTCGTCGTCGTCGTCGCTGTTAGCCAAAACCTGCCTCCTCCTCTTGGCAGCCGGTCTGCTCAGCGATACGCTGTCGTCAGAGTCACCATCGTCATCATCATCATCCAATGATATGGTCGCTGACCGTCCTCGGTCCAAATCCCTTTTCTTTTTGGCTGACACGCTCCTAGCCAAATCAACCAGGTCAGGCATTTCATCGTCACTATCCTGCGTTGGGCCAAACTGCATCGGCTCAAAAAATGGCTTGTCTTTGACAGCCTGACCACTTTCACCGGCCTTCCGGGCGGGTATCAAGTGTCGTATGCTGAGGCCGGAGGACTGCGGGGTCATGGGATCGGTTGATCTCTGCTGTTGGGCACTGGACACGAATACAACCTCATCATCGCCAACAACAAAGTCGGCGAGATCGGCACCGCTGTCAGAATCTTCCGGCTCAAGCATATCGCTAGTGCGGGTGCAATCGTCACCAACATCTTCCAGTTCGTCACGGACTCGCTTGGAAGGCCCTTTGTTTCGCGGGCCGCGACCGCGGTCTCGGGGGAGTCTGGGAGTCCTCTCTGTATCTGTGGTATCATCCTCCTCGTCTCCTTCCTCATCTTCTTCTTCACAGTCATCGACAAAAGCTGGCGCTGCTCTACCATATCTGCTCGCCTTCTTGTAATTGCTTGTGTGTCGACTCTTTTGCTGTTTTACAGTCTCCGCATCCGAATCATCTGCAAAGGGCTTGACGGGTAGTGTCCGCCAGGATGATGTGTCTCTCGTGCCATATGGACGTGCCTGACGCTGCGACCGCTCTTGCGAGTTACCCAGCACCTTGAGCAGCCTCACACACCTCTTTGTATAGTCTCCGTGCTTTATGTGGACGGTAGGCCGGAGCACCCTCTGCATGGCGGGGTATGCATCGAGCCTCAGGTCCTCGATATGCTCAAATCTGTCGTATGAGCGCAATGGCAGGCTTTTGTACACTCTCTGGAAAATATCGGTCTGCGACTTGCTCAAAAGGACCTTGTCGAGTTCGGGTATGTCGACGATAAAATCGGTCTCGACCGGCTTTTTGGAAGCCTTTGCAACTTGCTTAGCTTGCCCTGCGGGTCGGCCAAGGGACGAGGCCTTCATAAAGCCCGTTTCCACGCCGTCGGGCATATGGAATCTCTTCTTGGCCGGCTTTTTCCTTAGCCCGGCCGCGGTCTTCTTGGGCTCTGGGAGGGACGGGTCCTGGGAGTTCTCAATGGGTATGTCAACAAGTCGCTTTTCGACGTCGGGCCTGATATCGCGCGGAATGATTCTCGTAGACAGATCGTGCCGAAATGTGAAGCCGTCGCCATTGCAAATGAGTTGCTGCATCCTCTGGTAATTATCTTTTGCTTCTGCAAACTTATCCTTCTCCTTGCCTTTCATTAGCAAAAGCACAATGTTTCCAGCTCTCTTTCTGCCCGTGCGACCCATCCGTTGCAGCATACGTATCGGCGATGACGACGCGTCGTAGCAGATGATGAGATCGACCTGGCCAATATCGAGACCCTCTTCGCCAATGGAAGTAGCGACGAGGACATTGAAGCCGCCGCTCTTGAACTTCTCAATCGTTTCGATTTGCTGCTTTTGCTTCATCCCCTCGCTTCTCTTCGAGTCAGCTTGCCCAACAAATACGTGGGCTTTGATAAGCGGTTGACGGTTGAGAAGGCGGACAATTTCTTCGGCGCTATCCCGGTACTCGCTGAAGACAATGGCCCGGGTGCTGGATCCCTCCCCCGCATCAACAAAGTGGTTGACGAGTGCCTCACAGAGATATGCCAGCTTCGGGTGGCCATGGAATTCTTGCAACTTCATCCAGCCCTCAATCATAGACATCATTTTCTGAAAATTTTCATCTGCGAGAAGCTGGCGTTTGAATTTTGAGCCCTGCCCGGGCTTGCCTTCCTCTGTCGCACGGAACTCCGCGAGGTTGTTGTAGAAGGGCTTGATGCCGTGGAAGTTCAGCAACTTGATTGCATGGGCCAGGCTCTGAAGAATGCCAAACACGGCCATCATCATGAACTTTGTCCCTTGATTTACATGCCTGCCCGGCCCGGCCATCCATTCCTGCCTGGATTTGAGGAGACCGTAAGTGGTCAGGCTCATGGGATCTCTGCCATAGTAGATGTTCTGGGCGCTTAATTTGTCTACCAAAGGCTTCAAGGCCTTCGAAAACAGGTCCCTCACCTCCAACATCTCGTCCGAGGGATCAAACGTCACCGTGTCGATGCTGCGCGAGTGGACATATTGCCGAATATCGATAGATTCCTCAGTCCTGATTTCCACGTGGGAGATGCCGAGGTTATCAATGACGTCCTGTACGCCCTCAACTGTCGACCCTGGGGTCGCTGTCAGGGCGAGCACCCGAAAGCTTTTGGAAAACCGTCTGATAAACTCGACAACCTTGACGTAGGCGTAGTCGCCAGTGGCGCGGTGAGCCTCATCAATGACGAGCAGGACGATAGATTTGGGCTCGGCGTAGCCTTTGGAAAGGTCGTTTATCAGGGTCTGGGGGGTCATGAAGAAGAGCCGCTTGTTCAGCCACTCTCCTTCGCGCAATCCCGGAGGTGTCTCTCCCGTGAGGAGCGTCGCCTGAGACCGTGGTATGCCGGCAACGTTGAGACAAGCCTGGACCTGCTGGGCGGCCAATGGCTTCGTGGGCGCCACAAAGACTATCTTGGCACGCTTTGTCCAGCGATAATAGTTGAGCATGACGGTGGCGGCTATGAAGGTTTTACCCAGACCGGTGGGCAGGGCCACGAGTGTGTTGTTGAAAAGGCCATTCTTGACTATGCTGAATTGATAGTCGCGAATGGGGCCCAGATTCAGAGGATACACCCAAGTCGCCAGTTCAGCATGGTTGAGTTCGTGGTGAGTCGGGGCTTCGGGGGGCAGGTCCGAACGGAACGGGCGACTGTTAGGCGGCTGCGATGGGGGTGGACGCTGACCTTCTCGAAGAGTGCTTCCCCACAGCGTCGTTTGTCGGAGGTTCTGGGTCTGTGATGGCTGTCTCTGTAGGGCTCGAGAAGGGACAAGGCTGGGTCTTTCTGCTGCGCTCTGGAATGCATCGTCTGAATCTGAAGTTTCTAGGGGTCTCATTCGGCTCCTGTTGTTTGCGGCAGTCGAATGTGGCGCTCCAAAAGCGCGGGGACGAGGCTGAAGCTGCGCTCTTGCAGAGTTGCCGCTGTCGGTGGCGGCCTGTATTCGGCTCACCCCTCTGGGAAGCGCTGTCGCGGCTGCGGCGGCGGCGGCTGCAGTATCCGCGGCCTGACTGAGGGCGAGGATCATGTCCTCATCGAGGGTATCGTCAAATTCGTCATTGTCCATTGTTGCTGTCCTTGTCCTTGTCCTTGTCTTGGGTGCTCGTCCTGGAATGCACGGACCATGAATAGGAGTCCTGGACCATAAATAGAGATAGAACAAAGGACGGAATGGAAGTAATGGAACGAGATTAGACGGAAAAAGAAGTTCTAAGTGGCAAAACCAGCAGCCATTTCTGTCCAAGCTGTATTTTCAAGCTGAGTAAATCTACTGTTAATCACAGATTCATGACTCTTGCGCTAGTTGAGTGACGCTTGCCCGGGCCCTAATGGGGCCAGCTCGTTGATGTTAATGTTCGTTATCAGAAAACGCGATTTGAGCCTCATGGAAGACGCGTCGAATCACCTGATCACGTGAGTATCTGCCAAGAGTTTGTAGGCCAGCTGCTCCACTTATCCACCCGGGCGCTATTGTGATTGGGTCTCCATCACAAAGATGGTGGGGTTTGTAGCAGACAAAGCCCAGAATCAAAAAGCGCCGGTAACTTTGAACTGCCTTCTTTTTGCCTGCTCGACGACCCTTCACCCCATTAACTACCCGGCTCCTCGCCGCAGCGACCGAAGTTTTACGGAATCAGATCAGGCAAAACCCGCACAATCAGGCGAACTAAGGTTTCAAAGGAAATCAAGTTTCTTGCGTCGATCAACTGCACAACATGGCCCCTCGTGCTGGTCGGCGCGGTGCCGGCACTCAGAGGGGTGGGCCTGGAAAGCCTCGCGGCGGGGGAATCACGAAACAGCGAGGCACGCCTAGAGTTGATAAAGATGGCGATGTGGCAATGGATGTGCCTGTAAATGCACCAACTGGTCCTTCCGGAGGGCGTGGACGTGGGCGCGGCCGCGGCCGTGATGGATCGAGTCAACCATCCACCAGGCTCGCGCAAAATATCCAAAGCTACCTTGGCTCCGACGGCTCAAAACCACAGTTCAACAAAACAACATTAAAGATCTTCGGGCTCAAAAACAGCAAGGCTGCCAGCAATGCTGATGGCGGTGTTCGCTCGCTTCTCGAGTTTCTCGAGCGGAAGGCTTCCAGGGAAAAGACCATCACGCTTGGCAAGGTATGTCGTCCAGCATTTATTTTAATCGACACACGGTAACACCGTACAGGGAACACTTGTTGGTGACTGTGTCTGGGTCAAAGCCAGCAAGGCCGACGCGCCCAACCTCATACGTCTAAGCGGATACACGTTTGCCGGCGCCGAGTTGACTATCGAGGAGACCCAGGAGCCAATCCCATCTACCGACGGCAAAGCACCCCGGGCAGCTACCAGTGAGACAAAGCAGAAGTTGACGGCTGTACTGGCCGCCCGCTACAATGCTGAACAGAAACTGCTCGACCTCTCATCCCTCGGTACCGACGAGACGCTGAAGAGCTTGGGCACCTTCGAGTCTCAGGCCCTTGCAGAAAAATCCTTCAAGGCGCTTGTGCACCTTGCTGGCTCCGAGTATAAGGATCCCGAGGAAAGGAGAGTAGCAATCCAGGCTGTATCACTTGCTCGGAACGACATCCGGGATGTTGAGGAGGTCTATGCGCTGGCAAAGTCTCTTCGGCATTTGCGCCGACTCGATCTGAGCGGCAACAACCTAGAGAATTTAGCAAAGCTATCTAAATGGCGAGACGAGTTCCGCTACTTGGAGGAGCTCCACCTCGCGGGCAACCCCGTCGCGAACCAACCGAACTACGCGGCCGAGATGGTCAACTGGTTTCCCTGCCTCCAGATCCTGGACGGCCAGCAGGTCAGAACACCCGAGCAGGCGGCCGAAGCGCTCAAGGCGATGAGTCCGTCTCCGGTTCCGCAATTTCCTTCCAACGTACGCGACGGCGACAACGGCGTTGCCGGCATCTTTCTTCGCACCTTCTTCCCGCTATTCGACAACGACAGGTCGGCTCTTGCCGCGCAATTCTACGACGAGGACTCGTGGTTTTCTCTTGCCATTATCGCATCCTCTGGACGTGACCTACCTTGGCAGAAATATCAAAAATTTTCCCGGAACGTTCAGAAGCTCGGCAGCCGGAACCCGGCATCACTGCAACGGCTATTCACAGGCGGAAACTTGATCGCGGACCTGTGGAAGTCACTTCCTAATACTCAGCATCCCAGCGTGGACCAACCTGAGCAGTGGCTAATCGATTGCCACACCTTCCCCCATCTCGCCGATCCCAACTCTCTCGGTACTGCCGTCGGTCTCATCATCAACGTCAACGGGCAGTTTGAGGAAGCGGATCCGGCCGACGGCCTCCGCGGGATACGCACCTTCTCGCGCACTTTCATTCTCGGTCCTAGCAAGATCGGCGCTCCCCATCCATACCGCGTCATTAGTGATGAGCTTACACTTCACAAATGGACGCCCCAGCCCGTTCAGGCGGTCCAGCCAATCCAGCCGGTCCAGCCAGTTCAACCCGTCCAGCCCAATGCTCTGCCATCGGATGCTCTGAAGGCGCAGCTGATCATGGAACTCTCGAAACGAACTGGCATGAACGCCCAGTATTCGGAAATGTGCCTAACTGGCGCGGCCAACTGGAATTTTGACATGGCCCTCAGATCGTTTGAGGAGCAGAGGGCAAACTTGCCCCCGGCGGCCTTTATTTCGCCTGCTGCCTAGGGTGTACTGCAGGCATAACTAGCGACATGTATCGGGGTTTGAGCCTCGCATACGCGGATACTCCGGTCAGCGTATAGGAAGTGGAAAAGAGGAAAAGGGGAAAGGAGAAATGGGGAAAAAAAGAAATGGAGACGGGACAATCAGCGATTCCGATTTGATTCTCCTAGACATGTAACAGTATACGGGAACGGAAGAGCGGAACGGGGATTCACTTTTCAGATTGCTTTATGATACCAGGAGCGTTCCTTTGGAGCGCTGACACAGGCATGGGAGGAGTTGTTGAGATGCTTTTTTTCTTTTCAGCGGATGGGCAGCATTGTATCATCAGCGATAGAGCGGGTCACGATGGTTGATTTAGGGCTAGGGAGGCAGTCTGTTCCGTAGCGCAAGTCATGAGTAAGTCATAGCGTACCTGTTTTTGCCACATCTTGTTGGACGACCCTGTGTTGTGAATGCTGATCGCAACTTTTGTCGGCGTGAGAACTTGACTGTCGTTATCACCAAGCGCAACGGTACAGACCAATGGCATCCGACGGCTGGCCAGGGAACTTGTTAAGGAAAGGCTGGCAGTGACCGAGACAGGAACCCGATTGATTTCCACCACTTTTAAGGAGGGTCTCTGTCCGGTGACCATTTGGATGAGCCGCTCAAAGGTAGGCCGCCAGATCGCTGACCCATGCGATTGCGATGCGCCAGACCATTGCGGAGGGCCACCGGCAGCGGGCGCTTACATAGGCTCGCAGTAAAAGGGGGGACCGATGGCATCACACAAACCAATCGATTATGATTTGTGAGTGGCCCTAGGACGGTGTGCAGGCGGCGGGCGGTTCCCTCCCTTCCCTCCCGCGCAAATCGGCCGCTGGCTGCCGGGCTCCCCGCATGAGGCCCCAATGCGATCTTGCATTGTATTCCCGCCGAAGGGACACACACATGGATATCACACAAAGTTGGAATGGGCACGTCGTCATTTTGTAATGGCCCATTTTTCGCCAGTTGCTTGCTTGCTGCCTCCACGATTGGTGACTGGCGCCGGAATTTTGCGACTTTCCTTAATTTGTGCCCGGCGCGTAGCGGGCACCATTGGCGGGCACGCTTTTCCATCAGATCTCACCGTGGTCAGGAGTACTGTGTAACTTGCCCCGACTTTAAAGTTGAGGTGCGTTTTCCATCTCACCTCCGTACATTAGGCTTGCAGCCGGAGATCGCGGAGGCTAAGGTACTGTACGATCCATGTGCCGGGCTATGGTGTCGTCCCACTAACGTAAGACCTGGTTTTGGTGTGGTGCGATGACTGTTGGTCAGCCTGCCAGGTGCCTTCTCACGAGTCGCTTCCATGCAAGGGAGAAGGCGTGCTGACTTGTAGTAATGGTTCTGTGATCCTCTGCAATGGGATGCGATGTCTAGGCAGGACATATATACCTGCAATACGTGGGCGACAGACTGAGCTGTAGAACCGCGGGTTGAGCATGAGCATGTAGTGTAACTAAGGGTGATATGTACCTCAATCCGATAATTGCCTGTCATTCCGTGTCCTATGCACATTGTCACGGCGCAGATCACCGTGCCTTGATCATTGATCAAGGCCGAATAGCTGGGTCACTTCAAGTTCAGTGCTCACTGGGCGGCTAACAATACCTTACTTTTACAGTATAAAACGGTGTGGCCAACTTGACTTCAATTCTGTAGCGAAGTGACTCCAGGAAACGTTAGGTAGTGTCGGCCTTTGTTATGAATGTAGCATATGGAGGGGACAGAATAATCACATAGAGAAGGACTGGCCATCAAGAAACCAGCGGCGCAATTGCACACGGATGTCGCCGTCGACATGCGAGATGGAGGCAAACTTGCAAATCGAGCCGAATCCAGTTCTACGGTCCGAGGGCCTTGACGTTAATTACAGCATTTCCGGACGCGGTTGTCCTGTATCCACCGTACCGTACGAAGTACCTTAGGGGTCCTGTTCGTTTCGCAGCCACCGTGGGCCTTCGTGTCTTGGCGGGGCAAAGGCACACGTTCCTCCCATTTCTGGTTAGCATCCCCGGGCACTTTCCAGATTCCAGCGTTTCAGAGAAAGTGCGAGCCCATGTTCGCTGTCACTCTTGCAAACAGTCGCAAATGTGCCAGCGCCGTCGCATCGTTTCTCTCGGAAAAAATCCTTCAAGTGTCACCTTTGCTGAGTTTGACAAGCAATTTTCCCGCGATAGTACCGACGTACCGACATACCAGGTATGTACGCACTTACACCAGAGGTCGTCGAGTGATGCTGTCACTGCTGTGCTAACTTGGATCGCGACAATTTGCCAAGATGCCACCGACGCGCTCATATCGAGCTTTATGTGATTGGAGCCACCGTTAGTATCGTATCGTAGCGTGATACGGCCGACGGACAGCGAAACGAAAACCGCCTCGGCTTGTCCAATCTCTCGTCGGTTCTGTCTGTCCTGTGCCTCCAGTGCCCCTTTTCCAAGCCCTCCTCCTGCTCAAAAGCCCCCAATGTCCCATGACACCTGCCGCTACCTCGATCAAGTACTGCAGTAGGATGGGGCTGGGAGGTAACTCGCATAACGGGGCTACAACTGAGCGTGGCAGGCTGGTCCCTGCTTGACCCCATTGGCGTTCCTGATTCGACCAAGCCCCTGGTTCCCATGCGCCTCAACCCCAGGCCTGACAGGCCTGTAAGGTTCGTTTCCCCTTCCAGGTTCTCGTGCGTAACCTTAGCGGTGGTCTGTTTGACGGTCACCCGATGTTCTCTCTCGGTCGCTCTCCGCCGTCTCCCCTCGGTTGCCGTTTCCCCCTCTTGCAGTGCTGTTTCTCCCCTGGCGCCAGGTTTTTTCGTGTTTCCGCATGTGAGTGTGCCTTTGTGCAAGAAGTCGGAAATCACTTTGTAAGGGCAATTGAGAAACTCGTCCGGCACGATTTTGCAGTTTGCCAACAACTCTAAGCAATCAGCTGAAGAACGCCTCATCATTCCACCATTCCACCATCGTCTTGCCGCTGCAGCTTTGCTGCCCACACAGCCCCGGACCTGACACGGCGTGGGCCGGCAGTGCCAGGGGTACGCAGGAGACGCTCTGTGCATAGCATTCCACAGCACCTTCTGTTCCCCCCCTTCGCCATTCTGCGACGCGAAACCTCCAGGTCCAGAGGAAACCTTTGCTGTTCCCCGTCACGATCGACCGCTTGTGTTCCGTCTGTTTCCTTCCTGTCAACGACCCAGAATTCGTTCTGTCGATCACCTTTTTTTCTCCGTCAACCAGGGCCGGCCCTCAAGCTAGATCCGCATTTGTCTGTTTCTCTTCTCTTGAGGGTTGTCTGCCAAACCCGGCACCGCTTGTCCCAGGGTACTTGCAAGAGTTCGAATCAAACACATCTGCGTCATTTCGCTCTTCTTACCCGAGGCCTATCTCTAAACCCGGCATGTTTCGAGATAGTCCCAGTTGATCTTTCCATCACGGTTTTCTTGCGTTTGGACGCTGTCCACTGAAAGGGAAAGACGACTCGCTCGACCACCTGGAATCCTTTTCACGCCAGAGTCGACATGACTTTCTAATTAGGACGTTACTATCGAGGACCGACCCTCTCTGTTGTTGGAGGAAACGTCTGCCTGAGTTGCTGAGCTCGTGATTAGCGAGAAGGCGGCGACCATGCCTCTTCCTCAACCAAAGACGGCGTTGAACAACGTCTGTTCAGTCGTCTTCAACAACACGCTATACACATACTCGGCCGATGCATTCCAGTCGTTGCGGTTAGAGCCGGGGGCCGAGTGGGAGGAATTACCGCAGGGCGAAAAGGTTACAGGCGCTGTTTGCGTGGGTTCAACAACAGGTACTCCCGAGACGTCGGCCCTCTTCATTGTCGGCGGGACAGGAGGCCCTGCCGGTTATCAAGGCCTGCAAAAATACACATATGCGACGGGACAGTGGGAAACGATACCATTGTCTCAGCCTGTGACGCAGCAGAGACTGGGACACAGCGCCGTTTATCTCAACAGCACAAATTCGATTCTTATTTATGCCGGCAACCAGGATGGTTCGAATTCGCCGTCATCCCAGACGTTCACGATTGGTGCGTCGGCGCCATACGAAATTCGCTCCTGGGATACTTCCCCTCTGCCATTAACGAAGCCGCTTCTGCTGCCCTGGTCTACTAGCGAGGCGGTCCTGATCGGGGGAAGCGCCGAAAACAAGCAGGTTTTTCTTTTTAGCGTAGAAAAGAAGTGGGTGGACTCTGGGACGTCCCTCGTAGCGCCGCTGCCGAAGGATGCATCGGCAATTCAGGGCGTGCTGATGACGGGCGACGATGGGTCAAAGACTCTCTTTACTTTTGATCCGACAGAGTCGCCCAACAAGGTTCAGCGAACAGTTTTGTACAGCGGCCCGGGGGTGCCAGTCCCGAATGCAGCGCCAGTGCGCAGGCGGATGGTGAGGAGAAGGGAGGTTGGGTCTGGGGCCATGGAGAAGAGGCAGTCTGAGCCCTTGACGCTTAACAACTGGCCGGCCTACAACTCTACCCTAGCCCCAACGACGGCCAGGAGTAACTATGCTCTCGCCCAGGCCCCCGACGGTACGGTTGTCATTGCAGGCGGGAACGATGAGGATGTGCTATGCATGTTCAATCCCAAACAAAACAGCTGGGAGGATGCAGAGTCGATGCTGGGACAAGCTAGAATCCTCTCAGTGGACACCTCATCGACATCCTCGGCAGTCTCGACAACGACGACGGCATCATCAACCTCATCATCAATATCAAGTGCCACATTCACATCTGCATCCGTTAGCGCTAGTAACGCGGTAGCAGTCACCGAAACACCATCACCAACCGCCGCCCCAGCAATCTCGGGCAATTCTGGACCGGACGTCAACACGATTCTAGGTGCCGTCCTGGGCGGCTTCTTTGGGCTGGCCATCCTCCTTGCTATTGTCTACCTTTGCATCCAGAGACGGCGGAAGCGACAGGCTCACATGGAGGCTGGCCACATAAGGAGGGCCAGCGGCGTATCCTCGAGTGAGAAGGACGGAATTGGCTTTGCCAAAGACAGTCTTACTCTTCCCCAGGGGCCTCCTGGCGTGTTCCGCGGGCACCAGCCTCAGGGCTCGCAAAGCTCCTTTTCGTCAATGGCGATTTTGATGGGTCGCGCAGGCCGGGAGAAGTCGGTGCCACCCGCTCTCAGCCGCAAGGGGAGCAACGAAAGCAGGCGCGACTCATCCGACAGCATCCTTAAGGCCTTCAAGAGCAGCATCAGCAAGCCGATTCCCCAAGTCAGTCAGCCGCCGACTCAAGATGAGAAAGCCGTCGCCTTCGGACGTACCACGGCGGAGCCAAGACCACGAAATGTAACGGCGGGCGACAATGTTCCGGACAGCACGCGTCGCAGCTCCGGATGGAACAGGTACTGGTCTGGCGGCTCAGCATTGAATCTCTTGGGATTCGGGAGCGGGAATCGAAACAGTAATGGCAACGGCAACGGCACCAACAGCGTGACGAACAATTCTCGGCCAACGACGCTGCTAGGCTCGGACGCGAGTTCGCACTACAGCAACCCGCACCGCATCACGCAGGACAGCGCAACTGTCCCGCCCTTGCAGTCCTTTGAGCCTCGGCTGTCCCTTAGCCGCGTCACTTCGTACAGCCCGACCATCGCCGTGTACAACGAGAAGCTGAAGGAGGGGATGCGGGGCCAAATCGAAACGCAGCGCCCGATAAGTGCGGTAAGCGAAGGCTCCGCGTCGGCATATTCCAGCGGTATCCCCGAGTCAGTCCACGACGCATGGGACCCCACGGCAGCAAACCAGCCCTGGGGCGCAGACCGGGCTCTCAATGGCTACACAAGTATCTACTCAACCCATCTCACACCTGCCTCGCAAAACCCGAGTCGCTCGTTGAACCCGCCGCCCCGGCCGCCAGGGGAACCTCAACCGCCGGTCCGCGACGACATGAGCTGGCTCAACCTGGGGGGTGGCTCATGAGCGTGCGAAGGCCTCAATAACTCACTCTAATGCTGCGTTTCCACCGGCCCATTTCCATTTTCCCTCGCTCGAGGGTGCTATTCATATATCAAAATCAAGCCGATGCTTCACTTCTTGTTTGATACATACATGTACACAAGTACATCTCGGCGCTGGTTTGTCCTTCGTTTGGCACTGGCATCATCGCGAAAAAAACCAGCATTGCATGGCGACCCGGGTTCGGTCACAATTTTGCTTTGCATTCATCTTGCCCTGGCATCGACATCGTTGCCACGCAAGCTGGCTCTCCCTCTCTACTACTGTCAACCGACCACAGATATCAACACCAACATCATTTCTCTTCTGAACTTTTTTTCATCTGCCTTGTTGGATACCATGTAACTCTGGGAGTTTCTTACACTGTTCCTTCATCTATTGTCTCTTTTTCTATTTATGTCCCGCACATACCGCGGTAATTCGCCTGGCATGTATGTACGTATGTGTTGTGGAGCAGGCCACATGCGCAACAACAACGCAGACATGCTATTGAACGCATCACGAGTTGGGCGGAAAAGGGAGAGAGGGCTGGGGAAGCGCCTAGGGGGGAAAGTACCTGAGACAACTGCGCTGTTGTTTGTATCTAGATCCTGCCGAGACATAATCCGTCTCTGCTTGTCAGCTCTCGTGTCGGCCTGGGACTGTAGATGGTAGTTTACTGAAATACCCAACCAAAATCATTATGAAATGTGTGGTTCCAGTGGCTCGGTTCAATGCTGCTGTGATAGAGGATATTGTCTCGCTCTCGATGTGCCTTGGGGCTGGGATCCGCCGATCCGGTCCCCTGTTACGCTACACCACACGTGTGGATTTTATCGAATCCTGCCTGTCGACGAGAAGGACCTGCGAAATTGGGAATATACACATGGACTAAAGCAGAGACATAGGACTTACGACGGCCCTGAAGCTCGGGTCGGTGTCTCATATAAACCAGCCATTACTTCGTACAGTCCATGCTGCTGGATTATAGCATTATATAATCCATCCGTCTTCTCTGGGGTATTTCCAACAACCATGCGCGTATATATCACACTCCACACATAATCCAACCGATTCCACCTTATGTGCCTCCAGAGGAGAGCCATCCCAGCCGGCTCCCATCCCACCCCTAAAAACCTGCCACCCTCCATCGCCCTACTTTTTTTCTCCCAGTCCCAGTGTTGACAGATGGGTCACACATGCCGTATATAAATAGATGGACAGACAAATAGTGTACCTTACCTTACCTCACACCACCACCACCAGCACTGCGTCGCGCCTAGGTATAGGTAGCCAGATAGCCTCCGGCCTCCTTATAACCCCGCCCAAGAAAGAAACACTCCGTGACGCCTCTCTTAGACGGCCTCTTCCTCTTTCCAAGTATGAGAACAATAACCAAAACCATTGCAAATGTCGGCCATGCCATTAGCCAAGCCTTTCTTCGGACGCGCAGAATAACCAAGTGATGAATCCGCCTCACCCCCACCCCAGGCGCATCGAGGCGCCCCATCAGAACGTAATTTGTCACTCAGCTGCGGCGGCCGCCGCCTTCTTCTGCTCGAGCTTTTTCTCGGCCTCCTCGGCGCGCTTATTGGCGGCCGCAACCTCCTGCTGCAGCTGCTTGATGTATTCGATGGCCATTTCGACGGTGCTCGCCTTGCTGTTGGGCACACTCCCAGCTTTTTCTTTCTTATTATCGCTGCCTTCGCCCTCGCTGTCCTTGGGCGGCCGTGGAAGCAGCGTCGCAATCTCTTGCAGAGCCGAGTTGATGCGGTTTCGACGGCCCTGCTCGGCAATCTTGTGCGACGTTCGTTTCGATGTCAGATTGGTCGAGAGCTCGCTCGGATACGAAACCCCAGGGACTGTGTTGCCCTCGAGAATGCGCTGGTAGTTGGATTTTGTCGCCAGGAGATGTGACGCTGCCTCTTCGACGTCAGGCCCGCCGGGCAGCAGGGGCTTGATGCTGGGCGATATTTTGGGTCTTAGGGCCGGAGATACCGGGATCGAGCTGACACTTCCTCGTTTCTTACTCCCTCTGGGAAGTAGCTGTGGGGTCTTTCTTGTGCCCAGCCCGGTTCCAGCCAAAAGCTGCGGACTTTGCGTTGCAGACGGGGCCGTTGGCGGCTTGGTGAGCGAAGGTGAAGGGAGCGGTGCGAGACCTGGTGTCTTGGAAGGGCCACCGTCCTGAGATGACTGCGTTGGCGTGGGACAGCTGGTGGACGGAGCATTCGGTTGAGAGAAGTTTGCTGACTCGGGCAGTTCAAACACCTCAATGTGTTCGGTGTCAAGTGCCTCCTGGCTACCAGCTGTGGCGCCCGGGCCCGCGCTGCGGGCGCTAGGAGAGCTTAGCTTCATTAATGACGCGGGTGTAGCGGGAGACGCCATTCCTGGCCTGGGAGGCTGAATACTACTGGCCGCCCCGCTGCCCTGGGGGGCGATGTAAGGAGAAGGTCTTGCTGAGCGTGGCTTGGGAATAGGAGGTGGGGGCATCTCAACAGGAGCGACAACGTCGTTCAGGGCCTCAGGAGATACTGAACCATCTTCTGAATCGGTGGCTACTGTCGTGGAAGAGGATGACGCCTGCATCATGGGCGTGGGTAGCTGCTGGCCGCCATCCTGACCCTGTTCGGCGTTCTCAATCAGACCGCTCAGTACCTGGGCATTTAGGTTCGGTGTTGTCGCAGTCTTCCTTCGTAACGGCTTCGCGATTGGCGATTGCTTAATGCTGGACGATTTGGACCGTCCTTTGGCGGCAGTCTTGCGCATCTTCTTGGCTAGATCCCCCGTCGTTGTCGTCGAGATTTGACCTGCATTTGCGGTTACGGTTGAGTCTAAGTCCATATCCACAGGCGAGCTTGTGGTTACAGGACCGTGGCGCTGCTCAAAGACGGCGAGGGGGTCATTCTGCGCATGCAGGGCGGGTGAAGTCAGAGGGCTGAAGTAAGCGCCTGGCACAGCAAACTGGGAATCGACCGAGAAATGAGTGTCCAAGGGTGTAACAGCCGGTGACACCAATGGCGTAAACGACATCTGATAAGATGATCAGCAAACTCAACTCCAATCAAAGACGGTGTGGGGGCGTCAACCGACATCAGACTGATCCTTTAGCCTCGGATATCGATAGTCGATTGCCTGCTGCTGCTGCTGTTGCTGCTGCTGCTGGTCGGCAGCGCCGGGTTGGTTATAGTAGTGGTTGTTCCCGGGCTGGATCTCCAAGCTCTGAGGGGTCGGGGGGACCATGCGGCTCTGTTGGCGGGCAAAGAAAGCAGCCTGCTGTTCTTCCATCTGCCTCTGCTGATGCTGCAGCTTTTGCTGCTGGAGAAACTGGATCTGGGCATCGATGCTGTCGACAATGGCTTCGCTCGGAGTGGGAGGCGGCATCATAGTCGAAGGTATGGTTTGGTGGTAAGGCGCGGTGCTTGTCAGGGCTGGCATCTGATGCTGCATGGTGGAAACGGCTGGCGCAAGAAGCATTGGCGCATCGGTGCCACTCATAGGAATATCCAGCTGCTCCCGAGGATGCGATTGCATCAACTGGGTATGGGTACCAGAGGAGGACTGGAAATCCTGGAAGGTGTAGTTCATGCCCTCGGCCAGGTTCGCCATGGTGTTCATGTCGAGGAATTGCTGGAAGTCATCCTCGGTAGCTGCGTGCACCGAATGGTTCGGGACCGCCCATGCTGCTGAGTCCATACTACTGCTGGACATGGAGTGTGACCGCGGGGCCCAAACCGCCGGCCCAAACGACACAGATTGGATCTGGGACGAAGAAAAATGGCGAGGACAAGGTCTGGAGGGCACCAAGTCAAACACCAAATTGAAGATTTCGAGTGCGCTCGCGGGGTTTTGCAAGGTTTAGCCGATATCGCGAATTCGGGGAGCACTGTATTGTATGTACTGTACAGTCGCGGCGGAGTCGTTCGATCGGTCGGATGCGGGACCGGAAGGAACAAAATCCAATGTCAGCGCAATTCCAGTCCGAGATGGGACTCGAATCGCTCTGATCCGGGTCGCACCACGGCTGCACAGAGCGCTGCGAGAGCGCTGGAAAGTGTGAGATAGGACGCCGTTGTCTCTACAAAGAGATGCGTCTCGCTAGGAGTGTGTGACTGATGACGAACCAAAGGTTCATCAAACAGGCTTTCCAAGATCAGAGTCGCAACCCCCTGAGGGCGGGCGATGGTGGGGGAGCAGAGGATTCAAAAGGCAACCACGGCCGGCTGTGGCCAATGCGCAAATACAGACTGCTACCCCACGTCTGGATCTGCTGCCCATTACATAAGGCTATAGGATTTTCAGGTGGGAAAGGTGCCCGCTTCCTTCGTCCCGCAGAGCCACAGCAGGCCCTTCACATTAGCTTGTTCCGGCAGGCCGTTTCCTCAATTGACGGTCCAGGCCCCGGGCGTTTTACCTAAGGATGCCCGGTAATGGTTACATCAGGTCCCCTCGTCGCTCCGAGTGCGAATTTCTCAAGGTGCGGGCGTCCGCTCATGAGAAGAAGCAGGCTGGAATTGGCCAGCCGAGGTGTCGGGAGCTCTTGGCGGCAAGCAAAACTCAAAACACCAGCGATCCACCCGGTTCCTGAGGTTTGCATTCGATGGGTCTAATAAGGTAGCTTCCATCCATTCGGTGGGCCGGAAAGATATGCAATCTGGAAGCGACCTTCTACATACGCTAGTGCTTCGAGGCCCACCGTATTACCATTGGCCCTGCTGCTATCATAATCACCGGGAGCTTCAGTCTTGCGTCAGGCACAATACGTACGTACCAAAGGGGGAGCGACGGATAATTGACGACATCGCAGTCGTTCAAGAGCACAGGCCAAGGGACGGTTCCAAAGCATCGGGACGAGATTCGTCTCACCGGACAGCACGACCGTTACCTCCGTGCAACAGAGAGGGGCGTCGGATGCCGGTGGAAGGAGGCAATCTCTGTGACACGAACACACCTACGCAAAGGTGAAAAATGACGGTCCGCTAGCAACCTGGACGGGTCCACTTGTGTTCAATGGCTCGGTTCATACTCCGGACTCGTCATTCGCGGGACCCCGAACCCCACGGCGACCGCTCGGAGTGGCTTTAAGGTGGGGGGAGAGGCGCTCTGCGGGGCCACATTCAATTTTGACTGATTTGGACCGAGGCAGTACGAAGGTATTCTGAAGGAATTTTAGAATCATGGGGGATCTCGATGCCTTGGGGACATAAGGGTGGCGTCGGCATGGGGTCCTAAAAGACGCTCGGTAAGGAGATTTTTGATCTTACGAGGCAGCATATCACACATGCAGTCAAGGCGGCTTACAATCTTACATAGGTAGAAGTGCTCTGTCTAGGCGGCTTGTGTGCATGGCGCCTTTAAGAATGTGGTAAAGTGCCATCTCGTTTTGCCGACCGAGGACGCTCGATCGGTAGCAGGTGGCGCACCCTGCTCCGGAGGTGGCTTGCTTCCCCCAAACAACCGTCTTGCATATCGCAGCTCGTGACAGTGTGTGGCTGTCTCCCCGGTTTCAAATTGAAATACCGGCGTCTTGGAAAGGTCAAGATTGCATGGCCGGCAAGGCTATCAGGGAAGGATTGATTCTCTGTCCCATGCCGTTCTTTGTTGTGAGTTTCGAGACCAAGGAGGGCAGGCCATAGAAAGTAATACTACGAACTCCTGAGACTCCTTGTCATGGGTGGCAAATATCCATCGCTTGCAGGTCTCGGCGGAGCCCTCCAGCTGTGCCTTACGCCGCTGAAGTAGGCATTATTAGTGAAAGCAGACGTCCCGAAATCGTTTTGGTGGAAATCTTGGTTCAATGCAGCTCGTTAACTATTCCTGAGCAACTTGGCCGGCTACAAACCCAATCGTCTTCATAATTCGGCCGAATATCACGTCCACCAAGGCCTACCAGTCGGCACCCGGCACCGCCATCCATGATGTCTCGGAATACTAATTCGGCCCCCACGAGGGGGAGCAATGACGCCGAGGCGAAGGACCTGTACGACGTAACGATCGCCGCGGCAGCTGCCGAGGCAGAGGTTGTCAATGCCCATGTCAATGAGGGCCAAGAGAAAAATCACACTCCTCGTTGGCCGCAGCCATCCAAGTCAGAAGAAAAGACAACAGCGGCTCGGACAATAGAACAACGGTCACATGCGCAACCGCCGCCCGCCGGCGAGCCCGGCTATGCCAAGAGTCGGAACGGACAAGAAGACATGCAGGAGAGGGCCGGTGAGGAGGATACGGCGTAGGACCTATACGATATCACCGTCGCTGCGGCAGCTGCAGAGGCCGAGATTGAACGCATGTCGAGGGAGAAGTGAGCTTGAGGCGATGGTCGATGAGATTGTAGTGATCCCAAATCTTATTAAAACCGAACTGCAGCGGACTACATGGACCAGTAGCATGTTGTTAGGTATGGCCAAAGAGTGCCTTTATGATTACGATTCTTTTTGCTTGTTCTGTTGACTAACGTCAATATTACTAACATTGACACTCACGTGATAAGTTTACTTACTGCGCCACATGTGGCGGACAAGAAGTGTTGTTTGCAAGAAGAAGCTCACTCTGTTGCCACCAACAACGGGCCAGACTCCGCTTTCGTCATCCCAATGTTTTGTCAAGCTGCGCTTGCCCACTTCTGCACACTGCATCAAACATTTTCGAACAATTTTGTACTATCCCCTTGCCACTTCTTCACCGTTCACACTCCTCAACTTATCAGTGACGAGAGCGACATCGCTCGCTCCATCTAAATTGGATTGCAGACCAAAGGCGATCGGTCGGCGGATTGACCTGCCTTGAGCTGCCATATGCGCTTGCGCGACTAGCACCCTGACTGCCCCTATAACATCATCATCTTCCCCTGCCTGGCCACGGCCGGCCCGCCAACACCATGTCCGACTACGACTCGGAAAGTGTCGACTACCTGCAGGCCGATTTCGACCCGTGGTCGTTGACCGTGCCCCGCCTACGGTCCATACTTGTCACCCACGACGTCCCATATCCGTCCCAAGCCAAGAAGCCACAGCTAATTGAGCTCTTCAATGAGCATGTGGTGCCACAGTCGAAGAAGCTACTCTCAAAGCGGGCACGCGCGACGCGGACAAGCAGAGGAATTGTGGATGCCGATTCGCAAAGCACTGCAAGCACAGACTTCACCAACGAGCAGGACGTAGCGATGCCACCCCCTTCTTCCGCGCGGCGATCCCGATCGCCCCGGAAAGCGACTCGGGTGAAGCGAGAGCCTGAAGAGACAGACCACATCCCCGCCGCTCCCCTGGCCCCCCTTCGGGAAAGCCCTCGCAAGAGGCAATCGCGGTCTGCGAGTGCCCAAATTCCGACAGCTTCCGACACAGACACGGCGCCCGAGCCTGAGCCGCCTCGGTCTGTGAGGTCTGTTCGCCGAGTGACACCGGCACCCAAACTGGAGCCGGTCGAGGACGAATTCTTCAAGCGTACCCCAGAGACTGAAGGTGTTTTCAGCGATGAGAATCCCTTCCAAAGCGGGGCCAATTCGCCCCTTTCCCTTTCCGCTGTCAAGACGCCCACCAACCGCCGGAAGACGACTGGCACCGAGTCGCTACTAAAACACACACCATCCACCGCCCGTCGACGGACGGATGGCGTCGTGTTTGGCGATGCGCAGGCGCCCTGTAGCATGTCTCGGAGTCTTGAGATTCCCATCAGCCATACGACTAAGACGCAAATCTCCGAGCTCGAGCCTGATGAGGAGTTTACACCCGAAGAGCAACTCGCGCTCAACCAGGAGGAGAGGACCAACCCCGAGTTGGCGGTCGCCCGCAGAGGCCCCGCTCCCAAACGCAGGTCAGGCTTCTCAACGCCCATCTGGGTTCTTATCACCACTCTCTTCGTCGCCTACGCGGCATGGTACAGGCAGGAGAAGATTGCCGTTGGATACTGTGGGCTTGGACGGGAAGCCACGCAGCTCGTTCCACAAAGCATTCAGCTCCCAGAATGGGCTTCTGAGATTGCTTCGAAGCTCGATATCCAGAACATCCAGGTTCCGGATTGGGCCAGCACTTTGCTCGAGCCGCAATGCGAGCCTTGCCCTTCCCATGCATACTGCTACGAAGATTTCACGGCTCGCTGTGAACCCGACTTCATCTTGAAGCCTCACCCGCTGTCCCTCGGCGGCCTTGTTCCTCTCCCGCCTACCTGCGAACCTGACGGAGAGAAGGTCCGCCGTGTCCAGGCTGTCGCAAACAGGGCCGTGGAGGAGCTGCGCGACCGGCGCGCCAAATATGAGTGCGGTGAGCCGGTAGGACCCGAAGGCCAGCCGCTAGACAGCCCTGCCATCGAGGAGCAGGAATTGAAACAGATTCTCAGTCAGAAGCGGAGCAAGAGAATGCCCGCCGAAGAGTTTGATGAGCTTTGGGTTGCCGCCATTGGAGAGGTCAAAGCAAAGGATGAAATCGAAGTCCAGGTGGAGGAACCTCCAGCTTCCGAGTACGTAGCAATCTCTTCTCTATCCCTATGCGCAGGGGGCTTTTCTACCCCTTTCCCATACCTTTCCGGGCGTGTAGTCATACACAACGGTATCTGACCACTCTGGACTAACCAGACGCGTCGCCGGACCTGTAGAGCCGCCGGTACCCCCGCCTTTCCAAACACCAAGCTATCGTCAACCTCTCTCGCTCGCCTTTCGTACCCCTGCGCGCTCCGGCGGTCGGTCAAGCTCGGAGTGGCTCGACATCGACTCAGCATTGGGGGCCTGATGCTCTCGCTGCTCTCCATCCTCTATGGCCGCCGGCGCTACATGACCAACCGCGTTCTGGCGGCGCAGGTGCCGGGTCTGGTGGACGAGGTCCTCGACCGCCTGGCCAACCAGAAGGAACTCGCCTTTGAGGGTGGCGACGACGACGCGTTCCTGTTCCTGCCCAACCTCCGCGACGACGTCCTCCGGTCCATGCACAGCCTCGCCGACCGCGAGCGCCTCTGGCAGCGCGTGCGCGCCGTCGTCGAGCAGAACAGCAACGTCCGCACTGGCCAGCGCGAGGGCCGCAACGGCGAGGTCGGCAGAGCCTGGGAGTGGATAGGACCCACTCGACTCGGCGGCGTGGGAGAGAGCGAGGGCGGCGCTGGTGCGAGGCGGCGCAAGACTCCGCGCGTCTCGTGGGGGCCGGACCTCAATGCCTGGACCTCGACACACGCACAGCCGGTGGAGAAGAAGGAAGTGTCGGGTGGTGGGTTGGAGAGGGAGAGGAAGGTGGTGCAGCACCGCAAGTGGGAAGAGGCGAGGCCGATTTACTGATGCGGAGTTAGGTGGCGGCGCGGGTTCGCTTTCTCTGTTGTGATGTCAGGAGTTGTACTTTCGTATGTACTTACTTAGCCTCTGTTCCATTTCTCCCGTTCTCTTTCCCTTTTATCTGAATCAGTCTCTGGCTCTGAGCTTTACTACCTGTGGGCGAAGGAGGATACGCGAGTGAAGAGAAGATACATGAAAGATGAGTGAAGGGGAGGATATCTGAGAGATGAAGGAATGAGCCGGAGGGTCTGATTCACCGACGAGATTGACTGATTGGGGGATGCTGCAAACTGTCTCCCTTCGTCGACTTGCATCACACTACCCACGGATCTTTCCTTGCCCATTCATTTACTGTGTGTCGTTCTGACCTTCCGGTGTGGCTTTCTGCCTTTTTTTCTTTCCCCCCTTAAGGTGTGCCGGATGGCGTTTAGGAAGGGAGGGCGACAATCCAACTGGGGTGGAGTGTTGATGAAGGCGTTCTTCTATCCTCCTCTGCTATCCTATGCTACGCTATGCTATGCTGTTGGGTGGCGTGCTGTATGTTACTGTACCTTGATTGGACCATGCTTTGCGGCGGCTGTTCTTCTGTTTCTGTCATGACGAGAAAGAGAAAGGGGGAAAGGGGGGAGCGGGGAGGAGATGGCTTGCTAGTTAGCTAGCTACCTTAGATAGCTGGATAGTTAATCGAAATTGTATACCTCAATACCCTTGATTCGCTGACTATCCTCTTGGGTAATGGCGTTAGTTGTCCCGGAACATGGTGTTGTTGTTATTGGGGAGCAATAACTAAAGTTTGTATGCCTGTTTGTGTCTGAGTTTATGCTTGTCGATCCGACTCCATCGTATGGCAGCCATCTCACCACACTTGTTGAGTGTTCTCAGGAGCAAGCTGAACGGAATAGATATTGCTTGATGCGAGTCCGCCAATTTCCCAGCAAGACCAGGATCGCGACAAGATATTCGAAGGACACTCTAGTGGATGCCAAACGTAATTTCTCTTTTTACTCGGCGGGGACCATTGCCCTGACTAGTCACTACCTAGTATTGTGGATATCCAACACCAGGACGTCGGTGGCGCCAACCTTGACGAGCTCGTCCATAACGACGGCAATGTTCTTCTTCTCAACCATGGCGCTGACGGCGACCCAACCCTCCTCGTCGAGCGTCGTCACGGTGGCGGCGCGCTTGCCCGGGGTGATCTTGGTCGCGTCGTGCAGCTTGGTCCGGGGCACGTTGTACTGGCAGAGCACGTACTTTTGCGCCGTGATGACGCCGCGGATGCGGTTGGCAATGAGCTCGACCAGCTCCGGGTTGCTGGGCGCCTTGGACTTGATCAGCAGCGCCGACGTCTCGAGCACCATGTCGATTGCCTTGAGACCGGCCGCCTTCATGGTCTCCCCGGATTCTGGGGTTGGAAGACAAGGGCAGGTTAATACATAGGGGAGTTTGAGAGTAAGCGGGGTGGGAGGAAAGGAGGAGCAAGAGCTCGACTAACCAACAAGATCAACAATGCCGTCGGCCACCCCCAAGGCGCACGCCGCCTCAACGCTCCCGCCGAGCTCGATGATCTTGGTGCGGAGCTTCCTCCCAGCCAGCTGGGTCGTGTCGGTCACACCCTGCTGCTCCAGCTCCAGGCGAGCAAAGTACTCCTGGGTGAGGTGGACAAAGCTCGTGGCAATGTTCTTGCCGATCAGGTCCTTGCCCTCGGTGTAGGGCCCGTTGGCGGGGACCTGGACCTGCAGGCGGCAGTAGCCGAAGCCGAGCTCCATGACTGTGTCGCAGCCTTGGGGCTTGGTGCTTCCATCTCGTTCCCCCGCGTTGCTCAGGCGGCGCGCGTGGGCGACGGCCCGGACGCCGGCATCGTGCTCCTGCACTTGGTCATAGCCCGTTATACCCAGATCCACGCGGCCCTCGCCAACAAAGGTGGGGATATCGGCCGCAGGGAGGAAGATGAGGGCAATGGGGAGGTTCTTGACTAGCGCTATGTCAAGGCGGTTTTCGCGCTTGAATTGGATGTCGGCTCCTTCGAGGAGGTTCAAGCTTGCTTGGGAAAGGCGGCCCTCTTTTTATGGTGCGACGGCAAGGGGGTCAGCACGGGGTGCGCTCTGAAGGTGGGAAGATTTGGCAGTGGGTATCGTAACGGGAAACACACTCTTGGGGACTGCGAAGAGCAAGCGGCCTTCTAGGCTTTGGAAGCAGATCAGCTTGTCTAGTTCTCGTTGGGCTTGTGATTCTCTTGTGCCGTGACAATAAGGGGCAGCAGGGGGCAGGAAAGGGTGATACTAACTGGTTTACTAGATCCATGACCGGCTAACGGGGCCACAACAGCAATATCCAGTCAGCTAGAGATAAGTATATGCATGCGCAAGAAGCTGGTGTGGATGTTAGTAAGTGTAAACTGTAAGAAGAAGATCCAGCCTCAGAGGAGCAGACACGGCGACGGCGGGGTATATGAGTTGCCGGAACATACCTAATTGCTTCTTTTGCCGTGTGGTAGGACAGCCGTTGCTTGAAGCGGGGAGTAGATGATACAACTTGTAGTATGTATGTAGAGCTGCTACTCTCAACGTCGTCTTGAGTCACTTGCAGGCTGTTTTTTCGATCCACGTTCCTAGATCGGAGTGCCGTGACTGGTGCCCCTCGTTCGGCATGGTGGGGTTGTAAATCATATTGTAGTGGGGTCAGGAACGGGAGCGGCAGGCCCACGCTAGCGAAGGTGTCGTCAACCCGGACCTTACGACAGACGGGAGGACGGGTACCCTTAATATCTCTACGTAGCTCCTAGTTCCATGCATCTGTCATCTCAATTTATCAATCAGGCTACCCAACCTGTGCAGGATGTTAGATTGCATTCATGGCTGCTTTGCGTGCTCGGCCGAACGAGGAGCAATGGCCAAGACACGGCTGCTTAGAAGATGGATCGTGAGATCAGCGTACCTTGAGAGTTGGCATCGCAGCCTAAGAAGTAAATATGCTTGGCATTCTTCGTCGCACTGAGTTACAGTCTGCGTGTAACCTTGCGCACTGAAGCCTGCCGTAAGATACCGTATCTCAGGGACCAACAGCAGACCTAGTATTACGGAGTACGAATCGGGGTACGTCACCATGCCCCTTTTCGGGGACCTGTCAGTGCTGTCGCAGAAGCGCCCCAGGAACAGTTCGTAGCCTGCCTGGGGGCCAGGGGCCGGCGCTTGGCACCACGACGTCGATACGATCCTTCGTATCGAGGCCAACAAACCGCCCGTTCTCGAATTCTTCTAAGCTGGTCAACCGTTCTTGCCTGTCGCAGGCGCACACACTCGCTTCAAAGTACAATACAACTTGGATCGTTACTTCGACTTACCTGGCGTCCTAGTAATCATATCTCCCTCGGGATACGGATACCAGATATTAATCGGAAAGCCTCCTGTCGCACAGAATCGGAACGCCGAAATCACTTTGCAACACCAGGAATCTGCCTCCTTCCGTTCCACTAAGTACGCTCTCTGTGTCCGTGTGCTGTTCATCATCAGGCATTTCCATTTGCTAGTGGTGGTAAGGAAATCAGTTACTGCCCTGTTCCTCAGTTTGACCGACTGGCCCGTCATGGGAGAGATGCCAACCACAGAGTCGGCAGACGACGCCGATATCAGATATGGTGATGAATTCGCTGACGCAATACCTTTAGCAGACCGCTCGGCTTTCGAATCAGGCTCGCACTCTACTAGACTAGTCTCGGATGCTGAAGCGCCGGACGAGGAACGCGAACAAGGGACACAGGTCCGATCGACACAGCGTTGCGACCAAGGGACATCCGGAACTTGGGACGAGAACGAGGAAGAGACAGCTTCCCAAGACAGCGGGCCGGGGGGCTGCCGTTCAGACGAGCGGCATAGCGAAAACGGCGTCTTTGACGGCGACGACGAATCCGAGACCATGTCAACATGGAGTGGCCAACCCAAGGTCAAGGGGAGCACTGAGACGGTGCGCATGATCCTCTTGACATGCGTATGTATCGGCATCACGTTAGTCGACACACGTACAGCATCCCTGTGAGGAGGGCCCATTGCTAATGATTTGACTGCAGCTTCACCTGGGGCGTAGAGATGACCTGTATGACCACCCCTATAGGCATTCTCTTGCCCATAGCCGCCGCGATACTAACACGAATATATCCTGCAGATTGCACGCCGTACCTGCTGTCGCTAGGGCTTAGCAAGGGTCAAACCTCCATGGTCTGGGTCGCAGGCCCCATATCCGGCCTGATTGTCCAGCCGATAATAGGCGTCATAGCCGACGAGTCGACATCCAAGTGGGGGAGGCGAAGGCCCATCATTGCCATCGGGTCTGTCATTGTTGCAGCCAGCCTTGTGACGTTGGGCTTCACTAAGGAGATTGTCGCTTCCTTTATCTCGGATCCTCACACCGTCAGGGCGTTGACCATCATGCTCGCTGTCCTGTCGCTGTATACCGTCGATTTCTCCATCAATGCAGGTTAGAACCAACAGTTGGACATGGAGGTCGCGCGTGCGGGCTAACAACGAACCCTACAGTCATGTCCTGTTCAAGGAGCCTGGTTGTAGATACCCTGCCGTTGCAAAAACAGCAAACCGGCGCTGCGTGGCGTAAGCCCTGATCTCCCTTTCCCCCCATCGTCTGCTTCGTCAAACACCTGACACCTCTGTGCAGTAAGCCGCATGAACTCGCTCGGGCATATCATCGGGTACGTCATGGGAGCCGTTGATCTGGTCCAGCTCTTTGGGCCTAGACTTGGAGATAGCCAGTTCAAGCAGCTTACCATCATCGCCGCCCTGGGAATGCTACTCACCTCGGCCATCACCTGCTGGGCCGTCTCAGAGCGCATCCTTGTCTCGGTGCGCCACGACCCACGCCGGACCCAGGGCCGCTTCAAGGTAGTTCGCCAGATCTGGTCAACCCTCTTGACTCTCCCTCCCCGTGTGCGCGGCATTTGTAACGCGGTCTTTTGGGCCTGGATCGGCTGGTTTCCATTCATCATCTACAGCAGCACATGGGTAGGGGAAACGTACTTTCGTTACGATGTCTCTGCAGACGCCAGGCAGTCTCAGGACGCTCTCGGCGACATGGGCCGCATCGGAAGCATGGCATTGACCGTCTACTCCACCGTCGGTTTCCTCAGCGCCTGGATCCTCCCACCTCTGATCCGCTCCCCGGAGGACGAAAGCTACACGCACCGGCCTCCCGCCAGCCTCGCCCCGTTCATCGAGGCCTTCAACAAAGTCAAGCCCGACCTCCTCTCTGCATGGGTCTTCAGCAATCTCCTGTTCGCATGCGCCATGTTTCTCACCCCTTTCGCTACGTCCTTTCGCTTCGCCACCGCCATCGTCGCCATGTGCGGTATCCCATGGAGCGTTGCCTCGTGGGCCCCCGTCACCTTTCTCGGTATCGAGGTTAACAAGATGAGCGGCGGCTCCTCCGAGCCCGGCCTCCCTGGCGGCGGTGGCGCGAGCACCGTACCTTACCGCCGTCTGTCGACTGGCTCAAACATTGAGATGCGCGACGTCCTGAGGCTTGATCACGGCAACTTGGAGGCTGGGGCCGCCGCTGCCCCCACCAGCAGCTCCACCGGCGAGCTGAGCGGCATCTACTTTGGCATTCTCAATATCTACATCACGATTCCCCAGTTTCTCAGCACCCTGATGAGCGGTGTCGTGTTTGCCGTGCTGGAACCAGGCAAGAGTCCCGAGCTGGCCACCGAGGCCCACCCAAGCGAACACGCCGACCCCGACGGGCCCAATGCCATCGCCGTGTCCATGTTTCTTGGGGCGCTGTGCTCGCTGCTGGCGGCTTGGTACACCAGGAAGCTGAGATTTATATGACCCAACTTGGCTACAAACCTGACTCGGGGTTTGGAGGGGAGGTGGCTGGTCAGCGTGTAACGAATGGATAGAGTGAAGGGGTGAACGGCTGGGTACAGGCATAGAAGGGTGGGTGCTACTCGAGTTTCAGGTTCAGGTATTAAAGCGTGGCGTTTGAGTGCTTCACGGAGTTAAAGGAAGCTGTGGCTGACGTTTTGCATTGCATGTTGTCTTGCAGTCTTTTGGGGGAAGGGAGGGTTCTTGAACTATCTGGCAATGTCTTCTTGTACATACACCTCTTAGAAATTCTCTTGTATCAAACCACAGTTGATGACTAGAAACCTCCATCCACCCACCACCAGAGTAACATCATTTACCAATTACCTTATCTACCAAGCCGGCAGAGTCCAACGAACAAAAAGACCTTCCAACATGGATGTGAAACCCCGTACTATTACTCGCCAACTATGTACGCCCATCTTCTTGCTTCTTCCCGGGCTGACAAAAGGGGCAGAGGAGCCTCGTGAAAAGAGAGAGAGAGAGCTGGAGAGCACGTTTGTATAACCGGGATTCTTTCCTCCTTTCTTACCCCTTCTTAACCAACCTCCCGCAGCCTTCTTCAATGTGTAACCACCCACTCTGAGCCAGCACAGCTGAGTGCGGCATGTATCTGATTTCCAAAGGGATGGTTAAGAGAAAACTGAAACTGCCGGAGAAGCCAAAGACGAGGGAGAACATGAACTGGACTGGAAAGTTTTCAGAAGAAACACTTTGCCCGCCGTCAACCGCCACTAGGACAAACATGACACATGAAAGTTGAGATGAGAAACCGGGTATCTCGCTTGAGGCCCAAAAGACAGGGACGGATTGCATGCAATAGTGATTCTGCGTTCGATTCTAACCCCTGCTATGATTGACATGCCCCCTTCGATTCGATCACAGGGGGACGTCCCTCCACCGCCCCTCCCCCCATGAATGAATGGCACGGTTTTCCCTGATGCAGATGACATATCCAACTGCTAAACTACCCCTGACATAAAAAGGTCAAAACCACCAAGAGAACCAGAAACAAAGCATAGATTATATAAGTTCTGACCATCAGAAGCCGTCCAGGGCATCCTGAAGAGCAGATATGCTCATGTAGTCCCGGAGACCTGGATGCCGCTTCGTGATGATTTCGTATTATTGCATTAACCCCATCCATCCCATCTTCATTCGAGCCCGTCTTAGTAGCAGTCGATTTCGCCAGCATGATGGCATCTTTGTACTCGGAGGAACGCTCTCACTCTCTCTCACACTCTTTTTCCATCCCGTCCAACTTTCATGTCATCGTCTAGCTTGCTGTCGCGCATTGATAAGCAAACAAAACCATATCTTCACATGACTATACACTCCTTATCGTCCTTCTCGCCGTGCTTCTTGATCTTGGCATTTCGGGGCGGGGCAACTTCCATCGGGGTGCCCCCGCTGACAGCCGCGCGGATGGCTGCAAGGCGCTGTTTCGCCCGCTCATCGCCGGCATCGGCCGCCTTGACATACCAGACATTAGCTTCAAGTATGTCGCGCCGGCAGCCGATGCCCATTTCGGTGAAGTAGCCGACGGCGTATTGCGCTTTGATGTTGCCTAAACGATGCGCGGTCAGTCCGACATTTTCATGAACAGTTGTGGACTCCTAGATATATAAACTTACCCAGCTCGGCCGCCCTCCGCGCCCACTCATAGGCCTCCTCCTCGTCCTTTTCCAGCACAGGCTCCGCTCCAACCATGTACCAAGCACAAAGCCCCATCATGGCCCCGGGGTGGCCGCGCTCCGCAGCGCCAGTGTAGAAATGTACGCTCAAGGCCGGGTCTCTCGGACAGTTGAGCTTGCCGTGCTCGTAGGCATCGCCCATCCTGAAGTTGGCCTCGGGGTGTCCCAAGTCGGCAGCCTGGGTGAACAACTCGGCCGCGTAGCTCTCGTCCTGGAAGATGTCGTCGCCGTATCCCGTTTCGTACAGACACCCAAGGGCATACGGAGCCGCATTGTAGATGGTGTCAGCCGCTTCCGTTGCCAGCTTGAGCCACTTAATGCCCTCTCGGTACCGTTTCTCGCCCAAGTCGCCCGACAGGCAGGCCTTTCCCAGCCTCGTCATCGCGCCGGGGTGTCTCTTGGAAGCCGCCATGCGAAGGAATTGCACGGCCTTGGCAGGGTCCTTGCGACAACCCCAGCCGAACTCGTAGCACAGCGCGGTACGGTATCCGGACTCGGCGTGGCCGTGCTTGGCGGCAAGAACGAACAGCGGAAACGCCTGGTTGTAGTCCTCCTTGCCCTTGCTGAAGAGGCCAGAGGCGTAGCCGTCGGCAAGGTAGTACTGCGCAAAGGGATAGCCGCTATTAGACAATTTCTGCAGAATAGCGCGCGCCTCCCGCACCAAATCGTAGGGGGAAGATGCGACTGCCTCTCCAGCTGCGCCGTCCTGACCTTGCCTCGTATTGGGGCTCTTGCTCCTCTTGGGGTCCTGATAATCGAGGCCCTGCTCCTGTGCCGTAGCGATGAGGAACACGGCAAAGGAGTAGAGAGTGGGGTAGTCATTTGTCTTTTTGACGTTTTGCCGATACATCTCGAGCGTTTTCTGGGCGCTAAGTAGAGACGCATTGTTGCCCACAGCGGAACGCAGTTGAGAGTTGTCGAAGGTGATGGGCGCTGGAGCCGGTTGCGGGTATGGGACATTGAGGAGCTCCGCGAACGACGAGGGCCGTGTCTCGGGGGATTTCCTAGAATGAGCAGAGGGAGCGCGGTTCTGGGAACCCCCTAACAGGGCAGGCGAGCGCCCCCTCGCGCCAAAATCTGAATACACCGAGTAGGCCGACTGAGGCCGCGGGAACGAGTTCCGTTTCACATAGTTGGTTGTGGGAGTGAGATGGCGGTTTATACTAGCAGCCGTTTCCACCAGATTGGGATTTGATTGGGCCCTCGGGTCTTGCTGCACCGCCATGCTCGCCGGCCTTGGAAGGAAGGCCGAGTGGTGGTACTGAAGCTGGGGCACTGGTTCGGTTTGCACTGCGCCATCGTCAATGACCGAGCCCTCAGCCGATGCGTCTGCCGAGTTGTCTTGGTTGTCGGAACAGTCTAGGATTCCCGACACGGAGCTGGCGCTCGTCGTGGCCGAGGATTTGGCCGACGTCCGCGGCTGTGTCGTGCTCGCAGTCGTGTCCGAGTCCCCGCTATTGCGATTCGCCCCTTTCGTTCTAAACTCGTTGTCCATGTTTAACTCGCTGATCTTTGAACTCAGGGGTTTGACAACCTGTGTCTGATCCACTGGGCTCAACGCCGGCGATGACTGAGGCTTTTCTGTGCCATTCGAATCGGACCGTAAGCCCAACGCATCGGGTACCCAGCTTTGCCCATTGCCGTGCTCAGGTTGCTGTAGAGGGGTGTGCGGCGGAGGCGTCGGGGCATCGGGGGTTTTGGGCAGAGCACGGTCGAGGACGGGGGCGGCGGCGGGTCCCGTGTGCGGGACGTGTGTCTCGATGTTCCCGGTTGATGGGCGGGCCCAATCTTCTGTCTGGAAATTGACCTTGACAGGTGACACAGGCGACTGTCGTAACCTCGGGGCCTCGGATGGAGGAACGCCGGGCAGCGGCTTCACGGCTTCCCCCCAGTCATAGCGCTCGATGGGCGAAAGATTATGCAGAGGAACGGGCTTCCGACGGGCGGGACTACCGGACGAAGGCGAGGCGGATGACGGCGGAGTGCCAACGGCCGCCATTGCGGGCGGTTAGGGGGACGGCGTGGCCCGCTTGTCTTGTTAGGCTTCGCCAATTCCCAGCGCCGGCTGTGTCGAACTGAAGCGCCGCGCAGAGCGGAATATTGGGCTTTGAAGGTCAAGCCCTAGAATTCGAGAGAGTCCGGGCTGGAGAAACGACTGTGGCTCGCGAACACCACCCGCGCTTGCATCGGGGGAAACAAAGCCGATCTTGCCGCTCTTGCAGAGATCTCGACCCGGACAGCGTTGTAACCTTAACCAAACAGATGGCTGTTGTGCAGGAAGCAGCAGTCGGGCGGGTACTCGCTTGCTTTTGGTATTACAGAAACGAGCGGTAGCGACAGAGAAGTTTGCAGCGAAAGTAGGTCGTAGATCAAAGACGGGAGATAACCAAACAAGAATTAGAAACAAGAAATGTTGGCAGCCTCGGCAACCCCAGCGAGTGTAAGTTCGAAACGGGTTGGTGGAGAGGGGATCAAGTCTGGTGACACTCTCCGCAGTCTGAGATGACGGGATGAGGAGGCGGCAACGTTCTTCAAGGAATGGGAGAGATCGGCGAAGAGGGCGCAAATCCTACCGTACCAGAACCCCCCTTGGGTGCCTCTGCGGTAAAGCCCAGGGACGCTAACGGGCGCAGCAGAAAACCCTGCTGCAGCCCAAAGCCGGGGGGCCATTAGCCATAGGTCAGTAAAATAACGCGCGAGGTTGGAACCACCACAAGTCGCATGGAGCGGAGGCTGAGTACTTTAGTCGGCGTTAGCGGGTTAACAATGACTGCGCAAGATGGCTCTGTTCGCTTTACTCACTGCACTGCATCAAGCTGCAGTAATCAGTGTTGACAGTAACTGTTGGATCCAGTAAGCATCAGGGAAATGGCCTGGAAGCGGAAAGCAATTCGTATGATCTGAGTACTGTATGTACGTACAGTACAGTTGTATGGCTTTACCATGCTTACAATACACAGACAGCTGAGCACACGGTCGTGCTCCCCTCTTCAAGACAAAGCACCGCACGGCAACTGGCACAGTACCCCCGTATGTGAAGCAAGTATGAATAGCAACCAACCGTAGGATTCCCGTCGCTCCTTGTGCTACCGCGAGCAAGTCCCTCGGATTGATACCTTTAGTTGCGTAATGTATGTACGAAGTAGCTTGTGCTTCGCTTGTCTTAGGTCGACTCTTCGTATGTATGTACTCTTTCGGCCCCTTCAAATTCCCGATCTGCCGCAATTTTCATTAGAACCCTTTGGGTGGGCCAACTTTAGGGTGGTGTCGGAGGCGGGGTGATGCCTACCTAGCTGCTACTGTAGCTTCTCGACATTCTCGTGTTGGATAGTCAAGAGGTTATTTAGGGTACTAGGTATACAAAGTTCGTAGTCAGGTCGTAGATTTGATCGTAGCTTACTCAGCTTTGACATCGATGGCCACGTGGTACCAGCAGACGCTTGATGTGCATAGCACGTTGTGTTTGATTCTTTATGTTGGTAATTACGAACTATGTACATAACTTACATACGTGCAATAATCACCTTGATACCTCGAGTCTTGCATTCGTATCCACTGAGGTGGTTGCCAGGACCCTGGCTGCGCATTGAAATGTTTTCCCCAGACGCTTTGATGAGCCAAACGAACGACGCAAGCACCTTAGAGCCTTTCAGCCTTTCAGGAGCCACCTCAAAGATGGCATGGCGTGGCATGGCGTGCGTCCTATGGCGTAAATGATCGGCAATGGTTGGTCAGCGTCAGCGCCCATCAAAAAGGAGCATTTGACTTCCAGTTCCAACCTTACCAAACACGTCAATGCTAGGGTCCGAGGGGCTTTGAGGCTTCAAGCTTACAGTACCTGAGACCGAGCTGCATGCTTCCGTCAACTTCGATGCCGGAACACTGCCCACTGAGCGGTTCAATGACTTCATTGTGTCTCTCCTTACACTATAACCCGCCGATCTGCCGCGCGCCCATAGCTACACGTACACATTATACACTGGTATAGGTTTCGAGAGGAATGCGCTGCCCCCAGGGCAGGTAGTGAGACAGGTTCCTATGGCGGTCATTGTGAGCTTTCATGCTGCCAGTACTGCACTCATCCGACTTTTTCCTCGACTAGTTCGGATTGTAGCCAAGTCCGAATGCGGCTGGACGAGGCTTAGGCCTCGACCCGTCTGTAGTATGCAATAATAGTGTATCTCGGCGTTTTGGCTCTAGTGTATGTACTTGTACCCCGTACATAGGGTACTGCATATGGCTCTGTCTTATGTAAGTCCGAGTCTTGCAGCATGGAAACACAAAACCAACAACCCACGAACCGGTTGCATGACGTTTCTGATGAAAGTACACTTCCAAGAAGAATCGTCCTACCGAACTATCACTGAAAATGACCCTCATATACAATATAGTAATACGCCGGGCTCGGGTTAGCCATGGATAGGTGGCGTTATACTTTATTAGGGGGGAGCGGCGAGTGCCGAACTAGTTAAGGGTCGACTGCAACGTGACATTAGTGTATGGCTAACCAGGAGGGCTAGCCAGGAGTACGTTGTAATTAGTGTAGATGCAGGCTTCTCTCCTTCAAGATGATATATGACTAGCTATCCCTCCGTACTTTTGTCATGTAATTGCGGTGAAGGTGGTGTGCCCAAGCCTGCTCGTCTGCCATGTAGTATATATGTAATGTACGTATGTACTGTACATACCTTACTCAATGGGCGAACTGATATCCGTATCACAGGTAGCGGTAGCCTGCACCATGACCGAATCCCGTGCCGTCATGAGCTTCATAACAAGAGGTTCTGTCCATCCCATCCCATTAGAATTCGGATTGGGACGTTAGTTCCTCAGGGACAGCCCAACCTCCGGGTAGAGGGTTCGGGGTGGAAAACGGTTTCCCCAGGCCGCGCAGATCAGCATCTCCCGAGGCCGACAATCATGAACTTCCCTGATATACACAGGAAGTTTTGTTGCACTCTTCAGATCTCGGAAATACCGGGTACATTATACAAGTGCCGATTGTTCCCCAACCTTCTTCGCTTGTGCCGCGACGCGCCATGACCTGCTAGAAGCGATGGAAGGTCTCGTGAAGGCAGACTAAGCTGAAACTGCAAGCCCGAGACAGATGATTCCAGGAACTGAGGAAAAACCAGGAGGCGCCCATGGGACTTGTCTTTTATCGAGCAAGTCAATGGCACCTAGCCGAGCTAAGGTACGGATAGGGATGGTAGGTTCATTGGTTGCTATGGCCGATCGAAGAATTCGGACCCAAACACCTGGGGATGATGCATCTCAAGCCCGTTTCTGCACCGCGTTGAGCTGGCAAAGGCTGTAAGGCCAGAAAGGCTGACCTATCGAGCATTACGCTCGAAAGCTGGTTAAGAGTGCCCGGCTCAAGTCTGTCCGCTTGAAGGGTTTGTCTCATGGGAAAATACAACAGGCTCGGTGTTTGGCTGGTTACCCCTCGGGACGCAATAGATGATACAGGACGGAAACTTCCCATTTTACCCCGTGGTTCTCTGACAGTCTAATTCTCTCCTGGTCCTTGGGATTCCAACACAAGCCTGGATAGATGGCGTGAATGATCAAGATCCAAAATTGACACCAGAATCGTCATCTATTGTCAGTCAGAAGCTTGGATGCAGCCAAAGGTGAAGTTCGGATACAAGCTGATGTCGGTTTGCTGGTTACCGGTAGTCAAGTGCACCCTAAAAAAAGTTTCATGGCGAGGTGGGATTGATGCAAAGCAACCACACTCCTTGAAAGTTCAAAGTTCAAACTGAAGGATCCGGGCCTTGGCAGCGTTTTTGCCGCAATCAAAGCAATACGAGGCACAGGGGTACTGTTGTATGTAAGCATGTATGTATGTATGTATGTACAGTACGCTTCAACGTTACGAAGTACGGAGTAGGTTGATGGGCATTGTAAAAATTTCACAGCGGCTCTTGATCCCAAGGTATACCGCGTCTTGCTGGCCGGGTAACTAGCATAGATGCATCACTGCAGTGCAAGTGGTTCAGGCAACCTAAAGCTACTGAGAAGGCTGGTCTTGTAAACAGAGTATGTAAGTTGGATGGTTCGAGGGTGATTTCCTTGTTTGTTATCACCGATATTGAATTGTCGCTTGAAGCAGGGTGATGGATCGATCTCCAAGCGATGATTGGCTGATCGCTTGCAACACCCGGTCGACCGCCTGTTTACACACATACAACCCTAACCCAGCCTCACCAAGCGCCCAAGGAAAATACAGTATTACCCTGGGGCTTCCCCCTGAGCCAAGAGCGAAGAACTTGGAACTTCGAGGGCATTCTCATAACTTGCAACCAAAATCACCGGCCAGCCTGCGCTCACACCGGCTGTGTTTCCTCAGCATCATCAATATTCCTTCCCTTTCAGTTCTGTCCCTCGCTTGGCGCTGCCGACTTTCGATCAGTTGCATGTTTTATTCGCTTTGACTTTGGCCGGCGGGCACTTCGAAAAGACACCATCTCATTTTTTGGATATTCTGCATGAAGCATAGGGCGCTGGTTTTGTTTGGCGCATCGCGCATGAGCCAGTGATCACCGCGTTGCTCGTTGCCCTCGATTTGCTGCGGAAATCTCACGCCGTTCTCCTTGCCGATTCGAACGACTGTGTTGACTTCGAAGAGACTCCAGTCCTCTAATAAACCGACGCTCTAGCATTTCAGGTTTCCCTGGCAAGAACCGCCTGCGCCGCTCCACTGCTGATGCACCTCGAACTGGAGTAGCCTGGCCGACGGAGACCACTCATGCACACTTTGGTGTCTGGATAAATTGCCCCAGTTCTGCTGCAGTGCTGACAAAGGAACTGCGTGCGCACGTCAAATTGGCAGCCAAGGCCTCCATCTCCTGAGAAACACCCCGCCCTTGCTGCACCAGCGACGGGTTGCCATCGTCCTGCCGGTCCGGCCGCCCAATCCGGTAACCAGAACCCGCCAGCTCACACTCGTTCGTTTTCCTGGAAACAGGGCGTGTAGGTTGATCCCAATCGCTTCAACACCAGCAGTGCGCTTTCTTTCGATCTGCTCTCATAACCCCTTTGCTCGCCTTGTCGCGTTTCTTCCTGCACCCCCTGAACCACATCCCTGCTACCCTTTGCGCGCCTCGGGATCGTATTCTCGAGGTCGCCGCCCGCTGAATTCCCTTTGCACTGGGTGAAGTCCTCGTCTGACTGCGTCGCATGTAACGCCGCCGATGATATGGACAGTAGCTAACACTTTCGGCCACTGCCAGGACCATGTCTCTCCCAGAAAGACCGGGCGCGACGCCCTCGTACGAGGAGCGGCATAGCTACAGGCGCTCGCAATCGCGGCGGCAGCGACCAGCAGACATCGAGGCCGGCGGGTATGCCCCCGTCAGCGGGCAGTCAATCCATCAACGTGGGCCATCAGCTTCTTCTTTCGCCGAGACTATTCCGTCTCCTAATCCGGAAATAGAGAGAACGCCCCTATCGCCCACTGCAGACCACTCACGAAGCCCTGAGTCGCCTATCTCGCGGAAACGGAGTCTTATCAGGCCAGAGAGGAACAGGATAGGGAAAGACCACCCGAATTACCACTATCGAAAGCATGCGGCAAACATGAACACGCTGCCATCCTCAACGGGCAACGACCCAATCGCCGAGGATCTGGAAGGCACCACCGATCTGTCTGGGTCGGGCTCTAGGAACGAGGATGCATTATCGGACCAGTCTCCGCCGACGAGGCATCGTCCGTCAAAACAGAACGGGAATAGTGCAGAGAAGGCAGCTCGAACAAGGCGGAGGGCATCAAGCGGAGCGAAACACGCCAAAATCATGAAGGAGTCGAAGCGTCAGCGCCAGGCCGACGAGCAGATTCGACCTCCCAGCCTCTGGAACGTATATTGTGCCATCGTGACGTTCTGGTGCCCGGGCTTCATTCTCAAGTGTTTCGGTATGCCGAGCAAGGCTCAGCAGCGGGCGTGGAGGGAGAAGATGGGCTTGATCAGCATCATCTTGCTCATCATGGCGTTTGTCGGCTTCCTCACATTCGGCTTTACGCAGACCGTGTGCGGCCGGCCGCCGCTACGACTGCGAGTGAACCAGGTTACGGCGGGGTACATGATATTCCACGGCACCGCCTACGACCTCTCTTTATCCGCTCATCCGGTCGCCCAGGGCATTCCGTTGCGCTCGGACGGCAATGGCGCGAATGTCCTGTACGACCTGCCGGAGAAGCATGGTGGCCAAGATGGCAGTTTCTTGTTTCAAAACGTCAATGGGAAGTGCAAGGGGCTCATCAAGGCAGCGCCGGGATCCGACGTCCCCACGGACGCGAGCGGCAATCTAGCGTGGTACTTCCCCTGCACCACTTTCAACCAGGACGGTTCCACGAGGCCCAACCTGACAATCCCGTACTATCTGGGCTATGCCTGCCACACCACCGCTACCTCCCGAGACGCCTTCTACCTGGGCCTGAACGGGGCGGCAGATGTCTACTTCACGTGGGATGACATCAAGAACAGCTCACGCAACCTCGTAGTCTATTCCGGTAACGTTCTCGACCTTGACCTTCTCAATTGGTTCAACGATACACAGGTTACGTATCCGGCCCGCTTCAAGGAGCTAAGGGACCGGAACTCGCTAGCAAACCAGGCGATTCGCGGTCGCGATGTCACGAGAGCGTTCCAGTCGTCAGGCGACAAGCAGAATGCCGAATGCTTCGAGGAGATCATCAAAGTTGGTACGGTTGATACAGACACGGTTGGGTGCATCGCGTCTCAAGTTGTCCTATATGTCTCTCTCATATTGATCCTCTCCGTGGTGCTCGCAAGATTCGTCCTTGCTATCATCTTCCAGTGGTTCATCAGTAAGAGGTATGCTGCGGCCAAGACCTCCCAGACGTCAGACCCGCGGAAGCGCAACCGGCAGATCGAGGACTGGTCAGAGGACATTTACCGGGCTCCGCCTCGGTTCCCTGGTGATATTGGAAGCAGCGTGAATGGCTCGGATCGGCACAGCAAACGAAGTAGTACCTTTTTGCCCACCACCTCTCGGTTCTCAGCGGTCTACGGGGTCGACAGAACCAATCGCAGGTCCGGCGTCCCTACCACCATGGCGAGCCAAAACGCAGCCAACCAGCTCCTCAACCCTGGTATCTACCGGCAGGGTAACGACAGCCGGACCAGCTTTCTCAAGTCGGACCCATACGGAGCTCCCAGCGGGAGTCCCTCGGACGGCCCCGGACCGGCGGGCTTCATCCACGAGGCTGTGGTCCCGCAACCTCCGTCCGACTGGATGCCGTTTGGCTTCCCACTGGCTCACGCAATCTGCTTGGTAACGGCATATTCCGAAGGTGAACTCGGCATTCGGACGACTCTAGACTCAATCGCAATGACGGATTACCCCAACAGCCACAAAGTGATCCTCGTTATCTGCGACGGCTTGATCAAGGGCAAGGGAGAAACCATGACAACGCCCGACATTGTCCTCAGCATGTTGAAGGATCACAGCACCGCCCCGGAGGACGTCGAAGCTTTTTCGTATGTGGCGGTTGCGAGCGGCTCCAAGCGGCACAACATGGCCAAGGTTTACTCTGGCTTTTACGACTATGGCGCTAACTCTGCCATTCCGCTTGACAAGCAGCAGCGGGTGCCCATGATGGTTGTGGTCAAGTGTGGCACCCCGGACGAGGCCGTCAAGGCAAAGCCCGGAAACCGTGGCAAGCGCGACAGTCAGATCATCCTGATGTCCTTCCTCCAGAAGGTCATGTTTGACGAGCGGATGACGGAGCTTGAATACGAAATGTTCAACGGGTTGTGGAAGGTCACGGGAATTTCTCCCGACTTTTACGAGATTGTGCTCATGGTGGATGCCGATACCAAGGTTTTCCCCGACAGTCTTACTCACATGATTTCGGCCATGGTCAAGGATCCAGATATCATGGGTCTCTGCGGCGAGACCAAGATCGCCAACAAGCGAGCCAGCTGGGTATCAGCTATCCAGGTGTTCGAATACTTCATCTCCCACCATCTCGCCAAGTCGTTCGAGTCCGTCTTTGGTGGCGTCACCTGTCTTCCTGGTTGCTTCTGCATGTACCGCATCAAGGCGCCCAAGGGCGCTCAGAATTACTGGGTGCCGATTTTGGCCAACCCAGATGTGGTTGAGCACTACTCGGAGAACGTGGTTGACACGCTGCACAAGAAGAACCTCTTGCTGCTTGGCGAGGATCGGTACCTGTCGACGCTCATGCTGCGTACCTTTCCCAAACGCAAGCAAGTGTTTGTGCCTCAGGCCGTGTGCAAAACAACGGTCCCAGAAGAGTTCATGGTGTTGCTCTCACAACGCCGCCGGTGGATCAACTCAACCATCCACAATCTTATGGAGCTTGTTCTCGTCAAGGACTTGTGCGGCACATTCTGCTTCAGCATGCAGTTCATTGTGTTCATAGAACTGATTGGCACTCTTGTTTTGCCAGCTGCCATCGCATTCACATTCTACGTCGGTAAGTTTGCAGACCCCTTCCAATGATGATCGGGCTGCGGTCCCGGGTTGGAGAATAAGATCTAACGTGGGGCGTCCTAGTTATCATATCCATCATTCATTCGCCGCCGCAAATCATACCGCTTGTTCTCCTCGGTCTTATTCTCGGATTACCGGCTATCTTGATCGTTGTGACGGCTCACAGCTGGTCATACGTGCTCTGGATGTTCATCTACCTGCTCTCGCTCCCCGTCTGGAACTTTATCCTGCCGACGTACGCATTCTGGAAATTTGACGACTTTTCTTGGGGCGAGACCAGGAAGACGGCAGGGGAGAAGACCAAGAAGGCAGGGCTCGAGTACGAGGGAGAATTTGATAGCAGCAAGATCACCATGAAGCGATGGGCCGAGTTTGAGCGCGAGCGCAGGATACGGAACAACTACTGGGGTTCGACGGAAAACGTTGTCGGCGGAAGCCAACCTCAGGGCCATGGTCCCTATGATGGCTACTATTCGGACGCTTGAGTCAACCGGGGTTGGAAATTGTTTGAACAATACATTTGATTCATAGATCATGGTGTTCCGTGTGGCGGCTTGTCTCTTTCTTTCATTAGCCACTATTATTATTGAGTTGGTATGTACATACAACATATGGCTTTTGGGTCGGCTGGGGCTGTCCTGGACCCCTTGGTTAAGTTGGTTCGGTCCCAGCTAACGCTAGTCCTTGAGTTCCGGGGAGGGATGCCGGTTGGATGGTTATCAGGGGCGGCGCCTGTTTATTTTTCCTTTCTTTTTCTTCTCTTTTTCCCATCCATTGACCGTTCCCTTTCCCGTTGTGTTTGCTCCGGATTCTGCCTCGTTTTCCCCTAGCTATGGTATCGGATTTTAGAAGGATGCGCTAATCATCCCGGTGGCGTCCGCGTTGGGCTCTTCACACGATTCTGGGGCTCAAATATTATGACGAGGAGTTTCGAACTGTAAATAGCCTCATGAAGACTTTGTAGTAGGCTATCAACTACATAAGGTACTTAATATCATTATTTCGATGCAAAGGCACTTGGAGTATCAAACCCCAACTTCCAGGGTCTTTTCTCCGGGACTCAATACAGAGGAACAGAGACCGAATGATGCAGGATACTCTTTTCGGGCATATCTATGCCGAAATGTCTGCGCTAGCACACCGGTTGGGGGTTGGTCAGTTGTGACAATTGGAATTGGAATCGTCTTTTTATTCTGTGTGACGTGAGGAATTGGGAGAGTGCAGGCGCCACGGCTTGGCTTGGAAGGTCGGCACTTGGCTCTCAGCTAGGGAATGGTAGGTGGGTAGTCCACGAGCTCACCTGCAGTCTCTCGGCTAACAATAGAAGGCATGGATAGGGTTAGGAATAATGAAGGGAAGCGTGAGTGTCGGTGAGAAGATTGGGCTTAACGTTAGCTTGCGGTATGTACATACATACCACATTTCAGATGTGCTTACCTTGTGCTACTGTACTCCCCCGTCTGACCAGCTTATTTATCCCTTTACTCGGATATACGGAGTAAAGGCAGACAGATTCGGGCCGGACGCCACCGGCAAGCGGCAACTGAAGTGACAGGCCAGCTCCCTTTTTCTCTTTTCGATCTGTCGCATGCAGGAGGAGCCGGTGAATGAAAAGCCGCAAGCGCCAACCCAGCCCAGAGTGTTGGTTGGGGGCGTTGAATATTTGATGTGATTCATGGGATCTTGTTCAGTTGAATTTGTCCAATTTTGGCGTAGTACGCTGCATGTTAACCAAAACAGGAACCAACCCCCGTTGCGGATATGTTTCTCCTTCTCTTCATCCCGTCCATCAGGTCATCATCTCTGCACCTCACCCATGGGAAAAAGGGATGTGAGCGGTCACACGTTGTTCAGTGCCCGGCTGCTGGTTGCGTTGAGTACTGTACAGTACAACCGTAGACCGCACGCCCTGTTAAGAAGGGTAGTCGAGCGGATGATTTTGACAGCCAAAATTTTGGCCGCACTAACAGATCTCGACCCTCACGAAGTACACGGTGGCTTACTCTGCAGATCTATGGAATTGTCCGGACACTACCACCTTCAAGTCGATGAGGCATCGCTATAGATGAGCACTAGTAATCGTTTTCTGCAAAAAGTGTGCTTTTCGTCCTCTGGAGATATTCCTCCCATTCGTGAAGAAAAAAAAGTATGCGGCCTGTAGTGCAGATCACTGCCACCGAGCAATAAGGGCAAGCCCCGTATGAACTGAGAGAAGAGACAACGAACAGCAGGCTGAGAGGGCCTGATTCTCAACGCAGGCCCTGTACATACAAACATTAACTTATGCCGCTGCAGGCCTTATTCACCAAGTAATTCCAAGGGACTTTGTTCTCTAATCATCAATGTGCTTTGGCTCAAAACTACCTGTATGTCAAGCGCACATTGGACACAACACAACCAATGGCTTCGCAAACTGCACTTGCTGGGGAAGACGGGTGTTCTGTCGGGCCTTGAGGGCAGAAACCCAAATACTCTCCGCAACTACCTGACCCGAGGACAGTTGACTCGTGTGCACATAAATACAGTAGCACAACCTGCTAGTAATATCAGTTAGACCAGCATAAGAGTTGTAACTACGAGATATGTAAGTGACGGGAAACGCCGCCTTTGTGCTTTCTCTAGTGTAGTGTCTGTTGCATGCCGCCTGCCGCTTTCTTCCATTCCAGGTTGCTCTGCAGTCTGCACATGGGCATGCGCAGCCGGGGCACGATTTCCCTTCCCATTTGTAATATCCAAGCCGAGTTGCGATGCCACTTCGGGTCCCTGGGATTGAATCCACTCAGGGTCGCTTGACTCGCTCAGTGCAGCAAGTTGCGTCCCACTTCCCGCCACATCGAATCCACCGCCAACCATCTGGCATCCTTCTTACACTCCCCCACACACCAGTGCCTTGGATTTGACCTTAGACATCCACTCCACAGAACTGACCATCTCCGTCCGCAGATGGCGCCTAGGGGTCATATGCACTGCGATGTCAAGGTAGCACAAGGGATTTTCTGTATCCGTGTTCGGTACCTGCAATGACGGGACTCTGCTTCTCTTTCCACTGCCTACGTAAGTAGCACCTAACCTCCAAGGACGTTAAGGCTTTCAACTCGCTCCAAGTCGGTCTCAAACTGAATTCAACACAGAACCACCTGCGACTGGATGATGCCTTGACAGGTCTTCTAACAGACCAAGACGGCAAGCTCCACGTGTACAAAAAAACAAAATACATGCACAACAAGTGTATTGCTGCCAGAGCCCGTCAGTTGCCCGTCTTTGAAACCCACCCCCTCGTCTGTCTCCATCCGCTGTTGTGAGACTTGCATCTTGGGCTGTTCTCCTGTCATTTGAGCCGTCTTGGGCTTCACACTAACGTTAGCTCGGCTTTCTGCTGCAGCTGGACCCGCCAGGGCGCTCTGCTGATCGGAACAAGCCAGTGAAGACAGAAGACGGGAAAGTGAAGAATAAGAAATTAATTCTGCATTCTCTACAGTCTCTAGGTTGCATATTTGCAGTACTTCGCACAGAGTACAGTGAGAGCAAGGGAGTACTCCCTGCCGGGCCCAATGCAACCCAGTTGACTAGTGTTCATCACACGACCTTAAGGCTTACACAGTAGCCGGTTGCCCAATCATGCCCCCGGGTCCTCCTAGCCGATCTTCTTGTTCTTCACAAGGACGACCTCTCAGACCTGGGACCCTCAGCGAAGGAGTTCTGGTCACTGCTACTATCGCGCCCACGCTTGCCATCACCTCGGGATCCGTCCTCTTCCCGCCTAGCCCGGATGATGGCGGCGGTGGCGGCGGTGACGACGGCAACGACAAACAGGATAACCATCACCACCACCACGCGCAGTTGATGGAGTACATCGACGACGAGGGTCTGGGGCCAGAACCCGAATCCGACGCCACTGACCAGGGAGAAGACGAGGACGAGGAAGAAGAGGACGACGACTATCAGGAGAGCCTCTCCTACGAGCCTCATCACGTCTTCCCCATCCACCATCACCATCCAATGTCCTTCTCCCATCAATCAGCCTATTATCAGGATCTGGACGGCTACTCCTCAGACGATCTGGACGAGTCCGATGGGAACGGCGCAGCCCTGGTGGAGTACGCAGGTCCTGGGCTGCTAGACCCCAACATGGACGTGAACAGTAGTTTTTCAGAAGCCGGCAGCGAGCTCGACTACTCCAGCGAAAGTGATGAGAGTGGCGAGAGTAGCCCGGACTCAGCACTGGATGATGCGAACACTCCCCTGACTATGACCTTCATGGGTACCCTTCCTCAGCCTTTGGTACCACCAGCGGTACCTAACCCTCCCGGCCTGTCCTTGCCGTTCGAGCAGCTCGCTGCAGATGCCACCGGTCAGGCCCTTGCCGCATGGTACGAGGGTACTCACCCCGTTGCATTGTCAAACCCAAATCCAACCACCATTGGACCAAGCAACTACGGCCTGACCGACTTCTTACATCATTGGGCACGTCAGAGCCGCATCCTACATGGATTGGCTCGAGGTAGGTGTCCATGGCCCGCCGAGGTCAACGACTTGGCTTCGTCGGACCTTAGGCGGGTGTCCTACAACGATCTTCAGGGTGATGGGTGCGATTTCCAGGGCGTCAACTGGAAAAGAATCGGCGTTACGAGGAGCGCAGCTCGGGAGCGCCGGCTTCTTACCTACAGCAACTACGTTAACGTCCCAGACTCGGACAGGTGGACTGTGAGTCTAGAACGGCATTCTCCATTTCTTATTGCCAAACAAAAGCTCACTTCTGTGTCACAGCCAAATCTCCCCGATGTAGCACTTCCTCGGAGCGAAGCCTTCTTCCGCTTTAGGTGTATGGACATAAGACACAACGTCAACTTGTCGCACTTTCAGTTGCGGAATGTGCTGGCAACTACCTCGAGGTCGCGCGCCTTCTACCCGGGCATGGGCGCCGTCCATCAGTTTAACCCCACGTCAGGCCACGGCCGTGCTGTGATAAGGCTCAGCGACGCGGTCGGTTCACAAATCTCGGCCTTGGACGCTGGCCATGGCGTTCTTGTTGCTGGCAGCTTCCATGGCGAATACTTCATTCGCCACTTGGACTCTGGGGAGCCCGAGAGCGAGGCTTGCCGGAAAGGCATCATAACCAACGACCTAAGCGGCATCACGAACCATGTCCGGGTCCATCAAGCCCGAACTTCCTCAGCCCCATTAGCCTCGCTAGCCTCCAACGACAAAGTTTTCCGCGTTCTGGATCTAGCCACCGAGACATGGCTGTCTGAAGAGACGTTCGACTTTCCCCTGAACTGCAGCGCTTTGTCCCCTGACGGACGCCTTCGCGTCATGGTGGGTGACAGCCTCGACGTTCTCATCACGGCGGCCGAGTCCACCGTCGGAGGAGGTCGGCCCGAGATTTTCCACAGGCTGCCTGGGCATCGCGACTACGGCTTCGCCTGCGATTGGGCCGACAACGGCTGGACAATCGCAACCGCCTTCCAGGACAAAGCCATCAAGATATGGGACGCCCGGTGGCTCGCCGACAGCTCAGGAGCTTCGGCGCCCGTCTGCACCATTCGCAGCGAGATGGCGGGCGTGCGGAGCCTCAAGTTTTCGCCCGTTGGCAGCGGAAAACGGGTGCTCGTCGCGGCGGAGGAAGCCGACTTTATCAACATCATCGACGCCGAGACCTTCCGCTCCAAGCAGACAGTCGATGTCCTTGGTGAGCTCGGCGGCGTTGCCTTTGCGAATGGCGGGCAGGACCTCGTGGTTCTGTGCTGCGATCACACTCGCGGCGGCATCCTGCAGCTGGAAAGATGCGGGCTGACAGGCGGCGATGACGAGGACGAGGAAGAGGAACCGTCATTGTGGGATTCGGACGATTACACTCAGTGGCGCAGAGGGAGTTCGACCACCCGCGACTGGCCAAGGTCTATCTTCACCGAGCGGAGGCGCATCGCTTCGCGCCGCCACGGCAGTGTTGCGTCGAGGGTGGAGATTGAGCCGTTTTGAGGATTTACTGAAAGGCGTGAGGGCATTCGGCGATGCCAGCGAGTTGACACGCTGGACTTGCCTGTTTGCTGTGCTTCACTCTTGAGGGTATATATGGTCGTTCACGGGGGCCTCTGTATACATACGTTGGTACATGGCTGGAAGGAAAACGGATGGTTGGACAGTCATTTGATTGCCTAGGTTATCGGACCTGTTAGCACCGCGAGACAGGTTCCTTAACCCCAGAACAATCCTCCACTGGGCATCGAGAGACTTCCGCCTGCGGGAGAAGATAACCCACCTCAGATGCGACATTTGGCGGCGAAGCAGCGACGTGTCAGCCGGTTGTTGGACTGTTCTCTGAAGGCTTTCGCTAGAGGAGAAGAAAGAGATTCTGGGGATCGATTAGCCATAACGTTAGGAAAGCATATGACCGGGGAAACCGGGGGGCGTTTTCCAGTTTCCTGACTTTCTGGGAAAGGATGCATTTCAAGGGGTTTCGAAAGCATTACTTCGATCAAAGAAAGGGGCATTTGCTAGCACGGTTTGGGCCGGGATACGGGGTTTGATTAGACTATAGTATAGTATTCAATTGTTTTTGGTCTTCATCATCTGAGCATATCTATCCATGTGCGCAACCTGTCATATCACAGGGATACTTTGAAGGTTGGATAGGTACAACCCCTCCCGCGCCCAATGCCTGTGGGAGAAGTTTAGTTACAAGTACTCCATATACAAAGGACAAGGCATGATGTGTCCGTGTTAGGCTCGGTATTGTAAATGATCACATGGAGACTTTGCGTATAGGTATACCTAGATAGACAAGGGCACCTCATGGTCGCAACTAGGAATGCTGTACTCCCGTCTCACTTTGAGGTGAATACTTCGTTGTATGTGCTTCACCTCATATCACGATATGGATTCGGCATTCTGCTGGGTGGGCAACACTACACAACACAACGCCACACAACGCGTGGCGCCTGTCCGGCGGTCTCAACATTTGGCTGCGGTCGCGGGGCGAGGTGATACCTTACTTACCTTGGTTAAGCACATTGCGCCGGTGGACCCGAGTGGAAGACCTGAGTGGAAAGTCCAGGGTCTGTAACTGAATTGAAGGAGATTGCGTGTTTAACCAGGCATCCGTCATGGCATGGATGTGGTAACGCAAGAGATACGGAGGTTGGTGCCAAAAGTATTCACCACCTTCCTCTTGCCAAGAATGCCAAGGCCTCGGATACAGTAGGGTTCGCACAGCTGTGGCCAGCCACCTATAATGAGGCACTATAACCCACTATAGTATGCCCATTTACAGAGCCAATTACAGAGCCACCTCAGTATTTATTTTAGTGAGGTTTGCGAGGGAACGCTATTTCTCAAAGAAAACACAGTGTGTCTCTCTTCCTTCTAGCTTCTCACACGCAGACAGGCTTGCCACCAGCAGGAGGGTGGTGAATACTTTTGGCCCCAACCTCCGTATTGGTGTTTGAATCTGATACTTCTAAACCTCGTGATCAGGAACATGAGAGTATGAATTTGGTTCTCAATAAGGTCGAGAAAACAAAGTCATAGTCATGATTGCTGATTTCCTGATCCTACGAAACCTTATATATACATACATACATATACAAGCCAGTGAGAGTGAGAGACAAGGGACAACAGGAAAAGATAGTTTGCTTTCAACAGACGACCAACTTAACACTACGATTTAATAATTACAGAATTATGAAGGAGACCGACTCTCTTCGGCTTTAAGCAATCGCGGAACACCGTCAAATCGTACCCGACATCATAAAAACCCATTGCCAGACAGACAGCACACCTCAGTTTTCTTCACACGATCTCCTTCTTGAGAGGAGTACTTTAGCGCCTGCAAAAGGGGAGGATTGGGCGTTCTGGTGGTTTCCAAACTGTAGCGCTTCTGTTCTCATTGGACTGTGCTCTGCTCCTCATCTTGCGAGGGGATAAGCTCGTTTCACATGGCAAAAAATGGGACGAGATTATGTTGTATATACATGATTAGGACAGAAACGGGAGAGGCAGCTGACAGTTCGGAAAAGGGCTTTTCTTGTTGGGCGGGAAGGATCCCTTTGCGAATGAGCGGGCTGGCGGCGATTCGGCAACAACCACGATCCAATTGAAGCCATCTACTTAGACAGCGCCAAAGACGCTGGCGATGCCCCAGTGCTGCTCGCAGTCGCAGGCACCGGGCTGCTTCCAGGGGTCGTCCTTGAAGGAGAAGAAGACGACCTTGGGGCCCAGCTCGTTCCCAATGGACTCAATGGCAGCCCGCTGCTCCGCCTCGCCGGCGCAGGCGACGCCGTTGCATTTACCGGCCGAGGGCCAGCCCGTCTCCATGACGTAGCCGGGCTTGCCGCAGACGTTCTCGACAATGGCCAGCTGGCCGGCGACGAACTTGCCGGCATCGCTGGGAAGGGTCTGGGAGTTGAAGTAGGCGTGGGCGTTGGTGGCAACGACGTCAATGACGCTGCAGATGGCGCTGACATCATTGCCAATCCAGGCGGAGACAACGTCGGTGGTGGTGAAAGGGCCGCTGTAGCCGACCGAGGCGAGCTCCGTCTTGGTGTGGCTGATCAAACCGGCGAGCTCGGACACGGTGCAGAAGCCGTTGAAGAGAGCCTCGTTGGCAACGACGCAAAGGTCGACCAAATCCCACTCGGCCCACTTTTTGAGGGCAGAGATCTGCTCGGCGACGTCGGGGGATCCGTTGTCGCACCCAACCTTGCCGATGAAGATGCCGACAATCAGGCGGAGGCTGTACTTACGAGCAGCGGCGCCGACGTTGGGGAGCGTGTCGCAGTCGGTCGAGTAGACGCGCAGCGTGGTGAAGCCGGCGCTGGCAATGCCACCAACGTCAACCATGACCTCTTCAGCCGTCTTGCAGTTACCATCTTCCCGGTACGGCGTGTAGGTCATAGCCCACAGCTTGCCCTTTCCACCGAGGGCCGGGGCAGACGGAGAAGGAGCGGCGGAGGACGGCTTGGCGGGCTCGGAAACGGCAACCGATGTGGGAGCAGGTGATGTCGGAGCCGGAGCCAGCGTGGGAGCCGGAGCCTCTGAGGAAGTGAAGGGGCAGTAGACGACCACGCTGGTCTCGGTAATGGTCGTCACCACGGCGGGGGCGGTGTACGTGCCCGGGCAGATGGTGGTGACGACGGGAACAACCACAGTGGTCTCAGGAGCAGTCACGGTGGTGGTGATGGGAGCAATGGTGTAGGTGCCGGCGGAGGGGCAAACGTAGGTCGTCGTCTTGATCACGCTGGTCACGACGCCATTCTCGGTTGAGGTGGTGGCGTAAGGGCAGACAACCGTAGTGGCGGTCGTGACAACCGTCGTAACACCGCCAAGGGTGTGGGTGCCAGAGGGGACCTTGGTGGTGGACGCGGCGCAGGCAGTCGTTGTCTCGGTCACCACGACGGTAGTGGCGGGGAAGGTGTAAGTGCCTGGCGTCGGGCAGGTCTGGGCGACGGGCGTGGGCACCGTCACGGGGCCTGATGATGTGGGCACGACGGCCTTGGTTGTGCTGGTGACGGCAGGCCGGGTAGGTTGGACAACTTTGTAAACTCGTTAGACATGACAACTTCAAGCTTTATCTTCCGGGTCGCCAGGTTAGGCTCATAAACAAGGTAACATACTGGTTGGCTCGCCAACGATGGTGCTGTAGATGGTGGTGCAGCTGGGAACGCAGACCTCGCTCTCATTGAATTGAGGCTTCCTCTCGAACAGAGCCTGGTGAGCGTTGCGGTGAGCGTGGACACGACCGGCATTGACACCGCCGGCCAGCACGGCCGCAGCGACCGCGACAACCGTTGATTTCATGTTTCCCGACAAAAACCCAAACAAGACCCGAGGAACCGGAACAGATTAATGTTGAGGCGTTATGGATTTTGTGTTTTAGCAAAACGAATGCCCGCTAAATGAGTGAAAGCGGTGGTATGGAAGGAGAAGGGAACGAACGGCGAAAGCAAAAAGGATGCTCTCAATGCTGACTATATCAACATGGACGGTTCCAGGGGAGAGGAAGGGGGGAAGCAAGAAAAGAGGTCTAAACGGGGTGGCAGCGAGGGCGGTAATTATTAGTACGATTTCAGTTAATTGCAGACGCCGGGGGCTGATGCTTGGCACCCTGTTGACGGCGCGCACAGCAAGCCAGCACGCCAGGGTCTGCCTAATCCGACGGCATCCGCCATGACCCAACAAGGGATCGCGACTGGCCCTGTCGATGTGCTGGGCCTGCTGAGTGGTGGGGACGGGCTCTCGGCGGTGGGGCAGCTCATTAGCAACGTCGCTTTGCCGAGCATCGCCGGCCACAGAGGGCAAAAGGGTCCTCTGCTCAAGTTTGCCATCCTTTTTCATCGGGACTTTCCTATCAGGTCGCAATTGGCGTCGGTTGTTATGGGCGTTGCTGCTACGAAGTTCCGCCCGAGATGATTCCACGTGTAGGCAGGACAACCATCGTGGTACTGGACGAGACAGCGAAAAGCATTAGTAGCGTATGGTAATAACGCGGCACCTACGAAGTACTTCCCGCACTGTAACCTGTAGAGTCCCTTGCCTAGTGTCGTACCAACAAGGCACGGCAGTCAGGGGCATTGGAGGCGGTGATGGTAGCTGCAGTGGGGCTGCATGCACAAATTTCTGGGGAATTCCTTCTGGCTGGCCTACACAGTAGCAAATCACCGTAGCAGCGAGAGTTGACAACGGCGTCCAGGGAAAAAAGGAGGTTGCAGCTCGAGCACCAAGCACGATGGGTGGATATTTCACACACGCGCAATTCAACAGTTAGCGCAGGTGGTCAGACATGGCAGAAAAGGGATGCGCCGTTTCGCTGGCTGAATTTAAGCGACATTAGCAGAATTGCCTGTCCAACACTACGCACTGTACCGTACTGGCATGTAGTGTACTGTATTGTATATGTGATATTCAAGTATGGCCAAGATCAATTAACGTAATGACTCCAAAGGCCGGTGGTGTATATACATAGGGCTTGTTTCAAGAGGGGACTCGAGAGGTCAAGGTTTTCTGCTGTCCATTCTCAACATCGCCCATCACAGTTGAGCATATAGGTATGTAATAATTACCTGATGTAGTGATAGGCGGATGGGAACGGTGGCATACCTTAAGAAACTGGGATATATTACACGTATCCGCTGTCAGCACCTGTGGGCCGTCCGCGTTTTGTTCCTGCCTTTGGTGGGCGGGTCCATTCAGGAACCGTGTAACCAAGAGTCCAGACCAGCAAATCCTGGTTATCCATGAGCACTTGGCGGCTCATTTGACCAAAGCTCTGCGTACACTCCATGTCCATGATCGAGATTGACCCGGATCAATTTGCACAAGGAGATGGCCGGCATAACTACCGCGACACTAAAAGTGTCGATCGTCAAACCAAATCGTATTGCTTGGTCCAGAACTGGCCTGCAGAAGGAGACTTGCAATTACATACATACCTGACTCGGTGGTGAGCCGAATACGGATAATTACACAAAAGCTTCCGTACGTACCGTACAGTACGACTACTGTGAACTCATTGCAGCCCCTTTCTTTAGCAAATTGTGTTGATAATGTGGCGTAAGTATTCAACGCTGGTTACATTACAATCTGAGCCTGCTCGCCTGTCGGCTGGCAGGGACAGAAGGGGAACACCTGAGCTCTGGAGTCTGGGCATCAAATTGATTACTGTGGTAATCACTAATCAGGTGTGACGCTGACCAGTGGGTTAGGGTTGGTTAGAAGTAATCAATCAAGAACGCTTTGCAAAACTGTGATGCAAATCACCTGACACCGCGTTTGCAAGACGTAGCAGGGCCAATGGTAGCGCGCCCCAAGAATTTTCCATGCGGCGAGGGTTGGCTTGCATGCATGATAGGAACTCCTCTTAGAGGTCGGTGACGCTGCACATCTGTCCACGACCCGGGCCCTGGATAAGGTACTGTAGAGTACGAAGTACATACCTTAACCATAATGCGCCGTGCCAGCAGATCGAATTATGTCTGCTGGAGATGCCTCAATCTCAGGCCTCAGGCTGCCGAAAAGGCCCTACGACGAGGCCTAGCAACACCACCCACCACAGCATTCCCGCTGTCTGCGTTTTCATCGCGGTCGGCTGCGAATAGCGTCATCCGTCCATCTGCCCGATTGCTCTCCAGCACAGCCCCCTCGACGTCCGACTTTCCTTCGACCTCACTGTCGAACGGCGCAGACCTCCGTTCCTCTTCTCTGGAAAGCCGGATCCGCGAAGAGCTTAGACAATGGGAGGCAGAGAACCCTGCGCCCCTTCCGGGAGAGTTCATCGAGGACTCCCCTTTCGGTGGCGTCTTCAACACCATGACGGGAAGCCAGAGCGAGCACAGTTTCAAGCTCAATATATCTTCGCTGCATGATGATGCCGCCCAGCCCCATTTTGATGGCGTCGACGTAGTCGACATAGGCCTGGCTGCTAGAGTGCTGAACGTTGGCGACCTTGTCGAAGTCAGGTACGACGTTCCCCAGTCTCATTACTGCCTACCTAGGCTGGATGCTAACCCTGCCGCTCTAGTAATGGCACTTACAGAACTCGTTTGTTAGCCGTCTGTTTGGGCAAGTACAATGGTCACGACCACTTTTACACCAACACGGGCAAATGGTTCACTAGTCGCAAGATCCACTCCAACTTCGTCGTCAAGAACTTCATCAAAGATCCGGCAGAGCTGAAGGCTGTCATTGACGCCATACCTTCGCTCTCACCCTCAAGCACCGTTCTCAACGAGCTCCAAGACCTCAACATTGGTCCATCCCGCGATCTTGCCGCCTCTCTCATCCGCAAGATGTACACCTTCCAGTCCGCTGCTAGCCACATCCACCAGACCTATGTCGAAAGACTCAGCCATGCCCACAAGAAGCTCGGCCCTGATGAGAAGCTAGTGAGCCTGCGCGAGATCGCCGACGCACTTCTGCCGGCCGGGCTCAAGAGGCATGGAACGACATTCCCACCAGAGGCTCTATACGCCGTTTATTCTGTCATCGACCAAGATGATATCGCCTTCCAGACTCTGGACCGAGCCTCCAGTCACCACGAGTCTCCTCTCGTACTTTTACAGTCCGCCTCTACACGGGATAATGTGTACAGAGTCGAGCAATTGGTACGAGATTACTGGGAATCAATCGGCGGCCGAGGACGGCCTCAACCCAAATTCAACGACTTTCTGGCACAGGCTCAAAAGGTTATTGACCGGAGCCGGCTACACCGCGACTGGTCGCCGCACGGCATGGTAGGGCCACGCAAAAGCGAGAGCGTTCACAAACCCGAGCCGCCCGAGTGGTCAGAGACTGCTCTGTCAGTCATCGCATTTATGCAGCATTGGGCAGCATCGGCAGCATCGAGCGGATTTCGTTCCAGCTCGCGTTGCCACTGGATCGGGGCCTCGATTTTGAGGGCCTTAAACCGGTACGAGGGCTCCATGCTGGACAGCACGACCGGCTGGACCTTTTTGCAGGAGATTGGCTGGATCCCGCCTTGGGATGTGAGCGCTCGTCATTACTTGCGTCTCCCTGAGCTCAAGCTTAACCGCCACGCCGGACTTGTGCCTGCCCAAGCTGACGCTACACCGCTTCTTCTTGAGCCGGATCAGCTGGGCCCCATCCGTCAGGAATTTACCCGCGCCACCGTCTTCTGTATCGATTCGGCGAGCACAGTTGAGGTTGATGACGGGATCTCGCTCGAAGACGCGGGCGACGGCGAATACTGGATCCACATCCATGTGGCTGACCCAGCCTCTCGCATCAGACCCGACAGTTGGTGGGCTACTCAAGCAGCACTCCGCGCCCAGACCAGCTACCTCGCTGGCTTCCACCAACGGATGTTTGACAACGAGGACTTCCCGGCTGTCTTTTCTCTGGGTCCAAATCGACCTACCCTGACCTTTAGCGCCCGGGTGAACGAGGAGGGTCGCCTGCTCGACTACAAGATAACACCGGGGACGATTAGGGATGTTGTTCATATGACTCCAGAGGATGTATCCTCGGTCTGCGGCGGTTCTCAGTTGTTGTTGCCAGACTCTGCGGCCCCAGTGTTCGAGGTCGGGACACGTCCGGCGACCGCTACGCCCGCCAGAACAATGGTTAGGCCCGACCAACTGTCGCGACGTCAACTCGCCGATCTCAAGACGCTCTCGAAGCTTGCCGATGCTCTTCAGCGGGTTCGTGTAGAAAATGGAGCAGTTCCTAGCTTTCCGGGGCGCCCAACGGCAGAGGTTTCGCTAGATAACGTTGTGCCCTTGGCAACTATCGACGGTTCGGTTCACTACAGCGGCGATCCGTACATTCGTGTCTCGTATGGCAAGCCGGGTAGCCCTCTCGTTAGCAGCCTGATGCAGTTGGCCGGCGAGGTCGCCGCCAGATGGTGTCACGAACGCGATATTCCGATCCCCTACCGTGTCAGCGTCCTGGGCGGTCAAAATTTGGACGCCGTGCGCGCATTCACCCGTGACATTCTGTCTTCCAAGCTTCTTGCTGGCGAAACTCCTTCTCTCGAAGACTTCCAAACACTCAACATTCTTGTTGGCGGGTTCGATATCGCGGCCGCCCCCGCTCCGCATCCCCTGATGGGGCTGGAAATGTATACCAAGGTGACGTCCCCGCTTCGTCGCTATGTGGATCTGCTCGCGCATTGGCAGATCGAGGCTGCTCTGCTCGAGGAGCACCGCAGCGGCAAATCTCTTGTTGGCGGCGCGTCGTCCGCAGGCGCAGAGTCGAGTGCTGGTAGCGGCAAATCTGGCTCAAAAAAGAAAAAGCGCGAAGATCCCCGATCTTACTTGCCCTTCTCCAAGGAGCAGCTCGAAGAGAGCGTGTTCCCCCGCTTGCGCGTCCGTGAGCGGCACGCCAAACTGCTCGATAACAGCGACGGGAATAGTCAGTGGATCCTGCAAGCCCTAGCGCGTGCATGGCACTTCGGCGATGGCTCGTCGCAGCTCCCTCAGACGTTCCGATTTACCGTTACAAACGTCATGCTCAGGCAATGGATCAAGGGGCGCCTCGACTGGTTCGATCGTCTTGCCGTGGTGGAGGTGGAACACGTCAACAACGTCGTCCGCATGACGGATGTGAAGCCCGGCGATGTCTTCCGCGTGGAGCTGGCTGATGTCAATGTGCACATGAACAAGGTCTCTGTGACGCTGCTGGAAAAGATTGAGTGAGATGGTGGGGGAGCTGGTGTATGATAATGTCGAATGTATGACCCGTGTGCCACGTATTGTAAAATAGATTCATGAATGTGCTGGTTGTATACCAGGTACTCATTTTGGCAAGCCATGAAATAGACTCGGGTGGCTCATCAAAAAGGCTAGAATATGTCCCATTTAGTGGCAGACAACCGCAATCAACAACTTCTCTGGTATCATTAACTAGTGCAACCATCCCAAAACAGGCTTGTTATATACATTCCGTCAGCTACACAGCCACCCGCTGCGGGTGACAGCAGCACCACTCCGAGCAAGACGTCGACATAAGGACTCCCTTTCCCAGCCACCCAGGGCATCCCCTCAGAGTGTATCTATGTAACTGGCGTAAACTGCGTAAACCAAACAGCATCGTTTCATCATCATCACAACCCGGCCAAGACGCTCTGCACGCCGACGGTGCTCGCGTCCTCGCGCCGCTGGACAAAGGCCTTGAAGTCGGCCTTGAGCAGGCGCCTGGCGCCGTCAGCATCGGCCGCCCCTACCGACGACGACGCCGATGAGGATTTCGCCGATGATGATGACGACGACGAGGCCAGATTTCTAGACCGCTCCCTGAGAGCCTCGGGCCCAATGATAAACAGGTACCCGACCTCGATGAGGACCTCGACGATCCGCTCGACCTCCTTGGTGAGCGGCCACTGCTTGACCGTCTCGACATATTTGGCAATGTCCTTGGTCACCACCAACGCGCCCGTGGCGTTGACCTGGAACTTCTTGAAATGGTCAAACAACGAACGGTGGACGGCGAGGGCGAGCTCCGAGGAGAAAATCTCCAGGTTGTGCCCGTCGACGGCCTGGCGGGCTGCGGAGTAGACCTTGGCCGATAGAAAGGTGCATATGGCCTGGCAGACGGGCGTCTGCAGGGTGTCCGAGACCAGCCCTTGCTCGAGGTCGCTGTCCTTGGGGCGGAAGTCGAGCTTTTTCTGCTGGGCCAGCAGCTTAGTCACCCAGTTGACGGCCACGTCGAGGGTGCTCTTCATGACGGCGTTGGCTTTGCGCTCCGTGTTCTCGATGGCCACTTTGGCCTGCGCCTCCATGCTCCGGCGGACCGTCGTGTTGGACTCGGCCAGGCGGATGAGCACCGTGGTGATGAAGCGCGACATGAGGTTGGTGATGGTGACGGCGGGGCGGAGGTTGGGAAGGTAGCCCAGGTCGGGTTCGACCTTGGACGATTCCTGCGCCGTGGCCTGGTCGAGGGCGGCGTCGAGGGCCGTGTCGACGTAGACCTGGCCCATGCTGGTGAGGAGGAGGTTGAGGAGGGTGCTGACGTCCTTGGGCGTGTCGCTTGCCGAGCTCATCTCGAGGGTGCGGCGGACGCTCTCGGCCAGCCAGAGAATCATGCGCTTGGCGTAGTCGACGCTGAGCATCCCGTCCTGCTCCGATACTTCAATGTCGTTCTTGTTGCTGCTGCTGTCTTGGATACCGGCGACCCGAAGCATCATGCGCTTCTGGGTCGGGGTGAGATCGGACGACTCCAGCCGTTCCATGTAGGCATCCTTGGCCGAGGCGATCAGCTGTGTTCCCTGCTGGGCGATGGCAGCCATGAAACCGGTTGGCGCCTTTTTCCTCCGAGAGTGGTAGATGGTGAACTTGAAAAGTAGCGAGTTATACATCTCTTCCAGACTCTTCCTCTCGCGGTCAATGTACGAGTTGCCAACCAGGTAGGGGATGAAGAGCTCCTCAAGCTGCTGGTCTAGTGTCTGGGCAATTTGGGCAGAGCACGGCTCCGGATGCTCCGTCAGTCCATGCGTCTTGAGGTCCTCTACTAAGGCGCCAATATAGGTGCGCGATGCGTGTAGCGAACGCAGGAATGCGAGCGAGGAGATGGTGGTCGCCTTGTCTAGGACCATTTCGAGCCTCTGTTGAATAGACTGCTGGAAGACACGCTGTATGAACTTGATGAGAACTGTCTCGTAGTAGGGGAACGCCCTCTTGATGATGAAAGACTCTTCTTGCATCACGATCCTGACTTCATCGACAAGAGACTGCAGGCTCGGCTCGACGCCGGGAGGATCCGAATCCGGGTCGGCGAGCTGATCCCAGGTATCGCTATCGGTAGTGACCTCGTCGGTGATGAGCTGGTCGCGGTCAATGAAGAACTGGTGTTGGTTGACGAAGGCGGCAATGACGCTGGCGCCGCCGTTGAAGTCATGCAACACCCTCGCACACTCCCTCATGTCGTCAAAGTTTTGGCGACGGTAACTGTTGTTGAACTGCGTGAGCAAGTCCTGCTCCAGCGACTCGGAGAACTTCTCCAGAGCCTCCCTCGTGTTGTGGCGCCGGTTTGTGCCTGTGACGCCGTTGGTGACGCCGTTGCCTCGAAATCCGTTGCTTGTCTGGCCCCATGATGTGGGATCCAGGCGCTGGCTGATGCGCATCAACTGGCGAGCAATGACGGCGCAGCGAACCTTATTCTCGGCGCCTCCCTGCCGCTGGATCTCCTCGAGCGACGTCAATTGGCCCGTCTCGGTCACTTCCATCCAGCATTGGATCAGGAAGTTGGCGTCCAGCGCCTTCCTCCGCTTCCTGTCCAGCTCCTCGAGTTTCTCGCCAATCTGCACAGCAATATTCCCACCACCGTCGGCGCGACTCGATCCATTGACCGCGGTGCCGGGGTTGTTGAGTGTTAGGTCGAGGGCCTCGAACTGGGCCATGGACTGATCGAGCTTGCGGCCCAGCGTCTCGAGGGTCTGATCATGCTGGATCTCGGCGCGGCGGACCTGCGACAGCAGCTCTGATTCCTTTTCTTGCAGCTCCTCTGAGAGGGCTCCCAACTGCGACAGGGCGTCTGCGACAGACTCAAGAGTTAGCAGTTGGAGGGATATTGTGCTGGCAAGAGGACAGACAGCCCGGCGAGGTCGGTTCTTACTCTCAAAGGTCCTTATCAGGGGCTTCGGGTCAAAGGCATGATGCGCCGGGCCAGAGCGACGGCTGGCAGGAACGGCGCTCTCGGCAAGGGAGTCGACAAAGTCTCGGACAATAAAGTCTTTGTTGGAGAAGTCGTCGAGGGTGAAACTGGGGCCCTTGGGAAAGAGGGCCCGCGATGCGCTGGATCCGCCCCGTTCCATGGCCGCGATCGTCACCTCTGGTCGGCCTGCCGGCAAGCGCACATGAGGCAACCTGTGCCGGAAACTAACTAATGGGGTGCTCTGTCTCACGTCTGGGGTCGGGTGGGAGGTGGGGGGATATCTTTGGTGTTTTCGAGGCTGTAAGCTCAGGTACGTATCAGAGTTACAGGGCAGTTTGCTGGACCCGAAGCTGCTGCCCAGCCGGTCGGGTGACTGCCGCCCAGGAACCCCAAGGGTGGGTAGCGGGGCTGCAGTGGGCCAAGGCAGTGTACATAACACTGTAACTTCACCTGGAGAGCTCCAGCCACTGGACATTCCGTCATGGCCTGAAATTTAGCGGCCAAAGCCACTGTTGACGTTGACAGTGACAGGGGCCTCAAAGCGGAAATTAAGCCCACCTAGGTATCAATCCTTGTGGCTGACATCCTAATTTGCTCCTCATCGTGCAACATGGGGAGTCCCAGCTACTGCAAGGGAGAGAGATGATGCTCGTTTTGTCAACATTGGAGGGTTAGCTTGTTCCTTCTCGGTCGCGCCTTCGCCTTTTGTGTATCAATTTCCTGCATATTGCGTTTGACCAGAAATCTAGATAAGGCAAACGTCATCGAAGCCCGCGCAAACTACGTGGCCTGTAACGCCATGCCAGTCGCCGTACGGGATCTTGACGCCTACCGGCGAGACGAACGGTTAGGGGGCAAGTTACTGACTCCCGAGGAGAGGGCCAAGCTTCTCAAGGTTAGTTCACGGTAGGCGGTCGGTCCGGTATCCTGAGGTCTAACGTGCTTGCAACAGCCCTATTTGCCCTCACCACACCGACCGGACCCTGCGACGGCAACAGCTCAGGCAAAGAAGAAGCCCAGGCTCGGTGTGCGCCGCTTCATCAAGCGCCAGTTCCACCTGCTACTCTTCACCCTCATTCACGCTCTATTCTCCCTGTACATGCGCATCCGCCAGACCTATCATGCCGTCGGGAACTGCATATACTCGATATACTACTATCACCACCGGACGCCCGAGATAATACAGCGAGATGTCAAGGGGCTAAGCCGGCTGCCTAACCACCTCAGCGTCATCCTGACCCTAGAGGACCACAGGCGAGACGGCACCGAAAAGCTGATTGACGAAGCCGCAAACATCGCCGCGTGGTGTGCCAGCGCGGGTATTCCACATCTGTCAATATATGAAAGGACAGGTATGCATGGGGCAACGGAGCCATGAAAAACAGTAATCGCATTCAGCTTACCATTGGTATAGGCGTCCTCAAAAGGTCCATGAAGAAGGTGCACCGCGCAGTCGAGCAAACCCTTCATGCATACTTTGGATCCAACGTCCCGACCGCAAGCGTTGGCGCGCCGTATGCAACCCCTTTCGAGTCTATCCCCATCGACTCCCCCGGCATGGGCAACGACGGCGGCGGGAGAAAGCAGCTCTCGGTTCTCCTGCTATCCGAACGAGACGGGCGGGAGACCATTGTAGATCTCACCAAGACCCTCGCCGAGATGTCGCAGCGCAAGAATCTCAGCGTCACCGACATCACGCCCGAGCTTGTGGACGCGGAGCTTACTGAGAACGTGATGGGCGAGCCAGACCTGCTCATTCTCTTCGGACCCCACGTCGAGCTGTCTGGGTATCCGCCGTGGCAGATCCGGCTTACCGAGATCTTCCACGTGCAGGATAATCAAGGGGTCGGGTACCAGGTGTTCTACCGGGCTCTTTGCAGGTATGCGCAGGCTCAGATGAGGTTGGGAAGGTGAGAATTGCCTATTACCAGGAAGGTCTCTACCTGAGGAAAGCTGCCGAGGCGCACTTTGGTGGGGGGTGGGCGGTGTCTGTAATACCATTTTGGAGTTGAATCACCCTTGACGAAACGTCGTTGGACCCGATGCTCAACCTTGTTATTATAATCGGTTGTCCTTCTTAGCTTGGGCAGTAGTAACCAATATGAAGGCACATCAGCATTGCCGGCAAGCAGAACACAGCCACGATTTCCGATCCTGATTTTCTCCTTTAGGAATATCATGGATGAGTGAGAGTGGCAGTTGGATGTCAGCCTTGCGGAAAGCAGTGGGAATACAAGCTTTCCATTGGCTGGTAATTCATTCATTGTGGGGCCTTCGAGTTTCTCCTTCCTGGCCAGCCTTGCGCGCCCGATCTTCACTCACATGCAGGCTCCATTTGCCCAATTTGATGATTGATCAGGTGAGTAACCGACACCATCGCTTTTGGTTGGTCATGTCGAACTGGACTAACAAGGAACGAGATGAATCCTCAGGACGACACATCGTCTACATGCGATGTGCAGGGGGAGGGAAAGGTGGATTTGAGCATGTTCCGTCCTCCCATCGTTCGCACAGGAACTGCGGCGCTGAACCGCGCCCTCTTCACCAAAAAGGTGGACTTGGCTGCCGCTGCCATACAAGATGCCCGCCTCATTGCCCAGTACCGCAAGGCCCTCCATGCTAGCAAAGAGATTTTGCAACTAGACAGGATCTCGCCGATTCGGCCCCATCCGGACCAAGCGCTTGCCGATCAGGGACGCAAGTGCCTGTTGCTAAACCCCAGTATCAAGGCCCTAGGTTAGGGAGCTCGTTTTCGCTCCACATGGAGATGCTGTGAATTTGAAGTGCTGATTTGCCGTTGCGTCCAGAGCCTGATACCTGGGGTAGGACGCTCAAAGATGGCGTCCAGAAACAGGACCTCACCGTCATCCCCTACGAGCTCCAGCTCGACTACGACTACTGGAATTACCGTACGAGAAAGCTTATACTTTGTGCATTTTTCTCTTGTGTTTCCCTGAGCCTGACCACTTCCCACAGGCGACATTATGGCCTCGATCCTGCCCGAGGAACTCCACGAGGATATCCCCGCCGGCTTCAACATCGCAGGCCATGTAGGTAAAGTCACCTAGTTCTACCGCTGCCCTGATCTTCGTATTTTAACGAGAAGAAAGCACATTTGAATCTACGGGAGCATTACCTCCCTTACAAGAAGCTGGTAGCAGAGATCCTGCTTGACAAAAACCCCCAACTCAAAACCGTCATCAACAAGGTCGACAATGTGGGGACCGAATCCGAGTTCAGGACGTTTCAGTACGAAGTTCTAGCTGGGCCAGATGACTTGAATGTCCAAGTTTCCGAGAGTGGTTGCACCTTTGAGTTTGACTACTCGAAGGTCTACTGGAACAGCAGGCTGGAGACAGAGCATCGCAGGCTAATCAACCTATTCCAGCCCGGGGACGTTGTCTGCGACGTCATGGCCGGCATTGGGCCCTTTGCCGTGCCGGCAGGTAAGAAGGGTGTCTTCGTCTGGGCCAACGACAAGAACCCGGAGAGCTTCAAATGCCTCAAAGCAGCCATCAGGAAAAACAAGGTTCGCGCCAGCCCCCCTCCCGCTCACAAACCCGTTGCAACTGACTCCCAACTCAGGTGGGCCAATTCGTCCGCCCCTTCTGCGAAGACGGACGCAGCTTCATCCACAACGCCGCCGACGCCGTCCTGGCGGCCTCTCGAGCCGGCGAGCACGCCCTCATCACGCAGAAGGACAAGGGCAGCAGAGACAAGACCCGGAAGCCACCGAGACAGTCGCAGATCAAGATCCCCGTTCCACCCACAATCGCCCACTTCGTCATGAACCTCCCGGCCTCGGCAATCGAATTCCTCGGTAGCTACCGCGGCCTGTACGCGGGCCACGAGAGCCTATTCCAGCCCTCCTCGACGACGGCCGCTGCGCCCAAACTGCCCCTGGTGCACGTGCATTGCTTCTCGGTCAAGGCCGACGACGAGACGCCGCTGCTGGACATTTGCGAGCGCATCACAAGGGAGTTAGGATTTCCCATGCGGCCTGGGGACGATGTAGACGTCGAGGGCCAGGTCGCAATCCACAATGTCAGGGCCGTCGCCCCCGCAAAGACAATGTACTGCGCTAGCTTCAGGCTGCCGCGGGAGGTTGCCTTTGCCCCTAGGCCATAGGCCCTAGGCGGGGAAGGGCCCCCATAGGGCTGGCTCGTGGAGGGTGTTATCGAAGCTGCTGGCTTGCTGTTATGGTGGTGGATGGATCGTATGATGTATCCGCTCAGGAGGTTTTAGAACCACAGAGACCTCCTTCTGTCCATCAAGAATTCGGGCTATGCCTAGTTCAGCGTGGCCGGCATACAAAGCAATCTACACTATGTAGTTATGACTATGCAGCTTCACAGCAATGGGGGGAAATCCTACCTTACGTACTTGTCAAGAAATGCATGTTTTGTGATATCGGAGATAAATGTCCATCCACTCCTTCAACGGGTGAGTTGCACACCAGGGGTTTACGTAGGGTGGGATTTTATCTTCCAGACAAGAATTCCCATAGGTTATTTTTATTCATATATCTCGATTTGTTATGTACCTATAATCTTCCGATGGACGAACGCAAGGCAGCATCTTGCAGAGATGTGAAGCTGGTGCAGGACTTGGCGCATTCGCACATGCAGTTTTGCTCCATATATCATGTACTTCGGAAGGTAGCTGTTCGTCGTCGAATCACTCCACGTGGGTCTCGGTGAGCTGTCAAAAAGCCAAGGGTAAAATATACATACATATAGGTATGGTAGGCAGGTAGGCATGTAGGTATGTCTATGCCATGCATATATGAGGAGCATCGGAAGTGGGCAAGAGGGGGGACGCACGCAATTCACGATTCACGATCCGATCCATACAAATGCCGCCTTGACTTTCTTGCGTGGAGCTGATTGGATTTATAGTGTACTATAGTCATGATTATTGCTTCATTATGATACGGGGCTATTTCATACTGACGGGAAGACATTGGCCCGGCCTAGCCCGGTTCGTAGCGCGATCTCATCAATGTTATAGTACTCGGGCAACATAGTCCGCGGTCGTCGGTGCGGTAACAAACGCGTTGCGAGACACAACAGCATGTCTGGTCGGTTGCAGCACCCGTAGTGGTGTAGTAGGCGCGCAAAACATCTGCGCTACTTGTAGTCGGTACCGTGTATGACATACACCGTGGTCTATGTAAGCGCGGCGGTTGCACTTTCGGACCGAAGCCGATGGGGTCCGTCAACGCGGACTCGGTCTTCTCTCCTTGTGCTGTGCATACAAAAGAGATGGACCGTTCTAGGCAATCCTCGCGATCACATGTGTGGTGGTGGGTTGAACTGCCCCTGAACTGACGTGTGAGAGCAAGCATCCAGTTCAGTGTCAGGGAGGGTGGTATCAGAGTGCTTCTCGATGAGAAGATAGGGCGAAGGAGCCAATCGTTAAGCTCAATTCCAGGAGATGTCTTCCCAAATATGTACGGCTTTGATGTATGGGGGACCTGTCGAGTGGATGTTGTCAGGGCGCCTTGTCGAACATCGGTTCTGCATTGCTAATTAGCTATGTGAGTCAAAATCGATGAGCTCCTCAGAGGCCGGGAGCTCCCATGATAAGATCGGGTGAATGTATTGTATGTACACGTACCAGATCCGGCGCGAGATAACCAAAGCCGCGGACGTGCAGCCGAAACACAACGTTGTATGCGAGAGAACCAGGGCACAACAGGGTGCCACACATGCGGGCCTACATAGTACATAGATCGGTTGTGCATCCACCTTGATAAACAGAGGCGGGCGAGTTGTTGTGTGTCGTCTTCGACACGGTTATTCCTGTGCGCCGTTTGATAGGGCCAGGAGCGGCGGCAAAGGTGTCGTCGAAGCAGGCTAACGGACCGAAAAGACGACGACGTGGTTATTTAGTGGCATCCCACGGCTCACACGGCTCCATATATGGCCTTCAAATTTTCCAGTGGGCATAGAAACTAGAAAGGTCTGGCCCGTGGCAAGAGGAGAGCATCCTAGCAGCCTGGAAGGATGGCGAGGGGTTCGAGGTAAACAGCAGAACGGACTGCTTACTATCCATGATTCTATGTCTGTTCAATCTCAATGTAATGGGCCCTGCAACTTCTTTCGAGTCTATCCCGAGTTTTGACCAGATGCCGTTTACCTGCCCTCTTTCGCCGAGAGTCCGGGGCCGTGTTTGAGATAAGCGGATATTGTCGGGAGAGATTGCCTGGCCTCTTTGTGTATGAGCCGACCGAGGTTGCAGCCCGGTGCTTTAGTTTGCGCTTCAACGGACGCAAGATAGCAACCACAATGCAAGCACAGCTTCCGACTGTGACGCCAAGTTTCGGATCCGGAGAGGACAACGGAAGTGTGGGGCATGAAGATTGCTGGACACCGGAGGAAAGGCGGGAAGAAAGAAGGCCTCTAAGGGTCAGCTATTGAAGGAATATCTAAACGCCGCGGAGAGGACGGAAAACGGCTTCGGCATTGAGCAGCCATTGAACTGTGGCACGTAGCGTGTACAACAAAAAGGCTTCGCTTTAACACAATTGATGTACGACGAGCTGTCTGGTTTCGTCTTAACCAAACCGAAGAGGCTGCTGAGCTTGCATACGGTATCGAAGCTGGATTCCTGCGGTAGACGCGGGACCGATCAAGTGGGGGCGGGCTTGACTTACAGGAATGTCCCAGCTTTATCACCGGTTCATAACAGTCATCAACATCCAGATATCGAAGGCCAGCGCCAGCGACTACGGCCACCCACAGCCAGAGCGGCGGGAATAGAGGACCAGTCATGGTAAAGGCACTGTTTCGACGCGATGTATTCTGTCAGGAACCCCAGATTTGGCTAGCCATCAAGCAGGGTTGGTGAGCCGGCCCTCGCAGTCCGTCAGCCATAGTCCAGATTGTAAAGGATATCTCGTATATCCTTCTCTTTTTCTGCCGCTCATGACGTTTGGGCGGGCCGCCATACCCTCCGTGGAGTAGAACAAGACACGAACGAGATCCTACCGTGCTCTAGGAGTTGTTCGCAGATGCCGCAAACTTGCGAGTGTGCTGTTTTGTGATGATGGCCTTTTGCCCATGTACTGTACCGTACGCTAGATTCCAGTGTCCATAGGATCCAATTCGGGGGTTCTTGCTCCCAGATCTCCCGCAATGACTAAAGGAAAGGGAGATCATATATGTAAGGCACTTAGAGACACGGGGTGAATCTCCGTAGTAGAGGCGACATGAAATCGTGTAACGCATCTCCACAGGCATCTTCGAGTCTGCCTGATTCGTAGCTCTGCGCATAGACACCAGCCAGAGCCAAGTTCTAACGCTGCATTGATTTTGAAGTTGAGTTGAAAGCCGTCGATGCGAGCCGGGGACGCCAGACAAAGAGTTGACCAGGACTGAGGTGCAACGTGCAAGGAGCGGAAGATAGACGATCAACCCTAATATGGGAGCCGGTGAACCTTAGCCACATCCCTGAGGGATCACGGTGGACACTGCAACGGGAGAAACCGGAGGTACGCGAGTCGAGAATGCCCGAATCTGCAGAAGACAATGGCGCAAATCTAGAGGTTACCGACGTGCTTTTGACTTTGCTAAACTCCCGCACGTCGTCTGTCTAGCGAAACCACGCCAGGTCCGAGAACACGGCACCGCTTTGCTGTTTTCTTCCCTGTCATCGAGGTGCCGTAATCACCTCGCGAACCCCGCGTTTTTATTACTGTGGGAGCGACGGTTGCAAATGCGGAGAAGTGCAGTCACCTGGGATGCGTTTTGCTCGGCAACAGATATCAGGAAGAAGTTGCTGTCCATAACAGGTTATTATTGCAGGTGAGGAGGCCTATGAGGGGATTGGAACTCGGACGGGGCCGAGACTTCCCAGGGTGATCCCAGGGCCTGCGAGCTGTTGATTATGACCTGTTTCCAGTCCAACAGGAAAGAATTGGCTCTCGTCTGGCGAACGCGGCGCTGAATGCCAGCATCGTGAACCAGCCATAGGATGGCAGTGACCTGGCTATTTCGGGCAGTTTTGTGTTGCGGGAGCCCGGACGGCAATTTGATAAAACGGCTTCGGTTCTGTCGAGCTGCCTGCCAGAAACCATGGAGAGATGAAGCCGTTGACTAACAAGAACTAAAGGCCAGCCAAGCAGAGCAGCTAGAGCAGGTCACACGCTTGTGCAAAGCGCACCCTGGTTGTCCATTTTCCCATTCCAACCCACCGCCCGCGCCTGCACTTGTTGCCTCCCCACGCCCATGCACTGTACCAATCGCTGGCAAGCCAGGTGACCAGTGACCAGTCCCGCCAGTCAAAGCCCCCAGACCGCCTCCAGACCGCCTCCAGCGTCTCGGCGTCGGTGTCGTACCGAACGGCGCACCCAAAACTTCCAGGGTGCATTTCTTGCCTCCAGGCTTCTCTCCCCTCCGTCCTTGGATCTTTCTCATCCTCAGTCCTCCCTTGGGCAGTTGGCTACGTCGCGTCTAAGCAGCATTCGTTCGGTGATAAGCCAGGTGTACAGTACATAGGTATTTTGGTGTTTCCCAATTGCCTGTGCGCGAGACGACTAAAAAAAGCCCTTGCCGAGCGACTGAAATACATGGATACAGGCCCGTGACCTGCCCATCCTCCTTGCCTCAGCGCTCAGCGCCAACCCGACAACCGAAACGCTGGTTCCAGGAACGAAAGCATGGGGGTCGACAGGTAATCGCCTGTTAAACGTTTAAATACCCCGCCACCCTTGGCTGTGTCTCTGCGGGGGCTCGAAATCGTCGCCGAAAAGCTGTAAGTGGATTTCTTACTTCGTTGCTTTGATATCCCACCCAATTCCCAAGCATTGGACTTTCTTTGCAGGTCACATTGCTCTATGGTCCTGCCTGCCTTGCATCTTCGCTACCTCCCAGATCGTCAAAACCGCCCAATCGAACGTGTTGGTGAGGGGAACCAGCGAACTGCCGGTAGGACTGGGCGAATGAGGACGCTGGTGCCTTCCCCTGCACTCCGCAAAGTTTGCATTTTTTATGGCCCAGTTGACGGACCGCTGTTCTGGATGATGCATGGCAGATCACCTTGATCATTGTTCGCTCAGGCATCGTCAACATACATACCACCTCACAACTCTCGCCCATCAAGGGAAGCCGATAAGGTATTGTGTGTATGTACATGGCGGCTGCGGCACCCCCCCTTCCCATTCTGGAACACCCCAAACGAATCCCACCCTCCCCGTCTGAGCATCAAGGCGCCCACACTCAAATCGCATCCCACGTTTGGATGCAGGTGTGGGAGGTACCGATGGGTCATGGCAACAATTGGCAACAGCCCGCAATCTGCAATCCCGCTTCCGTTCATCAGCCTGCCTGCACTGCACCCACAAGGTGCCTAGACTCCGAAGAGCCGGGGCACTTACCCGCACACACCTCCTTGCCCTGTGCGCAAACCCCTTCTCGAACACTAGCAATACACCACAAGGATATATCCTGCTTGACTCTTCCCCTTCGACCTAGTTTTTCCGACTTTTGCTCCCGCTTGCAGCCGCACCCCTCCCATTTCCTGAAATCGCCATTTTCTTGCCTCGGGTACTGCTCGCTTCAGGTCTGATCGTGATTTTCTGCAGTTCGCCTCATCGTTTTACCTTGCCGAACGCGTTTCGGCAGCCCTCCCTTTCTCGTCACCGCCTTTGTCTTCCCCGGACGCCCTGTCAGCCACCGCACGTCGAGGAACAGAAAGAAGCCCAGACAGCATTGTCCTCCCTCCGCATAGCGCATCGTTCCGCCAGCGTCGAATGCAACCTTGATTTTCTCGCCTCACCACATATGTCGGGCGCTTCTAGTTCCCTGTTGGAGAAGGATTGAAGGTGATTTTGGACGGCGGCCCATTGATCACCAGGGTGCTTGCCGCCTCAAAATGGCCGTGGTTATCACGTCGGACGACGACAGCTACTTTTCGTCAGCGTTGCGCCGCTCCCATTCACAGCCAAAACTGGTCACCAGCCGCCCCGGCTTGCAGACTTCGGCTTCCGCGTCTCGGCTCGTTGATCTCTACCGCGGCCCTTCCCGACATCTTTCAGACTCGCCAACCTCATCGGCTCCCTCATCGCCGCTGGCACCCCAAGCCGAGTCGTCAGACTTGTCTTGCTCGTCGACCCCCGCTACCAACTTCTCTCTGTCGTCAGATTGCGAAGAGGCCGCTTCCCAAGGATCTGTCACACCAGATGAGATACTTCTGCCTCGATACGAGGACGTCGGGTATTTTGGCCGCCTAGATGATCTGGATCCCTCGCCGAGTCCGCAAACGGGCGGCCCACCCACATCTTCACCGAATGAGCAAGATGACTCGGCAGCCACGACTAGACCGGGAACGCCCGAGATCCAGGAGAGAGCTGAGGACGATATCGCGTTGAGGGCGCAGCCTTCCCGGCATGTCGACTATCTGTCGCATAACTGGCGCGAGGAAGACATATGGTCTTCTTGGAAGCATATTGTCTCTCGGAGAGGGGATTATAGCAATGCCGCTCGCCTTGAGAATGCTTCTTGGAGGACGTGGATGAAGTCAAAAAATAACTTGAGCACCGTGTCACCCGAGACGTTAAACTGGTATGTTTGATTTTAGGTCTCCTACCCTCGATTGCTCTTTTAACACGCAGCAGGCTGAAGGATTGCGACGTAACATGGCTATACGGCCCGTTACAGACGGGCACGTCCACCCTGAATAAGACGTCGACGGGCTCGAACAGTTCCGGGATGTCCAAGTCGAATTCCTTTATCCAAAAGAAGCCTATTCTAAAAAAGAGGAGCATGTCGGAAATCATGCTTCAAAGGTCGCTGTCCACCTCATCGTTGGTGAAGCAAGCCGCGGCAGCGGTGCAAGCACAACAGAAGGGGGGCATCATGAAGAGAATAGGCAGGCGACCGGGTCTTGAGCGGGCCACTACGGATTACATCACGTTCCCCTTTTCGTCCCGCGGCTTCAGCCAGGATGGGACCAGCCTCTTTCCCTCGGCGAGATCGTCTGGCATCACTTCCCCAAGCGGGGAGCGGAAGCACATACATTTCAACGAGCAAGTGGCCCAGTGCATCGCAGTTGAGGTCAAGGGTGATGACGACGATGAGGATGATGGCCGATATCCGTACGACAGTGACTCGGACGACGGGGCCATCATGATGAAACGAACGCACTCCAAAAAGAGGCGGCCATCACTGAAGAGGGCCAAGAAGCCCAGCAACAATGGGGAGAGCAAGACGATAGCGATGCTCCCTTCCACGACGCTCAAGTACCGAGAAGACACGCCTGAGCCGACCGAGTCAGCGATGAAGCACAGCACCAGCTACAGGAGCCCGGTAATCTCGCCTTCCTCCTCACAAGAAACGCTGCGCCCATCCAAAAAGTCGGGTAAGCTCTTTATTGCCGGCGACGACGATGACGATGATGACGACGACGAGGGAAAGGTGGGAGACGACGGCAGCTACGGAATGTCAGCCACGCAGTACGGGGAGGGCTCATCTGGGCTCCGTCGCACGCTATCCTCAACCAGCTTGTCGGCCGAGCCGGCCGGGATGCGGCGGACCGAGTCCGGCATGTTTATGCCCTTTGAGGAAGGCAGCTCTGGCTCCTCGGGCGACGGCGGCCTGATCGCTCGAATCATTAATACGGTAAATACGGCCCGGGACATTGCCTTTGTTATCTGGAATGTGGGATGGAGGAAATGATTTTTTTATGTGGCGAGAGCGTTCGTTGTTAACCAAAGCTGTGTTTTTCCAGAAGGAGGCTGCATTCAGTACCCATCGACTGCGACAAAATCCGAAGAATTCTTCAGGGGGTGTACGATAAAAGACAGCGTTTAGCTGATTGCGTTTGTTCCTTCTCTAGCCTACGAGGCGGCGATGAAGGGGTTATCATTACGACACGGCCGGGGCTCGATTATACAGGCGCGACGGGAAGCCGTTTTGTATCGCATGGCGCGGACTATCGAAAAGGTCAGGTCGGCGGTTCTGGTACGACATGAAATCTGCATCGGTTGGGGTGTTTGAGCACGGTTGCTTTTATGGGACTTTTACTTGTCTTTTCGCTCTCCGGCTGGACATGCCGTTGCGTTCTTGGTCGCCCATGGGTTTTCGGTACGGCTCGACTTATACGGCGGGCCTCAAAAGCGGAGCAAGTCCAGATGGCGCTTTAGTTTCAGGGCGCTATGGTCGCGAGGTCACGAATTCAGTAGCGGGGAAAGGGCACGGTGGACATCATGGGTTCTACATAGGCAGTTAACTGAGGCAGTCCTCCTCGGATCGGCTCCTATGGGTCATGAAGGAGTAAGGGGAATAAAAAGAACAAGAGCTTCTATCATGTGCCCGTTCAAACTGCAACAGGGAGAGCGTGTGTCCAACCGGCAGATCAGACACGTTGATGCGGAGCTGGTGAATCCATATGTGTCAGTAATGCTCTAATGTAATCATGGAGTGAGAGCTACCACCAGTTACCTGAAGAGTTGGAATAACTTCCATACCTTAGGAGACCTGGATTACATTACACAGGAATTGGTCATACCGGTATCCGTTATCATCGTATTGTTCCGTACGGAGTCTGGGTTGTAAGGTTAGCGTTACCAAAATAATTATGTAACAGCGGTAATTCGGAGTGGGTCCGCCCACCTGGAGCTCGGACCCAAGGTTACCATGAACGCGTTGCATGGGAAGCTGCCTTGAGCTCCTGCAACCTGAACATCCAAGTCCAACCTGTAGCCTCCTCCAACAAAGTCATTCGCCGCCCACACCGACGCCGACTCAACAGCACATATTATCACCGGCATTCCGACAGATACCGATTTGGGTACAACCCACAGGCACGACAGCAGGATGGATACTCTCGTGGCGCGGTACAGCCGCCCAGCCTACCACCAGAATGAGGTCTTCACCGAGCAGGAGCAGCAGGATCTTGCCGATGCCGTGCCCGGCATGCCCAGTTTATCTCTCAAGTTTGCCATGCCGCCAGTAGCTCATGTAAGCTCGCTTGCTGTTACCGTTATCCTTACCAATCTTCTGACGAGAAACGTCCCCATAGCCGTCGGCATGGCTTCGAGCCGCCACAGATGACCGGTCGAACCCGTCATGCCCCATCAAGATTGCGCACGGTACAACAACGCTCGCATTCCGGTTCCAGGGCGGCATCATCGTGGCGACAGACTCCCGGGCGACGGCGGGCAATTGGATCGCCAGCCAGACGGTGAAGAAGGTGATCGAGATCAACAGCGACCTGCTCGGCACCATGGCGGGCGGCGCCGCCGACTGCCAGTACTGGCTGGCCTGGCTGGGGATGCAGTGCCGGCTGCACGAGCTCCGGCACAAGCGCCGCATCAGCGTGGCGGCCGCGTCCAAGATCCTCGCCAACCTCGTGTACCAGTACAAGGGCATGGGCCTGTCGATGGGCACCATGTGCGCCGGCGTGACCAAGGAGGAAGGCCCTGCGCTCTACTACATCGACTCGGACGGCACGCGGCTGGCGGGAAACCTGTTCTGTGTCGGGTCGGGCCAGACATTTGCCTACGGCGTGCTCGACGCCGAGTACCGCTACGACCTGACGGTCGAGGAGGCGCTAGAGCTCGGCAGCCGCAGCATCCTGGCGGCCACGCACCGCGACGCCTACTCGGGTGGCTTCATCAACCTGTACCACGTCAAGGAGTCAGGCTGGGAGAAGCACGGCTTTACCGATACCAACCCGGTGTTTTGGAAGACCAAGCTGGAGAAGGGTGAGTTCAGCAACGTCACGAGCGATCTTGCCGATTAGAGGCGTACACGGGGGAAAGGAGGTTCGAAGACTTGGCGGCGGGAAGGGTTGTAGCATCGTCCTGGCATTCCGCTTTTTACTTCACATGGCACGGCGTCGGCGAGGGATCAGGGAATAAGACGAATGCAAACGTGTACATGTACAACAACAGGACATCAACTAGAGGGCGGTGACGTTCTCAGTCTATCTCATGTGAACTGTGATCTGCAACTGCGCTGTGGTATAGTATCTGGGTATCCATCTAAAGAGCTTGCCTCGCTACTATCCCCGTAGAATCTATTTCCATTGCTATTGTTACACATATCAACACAACGGGGTTAACCGCCTCCGCCTCCTACTCCCGGAGGACTTTCCGCCTCTTCCACCCGCCAACGCTAAAAATGCCACCTTCCCCCTCCTCGTCAGCAGCAGCAGCCTTTTTGCTGGAATCCATCGACCACCTCCGCACAGGCAACACATCCATCTCGGACTCCCACCCGGCCTCGTACATTTCCATGCCCGTCCACGCGATCATGGCCGCGTTGTCGGTGCACAGGGACACGGGCGGCGCGACAATCTCCACCCCGGCGTAGCCCCGTACGTCAAGCACCCGCCGCAACACGCACCGCAGGAACTGGTTGCTCGCCACCCCGCCCGAGACAACCAGCGTTCTCACCTCCTCCTTCTCATTAGTTGTCGGGTGATGATGAGGATTCCGGCGGCGGCGGCGGAGCTCGTCGAGCGCAAAAACGACCCTGCTCGCGAGGTGCTCAAACGCCAGCTTCATGGTCGCGTACGCCACCACCCGCCGCTCGGCGAGCCCCATGCCGGGTCGTTGCTGCGTGATTAGTTTCTGCACCTGCCCGGAGAGCCCGCCGAAATCGAAGCGCATCGCGCGCGACTCGGATAGGGGCGGCGTGAGGAACCAACTGCTACTGCTCTGCGCGTCGTCGGCATCTGGATCTGAATTCGGCGGTGGTTTCGGTGAGTGCTGGTGGTGGTGGTGGTTGTGGATGAACAGTGCGACCTCGTCGGCGCGTTTCACCGGTGGTTCGTACTCGTCATATGTTGGTGGTTCTGGTAAGGGTACGCCTGCGTCTGTGTCAGGAGAGGTAAAGGCGAAGCGCTCGAGCGCAGCGCCGTAGTTGACGTCCTTGTTGCCGGCGAACTCCGCAGGTAGGATGACGCGGGCGCACTTGTCAAGCATGTCGCCTATCGCGATGTTGTCCGCCTCGGCCAGGGTGGCATGCTCGGTCAGGGAGGACGAGAGGAGCAGCTGCGTGTGGCCCCCTGAGACCAGCAGCGTGAGGAAGGGGAAAGAAGGGGTCACGGTCGCGGTCGCTTCTCCTGCGGTAGCAGCAGGGAATGTCAATGGTGGTGAAGACGGCCACGGCTGTTCGAGGGCGTGCACCAACCGCGGCGTCAGGGCATGCGCCTGCATGTGGTGCACCGCGAGCAGCGGCACCTGCCACGCTACCGCCAGCCCCTTGGCTGTGCACAGCCCGATCGACAAGGCCGATTTCATCCCCGGCCCGCGGGTGACGCTGATGAAATCTGGGATCCGCCGCCCCCGGCGCGTAGTGGTAGTGTCAGTGGTCGTGCCCGTCTCTTTGGCGTCCCGGATGGGCAGTCCACCAGAACCCCCATCGGGCGATGCACCACACTCCGGTAGTGACTGCAAAGCCTCCCGGATCAGCCCAGCCAGCGAGCTCGCGTGCCCTTCGGCGGCCACGATCGGGTGTATCCCGTTATAGGCCCGATTGTCGGCCGTGATCTTCTTGTTGAAGAGCAGGCGCGCGGCGGGTCCGGATTTGTCCTTTTCGAGGATAGCGACGCACGTGTCATCGCATGATGTCTCGATGGCGAGCGTCAACAGGCTGCTGCTGCTGCTTCTGCTGGTCGTACTCAGCGGCCGGCTTCGAGGATGCTGGGACTGCACAGGTTGGCTGCATTTTGCTCTGCATCTGAGCAGCCTGTAAGTGGTGTGTCTCATTGTTTATTCTCTCCTTCACATTTCATCGGATCATTTTGATGTTTGTAAACGATGCGACATCGCCCAAATCATCCTCTCCAAAATTCAAATGCCGAAAACTCAGCCGGACTTGAAGCACAATATTTTAGAGCTTCATTGAATGATGTGCCTGATATACAGGAAGTTGTGTGAGACTGAGTGTTGAACTGGGAATAGGAGAGCACCAGATTTCTCACCCGGAATTGAACAGCTGTTGGCAGCTGAAAGCTCGACCGATATTCCATCCACCTTACATCTGGATTCATCACAGGTTCACATTTCACAACGCAGCTTGATGATGCATTCATTCGTCGACAATTTGAACATCAAATGCTTGTATTATATTTTCGTACTACCGGTACGCTATGCAATGCACCGCCTCCTATACAACCCCAGGTTATGCAAAATCCCAGTACCTGCTGTGTAATGAACCTCGTCTTAATCAAGAAACCATCGGATCATATCCTTCACATCTTGCACCTTCATGTTTGACCATTTACGCCCACAAAATTGGTGTATTCGCACTTGCAGCCCCCTGTGCCGCCGTCCATGCCACCAAAGCTGGGGTTGAAGTCACCCCCGGGATTGATCCAGTCCCCTGTGGTGTTCATGTTGTTGAGCACCAAGGTGGCAGTGCCGCCAATGATCCGCTGCCGGTCATCGATGCCCCGGTGGAAGGCCCATTTCTTGCCGAACTCGCCCCCGTGTGTATCAAGCGTAACCGTGATTGGATAAGGCATCGTGCCCGGCTGTGTGCTGTTGCTAGGTGACGCGCTGCCCCCGAATCCGCCCACCAGCCTAGTCGTGTTATACCGCCGCGTCCAGATCTCCACCTTGTACCGCACCGACGTCCACGTCATGACGAACTTGGCCTCCGTCTTGAGGCACCCGCCGTTCAGGTCCGCCGGCACCGGAGAAGTCTCGTTACCCAGTTCCAAGGGCTCGACCGACTTGACATACAGTGTTCTGCTGTAGTACGTATAGAAGCCGTATCGTTCTGTCGGCAGTCCGCGGTCGTATAGCCGTAGGGGCTGCTGCTTCGGAAACCCAAGCGGGACCGCATCAGCGCTGGTACCGTCCTGCTCTAAAGCCGGTGGTGGCAAAACAGCTTCGGGGTCGAAATCCCCGGCTGCCACACTGAAATTCCCTGCAGGTCCATCATCCCGCCGCAACAGCACGTTCAAACCTACTGTGTCATTCACAGTCCGTAGAACGCTGATGTAGAAGGGAGTTGGCTCCCCTGCCTTGTCGTCCGATACCACACCGTCAGATGTGTTTCCCAGAAAGAACATCTCCTGGAAACTCGGCGGGGGAGGATCTGATGGGACCCCCAGGCCCGATCCCTGTTGCTGGCCGTCAGTCGAAAGCGTGCGACCACTCGGTATCGTCGCTGGCGGAGCCAGGTCTGTAGCCGGCTGTGCAGTGCCCAAATTAGTCAAGGTTGGACGGGGAGTTTCCCGAGCTGTGATGTTCCACGTCTGTCGGGTATTGTTGTCGAATTGAATCTGGAAGACAAAGCTCGGCTGGCTCGTGTCAAACGGCGCGACGGACGAGGCTTGCTCTTTGGGCAGAGCACAGCTCCAGAGCGTTGGAGGCTGAACGCATGCCGTGACCGCATTGGAGTCAGGCCCGATCACAGTTGAGATGCCGGTAGGTATTGGCGGAAAGTTGGTCAGGTTCAGCCACTGCGACGGCATAGCTGTTTCCACAACGGCCCGGCGAGATAGAATCACCCCCAGTACAACTCCCAAGATCGTCAACAACGCCATGGTGACGCAGACGCCCAACCATGCCCTTCTCCGCTTCCTTCCCTCACGTCCAGGTCGCCCAAAGCAGCCTTGGAGAGAAAAACAGCCACGGCCGCTCCATAGCCTGCCCGCTCTCCAGGCAATGGCATCCTCCTTCTCGTGCCGCCGTCGCTGCCGCTCAGCTTTCTGTCTGGGACCGTGTCCGACCACGTCACTAAACTGGTCGCCTGGCTCAAACGACCCCAGCGGCCGATCAGGTAGCGGTATCTGGTGCGAGAGAGGCGGCGGCGTCAAAGGCACATCTGTTAGGCCGATTCCCCCTTGAGACGTCATGGCATCCGACAGCCCGGGCGAAACCGGACCAGGGGATGGCGGATACATAGCGCGCAGGGGATGACCTGGAGGGAAAACAGCGCGATAGCGGACATCACGATGCTTGGGTGGCGAGTATGGTGGCGGCAATTCGGCTGGTGTCTGCTCTTCTTCAACGAAAGACCGTGATTTCTCCGAACGGATTGCGATCTCATGGGTAGGGGACGGTCTGGCAGGGGATGTTGAGGGCGACAGATCCTCAACTACGATAATCGGGGGTCGTTGCTGTGATTCCGGCGTACCAAGCCTCCTGCTGGCAGGCTCGCGTTCAGGCCCGGCGACAAAGGGAGAGGAACGCCCTTTCTTCACCACGTCCTTCCACTGTTCCTGAATCTGTTCGGCCTTACTGCCCCGAAACCCCGACACATTGGAGTGGTCGGCTTTATTCTTGAATGCGATTGGAGACGAAGGATTTTCCTGATCCTCGTCCCACCATTTTCGACTCTGATCAAATTCGACCCCTTTGAAACTTGACGGATTCGAAGATCCGGCTTCAGTCCCAGCGGCAGCATGAGAGAAAGACCTTTCCCTATCCGATCTCCCTGACCAAGCTTGGTCCGCCGCAAATTCTTGTTCCATCGGACTCGGATCCTTGACAGTTCTGGCACCGGAGGCAGGAGGCGCAGGAGAGTGCGCCTTGTTCATTTCCTTGCCCAGCTTAAGTTGGTTGTCATTCAGCTTGGGCTTCCTGGAAGCCGGTGTCTGCGGTGTTGCCGGGGTCGCTGGTGCGAATGGCGAGGTGACTTGATCCCACCAACCCTGGGATCGCGAGCTTCCGCCCGTAGCCGCCCGTTGCCGGCCTCCCGTTTGAAACGACTTGCGTCGTGTTGTTGCTGGGCTGCCGTCCTCTTCAAAAAGCGTAACCGGAGTCTCCATGTCGTCATTATCATCACTAACATAAATCGACGTCGTTGTGGTATCTCTGCGGTTGGGTTTAAATCTGAGCGAGGAAAAGCCCGGCTCATGATCGCCAGCCGAGAGGGGAGAAACGTCGGCATCCGTGTATGATGTCTGAACAGACGCGACATCGGGAAACTGAGCCCGTTCCGCGATCCCAGCGCTGCTGAGTCCCGGAGGTGAAATCCCATCCTCGGTGTCTGGAGACCAAGCCGACTTCAACTGCGGCGAGGCAGCTATGGTGGGGGCGAAGTATCGAGCGAGTTCGACGGGAGTTTCAACCACGGCGGTCTGTGGGCTAATAACGACATCCGAATCCGAGGGCATCGCAAACCCAATTACTATGGGCCGTTCATTGGGAGATAAGTCCTGTTGTGAGGTCTCAACAGCCGGTTTGTCGACCCGCTTGCCCTTGGTCGGTTTCGGCTTCAGCCACGCAAATGTACCGATTGATTCGTCAGATGGAGAGCCCTCGAGTGCTTTTAGAGCCGCAGCATCAACAAACTTGCCAGTCCGGGTGTGTCGGTTCTCTGCTAACGGCCTCATCTGGTGCACGATGTGCTGCTGCTGCTGCTTCTGCTGTTGCTGCTTACGGAGAATGGACATATCGGTGACGAGCTTGATGCCGACTCTCGCATTTTGGGCCTTTTGCCTATGGCGCGACCTTAGCCTCCTGATCCTTTGCAAAGACTGGCGGGCGGCGGAAGTGGAAGTACGCTTCGACTGTGGTTGTCCTGGCTGTTCCGTTGGCTCGACTGGGCCAGTATCGCCGTCTTCCAGGGGGTTGCCGTCGGCTTCCAGGTCCAAGAGGGGGCTTTCTCCACCCGTCGTAATAGGTGTTGACACTTCGTCATCTTCCCAATCCTCCCACTCTTCCCTGATCGAGGTAGTTGAGCGGCTGCCGGAACCGCCCTGGAGCGTCCATGGATCGCTCATTATTAGTTGAACTTCTATGTATTGGTATTGTAATTGTGGGAATTAAGTTGCTCGCGTTTCAAAAGCAACAAACGCAGGAGCTGGTGTTGAAGATAAAGGCAAAGAAGTAAAATGAAAGTATTCGAGGTTAACACAATAGCCCTTGCAACGTGGTGAATCGGAGCCGTAAAAGGTGTCTTATTATTAGTCGCAGTCAAGCAACAAGGCTGGAACAAAGAAAGGAAAAGCGGGCAAAAAGATGAGCCTTCTCTTGGTACGTGGCAGTGACAAAGAATGACAGTGACAGAAACAATAGGCCCCGAAGCATGAATGGAGGGCACAATGACATGGCGAGGAAGGAACAGCACGAAAGCAAACGACTTGCCCCGGGAAAGTATGACTCCCGCAACGAGATGGGCAGCGTGTCGCGTGGCGTCCATCTGCCTTCCACGCTCTCCATACAACCCAAGTTCAAATACATATGCTGTAGGGACCTTCGCTGCCGTATCTTGCCCGTCCTGGTAAACGTCTCTCGCTTCTCCTCAATATGGAACGAGTCCTTCCCAATCGCTGCGCAGGAAATGGCTAGCCCGCCTCGGCCTGCGCCTACCCTTGTCTGCGCGGAAGAACCTGTCGTCAAACATTGCATTCTCTGTGGACCGGCAAGACGGACCTGATTTTGAAGCAATGTCGTGTATGGAATAAGCGCCGCGAGGTGTCTGTCGTTGAGTGGATTGGCTCCGGCCAGCCGCCCGGAGTTTCGGGCTCGATGCTCATTGGCCGCTTGTCGCTGGCCACTCAATTACCCTGGTAACCAATCGATTGCAGTGTGTCCCTTCTTCATCTCTTTCCCTTTCTTCGACCTCTTTTCCTCTGCACGAGCACGGAGTATTTAGCTGGGTAATACCGCATATACTCACTGGAAACACATTTACGCTAGGATCGAGGCTACTGCAGCCAGGCCTCGCTTCTCTGAGAACTGTTCAACGACAACCAACCAAAGTTCGCCCATACCCACTTTTGATCGCTGTTCTCGAGAATTTTTCTAAGAGCCAAGGAGCGCTCGAGCGAGCAGTCGCGCGGGATCGAGTTCTCGCTAGCGGTAATAGGTTTAGCGTAAATGTGTTTCCAGTGAGTATATGCGGTATGGGGTAGGCTGTAGTGCAAAAAGCGGCCTACAGTATCCGTATGCACGTACAGTACATACAAACACACATCGTGCTGAGGGCTCAAGTGGACACATGGCGCTCGTGGCGCGATTCCCCGGCCCGAACTCGCCCTGAGAGGAACGTCTGGGTTGTCGGATGCTTCATCGACAACACCCTACCTCCGTACTCCGTACTACCCGCCACGACCCACCATGGCGGTTGTTCGAACGGTGGGGTTTTCGCCTCAAAACACTCAGCTGTTCACCTACGGTGGCAGTTTCAAGCTATGGAAGGGAAGCAGAACCCAGCGTCTCTACTCCTTGTATGACACCGGAAAAACGTATCCCCTAACTAGGTCAGCGACGGGACAGATGCTAAGTATGTTCGGGTATCATCCAATTTACAGGACCAGCTTGAGCCTTGCTCAACAGTCGCTATAATCAAACTGTCACTGGGATTCAAACTGTTTGCCGATTTTATGATTAGTGCGGAGCCACTAAACTAAACAACAGCGGTTTCCTCTGAAGGAGGATGAGGAACCTGGCTTGAGAAAAGTCTAGATGCATGGCCCTGCTCTACGCTGTTCTAACACATTCCGGTTGCGAGGTTTGACTCACGCCATGAACCACAGATGAAGTGTATAGTCAACATTGACACCTCAGTGCTCATACGGCGTAACGTTATGAAATGTTGTAGATAAGGGTTGGCTGGCTTGGCTCTTGGTCGACAGGCGCAAAGAAGCCAGGCATCACATGATAATCACGTGTGCTCGCCAGAATGCTTCAAATTAAAAGACTGATGAATCGATCCGATCTCAGAAGAATCAAAAACCTGGATCCTACCCGGCTCCTACCCGGATCCTTCCCGTCTGCAAACGTCAATGCCGGGTCCTGAAAGTCCGGCCCGGGCCCGGGTCAATCCAGGTGTGGTGGGGCTGCGCATATCAATCGCCATCCCGTGTCGGCTCAAAGTTGGTACGACGTACCTACGGCAATGGAAGCTGACTATAAACCAGTACTACCTTACTTCTGATCTGGCGGCTTTGCGAAGGTGGCTTTAGATGATAAATTTGTACATACACGTGTAGATACCTACCAAGACCGTTTTGGATCACACAATCTGAAGTTAATGACGCGTTCTCATCATCTGCACACACAGTGCAATACAGTACGGAGTAAGTAGTACCTTTCCTTAGTACCCTGGCACCGATGTCCCAAAGCTCTACTTTGCACTCCGTAGCACTACCTTCGGTGAATCTGGCATTGCTGCACTTCCTATTCGCATTTTTACAGTAGTTATGTGGAAACTCGACGAGAAGATGCAGCGCCGTGTGCGGTCGTGTGTTACTTCGTACAATGTCACGCAATCGGGTGCTTACAGTATTACTCCTTTTTCACAGGGGGTCGCAGATACGGGTTACTCATACCCAGTTTACTGCCTGTGACATTAGCGTCAGCTTTGAACGATATGGATCATGCCGTGCGCATTCGCTGGTGTATTTGGCATGAGCGCTCCTGATATTCGAGGCCAGGAAGGTTAAAGAGACTTGCGGAGCAGAGTAGGTAGAGTTCACCTTGACAGGGAGCGAGGGGAGACAGCATGTACTGTACTGTATGGAAGGTAATTCGTTACATGCAGGCTTAAATCCTTCAGGTGTTGACGTGGTCCGAAACCAGAGAGCTGCCATTTCTACTTAGTTGCCCTTACATCAAACAGAGATGTTATCTTATTTCGTATAAGCTCCCTGTCTATCTGGTTCAGGCGGAGGCATTGTTATCGCTAACCAAGGCTACCAAGCTGCCTGTCCAATACACGGAAACGAAAGAGGAAGTGAAGAATTGTGGTACCTCGAAAGGAACTTCGCCCTTTTGAGCAAGTACCACCGAAGGTCTTGGCTATGGCTACGCACGCAATGTCCACTTTGTCCAAAAGTCGAAGGGAGCGACGACCTCGCCGTTCCCGTATTCTGCTTCTTCACTTCGATAAGAGACCTTCGGGCACCTGATGCATTCCGCGCCGTCATTCCTGCTCACCTCAGATCAGCTGGGCAAAGTCGGACTAATTAATACGAGCTTTTGACAAACGCACTGCAGGGCAATCCGCTGTATTCGATTGGCCTATTCGACAATCTGTAGACTGTAGAATCTACTGTACCCGCCAGCTCTCGATGAACTCGACCTCTCTTTTTCCCTTTTGACCCATCTGCGCCTCCGAACCCCGGCCTCGAAGGAAGGCCGGATCGTCACGGCCCGTTCCTTCAACTTCAGCAGCGCCCGCGCGACATTAGTGTAGGAGCCAGAAGGGCCCGAAACCGCCCGTCTGGTTGAGCGCAGCGCCTGCAAGCTGGCGCTCTTCAATTTCGGTGGTACGTCGTCGTCGTTTAGCGACCGACCAGCCCGATCCCATCACCGACGCCGGTCATCGGGGCCTCCTCCGCCCAACCTTCAATTGGGCGATCGCAAAGCCCCCTCCTCGTATCTGGGGGTTCAGCCCCATTATCCCTCAGGCCCTCTTTCGCCAATTCCTGGTACGTGTCCTCACCCTGGCCGGCATTGGTGTCGGGCGCTTGCAGGCTGCGCGCCATGGCCGGCTTGCGGTCTCTGCTGGGACAGGCGCACAACCTCGCCCTAATTGTCTCTTTTCGTCTCTAATTGCGTTGCAGGCACCCCGAATTCGCCAATGTCCCTATCACGCAGCCCGTCTCCCGTGCCCGGAGGCGGCTGGGCGAGCCCTGGTCTCAACATCCCGAGCGGTCGATCAAGTCCGACAAGGGGCGTCACGGGTTCAAATGGAACGCCCGTCATGTGGGAATCTTCAAGGTTAAAACGAGGCGGCTCTGCTGGGTACCCCTCTTTCTCGACTAAGAACGAGGGCTTTTTCGGCAGACACATGCGCCGTCTATCTCGCAGCTTGCCACGCTTCAGCACGAGTCCTTACTACGCCGACAAAGAAAAGCTTGGTCGTGGCAGATGGCCGATCCACAATGTGCCCTTACTGGGGAGGATACGTGGTATCGTGGGGCGCATGGGCAGGAGGATGAAGATTCGGCTCATGGTCTTGCTCATGATTCTGCTGTCCATATTCACCTTTTACAATACACGTGAGTACTTACCCCAGTTGCCTACGGGCGCCTGCTTACAATGGGGTACAGCTATGGTGTATCACTGGAGGAGAACAACGTGGCTGGGCGGGGGACAGAAATTTGTCATAATACTGGGGGCCAACGTTGGTGGCGGGGTGATGGAATGGAAGGGAGCGCGAGAGTGGGCCATTGAGCGAGACTCGGTGCGGAACAAAAAGAAATATGTGGCTCGATGGGGGTACGATCTTGAGATCGTTGACATGAGCACGAAGAAGCGCTATGCGCACGAGTGGCGCGAGAGCTGGGAGAAGGTCGATTTCATCCGCACAGCCCTGAGGAAATATCCCAAGGCCGAATGGTATGCTGCTGGCTGACGCCGTTCCTCAACGGGACCGATCTAACCGTGTTCTAGGATCTGGTGGCTCGACCTCAACACCTTCGTCATGGAGCCAAGCTACTCGCTCCAAGATCACATCTTCGACAACCTCGAGAAACATATATATCGAGACATCAACGAATACAACCCCCTAAATATTACCCACCCCTTGACCGACCAATACCTCGACGATGACGAGCGAAGTCCCGTAGGGGACGGAAACGCCAACTCGGTCAATCTAATCCTGTCGCAGGACTGCTCCGGGTTCAACCTGGGCTCCTTCTTCATTCGTCGAAGCACGTGGACGGATAGGCTGCTAGACATCTGGTGGGATCCAGTGGCGTACGAGCAGAAACATATGGAATGGGAGCACAAGGAGCAGGATGCCCTGGAGCAGCTGTACATCTCGCAGCCGTGGATTCGGAAGCATACCGGTTTTTTGCCGCAGCGCATGATCAACAGCTTCCCCACCGGGGCGTGCGCCGAAGGCGGGAAGAACCCTAGGATTCATTACGACGAGAAGGACAGGGACTTCCTCGTCAGTATGGCCGGCTGCGAGTGGGGGCGCGACTGCTGGGGCGAGATGTACAACTTCCGCGAGCTGAGCTACTACCTGAACCGGACATGGTGGGAGCGCTTCAAGGAGGACTTCCTGGCCATGATTTGGTTCAAGCTCACCGGCCAAAAGGTCAAGTTTTAATGGCGTACATGGCGTCGATAAAACGCAGGCATGATCCTGAGAAACGCCACGTGGACACAGCGACGGTCAACTAGCGGGCGTCGATTGGCGAGCCATGCACATCCGCCGCGCAGGACGTCGGCATGGTGTGAAGTTTGGAGCGGAGGAATGACCGTCAGCGGCTAGCCGGTATATCGGTGGAAGTGTTTCGTCACGAGGAGTACAATAGCGCTGGGAATAAGTACCCTAGACTCGACTCCATCCGCTCTGAGCAGGAACCGGCGTTTTCTTCTGCGTCCAAGTTGGGTGGCTTTCTTCTTTTGACTCGCTGTATATACCGTATGCCTGAGTTGAGCGGACCTTAGAGTGATGGAGGGAACGTGGAATAAAGACCGAGAAGGTGCATCTGGACGGAGTATCTTGTGCACACTGGCTTCTTTCGACAGCATTTCAGGGTCTAGGTAGCCTAGACATGGCACTGTACATACAATACCCGCTAATTCGAATTTCATAAAATGCTGGCTCAGGTACGCTTCAGACAGGGAATGAGACAACTAGTAGAGCGTGAGCCCACGCGTTGCTTAAAAGGTAGCGCATTGGCAAAGGTTCGTCAACCACCGACTTTCCCTCCGTCGATGATCTCCGGGTGACCGGTTCTGCATGACGGGAAGGAAGTGGAACTTCGGGATCAACCGACGATCACCTCCGTACCTGACTCGTCCCAAGGCCCCGGTGGATCCCCGCCAGGTACTGCCAAAGGTATGAAGTATACACAAAGAGCATTTGAACGCGAATTTCGCATCTTGCGGGCCCCATTTCGGGTAGAGGTATTTCAATATATTCAAGGGATATCTCAAGTAGCGTGCATTCTAGTATCCGTGTCGGTCAAATCTACGTTGAAGGATGAATTGTCTTGACTCCTGCAGGAGTGACTCGCAGGTACGAGGGCCGGTCCGAACAGGGGCACGGAGATCAAGGTACATCAGCCATGCACGGGCCATCCATCGCTTGATTGGCTGGCATTTCTTCAACCAGCAACGTCCAACGCAACTCCGAAGTTTCACCACCGGCTGCTCCTGTCCGTGAGTCGACGAGATGAACCCCGCTGATCGTGGCAGAGCCCCAGATCCAGTACATACTGTACCAAGTCCAGCTCACATGGCGGTTTCACTCTCTCCAAGGATGCGCAATCGCGAGTCCCGAGTACCGGGATGGCATCCGGTATTTTCATTTGGCTGAATAGCCGCCATACATGGCATGTTTCGTTTCAGTCTTCAGCAACAACATCTGAAGACGTGAGGATCCTAACAAGACATCAGATCTCTGGCCATTCCCCGGGCCTACGCTATCGCGGCCTCGGTCGCGCAGACATGTGCTCAGGGACGAAACGATTGACAGTGCGAATCGGTTAGTCTTATCGTTAGCATTGGGCCAGTGAGTAGCAAATGGCGAAGTCTCGAAGCCGGAATGGCGGATCCAGATGTTTGCCAGCACAGCTGGTGTTGGTGATTTCGTAACAAAGTGTCTGGCTCTTCTTTCTCTCGTCAATTCTGGTCTGTCCTGCTAGGTTGGGACACCTCATCTGTTGCTCCCTACGCGGCTGTATCATTCTGTTGGTCTTCTCTTTTTATTTTGCAGTTGATGCATATGTTGCGGTGTCGGTATCGCAAGTCTGACTCTTCCTATTCACGTTGGATTTGACTGCTCCTGGGGGGCTATTTCAACTATTTTCGATAGCACTGGTCTGCTCCGCAACACTTCCTATGACTTTCACTGTTTTCTTCGAGTCAGAACGACCTTCTCTATACAACCCAAGAACAGCTCTTTTACTGGCTACAAAGACCGTCTCTGCCACCGTTCACACTAGTCTGGCAGCCATCGGACTATCAGTCACTCATTTAAAAGCCTCGGTGCAGAGGAGCAGGTCTCGCTCTAACCTGGGTTGATAAAGCCGTTCCGGAAGTCTTGAGAGCGGCGTAAATAATCTCCTTCTTTCAAGTCTGAAAATGGTTCGGTCAGGAACAATCCTCTGCCTGTCCATGATGGCTCTCATGGCGAGCCTGACGCAGGCAGCTTCCACCTACAATCTTGTTGATACCTTCAACTCAACCAACTTCTTCCAAGAATTCGACTTCTTCAGCCAGCCAGACCCAACAAACGGCTTTGTCCAGTACGCACACGCTGCTATAGCAAGCAGCCACCGACTGGCAGGCTACTCCCAAGGTGGCATCTATCTCGGCGTTGATTACGCCAATATTACTACCAAAGGGCGCCCATCGGTCCGTGTCACCTCCAAAAAGGCCTACACCAAAGGCTTGTTTATCGCAGACATAGCCCACATGCCGGCGGGCCCCACCGATGCCGACTCGTGCGGGCTCTGGCCGGCATTTTGGATGTTTGGCCCCAACTGGCCTAACTCAGGCGAGATCGACATCATCGAGGGTGTGAACACGCAGTCAGTTAACTCGATCACGTTGCACACGGGGCCAGGCTGCTCCATGAGCACCGGCAACACCAGTGGCACCGCATCTCCTTTGCTCGACTGCCAAGGATTCGAAGGTTGCACGTATCCAAGCGACGACGACGACGTCAACAACAACAACAACAAACCCACCACCACCACCAGCTCCAACTACGGCGCAGGCTTCAACGCCATCTCCGGCGGAGTGTACGCGGTGGAGTGGACCGACGCCGCGATCCAGGTATGGTTCTTCCCGCGCAACTCGGCCCAATGCCAGCGCCTGCAGCAGGGGGGTTCGGACTCAGCGTCGGCACCGTCGCCAGAGACGTTTGGCCCGCCACTGGCCGCCTTTTACGGCGGAGCCGCCTGCTCCATCCCGGCGCACTTTGCACAGCACAACCTGGTCTTCGACACCACCTTCTGCGGGGACTGGGCCGGCCGTGTGTGGGCCAAAGACGCCACCTGCGCTGCGCTGGCCGCGCGCTGCGAGGACTACGTCGGCGCCAACCCGGAGGCATACGTGCAGGCGTATTGGCTGGTTAATGAGATTAGGGTGTATCAGGTTGCGTAGGTTCGTTGAGGTCGTCTTGGAGTCATGGGATCGGGGTCTTCCCCCCTGGTTGCTCACCATGAATATTGCCGAGCCACGAGCATCGCTGGCTATCGGGCTGCAGGAGTGAAAAGCGTCTTGCGTTTGTTTTGTACATCTTTTTCTCGAGAACTAAATACCCGGTGGAAGTAAACCGCTCTTGAAACACCTTACAATCAACGCTCCATTACAGCACCTTGATTCCTTCAGTAGAGACCCGTATCCGCAAGCCAAGACTGCATACAGCAACTCCTTGTGTGAATAAAATGATCGTCAAAAGTGGCCAGAATATCAGCAAATATGTCACGCCAGCGGTACGTCTTACCGTCCATACTTTGTACCCACAAACCAGCAGCAGCCAGGCATCCTCAGTGTCACCCCATTGCTTTCTCACCTAGTCAGGCCGGAGGCGGTATCTTTGCGAGCGCCTCTCGAAACTTCCTCCATGTGATTGCCCTGGAGATGTTGATATGACGCTGCGGATTCCTGCGTCTCGTGTCCCGGGTCCGCGTCACGTAATCCGGCAGCATCACCACGAGAGATTCTTGGATATGTTTCGACAAGGACGGATCCTTGATGCTGCCAATAAATTCCCAGACGTAGTCCGCGTCGTTACGTGGAGGGTCACGCTTGTACCTGTCTCGAAATCGAAGGTAGAGCGCTCGGATATCCTCGCCGTCCGACGACGGCATCGCTCGCTTCGGCTCCGTCTCTGAGGTCGTCTCTTCCATCTTTTTCTTGGTCTTTGTAACCTCTTTATCAAGTTGCTCGTTTTGCGTTTTATTACAGTAGCTACCTTCTTGAATTGTAACCGGAGGTTTCCACCCTTGCGAGAATTCGCCCAAAGCTGGAACACCATGTGAGGATCAAATTATTTTTTTGAATGATATGGACACTTACTGGACTGGGTACTGGCTTGGCTTGAAACATGGCAATCCACCTTGTCCGGCAACTTCATCAACTCATCCTGAAGCGGAAGCGTCTCGTCATGCAAATTGGCCGTCTCACTTGGGGATTCTCGATGTGCTTGTGCCATCGCGGCAATCTGATGCTCGAGAGCTGCCAATCTCTGCTCTGAAGCGATTTTCTCTGCCCTCAGTTCCTTCAATTCTCCCTGCAGAAACTGCAGTTTCTCCAGCGCCGAGCGATATTGCCCCTGAGCGTTGCTGATGTCCTGAGCTGTGGTTGAGCGTATCCCTTCTAGACTTTCCTGTTGCGTCGCAACCTTTTTGGACAGCTCGTTGATCTTCGTCAACATGTATTCTTTGTCTTGGCTAGCCTTGTGCTTCAGAGTCGAGAGGCTGTTCTGGATAGTGATGATCTCTTTCAATTCAGACGCGTGTTGTTCGATGAGGGACTTTGATTCCGTAACAGCAGCAGCAATCAAGTCATGTTGTCGAACACTGTCCCGCTGCAGGGACGAGTACATACGGTCGAGCCGATGGATCTCTTCATTGAAGGCCTGTCTCAGCGCGCTGACTTCGTGACTGCATTGTTGAGCAGCAAGAAAACTAGCCCAGCCACTGCTTAGAGACTGGTGCAGTCGGTCGTCCTTGATTGCCTCAAACTTGTCCATTGGGCTTCGGCAAACTTGGAAAGGGGAGCTCGGGTTGAGACTCGCAATTGCTTAAACATTGAATATCCTGTCCTCTACACAGCCCCGGGATTGCATACCATTAACGATAGGATGAACTTGCCCTCTATTGACTGTTTGATCTAAGTTGAACTTGGAACTATGGGCTGCATGCGACGCCACCTAGGCTGCCATGGTCGTGAGTGTCTTGTTGGGAAGGTACGATCCAATATAGTGGCACCAACAGAACTCAGGTAACAAGTGGAGAGAAAGAACCTTGAAAAAGCTTGAGCAACGCGAGAGCATGGTCGCTACCCTACGTAGACGTGACATTCAATAAAAAGGCGGCAATGTCGTCGACCTCCTCGGGTACCTTGAGCCAATGCCCTTCAGATTCCGCACCTGAATATTCTCTCCAACGGACCTGGAATCCTATTTGAGTGAGCACAAGCCAGGTTTTCCGGCCGAGCTCGACATCGACGACGGCATCATCGACGCCGTGGCCCAAAAACACTGGAGTAGACAGAAGCGGCTTGACGCTCTCTCCAGATTGAGAAGGCTGCCGCCACACGGACATCATGCCCTCAACAAATGCGTCCGAGTCGCTGGCAGTCGAGTTATACTCCTTGACCCCAGCCTCATAGTTTCTACCCAGAAATCTTTCGATGCACTCGGCAAAAGGAAGCCACGTGCTGGCCCCTACGAATGCTAATAGCCGCCTGTTGAGCTCTCCCTGGCAAAGCAGCGTCCACATGCCGATTGCAGCCCCCTGACTGATGCCCGCAATGACCAGTCTCTCGGGTTTCCCGCCAAGCCTCACAATCTCGTCGTCCACAATCGACTGGATGTATGCCACTGACTGTCTGATGCCCGGAATCTGCAGATCCTGCCTCTCAGTCGGATCCGTCAGTGAATGGGCTTCGAACCAGGCGGGAAGCGATTCCTGGAACGCAGTGCTCCAGAGCTGCGGTGAAGACGGGAATACCCATCGCCAGCCCGGGAGCCTCCGAGTAAGGGGTTCCTGGCCAGGCAACACGGTCTCGAAGAGCTCCTCAGCGAATTCTTGGCCGCTGCTCCCCCGACCGTGCAACATGATAGCAGTGTGGGTATGCTCCGAATCGGGGTCAATGGCGTGGATAGGTCCAAACGCTCCATCAGAGAAGGGCTGTGGATTGGCCGCTGCGTCCATGGGAGTTCGTGGGATCACAAACGGTAGTCCAACGGGGCAATGTCCACCACCGGCCGACGATTAGTGTAGGAAGGGAACGAATGGAGTTCAACAAGATGCTGTTGTCTGCCCGCCTCCAAGACGTTCAGGGTTTAGAGACTCCACAATGCACACGAGTAACGTGCGTACACAGGGTCACCTGGAATGTTCAATGTACGGAGTGATGTAGTTTGTACTGAGGTACGATACTAAGCTACTTACCTGTTGCCTCGACCAATTAGCATTCAGGGGCCAACTCTAAAGAGTTGGTGCCAAAAAAGCCGGACATGCCAAAAAGCCGGACATGCCAAAAATCCCGGACAAGGTAGTGCAATGTATGGATTTCCTAGACGAAGACTAACATTCCAAGGATACAGCAACCTACATCTCGCCTACATCTCGAGCAATACCATACTTCTAGAAAAACAAATATCACTTCTAGATCCGCCTTGAAGAGGCGACTTGAATGATATCTATTTTGATAGGTTGCATCCTATTGCTCTAGAGGTCTTGGTGAAAATTGCTGAATCTTTGGTGCAGATCTTATGTTCTTAGATGACTTACACAACTTCGAGGTGGAGGCAAGAACACCACTTTTACACCAGTGAATACCAAGATTCACTGAAAACTCTAGAGGAATAGGATGCAACCTATCAAGATAGATATCATTCAAACCGCCTCTTTAAGGCGGATCTAATGGTCATCTTCGTTTTCTTGAAAATGCAGTATCTAGGTCTACAATTGAATGTAAGTGCTGGGCCTGTTAGTCTTTGTATAGGAATTCCATACATTGCACTATCTGTCCGGGTATTTTGGTATGCCCGGCTTTTGTGGCACCAACTCTTTAGAGTTGGCCCCCAGAGTGGAACCGAAGCTCGAGCCAACAGGTACCTAGCTTGTTTACATACGGTATCTCATGGCAGCCTGTCGTGGTGTGCGAGCTGCGAGTCTGCGACCGCCGAGTCCCGACTAAGCCCGACTCAAAATGCGCCCCACAATCCGTGCCATTTTGCCGCTAGTGATTGGTCGGCTCTAACCGCTCATTGTTTGGGCGGAACACGTGATTCCCCCTCATGCCCTTTTCTAGCATTTCATTCCTGCCTTCCTGTGCTTCGCAGCTCTCTGGACTTCGAGTTCTTCCCAAACTGCCCTCACCATGGCGGTCGCTTCCCCATCGAAAATCTTGAATGAGGCAGGACCCGAGGCGTCTTGATTAACGAGGTACTTAAAGCCTGAGCAAGACAGTCGGGTTCAAGCCCTCGCATCAACTGCATTCTTCTTCCAGCATCAATCGACTCCAGGCACCTGGATCAACCAGAAAGATGGATTTTGATTCTGCGTCAGCCTCGCCCTCGGGCCATCCCTTTCCTCTTCCCGAGGTGATGACTGGCCCGTTGCCTACCACCGCCTTCGGCTGATTGATACAGCGCCGCCGACCTCGGACTTGGTTCCCGGAGATGCGTACCGCGTTCGCAGCCGGACGAACGGCCCATCGCGTCCCCGGCATGTCGCATCCCGTATCTTGGTGCGCTTCCTACATCAGGAGGTGCCTTGGAGACCCTTCCACTTTCGCAGAGCGCTTAGGATGATGCATAAGCTCTCCGTTTCAACCATTTCGTCCTGGGCAGGACGGTAAAAGGCCCATGTGTTGTTCGGTGATTCGGGTGCGCCGACAACAATATAAGTGGTGTTGTAACGGCCACAGCAACGACGGAGTGTATTTGACGTCCTAGAGGTTAGCTTTCCATGACTGCGGCGTTACTTGGGTGAGTCTCACCGACACATCTTCCCAATGACACGTTCTGACTCCCGCATAGTCATCGCGTCTAGACGGTTCTTTCCAGCGGCGTTCGGGCACTGGAAAAGGGGTTTCTTGCGCAACAAAGACGGGTGGAAAAGTGGCATGACTCTTCAATGTACGATGGGATTGAGATATGACTCCGACTCCAGCTCTGAATTTTGGCTGTCATCAAGCACATCATCTCCGTTTCCCATGCATCGGCCTTCGGCGTACGTTATCGGGGGATAGGATTCACTTTGTTGCTTCTTGATTGTTGTCGCCATTGTTTCTGCGGCGTCGTTGCCCTTGGAAAACCAGCACTGCAAGCCAGCTTGGGAGAAGTCATTTTGCTCGACATGTAAGCTCTTCGAGTTTTATACCCCTTTCTAATCACTTTCCTGCCGCTAACGAGACGCAGGGCGATCGGGACATGACTTCTCCAGCCTCGTCCTGGGCAGGACGTTAAAAGGCCCCCGCATGCGCCGAGACGGAAGGGGATCCCAATGGATCCCACCCCATGGGCGGACGTGGGTGATGGTCGATGACCATACCCTCTTGGACCAGGAGTGCAATTCGACCAGCCAAGGATCCAGCTGGTGCCGACCAGCACTCCGCCTTCAGATGCAAATACGGTTGGTGGACGAGACGATCGAGAATTACCGTATCTGCATCAATGTCTGATCGCGATGCCACGATTCCGCGATGAGACAGCAGGCTTGCGTTTTTCTGGGGCGCCGCGCGGCCATTCGCTGTGCGTTCTCAGCGATGCCAGTTGTGGGCATGATCGGTGTTTCATTGCCGAAAGCGTTAAGGATTTGGAATAATACTCGAAGTAGATGCACTGGAGTTGTGGGGACTATATGACCAAGCAGAGTCGATCCACGGTGCGGACAGACGGGTTTGCATCGCTGGAGGTGGGGGCTCCTACTTTCCCAGTAGCAGTCTTCCTGCCAGGCCTACCAAGCGAGGATCCTTTCTGAAGGAGATAAGCGCGATAGTAAGGGCGACATGCCGGAACCCTTCGAATCTTCAATGCCCCAAGATGGACGGAGGGGAACACGTGCAGAGGCTACTTTGCTCCGGAGCCAGCGTCTCGGACTCGGCCGGTGAGTGCAGCACTTTGATATGCGTGGTTGTTGAGGCGGGTGCTAACCGGCGTTGCTGCAGAGGAGGATCCACGAAGGGTGGATGGATCGAACAGGGACGATTTGCCCTGGGGTAGCCTATTCCTTCAATCGCTTGTGTAAAGGTAGGTGCCGGAGGTTGGCACCCGGGCTGGGCTGGTCGCGTCTCTCGGGGGACAGTTACGCTACATGTCGTGCTGTCCCCAAGGCCCGCTGCTTGGTTGTCCTTTTTAACATGATTCCACGAATTCATAAGAGAATTATATTTTGACAAGGGGAGCCTTCGGGGGGAGGATTTGTGTTCAGCAGAGGATGACATTTGATTCCTTGACTAGATAGATGGACATCTTCAAATCCAATCCCGACATTGGCTCCCACTGATGATGTTTGATGTAGGGTGCCTGTTGTGGTGTGGGCCAGTATATGTCTATTGGCCGACAAGGCATTTGAATGGATGACAAATGGTACAGAAGCCAGTACAAACGTCATTCCAGTTCCTTCGCATCGAACAGCACATCACATCTCCAAGCAAACTCTAGCAATGGCTACCAAGGCAATTGTCGTGCTCCAGACGCTGGCCTCCAAGAATAGCCAGGACGAGCCGGGCTCGGCGGCAGCGGTAGCCGAGGTGAAGAAGCAAGATGGCTTTGTCCGAGCATTCGTCGGGCAGAAGTTGGAGGACCCAGACACGAGCGTCTTTTGCACTCGTGAGTTGCCTTTGTATTGGCTTCTTTTTTCCCCTTTTTCTTCCTGTTATTCTCTCGCTCCCTTTGCCCTTTCATTTTCCTCCTGAGGTTTCCTTGCTGCTATCACCTCTGATTGGATTTCTTATCATCCTTTACATACAGAGGCTTACACTGACGGACCGGGCACTGCTGTATTTTGTAGATTGGAAGTCTCGTGAAGCAGCGCAGACTTATTGCGCCTCGGACTCCGGACTGGCGGTGGTGGCGGGCGAGGCTAAGAATGAAACGGCCGTCTTTGAGCTGCTTCCGGCCGCCGGGCAACTCAGTCTGAGGGGCGTCGACGGCGTGTTTGAGGCGCCTTGCACCGAGGTGTTTACTGCCTTTGGAGCCGAGGAGGGTTTCATCGACAATGTGAGCCGGTTCGTGGACGGGCTGGAGAAGGTTGGGACTGTCCCTATCGAAGGGTATCTGGGTGCTGTGTTTGGGGAGGACGTTGGGACTGAAGGGAAGGAGGTTGGGGAAAAGGTGGTGAGGATGTTGATCGGCTGGTGAGTTCCCCTATCTACCCATATGGCGCGCGAGGTGAATGTGAGGTCTGGTGAGGAACTGGGAAAGGGGCTGTCATGATGGCTGACGTTGGATGGTATGCTATAACTGCAGGACGAGTAAAGAAGCTCATGTGGAGGCCAAAGGGAAACCTGGTCGTGAGTATACTGCCATTCCATGCTCGCTACCTGCTTTACCGTACCGTAAAAGACTGACGATGCTTGCCGCCAGCCATCCAGGACAATATTCACGAGCTGAGGACGCTGAGAAAGGCGGTGGATATGTTTCATGTCGCATTCAAGGAGCTGTGACTGCAGGACATAACATACAGAGAAACAGTGTAGCTCTCTTGAATGATAATTGTCACTTATGTCGTGGTAGCAAAATCTCAATCCTCAATTGGGCTTCTGGAATATCAGGGGTCTGGTTGAGACGGAGACTAAATAAACGGCCGCGAGCCCCTTGATCAGGCCACCGGTGTGCTTCATGTGCGAGGCGGGGTAGGCGTCAGATCGGACACCCCACATCCATCGTTCAGGTTCCACGGGTCATCGTTTTACCTTGCCCAAGGAGAGCTCCGGGCCTGCATCCTGTCTCGTCCGTCCTCGGCCGGACCAGCGTTCCGCGTCCTCGGAACAGGAACAGATCAGTTCCTCAAGTGGGGAGCTACGCGTCCCGATGCTTTATTTGCAGCCATGATTTCTTAACAGTGTATCTCCCAACGCTCCTTCCGGATTTCACTCTCCTTGCCTCACCTCGCCCTCTCCTCCGGCGTTCCAAGTCCCGAAGAGCTTCCCTGTGTGTGATACAGAAGCGAAGACTGTGTGTGTGTGTGTGCGGAAAGAGCAGATATCACCACCATGGCAGGCGCAGGAGAGCAACAACACAGCGGGGGCGCATACCGGCAGCACCTGCCTGATCTGAGCACTCCTCGCTTCACCGAGATGCAGAAGCAGGATGCGCACGAGTACGCAAAGGCCTTCAAGGAAAGTGGCAACCCGCCGTGGCTGCACGGCTTGTACCTGCACTGGCGAAAGCTGTTCCAGGAGCCCTTCAGGGGCATCACCAACGACGGTATGTATACCTACCTTACCTACCTGCTTCCCCTATCCCATCTACCTACCTACTTACAAATTCGCCCGCAGGCCGCGTCCGACCGGACCTCTTCACCCTCCAGGACGAGGGAATGCCCATCGAGCAGATCGCCGCGGCGGCCGATGCCCTCCTGGGGAAACTCTCCCCGCACCAGCGCTCGCTGGTGCAGTACCACATCGACTCGCCCGAGTGGCGCTCCTGGTCCAACCCGGAATTTCTGCTCTCCGACAAGGGCGTGCGGCTGGACGAGCTGCCGACCGAGACGCGCGACGCCGCCATGGGCCTGCTCGCCGCGACTTTATCGCCCGAGGGGTACGCCAAGGCCGTGGGCGCGATGCGCATCAACGGGTTCCTGGGCGAGCTGGTGCGCGCGCCGCGCGTGTGCAACGAGTTCTCGTACAACCTTGTCCTCTTCGGTGCACCCTCGGCCACGGCACCCTGGGGGTTTTCCTTCTACGGCCATCACCTGTGCCTCAGCGTGTTCCTGTACAGGACCCAGGTGGTCATCTCGCCCTGGTTCACGGGCGCCGAGCCGAACCTGATCGACTCGGGCCCGCATGCCGGCACGCGCATCCTTGAGGAAGAGGAAAAGCTCGGCCTGAGGCTGATGCGGTCGCTACCCGCCAACAAGCAGGCCCGGGCGCAGGTCTACAAGCTCCTCCGCGACCCGGCCATGCCCCGCGGGCGGTGGAACCACGACGACCAGCGCCACCTGTGCGGCGCCTACCGCGACAACCGTGTCGTGCCCTATGAGGGGGTGCTGGTGTCGGAGATGGACGACGCGCAGAGGGGCCTGGTGCGCGCCATATTAGAGCAGTACCTGCTGTACCTCCCCGCACGGGCGCGCGGGATAAGGCTCCGCCAGATCGAGGAGTGGTTCCACGAGACGTACTTTTGCTGGATCGGCGGTTTTGGTGATGAGGATGCCTTTTACTACCGCCTGCAAAGTCCCGTTGTCATCGTCGAGTTTGACCATCACTCAGGCGTCTTTTTGACGAACAAGGAGCCGGCCAAGTTCCACATACATACCCTGCTGCGGACCCCGAACGGCGGGGATTATGGGATGGCCCTGAGGCCCTTGATACCGGGCATGGACCAGGGCTTCATGTGGGAAGGTGAGAGATGAAGTGGAGATGAGGGGTGTTTAATGTAGGTAGATAAATGTAGTATGAATATCTAGGTATTGTTACGAGTCATGATATATTCAACTTGTTGTAATGATGGCGTAGCTGTGCAAAACCAATTGCCCACCTTAGCTATACCAAAACTTAACCATGCAAGATACCTGGTTCTGTATTCCCCTGATATTCAAGATCCCCTAGGCAGCAACCCCCAATTCCCGCCGCACGAGCACTTCCTCTGCTGGGCCAGCACGAAAGTGAAGCCGGGCCTCTGACCCCACACGTCCTCCATGACGGACGCGCAGCGCACGCAGCGCCGCCACTGAGGGCCGCCGCCGCCTCCTCCTCCACCTCCTCCTTCTTCGCCGGCCGCTGTCACGGTGGCAGCGCCATCGCTTCTGGCCGCAGCCGACAGCCCTCCTCCGTTAGCGATAGTGGGTTTCCTAGCGATCACCCCCTCGGCACGGCCGCCCCTCGCGCCGCCGCCGCCGTTTAGCGGCTGCCCGGTTCCGGTCCCAGGCCCGCTGGTGGTGGCGGTCGTCGTCAGCAGTTCAACCCGCTTAAACACGTCCAGGTACCTCCCGGAGGCCTTTCTGGCGGCTAGGGCGGCCGGGTCGTCGTCAACGTCAAGCAGGCTAAAGTCGGCAAAGTACAGCTTGCCCGGGTCGGTCTGGGCGCGGAAGGCGGGCACGGTGTTGGTAAAGAAATGGAGGAGCACCTCGCGGAGCGTCGGCGGCGGGTTGGCGGCCAGGAGCATGTCGAGCTCGCAGTGTGTCTGGGCGTTGCGCATAATCTCCTCGTTGCGCTGCTGTTGCTGCTGCTGATCCGCGACGCCGCCGCCCTGGCCCGGCTTTGGCAGCACACCAGACAGATTGGTGCGGTACGCCGTCTGGATGTCCTTGCCTAGCCCGCTCAGGAGCTGCTCAAATGCCTCGACGCTGACCAGGGCTGACGAGACGGCGTACTGCAGCTTCAGGTAGGCTTGGTGCAGCCCTGGGTTGGTGGCCGAGGAGAGTGTGGCCGAAGAGTCCGTGTTTTGCTGTTGCTGTTGCTGCTGCTGCTGCTGCTGCTGCTGTTGTTGTTGCTGCTGCTGCTGCTGCTGCTGCTGCAGCATTTGTTGTTTTTGAGCCTCGTAGAACATTCTCGCCTTCCTGCTCACCGTCCCAAGGTGGGTGATTCGGCGGCAGGCGGCAGACAGAAAGCCGCGCGTTGAGGAGCAGAGCAGCAAGTGCAGCGAGACGTCGTTCCGGGCCCGGAGGTAACCAGCCAGTTCCGCGAAGCGCTTGGGGTCCGCCAGCATGGCCATGACCTCGGGGTCGTCGAGCAGCTGGAAGAGGCAATCTGCCAGCCAGGAGAGCAGAACGACGACCCATTTTGCGCATCCAGCCAGCGCCTCCACCACCTCGGGCTCGTCCAGAGGATTCAGTTTTTCCTTGAGATTGGGGGGCGCGTTGCTAGCAATGGTGACGAGGATGACCATGTTCCTCACGCTCAGGGCCAGCATGGAAAACTTGCCGCAGAATGAGCGGGGCTGAAAGTCTCCGTGAAAGCCCAGGTGGTTCATGATGCTGAGGCAAAGCTGCAGCAACGTGTTTCTGACGAGCTGCTCGTGATGCGCGTCCTCGGAGTAATCTACCGGGATCTTCAGCATGTTGACGATTTCTCGGATCCATGCATATGTGAAATCTGGCTCAGATTGATTAGAGGCCGGAGAGTCGCGAACGAGGCAGATCAGCACGCACCTGGCTTCTTTTGTGTTAATGGCCTGGCAATGGCCAGAATATCATCGTAGCTAGTGCTGGTACCCGCCCCGGCTATGGCGAGGCTCAGCGCGGCCAGCACGGCGCTCTGTTGAGCTGAAACGTGGGTTAGTTATGGGAGGCAACATTGTAAGGAGAGGCCAGCACCCACTGCCTTGTAGAGCCATGTTCGGCTCGTCAACTGGGTAGTGTAACCGGTTCCATTTTATTGTCCAATCCTCGGATATCTGGACAAAGGAGCAATGGGTAGGTGAAAAAGCAACTTGAAGACCTGCGGGATGCCCACGAGTCAGCATGATCAGAGAAGAATGCTGTTGTGGCTCCGGTTGCCAGGAACGGATGCATACACGGGGTATCATTGACAAAGCGGAAACCCGCCTGAAGAGGGCTCATGATGCTGCTGGGGCTAGGCTCGTTGTACACCTCATTCATGGTGAACCGGTCCCTATACTGAACAGTACCGTCGCTAAAGGCAAAGCAGATGACTCTGCCAAGCTGCATAGTGTGGATGGTTACGACGATCTTGGGTATGGTTAGCTGGCCTAGGTAGCGTAGACGGGTCACGTTCTGGGAACACAGTTAGTCAAGCTCCTATGTAGCCAAGGCCGGACACGCACAGGAGGAACCGGTCCGCCGCCGTTCTTGGAACCTAGCTGTTCGAAGGCCGGATGAACCGATTGCGACTGCTCGTGTGTCAACTCCCAGCGATCAATGATGGTTTGACAGTCCTGGTGGTATGGAGAGGTTTCGTTTGGGATATATGACCGCGCCGTCAAAACCACAGCAGGGGCTATCTGGCCCGGTGATTCCATGGCGGAGGGGAGGACCTCAATGTGCGAGAGCTGGGCCGACGCCGTGTCGGCTGCCGACTCGCCAGGGCCACGGCGGAGCCAGCTGGTAACGGCAACATGGCTTTCGCGTAGAGAGGGCCTCAGGGGCATGCTGCCGGGGAGCACCTGCCTATCGACTTGGGGCAGACCCCACTGAATCTGGACGCGCACAATCCTTAGCTGTTTCGAGGAAGTCGCGAGGGCAATCAGGAGCGTGTCTGCTATGGTGAGCTACCTCGTACGACGACGGGACGCGCATCCAGCTGGTTGATTGCTACTCACTCATGTCGGAGCACAACGATGCGTGGGTGATCAGATCGTCGGAACACGTAACGCTCTCAAGTTCGAGAGCGGTTTCTTCAATGCGGTTGTTGTTTTGCGAAAAGAAGAGTTTAAGTACACCGTTGGTCGTGACACACAACAGAGCGCTCTTGCCCACGTTGGGATGCCAAGGGCCAAAGGCTGGGTAAACCTTGTGTTCATATCTATACTCATTTTGCGCCCAGACTGCAGGGCCATAGGCTGCGTAGACCTGGCAGGAGGGTGAGAAAGCGGATCACGGCGTTAGAAAGGGGCGGGGGTAGGGGATGGCACTTGCCTGCCTGCTCGGATGGACGCCCAAGGGCAGCCAATAGCAGCCGACTACGGCATGGAGATCATCGACGGGGTCGCTGTCCCAGCGGCGAGCGAGGTAGCCGCGGTTAAGAGTGATGGAGAAGGTAAGGATGGTGAGGCGACCGAGAGCGTCAAGGACGGCGAGGTCGAGGGTGCTTGTTGGTGCCCAGGCGAGGTGGACAAAGGGGGCACCGGCCGAGGTCAGGGTAAGGCTGGAAGAAGAAGTGGAGGCGGGGCTGGAAGAGGGCCCTTGCGAGACGTTAGACCAGGGGCTCGGCTCGCTCATGTCCCAGTCGCCGTTTTGAGGGTTGCAGCGGATAAACCGCAGGTCGATGGACATGCCGTCCTTGGAGATGGCAGCAATGGTGCCCTGACGAGACCAAGCGATGCCCTGGCAGCAGCCGCGGGAACGCAGCTCATCGAGACGTTGCTGCAGCTGCTTGCTCAATGGCGGGCGAGCCGGCAAACCGGCAAGGGCATTGCCCATGACGGGGTCACCGAACAGGTCAACCTCGTCCAATGCCATGGCGTTTTCTATGCCCTGAATTCCCTGGATTCCCTGGATTCCCTGGATGCCCTGAATGCCTTGGATTCCTGCATCGACATTCATTGCGTCTCCCTCCAGGAGGAGGGTCATGTCCTGGGCGGCCATTCTGGGAACGGGATCCGCACTCGACAGCGAGCTGATCGAGTCGCCCGCGGACGGGCCCCAGAGACGGGTATGCCCGATTATGCAGTGCTCGGCGAGAGAGTCAAGTAGATGTTTGTACCTCAGCTCCTTGATTCTGAGGGAAGCTCAACAGGTGCAACTTTAAACTGTGACCGTAGAACTGTGAACGGAATAAAATAATCAGCTTAACGATGCAATTTGTAATGATGCATCCAAAACCACGGTGAGCAATGTGGCAGTTCGTTAACAAAATGTATACATCGTCTTGTGGCGGTTGTACTTGAGCCAGTACAACAGTGGCCGAGCTTTGAAGATGCAAGTATGTAAACTGTACGGAGTAGAGTGAGGTATAAGTAATAAGGCTGTGGAAAGTCTGGAAACAACCTAACCTTAACGTAGATGAAGACGGGACACAAGGCGGCACGTGCCAAGATTTGGTGGGCCCTGGCCCCGCCTTGGACAAAGCTAGCGATCTGACTGGCGGACTTGGAAGGTTTGACTGAAGGAAGGTCAACGTCTCCGCGCAACGCGTTAACATCGAATTGATGACTAAAGATGTAAACTTCGTCTAACAGCTTAGGTTTTGTTAACGCCAGCCTGGTTGTGTGTTGTGTACTCTTTCACACCAGGTTGGTAAGTCTCTACTCTACAGTACTTTGTTTGCCGAATTTTGCCGAAACCGCCGCTTTGACAGTGTATGGGGGATCGCCAGCGAAGTTCCGGACTCAACTCTGCCCGACCGGCATCCCGTTAAACGGACACGACCAAGCGAACGGAGCTGCTGTGGATATAGGAAATACTTGTCATTCAAAGCGAAATACTGTGCTTCGTAGATGTATGAATAATCCTGTGCATAAGAGAACAGCTGTACATATCCGTCCTCGTCGGCCAGTTACTTCCATTCAACTGAGGGAAGACCTAACGTCAGATTAGTAGCTTCCAACCAACCTGGAAGTTAGGAGTTGGTCCGCCTTTGCCGCAATTGGAGGCCCTATTACAGCAGCCAAAGCCTTGCAACCGAGCGCACCAATTGCCAATTCGCAAGGGGCCAGCTACCCGTGTCCCGACGGTGGAACCGTCCACTCGCCAGCAACAATGCCCAGCCGCCAGAATAACAATTCGCACACACTCCCTGACCTTCAACCAGCCTCCTTTTTGGTCCCATTCTTGCACACGCGACGCGTGGGTTACGCGACTAAAATATTCCTTCCAGCAGACTACAAGGATAAGAGAGTTTAGAGATCAAGAGGGAGAGAGACTCATCAGGAATAAAGCCGCCAAAAATAAGTCGACGTCTTGATTCTCAACCATGACATTATAACACCGCAACCTTACGCGCTCCCTTTTCGACAACAAACTCTTTTTCGAATTACCACTCCCTTCGTTTCGACCACGACGCTTCCCATCGCGCAATTGCCTTCTCGGTCGGTCAATGCGCTTGCACCGGATCTAAAAAGAACCCAAAGATGGCGTCTCTTCGGCCTCCACCATCCTCTCCCCCCTCGTCTCCTCCTTCCTCTCCGCTCTCCGTCCTCTCTCAGTCACCCTCTCCACCCTCACCGGCGCTGGACGCCTCGAAGCGATACCCTTCACCCAGCTCAAGCGCTACTATGTCTGGCAGCGCGTCGCCCATCAAGCCTTCCGACATGTCGGATTCGCCCGACGAGATATGCGTGAGGACAGACGGCCCCCCGCCGCCCAAGCGTAGACGCATCGCCGCGCCTCCGAAACCTCGCACAACTGCCTATGTCGATCTGGAGAGCTACAGCGACGAGGGCGAGCAACACCTCCAGAGACTCTTGTCAGCCCTGAGAAAGAAGAAGAAGATCGTCGTGATTGCCGGCGCCGGCATATCAGTGTCTGCTGGGAGTATGTAAACCTCTTCATTGAGGTATTCTCTACCCAAGAATATGGCTTACTAACGCGCTTCCAGTCCCTGATTTCCGCTCATCGACCGGCCTGTTTGCCACTCTTCGTGAGCAGCACAAGCTCAAGGCCTCTGGCAAGCATCTGTTTGATGCCTCCGTGTACAAGCACGATTCGTCAACCGAGTCCTTCCACACCATGGTCCGCGAACTCGCCCACATGACGGCCAAGGCCAAGCCGACCCCATTTCACCACATGCTGGCGTCTATTTCTGCCGAAGGACGGCTCTTGCGTCTGTACAGCCAGAATATCGACACTCTGGACACGCAAATGCCGCCTCTATCAACCACCGTCCCGCTGAATAGCAAGGGACCTTGGCCCGCAACCATCCAGCTTCACGGCGGCCTCGAGAAAATGGTATGTACGAAATGCGGCCATCTGGAGCCGTTCAATGCCTCCTTGTTCGAGGGCCCAGAACCTCCGCTGTGCGAGAAGTGCAAGGAGCAAGACCAGGTGCGGACCGCCTTTGCCGGGAAACGGAGCCATGGAATTGGCAGGCTGCGCCCGAGAATTGTGCTTTATAATGAGTACAACCCCGATGAGGAAGCCATCGGCAACGTTTCCAAGGCCGATCTGCGAAGAGTGCCTGACGCCGTCATTGTAGTGGGCACGAGCTTGAAGATCCCCGGGGTGCGGAGAATTGTCAAGGAGATGTGCCAGTTAACCAGGAGTAGAAGGGATGGCATTACCGCCTGGATCAATATCGACCCTGAGCCCCAGGGCGTAGAGTTCAAAGACTGCTGGGATCTCGTCATCCGCGGAAAATGCGACGACATCGCCGAGCTGGTGAACCTACCACGCTGGGACCAGCAAGACATAGGCGACCGGGACTCGTACATGGTCACTGGTGATGAGCAAAAGGAGAAGCGGCTGGAAGCTAGCTTGCATCGCGATAGAATTGACGTGCTCCTTGAGCGCAAGCGGAAGCTTCGCACAGACGAGGAAGGCACAGTCTCATCCCAAGAGCCGCTGACGCCCGCAAATCGGAAATCCGCATTAGCCGAGCAAAGAGGCATGCCGACGCCGAGCGCGAGCCCCAGAATCCGGAGCCCCCTTCCCCCAGTGGTCAGATCCGTGGCCAAGGAGAGAACCAAGCAGAGCACACTCGCATTTGGCAGCAGCACCAAGATGCAGAATTCGCCGTTATCTCCTTCAGCACAGAAGAAACCTGCTGCTCCAGCAAAACGAAAACCGCGCCAGCCGTCCAAAAAGAAGGAGCCTGCCGGCGTCAAGCCCAAGAACCGGCTCGACCAGACCTTCAAAACCACCAAGACGACCGCAGTTGCCGCTACTGGTGGCAAGGACGCAAAGACGCCGCACAAACGAAAGGATTCCAACTCCTCGTCGGACCTGTCCTCACCTCCCGACCACCTTCCCAGCGACAACTTCTTCGGCCTCCCTTCGCTACGCCCGCAAAACAGAGCCCACAAGCCTGCCCCGCTGACCGTTCTCCCTCCCCCGCCGCCGAGCGGCAGCAACGGAAGCGGCATGGACGACTTTTGGAAGGGTGGGTCGAGTCCTCCGCAGACCCCGACCACGGCTTCGGCATGCGACTTGGCCGCGCCGGCGGGGACCATCTCGCCTACTTCCAAGCCTAGGAGTATGGGGCACCTGATTGACTGATTAAGTGGGTGGGTGGGTGGGGGATGTGGTAGATGGTCTTGGACGTGGGGACTGATCCAGTTAGGATCTTTGTTCTCCAGTGATCCGTTGATAACTGGGTTAATGACCGAGGCGTGTTTTTTGGCTGGCCATATATCATGTACATACATATCCATTATGGCCAACGAAGTTTGCGCGCTTCGGGAGCGGTTTTACCTCTTTTCTTTTCTGTGATTGACAAAGGGGTTTGATTTCCCCTGGCTATGCGCCGAGGGTAGAGGTGGCTGCTGGGCAGGTGCCCTACAGCGGGAGGGGGGATGGGTGGTGTGACTCTCTGGTTGGAGTTGGCGAGATGTACAATACAATAATACCCGCGGCATTGCTTGGTTGTAGTTGGGGATGGGTATTAATTCGTTGGCGTCGCGAGGCATGCATCATATGGGGGTGAACTGCCGGGTTGGGCAAGAAAACCTGGAGGGCAAAGGGAAAAAGGGTTGTTCCGCTGAATAGTATTAGCCTGCTTCAGCTCTTTGGCATGTTTATCAATAGACTTGATTCGAGGTGTACTTTGGATTAGCTATTTCCATTAGCCGCTCCTGTCTTAGAACCGCATACAGTAAGTTGCCCGAAGCAGTCTTGGTCGGAGATGAGTTGAGACTATGAGGTTCGAGCATCCTAGCAAGATAGAAGCACTCCAAGAACACCTGGAAGGACAGACAAGGCGGTGAAATCACGCTTGAATGATAGTAGTGATACACTCCCAATCAACTGGAATACAGAGTCCATTGACTTGCTTTAGCCGTCTCCATAATCATGACACAAGACACTCATGTCTCCCAAGTCCCCAACCACGATTTCCCACCGACTTGGCCGACGAGTAGGCTCATCTCCACGATGCTGTCTAGATAAGATCATAACGCAACACCAGCCTGACACGGTATATAAAGCAGCTAAAAACATACAAAGCCGGAAGGTAACGCAGGAAAAAATCATCGCCATCGCCATCGCCAATGATGCCTGCCCAGAACCGGAACTAGACCCAACAACCCCTTGTCTTCTTCAAGAGCCCTCGCGTCCTGTCTCTTTCTTAAGGTTGGTAACCTTGACATCATCTCCCTTCTCATTCCAAGCCGCCATGAACGAGCACATTCATAGTTCTTCTTTTCTTTTCCCATATTTGCGCCGGGCCCAATGCAAAAAAGAACAGAACGGGAAAGAAGTTTTGAGCAGGTCTCGAGAGGTCTCCATGATACACAACCGACCTCCTCCCTCTTAGGCAACCATCCCGCAACCACAGAACCCAGCCCAGAGACTAAGACGTTATCATAGGCCAGTAGTATCTTTGATCTCGAACAACCCGCGCTGCTCTACTATGAACCTAGTAGGGACTGTGTCTTGCCGGGGGGCTACGGCTCTGCCACGATGAATGGCGGAGGGGAACACCCCTATCAGTAAGGCCGCTACCACCACCAGCGCCTCCTCCGCCGCCGCCGCTCCCCCCGCCAGGCCTGCGGTGGCGGTAGAAATTGAGGCGGTCACCGTCTTCATAATAGTTGCGCCGCTTGGGTTCCTCGCGCCTCTCCTCCCTCCGCTCCTCGCGGCGGTCATCGCGGTACGGGTCCCGTAGCGGGGCGCGGCGGTCCTCTCGGTCGCTCGCAATCTCGCCGTCTTCGAGGTCAGGATTTCTCAGCCGCCTAAGCTCGTTGGCCCTTTCCTCTTCCCGCTTGGCCCTGTCCTTCTCCAACAGGTCCCCAAACATTCGCTGCAGCCGCTTTCCCGACACCTTAACGTCGCCAATGGGCCAGATGGAAGACAGGAACTCCCTTTCACATACGTTAATACATTTTTTCCCGTGACGAGAAAATGGGGGACCGTCCCCAGGGCCAGTTTTACTTACCAAAACTGTGGTTCCAGGCTCTCAAGGTCGGCTGCGTTCTGCGCTCGCAGGCCTTTCAAGTAGTTTCCAAAGGCACGAATCTCCTCGCCCAGGATCTTGGCGCGTTCCTTCGCGGCAGGGACTCGCTCCTTCGAATACATGATGCGCTCCATGTTCGGCTTCAGAGGCCGGAGGATAGACCAGACAAGCTGCGCGTTGTCCGAGCTATCAATCTCATCGTCGCGCAGCTTTGCGAGTTCGTGGAAGCGCTCGACCGCCTTTTGTCTTTCCCGCTTGTATCGCTCCATGGTCTCTGGGTCCATCTTGGGTTTGTCCTTGTCCTTGGACTTCTTGTCGTGTTTCCCATCAGACTCTACGCGCCGGTGCTTGGAGTTGCGGTCATCGTAGTCGTCGTTATATTTGCGCTTGTCAGGTCTTGGTGTGCCACGATCATTCGCATTGCTGTACGACCTGTGGTGGTCACGGTCGCGGTGTTGACTAGGTTTCTTGGACACCGGCGGCGCTGGTGAGGCTGAAACAGAATTTGGCTCGCCACGGCGTGCGCCGTTTGTCAAGAGCTTCTTGCTACGATGATGATTCTCCACGGCCTTTTTGGCGTTCTCATCATTCGAATACTTGGCCAAAAGGACCGAGAGAAGGTACTCAGACCGCCGCACGAGATGCACGGCGCCGGGAGATTGGATGGCCTTATCGTCAGCCCTCCGGCGCTCTTCTTTCTTGTCAACACGGTGTTCTTCCAAAAAGAACTTGTCATGCATCTGGAGCTCGGGGTCATCCCTGATCTGTGCCCAGGCGCCAAAGCCATACTTGTCGATGCCAACCAGCAGCATGCCATCCTCTCTCGCCCCCCATTCGCAAGAATACTGTGCGGCTTTGGTAGCGTCTGGCAGCCTGAACGACAAGAGATCTCCGTGCTCTCGGAGCACTTTGCGTAGGAGCTTTAGTTGAGGCGGTCGCTCGACGACGGTCTCAGCGTTGACTTTTCGAACCTCGCCAAAATCTACCAGTACGGCTTTCTTGTCCTTTTTTGCAAGCGGTTTGCCCGCCCTCTCCTCTTCTTCGCGGAGTCTTTCGTTGTTGGCTTCAACCGCTTGCCGGCTCACCGCGATCAGATCGTCGATGATCGACTTTAGAAAGTCGCGGTCTCGATCGCTCAGACGAGCGTCCTGAACCACTTCTTCCTCGCGATCTTCCAGAGAACCATAGCGGAAGAAGGCACGGATGAGGTTTCGTGTCTCCTTCTCATTAAGAGGCCGTCGAGGATCCGAAAGCAATGCTCGTTGCTCCTCCATTTCTTCCTGTTCCTGTTTCTCTCGTTGCCTTTTCTTAGCGAGGCGCTCGGCTCGGTCGGTTTCCGCATTCTTCTTGGCACCCTTCAATGCAGCCTTGCGAGGGGCATTCTCTTCCATGGCTTTGGCCAAATAAGCCTCGTGCTTCTTCTTTTCTTCTTCAGCCTTGATGGCAGCGAGCTGGTCAGCGGGGATAATCTGGTCCCAATCGAGGGCCAGATCATCGACTTTGACATCAGTGACTTGCATCCAGTTATCCCAATCAATACCGCCACTACTCAGATTAATCTTGTCATTGACATCCGTCTTTGTGACCTCGGCATTCTCGAGAATCGCGTCGATGTCGAGTTGCTCCAGTTTCTCCTGGTTGCCCGACTGCTCAAACAGATTCTGAGAGCGCATCTTCAAGATCATTGAGATATCCTCGGCGGTCTTGGCCTCGTCAATTTTGAGGCCACGCTCCTTGAACTGTTCACGGAGGGCTTTGCCTTCGTCCGTGACGCCAGCTTGGATGGTGAGATACTCGAGGAAGAGCTTGTTGCGGGCGCGCTTGACCACTTCTTCCTCGATGGTCTGCTTTGCGACCAGCCGGTAGACATTGACCGGCTTCTTTTGGCCGATTCGGTGAGCTCGCGCCATGGCTTGCAGGTCCGCTTGCGGGTTCCAATCCGAGTCGTAGATGATAACCGTGTCAGCGGTCATGAGGTTGATGCCGAGACCACCGGCCCTGGTTGACAGCAAGAAGCAAAAGTCATCGCTGTCTTCGGCGTTGAAGTGGTTGATTGCCATGCGGCGGGGCCCGGCCGGGATTGTGCCGTCAAGCCGCTGAAATTGATAGCCGCGGACACGGAGGTAATCACCCAAGATGTCAAGCATTTTAACCATCTGGCTGAAGATAAGGACACGATGGCCGTCCTTTTTCAACTTGGCAAGAAGCTGGTCGAGGAGCATCATCTTACCACTGCTCGTGATGAGGCCCTTGATTTGGTCTTCCCGGCGGGTGCTACCGCCAAGCACTCGCTCTTCGGCGCCTTGAAACATGTACGGATGGTTGCTGACCTTCTTCAGCTCCATCATGATATTGAGTAATGACTGTTTATGGCCATTGCTAGCGTCGCTGAGGGCAGCGTAGTTGCGTGTGAGGATATTCTTGTAGTATTCAAGTTGGACATCGGACAACTCAACACGGATGATTTTCTCGGTCTTGGGAGGGAGGTCCGACTCGACCGTCTCCTTGGTTCGACGCAGGATGAAGGGAGCGATAGCGCTATGTAGTTCTCGAAGCTTTTGTTGAGTCTTGAGCCTCTTCGCCTCGTCTTGCTCTTCATCAATGACGTCTTTGTTATCTGCTGTCGAGAGCAACTCGAGTTCCTCATCAATCCGGACTTTCCCAGGGTTTAGGAAATCCAGAAGGGCAGAGAGTTCAGCAAGGTTATTTTGGATAGGTGTGCCGGTAATGAGAACCTTGCAAGGGACGCCAAAATTGTTTAGCTTCGCATACAGTTGCGACTCGCGGTTCTTCAAACGGTGGGCTTCGTCAACTGCGAGAACCTGCCACTTGATGCCCTTGAGATGGTCCGCGTCGGCGAGGATATAGTCGTATGACGTGACGAGGACATTAAACTTGGTCTTCTTGGGATTGCCATCGACAAAAAGCTCGTACTCTCGGATGTTGGCTCGTGCCGGTTCAGGGCCGAGATATACAACATAGTTGAGGTCCGGAGCCCAGTGATTAAAGGTATCGCACCAGGCAGGGATGACACTGAGCGGTGCAACAACGAGGAACGGTCCTTCTTGGCCCCGATCGTTACGGAGCCAGCTGAGGAACGAAACTGTCTGTACCGTCTTACCAAGACCCATCTCATCAGCTAGGATGACGTTATTACTGCGTGTCCAATTGAGCGCAAGGAAGTTGAGTCCCTTCATCTGAAACTCGCGCAGCTCGCCGCCTTGGATGTAGGGCGGTTGCTTATCCATTAGTACCATCCTCGACCGCGTATCGGGGTTGCTCTGTTTCTTATCCGATTGCCAGGAGCGCGACGACCGGTCAATGAACTGGTCGATCTTGTCCTGGGCATGGCTGCTGACCACGGAGGCGGCTTCCCAGGTGCACTCGTCATACTGAAGCCCTTTCCACTTGACAAAGTATTCGGGGCCATCGTCACCTTCCCGGACAGCGACGACACGCTCGACTTTTGTGAAGTCCTCCAGGGCCTCTTCCTCACGTTCCCTATCCAGCAGCCATTGCTCCCGCTGCTCAGGGGTGATCTCATCACCCCCAAACTGCAGATCAAGCTCGTACTCAACGACCCTTTTGTAGTAATTCTCGAGGCGTCGGAACCCGCGGTATCCGGCGACAGTCTCGGTGGTCTCCCAGGTATTGTGAAGATGGGATTTCCCCTGCCACTTGATGTAGTATTCAAAGTCGTGCCGGGTGGCGTCGGGCGTGAGTTCTACGCCCTCTTTGGGGCGGTGACGGAGGATTTTCTCGATGTAAGGCGAGTTGTCTTCGGCATCGGCGGCCCAGTAGTTCGGAGTCACTTCATCCTCGGCTTCCTCTTCCCCTTCGCTTTCCTGATAAGCACCGACTGAGACCTGAGCGGCACGACGGCTGGACCATCGCTTTTCAGCTAAGGCCAGTGCCGGCTGTAACTCTTGCTGTCGTCGGGCCTTTTTCTGGAAGCTGCGGGCTTTCGCGCCGCCGTATGTATCGGAATCGGAATCGTCAGCGGACGTCTGGCGAGCGGGAGTCCCTCGCTTGGAGGCTGCCGATTGACAAAAAGGTCAGTCATGGACCATCGACACAGTAGTCAAGTGAGGTTTTACATACTCGGCAGCGAGCGCTCCACCCGACGGCGTTTGACAACCTTTCGAGGAGCAGGAGTGGCATCAGACTCAGATGCCTCTTCATCTTCCGACTCAACCTGCACAACGGTGATCAGTATGCGGACTACAGGTGCCAGAGGCCAAGCAGCAATGACTCACAATTTTCCGACGCTGGGTAGGACGGGACTATTTCCTTGACTGTTAGCGGACAGGTGCATCGAGTTGTGAGAGATAATCGTACGCTTCGCCTCAAACCGTATAGCTCAGGGTTGTCCCGCATAAACTCATCCTCTATGGCCTGAGCAGCTTTGCGCTTGGGGGCAGGCCGGGCTGACGCTGACGCGGTGTGGTCTCCATCGACATTGCTCTGCACAGAGCCGGGACTGCCTGCAGCATCAAAGTCCCCGTCATCCGGCGCGTCATTGTCGCTCGAGTCAGAAGACTCTCCCTGACCTAACTCAGGCCCCTCATCCCGCGAGCCGACAGCATCAGCGGAGTCTGGCGACGGGACACCAGCCGCGGCAGGCTGGGCCTCTGACAAGTCGCTTTCACTCCGGTTGTCGTTCGCAGAATTGAAGTTATCTCGATCGGGTGAGGCGTGTCCATTCATTGGACCCGGTTCCGGGGATGTTGACATGACGATCTTCAGACGGCGAGCTGCCTGCTGCAAGACGGCGATGTCAGCAACTGATCTCTCGCACGGGCGGGATCGCAAGCATGGGCATCAGAAAGAGACAGCACATGCGACCGGGGATTAGCAAGCAACGATAGGAAAGCACGCAGAATCACGTTTCAATGATACTTGTCGCATCCCGGTCGTAGAAGTGATGAAAGCGACGCGCGAGCGATGGCGGACAGCGATTGCGGCCTCCAGCGACTCGGGACGCGGACTCCGCAGCGCGAACGGCATCTGGGCCATCGAGTAGCGCGAATCCCATCAAATTTCGACTGCTGGAAGGTACCAGGAGGGTAGCGGAAGCGGCATCTTGATGGACATGTGCTGGGTTCGATGGGATTTCGATGGGCAAGTCACGGTAGGCTTACGACGTCGCTGTGTGTGCAAGGGACAAGTAACTGCAGAACTTACAGGACATTAACAATGGCCTCCAGGCAGCAGAAGTCGCCGATACGCGCTTGAGGTCTGTTATGATGGGTATCAGGGGGTGGGGTTGTAGAGGGTTGGAGACCCCAGTGCGGTTAGTGATGATGGTGGTGTAGCGGAAAATCGCAGTGGTGGTCGGAGGAGAAAGAATGGAAAATGGTGAATTAGAGCCAGGCACCCCAGTGGCCTGTGCTCGGCTTTCAATAAGTTAGCCTGGCCGGCCAAACCAGCCCCACCTGAGATCTGCGGATTGGCCCCAACAGCGAATCCGATGAGGCTGACAGCTGGCTCCCGGTCCAATTTCTGGTCTTCGGTCGCGCCTGTTTAGCGACTCAACAATGACACAGCGAATGCTCAAATCGCTGATAGAATGTTCAAAATGACTGGAAATCTCACCTCTTTTCTTTTCAAACCACTTGGAGCTCCTCATACAAGGCGACGACAGGCATGCTATAAAGAGCCCTACGTCAGAACTATTTCCCTCAAACAACTTCAGGCTCTTCTCTTCCCAGGATAGAGCAGTTCTGCCACGTTCAAGTCCTTATGAAATGCTCACCACGACGATGCTCGTGTTCTCATACCTTGATTTTTTTTTTTTTTTTCTTTTTTTCTTTGTCTCAAGCAAATGGTACCTATAGATGCGCTTTGTAACAGTCACTGCGTTCGAACGCGGCTTCACAGCTTCTATTGCATCTCCCACTTTCACTTAGCCCCCGACGCCACGATGTTCTAAACACCGGGCAAGCATGGTGCTGCGTCCGACCGTGTCAGGAGGTCAGGGCGTCAGCAGTCTTAGAGTTGAGTCCTCCCCGCTCTTCCTGCCATGTGTGCCCCGTACATGGAACCGGTTCAGGACAACTGTCCTTCCTGTCCCTTCACTGCTGCTCGCATGAGATGGAACTGCGATGCACGTGAACCAAAGCCACCACGGAAGGGGCCAACTTGGAGACTGGAGTGAATGCCCATCCACGACAGTTTCTAAGCCTGTAACGAGACGGTTATATCCTTCCTGACAGTTCCTTTGTATACAACCCATTGCTCTATTTACCCCCTTATCCCTGAACTCCGTACAATACTCTATAGTCACGTTCCATTATACCATGTAAGTGGAGCGCTTCAACACAGTGATGAGATCGTGATGCATAGCGACGTTTACGGCACAGCGGAGGACGAGAGTACAACTTTGCGGATGTGAACCTCTCCGATTCCCGCTAGCGACATCTGGATTTCTGCGTGACTACTTTGGTCGGCTGTCGTTCAATGGTTGGAGGCCGGGCTGTAGTAGCGCCGATTCTAGCGTTTCCTCCTATCGAGTGAGTATTGGCGGTACATATGTTCGGTACAGTGAGGAATCCATCGTCTTGGGCCGTTGGCCTATCAATTGTGGCGCATTTTGGCTTACAGTACTCGACCTCTCCAACTGGGCAGGCCAAGCGCTAGCCGCCTTTGTGGCATGGGCCCTTGGCATTTTGCCCTGCCCCTCCTCCACAAGGAAGAACAGCAAGTGACATTTTCGCGGGACTAAGATTCCCAGGTTGACCCACGTTGCCCCTCCTTCGGCCTCGCATTTCATTATTTTCACTGCCCATACAACAGTATCCTGCGTGATTCCGTACATCCAAAGGATTGTCTCGACTCGTACTCCTTTTCGCTTCCTTTAGTTGCGATCGACGAGCCGCCCGTCGGTTCTGAAGACACAACCCTTGCTGCCCCGCTGCGATCGTGCTAAATTCGGGTCAACGATACTGCCCACGTCATGGCCGACCGACTTACTCGGTATGTCTACCAACTGCTGCCGCCGAACACCCACCTCGCTTCATGAGATCGATGGCCGAGCTTGTGAGCTGACTCTGTGAAACAGTGTCGCTATTGTGAATAGCGACAAGGTACGTCAGATTCCTGAAGGCCGCTGCCTCGCCATATCGGGACGGACAAAAGAAAAGCTGACCAGGCTGACGACGGACATGAATAGTGCAAGCCAAAGGTTCGCGCAACAGCAGGAAGGAGCTGGAAGTCAAGGATTGCGCTGACCCGGGAGATAGAAATGCCGCCAAGAGTGCAAGAAGTCGTGTCCTGTGGTGCGGTCTGGTAAACTCTGTGTATGCATTCACATCCCCCTTGTTTTTCCGTCGAGGCATTCTCACTAACTAACCCGCTTGTAGATCGAGGTATGCCCAAAACACACAACCACCCCAAGACACCCCGAACTCTCGTTGCCTAACACCGCCCTAGGTAACACCAGAATCCCGCATCGCCTTCATCTCCGAGCAGCTCTGTATTGGTTGTGGTATCTGCCCGAAGCGCTGCCCGTTTGGCGCCATTACCATCATCAACCTTCCCACCAACCTTGAGAGCCAAATTACACATCGCTATGCCGCGAACAGCTTCAAGCTCCACCGCCTTCCCATGCCGAGACCCGGAAACGTGCTGGGCCTTGTGGGGACAAACGGTATCGGCAAGAGCACGGCGCTCAAGATTCTCAGCGGCAAGCTCAAGCCCAACCTGGGCAGATATGACAATCCGCCAGACTGGGAAGATGTAATCAAGTACTTCCGCGGTTCCGAGTTGCAGAGTACGGCACGCCTCTCAGTAGTAGGCTTGTGATTTTGCTAACCGAAGCGGCAGACTACTTTACCAAGCTGCTTGAGGATGACCTGAAAGCCGTGGTCAAGCCGCAGTACGTGGACCAGATTCCTAAAGCCATCCGCCAGGCCGACAAGAGCGTCAAGACTTTGATTGAGAGCCGCCAGGCAATGGACAACCTGGATGAGGTGGTCGACACTCTCGGTAAGCGCCACTCCTGGTCGGATCCTGACTATGGTTGATTTAACACGCGACAGAATTGCGCCACATTTATGACCGCGATGTTACTCTCCTTTCTGGTGGCGAGCTTCAGCGTTTCGCTATCGGAACCGTCTGCGTCCAGAAGGCCGATGTGTAAGTCCACTTACCGGCACTCACGGTTTCAGCATCGCTTACTATGAGCAGGTACATGTTCGATGAGCCGTCTTCGTATCTCGATGTGAAGCAGAGACTCAGCGCTGCTCGTATCATCCGATCGCTTCTGCGTCCTGATGATTATGTCATTGTCGTCGAGCACGATTTGTCCGTGCTTGACTATCTCTCTGACTTCATTTGTGTTCTCTACGGACAGCCGGCTGTTTATGGTGTCGTCACGCTCCCTCACTCGGTCCGTGAAGGCATCAACATCTTCCTGGATGGCCACATTCCGACCGAAAACCTACGATTCCGCGAGGAAAGCTTGACTTTCCGTATTGCCGAAGGAACCGAGGACTTTGTGGCCGAAAAATCCCGTGCTTTCCGCTACCCGGCAATGGAGAAGACTCTTGGAAACTTCAAATTGAGCATTGATCCGGGTAGCTTCTCTGACTCTGAAATCATTGTCATGATGGGCGAGAACGGTACTGGCAAGGTAAGACAGTGTAGCCACTCCCATTCTCGATGCTGTAGACTGACCGCCAACAGACCACTTTCTGCCGTCTTCTTGCAGGCGCTCTCAAGCCTGACGGGACCAAGAAGGTCCCTGAGATGAAGATTAGCATGAAACCTCAGACGATTACGCCCAAATTCGAGGGCACGGTCAGGCAGCTGTTCTTCAAGAAAATCAAGGCGGCATTCCTGTCTCCCCAGTTCCAGACGGATGTCGTCAAGCCCCTTAAGCTTGATGATTTCATTGATCAGGAAGTGAAGAACTTGTCCGGTGGTGAACTTCAAAGAGTGTGTACCCTTGGTTTCCCTGCATTCAGTCCTCGCTGACCGTCAACAGGTGGCCATTGTTCTGGCCCTGGGCCTGCCAGCCGACATCTATCTCATCGACGAACCCTCTGCCTGTAAGTTGTGTTTATTCTCGTATACCCTATCGTCGTTGTAGATCAGCTCACTTATACGCCTGCAGACCTCGACTCGGAGCAGCGTATCGTGGCTAGCCGTGTCATTAAGCGGTTCATTATGCACGCCAAGAAGACTGCATTCATTGTCGAGCACGATTTCATCATGGCTACCTATCTCGCTGATCGTGTCATCGTCTTTGACGGTCAGCCGGGTATCAATGCTCATGCCAACAAACCCGAGTCCCTGCTCACTGGTTGCAACACCTTCCTGAAGAACCTGGACGTCACATTCCGCCGTGACCCGACCAACTTCCGGCCCCGGATCAACAAGCTGAACTCGCAGCTTGACCAGGAGCAGAAGTTGAGCGGTAACTACGTAAGAAACCTCATTCTCCCCTGTATCATCTGTACCATGACCCGCAACGCTGACACTCTCCGTCCCAGTTCTTCCTGGAGGACATCGACAAGAGCTCGTGAAAAGGGCATCCCAAAGGACACGCACAAGCAGCACGACCGCCGCCTCCCTCGTGACGATGCATCGGATTCTGGAGTTCTAGGCGTTCAAAAAGGCGGTGGCTGTACAAACCGCGGCGCCCGGGGTGATGGCCGTGATGGTGCATTAGAGGAAGGCGGCTCGTCCGAGGATGACGATCCGGACATTTAGCCCCGGCGGCGGCAGTCTATCCCCTGTTGCCTGGTCCTACCTGGAAGAGACAGCACCCCCGCGTTGTGGGAGGGCTGGTCCCGGTTTCCCCTCCCTCCTGGGGAGAAAGAAAACAGAGGATGAAGAAGAGGGGAGGGAGGGGCAATAAGGGATTGAAATTCTTGGTAGATTGAGGGGCAATGGGTCAAGTTGGGTGACTGCCGCCGGGCCCCCTTCAAGTTTGTTCTACGAAGGGGGCCGCTAAGGGTGAGGACTCGGTTCTAGCTAGAAGTCATAAAGCCATTAAGGACGTGAATAGCAAGTCAATATCAAAAGGGATCTGTCCATTGCTCTGTAGCTACTGTGATTCGCATGGATGTACGAGCTTGTTCCGTTGTCATGTATAACTTCGGCTGGGTCTGCCGTTTCGCCAACACGTCAAGTACCTACGGATTTCACACATGTAGCAGATTGGGTAGCAAACATCTACAAGTTGGTACACCAGACTTCCCGTTTATAACTACAGTATTATGTTACGGGTGGGCAGATAGGAGCCTACCAGCGGCGCCAAGCCAATCCTGGCTTCGACAGCTATGGGTGACATGAGTAAGGGTTGCAGATGGGTAACGTACGTTGACAAAGAATCCCCAAACAAAAACATCGTTTCAACACCGGATACCTGTGCTCCTCGTTCTTGGTTTGGCTGTTTGTTGTTGGGTTTAATCCTCCTCAATCTCTCCTTCCTCACTGCCGGCCCGCACACTGGGCGACTTTTCCTTCTGTTGCTGCTGCTTCTGATGCTGCGGGGTACGAGCAGGAGCAGCAGCAGCAGCAGCAGTGCCTCGACTGCTGGGGGGCCGGTCACGCTCACCTCGCTCAGCTCGTTCACTGCGATCATCGAGTTTGACGCGCTTGGCGGCGTGACGGGCAGCGCCGTCTCGCCTGTCATGGTCATCGTCCTCGGCGCGGGGGCGGCGCGAGGAGGAGCCGGGCCGTCCTGCACTACCCGAGGCCGCAGTGCTGGACTCGTCGCCATAGGGGAGCTCGTCGACGTCCCGCTCGAGGATGCGCCTGCGGTAGATGCGTTCCCTGTCCTCCTCGCGACTGCGACGCTCGCGGTCGTAGTGGTTGGCCTCGTCGGCAAGCCGGGGCGGCGGGGCCCGACGGTCATAGTCGTCGCGCCGGTGATCGGGGCCGCGATGATCGCGGTAGTCGCGGTCGCGGTCGCGGTCGCGCTCACGTTCACGGTCTCGCTCCCTATCGCGTTCGCGGTCACGATCACGCTCACGATCGCGGTAATCGCGACCACGGTCACGCTCCCGATCTCGCTCCCGATCACGGTCGCGATCATGACCGCGATCCCGGTCCCGGTCTCGATCCCGCAGCGAGTCGACGTGAGGGGTCACGGACCGGCGATCGGACAGCAAAACATCAGCGGCGCCGCTGGTTTTGCGGTAGTTGCGCTCGCGCTCGGCCACGGCATGGCGACGCTCGGCCTCATAGCTGTTGTGCTCTGGGCTGCGGCTCCTAGCAGAACGTCCAGTACTGCGATGAGATCGCTCACCTCTATCACGATAGCCGTCCGGGCGGTCACGGCGGCGCAGGCGCTCCTTCTCGGCCTCCTCTTCCTTCTCCCTAAGACGGCGGATGTGCTTTTCGAAGGCGCCCCGGCGGGCTTCGTCAGGGGTTACGGCCTGGAAGGCGGGGACATGAGCAAGACGGGTTTTGACCTGCTCGTAAGTGTCATTGACGTTGATTGGCGGCTCCATCCGCTTCATATGCGCACGCAACTCGTCCAGCGCACGGCGTTGCTGACGGTCCGCCTGGCGGTCCTCGTCCGAGCGTTTGACCCGCTTCTGGGACTGGGTCTAGATTGTTAGCGACGATGCGCCAATTAGGAACATCTGGGGATACGGCTACTCACCCGTTCAAAAATAAGCTCCAAGGCATCGCGTTCAATGTTAGCTGTGCGGTGATCACTTCTGAGCACTGACTCGAATTCTTCAAACGTGGTCTTTGGAGTAATCTCGAAACGTTTGTCCTGCGAACTTTCGTTAGCTATGTAAAGCTTAGAAGGGAAGCCGGCGGTCTTACATCAATGACGTCGAGAACATCATTTCTCGTGCTTCTCAGCGCACGCTCCTCTTCCTCCACCACATCCCAGAATAGATCCATAGCTGTTGAGCCGGGCTGGCCAGCCATGGCTTTATAGCGCTCGTCGTTCTCGATGAGCGGGTGAATCTGGGTCCATTTCGTACCAGCCTTGATCTTGCCGGCCTTTCTTAGTTCGGAGAGAAGGGCCATAAAGTTGTCGCGGGCCTTGCGTTCGCGCCGGAACTTCTTGTTCTTTTCTTCCTGTACAGAATCATTGAACTTACGTTCCAATGCCTTGACGTGGTTTTGGAAGACAGTCAAGACATCGTACTTGCTGAGGGACTTGTACTTCTCGTCATTTTGGAAGGGCAGGGTATTCTGGATAGTACCTTGGGCCTCAGACCAACGGGTGTAGGGCTCGAGATTCAGGGTCGGGAGCAGCTCGATCAAGCCGTCCATGGCGCTCTTGCGCATTGCGACCTGTTGCTCCTTATGGGCTTTCTTGAGATCGGCAATATAGTCTTCGAAGAGCTGGCGGCGCTCGTTTTCGTCGCTGGTTGAGCGGAAAATGGTTTCGCCCTCGATCATGGGGCGGGCCGTCTTCCAGCGAGTGTAGTGCTTGATCTCGGGATGGCTCCGCAGCATGGTCGCAAAATCGGCACGCAGCTTGGTCAGTCTCTCCTTTGCACGCTCCTTATCTTGAGCAATGACATCGTGACAGTACTTCTCAAATGCCGCTTTCCTGTCCTTGGGGTCTTTGATGGCGCGGAACTGGGGGTCCTTGACGGTAGCTCGGATAGCTTGCTCCCAGGTCCAGTCAGGCTGGACGCCACTGCGGCGGAGAAGCTTGACGAAGGCGGCTTCGGCTTCCTCGGCAGTCGCATATTCGGGATCGTTGGTCGCGGGAACAAAGGCCTGAGCCTGAATGTTGTTGCCGTATGTCAGCTGGCGCGACTCACCCATGGGTTCACGGTTATCGCGGTGATGGTCGGCACCTCCATATCCGCCATGATGGCCACCGGCAGGGCCAGGGAATGGGGTGGCAGGAGTGCTAGAGGAAGTCAGAGTCAGCAGAGCGTAGGAAGGGTTGGGTATATAGAGGCTGCTCACGCAGGAGTAGTTGGCGTCGCCTCGCCGCCGCTCAAAGCGCGCTTATAGATATCTGGCATCTCCCATGAGCTCTGCTTTGTCTCGGTGTTATACCAGTACTTCCGACCGCCCTCAGCTGTATATTCCTTCCAAGGTTGATTCGCAAGCGCGCGCTATAATTACACCCAAGTCAGCGATCTGAGGGGCACGTTTGAGGCGCAAGACGGGTCCTACCTCGGCGGGAGTCATCAACTCCTCTGGTTTAGTCCATTGCGTGGCCTTGGTCACAGAATTGTAGTAGTAGATGCGGCCATCGGCAGTGCGAGCCTCTTGCCAGGCAGCGCCCGGCGGGGGGAACGACCCGCTCATTCCGTTCATCGTGATTCCCAGAGCGGCAAGCGCAGTATAGCACTATGCGATGCTATGCGATGCGGTGCGATGCACTGAGATGCAGGTCGTGGGAATTTGCTTGACTGCAACTGCGTCCAGCAACGATGGACAAAATTGAGATTGAGTGAGTCGCGACCGGCAAGAAATAATACGTTACAATGATACCGTATGATCTCGCGACATTGGGAAATTTGATTCTGGGCGGCCAAGCCCACCATAACCCATAACCCTCTGAACCGACTTGACGCCCTTAGGGTTATGGCTGAGATCCAGTTGTGCCCTGGTCTGTCCCCTGCAACAGTGGGTTTCCTGCAAAGGCTTCAATTGGTGGGCGTCAAGCGGGTTCAGAGGCAATTGGGTATAGTGGGCTTGGCTGCCCAGAATCAAATTTTCCCAATGTCCCGAGTTTATACGGTAGTTAGTCGCACGGACCACATCTTTGCATCTGGCTCCGACGCTCCATTCTGCTTGGGCTGCAGTATCTGTAATTCACTGTAACATGTAATTTCAGCACTTACACACCTGAATACGTTGTACTTTACATACTGTGCTGCTAGTCGCGAACTATTACACGATGTCACTGAATTGATTACGGATACGAACACTGCAGTGCTGTTCGTCGCTCACGGCATTCATTGGGTTCGTCCCCAAGACAAGATGTTTGTTTACTTTGAGCCTCTACTCGGGCCAACCAACGAAATTGACACCTGTTCTAGCAGTTTGCTTGAGTCTGGGACAGCGGAATGACTTCAGAATTGCAGACAACCAGGTGATAATAAAGAGCAGCTTGTCGCCGACCCGATGGCTCTTCCCGACCCTGACGGTGCCGAAACCGGCCACGGCGACGGCGGCGGCCAAGTTGGAGACACAGTCGACTCCTTCCTCCAACAGTCATACCTCACATACATAATTCCATTCGCAACGCATTTCAGTCCAGAGGAAGCGCTCGGCCAAGGCGAGGGTTCTGTCGAGAGCAAGATCGCCAAGATTGAGCAACGCGACCAGCTGTTCTTTGGTATGAGGTTCGCACGCTGTTCCCGCTGTTATGTCTCAAATCACTCACTCATTTACATGCTGCAGATGAGACGGTCGACGTATATCTCATCCTTCGGGCCCTCTGCCATGACGAGCAAACGCTGCGTCTGCATCTGCTCCGCCTTGTCCTCTCGCTCGACGCCCACATCATGAACAGTGCTGCGCTAGATCGGGACCTCCCGCCAGCGTCCGAAGTCGTCTACACTGGTGCCGTCGAACATGTGGAACAGGCCCTCATCGTGGCGGGCGAGGCGCACGAGGGAGGTGGACGGCACTTTTACGCTCTGTGGAAGCTGCCAGTCCTCCTCAGCCGCCCGAGGATTCGGCTCCAGCTGCCATATGCCGTGTTCTGCAGCACTGCAAGTTTGAAGACAGCGGCTGATGGGCCCTTGGACGGGTTGCGCGAGGGGTATATGGCCAGCGGCATGCCGTCTGCCATGAACCTGCTCGAGGCCTTCGCCGACGACCCGATGCTAGGCGGTGTCAAGCCCCGGCTTTCCGCCCAGCGCGTCTCAAAAGTAGCACCCGTCACAAAATCAAAGGATACGCTCCACCGAATAAACGGACTACAAAGTCTAAGGCTGAAGATCTACCCGGTCCTTCACACTCGGGTCCGCTTTTCACGCCCCAACACCACCCCGCCCAGCTCATCCCTGATAGCTCTCCTTGAGATCGACTTCACCCCTTTTTTTGAGTGTGAAGTGGCCCTGGACAGGATCAACCTCAGCATTTCGGACGGGACGGTAGAAGATCTCAATATCCAAGACGGCATGAGCCTTCCGCTGAGCTGCGTTGCCCACGACCACCTCACCTTCCTCTACAAGCTCTCCCCGCCAAGGCTCGACCACACAACCAAGACCACGCCGGCGCAAGAGCTCCATATCACCATCGAGGCTCTCGTCCTCGTCCGTCCAGCAGGCGAGCCCAACCCTTGCACACCCCGCCTGGTCATGACATGGCCGACTCCCGTCGACTTTACCCCGCCAGTCAACCCGGGCTTTGGCCAGCCCATGACCAAACCAATCCAGCGCTCGCACCGCCCAAGCCAGCTCTCCATCAGCGGCGGAGTCGACGCCCAGCCTCTGGTCTCACCCTCCGTCAGCCGGCCGGACGCGCTGCCCTCCCTGGAAGCGGCGGCGGCCGAGGCCGCGCGCACAGTCGAGACCGCCCTTCCCGACTTCGGCATAACCATGACCTTCAGCGGTCCGGCGGGACCGGTCCGTCTCGGCGCCGAGTTCACCTGGACCGTGTTCGTGGTCAACCATTCCCGCCCAGATCCTTCCACCTCCACCTTCACCACCGCCAGTGCTGCTACCATACCCCCCCGATCATCCCCCACCGCACCAACACCCGCAGTCCATCATCCACATCATCACCCAGCCTCCGCCCGCAAGCTGATGCTCCTCCCGATCCACCGACGAAGCAGGCGCAACGACCAGCTGCGCGTCACCCGGCCGCCCTCCTCCATGGTGCCGTCAGCAGCAGCAACAGCAACAACAACAACAAAGCGCGACCCGCTCATCGCCGACGCCGTGCTGGACGAGGCCGTCGTGCACGCCATGCAGCGCAGTAGCGTGGTTGACGGCGCAGAGCTCGTCTGCCTGTCGTCGTCGGCCGACAGCCACGCGCGCGTGGGTCCCCTGGCGCCCGGCGCGTGCGCCGTGGCTGAGCTGCGCTTCCTCGCGCTGCGTGCCGGCGTTGTCGGCTTGGAGGCAGTGCGGGTTGTGGACCTGGGCAGTCAGGAGCATGTGGATGTGAGGGATCTGCCGTTGGTTGTTGTTCTTGATGATGATTGATTGGTTGATTGATTGATGAGAATTCAACGTGATGAGTGAATAAGTAGGTGGGAGTGGGCAGTGTATGAGGTACTCACGTTATGTATACCAACGGCACTATGGCCCAACTGTTAAGAGGAATATAAACCGGTACATTGGATGTACATTAAATAACACCGGTCACTGGTCCTCCCGTGGCTTTGATAGTGACAGGATCTGGCAGTGATATTCTTTTCATGTACGCCCTACAGGCATCTCCGTTCGATGCTATTCGCTGTACCTCCCTCACAAGGCATGCCTTCGTGATCCTGTCTAGCTACACAATGCTAATGGCCATGCTCGTGCTGACCCCATGCCGCCGAGTAACGCCCCTTTGTTCCTTTGTTCTGGGAGTTGAGTTCGGCCCAGGAAACAAAACCCAGATCGACCAACCAGCTTTTCCTCCCACAGCATAACGCCGACAGTATGCACAAACCAACATTTACCCCTTCCGCCCTGTCTAATGAACTCCGGGTCATTATCAAATATCAATGTCATCCAAATCCGTTGTGTCCCACCCAAGCCGCTGGTAAATGCTAACTTCCTCCTTTTTTGCGACACCGGAAGATCCTCCTGCTCCACCTCCGCTCCCTGGATTAAAAAGCCCCCGCTTGATAGGCGTATCGTCCACAATACCGGCATCTCGCCTCTCCGGATCCTTTCCGGACTGGCGCGATCTTGGCGCCACTGGCGTCTCAAAAAGCCCAACCAGGCCGGGCGAGGAGGGCATCTCCGCGGACCCCGAGCCTGAGCCGGACCCGAAACGGCCCGTCGTCGCCGGGACGGAAAGCCACTCCGATCGCTGCTGCTGTTGCTGCTGCTGGCCATGGACCTGAGGCTGCGTGGCAGCAGATGGCGCCGCCTTTCTGGCCATGAGAGGTGATGAGGAGGGGACACGCCCGGGTGTTTCCTGCACCGCTGTCAAGGTGGACGCCACGGGCCGTAACGGTGTGGCTTGGATGCGGTCTGTGGTCGTCCCGCCAGAGTTGCCGAGCCGGTTGGCAAACTTCCGAGGCAGGGTAGAGGATGGCACAATCGAGGCGCTTGAAGGTGGAATGTCGGCCGGTTGGGATTGCGAAGTTTCAGCTGCGAGCGCGTCTTTGAAGCGATTGTTGGCTGGTGTGGCCTTGACTTGGATCGCCGGGGTGCGGCTAGGTTTCTTAAGCCCTGTAAATCATTTGTTAGTGGCCTTGTCAAGAAAGTTTCTCAAGGGGAGTCAAGAAGCCCACTCTTAAGCTGTCCCATGGATGCTCGCTTCTCAGCCGCCTCAACGAAGTCCTTGACAGCTAGGCTGCGATTTGGCTTCTTGAGCGCCGAGATGGCATCCTTGAGTTCGGCCTCAACCTCTGCCTTCTTCTTCGCTCTCAAGTCGGTTCCGCTTGCCGAGCTTAGGCTTCTCGAGAAGATGTTGGCTGATCTCTCCTGAAGAGAGCCAATATCTGCTCTCGGAAGCAAACCCATCAACAGCGGTTCGCTCACCTCCCGCTTTAGTCCCGGGATTTTCGTAGTAGTTGCCGACCGCATTAGGGCAATCGCGTCGGCGGGACCCCGTGAAACGCTACGTCTACTCCGCTCTTGGGAGAGGGCGCGTTCTAGCGTTCTGTGGTCGTTCTTCTTCAAGGCCGCCGGGCGGTTTGCGGGGGCGCCAGGCTTTGGCTTGACCGCGGTGGCAGGCTTTGCAGCCTTCTCCTTAGGCGGGGACGGCGCGACCGGCCCGCCAAGTTTGCGATTGATAGAATCACAGATTGCTGGAAGCCGTGCCGAAAAACTGTACAGTGTATTAGTAAGTCTAATCGAAATCCGCGGATTCGTCAACAGCTCACAATGGCACGACAATATCCACACAGAAATCTCTCAGGGGGTCCGAGTTCGCTCCCTCCGACTTTTCCGCCTCGACACCGTCAGTCGGCAGCTGAGATTCGGCCAATGCCTTGACTTCATCAAGCGTTGTAGAATGCCAAATGCAGAGGCGGTCTGCGTGAACATCGAGGAGCACAGGCAAGTTGTGCTTGTTCCTTTTCTTGGCTGAGTGCTCCTGGCTAGCCTCTCGAGAGGCGGTCTGGGTCTCCATCCCGGGCAACTGGCAGTCTCCGGCGGTGTCTTTTGGTCGCGCCAAGAGCTCCAGCGACAGAATCTCAAGGATCAGAATCATCTGCAGTTGGGTTTCTCTCCTTCGCAGACATGATATGTGGTACCTGATTTCAGCAGGCGTCATGACTTTGTCTTCATCACCATGTTGCGTCGGTTGGAGTGAGGACCACCATTTCCTGATATGCTCGTCCTCGGCAGGATACAACCCTGACTTCCCAAGCTTCTGTTTCTTGGGCTTTTTGTTTTTAGATTTCGGGGTCTCCAAGCCATCGATAAACGTCTTGAGTTTCGTTACGAGCTCGGGGATTGTCTCGCGGTACTTCTTGTCTATCAAGACGGTGGTCATGATGAGTGACTTCAGAAAATCTATTAGGTCAATCATTTCAAGGTTGGAGTCACAATCCAGATGGAAAGCTGCCCTCGCCCTAGAGAGCGGACCTTTCGCGAAATACGCCAGTGACCCCTGCCTCGGTTAGCACTGTGCACATTTGTATGTGCGGTATGTGAAGAAAACCACTGACCTTTGAATGGTAAAGAGCCTCGAGGTATTGGGTCCTAACATTCTGGAAGATGTCTTGGGCGTTTGGTGGACCTGAGAGATCATCGCCAAGGGCCGGGTGAGGAGCTTGAGGATCTCGCCCACCGGACAAAGATGGGAGCTGGTCGGCTGGAGGTTTGACAGGCTCCTCAGCCGGTTTAGCACTCTGACTGTTGGCACCCCTGGATCCAGGTCGCTCCTCAGCGGGAGTCGGCGTTTGGTCTTGAGAGGCCCTATCAATAGCTGTGCTGGGCCGTCTCTGAACTAGAAGCTGCAGTTCGTCCATGGCCAATCTCCTCCTCTTGTTTTCTTTGTACATGAGAGGCGTCATTAACGGGACGGCAGCCGTGTTCTCAGACTTGATTGGTTTGTTGCCGCATATCCGCTCCCTGCACACAACCGTGGCGCTCTCGGCGAGTGCCTGAATGTCCACCCATGGTCCAAGCTTGCATAGCACATACAGGCCGTTGCTCTCATGTTCAATGGCATAGACGATGCGACTTGTCTCGGAGCGGGCAAGGAGAACATTTGACCCTAAGCGTCCTTCGAGTTCGAGGATCTTAATCTTGGATTCAAAGAGGCGGTTATCGGGAAAGTCACCGTGAGGATTATCGAGGTCCAGCGCGGAGAGAAACAAGCGTTCGCGGGGCAGGAGCATCAAGGGATGCAGCATGCGCGGCTTCACAGTCAGGTTTGAGGGATGCGGCTATAGACCTGTTAGTAGGGAGTGGGGGCTGGAGTAGGGGAGGAGCAGATGCACCTTAAGAACAATTGGAGCCCGCAAGAGGCTGTCTCCAGTCGAATCTGAGGCATCCCTCTTGCGCTTCCCAGAGCTGGAGCTAGCCGACCTTGGATCCTGGAGGCTCTGTAGCCCCTGACTTTGGCTTTGGGACCGGGCTCGGTTCAAGCGTGCATCGTGGGTTGGAGTGAGAATGCCCGAGGTTGATGAGCGTCTCGACTCTGCTCTGCTTAAAGGACGCGACGCGCCAGGATACGGCCCTGCTAAAGAGGACATCTCAGGGAAATGTCGCCTCTATCCATCAATGATGAAGAAATCATGGGGTTTGCAGAATCACAACTGCTTCAAGCATGCAATTGCTCCGGGGCTTGGGTGTTAATCCTGAATTGCAGTGATATAGGTATCTGTGCCACTAAGATACTCTACCTAATATTTGACTTCCAATTGCGTCCCGCTATGGCGTCACGCGTTTTGCAAGTGAAGACGCGACGCGCACGGACCATCGAATGATCAGCCATCCCAGCAAAAGCACATAAGTAGAAACTTCATCTCAACGTTACTAAAAGTCAGCGCCTCAGTCATCATCAACGTTAGGTGGTCTTTATTGTGTTCAATCTGTCAGTTGGGAAATCTAACCAATGTCATGCATGACCTAGCTGTGCATTGAATGGTAGCACAAGAAAGAGGGAAAAATGAGGACAGCTATGTATTGGAAGTGGAAGGCAAAAAAGCAACTTGGACAACTATCTACACAGTGAATAACTACCTCCGTACACAGACTCACAGTCCAACGTCAATAAAAACATGCTTGTTCAAGATTTCCATGGTACAGTACAGATACAGAGCCAAGTCCTACTGCAGTTCCCACCTAGTATTACATATAGTATCGGTATTCGCATGCGTTATCATACTGCGCAGGCCAACTTGATTGTGCACCAGTTGAGGCATCACCCAGAAGCAACGACCAAAAAGTCATCGCATGAGTCGCTCAACATCTCGACGAGTGTAGAAAGTTCGCCTCAAAGTTCAAGACGCTGTCCACTCAAGTGCTCGGCATGCTAGAGCCTAGCACGGCCCACCACACCACGGCTTGGCTGCCGAGAGTAGCCCTCGAAATCAGCCAATAGACGGCCTTTTCCACACTTCGGGCCATGGAGCTCCTCCCGGCAAACCCAGCGAACGGGACTGCCGCCGTTGCAAGCTGGAGGTTATCTTCCATGTTTGCCACCAGCTTCCGCAACCCGCATGCTGTTTTGCAACCATCTCAATCAGCCTTCCTGATACAAGCACCCTCAGACCTCCCTCGAGTCCAGCTTTGCCCTTTTCTCGGATCGGACGAGGTTCAATCAATTCGATCCCCAAACCAATTGCACGCGCTGTACAAACCAAGGTAGCTGTCATCCCCTCCTTTGGCGTCTCGCCTTGTGCCAGATGGACTGTCTGGACCGTCTCGGCATCAGTTCGATTTCCCCGAGCAGCGGGTGACTGTGTGGCCGCATTACTTATATATATAATTCGTTGCCGGTTTGGCGAGCGACGACACGACACCAATCTGCACTTTATCCAAGCCCCGTCTCTGATACAGCGCCCAGCTTGACCGTCGTGGGCCCTTGTCTACCTCGGCTTCTGCATTCGAGGCCGCCACGGCGACTCGTGGACGGATAATGGCGAGCGAACCTTCTCCCCGCACCGTCCGCTTCTCAGCCCTCGACGACGACCAGCACGTCCGCCCCGACAAGCACAAAACTGGTACTCGCCAAGTCCTGTTACCTCCGGACCCCGAGAATTCCGATTTTTCGGGCGATCTGCATTTGAGCCCGCGCGGTCTGGACCCTCAGGACGAACTTGGATCGCTGCCGCGCTACGTCGACTCCACGGCAAGCCATCCCGGCGTCGTGCAGGTGCAGGGGCATCCTCCCGGAGGTTTGGCTAACGGCACTGGTAGCCGCCAGCGCCCCGACTCCCTCACATTTCCGAGCAACGGGACCACCCCCAGACCCCAGCGCCCCACCGGACCTGCCAGAACGCCCTCCAACACCTATCAACCCTACACCCAGCGGAGACCAACACAACCCCCTGGGCCGCCCTCGGCCTTCATCAACGCTAGTAGTGGTGGCGGCGGCCCTCATGCCCGCGACGGTTCGAGACCCCGCCAGGTTGGAGCCTCGACATTCCGAGCGCAGGAACGGGAATACGTGCGGAGACTGCGCCAGCATGACTACAACGATGACTCGTTCGAGCCGTACGGCTCCGGAGAGCACTACGAGTCGGACTCGGAAGGCGAGACTCCGTCGTCAGAAAGCCACTTCGATAACTACGACGATGCTCACATCATGTTCGTCAATAGCGAAGAGAGCCAGATTACAGAAGAGGATCTGAAAGACCCTCAGAGTCGCGAAAGACTGGAATGGCACGGCATGCTCGAAGCCGTGCTGACGGGCGATGTTGTGAGGCAGGAGAAGAAGCGACTCATTGGCTCGGCCGACGAGGAGTTTGGCAAGAGCGCCCACAAGGCAGAACTGTGGCTTGGAATCCGCTCAAAAGTATGCGGCAGGCACTTGCCCGTGCAGCGGAGGATGATTGAGGAGTTGCGCCAAGGGCTGGACCGTGCCGTAGACGAGATCATCAACTTCTCCATCGCCGGCGAGAGCGAGGCGGGAAAGCCCCCAATCGACCAGGTGCGCGATGCTATTGTCAAGATTGAGAAAATCGAAAGCCTCTACCCTTCGAGGACAGCCCTTATCGCGGCGCTCAAGACCAGCACATACGAGGCCTACGAGGAGGCGTGCGACGCCGTGATATCCTGGTACAACGTCAACGAGATGATTAGTACCGAGCTGAGCATCCTCAAGAAGTGGGTGGGCAACGACGCCTTGGACTTTCAGCGGCCCAAGGACAAGTCGCCCAACGGGAATGGCTTGAGCGATGACACGTCTTTCTTGGATCGGTTGATGAAGGAAGAGGGGCTCAAGACGCTGCACGACGAGAATGCCGGCGACGGGAAAGACGGCAAGAGGGGCATCCTGGACAGCATCTCGATGGTTGTCAACAAGGCCAAGGGGACGCTTATTGAGAACGCCGAAGGGTTCCAGAAGCGCCACTTGCCACCATACATCGAAGAACTGCTCACGCTCATCAGCTTCCCATCGCGCCTCATCGAGGAAATCATCAAGTTGCGACTCGCATATGCCAAAAAGATGAAGGAATCAGCACAGCAGAACCCAATGATGCAGGAGCAGATGATCTCCCAGTTCCAAACGCTGCTAAAACTGGCAACCAAGATCAAGTCTGAGTATAACGCCATCGCTCAGAAGGAGCATGGCTGGGACTTGCCCCCCTGTATCGACGAGGACTTTGACCGTGTTACTCTGGATGCCCTCAAGTATTATTTCAAGATGCTCAATTGGAAGCTGAGCGGCAACAAAAACACTTTCAAGGAAGCCGAAGTACTGTTTTCAGAGTGGGAGTTCGGTAATGAGATCGGCAAGCAGCTCGAGCATGGCGACGTCGAAGTCGCTGAACAGTTCAGCTCCCTCACCTACAAGGCATTCAACCGGCTCAATCAAACATTCGAGAAGGAACTCCAGCGTCGACCCAAGGAGAGCGTGCCCGAGATGACCAAGAGATACAAGCAGATCCTCGATTCCGTCCGCGTACGGCAGCGGATGCTGCAGCGATTTTCGAGGATGCTCAGCGACAACTATGAAAATGCCTGCGACTTCTCCGTCGCCTTGGGTCCCGACAAGCTACAGGAACTCTTCGACCGCCTCGTCGAGTCGGGCCACTTCCAGGTCTACACCGGCAAGGCGGAGCACGAGGGCGTCATTATCATTGCCTCGCCGTCTCTGCACGGCCGCGCCCACGAGATACAACTCTTGATGAAAACCTTTTCTTACGAAACCAATACCGATGATCCCTCGGATCCTTACATCTTAATCATTAGGGCTGAAGACCCGCCAGCCTGGTTCGGAGCAAAGCTCCATCTGCCGCTGCGAGACGAGCCGCTCGACATCAAGCTGGGACACATGAGACTGATCGCGGGCGGCTCCCAGGTGCGGCTGGTCAACGCGAGGAAAGCGTTTCTGGACAGCATTGACATGCACATTGACCTGGTGGTGGAGCAGAGGTCGAGTTTGCAAAAGGTCAATGTCCGGCTCATGGAGATCCGAAAGGTCGCCTTCAAGCTGTCCAACGCCTTCATGGACAGCGTCGAGACGATTCGGCGCCAGACTCGGGGCCTCGCTTGCCACGAGCTGATCCAAACTTGCTTCATCTTCGCCACCGAGTTCGGGCAGCGCTCCCTGCTTTACATGGACAACAACAGGAGGACCATGAACAACATGAAGCTCACCAAGCTTGCTCTTGACTGGGTGAGCTTCGTCTGCGACGATTGCGTTTCCTCCGACCGCAAGACATTCCGCTGGACCGTCCAAGCTCTTGAATTCGCCATGGTGATGACGGGAGGCAAGCACATCTTGGCGCTTGGCGACGACGAGTACGCCAAGTTGCGGGCCAAGGTTTCCGGATGCATGGCGCTCTTGATCTCACATTTTGACATCATGGGTGCCAGGTCAAGCGTTGCCGCCCAGGCTGAGCGGCAGCGGATGGAGGCGCTCATGAGCCAACTGAAGCGCCTTAACAAGGGACAAATCATGGATGACGAGACAGCGGCAAAATTTGTCGAGGAGCACCGTCTCGCCGAGCTGGCAAAGGTGGACGACTACAGAAAGCAGATACTTGTGGAGCGCTCTGCTATGGGCCGAGTGTTAGAAGCCTCGAATGAGGTCGACCGCTCCCTCGCTTGGCTCTCGTCGACAGCCACCAACTTCACCATGAGGTGGCAGCAAGGCCATTTTGTCGGGGGCGGCACGTTTGGCAATGTCTACGCAGCCATGAATCTCGACACGGGCCAGCTGATGGCCGTAAAGGAGATTCGTCTCCAGGATCCGAAGCTGATCCCCAACATTGCCGGTCAGATTCGGGACGAGATGCGCGTCTTGGAGGCGGTGGATCATCCGAATGTGGTGTCCTATTACGGCATTGAGGTGCATCGAGATCGCGTCTACATGTTCATGGAGTTCTGTTCGGGTGGCTCGCTTGCCAACCTGCTAGAGCACGGCCGCATTGAGGATGAGCAGGTCATCATGGTCTACGCGCTGCAGCTGCTCGAAGGTCTGGCGTACCTGCACGATCTGAAGATTGCCCATCGCGACATCAAACCAGAGAGTGAGTTCTTCTACGTGCTGCGGATTTCAGGAAACGCAGGGGCAGGCTAACATGTCATGCATAGATATTCTTCTCGACCACAACGGAATCATCAAATACGTCGACTTTGGCGCCGCGAAGCTCATCGCCCGGCAAGGACGGACGCTCGTGCAGGACATGGCGAGCACCAAACCCAACAAATCAATGACAGGCACGCCCATGTACATGTCGCCCGAGGTCATTAAAGGTGAGAACCCGGGCCATTTCGGGGCGGTCGACATCTGGTCGCTGGGCTGCGTCATCCTCGAGATGGCGACGGGGCGGCGGCCCTGGGCCAACCTGGACAACGAGTGGGCCATCATGTACAACATTGCACAGGGCAACCCGCCGCAGCTGCCGACGCCGGACCAGCTCAGTCCCCAGGGCATCGACTTCCTCAAGCGCTGCTTCGTGCGCGACTCCAAGAAGCGCGACACGGCCGTCGAGCTGCTCCAGCACGAGTGGATCATGACCATCCGGAATCGCGTCGTCGAGCCGGCCACGCCCAACAGCGACACGAGCGGGTCGGCCCAAAACACCCCCGGCACGGGCACCTCCTCGATGAGAACCACGATGAGCGGGGACGGGTTTTATTAGCACTTGGCTCTGCATGATGTGGTGCATGATGTGGTGCATGATGTAGTGTGCCTGTCTCTCTCTCTGTCTGAATGCTTCTTGCTCGTCACTTCAACTCCTATTTCCGAACTATTACTTTCTTGCAAGGCAACCTAAAAGTTGCGCCATTGAATGCCGCTGAACGTGGCTCCCTACAGCCATCTCTTAATTACCCCGTGTATATATCCATGTTATGTGTGAAACGGCACATTGATTCCGGAGGGGGAAGTGTCAGAATGCGCATCACGCTCTCGGGAAATTGAACGACCTCGCGGATTGACGGGCGCGAGGCGAAGGAGTGGAAGGGGCAGCCAGCATAAGCCAGCGGGAACGCGTTTGTGGAGGTTCTAAGCAACGAACGGGTACTCTCCGGAAGTGCTACTACTACCTATTCAGAGAGCTTGTTGGATAGGTAATCTTTTCTTTTTGTCTGCCTTGCTTTCTGGGAGGGAAGGGAGTCGGGCTGTTTGGAGCGGGTTTAGTAGCGCATTCCATATTCTCAATTTGTTACTCCCTAGCTAGTAGCTCTTGACGCCGGAAAGACTGGGTGAGCTAGGTTTTGCTGGGCCATGCCATGCCTTGGGGAAGTTTGTTCTCTGTAACGTTAGTTAGTCATAGCGATGTGTTAACGTGGGTATGTATATAAAGTTTTGATCTGTTTAATGGGCTCAAGATGGCTTAAAACGTAGAGTACTATGTTCATTCTGTGGTGACTTGTGCCAATTCCATTTGTTCTCATCCATTGACCGGTACAAATACATCTTCAAGCCGGCTACCTACCCTCTTTTCACAAGGTCATTCTATCTTCAAGTTTCCAATACGGAATGGGAACATCATGTGAAATGAGTGCCTAGGATAACAACCTGAGGCACTAGGCAAGGCAATCAATTACCAGAATCTGCCACTGCTACTGCATCTTCATTCTCTTTCCGGAGATGCCCAATACTAGGTAGTTAATTAGGTATGTATCAAATAGATTCGATCTCTCCACTTCCGTCCCAAACTTTGTAAGGCCCAGTCCACCCATCCCATCTTCGTTCCTGTTCCGATCAGATGGTAACTAGGTACGTACCAGATTATTAGCCGGATTTGCCATTTCGTCCCATGTATTGTATCTTCTATTATCCCTTTTTACCTATATTATCGGTGCTCCATGGGAATGGAAATAGTAACGGCACGGGACGAGCCGAATGCGATGCGATGAGTGAGCCAGGTTACCGGTAAAGTAAATACGGTACATACATACCAACCAAATCCCGATGCAGACTCTTCTTCGAACCCCATCTCTGTGTTTCCCTGCGAGGAAAACGCTACTATGGATGTTGGATAAGGTGACCGTTCACGGCTGAGCATGTTTTCGAATTCCTCCTTCATCATCCCCTTATGAGACGGCGGGATACCTATGGGAGGATGCGAAGCAGTACTAATCAGCTTGAAGCGTAATACTGTCAACGTCTCAACGAGAGGCAAACACAACACACCCGGACCTCCAGTGGGAGAGAGCATACACCACGGGAGTGGATTATGGCGTCAACAGAATGTACAGGCACGACCAGTTACGTGGTATATAACATATATATGTAGCATACATATAAACAGAGATCCGTCTTTCGGCACCCTCTCCGATTGTGATATCCAACTCCAGGCAGCCGTTGCGTATACATGTACCGGTTTCGTGTGCAGCATATCGGTCCTCCGTCCAATCCACAAAGATGGCGACACACTGGTGGGCCAAGAAAAAAAGTACTCTGTACAACATAAAAGCCGTCCACCGAGCCACCCATCCGCTCACCCCTGGCCAGCCCTTTCCCATCTCTGCTGTGTTATTGACCCATCCTTGATCCAAAACTCGTACGCCCATGGCAGCCTGCCCGTTTCACCACCTCCTTCGACGCCAGAAAACGCAGGTGGGGGTCAGAAGGAGAAGCAGTCGATGGACCCTCCCTCTCCCGTCAAATGCCCGTACCTACGGAGGGGTATCCAGGAGGAAAGAAAAAGGAGAAACGAGAAAGGCTGAAGAATCCCACATTGTCCCATTTATGATTACATTAATAAAGGGAAGCACGCTTTCAGCAGTGGCAACGCAAGATGTTGTCCTTGATCAGTGCTTGTTTTGGCGGGATGGTCAGCCACGGATATAAGCTGCAGAAGGCCCCCCAGTTCGCAGATATGCCAAGAAGAGAAGATAAAAAAGAAAGGAAAGAAAACGAAGGTCCTGTTTTGTTTTAGATACGGGCTCTAAGACGAGAAGCTTTTGTGATTCTTCAGACGATGCCAATCAAGAAGGAGAACAAAGTAAGAGAAAAGGGAACCGCTATTGGTACAGAGCATCTCGAGTTAAGCATACGCTGATGTGCCGTCGCTATGGGATGGATGCTTCGAAAACCTCAAACGGTGGGACTTGGCCCTTTTATGGCCTATCCGCGTTGAAGTCCTGAGGGGTAACGTTCTGCGCAAACTGGAACTGCTTTGACCTCGGTGGCGCTACGGGCGACGACCGTGCCGACGATTCGGCCGGGTAGGAATCCGGAAAGTGGTACTCGGTGTGCGACCCTAAACTAGTGCCGAAGAAGCTGCCATAGTTCGGGCCAATTGTCGGCGGAAAGGACGGTGTCACTGGCTGGCTAGCCACATAGCCTGGCAGCTGCGATGCCATCGAGAACTCCAGTTCGGAACCGCCGTGGCTGCAAAGGCTGGGCGTCGGTAATGGCTCGTCTTGTGGCACGAAGTTCCAGGAATGATCGACCGAGGTTGGAAAGAACGGTTCATGGAAGGCCAGTGGGAGAGCTGGAGTGCCCGGCGACGTCCTCCCAGGCGCCTCAGTGTTGTACAGCGGCAGCCCGCCTACCGATCCCAGAGAGCCATAAGGGTAGCAATGTTCTTCCTCTGGAGAATTCGCACCGAAAGTATTCTCTCCTAGGCCATGGCCATGGCCTCCATCCGGACTCACGGAGCCGGTGGCACTGTTCATCGACGTCATCATCGGGGCCTGGGCACCCTGCAGACTCTGGAGGAGCGCCTCTTTGGTCCGGTCTATGGCGAAGGGCGAACGAGGGCCGGAGGGACCTATAAATGTCTTTTGCACACGCCCACAAAGACTACCCGATGCTGACGAGATACGTCTCATCGGGCTAGGCGCGTCTAATCGTCTTTGCCCCTCAATACCCGTCTTAGGCCCTGGACCACCCCTCAGGGACGAGAGTCCTAACGGGGCCGGCCGTCGCATTTTCCTGCGGCCCGCAATGTCGGCAGGTGGTGGTGGTGACTTGAAGCGCAGATCCGACAGCGTTGAAGGTGATTCGGGCATTGAAGTGGAAGAGACGTTGTCTGACATGGCTAGGCTGTCCGCTGAGGTATGATGCCGTAGGAGGTGATGGTAGTCTTCTGTCTGTATTGATGCGCTCGTCGCCAAGTCCTCGGATGCGAATTGCGAGACCGAAGGAGTTGTATAGTGATGCTGCTCAGAAAACGTGCTGAATGCACTCGCAGCGCCCATGTCCATGCTTTGATGTGCCTGGAGAGAGTCAAAGTTTGGGCACCCAAAACCGTCCCCAGTCGTTGAATCCGTGGATCGGTACGGAAAGGCCGTGGCGTGTGCAAATTCATCCTTCGTCTCGGGTTGGCCAAACTGTCCAGTGATGGTGGCTGGCGGGGCGAGCTCTGTCAACCCCTGTGTGTCATGGGCCGGCGAGGGCGATGCCTCGCGTTTTACGTGAACAAAGCAATCTGCATCAGTCTCTGGAGTCTCGCTGGATTTGGCGGCCTCCTGCTCAGCGGATTCGGAAGTCGACGACGCGGGACTGTCGCTTTCCGCCCTAGCCTCCTCATCGTCTTCTCCGAGCGTCCCACTGGACACACTTGAGGGCTGGTGTTGGTCGTCCAGCTCAAAGAATTCGCTTTCCACGGCCTGATCACGCCCTTCAGATGACTTGGACTCGGAAGCGGCTCGCTCTCTGGCCTGCTGTGCCTCAAACTCGGCAGTTTTCCTCATCTGCTTCTCCTTTGCCCGGCGATTTTGGAACCAGTTCTGTGGCAATATGTCAGCTGAATCCATCCATCGTGAAAAGAGTCCATATCTCGCAACGGACATTTATCCTAGGCACCTCGACGCCCATCCGATCGGCGAGCTCTCGCTTGGTACTGCTGCTCGGTTTGGGGTTCTTTGCGAATTCGCGCTCCAACAGATCCACCTCGTCCTTTGCTAATCTCGGCTTTGGTTCCGTTGGCTTGGCGAGGTGCATGTTCCCCTGGGCCATCAGCGCGCCGGCCCTCTGTTGATGCTGGTAGTAAGCTATCAACTGGTTCCAGGACGGATGCGGATGCGGTTGTTGATGGCCGTAGAGCTGCATCGGCATGCCTGCCATGGCGGCATAGCGCTGGCGGTAGTGCTCCATATAGTCCATGTCCATGATGCCCGTGTTATTTGGAATGAAGGAGTTGCTGGAAGAGCTCTAAAGAGATTTGCAGGATGGGGCGCCTCTGCAACGTCTTAGAGGGCAATTGGCAGTCTGGACAACAATAACGAGTGACTAGGGGTTAGATAGGCGAGTTGACACGGCAGCCACGGTGAAGATATGGCAAGCCAGCGAGGGGGAGGGGAGAAGGAGGAGGATGAAAACGAAGACGAGGGAAGAGGGCCAAAGTCAAAGAGCGTGTGGGTCCGATCAGGATACCAAAAGCCAAGATGGTGTGGCACCCGGCCCGGGGAGGTTAACCAGTTTAAGACTGAGCGAGGGGCCCTGGCAGTGGAGGCCCTGGAGGGGGCGAGAGAGAGAAAGCGGCCCAGAGAGGGCGAGAGTGGGCGAGACACAGGCACAGGCACAGGTTGGGCTGATGAACAGGGCTCTTCCCGTCAGTGGCTGCTCCCCTGGTGAGCACTCAAAATCGCGGCAAGGTTCAGGTAAAGAGAGCAACAGCAGACAGGGCGGCAGGGGGCTGCGGGGGTAATCAGACAGGGCAGTATGTACATACACTAAATGCTGTGTGTGCCTACCCTATGTTGTTCGTTGAGCTGGCGCGTGGAGGAGGAAGGAGCTGCTGTTGGGTTGTGAAGCAGCAACCCCAAAATCCCTCCTCCCGTCTCGCTGCATACCTCCCATCTGCACCTCATGCAACCTTTGCGGGCTGTTCGCAGCATCCTCCTCTGCCATCCATCATGAATACACAGTACATGATCCTGTTGCTACGCGCGAGTCGGTGCCGCGCGACACGGACGACGCCGTGTGGGCAGGCACACGAGCGAAGAGGGGAGCACTGTGGGCGCTCAGAACGATCCTCGACAGGGGTACCTCCTAAAGAGTGCGTGGATGTTATGCCAAGAACGGCGTGTACCTCCGGTACGGAGCGAGGAGTGATGTCCTGAGCTTAGCTAGCAGCTGGGGTAACCAGCTCCTCGGGGCCTTGATTTTGATTGCCTGTGGGGCTAGTGGGGCTGCCTCCCGTCGGCACGTCGTGGGTCGAGAAAATCAACCTTTTGTTCTCTCACCCGACCAGCCAGCCTACGCTAGACTGATGAGAGGAAAAGGTTCCCGCGCCTCTGCCATCATTCATGTGTCGGAGATGTACATAGCACAACGCGACATAATAACCTTTAAAAAGAGAACTTCAATAACCACCTAGTGTAGATCGCATGCAGAGAGGATGTGGTCAAGTCCATAGCTTTCCAAGCCGCAGCCTCAGTCGCTCTTTGCTCTACTTGTTATAGTCATGGAAGTGGGCATATATCCTTCAACCCGCCGCAGCCTCAGAGCCTGAGCTGAACGAGTCGCCTTGCATATCTTGCCCAGCTCTGGTAAAAGTTCCCAAAACCAGTCGTTCGTCAGTTGTCAGGATTGACATTTTCGAGAATCCACTGGTTGGGGTCGTCCAATTAGGACACAGAGGTGACAGGTTCTTGATACAAATCTGGCGGCCAGACCTGTCATCCACCGCCTACTGTGCCCGCACAGTTAGCACGATTAAGCATAGGTCCGCGCACCCTGCCCCCCGTCCGTCCCTGGCATGTGCATGTGGGTGCCCGCATCGGTTGAGGGCAAGAACCAGTCGGCCGGCTGGTCACGAAATTCTCTACTGCCCGGTCTTGGAGGAAAACACAAGAGAGCCTTGGTTGAAGTTTGAGCCTCGAGAGCCAGGCGTGTCGGATGATGACACCAGCTTGGCGGCTGCTGCCGAGCTTGGGCGAACAGCATCAAATCAGATTTCCTCGTAAATGCGAATACACTTTGTAGTCAGCGGTTAGGTCAAGTCACGATAGCATCTCGGAATGCCAACCGAAAGTCAGTAACAGCAGCTGGGTCTGCTACTCTCCACTTTCGCCGACTCTGAAACTGTTTCAACACTGAGCAACGTTCGATTTCGGTGTCCGACTCACACGTGCAACGAAATCATGATTAGGGACCTCGGGAGCTGGTCTTCGTTGCTTCATGCAGAACAATCGAGACTTCTCATGCGAAGAACCGTGGCGCTAAGGTAATCATCATATCCTCGCCAAGTGACGAGAGAGTGGTGAGAATCATCGTGGGGGAGCGAGTACGGAGTGTCCAATTGACCAGGGTTGTTTCGCTCGGATGGGTTGTCCCCGACTGGCGGGCCCGATTTCTCGTCGTGTTCTTGCAGTCTTGGTTGTGGGACCCGGCTCGCTTAAGACCTCGCCTGATTCGTGCACTTGCTACCAGGAGCCCTGCTGCCCAGGATCTCTGCATCCAGAAGTCGTCTGATGGCACAGCAGCTTACCCCACCGTGCCCACCAGGCCCTGGCGACATGATGCAGTTCCTTGGCTTGGCATTCCAAAGCAAAAACCATGCGCCATGACCAACACAGATTGAAGACTGCCAGGTGATGATGATGCACTTTTGAGGCGTCGAGGTAAAGTGGCAGAACACGGCAGTGACGGCACAACGCACAAAGGTTGCATTTGTTCCAGGCTCTTTTCTCCAATGGTGACGTGCATAACCTTATCACGGGCTACATACGGAGTAGCTCACCTGCTTATTCGACCAACCTGTGAAGCACGTCCATGCTTTGAGTGAAGGTATTGTACACTTTCCGCGCAGTAGACTGACTCGGGAGTCGGGACAAGGTTGTGAGTCGTTATGTACCCGCACAGGTCGCATCACATCTTGGACTGTGAGCTAGTGTACGGAGTACCTCCGACACAGGTTCTCGACCAACTTGTGCCGGCATAGCGTACATACAATCTCACTGCAGGGGAGGACATCCAAGCTCACCAAGATATGCAACTCTGACCCAACGGCTCCAGAAGTAAAGCGTATACAGGTTCGAAGTTGGATGAGATGAGATGCGGTCACACACTCAGAGTTTACGGGACGACGACGCTGTGTAGCACGGGACGAGCATTGGGGGGTTGCTGCTGCGTTGCTATTTCTGGCGCCCGTGCTCTCACCGCGAATCGACGGATGCATCTCCCAATCATAAGCTGTTCCCCTTTCCCAAGATGCAGGGCAAAAGTGCCATCTGCGAGTCCTGCACACTGCAATTGGGACGGCAGCCATCACTGTCACACAGCGGCATGCACGCAACAGCCTGGGTGCTTGGTGCAATGTCAGCTGGTTGCCACTGTCAGCGAGATGCAGTGGGAGCCAGCAGTCAATTGTTAAGAGGTCAAAACAGCGTCGACAAGGGGTGAGTCTTCTTTTTTGTGTGAAGACAGAAATCTGTATGGCTACCCTCCGTACCTCGAGACCCCGCTGGCCCGAGATCCTGTCCTTAAGATGTGCGTTATAGCACACTGATGAAAATGTTGTCGGAACGACCGTGACATCGCGTGTAGTTTCGATGGTGGGGGAGCAGCTCGTGCCACATGGCTCTGGGCATTTATCCTGAGAAGAGAAAACCAAAAAGAAAGGAAGGGCAGTGGAATGGGAGCCGCCCGATTGAGCTTATCGCCGCAAGCAAGTGTCGAAGACAGTAGTACCTTTGGGCTGTTAAGAGGGGTAGTCGAGAGGATGATTTTTACATACAAAGTTTTGTCTTGCACTAACAGCACCAAGCTCTCTGATGCAATTCCCTTCCAAGCTGGGCCAAGCCTTCACTGATTGCCGATTTCTGCTCAACGATTCTGCCCCTGATTGTTAGTGATTAGCTAGGTAGCGGCTGTCTTTTTCAAGAATTCAACATCATCCAACGGACGTTCAACCCGTTGCTTTTCAGTGATTTTGCACCAGAGTACACATCTGTGATAGGGCTCGGGAGATGGGCAGTGGACCAAATCCGGCAAGCTTTGTCCTACCGCCGATCACCTCAGCGCCGCTCAGCACGGGGTCGATCATGCCGATCCTCCAAACCTTAAGTTATAATTTTGAGATCCGCACCAGAGAATATAACATTTTCCTCGACGCCATCAACAAGAAGCGACACTTGTACCCAATGGCTTCACTACGTAGATGATACGGAGCGCTTGACAATGAAGCTGTTGCCAGGAGCCACAAGCTTCAGACCGGTGTCCCCCGGTAACATTACGGGGCCCCGGCGCGGGTCCGGGCCCGTTTTGTGTCGACTGCCGAGGGCTCCAACAAAGCACGAGGCTGAGCGCTTGCCAGAGGTCAGGATCTGATCAACGTAGTGTACGCGTACTGCGACTGTTGCAACCAAGGCCTGAATTTCCTACGGAGTCGGTGGAACGTGACGAACGTCAGGGTTGTTAATCTGTTGGTAAGCTGGTGGGCCTCCCGGGACGCTCGGGTGCCTTCCAGCCGTGTCCCGTCCCGGGTTGCCAACCAACACACAGTTACGTTAGGGTCTGTCGCATGTACAGCCGGGGTCTCATTGGACGGCGTACGAACGCAACCAACAAAGTCATCTTTCCGGAATTGTTAACGACCCCGGAGTTTTGGACAGCGGTAGCGAGGGGATCACACTGGCCCCGAAGTTCGGGAGAGCCACCCCGCTCCGCCCAAGAAATGCTCGGCCATGGGTGCGGAAGGTTTCTCGAAGTCAATCACAAAAGGGTTGTGTCTCGGCCGACTTTCCAGACGCTGAGGTTCGAGGGGCTTTGTTCTCAGCCAGCGCTCGTTGGGGGCCGGACGGCCTGGGTGCCGAAGGTGAGGGGTTGCATTGCGAGCTGACAGAAAGTTCTGCCCTCGCTGTTTCCTCAGGGACCTCGGCCTCAAGCCGCTCTCCGCGGGAAGCTTGGGGGGTCGAGTTAATCCCGAGTGCAACTCTGCCAGGGTTTACCGTTAGCTGAAGGCTGAAAGGAACGAAAGCCAGCTTGCAACGCCTCGAGGTGCGCACTTTGGCTCATTCCTACCGGGCTTTTGATTTCGCCTTGGACTCTCTTCGACCTGCTAACTACTCATGACAGGACAACGAGGGGTGTTCAGGATGTTGGTGCTTCGTGACGGTGAGGCAAGGGTGCAGATTGGACCACACTTCAGCGCGCGCGAAACCCCGTCCCTGAAGAAATGTGAAGTCCAATCGGCGGGCGAACATGGGTGGGGTGGGTGGAAATTACACTTTTGCTGGTCCCGGCGAGCCACGTGTTTTCGGAGGGGAGCCTTCTCCACAGGGACCCATGCTTGAAGAGATGCGCGCTGTGTGCGCCGGGTATCTGCAGATTCAAGGATACCGAGGGCTACAAGTACAATTGTCGTGCTCTTTCCTTCTTCGTTTTTGAACTGCCAACCGACCGATGATGGATGCATCAAATTACCCGTACCTCTGTTACGGATACGCACAGGACTCTATGAGTCCAACTTGTGCGCTGCCTTTCTTGTGCCATCGTGCGATCTGGCGGACCCGAGTCAAGCGCACAATTAGCAACGGAATGCAGGTACTCCATATGTACGGAGGTAGTGTATGTACAACCGTCCTGGACAGGACGGTACGTTCCGCTTATCATGGCGCCACAGGTTCCTTTGGGCGAATCGCTTGATGGCTCTTGTCGGAGCCGGGTAGACGTCCGGGCGGATGATGTCGCAACACGGGTGAGGAGGCGGAAGCATTCTGAACGTCCCAACCCCCAATCAATTCTGTGGTTTGAGCCGCATCGGCTTAGCCACTGATGACTACTGATCACCCTGTGCATGCCGGAAGCCACAGCTAATCATTATACGGTGTACTGTGCTTGCTGATTCTGCCATGAGAATCAGCTACTAACTGATGACTTCAGAGATTTTCTCTTGATCCTGCAACAAGATTGGGGGCTAACAAGCCTACCGCGCCGCGGTGACTATAAGAGGGAAGACCGTTGACGCCGCTCATCTCATCCCGCGGGCGCGGCACTTTCTGCGCTCGCCTAGACAAGGCTGAAGAGCTGTGGCTCTCGGTCTAGGCCCTCGTTGACGTTATGACTCGGTCAGCACTGGTATTGGCAAGGAAGGTGCTTATGGGCTCCATATCAACTCAACGTTAAGTTATACATCAGTATCAGCAATACCGGTACATTGTAGGTCTGTTTTGTTCATTACAGAGTACAGCGCCTACCCGTCACACCGCCCCATCATGTTGGGCAACCTGGTTGGGCTGAGCAAAGCGGCACTGTGGATTGCCAGTAACCAAACACCTGGTCTCGACTGCCCAGCTGGATCTGCAGGAACGGGTTGCTCAACCTCACCTGACGTTACGCGAATCGCCGACCAAATTTGCCCTGTCAAAGCAAGCAAAATGCAACACGCTTGCGCGCAGCTCACAGCGTGCATCTCTTGGAATCCGATGTGGCCCGGGACAGATGCGGCATCCCAACACTCCCCAGCCGCCTCGTATTCACGCCCCTTTTCCTGGATCCTGATAATATCAAGAGTGAAATGTCACGATGCTATCAAAACATGACCGCCGAAGTTACTGTGAACTCGCTACCTATCATTCTTGACTGAAGTGATAGAACCAACGGAAATAGCCGCCCAACTGGCCGACGTTGAGCAAGGGGGCGAGGCTGAGAGACAGCCTCATCTCCGTTTCGCGGGTGCTTGCTTTGGGGCAATGTTATTGTTTATTCCTGCTCCGAAACATTGAACTCTCTCATTTCGCCTCTACATACAATTGCTACCTACGCATAAACGCGTCTTACTAAAAGTGCGCCAGTTTTTATATCTCCCGGAATCGGAGAACCTGCTGAAGTCAGCTGAGGGGAAAACAAGGGGGGGAGAGAAGAGGAGAGCCCCCTGTAGGACACAACAAGATCCAGATTCCGCATGGTCCAGCACATAGCTCTACCTATCAGCCTTGTTTCCCACAAGGACCCCAAGGCAACCCCGCTTCTTCCGAGAGGGACGGACAGACAGCCTCGCCTGAGCCATCACGATACGCACGATGGTGTACTGTGGTATCTCCAAGCCCGGCGAGAGCGGAGGGAGCACGCGGGAGACCTTGCCACCCACCGCATTACGACCTGCACGCCAGCGGCGTCACATACTTGGCATTTACTTACTCCTCTGACCCGGTACTTCCGTATCCCTCGCACACTCCACTTCAGGCTGGGCGAGGTCGGTTGTGTGGATGCGTCAGCTCTGTTTGGATGATGGCATCCTACACACATTAAGTTACGTAGCGTAGACTCGGGACCATGGTTGGGTTGTTGCGGGGAAGTTCCAGAATCGAACCAGAACAACACATGGAACTTTCTGTACAATGTATGTACACTGGTCCTGCATCTCGAACGGCAACCACGCTCTGTCTAAAGGTGGGCAGACTGCATAACTTTCAACCAGGGGGTATGGTGTGCTGCTGGCGTGTCCCTTGTGATGCGGTGGGTGAACGCTAACGAGACTCGTCAAGTTGGCTCTACACCAGATTACCTCCGTACACTAGCCTGATACTGTATTGTACATACTCCGTGCCTTCATTTCACCTTCAGACGTTAAATGCTGAAAAGTTATAGCAGGATACGTGAGGCACGGTGCTGGGGATCCATACATGGATACATGGACGAAGCCCAAGATTCACACCGGTACGGGTAGAGGCCGGAAAGGGGTGAACTGATGACCGACACCCAGAGTCTCAGAGGGGGGGCTGAGGGCGTCGAACACACACATAGGCAGCAGAGCCTGGCCATGATGGCCTTCTGCACTCGCGCACCATGGTCACTACCACCAGGGAGTCTCTGACTAGGATCCCCAGAACCTGTAGAACAACAGGATGAGTGCGATGCGTGCTGAACACTTGCCCTCGAACTACACGCTCTTTGGCAAGCTGTTTCTATCTTCCAACGGAACTGAAATCTATCCTGCCTCTAAAAGATGTGAAGTGTAATTACAAAGCCACCACCCTTCCCCGCTACTGTACCTACATTACTAAGTCTTCTTAGATTTCGCCTTCCACCCCATCCTTTCCTCCCACCCTTCCATACCTACTCTCACTCACTGGGGCCGCACCACCAGGGCATCCCTCACCTCCAGGGTCACAGGCCCACCGCCCTCCTCGACCCGCAGCAGCCTGACCGAAGCCAGGTCGCGCACGACCCAGTCCGGGCCCGCGGCCAGCACCTGCTCGGCCGTGTGGCTGGTGACGACGGCCAGCACTTGGCAGCCGGCCGCCTTGCCCGCGCGGATCCCCGCGGGGCTGTCCTCGAGCACCAGCACCCGCTTGTCGGGCCCGTCGACCCGGAGCCGCTCGCGCCCCAGCCGGTAGCACGCCGGGTCGGGCTTCCCGTTGGCCACCGACTCGGCCGTGATCAAGTGCTCCGGGGCCGGGAGGTTCAGGACGTTGAGCCACTGTTGTTCTTTGGGTTAGTATGAATTCCGTGGTCCGGTTTTTCTTTTTCTTTTCCTTGGTGGGAAGAAGGGGAAGCAGGTGATGAAAAGGGGGAAAGAAAATAGATAAACGGGGTGGGACGAGGCACGTACGCCCTTTACAAGGGGCACCGTGCCCGATGTGACGATTGCCCAGGGTGCGTCACGGACGATGAGGTCGTGTAGAAGAGCTCTCGCCCCGGGGATCTCGACGGCGTCGGCGCCGTGCAGTTTAGGGAGGAGCCCTTCCATGTGTTGGATATCTGGCTCAGGGCCTGCGCTTTAGCTGAGCTGCTACGGAGCACGGTAAGGGATAAGCGCAAATGGGGGAGGGTTGGCTGACATTCCCAGTTTGCCTTCTCGGGCGCCAACATCTGGAGCGTGTCTATGGATCTCCGTCCGTGAGAGGTCCTAAATACAAACGAGTAAGCCATCTCCACCGCGGAGAGGATAGGTCCATAAGACTACTCACTGAAGGATGACTTTCGGGTCAACTCCTATCTCTTTGCCGATGCTGGCCCTCTGTTAGCCGGGGATCGAGTGAGTGAGTGACGGGTTTCTTTTACCTACGTTTCCCAATGCTTGACCACGGCGTCTGTCGAGTCGATGATGGTACCGTCCATATCGAACAGGAGTCCATCAAAGGTGACGACCTCGGGAGGTGCGGCAAAGCCAGATGTTGCTGCTTGTGTGCTCCCCATTTTTGTGAATTTTGTGAATTGTGGTTGCTGAGTTCAGGACGCTTGCTTGATGATGCAGGAACTCCGTAGGTAGGATTATGATATGTATTGTACGAGGCTAGTTTTTACACAAATCCAACTCACTCTCCACGCACCAAATCATGAACGTCGTGTTTGTTTGTTGGACTCACCGACGTGGGCCTGAACCTGAGCGCGGAGTCTCCGCAACCGGGAGCTAGTTCGCCTAGACAAACTGGGCAACTCCGCCAGTACACTTTTGCTCCGACCCTAACCCTTCATGTTGTCAAGTAGTACATACAGGATTCATGTGATGTGAGATTTTTCTAGACGGACGTTAGGAAGGGCGACCAGCCTTGAGTCGGCCCGTTAGAATCGGTCCGCAACGGAGGAAATCCAAGCTAGCCTATCGCTGTGAAGTGGAAACACGGCAAGGGCAGCTGTGATGTTGAACGAACGCGCCGTAAAATTAGCACTGCGGGGTTGACCAGGTGCCATGTGGGATGCTCCATGATAAGAGTCCTTATCGAGGCGGTAAGCACCGGCACAAATTTTCAACACCATAAGTTTTTGATTGAGAATGCAAATACCGCCCTGTAATTGACTACCAAGTATAGAAGGGATTTCAAGCGGGAACAATGGCTGGATCAATAAATAAACCAAAAAGTGAGTGACACTACCAACAATCATCTCTATCATTCAGAATCTCGACATTGTCTTCATATTAGCTAACGGAACACAATGAAGAACCCAAATCCAAGCGGACGCCGGTCCGCCTGCGCCACAAGATCGAGAAGGCCTCGGCAGCGAAGCAGCGGAAGCAAAGAAAGCTCGCCAAGAAGAACCCAGAGTGGCGGAGCAAACTGAAGAAGGATCCCGGCATTCCCAACCTGTTTCCCTACAAGGATAGGCTCCTGCACCAGATCGAGGAGGACCGTGTTCGGAGGAAAGAAGAGCAGCAGCGCCGCCGTGAGCTCGCCAAGGCTGCTAATACAGCTCAGAAAGACGATGGCGCCGACCAAGACATGGGCGACGATGCCGTCGAGGAGTTTGATGGGTCTACCATTGATGACGCCATGGACGAGGACGCCAGCGACATCGACGAGTCCAACCCGCTAGCAGCCCTCGTGGCCAGCGCGAGGAAGGCTGCCGAGCAGTACGAGAAGGAGCTGCAGACCGGGGACGAGATGGATGACGACGACGACGACGACCAAGACACGGAAGATGAGACAGAAGCAGGCGTGATCGAAGTACCCGGTGGCGCCTCGTCCCGCAAGGCCTATGACAAGGTCTTCAAGCAGGTCGTCGAGCAGGCCGACGTGGTCCTCTATGTCCTGGATGCGCGCGATCCCGAGGGCACGCGGTCGCGCGACGTCGAGCGGTCTGTGATGGCAGCCGCGGGCGGCGGTAAGCGACTGATCCTGGTGCTCAACAAGGTGGACCTGATCCCCCCGCCCGTTCTGCGCGGCTGGCTCGTCTACCTGCGCCGCTCGTTCCCTACCCTCCCGCTGCGCGCCTCCGGGCCCGCGCCCAACGCCCACACCTTCAACCACCGCGACATCACGGTACAGAGCACCAGCGCCGCCCTATTCCGCGCGCTCAAGGCCTACGCCGCATCGCGCAACCTCAAGCGCGCCATCTCAGTCGGCGTCATCGGCTACCCCAACGTGGGCAAATCCAGCGTCATCAACGCGCTGCTGGCCCGGCTGGGCGGCAGCCGGTCTCAACGCGCCGCCTGCCCCGCGGGCGCCGAGGCGGGCGTGACCACCGCGATACGCGCCGTCAAGATCGACAACCGCCTAACGCTGCTCGACTCACCGGGTATCGTCTTCCCCTCCACCACCCCTTCCTCCTCCACCGCCCCCTCCTCATCAGCATCCCAATTCCACCCCAAGAACCCCACCGAAGCGCACGCCCACCTCGTCCTCCTCAACGCCGTCCCACCAAAACAGATCGACGACCCCGTCCCGGCCGTGACCCTGCTACTCAAACGCCTCTCGGCCACCCCGGACCTGCTGCAGCGCATGATGCAGTACTACGACCTGCCCCCTCTGTTGCCAAACGGCGACATGACGACGGATTTCCTGGTGCAGGTCGCCCGCAAGCGGGGACGCCTCGGCCGCGGGGGGGTGCCCAACCTGAACGCCGCTGCCATGACCGTCGTCACCGACTGGCGCGACGGCAGGATCCAGGGTTGGGTTGACCCGCCGTCGGTTGAGGAGAGTGGTAAGGGCGCGGGGGGCAAGGGGGATGGGGAGGCTGCTGCTTCTGCTGCTGGTGATCAGAAGGAGATTGTCACTGAGTGGGCGAAGGAGTTTAAATTGGAGGGGTTGTGGGGGGATGATGGTGACGGTGGTGAGGTGAAGGAGGTGGATATGCAGCAGTAGGACTAGAGAAATTGCTTCGTCTTAGCTAGTATTCAGCTGGGGTTGCCTGGTGTCTAGGGTTTGGAGAGGCTGTCTTAGTTGTTTTCCATTATCTCGCTGTACGGCGGCGTTTAGGCGTCGAAAAGGGGGCGGGCCTAGATTAGGTAGCATCATGATATTTGTTTTTGTGATCCTGGGCCACATCTCATATCAGTGATGATACACCTTCACATGGGGAGTGCTTGAACCACATGGAGGTCCCATTCATGCAATCAGTTGGTGACTCGATGTCTTGACTGTGAAGAACACCGTTGAGAGAGGACCATTCTGCACCTCCCCTGCCTTATCAATATCGTCTCCGCTGGCTGTGTCTCTCACAACGAGGCGAATCCCGCCGTTTGAATGAGTACATAGGACGCTGAGACACTGAATCGTGAGATCGTTAATGGTGTCTTTTACACTTTTTATATCCCTCCCTTGCCTCCGGCTATGATGCACTCACTACTTTTGCAGTTTACACAGTACACGGATCACCATTGAACCCCTGAAGCCCCCAACACCAAATCACCACCACCATTTACCTCCTCTGCCACTCAATACACAGTCACAAGCTCCATCTTGACGCCCCGCTTCCCCGTAGTCTCATCCTTTTGGTCCGAGACGCGAACGCGCACCTTCTGGAACAGCTCGACCGTGACCTCTCTGCTGCCGCTCGTCGTCAGCGTGTACGTCTCGGCGTCGTACGTGGCCTGCGGCTCGGGCTCGGCGAGGTCGCGCAGCCGGATGAGGCTCTCGATGCCGAAGCGCGGCACGAGCACGACGAAGCCGTTGCTGAAGATCTTCATGACGAAGCCGTCTGCCTCGGTGGCCTTGCCGCGGATGGCCTGTCCGACATAGTAGGCGATGCTGGCGCGCCCGGCCAGCTGGGCATTGCGGTGGCGCACATTGATGTTCTTGCACACGGCCTCAAGCCGACCGCGGCTGCGCACGCTCGGGTCGACGGCCTCGTACTCAATGGCCGCTGCCAGCTGGCGGTGGGCTACCAAGTCGGCGTAGCGCCGGATCGGGGACGTGAAGTGCGTGTAGATCTCGCTGGCCAGGCCGTAGTGGCGGAACTCCGGGTAGGCTTGCGTGCCCGAGCAGAAGTATTCGGCCGCCATCATGCAGCGGGTGGCCATGATGCGGACAAGGGTGTTGAAGAAGGGCTCCTTGGGATCGACGCACTTGTCGAGGCTATCGGCAAGGGCGCGTGAGGACTCCACGCTCAGATCGAGGCCCCTCTTCACCTTCAACTGGTTCGCAAGCTCGTCAAAGTTGGTCTTTGGCGGAGCACCGTGTCGTCGTAATATAGCCGTCTGCGGGAAGGCCTCGTAGATCTTACGGGCCACGCTCGAATTGGCGAGGAGCATGAATTCCTCAACGAGCGACATGGTATCGAGCAGCTCCTTGGTCTTTACGTCGATTGGATCCGAGGTCTCCGACTCCATCTGGACCTTGACCTCGGGCGACGACAGGCTCAGGGCACCCGCATCCAGCCGCTTCTGTTTCAGTTTCTTGGACAGGACGAGCAGGGTTCGGATGCTCTTTGTCAGATCATCCTGCTGAGAATCATCATCGATTCTAAGCTGTGCTTGCTCATAGCTGAATGCTTCTCGAGACTTGATGACCGACTTTGTAAATCTCACATTCACAATGTCGGCATCAGGAGACAGCTCCCAGATGACCGAGAACGCATAGCGTTCAACATAGGGCTTCAGAGAGCACAGATCGGTGCCCAGTAGCATTGGAAGCATGTCAATGCGTTTGTCGACCAAATAGACGGTCGTACCGCGAATGCTAGCCTCGGCGTCCATGGCGTTGTTGGGCCTAACGAAATGAGACACATCGGCGATGTGAACACCAACCTCAAAGTTGCCATTTGGGAGAGGGCGGGAATGGAGAGCATCGTCAATATCCTGGCAGCCGATGGGGTCGATACTGCAGATGAGAAGATCACGGAGGTCCTCGCGGTCCCTCCACCCGGGATCGTCCTTGCTCTGTGGTACCCTCCAGTCGTGGCCTTCCTTTGGCAGACAGTCAAGAACCGTCTTGGGAAACGGGCGGTATTGGACATCGTATTCGAGAAGCAAGGCTTCCGTCTCGGCAGCCTTGGTTTCGAGCTCGCCCAGCGACCGAACAAAATGACCAACGGGATGGCGAGAACTGCGCTCCCAAGCATCGATGGTGACGAGGATCCGCTTTCCGACAAGCTCGGCCACTTGGCGGGTGCGTAGGCGGATTTTGGGTATCTTCTTGTCCATGGGGATAACAAAAACGGTGTCTTGCTTTCGTCCCTGTTGCGCCGACTGGCTGACTGATGACTGGTCGATGTGGCCAACGTACTGACGCCAATTCCGCTTTACCACGCCAACCACCTTGGCAGTGGGCTGAGCATGGCCTTCGGTAGTTTTGCTGTGAGTCCGCTTGACCTCTTCTTGAAGCGCCTTGCGTTCTTTTTCAGACACAAAGTCTTCGGTCTCTTCGGCGTCAGGGTTCTCGTTCTTTGTGATGGCGTCCTCCTCAATCACCTGAGTTGAGGGTTCTTTCCACTGGTCTTTTGGGAGCACCTCTACGACAACCAGGTCGCCGTCGATGGCACGATTGATATTCTCTCTACCTAGGATGAGCAACGCCTTGGGGAAAGCCGGCACTCTGATTGATCCTTCCAGGTAGTTGTACGGAGAAACGTTGAATATCCCCTGATGGAGCAAACCGTTCTTTACGCCAGTCATCATTCTAGACATGGTGAAATATTCGGGGTAAAGGTTCTCGCCGGGGCGCTTCTCCTTGACGTCTTCGCGGTCTTCCATCTCGGGAATCATATCCAAAAGTCGCTCACTATCCTTGAGCTGCCTGACGTAGTCAGCGAGGGAACAGGCGTGGATGCCCTCCTGCTTTGCCTTCCGCAGGTTGTCCCGGTCGTTTGTTAGCATAACCACGGCGGGAACCTTGTTTGCGCCGGACCGGGCCAGGTGCTCGCCGTACCAGGCGACAGCCCTCCGGACGGCGCGGTCATTGCGATCGTTGACCGATTCGCCGTCCCGGCGAGCGACGTGGGTTTCCAACCGGAACTCGTTGAAGAAGACATAGAAGCGCTTGTCCTCGCTCTTGGTCAAGCTGATGAGGCGGTTGTACAGAGGTAGGGAACGATTCCGCAACTCTTCCAGGACGATTTGTAACACAACGACATCATAAAAGGCAGAACTCTGTTCGAAAAGGTCCATGGCACTCAAGAAGGCGTTGGTGTCGGGCACCAGGTAGTGGCCCTGTGGGAAGGTGCTGGTGCCGGCAGGCGCATCGGAGAGGACAAACGGTACGGCTGTGAGAAGGGGGAATTAGTCTGACGGTATTCCCAACACACGAGATGAACATGAGTTGTTCTCAGTGCACTCACGTCGGCCTGCTGCATCTTTGGGTGCTGTTTTGAGGCAGATGCGACACAGTCTGGACGAGCAGGGAATGTCTTGGCGGAGATAAACCTCTCGAACAATCTTTTGGACCTTGCCGCTCTTTGTCGACCTCACGTAAATCTTGCTGGAGATGTTGGCCGCGAAGGGATCCGAGTCGAGCGATCTCTTTAGACTGGACATTCTGATGCTCCGAATCGCTGTCGGGAGCCGAGTGCCCACGAGGTTCCAATTCTGCCCTGAGCTTCAGTGGATGTGAATCGCTGTTGATGGTTGCCAGGGCACTTTCGAAACCAATCCCAAGTTCCTGACAGCGTTGATCTTATCTTATCTTATCGATAAGCCCCGCCGTCGAGTGCTTGCTCGTCCCGTCCAACTATAAACTCTCATCGAAGATACACCTCCCTACCTTCCATTACACCCCTTACCCTTGAAGTATATGCGGAATAGCACGTGGAAAGCTACGGTAGGCCTAGATATCTTACTTGTTCTATCTTGTGAAGTACCGGATTGTCAAATCGAGAAACCCCTAATTCAGCTGTATACACCCCTCTCCTCCAGCGGCGGAGATCGTGTAACTCGAACATCTCCCTCCTCCACTTGACCTTGAATTCGGGTTTTGGTGAACCGTCGGATCAAACTCTCCTGGCAATCCGGCTACTAGCTAAGGTAGGCAAAGTATATCTTGGAGGGCGTGTTTTTACCTTTGCGAGTGTGCACGATTGCGAAGCTATCCCCACGGGTCTTCGATAAGATGATGGCAGGGCAAGTCGCTAGAGGAAGCTCCCCTCGTCATATGGCCTGCGCTGGATTCAACCGGTGTATTTTGCCAGATTGCAGAACCCTTGTCTGTTTCTGCTGCAGTCCGATCTTGGATCAATAGCGAGCACTAGGTCAGGAGGGACGGCGCCGGGTATGCTGGGTTTTGATCGCCATGCCGCTCGCTGCCTTCGCAATGCGATGCTTGACCTCGAGCCGGGAGCGGGCGGTTGATCAGTCTATTCATATGCCCAAAAATAGCAGACTCCGATGTGATAACTGAGGCGCAAATATCCAAGTGTATAGCTATACGCAATCTTTGTGTCTTGGAAGGCCCTGATCAGCCGTGGTACAAACGTTGTCCGGGTTTAGTCGCCATGCACAGCAAGCGTGCTTTGGTTAATCTGCGCCATCCTCGATATGACCAAGCGAGCTGCAATCGGCCAGATGTAAAGGACGCAACCGAGCTAACATCACAAGCTAAAGGTTCGCCATAATGTAAGCACGAGGATGCTCAGCTGGTTCTTCTGGTTCAACTCGTGCAGCATCAAGATACACCGTGTTGCGCCAAAGGCCAGCTTTCCCATCTTGGATACCTCAGACGTGAGACAGAGGCTTGCAGGCTTGCAGGTACAGGTGCATCAGCGGGTTGGGCCTACGAATCGGTCCATCCGCACACCAGGTAGTATGCATAGGGCTCCGAAGATGAGACGAGCACGTAGGGGCTCACTGGCCGAGTCTCCTATCGGCATCCTGCCTGTTGGCGACGCCTCCTACTCTTGCCCCCCCCTGCAACCCCCTCGTTCCCGCTGCAAGTGACCGATGTTGTCCTATAGCGCCAACATGGCGCTGTGCCATGTCCCTGTGCTTAAAAAGCGATAAAATGCCGAGGCGGACGCAGGTGGAGAAGCCGTCTCGCGTGGGTGACTAGCATCCAACCTAATGTCTAGTGTAGCAATGCGCCTTTCGCAGGAGTGTGCCGTTGTTGCTCTAGGTGCTGTATGTCCTTGGTAGCGCCAGCCTGACACAGTCCCCACCATCGTTTCCTAAGAAGAGCAGGCCTTGGTTCTGGGAACAGGAATCAAATGGCACCTGAGGTGGTATGTGATGTAGACCGGGACGGGTGCCCGAGCGCAGATCTGGCGGCCATTCACTGGGTTCCAGCTCCCTTGACAGCGGGATCTGGTGGAAACAAGCCCAACAGCGCTATCATGTTATTGGTCCCATCCTCTGAGAAAGTGGTGTCAACCAGCGGATGACTTACATAGGGCCCGCGGGTGCAGATGGGAAAGGCACAGGTGTGTGTGGGCGCCCGGCAGTGGGGGGTTGTTGTGCTGGGACGCCCGTTCGCTTGACGCTGGAGGAGGGGCCTCCACTTGCTGCAGAGCGGGAAGGGGCTGCCCGCCGAGATGTCTGCAGGCAAACGCAGCGAGGGAAATGCAAAACTGCATTTCCACCACAGTACCTTGTCATCGCTCATGGCGCCTGAGTCGGGAGCATCCATGATGTTTGCAGATCGCAGAGACAGCCACACCCCTTGAACAAGCTCGTCCTTTGCGAGGTGGAAGCGACCTCAACAACCGCCATGCAAACCTAACGTTAGCTTGGACCTGGTGGTGGGTGTGCTGTGCCTTGCCCCAGATCGCGCCGATGGCCCATCCCTAGATCCAAACGGAGGTGTGGTAGGATTTCTTGCCCCGGCGAACGCTTCCATGTCCAGGCAATCAAACCACACGCCATCTATTGGAACCTCGGCGGCCAGATGCGATGCGATTGGGGGAGCGGATGGGAAGGCTAGTGTAGCCGGCAAGAGAAAAAGAGCAGGCTTCAGCCACGAGAGAGACAGGAGATGAGGATAACGGGGAGTGGTCGACCAACAGGAGAAGGGAGTCTCTTGATCGAGCTAGGGGCGTGTAAAAAGAGAGGGGACGAAGCGAAGACCAAAGTTCAAGAACTGGATGTGGTCAGTGTGTCAGCTGCTTGGCAGAAAGGTTGCAACGACAGGAGCCAATCAAAAGCCAAACACTGGCCCCGGTCTCGCCAAGCCCATGCCCCACCCATCATCGCTTAAGGCCCCGGTCTTATGGGTGCTCTTTCTCCCCACCCAACATCCTCCCTCACATCACAGCCAAGCTCTGGAGAACACCCCTCCTTCCTCGGCCTGTGCCTCCCTCACCACACCATCTTGCTTGCCTTGCTGCTCCGGGGAAAGGTTCTGAGCTCTATAACCAATCTGGTTTGCACCGGTGTTCATAGAACGTGTACGCTACCAGTTCTTGAAGATGGCTTCGCTTTGTTAACTCATAAATATTTGAGAGCTCTCGGTAAGCCATCCGGTGGGTAGGGGGTGGGACGATCGAGAGGGGCAATGACGGTGATGGCAAGCAGAAATACACATCAGAAGGGGAACGCCAAGATAGTGCCACGGCGATGGTTTGCTTCGCCGCATTTCGCAAGAAGTTGAGACGAGGCGTTATCGTGCATGGCTCCGCCGAAAGCCGCGTCTCCCTTATCGAGTATCGACACCGGCCAAGCTGTGATTCGCTGGAGTCCAAGCCGAGCAACGGCTCGGCTGTTCACTCTACGCGTCTTCTCGGGAGACCCGGGTCATCATCATGAACCGCGTCTTTCACCGCTGCCCGGAGCCTGTTTGAAAGCCGAGAGGGTCGAGTACCCTTTCCATCGAGAGAGAGATTCAGCTGTTGCGTCGTTCTTGCTCTCAGATAGATAGCCGTGCGGCCGGCCAATCAAGTCGGCATGGATTAGTGTAGACATTACAGAGTATTGGCAGCTCACGGACACTCGACAGCAGTGGGAGAAAAGAATGATACCTTCCTCGGCCGCGAGCCAGCCGCCCCGAAACCCAGCCTATGCCCAGGTTGAGAGCCGAGAGAGCCTGGTCCTCGCCAAGCGCATGCAAATCTCCATCGAGATCCATGAACCTATTTTTGCCATGGGCCACGCGGGCCGCTGGGCAAGTCTTCTCAAATCGTGATAATTCATGTGATGTTTCCTCGATCTGAACTTCCACTACCCGGAGCTTCCGCTACTTTGCACTAACTTAGGCCATGCGCACGAAAATGGATCCAACTGCAGGCTGACCTCATCTCAAGCAGCAATGTTCGAGTCCAGAGTAAGCGAATTCCCTCTCTCGGCATAGATAGGTGGTCGCGGCGAGCGTAACACGCTCTGATGTTATTAGTCTCAAGCACCTCTGGAAACCCAGAACGGCCGGCGAGCAGACGTCCGCAGCAACCTTGTGCAGCTTGGAGACCGGGTTGAGTCATGGTGTGTCGGTACGATGGCACTGGGGTAGTTTTATCCCACAGAAGATCCCAGACATGGAACGGCCGTGGCTATCAAGACGTCTTCTCATTGGCGGCATCTCGACCGCGCCAGTTTCATTGGAAAGAAGACGCCCCGCACGGCTCCGATGTCACTGCAGCAAGAACCCGGAGTATTGAGGATGTACAATTTCACGGTCCTCAGCATGAAAAGGGAGCACCAGAGTGTTCAGAGAACCTGATGAGTGGCTACCATCAGCATCTTTGAGTCACTCGAGAAGCGGTTTTGTCTCAGAACAATCCAGTCCCACCAACCTCGATGTTTCCCGGGCGCTCGGTTCCGGACCAAAGCTGGCCGAAGCGTTTAGTCCTCTCAATAAACGGAAAGCAGGAATTTGCGGTTCTTCGAAGAAGATACTGGGCCGATACTGTCAAGCGTCCATAACTACAGCCGGGCTGAGGAAAAGCCTTGCGTAGCGGACATTTTACTGTCAGAAATTGTTCCACCTCGAATGGCGCGCCGGGGCAATTCGGAGACCGTCAGCCTGCAGAACCGCCGCTGAGAAACTTGAGGATCCTCTTCTTCGGATTGAGCCGAGCAGCTGGCCATTGGTGACCATCCCCGAAAAGAGGGAGGCATACCGACCAAGGAGCTGGGAAATCCGAGATATGGACCCTCACACCCCGCTCATCCGATCAAAGTCTTGCACCTGACGTCTCAGCTGACAGTTCACTAAAGCACCAATTTAACGTTACCCTTCCTGCTAGCGTTGACGGGGCGGTAAAGTCAGGTATGTATGCAAGTTTCGACCTCGGACGACAGGGGAGAAGCCAAGTAGTCCGTTTGTCGTTTGACGCCGTTAAACGGCATAATCGCACTAGTTATCAAGCTGATCGATAGGTTCCTCAGCCGTTTGTCTCCGTCGGCGGTGCAACAAGATCGCATCTTGCTCGTGTTGCGCGATTTAGGGCGGTTTTCAGGCAAGAGCTGTTGGTTCACTGACTCTGCCGTGATAGCGAACCTGTGCCGCACCTTGTCCAACGTCAAAACCGAGCCAGCCTAGGACATGTTGGAATTCTTGGAGGGAGCTCACATTATTGCCTTTCAAAAATTCTTCCAGTGGCGTAGTCGTTTTCCTGAGCAGAGCATTGCTGGAACCAAGACTCGGGCTGTGAGAGACGCATAGATTTTGGTTCCTTTTAGTCACAAAACCGCTGTGTCGCGCAAAAACCGGTCATCCTTGCCATCTGCTAGACTGCTACGGTGCTACCCACTGCTCATGACTTGTTAGAGACACGAGCCTTGTGCGAAAGTACCGTGGGCTACCTCCACATAGGCAGCGACCGGCCTTGCTCACCCTATGTTCATGTAATTCAACGTTAGCAGTCTAGCAAGACTTCGATGCCAATTAATTGTGGGCCGCAGGTAATCGTGCTTCGACCCCTGCTCAGGCAAGCCTGCTGCTGGCTCAACTGGCCGCCTTCCCGCATCTCAGTTCACACCCCCCTTGTCTTGAATGGAATTCCAGAATTGGATAACGTTACACGTACGTCGTACTTTCCAAAGCATCGTTTCTCATTCTCCCACACTCAAACCGCTGTGTGAGTGGGAATCGTGTCTAAGGCCTCTTGTGCGAATTCTGCTAGAACTAATAGAAGAATCTTGGGAATTCGAAAGCACGTATGCACACTCGAGGAAAGACAAGGAGTGAGACTTGACAAGCGTGCTTGAAAAACCGCTGAATGAGCACCCTTGGTCGTCAGTCCGTCCGAAGAACAGCCCCGTCTCAGAAACGGCAGATCCGTCATCCCAGGATGGAAGCGTTCCGCCCCTTGTGCCCTTGCCCCTCTGCAGCTCAACACGCTCTTTGGTTTAAACGCTCAATGAAGCCGACTTACGGCCCAGCGCGTCGCATATTGATACATATTCGCCAGAAGTAATGTCTTGTTAGAGAAGAGCAATGAAAGGAGACAAACGAAAGCCATAATATTAACTACGTTATGCTGGGTTTCGCGCAGGATCGAGCGCTCGCTGATGTTCCTCAAGGCTGAGAGAGCTGGTAGCCTCTCGCCTCTGATTGCTGATTGCTGACCCCCGGCGTTTCTTATCCCGGCGTCGCGGGGTCCAGGGCAAGCACCGTGCAGCCAACGAGCCAGGCCCACTCTCACCCCCTTGCAAGTCAAGATCCCCAGGCCTCTTCCTCCCCTTCCCGCCCATCCCACCTGACAATTGCGCAGCATGTCGCGTCTGTGCCAAACCAAGGTCGCATTTCCCTGTCCCAATCCGTTATGGTGCAGCTCGTGTGTAATGTCGCGGTGGCCGTCGACACATGCACATCATAGTCCCGCTCAGCCCTTGCCGTAAGTGGGTTAGCTGAGCCAGCCACTGCCCAAAACGGATTAGCCCGTCCCAGCCGTTCGCAAGGCCTCGTCTGCCTTGCGGCGTTCACTTGCTCGCGTTACCGATACGTGATTGAAATGATGAGCGATTCCACTCTCTGTATCTCTGGACACACCGCCCGTGGCAAACCTGGAAGTCCCAGCAAGAAGTTCTCATTGACCAGGAACTGCCCGCAGAGGGGGAAATTGATGAGTAAAAGAGTTCTGGCAAATTAAGGGAAAAGGCACCCACCCTGCCGATTTTTTTTTATACTTTCATCTTTCATTCGACAACCCCATTCTCTGGGAACAGCCGTGGATTTGCGCCAACCATATGCATGAGCATTCCCTTACCTGCATCACCCAGCAGCGCGTGCATTCCCGGCCAGAACAGGAGCTGTAGCTAAAAAGTGCTTTTTTGGCTGTGTCGCCCCTCCTCGAACAAGCCCAACTATTACAAGACACGTCGGTTTCGCAGACCCATTTTGAACGTGGTCGACGACGACGGCACTGATGTACGCTGCACAGCCCAACGGCGCTGATAGTGCAACAATCAATCCAGCTGCGCTCAACACAGGTACGTACGTCATCGCTCCTTGCTTCTCACTCATTGCTTGAGTCGGCGCGAACGGTGTCCACGGCCGGTGCGGGTGCGTGCGCCGCGCCTGTGTGCCCTGCGCGCGAGCGCCGAGTACTGTTTGGCCAGCTCTCGCGATCCGCGTTCTCTCGTTCTCTGAGATACGCCGGCAAACGTTGAGTTCGAGTCGCGAGCCATTGCTACAGCGGTTCCATCTTGTCTTCCGCTTCAGTATTACACCCGTATCTCATCTCCGCGGCCCGCCAATATGCCTGGTTCCGTCGCATCAGCCTTCCACAGATCGTCTGCACCATGTTCGCCAAAATCGGGGGATTTTGCCCCCTTGTTGCGACGCGCACAATACTGACGGGTGATCCCAATAGACCCGATCGATCCCGCCTCTCGAGGCGTCAAGCGAAGCCGTTCCCCGGACGAGTTCCGGGACTCGGGGCGACCAGGGTCAGCTGGTAATGACGGTATGTTGTGCTTGTCTCTGTGTATCCGCGCCTCTGCGACCTGGTGGATATACCCGCGTTACATACAACCTTGATCGTGCGACCGGGCCCATATGACCCTATGATCCACTTGCTGATCTCGCTGTCGCGCACACAGGTGGTGACAATCCCAAGAAAAGAGGTAGAACGATGAAGTCCAGACCATCTGGGGGCGTACCCGAGGCTGCGGCCGCCACGCCCATCCCGCCTGTTCAACCTCTCCCTCAGACGATTCCTCCGCAAACACCACAAAGCCAGAATGCGCCCTTGCCAGCGCAAACGCCCACCTACGCCCCTCCTCAAACGTCGCCTCCCAAATCGACTCCCAAGTCAACGCTGAAAGCGCTCCCCACGGTACGCGACCACACAACTGACCAGTTGGGCCCTGGTGGGGATGAGTACCTCCCACGCGAGATCGATGAGGCCGGCGAGAAGAAGGTTCTGCCTAATGGCCAGCTTACTGGGAACCGCGAGTATCGATGCCGGACCTTCCACGTTCCGAATCGTGGCGACAAACTGTTCATGCTCGCCACTGAATGTGCGCGCGTTCTTGGATACAGAGATTCGTACTTGCTCTTCAACAAGAACAGGTCGCTCTACAAGATTATCGCCAGCCAGGTGGAGAAGGATGACCTAGTAGCCCAGGAAATCCTCCCCTTCTCGTATCGCTCGCGCCAGATTGCTATCGTGACAGCAAGGAGCATGTTCCGTCAATTCGGAAGCAGGGTCATCGTGAACGGGAGGAGGGTCCGAGACGACTACTGGGAGACGAAGGCGCGCAAGCAGGGTTTTACCGAGGCCGATCCGGCGGGCGAGAAGCGGCCTGGCGCTTCAAAGGCCCGCGAGGCCGAAGCTAACCACAACGCATCTCTGTTAGGGGCGCCTCATGGGGAGATCGTTTACAGCACCACCCCGGGTCAGTTCGGCGGTGCGCCCCAGCCGCAACTGGTTCAACCAGGTATGATTGGAGCGCCGCCAGGAAGCTCGACAAGAATGCCCGTGATAACACTAGGACCAGATTACAACGATACCCGGAGCCGGGATTACTCCAGCATCTTGAAGACGGGCCCACGTCAGGAGATCACTGGACCGCCCTATCAGGATCGGATCCAGCCCACCCCGATAGCAGAGCTGCACGCCCAGGCCCATCATGCGGCCGACTACAACCGGTCGGTCAACCAGCAGCGAGAGATTCGCGGTGATTACATGCAGAGTGTCTGGCGGAGGCCGCACGAGCAGCCTCCTCCGACAACAATGAGCCAGTCGGCCAGCACGACCGATGCGTCGGCGTCAGCAAGCCGCCCGGCGACGACGACGGGCATGCAGCAACCCGGCATCGTTCCTAACCAAAGTCCGCAAATGATGATGACGGCAGCGCCATATTCGCAATCCATACACGCGCAGAACCCGGTCGGCCAAGGCGCGTTGAGAGGTATGGCCCAAGATCCAGCTCAGAGCGCTTCAAGACCAACATATCCGTCTTCAGGCTCCGCTGGGACCATGCCGCAAACGTCCCAGAACTACAGCTACACGCAGAACCAGATGTGGCCGCCGACGCCGCAGACCCCACAGCATGGTTATTCTGCCTACACGACGAGTCAGTCCCAACCGTCTCCTCATCCACAGCAGTCGCCGGCACCGCAGATGCGCCACTCGAGCGCGACGAGCCAAGTGCAGCCGGGCGGCATGTCTTACCCGGGAATGCCGGGCATGGGTCAGGGGTATGGGACGAGCGCCGCCACCGCCCAGGGAATGTATCCCGCCGATCAGACACCGCGCCAGTACATGCACCAGAACCCGCAAGCACCGGCCGTTACGCAGGCGTGGTCTCAGCAGCAGACCCCCGCGCAGTGGTGGACAAACCAGCCGCAATGAAAACCGCCTCTATTCTTTCTCGGGCTGGCTGATGTGTGCCAAGTGAGCCCGTTGTAGAGAGCGGTACAACATCTGTGACCGTCCGGTTCTCCACCCCATGCCGGATCGACGACGTTGCAGCTGGACTGGGTCTTGCCGAGGCCGCTGTGGGAAGCATTACGGGAAATTGAAAGTTGGTTTATTTCGGAATAGGGCGGGACTTGGATTGACAGACGGACGGTAAAGGAGAGGCAAATATGCTTTTCGAGGATACCAGGCAGGCAGGCTATGGTCGGCTTTTCCCAACAGCATTCGGGCCCGGCAAAGGGTTACGGAACGGTATAGAGGAGTCCTGCGGGAAAGGATGGGGGCATTGTGGATTTGCTTTACGATACCTGGATACCTTTTTTCTTCCCCTTTCATTTTACTTTCTTTCTGTTTCTTATTTTTCTGTTTCTTATTTTTCTGTTTCTTATTTTTCTGTTTTTGATTCCCCTGCCGATTTCCCCCTTCGATTCTTTCCATTTTCCGCGCTGCTGGCCGACCGACCTCACCCTTTTTCATGACGCTCACGACCTTCTACGACCTGATGGCCGTTGATGTTGGATAACGACGATTCGGTTTGAGTGTTTTGAGCGTCTGGAGATGGCATCAGCTGGGCTTTTTCCACTCAGCCGGGCTTTTTCCACTCAGCCTCTGGTTCTGCTTGGGCTAATTCTGTCTTGCTTTCCTCATCATTTCGAGCAGTGGTTGGAACTGGTTGAACCTTGTTTCGGCGCCGTCGGCTTGCAAAAGCCAGTGCTCGAAGTCAGACTTCGGCGAGCTAACCAACCGATGCTCTTGCTTTGCTTCCCCTTTTTGGTGTCCAGTATGTCCCTTCGCTGTTCAAGGTTGTGGTATACGTTGTGTTGGATTCTGGGTATGGCTGACTCTATTTGTACGTATGGATGTAAAGGGTAACAGATACACACACAAGGGTTGGGCTCTCTGGGACTCTGTTTCTCGACATCTCCCCATATGTCTTCTTTCTATCTGTCTCCCTGCGCTTATGAGCGGGTTGTACGGTTTTGCTCTTTCTCACTAGGTATCCTGTTCTTCTCCGTCTGTTGTTGTTATCATAGTGTTGTTACAAGCTTTCCTGTCTAGGACTATCTCACACCATCGTGCTATTGTTTGGTGCCGACCGCCTGGGTTGGAACAGCAAGCGGAGGAGTTATCTCCCATTATCCCCTTTACATCTTCTTGGGTTCAGTTTGCTTTCATCCCCTTCTACTCACCCGTCCCTCGGCTTCCCCATATCTTGCGTGTTTCGCTACACACTCCTCACTGGTGAGGATTTGAGAGAAGGCCATTTGTGGCTTAGGGTCTTAAATCCATTTTGGTTTTTGGTTTACAACCAGTCCTTTGGCTTCGATTTGGAATTTACAGTGTTTTCTGTATCCATCTATTTCTGCATTGAATGGGTGGCTGGGACGTTTCTGGCTTGGGGTCGGGGAATATCGATCATTTGGCAATACCGGATTGTTTCTTCTCGAGGGCCAGCTATCACATTGGATAATAAACGCGTGGCTATTTATTTCTTTATTCTCGCGTGATTATCACTGCCCCGGATGTGAACATGAGAGACGTGTCATTATCGTGCTGCGTACGGAGTACAGGCACTTAACTAAAGCTTTCGACGGACAACTTGATTTCTCGCCATTGCAAACTGCAAGGTGCCGGGTCCAGCGCTATCCCTTACCGCTGCTGGGTCAACCACCCCGCCACTCGAACGTAAAATGTGATGGCTTGGTGGCCGCAGAGATCCAGCATCCGTTGAGAGCCAATCAACCAGAAATTGAACCTAGAAACCTAGAGATAGCTGGTAAAGCCTGGGGCATGTGGCCGGTGAAGATTTGGATACTCCATGTTTTCCATGATACCTATCTCTTTCCCCCCTAATTTACGCAAGTCTTGCCCCCCGCCACCTCCTTATCCACGCCCGGTATGTGTGTACGTATATACATACGACAGTGTAACTGAGCTGATGAATGCAACTTGCGGTCATTTGACGCGTGGTGCTGACCTCCTTGGTAGGACAAGCAAATGTAACGCTACTGCCGGAACGGTTCCCCCCTTTTTTCATGGCGCGGGAGAAATGGACCGGGATATCGCCGGGCTCGTCGTTCACTACCCCCTTTTCACTTAACATCGCCTTGGTTTTGGCTTCCCTTTCCTTCCTTGATCACTCAAGGGCGGATAGAAAATAATGTGTTCGTATTAAACTTCTGCGTCGGAGACGGTGACTCGCAAAACCACAACTGTACCTCGGGTTACCCTTCCATCCTCGGAGAGTACTATATGTATGGATACAGCTGGTCTCTTCAACTTGCACATCTGGAACGGTTAGCGCAGCTTGGAAAGCTTGCTGCGGAAAGCGGTGAGAGAGTGGCTCATGACCGCTGACATCACTTCGCCGGCTCTATCGGATGTGGTTCGTCACCAAGCAGTCGGCGGGACGGATATCAATCGTTTTTGCGCCGATAAGTATGAGTTGAAAAACCTAGAGTTGACCACTGAGCCCGTGAATTCCGCCAGAGCGCTATAGGAAGCCGGCACAGTGGATGAATCACGCTTCCAGACTGAGTTTATCGTGACCTTGATAGAGCACGCCCAGACGCCCTCAAGCGCAGTGTACGCCCTTTTTTAAGGGAAGGCCCGGAGGAGTGCGGGCGCCATCCTGGCATCACGTAGCGTGTAGTGGCAACTAGTCACTGTCATCGTCTAAAGCCTCATCCTCGTCGCCTTCGTTGGCTGTCCGCTCTTCCAGATCATCCCGGTCCTGATCGGCAGCATCAGGCTCTTCTTCCTCATCTTCGTCGTCGTCATCCTCCTCCTCGGCCTCTTCATCCTCGTCTTCCTCCTCATCCTCCATCTCTTCTGGAACCGTCTCTGCGTCTGAGGGCTCGTGGCCGTCTACTTCCATCTTTGAAGAGTCCACCGCACTTGGGTCGAGCTTAGCCTTCTTGGCCGCTCTTGACTGGCCCGCCGACCCTGGAGCACCAGATGCGCTCATAGCAAAGCTTTTGTCCGTCTCCTCGGCGCCGGTCGCAGCGGAGCCTATGCTCATCATGGAGACGTCGGCCGTGTTCTGGCTCTGGTTGCCCCCCGCAGCAGCTGCCTTTTTCGCCGCCGCTACCTTTTTGCGGTACGTGGACCGTTTTGACGTTTGAACTTCATTGAACTCTAGCGCAAGAAAAAAGTAATGTCAGCCTGAGACCAACACGGGCTGCTGCCAACTTGCGAACAAAACCCCGCGCCGTGGTTCCCTGCCGCGCAAAGCTTCTACTCACTTGCAAATTCGGCCTCCAGCTTCTCCCGCATGAACCCGTATTCAATCTCGTCAAGCGCCTTGAAGACGTCGGCGGGCATAATGGTCTTCTTCCCGGATGACACTGTAAACCCGTTTGCGCTGTTTGCATCTCGGTCAGGAACAAGCCGAGGAGGGTATATCGTGGATAGGGTACGTACGAGTTGGCCAAATGGTTAACAAATACCGTCGCGCTTTTTGTAAGGGCAAGAATAGCATTGGCTTGAATTTGCGTGTTGGGCGGCAGCACACCCTTCGCTAGACGAGTGATTATGGACTTGGGAAGTGTTAGATCCTAGATAGCTCCCGTCCGCCGTGGGTTTTGCTGTTAGCCCTAGAACGGGGTTTTGGTGACGAATATGATGGGCATGAGAAGCGAACCTCAATTGTGACCGCATTCTTCTCCTTCTTCTCGTCCTTCTTGTCCGAAACAAACGATTGTGCGGCGGGGGTTGACGTCGAAGCTCGGGGTTCCGCTGGCTCGGGAGCCGGCGACTCGGTGGCCATGGTTGTGTCATCGTCGGCGAGTACAAACCTCGCGGCGGAGACGTCGCTCCGCCGAGTATCACTCTTACGCGACGGCATACTGGTTGACGCTGGTCCTCTGGCACTTCAACAGTACAACTGGTGGTCGTTGGCGGAGTGGAGGTAGTAGACCCTGGAGCCAATGGCGAATAGAATCCTCGTCAGATGTTGGAAAATAATATTATACTGTTACCACAGGTTGATGTACAGGAGTGCTTGTAGATTGTATTGTCGATTCGAAAGGGTGGGGAGTGCAATAGGTGGCAGCTCGCCGTTGCTTGTCTGGAGGGAGGTTGATAAAATCGTTTGGCGCGTTGTCGCGCTTCTTCCCATTCAACGCGTAGAGTGGATTGGCTCGAGCTCATATCTAACCCGGAGGCGTACTACTCGTAAAGTCCTAACCCTCGAGGCTCAGGGTTGGCGCCAGCTCTTAAGCAACACACTAAGTGAGGTGGGCTGCCAGCACCTACCACTCACCTTAAGTGACTGATGGCTTGTGGCATCTACAACTTACCAAACCAACTGACTCTGCCACTCGCAATCGGAGCTTTCTGTCGATTCACACTTGAATTTTGGGGAGCCCTATTATTCAGCTAGAGCTCCAATGGTCGGGTTAGGGTTCCAGGCGTATTGTTAATACTACTAAACTGTATACAGTATACATTATCTCATGCACCGTATTGCACACAATCCAACGGCAGTCACGGTGTCGCTCGGCTGCCAGTGGTCCACTTCATCCCGTCTTCACGAGGTTTTCAAACATCTCCCCAGATCTTCATCTGCCCGTACCGTTGTTGGCGATCCCGATTCGTCATCCCGTGTGCTCAGGCCCCACGTGCTCGCGTTTCATGTTAGCGTGCTGGCAGCATCTGATTCGAAGAAAACCATGTTTCGCTTGATTGCTCATTCCAAATAACGTTATCTCAAGTTCTCGACGTGGGCCAACGTAGCTTTGTGGAAGTTGGAATTTGCGGACCGCTCATCCCGACTCATCCTTTGTCTGCATATCTTACTCCTCGGCTGGGGTATGTCTGGGCAGCCGCGTTCTGTGCAGAAAGACACCCCGGCAGGGATGTACATAAGTCATCCGCTCCACGTAGTAATCAATGATACTGGTTCCCACCGCGATGAAGACGGCGGAGGGGCCTCGGCCGCAACCAAGTGATACTATCATGAGTTGGGTGTTTATCTCCGGTATCCCATATACCTGGCGAACACTAATCCTGCTATCGGTGGTGGAGGTGTAAGGGGTCTAACCCCCGCTAATATGAGGGACCGGGCCGCCAGGTCTAGGGGTTTCCCTCATATAAAGACATATGAAACACCTAATCTCCTCCTTCCTCATACTCAGTCAGGGTATATCCATCGTCTTTGAATAATCATACGGAAAGCCCAAGATCCTTAGCCAGCAAGCCATTTGCTCGCTGTGCCTTCAGCTTGTTGTTGGAGCTCGACGTCCTCGAAGAATAGCCTGAGCAAGAAAAAAAGCATCGTGAATGGCTCCAGGGGGCTCCACCCCTCGTAGTGTGAACATAAAACCCGGATTGCAGGGCCAGTCTGTCAATACTCCGAGATAAGAATGGAAGAAGAATCGAAATGGGGCAAGGTCTGGTCTTTCGCCGCCCAGTGTACGAATAGCATCCCAGACCTGGGGTTGCTTCGGCGGAAGAAGAAACAATCGAAAATCACCGTCTTCGTAGAAAAGAATTCTGCTGCAGATGTAGAGTCGGAGATTGCTGGCGTCCTTCAGCCAATGGCCCGGCCAATTCCACCTTCACCAAAAACTGGTTTGACCGGCGAGATGCCGCTGAAGGGCACCTCATCACCCAACGATAACCTTGGGGGTACAGATGAAGAAGAGTAAACGCGAGAATGGCTGCGGCTGTAGGTGCGCGAATGACGCCCATGATCCTGGGAATGGCGCGGCGAGAGCTCCAATTCGGACCCCCCGGAACCGTATTCTCCAAAGCTGCGGGTGCTGCTCCTCGAGCTCCTCGCTCTCGCGTGGCGGACGGAGCGCTGCGACGCCGAATTCGGCGGGAACTTGGAAAGACGCGACGGCTGCCGCTTCGGACTCGGCAGGAATGGCGCGTCCCCGGGCATCGTCTCGTCCGTGAGGCCTGCCCTAGCGTTTGGCGCCTTGGCCTGGATGGGCGTTTGCGGCAGCCCCTGTTCCATGCTCACCTTGCCATACGCTGGGTGATTGCGTGGAATAGAGCGTCGGGATCCACCGTCGGTTGACTGACGGAATCCCTGGGCGTTGCTGTACACGATGACACTCGGCGGCTTCTTGAGTGAGGTTGTCGAAGCTTGCTTGGCGTGTGACGGGCCCCCAGTCTCTTTGGCCAGGGCTGCGGCGGCTTCCACATCGGTAAATCCGCCGTGAAAGCCGGCCTTCTCGTCCCTCGGTGACTTCCAAGTTGCAATCTCGTCATCGTCGATGGGTGAGATGCCTCGCGAAAAGAAAAGCTGACCCCGTCGTCGATATTTCAAGCAGACCAGCACCGCCCCCACCATCAAGGCCACCCCCACCACCGAGAGCACGCTGCTCAGGACAATGACAAGGGTTCTGTTGCTTGCGATGCCAGAGTCAGATGTGTCGTCTGGGGAATTGGTTGTCGTCGCTAGTCCAGTTGAGCCTGCGGTATCCGAGGGCATAGTATCAGTCACTAGGACCCCGCGTGATGTTTCGGTGCCTGCAGATACTCCAGGGGGGCTGCCGGTGCCAGTATTGGTCGTTGAAGCTCCGTCCGATAGTGGAAGATCTGTAGCGGGCACTGAAGACAGTTGTGTGGGGCCTGGGACTGATGTGGTCAGCACGGTCGTCGTCGTTGTAATTCCTCGTATCGGCCAAGGAGGCAGGCTCCATGTCCTCCATGACTGACCCGCCTCGACGGCGAGCCCAAGCAAGCCCTCCGAGTCCCAGCCTGGGTCATTTTGGATGCCTAGCACGGCTGTCCGAGACTCAACGGCCCATACAAGCACTACTTCGCATATCAACGCCAGTAGATATGGTGGAAACATGCTGAGTTGCCGCGGACTGTGGGCTCAGAGGAGGCTGGGGAGTGGTCGTGGCAAGGAAGGGAGGACTAGCAGGCCATTGGACAAAACTGGAAAGCTCAGGTATACCTCTTGAGGTCGACTCGGGAAGACCAAAGGGAGCGAGGGCCAAACTCAGAGGGAGGATCGCTGAGCGGGCATCACTCCGGCGGCGCGAGGCCGAGGATAGATTTGAAGGGCGTCGAGGGGCGAGGATAAAGAGAGACAAGAAGTAGAGGTAGACGGAGAGGAAAGCTCCCGCATCTAATCCAGAAAATGCCCGGAATGCCAGGCGTGAGAAAGGGATTGGGGGTCAACACGGGAACCAAAGGTGCGTGTGGCCTGCCCGAGCCATCTTTAGAAATTATCAAGGAAAAGATGGGGAGCCGGCAGATATACCTCATCCCGTTTGTGCTCGAGCCCACGGTTGATGTAAAGGTAGGTAAGGTACCTACCGTACCTGGGCGTGCCATGCTACGTACCTTACCCAGTCCGGCTGATTGCCGTAACCCCATCCCATCCACAATCCCATCACCCCTGGCTGGGGACGGAGGCGAGGTGGGAAGGGGTGGGTGGGGATGAACAACCTGATTTCTGAGATTGGTGGTTTGGCCAAACCATGGTGAATGTGGGTGGATGGTATCGGCGAAAGAGCTCCTAGAAGCACCAGTGGAAAGGCGCCTCAGTATGCCACCGAATGCGCAGAGACTTTGCAGCCTCGGTCGCAGTGTTGGGAATCCTCTGCCAGCGCAGCATACACTTGAAACACAGTCTATCGGGGTACACAACAAAGTGCTTGCAGATGACAGGTTAGCTAGCGAAGGCGATCAACGCAAGTAAGCGATCGAACCCTGTTCAGAGCCATGCTTATGGCAAAGATAGCTTGCATGGACTCGCAGGTGGAGTGACCGGTTGCAGCAAGAGAGGGGTGACCCGCTTAAACCGAGAGACATGGCAAATCGACGAAGACGGAAAGGAGAAGGAATACAGGAATCGGTGCCTGAACCCCTCAGAAGGCCAGTGAGGATGATAGTGGCTGCAGCTTGCAGCGATCTCTCTGAACATATGCAAAGCCGGCGGCTGCCCGGGGAAGACCAGTTTCCGTCAAAGGACATGGAGAAGAACGGATGGCACTTGCCTTCCGAGTTTATTTCTTTGTCTCCTTTAACAACAAATTCCGTGAGCTCCATTTCACCAATATTCTGCTCAGGGGCAGGAAGCGGTGAGGTCTTACGTATGGGTGTGGGTAGGAACCTGCCCGTTCCTGAAACTACTTACTGTAACTTACTGTATGTATGTCATTAGACTGTAATCCCCGCATATTTCATGCCAAGCATTCTCGCCATTGGGCCTTCATTCAAACCAAGAGCGAGAGGGGAACCAGTTCATCTCGATTTGCCTTGTTCGGACCACATCGCCGAGACTGCCAGGGCTGTAGTGTATGGTATCAGAAGCACAATTGTGCGTGACTGCGTGACTCTGTACTGTACCTGAGCTATCCGTGATACAAATACACCCACTTCGCGACGGTTCCTGCAGGGCACCAAAAGTGGTACCCAACCATCGGCCGCCCTTTCCCATCCCTCGATCTCATAGTTCGTTCTGCTCCCGAGTCTTCGATGCCAGCAAAAACTGGGCATGATTAATTTATCCGATCGCAGCGGAGGTCGAGCGTTCCGCTGCAACTGCCATGATACTTCGCAAGACGACCTCTCAATGAACTGCCATGTCTTTCCAGTTGGAGATGAGGCCGTGCACCGTTGCTTTCCCATCCGAAACCTCGAATCAGTTGGCAAGGCCAATCAAAGTGGACCTGGTCCTCTCCCTCTCCCTCCCGCTGCTGCAATCTCGGTAATGCCAGCACGGCGTCTTGCGCTTAATCGGCACTGCTCTTTCGCTCTACCAGCCGCCGTGGGCGGCAAATGACTCTATTCCCAGGGCAAACACGGTATCTCCCGCGAGTCTGTGCTCGTTGACGTGACCTTCAGAAGTTCAGAAGCATTGGGTGATTGCTGCCGGCCCAGTGCTCCCAGATTACCTGTTTGCCAGTGCATCTGCCTGTTTCACTTTCCTCCCACTTGTGCCTCGCAGATAACCTTCCAGAACGTGACAAGCAGCCACTCAAACGGGTTCGTTTGTTTTCAGGTCAGTCATGCCCTGCTTAGCCTTGTGCATACCTGTGGTTTCCGAAACTGACTGCAATGTTCAGCCCATCCACTCACACACATATCCACACTACTCCGTACGCAAGTCACACCTACGACCAGAAAGAACTCAAATTCGTTTATGGGAAACCATTCTACCGATAATGCACAGTCCCCTATCTTTGCCTCATGCTGGCTGAGCTCGGGCTACACTTCTTGGGCGCTTCGGGTACCCTCCCGCGTTCCCATTCGTCACAGCATTATTGACGCAGAAACGGCTGACAGCCAAAACTCCGGCGCCCAGCATGATCAGGGCATAACGGACCAAGCCAGAAATGGAGGGCGCAGCCCGGGATGGTGTTGAGACTCAGTGGAAAATCCGGGGCTGCGTCTCACAAGCATGGATTGATTGCCGATGCCCAGCAGCACACCATCCCAAAGCAGTACTGAAACGGACTCTGCTCCTAAGAGGCGCTGCTGCCATAATTGCTTGAGGTACTGTATGTACTGCACATACAGTATAGGTAGTGATTATAGCACACGGCTGTATGGGCGTACTCAACCACCATCATTCCATGAGGCAAGGCTTCCGAAAGCAGCCTACTATGTTACCTTATTCTTCTCGAACTTGATTCGCTGCCCGCCCATTCAGCAATCTCATCCATTACCCCAGGCCTGATTCCCCGCTCTAAGGCCCTTCCAGAGACCGATCCCTTGGTGACGTGGTCTGGCCCAAGCCAATAGAAGGGATCAGATGCAAGACACTTTCTCAGCCATGTAGATGGCGGCCAGGAACCCCCGGTTACTCACTGGTTCGGCACGCAAATCAGTCCCGTCATGCTAAACAAAGTGTGGACGCCCGAAACCGATCCCTGGTACGTGATTCGACACTAGCATGTGCGCACATGCTGCCAGGAACGGGCTGAGACTGCACACTGGTATCATGAGTCTCTCTCGATCGGAACGGCCTATGGTTTCCCTGTTGCCATGTGGTGGGCTTTGGGCCACCAAAGCCTCCATTGCCGGTACCGTTGGGGTGGTTTCAGTCTGTGAAGACACCCAACGCTCTGTGCAACGGTTTGGAACCCAGCCCAACCTGGGTTTAGGGCAAGTCGCCGTACTTGATTGGCCCTCGGCCATTCATCTATTCGATACTCTAGGGATCGACGTGCTCAGCCCCTAGAGTTCCGCGTCGACTAGTCCATGTTGGAGGTATGAAATTCTCTCGTTGCTCGGAAACTTCTGAAGCTGTTTGTCCAAGGGTAGTGGTTGCGGACGGGAACGAGGCCGCTCGCTTCCATCCAACTGGGTGCGGCAACTTCGGCAAGTTTGAAAAGCAGATAGAGGCGACCACCCAATCCACCCCCTCCGTCCCTCCCTATCCGCAGGAGCAAGACGCATATTCGCAAGGGATGAGACCAAGAGGGTTAAGGAGAGCCTTAGTTCAAATGCCTTCTCTACTTAACGCGCGGCCCTGATACATCACTCAAGCTCTCTTTTCTGTCTTGGGTCTAAGAGACACGAATCACACGATCCATGGGATGCTCTTCCCGTGTAAAAGTCACATGACCGTACTCGTCTGTTCTGCGATCGCTGCGCCCTATGCAGTGGCCATGTTGGCTGTTGCTTACCTGCTAGTTGGATCTTCTCATGCATGGTTCAAGAGGCACAGCGGGCAGCAACACGAAGATTGTCGCTTCTCATCACAGGCAATGCAACACACAAGCCAACCCATCATCTGAAGGGCTCCTGAGCGGCCGCACCCAGGCTGGCACACTGGACACAGAATGCATTGGAACCAATACTGCAGCAAACAAGCATGATTGTGGAATGCTTACGTATTGTGTAAAAGATTGGTGAACACGATGCAATATTGCCCCGAGGAGGAGGGACGAAGAAGGTCAACGAGCCGTGGGGGTGCCCGCCGACCTGGACTGTTATTTCGGAGCCTACGAACGATGGTAGGTAGGCCTTGGACATGATCACGGGGGAGATAACCATGGACGAGTCTGGTTGACGTCTTCACACCATATGCGGCTCTTTGGAGATTTTCGTGAACACCCCCGGCCTAAGGGCGAACCAAAAAGGAACTGCGCAAGTAAAATGTAGCGCGCAATGAGCGGCTAGCTTTAGAAGCCACCTCCATGGAGGGGAGAGTCAACTCTTCTCTCGCTGCCCGACTCGCGTCAGATCAGGCCATATCTGCCCGCTCCTAAACCCCTCCCTGCGCCTCCAACCTGCCTCGTGTAAGTTTAAGTTACACGCCAACTGGCACCATAGTAGTCACAGCATCTAGGTGGGCTACGCTGTGCCGTGTTGTCACTGCTATAGCTATCGAGTGGTGTGGTAGCTAACCCCGGAACTTATATGACGTTGGTTGGGGACCCTGACCTTCGGAAGATGTGGAGCGTCTGAGATTATACGCCCAATGATCAGATGCATGGCTCCGAGCCTGCAATGAGGCCTGGTGACGAAGGCACTTCTTGCATTTGTAGGGCCAACGGTTCAACCAAGTCCTTTTCTTACCGCTTACCCTGTACCTCGTCACCCAGCAGCAAATCGAATAGGGGTTAGGTACTAGGTTTACGCCTATCAATTCGGCAAGGTGCCGCCGACCCTTTCTCAAAACTTGAAGTATCAAAGGACAAACTCGGACCATTTGGACGTAGGTAAAAAGAAAGATGTATTGAAACGGAACTCCACTAAGTTGCATGTAGCCTGCCGCAGCATGCAATGATGTAAGCGCGGCGTCAGACAGCCCTCGCTTCCATTAGGGTGGACTTTCATGTTCCCGAAGGTGCATTAGTAGGTAGGTCTGGTGTCCGCCGGTCTGCCCGTCTTAACCATCAGGGTCGAATCTCGCCCTGCTATCAAACTGAAACTCCGGGAACTACGTAGCAGGATCAAACCACTCTCCAAGCTGCCTGAACTCATGAGGTTATGAGTCAGATCAACTTCAAATTCATAGTCAGGAGATGATCAGGCGTCTTGAATTACGGTGCTCATATCCATCGTTGATTGGAAGCCGGCTATGAAGAGTACCTTAGGAACGTAATGCGGGTACTTAAGAAGTGGCGAAGGTTCAAGGGAGATGTTGCGGTCAACAACGGGGACTAGACTCGGAGGCTCTGGGATAAGGTACCTAAGGTACATATGATGCTTACCTAGTATTAATGATACGGCAACTCCTCGCCGGTGCCGAAGCTCGTTCACGTTCCCATGTCCTGGAGGGAGAAGACTCGGAATCACGACTGGAAAAGTGTCCGGTAGCTAAAGGTTGAAGTCTGCCAACCGGGACAGCCAAAACGATATTATCAGCAACATATACGCTACCCGAGGTTACCGGCTGCTTGGACGGCTGCTTGGAGGGCCATCATTAGTAGCGGCCTGCGAGTCACGTTTCTGTTGATTGAGTGGAGTGTTAGTTGTGACAATCATGTCAGCTTTCAAGTCCAAGGTACGCTGAGGCCAGAGCCCAGCCTCAATGGTACCTAAGGTACTGTGACATGATGTAGCGTAGGGCTGTTCGTCTGAGGAAGCCTGAGTGTCGACCGCATGGCTGCGGCTTTCCCGCTTGCACCATGCCTGGTACATGAAGCAAAGTATATGTATCTAGGGTAAAGGCGGCAGCAACCAGCTTGAAGCTGTCCCCTGATTGCATACTAGTACTCATTAGGTACCTAACTAGTACCCGGACTTATGGAAGTAGTATTATTATCTTAAGTACAGATTCACGACTCATATCAAGTGCTACTAAAATCATTCCTATCGATACCTACCTACCTAAAGTACCTAGGGGTCTGACTCTCGGGTTGCCTTCCATGTTGGGACACTGACTCACTAGGTAGGTAACCAGGAGTTACTAGTACTAGTAGGATCTGAAGTTCTGGAAAGATTCGTTGGATGTCTCTACTTCCAAGGTTGATGTGCCACCTCAGTCAGGGCTCACAGTCCTACAAATCAATCGGTACGTGTACGGAGAAGGCCCCCATAGGCTCACAGAGGCATAAACATCAACTCCTATACCAGGTTTGATAGGGCCTATGCTGCTGTCAGTCTTGGAATTTCGAACCCTCCAACTATCATTATGAATTTATGAATGATAACGTTTCTAGAACACGAATCTGCGAATTAAGCTTCAGAGACTACAGTCCTCCGGCACTGCTGCTTCTGTGATGGGCAGGCATCAGTCCAAACTGAATGATTTCAAGTTGCAGTGTGCTACCAGTGGGTACTGGAATGATAAATCCGTTAGTAACGAGGGTTGAATTAAATCAACTGATCCCGTCTCGAGTCACGACCTGCTCTAGAGTCAGCCTTAGCCTTAGGGAGGTACTGGAGCGTTACCTAACGCAGTCAATTTCCCGGTGAGTCGTGCGTAATGTCCCATAGGAAGGAACTTGAAATCAAGTAACCATATGATACGTAGGTGAGTATCTGTATCCTAACATAGATGTCGAGATAGGCAGGATCTACACCTCCACGTGTAAGTTGACTTCAAGCTGCGTTCCTGGGATTCGGGAGTGTTGTACCGTACCGTGCTCGTGCTGATGATTTGAAGCAATTAGTAGTACTACCGGTACTACTTTAGTACTGTGGCCAGCTAGTGTTCGTACTATACATGTAGGCCAACAGTGGCCCGCTGGTCCTCATAGAAATCCGGGATAAGACGAAACAGGTTCAAGGAACCGCGTGAAACTTTTGGTCACTTCCCAATCATGTCGGCCACTAACAAGGTTTAGAGCCACGATCAACGATTTCGGGGTATCCCTGGCTCGGCATTGCGAGCCTATCGCACCCTTATCAGTACCTTCTTGGCACTGCTTGGGAAATGCCATTGGCCAATTGGAGATCTGCTGCCCCTCATGACTCCAGAACGGTAGAGAAGCTTGGTGCGTAAAGCCGCGAAAAAGCGGTCCAACAATGTGGCTCTCCATCCGAATAAAAGACCAACCCAACCGGAGGGCAAGAAACTCGAACGACTAGATTGGATGAGGGGCAGGCGTTCGCTACAGTATTTGATAACAAGAACCGGAAACTGGGAACGGTGCAGTATAACTAGAGAGACGGGCTGCTGTCTGTCCTTGCCGATCCAAACCGGCCTCACCTATTATCTGCCTGATTGATCTGTGGCCATTTTCATCGACCATGGCGTCACGGCAGCTTCGACTTTTGTCGCTGCCATCTGGCATCACACGCGCAGCTTTCTCTGCCAACAAACCCAGGTTACAACTCGCGCCCAGCATCCCGAGAGCTACCGCCATGTCAACCATGGCTGCCTTCAAGATTCCCAAAGTGGCCAACGAGCCCAATGTATGCATCCGGTGCCATGCCCCGATTACTGATGGGAGTCACTTACTGACACGGCCGACAGCATCACTATGCCAAGGGCTCTGCACAAAGAGCGGGCTTAACAGCAGCTATCGACGCGCTGCAGAAGAAGGGTGCGCTCGAGGTGCCTCTGGTCATCGGCGGCAAAGAGGTGAGGCTATCCTTCGTCTCACATACCCATATTTGCAACGAGTAGCTAATAGTCCTGTCGGGAGCCAGATCAAGACGGATTCCAAGGGGAAGCAGGTTAACCCGGCCGACCATCAGACAGTCGTCGCAACCTACTCATTGGCGTCGCCAGACCACATCAGAAATGCCATCCATTCCGCCCTGGAGGCCAAGGCCAATTGGGAGTCGTTGCCGTTTGTCGACCGAGCTGCCATCTTCCTGAAGGCCGCAGACTTGATCAGCACCAAATACCGCTATGACATCATGGCCGCAACGATGCTAGGCCAGGGCAAAAATGCCTGGCAGGCCGAGATCGATGCAGCTGCCGAGCTCTGCGACTTCCTCCGCTTCAATGTGCAGTATGCTGAGGAACTCTACGCTCAGCAGCCCGTGCATAACTCTCCCAGAATGTGGAATCGCGTCGAGTACAGGCCGCTCGAGGGATTCGTCTACGCCATCAGCCCCTTCAACTTCACCGCCATTGCCGGCAATCTTCCCGGTCTGCCAGCTCTGCTCGGCAACGTCGTGGTCTGGAAGCCGAGCGACTTTGCCATTGCCAGTAACTGGCTACTGTACAATATCCTGCTGGAGGCGGGCCTGCCACGGGATGTTATCCAGTTTGTACCAGGAAACCCGGTCGAGATAACCAAGGAGGTGCTGGCTCACAGAAGGTTCGCGGCGCTGCACTACACGGGCAGCACTGCCGTCTTCCGTAAGCTGTACGGCGAGATCGGCGCGGGGGTGGCCGAGGGTCGGTACGAATCGTACCCTCGCATTGTCGGCGAGACAGGCGGGAAGAACTTCCATTTGATTCATTCCTCGGCCGACTTGGAGAACGCAGTCGTCCAAACGGTTCGCGGCGCGTTCGAGTACCAGGGCCAAAAGTGCAGCGCCACATCTCGGTTATATGTGCCTGCTTCAATCTGGCCACAGTTCAAGACGCGGTTGGTCGAGGAAACCGAGAAGCTGAGTGTCGGCAGCCCCTGTGACTACAAGAACTTCGTGGGTCCCGTGATCCATGAGGCCTCTTTCAAGAAGTTGTCCGGAGTCATCGACGAGGCCAAGAGCGACACGGACTTGGAGCTTCTCACAGGCGGCACCTATGACGGCTCAAAGGGCTATTTCATCCAGCCGACCATCTATCAGGCGCGAACCCCTGACCACAAGCTGTTCTCAACCGAGCTGTTTGGCCCCATTCTGACCGTGTACGTCTATGACGACACTAAGGACCCCGTCGCCGCCTTCGCCTCTGCGTGCGAGCTGGTGGACTCGGCCAACGAGTATGGCTTGACGGGATCCGTGTTTGCGGCCGACCGCGCTGCGGTCCGCTTCGCCGAGGAGAGGCTCCGTAACTCGGCAGGCAACTTTTATGTCAATTGCAAGAGCACCGGCGCCGTGGTGGGTCAGCAGCCGTTTGGGGGCAGCCGGGCAAGCGGTACCAACGACAAGGCCGGTAGCATCAACATTCTGAGTCGCTTTGTCAGCATGAGGAGCATCAAGGAGGAGTTCAACGCCACAACGCGGGTCGAGTACCCCAGCAATGAGGTTTAAGCGTGGGGGAGCTAGGGACCAATTCAATACCCCGCCGTCAAAGGGCAGGATAGATGGGGGAGTGAATTTCTATTTGATGCATGTACGGAGTTGGGTTTGTTAGCATTCGATACATCGTTAATAGGTGTCATTAAATGAAGTTCACCAAAGCTGGAAAACGAATATGTGATTCGGGTATTTTCCGCGGGGGATGTCGGATGCAGGGCTGGAGCATGTGCAAAGTATTGGATGTCACGCGATGCCCCATGAAGCGCAATCAATCGACCACGCAAGGTGCCTCGGGGCGTGGCCGCGGTGCTGGAGGCTGTTGGATGATGCTGTCGTCCCTGATGTGGTTTCGAGGTTGCCTTCGAGAGCTCGTGGACCCTGCGCTCGGGCGTTAGCGGAGCTGCAATCCGGGATGGACAAAAATGTCAATCTTTCCCCGAGATTAGAGCGTTCAGCTACGCAGGGACCGCTGTATTTTCTGTGGTTCTGGAAAGAGCAATCCACGGCATCTCAAGCCCGGCCCAATCAGCAGCGGCCGTTGCACCCCGTGCTTCCAACTCAGAAGCTGAGCACGCGACTGCTCCTGACCTCCCTCACCAGGCACCGCCCCTTCCGTCCCCCATCCCATCCCCCATGTTTCGCTTCCGTGTGCACACGAGGCCAGTCGCAATGTCTCAATTCTTACCTCGCTGTTCATCTTCCGCCGGCCGGATTTTCTCCTGTCTTTGTGCGCGTCAAAATCCGTCGACATCTTGACACTGGAGAGATTCTTCACGTCCAGCAACTTCTACATTCGTGGTCTTGCCCATCTACAGATCGATAACTGCAGAACACACTTCGTAGTGCGTCTCAGCATCTACATCCGTTGTCAGGGTAGAGCACGCGCCCATTTCCAGGGCGCTACTCGCGGAATTTCTGTCCCTCTTCAGCACCGCCTGGACGCTCACACCATCACAATGCCTCGGGGAGCATCACTCCCGACGCCTGCGTCGTCGACCGATATCAAAGGCCAGGACGGCTCCAAAATGGCCTCGCTGCAGCTCTCTTTCGAGCTGCCGCCGCCTGCCGTGACAAACACCGATTCCAACTCATTGGGAACGGGGTTTCCGATGCAGGCAAGCGAAACAGTCAAGTCCAGGAGGCGCTCGTCGGCAGCCGCCAGCGGTCCGCAGAAAGACCAATTTGCTCTCCCCCCTCCGCCTACACGCTCTCGCAAGATCATCCAGATGAAGCCCCGTGAGGAGCCAACTCCCGCCGCGGCTGCTGCGGGCTCAAAAGGCACTTCCAAGGGCTCCGCTGCGGCCACTTCTACGACGGCGGTAGCAGGTACCAAGAGAAAGCAGCCATCGGCAACGAGCGCCGCCGGGAGAAAGATTGCGAGGAAAACGGCGCATAGCTTGATTGAGCGTCGGAGGCGGTCAAAGATGAATGAAGAGTTTGCCGTCCTCAAGAGCTTAATCCCAGCGTGCACGGGAGAGATGCATAAACTGGCCATCTTGCAGGTTAGTGTCACTGGTACCTGAAATCCGGGCCGGCTCCAATTGACACCTTGTGCAGGCTTCCATCGAATATGTCCGGTACTTGGAGGACTGCGTCGCCAAGCTCAAATCTCAGCACGGTGCCGAGATAAAAACGGACACGGAGCCCAGGTCGGCTCAGCCAAGTCTGCCGTCACCGTCCTTTGGTGGCTCGTACAACCCAGACCGTAGCTATGCACCCACAGCGAATTCACGGTCGCCCGACGTGGAGATGACCAACACTTCGGGTGCCCCTTCTCCCGGCTCGACACCGGTTGCGGGGCGGTCGCAGCGCCCTTCGATATCCCCGGCTCTGCTCCCGGAAACTTCACGGAACCGCCAGGGTTCCTACTCATCCGCGTCAACCGAGTATCGTCTCCATGGTTACAGCACGCCGTCGACCACGTCACCAGTGTTCGGCCCTCAGGTGTATGCAGACGCACACCGCCCGCATTCGGCGTATGGCTCGGCATTGACGAGCCCTGCTTTGCCGCCTCAAAGGGACCTTGACCAAGAGGCGACAGCTGCTCTGTTAATGCTGAATCAAATGGACAGACGCACCAGCACCAGCGCTGGTCGAGGGATGAGCGTCCAGGATTTGCTCAGCAGTTGAGGCAATCTGGCCGTGCGGTGTTCGAGAGAAACCGGGTATCGCCGTATTGTTAGCCGCTATGCTATCTTTTCTAGAGTTAACTCAGGCTCATGCGTGATTAGCTGCTCTCGGCTCGGGGGCTCGGTGGCGGATGCTGGCGCGAGCAACAAGAGGTTCAAGATGCCTAGGCCAGCCGCAACCACGCTCGAAATGGGGCGGAACTTGACATGGACGCGACGGTCATCCGTCTGAACTGGCCGTACGTCAAAGCCTGTGTTGACATCTGATCGTTATCTGCTTCGCGGCTCTGGGACTCTCGGGGTCTCCCAGTGGCCTCAGCAGAAATGGTCAGCCGTGTCAGCCGCGTACGCGAAGGGCAAACTCGGCCCATGTGTGCGTCTGTTTGGGCCGCCGAACGGGCGGGCGAAACGCTTGTTCAAGACGATGCATGTGACGAAACTAAACTCGGGAAATGATCTCCCCAGATATCATTCACTGGTGGCAGACCACAGACAACTCGGCTCAACATATGGTACGAGGAGGCAGAATCTGGAGCATTGACGAGCGTTTTGGGCTTTGGAAGGGGGATCTGCCATTACGAAGGAACAGATCTAGATGTCTCTGCACTTGCATTGAGAATCATCTATAGTGTCGGCAGCGGGCTGATAATGCAATAGAGAATAAGAAGGCTGGCATCAACCGTGTCTTGTCCAGCGAATCAAGCGGGCTTCGAGTACCACAAGTCGTCCGATGGACCCATTTTTTGTGGAAATCGTCTGTTTTGCGCGCCGTGGCAGCTGGACGCTGGGCGTATACCGTGTTTCATCTGGCTCATCGTACGAGGGGCTCTGGGCTTCCTGGGTTCTGTAACCCGTCTTCTGGCTGCATGAGCATCGTTTTACCGTCTGTCGCGGGATGACGACCCCAGTCGCGGCACGTGACACCCCTTAGAGACAGACGTCGCCGACAAGGACGGCGACACCAAAGTCCAAGACTGACCCTTTTGGGAGCGTTTTGACCTGAGGCCAAGGGGGAAGTGCCGATGCTCGCCATGTAGGGAGTCTCACATCCTTTCTGGCGAAAGCGACGCAAGTAAGGGGGTTGTCGCAACACGGATCGTCTCCATACTGCACAGACTGGCTCTTCAAGAGGCATGATATCTCTCTATATATATGTGCGCCCATCTGATCCGGTGTTTGGCATTCGACTTCTGTCCATCATCCGCTAGCAACGACTTCCAACAAGGTCTCACAAGTCTTTAACTTGGCTCTGGCAGTCAGGACATCTCTTGTTGAGCCTTCCGGCGACAGTCACAAGCAGCGCGCTACTCCTTCGCTCTGCTGTTTTCCTCGGTTTCCTATAAACCGACCCCGAGAAAGCGCCCAGGACCCGTTCCGGCCGCCCGGCAAGCAGGTAGCCTTCCGACCGGACCCCTATCCCGACCACCCCTCGAGCCACAGGACTCCGACTGCAAATAGCAAACCGCGCATCCTCCCCGTCGCCGCCGATCACTCCCCTCACGGCCAAGTCTCCCCACCGAAGCCCGCCCGCTCCAGGACCGTCTTCACATCGTCCAAGGCCCGACCGCTCCGTCTCGTCCAGGAGTCACTCAACCCCAAGCGGAAGCCGCCCGTCTTTTACGCGCAGCGTTCGCACAACCTCGTCCAGTCGCTTTCCTACATCACCATCCACGCCGACTACTCGCCACTACACTCATCATCTTCTTCCAACAAGATGGCGACCAACCCCATCATGCCAAAGGTGGCTGCTCCCCTCCCTAGCATACCTCCGTCTACCTCCGGCAACAACGGGGGGAAAGACAGGCTGCTCGCTGACCTGCGACGTCAGGTAAATAAATACCAACGCCAACCCATCATCAATCACCCCGGCATCGTCTTTCCTCCCACACATCCTCGTTATCCGTGACGTCCCCGCTTCTCATCGCTCCTCTTCTCTTCTGGCTGTGAATCACCTGAACTATTTATCTGACTCGATCTGTGTCACTTCGCTCTCGCGTCTCTAGCTCGACGACTCTGCTTCCGAAGGTTCCTCGGTCGACTCGCGTGGCAACCGCCGCCGCCGCCGCAACAAGCAGCTCACCGCGCCCGGCGGCAGCAGAGGGCTAACACAGCCCGCCGTGCTGCCCCGGCTGGCCGACACCAAGCCGGTGCGGCTGCAGCTGGGGCTGAACCTGGACGTTGAAGTCGAGCTCAAGGCGCGCCTGCAGGGCGATGTCTCGCTGACCTTGCTGTAAGTCCTTTTATTCATTTTCCCTCAGAAGTGTTCTCTGAGAGAATGTTTCCGCATTTTATGTACTGTATGCCCTTGAAAAGCCTTGCCAGCCGCCACGTTTTATCGAGTAGCGGAAACGAAACATCAAAAGCTGACACCCGTTTCCCTGTTCCACAAGTCAATAAACAAACAAACCCACCCCCTTTCCTCCTCCTGTCTTTACTTCCCATCCTATCCTTCTCTTCCCCTCGTCATCGAAAAACCACAAAACCAACAAAAACACAAAACGAACGGTAAACCGGGGTGAAAAGTGTCGAACAAGGCTCTCGCCCTTCTGCCCGACCAGCCTCCTCAACCGAGCTTGTCCTCCGCGATCTCGCCACCGGCATCGTCACGCCCGCCGCTACTGCCCCCTCCTCTTCCTCCTCCTGCTCCGGGGACGACGCTAAAGACAGGTATTATGCCGAGCTCTTTTACATGCGTGTCGGCCGTCTTAGCCTGCGCCGGCGCTGGCTGGACCCCGGGGTGCGTCTTCCAGGGTTGATAGCTGCCGTTGCCCTGGCTGTCGGGTTTCTGCTTGGGTTTGTGGTGGCTGTTGTGGCTGCCGGATCGGGGTGGTTAAGTCTGGGTCTGGGTCTGAGCTATCCTGGAGGTGACGGCTCTGGTGGTAGTAGCGGCTGCGGCGAGGTTGATATGGGGCAAAGGCTGGGCAAGAGTACAGATAGAACTGAGAGTATCACTGGTGGTGGAGGACTCGGGTTGGTAGCAGCGGCTGAATTTGGCGGCTGGGAGGAAGGCCTTGGCCGGATTGTGATGTTGAACGGTTCGTTCTGTGCCTGTACCTTCTCTTCGCTCGAGGGTTTGGGCTGCTGTCAACTGGGGAGCGCTCTTTCTCCCTTGACACCCTTCGCCGCGGCTGCTGGGTCGCCATGGCTGGCTTGACTGGAGAGGGATGGGGGCGGAAGAACAATCGCGTAACGAGAGGAAACGGGAATTTGGCTATATGTCTCTACATCTCTCGGTGTCTCTTTTATATACATTGTATTCGCCCTTTGGAGAAGTTGGCTTGTGATGACACTCCGTGGCGGTCTGCGCGCTTGCATATGTATCCATTGGCCCCAATTAAAAAAGGCAAGAAATAGTTGTAACAGAGTATGGGAGCTCAAGAATCTTTGATTCATCCAACAAACAGCGTAGACCACTTGCAACAGTCTTTCCCTCGTCAATTCTAGACCGTACCCTAGTCCTTAAATCCCGGAAATAGAGAAGACAAAATAACAAACCAAGCAAACCCATCTGGTATCCATCTTAGTACACGCATCCAGCAAGCTTTACCCACCCAGCTCGCTTCTCAGGTATCAAGTTTTACCCCTTCCCCCTTGACCAAGTAATATCCCAACAAGGCGCACACATGACGCCATTCCTCGCACACATCATCATTATCATCAACATCCTCCCCCGAAGCCCGTAATACAATCACACCTACCCGAAACCGGCAGTATCGTAACTCCTTCTGCACCCTTACACCTACAAATCTATGGCCTCGAAACCTTAGACGCTATGCTCCACGCACCGGCCACACTGGGCGGCTTGGGTCCCTTGTATTCAAGCGCGGGAATGGTCAGGCCGTAGCCCTCGGTCCTGCCCTCGGCGTCGTGCTGGTCGATTTCGACACAGATGCACACGTCCAGGCTGCCGTCGTGGCCCTTGCCGTGCTCGGCCGGGTTGGCGGCCTTGTGCTTGGTACCGCAGTTGACCTCGCCTGGGTGGATCGGCAGGCGGCCGTCTTTGCGGTGGAAGTGAGAGCCGCCGCCGCCAGCAGCTGCGGATGAGGCCGATGACGACGACGTGCCAGGGTGGGAGGTGGCGGCGTGCGAGTACTGGCTCTGGCCTCCGCTAGAGCCCGGAGGGACGTTCAGGTGCTGCGCCGAGAAGCCGTTCGGCAACGGTGGCAGTGGCTCCGAAAGCGCGTCGGCACCATTGCTCGGGGCGTTGTTGGGCGAGTTTTCAGTGATCACGGCAAAGTTGCGGCTGGGCATGGTGACGTTGTTGTGGCCAGCTGTCTTGGTGCTGTCGCCGGGGTCCTTGTTAAACAGCTTGAGGAGGGTTTCCGACGTCTCGTGGTTAAGATGGTGAATCTTGTTGCGGCGCGAGAGGAGATTGGCGACGGCTGCCGGGGGTGGCTTGTTGACGATGGCCGAAGACACCACATTGGCGATATAGCGGAAGTCGTTCTCGATGGGAATGTTGAGACGCGGATGCGAGTAGAAGCGGCCCAGGGCAGCTAGATGGACGTCGCCGCTCAGGATGGTGATGCGGACCGAGAACTCGGCGCAGATGGTCTGCAATCTCTCGACGAGCCAGTTCCTCTCCTTTTTATGAGTCCTTGCCGTATAGTGATCGTCGAGATCGTCTAGCAGGTCGACGCTCCCGTCAAACGAGTTGAAGAAGGTCCCTCCGAAGCCCATGCGGCGATTCAACATCTTGATGGGCCCCATTACTGGGCTCGAGAAGATGTTTTCGAGCCATGTCAGACGCTGCGTCGCGTTAGCTTATGTGTATGGAGGCGGAAGGATAAATGCTTACTGGATATGCTATGGGAATGCCCAACAGGAGGATTAGATGCTTGAATGGCTGCCCGGAGCTCGCAGCGTCGGCTAGCTCCTGCCTTAAACGGCCAAAAATCGCATCGTACGTCTCCGGGTAGTTGACCTGATGTCTCGTTCGCTATATGCCCGTTAGCTAGATCTCCACAAATCATCAGGTGCAGGCATACCTCGGTGCGCGCGTCGATGCCCAGGAAGGCGATCCTGGCGCCGAGCCGGGCGAAGATGTTATGCGAATGCTCAGAAACATAGGGCTATTGAACTGTGAGCCTGATGGCCTCAATGTTATGATACTCAAGTTGTAACATACTCCTGCCTTGGGGCCATGAATATAGTTTGGCTCCGACATGTTGGGGTGCACATAAACGTTCATGTTCTGGTTGGGATCGATCCCCTGACCCTCCTCGACCGAGGCAGGCGGGACGGAATCTGGTTCATCAATACAGTGACCACCTCTGCCGAATCTGGGGCGCTTACCTGAGGTATATGTGGATGGAGGCGGCGGGAGATGATGCTGGAAGAGCATGTAGTACTTATGAGCGGTGCCGCCGATACCCCTGAAAACCTGCATTTCCGTTAGGAGATGGAATTGCTTCACCTGCTAGCTCGCCTTACATCGCACTTCATGAACTCATTCACATATGAGCCGAATCCGTCAATGATCTGGTAAAAGTTAGCAGCTGTGGATTCGGGATAGAGACGCAGGGAACTTACATCATGGTCGTCCCAGATATTTAGCTGTGGAATCTGGCCGTTCATGGCCGCAAACGGCTCCGTTCCGTACCTGAGAAGTTGTTGTTAGCGAGTGCGTGATTGTAAGAGCCCGAGCCGACTCACCAGCGAATATAATTGTGCAGGTAGAAGTTGTCGCACTCCTGGCGGAGACTTTCAGGGAACGGATACTCCCTGCGCTTCTTGGGATTGTGGATGTCGGTCCATTGGCGGAGCGGGCCCGAAACTCGGATGCCATCGTTGTATATCTGGTCACCACCGCCAATCCTAAGGGGAGGTTAGCTTCACAAGCTGAAAAAAGCCAACCATTTGTTCCTTTATGAGTGTCTTACATGACGTGGAACGGTGTCTCTTGATGGCGACGGGCCACATCGTTCCACAGCGCCGGGCCGCTCCATGCCGCCTCGTCCGTGCCGACGCTGAAGCCGTTGCACGAGTGGAACATGATCCTCATGGACTCGGTGATGGCAGGCACATAGAAGCTGTTCACGCGCGGCTTCGTCTTGCTGACGAAGCGCATACCCGGCAGCTCGTATTCCCACCTAGTCTCGGCGGCCTCCATGGTGACTTGCAGATTGAACCTCCAGAAAGTGTTGCGCGCGTCCGAGTAGAGGCAAATGCCTTCGATATCGGTGTTCCGGCTTGCGCTGCCGGCCTTGCGAAGGCTCAGCGTTGGCACGAACGGCTGTGTCCTGCCGCCGCCCACTGTGACAACTAGAACGCTCCCTATCCAAGTCTGGCCCTCGGTGCGGCGATAGTTGAGCAACGGCCCGCAGGCAATTTCCTTACCGTCGGGCGGAGGGCCGGATGGCGCGCTGCCCTGGCCGTCCCGAGTGACAGCCCTCGCTTCGGATGCGCCCGCGACGACGGGCTTGAACCTCGGCGCCGAGGCATTGGCAGTACTGGCGCCTTCAGCGGGTTCAATGCGCGACTTGTTGAGGAAGTTGGCAAGGTCGCTTACGCCGTGGCGCGAGTCGGCTTCGCGGGCAACGGGGCCCTGCTGCTGCTGCTTTTCATACTTGGCGTAGGCTTTGGATTCAACATGGCGCCACCGGTTCGCCGAGGCATGAGGGTTAGCATTGGGGTTGGAACTGCTGAGCCCATCGTCGTCGTTGCCGGCGGGCGCGGGATGATGGGAAGCCATGGCGACTCGAGCTGGGCGAGACGAGAAACGCGTGTCACGGATGCGTGGACAATTGGCGATGAGGGCGGCGCCCAAGTACTCTGTTCCCTACTAACTTACGGTGATAGTGTATTGTATGTACACAACACTGTCGGAGTAAAGTGAAACAAGGGCAAAAAAAAAAAACAATTTATTGATGATCCTCGGAAGGATGTGAGGCCTCTCTCGCACCCTTGGTCGGACTAGTGTCGCGCAGCGCTGCAGTAGGCCGATGAGGCGCCAGAACCTTGCTGGAGAGATAATTAATACTGCAGCTAGCTGATCAGAAAGGCACGCCAAGGGTCGAGCGACAGTGGTGGATCAGCAACGGGATGTTGGGACGTTGGGATGCCAAACCGACCCCGGCCATGGCTGTGCGTATTGCAATGTATGAGACCTCAGACGATCGCCGGATAGGGGATAGGTACTAAAATGAGCTGACAATGGGTCGAAACGGGACGCTGAGAGCCCGCGGACTTGTTGATTGCGATGTTGGGTGGGATGCTGTAATTGTGAGGCACCTGAACCCGTTCTTCGTTCCTGCCCTGCTAGGCTCCAAACAGAGCAGGGAAGGATTACACGTGGGTTGGGTCACCATGTGTTTTTGCACACGTCATGCGAAACAGGAATGCTCTAAATACTCTGCAACCTCGCCTTCCTGTCGAGTCTCGTTTTCTTTGTTCTCGACGTTTTCAGACTTGTACTGTACTGTACACCACTGTTGATGCAGACGAATTGCTTCGAATTCTCTATCAAGCACTCTCACTGACGTACTTCCCTTGACGTTACACCAAACTCTTGTACCAGTGTACTGTACTGTATGTACTGTGTATGTAATCACAAGGACTCTGCACGACTCGAGCAGTGCCAAGAGCCAAGAGCCATCCAGCTGCGTTTGGCGCTCGTCATTTCCAGGGCAACGCAAGGATTTGCCAAGGGCCAAGCTAACGACAACCGGCTAGCCGGCACCGTAGTGGAATCGTCCAACGGCTCCCTAACCGCTCACTCTACCCAACAACCAACATCTCCAGCAAGGATACGGAGTACATACGGATACATCGTACATGCAGGTCAATAAGGAAAGCTGGTAACCAACAGCCCGGCAGAAACAGACAGATAAACAGAGTACAATGAGTACACAGTATTCACATAAACTGTTATAGCGTAGTTTACCATGAGACAGCGTATTGTATTTGTACATGCAATAACCCCATATCTACATTACACCTTCACTTGCTTTATACGGTACCTTATCCAAGAAGTCAGTGGCCCGGCTAGGCCCTATTCCTTTGCTACCGGCAGCGCTCGCGCAATGCCGTCCCCTTGGGCCGACTTCTCCTGAAGCTTCCGTTGAGCTTCCCTCTTCATCTCCAGCAGATGGGCAGCAGCAATTCCGACGCTGAGCCCCACCAGATGCGCCGTAACGTCTGTCAGAACCGTCTTCTTAGAGAAAAGCATAGGCAACTGCAAGGCCACCGCGAGCGCCAAGAGAGTAATTCCATGGAATCCCTCGCTAGGGGGCGGAGGGAGGCCAAGTATCTTGAAAGTGTCGAGCCGGTGCATCCAGAGATAGGCACCCATGACTCCATACACGCCTCCTGACGCGCCCAGCGTCGTGGTGCCCAAACGCTTCGTGAGGACTGCCCACGTCAGCGTTCCCACGGACCCAATCATGCCAGAGCTGACATACGTCGCGAGGAAGGTGCCCCTTCCAGCGTCGTCATAAAGGCGTGTCCCGAGAATCCACAAAAATATCATGTTGGGCACGAGATGGCGAAGGTACTGGTGCGAGAAAAGGGACGACAGCACCGTTGGCGCCCTTGGGACCGCAACGTCGACCAGGAAGTACCGGTTCAGAAAGGGCCAGATCGGAGGAATCTTCCACAGAAACCAGCCCACAACATTGAGCAGGATCAGGCTGCCAACCGTGGCGGCCGCCGGGGGCACGCCGGGGAACAACCGCTCTGTTGGCTTGAGCGGCTGGTAGAACTCGGAATACGCAACCAGAGCACCGCTCAAGACCAGAGCGAAGACAGCCGACGGCAGGATGCGCTTCCACGCCGGCATCTTAGGCGGCTCCTTTAGGTCGCTTGTGGCCTTGGCTATATACTCCTGCATCGCAGGCGTAGGTTCGGGTAGTCTGATTTTGCCGATCATCCTCTGCGGCTGCCCGTCTATTGTCTGCAGAGGCCCCGGCCTGGCCCGTCTCTCCTCCTCTTCCCGCTTCCGCCTTTCCTCCTCCTGTTGCTTGCGCTTGGCTTCCCACTTAGCCTGGTTCTTGGCACGGATCGCGTCGAACTGGCTCTCCCCGTATAAGCTCTTTTTGTCCTTGGGGTCCAAGTCCTTGTAAAGCTTCAGCCTAGTAGTGTAGCCCGGATCGGAACTCGCTCCGGCCTCCTCCGCGCCAACATTCTCCAGAGCAGCCAGTTCGTCCTCAGCCCGGAGGCCAGCGTTTACAACCTCGTCGACAGGTACATGCTTTCGAAGATAGTCAAGGGCAATCGCCTGCTGCTTTTTCGAGAAGTGAGCTGTGTTGATCTGCAGGTTCGGGTCCTCGAGTGTGCCGGCCACGCGCCGGCCGTGGAGAATGCGCAGCAGTTGGTTCGCAGCAACAGTGCTCATCGAGGGGCCAAACAAGGTAATCACCTCGCGCGCCTCCATGTCACGTCTGGCGAACGGTAGCCCGTCACGGTCTGTATAGGTCGGTGGTATGTCGACGTAATGGGTGATGACGCGGTGTCCGCTGAATATGGTCCGGATGCCGGGGTATTGCAGCATGAATGGTGTACGACTGTACAATACGAGGGCGCGGAAAGCTTTAACCGCATCTTGTCCATACTTTTGTGGTGGCCGCCATGGTTGCCAAGTTGTGGAGGACCGGGACGACAGACATCGGGCCGGCGGCAGCGAAGCCAGCGATAGTCCAAAGCTGCTCCTCGATAGTTGCCTGGCGGCAATCTGGACGCTGGGTCGAAAGGCATTGACGCCCAGGCCGCAGCAGCTCATTGTTCCAAATCCGGCGGCTGCAGTCGCGCGCCGCGGCGCAAACTGTCCATCAACTGGGGGAGTGACACTGGGGATAGGCGTGGGCGAAACAAGTGAGTGGTGGTCTGGCGAGCCGGAACGTGCTGCAGAGAAATTTCCAGGAGGACCCGGCAGGCTGGTCGCCCGGCAGGCCTGTCTCTTGGCACCGTGATTTGGACCCACAGCGGGGCAGTTGCACATGGGTCGCTGGTCCCCGCATTTGAAGCTCAGGTTGCAATTGTGACAACAGGCAGCTTTCGAGATTCATCAGCGAAATATTACAAGAGGGATCCTGTCGATCAGAGATATTGAAGCGCCAACCATCCTTCCGATCTTGCACATCTGCCCGAACAACAAAATTCTGTGCTAGGCGTCCCGTTCAATCCAATTCAACAGCTACATACCATTTGCCGTCCGATCTGCGCAGAACGGTCCTCCACACAGTTGAGTACATGACGACCTACAGAGCAACCGCCTGAGGACAACAAGATCATCACCAAACCCAAAAAAAACAATGTCGGCCGACGCCCGTCCCATAACCCCCGCCGCCTTCGCAGCAGCACTCAAAGACCTGCCGCTCTCAAGCCTGCGCCTCAAGGTGGCCGAGCTGCGCAACAGCATCGCCCACCTGGACTACTCCAACGAGCAGTTGCGGCCGTTTGCCGACGGGACCGCGACCGCCGTCTCCCCATCCACTTCCCAGCCTCAACCCCAGCCGTCACAATCACAGTCACAGTCATCACAACATCAACAAGGAGACCAGGACTGCATCGACGCGATCCGGGAGAACGAGGAGGTCATTGAGCGGATGCAAGAGCGCATCCGGCTGGTGCGCGCCGAGGTTGAGGAGCGGGGGTTCAGCTGGGCCGAGTTTCAGAGCGAGGAGGAGCGCAAGGCGGAGGAGGAGGCTAAGGGAGAAGGTGAAACAGGCAGAGGTGACGGGGAGGCGGAGTGGTTGGTTAATGGAAATGGGAGTAGTACGGCGGTGAATGGTGTTGGGGCCGACGGGCCGACGACGACGAGGCACGCTGCATGGAGCGACGGGACGTTTCAAACCGGCAGTATACGGGACGGCGTAGTGCACATGGACAGCGGGGAAAGGCGCGTCGGGGGATCGCTTACGGACGAAGAACTGAGGAGGAGGATGGAGGAGCAATTGAGGGATCTTGGAGGGGACGGTGAAGATGAGGATAGGGAGGGCGGGTTGCACCTGTGAGGTGCTGGGTACGTATCGCAGGGGGCCGAGTAGTTCCTGACATACGAGCGTTGTGGTCATTCATGTGGTCATTTCACACTGCGATACCCGCTCGTGGTCGAAGACTCGGAAATTATGTCGTCTATTCTCCACAACTATGATTGTAAGAGTCAAAGGACAATATGCCTCCCAGGTTTGGGCGATGATGCATCCCAGGGCAAGAAGATACAAGGGAAGAAGAACAAAAAAGGACAGAGGAAAAGTGCCATGACTCCTCGATGAAGCCTCCCAATGCATTTTGTTACACAATCTCAGCCTGTCCTAACGCCACTGCACCATTGTCCGACCAACTCCCACACTTACGCTAGAATGCTTCAAGCCGTTATGCGCGATGCTACCTATACCAGCCCGACTTTGCAACAGACAAAAGAGTAACAAATTTTCAAGTGGAAAAGGAAAAGAACGGCCGACAAGGCTCCAGAATTCTGCCGCGGTGCTAGGCTTGTATCGCCACGTGAGGTTGAGCAGGCGACAAAGCAGGTTCAACCTTCAGTTTCGTCAAGTCTGGTTCTGACTTTGCGTTGGTGATTTGTTGGAGCGGGGACATCGCCACGCCCTTCTCTGTGCTCACAGCCGTTTCTTTATCGTCAGATCCGGAGCTCATAATGGTAGGCAACCTCGGCTTCTGCGCCGCATGGGTCGGCAGGGAGCTGTGACTAAGAGCCTCAAGGCGTTTTGGCGCGTAGTCGTCTTCGTCTTCAGAATCAGATCCCACATTAGCGGGAGCAACAGCCGCGTGGCTCAGTCGTTTCCTTCTGTAGCCACCAAATTTCTCGTCTGATGAGTCCTCCGACTCTGTGAAGCTGTTGGTTCTTGCAGTACGGCGGCTTTTCGTCCTCGCTATTGACGAAGCTCTGGCCACGCGGGATCTTGTCCTAGCCAGAGACGTCGATGACCGGAACTCGCCGTCGAACGGGTTCTCGCCCTTTCGGATCCTGGCCTCAAAGGCCTTCTCGCCCACCATTCTCCCTAGCGAACTTCCATCGTAGGTGCTGACTGTCCTCCTCGAACCGACGCTCATCATGCTGCTGCTCCTACTTACGGGCACCTTGCCGTCCATGACCTTGGCCGGAGGCGGAGGCTGCAGCATCCAACGAAGCGCCTCCTTGTTTGCGGGCTTACTACTGACGACGGGCGGGTGGTATTCGTTGACTGGAGGGTTTCTGGGTGCAAAGTAGAAGTTGTACCGGTCCTCTTCCGTTACTTGTTTCTCAATTCCGAGCTTCGACTCGACGTAACGACCAGCGCTTGTGCCGGCATGCTTGATGGCGTCCATGAGTTTGTGACCTGTCCACGACGACTCATAGCCCCACAGCTCCTCATCCTCGCGTTGATACCGTTTGAGATTCCAGTCGCCGGCTGTTGATACTGAGGGGTTCTTGGTGAGTGCCGGGCCCATGTGATCCTCCTCCACCACAGTCGGAGCACTTCCGAGCCCTGCTGGACTGGCTGGGCAGGTCGAAGGCCTTGGACTGGCTATGGAGCCCATCTCAGAAACCGAAACAACAACGCTACTGCCGGTGCCAATACTCGGACGGCCGTCCCGACTCGCAGCTGTCAGTCGCCGTTGGCTCAGACTCTTACTAACCCGGTCCCCACCCTTGCCTTTCCTCGGCAAACTCGGCCCCATCCTGATTTCCTCATCCCAATAGGGGTTGGTGTTGTAAGGTTCTGGGTGCCGGTATAAGTGCGGCTGTTCCATAACGATACGCTCCTTCACGGCCCTCTCCTTCTTGGCATGCTGCCGGCTCCTGTGGTGGGCCTGTATCTTGGTGCATGGTGTGCAGGCGAGAAAGTAAAAGAGAGCGGATTGAAGAGCGGCAAAGTAGGACATTCTAACCGGCCCTCGTCGCCGGCCCTCCTCCTAGTTAGACAACGGCGCTCGTGCAGCTGCTCGTCTATGCAAGAAGCATTCGCCAGTCAGTGATCCCAAGGAAGAGATGCGGTCGATTCGGATGAAGGGAGTGTGCTTGTCAACGGGACACGGCTGTGGGAGGTGCTCGAAAGGACAGTGTGAACCCAGATGCCAACGCGGCCGGCTGTTACACAGTCAAGGGGTACCGAGGGGTAACCAAATAACAATGACATGCGGATCAGTTGCGGTGTCTGTCTGGGCAGGTGGCCTTGCGGGGAAAGCGAACGTGCTCGAGCATTCGGGTACTGGGACGCCTTGTTAAAGAGTTGTGTCCAGGCTTCACTTGTCTTCAAATCTCCGCTGTGCATGCAGGCGCAGGCAGGTCTATGAGTTCAGCGCAGCTGGCGAGCGAATTGGTTGCGCGGCTCGACTGGGGATGGGGGATGATAGAGCGACACGGCGGAAGCTTGAAGACGGTTGACGCGAAACGACGGAAGACCCGGGACGTTGCCAGATCCGTTCGTCAAAGGTGTTAGGCCAGGCAATTCGCGAATTTGGAAGAGGAATGGTATGTGGTTGGCACTGAAAGGAATGCTTGGGCAAAGAGACAGGAAAAGGAGGGCTAAGAATTCAAGTAAAAGCTACCTTTGGCGATTCAAGCCAACGAGAAAATGTAAATGCCACTGGGCGTCGAGGTAACCGGCAACGAGGGGAAGGAGGCAAGGAGATTGATCCATAGATACTCCATACACTCCCCTGAACCACTAGACCAGGGGCTGTGATGGAGGTAGCAGGGGTGCAACAATTGGGAAACATGGTGAGCAGCACACTGATGAGCACAGACGTGGACTCGTGGGGGAAAGGGCGCAGTGAATTTCATTTTCAGCCCCCGGGCCGGTTTCTCCCAATCCAAGTCTAACCCTGATTACTTACGACTCTGTGGCTCGTGGCAACGCCTCTCTCCAGTGCCATGTGAGGCTGCAATTGTGCGGCTACTCAACCGTAAGGTACCCGAACGAGGCGCTGTTCTTCAAGTTGTTCATACGGAAGTCGACGTGAGTGTCCTGAGACTGCAACTCTCTTCCAGGTCGCTCCCAACTTCCAATCTGGGAAGGAGGAGTTGTAAGGGGCGCTTTCAAGTACTTACGTACCTACACCAAGCCCTGCGATCTGGCCCAATGTCCCGGTTGCGTTCAGTCCATGTGCTGCAGGTGTTTCCAGTTACGGGAGGGCGGGGTTCCGGAGCGATGTTGAACATTATTCGCCTTCAAGCTTCCAGTCCGGCGGGTGCATGGAGTGTATGTATACTTACATGCAGTATTGTATTGTCAACCCGCGATGCCTGATTTTGCGGTTCCTGGGCGGTATGACCCGTCCCTTTGTAATCAGGGATTGTACCTTAGTCCCTCGAACATCATCAGGTCCTAGACAAAGGGTATATAGATCGAATCTACGAAGTACTGAGTCCGTGACCACCCCGTCTCGATCTCCCCGCAGGAACAAAAACAAAGGACGAGTTGGGCCCGACGTTCCACGAGTTCAATTGCTGCAAGATGGGAGGTATAGTACGGTCCAGGTACGCAACACCTAATGGCAGTTCGCGAGGTCCTCTTGCCTCAGATCGACTTGGCTAAATCGACAGTGTTCCCTGGCTAAATCGACTGTATCACGGACGACCTACACCTCAGGACTATATACGCAGGCCGGGGCAGGTCACCGCCAACAATTTTTTGCAGCAGCCTACATCAACAATCCTGAATTGAATCATTGTAAGACGGTCAATGGAACTAGTGTATTCCAGTGCCTAGCGAAGCGAGCGAGCCCTAGGCTGAATCGCTTAAAAATGCAACAAGATTTGAACGTGCGTGGAAACAATACTGCCCAGCTAGACCGCCCGCCCCAGCCCGGCCTAGCCATCCCTAAGATCCGGGCTTGCCTACCTACTACGCCCACGCCCGCCCTGCCCACCGCACCCACCCTGCGTAGTTGGTTGCCACTACTATATATCAAGCCCTGTGCAGTCTGCTCGTGGATAGTGTAGTGATATTGGCTGTAGATTGGTTGTTGGTGTTAAGTTTGCACTTGTGCTTGCGGCCATGCCTGTAGTTCAGCCTGCGGCTACGGGTTAGGGTTATGGCATGGGTGGGTCGGGCAGGTGGTCCGTGACACCGTCGATTTAGCCAGGGACACCGTCGATTTAGCTGGGTCGCCTCAGATAAACGGCACCCACCACCAAATCCTCACACCGTTTGCCCCGCTTAGAGCAAACGGCGGCTCGGACCCTGGAAGATGACCCGTCCCTTGCTGCCACGTTTCGCCCTGGACAGCACCAGCCCCAGTGGCAGTGCCCTCTTGATTTTCCAGGAAGTTAAAGGCCCAGAAAGTCAACATTTAAAGCGGGCATTCCGGCGTACGAAGACGGACGAACTTGCAACCAGCAAGGGAGATACTGGGGTCTCTGCTCGCGGGGTCACAATGGTTATCAAGTCATCCTCCTCACTACCTTCAACGCATGGCTATAGTACCGCATGATGATCAGCAACCCACGCCTGAAACCGCAAGCCACAGCGCAAATCTCTCAGAAGCCAAGTACATGCCCTGCGATCTTCACTCTAAACCATTTGCAGTGTTCAAGGATCCCACTCCAGAACTGCACTCAAAAGTAACCCCTTTTCCAATCTCCCAGTCTTCAGCAGGAATCCACTAGACGAAAAACCTGGCAGTTCGATCGTCCCATCCGCGGAAGGTCAACATTTTCGCGGTCGCACCCCGGCTACGTTCTAATTTTGCTTTCCTTCTGCCATCCAAACGAATCTCATCGTCTCTTCTGTTCGTTGGCAGCTGGTGAGTTCAACCCGCGGTGGGAGTGAAGAGAAGAGAAAGGAAGGGGCGCAAGTCAGTCAATGTCCCGAACAACAGGAGCGGAAAGAAGACACAACAAATTTTGCCATGTATGCTGGGAACTGAGGTAGGAGAGAAAGGAAATATAACTCAAATTGCTAGACTGCTAAAGGTTCTCCGGACGGTAATGTACATACACAAAACTCCGTTGCGCTTGCACAATAAGGAAAAGTCCGGTTTTGTTATGTCAGGTGTAATAATCACAGCCAGGGATTGAACAACGCCGCCATGGGGATCAACTGGAGTTGCGTGTCCCCTAAGAGAAGTAATGAAGATCCAAGCCAGAAAAGCGGGGAAGAAAACGGAAGCTGAAGCGGGATCCTGCAGGCTCAAACGGCAGGGTGCCGCTATGGGTGCCGACCGGCGGAGCACAAGATGCACTAGACGCCTATATACTAGACATCCCACTCTGTCTCGGCCTCGGGTTCGGGCTCCTCGTTGCTCAGAGCTGCAAAGGACGACTTCTGAGTGAAGGAGGGCTTGGCCGACTTGCCGGTGTTGCCATTAGCCGGCCGGGGTGGTGCGACTGTTTGCGGTTGAACGACAGTGGGCTCCGAGTCGACCGGGCTCTCGGCCACGGGTTCCTTCTTCTTCTTGCCCGACTTCTTGGTCGTAACTGTGCTCCAAGCCTCCTCACCCCGAAGCATCTCCATCTGCTCCTCCTCTGATGGCAGGGAGGCCATCCAACTCTCGGTGTTATTCCTTGCGGTAGTGGCGCTCTTTGGGGCAGACACATCGGTGTAACTGCTGGTGTCAAACGTATCTAGCGGCTGCACGGGAACGTACTCGCCATATGTGGCGCTGCTCTCCGAGCTGGCCTTGCCGCCATTGCCCGTCCAAACAGACGGCGGTGCCTGGGCGGCCACGAAGGTGGAGCCGTCCTTGGCGGGCCGGCCCTCGGCAATACGGGCCTGTCTTCGCTGAGCCTCCATATCAATCTTTCTCTGTTTCTCGGCCTCCTCCCGGAGAGCCTTGGCAGCCTCGGCCTTCTGGCGGTTTTGACGCTGCTTCTTGGTCTCAACCTTCTCGGGTGTCTTGGCCTTCTTCTCCTTCTTCGGTTTGGCCTTGTCCGTGTCGGTAAGGCGAAGGACCGAGGGGCCCGCGGCCTTCGGCTCTAGCATGTCGCTGACGTCGCCGGCATCGACGGCCTTGAACTCGGGGGAGGGGGTTGATGACTCGTCGTCATCGGCATCAACGCCCGCGGTAGAGGATGGCGCAGAGAACTTGACCTCGTCGGCCGCATCATCGATGACCTGAGCGCGCGACTGCTTTACCGACTTCTGGCGCTTGTCGTCGCTCTTCTTGGACGCATTGAGGCTGGTGCCCTGCTTGACGCTGGCCAATTGCCGAGCGAACTCGCGGTTATCGACGCCCTCGTCGGAGCTGTAGTCGACTGATTGGGTGGGCGTCTGCGGCTTAGGTGCTCGAGCCTTTGGTTGTGCTGTCTTGGTGGCCTCCTCGACGTCCTTGTTATATGCCTCCCCCCTTTGGCGTTTGGCCTTCTCCTTTGGCTCCTTGCGGCTGTGACTGGCCTGCCTATCCTCCAGTCGGTGCCGTTGAGAAGCAGCACGTATAGCGTCGCGCCCACTTTTTTTACCCGGCAGCCCGACAACGAAGATGTAAGCGCATCCAATGACCACGGCCCAGCCGACCAAAGTGGACATGGAGGCACCCATGGTGATAGGGGAAAGAGGCCGAATCGACAAATGGGCGACAGACCCACCGATGTCGAGGAGGCAATGGGGTCAATCGCGGTCCGGCACCTGAGCGAGAGCTCAATGCGGAAATGTGAAAAAGAATGCGAGATCAGGGTGTTCTTCGATTGACTAGTGCAGTGCGGCACGGAGCCTAGCTAAAGGTGCGCCTTAGACGGTTGGCGCCGGCAAACAACCGGTCAGAAGTTTAGTTGCCCGTGCTCCTGAGTATCAAATGGGTGTTGCGGAGCAGCCGCTAGCAGAATTGACCAAGGGCAAGAAGGGTAGAAAGGGGCGATGATGGTTTTGGTGAGGATGCTCGGAGCTATTCAACACGAGCCAATGCTGCAGGTTGAAAGGTGTTCAGAAGTTCGGTTCCCTTTCTGGCTCTCCCCGTTAACGTTCGACCCGCCCAGCTCATCTAACGGAATGTTACCGGAGACAGGGGCAAGACCCCCGCAGATAGGGTCGTCCAATGTTAAGCCACACTTGGCGAGAATGCACTCACGTGACTGGTCACGAGCTCGTTTGGACGATGGTCTCACATTAATCCAATACTGATGTTAGAAGTTAGAACTGGTATAAGGAGAGACCAACTACATATCCCTGTATGACTACTCTGAATTCTTTGAATTGGGCGGTGGTGTTGTGTCTTTGCCTACCTTGTGGTGTTTGCGTGCATCAATCTCCGCTATAAGCCCCATCGGCAGGTCAACAGAATCTGACCCGCCGCAGACAACTTGAGATACAGCATATTCATCCAACGCGCTATCTTCAGGCTGGTGCGGTGTAAGTAGCAGTGTTGTTCAGTCTACGAAGTTTATGCCTTTGGTGAAAGTGTGGTAAAGAAAAAGAGACGGTTCCATCTCAATTCAAGTCCCGGAGTGGTCAGGACAGTGATATCCAGCGAGCTCCTTGCCCCGCCTGGTTATCAATGGCGATGTGCAGTCGCAAGCAAGTGACCAAGACTCGCATTTGCCTTCTTTCCTCAGGAAACACAGGACACAGGATTGGCCGCAGCTCTCTTTGCCCTGTCTTAATAAGGGACCTACATAGGCATCAAGGTGCGATTTCTCATGGGTTCAAGTTCAATTTACTGAAAGTTCACCTTGACGGTCCGGTCTCTCACCTAGATGAATCAGCTCCTTCTTCCCTTTACCCCGTCAACGGATAAGAGTAGGACTTTCCAAGCGGAACCCAAGCGCTGGGCACTGGATTGAGGGGAAAGTGTGATCCACACCGCACGTACGGAGATAAACCTCGGTGAAACAAACCACCCAGACAGATTTGTTTGCTTTCACCAGAGAGCATCTTCTGATCATAAATCGCCGTACCCCTCCATAGCCCCGCACTTTCAACCACGATGACACCAAAGAATCGCATCATTATAGACACCGACCCGGGTTTGTGCCATCTGATTATTCCTCTTCATGCTATGCTGTCTGCCGTACTAACCATGGGTTCTAAGGGGTTGACGATGTCCTGGCCCTGTTGCTGGCCCTCAGCGCCTCTCCTGAGGAGCTCGAGGTTGTCATGATCTCGGTCACATACGGAAATGTCCCGCTGCAATCGTGCGTGCAACATTTGAAATTACTTGCGAGCTTCCCCGACATCGTGTCTTCGCCCGTGTGTCTGACATGGTCCCAGATGCCTCCGTAATGCCGTGGCATTATTCCATGTGCTCGAGAAGGAGATGAGTTGGCGAGCATCTGCCGGCAAGCCCACCTACGGTGCATTCCATGCCTACAAGCCTATAGTTGCGGTCGGTGCTGAGCATGCCCTTGAGGATGCCGAGCTCGTAGCCGATTATTTCCGTAAGAGAATACCCGGTATCTTGACCTGACTGAGAAACTGACTCACTCAGACGGCTCTGATGGACTGCACGGTGTCCATGATGCTGTGAGTCCACGAACCATGCCCTCCGCTTATTTGGAGACCGTCCTAACACTTGGACTACAGCACCCTCATCTCTCCCCGGCCGATACCTGGCGCACGCTGTTTGACAAAAACGCAAGCGAATCAACCGGCTCTGTTGAACCCCCCTCATACTCACGGTACTTCACTCCGAGCAAGTTGCCCGCCCACCAGGAAATGCTTCGGATCCTGAGAGAGGAGCCAGCGGATACCGTTACCATTGTTGCCATCGGCCCCCTGACCAATGTGGCCTTGGCGGCGTCTGAGGATCCGGAGACATTCCTCCGTGTGAAGGAGCTCGTGGTAATGGGAGGTGCAGTGGAAGTCCCCGGCAACTGTAGCCCTTGCGCCGAATTCAACTGCATGGCCGACTCGGTCGCCGCTGCCAGAGTCTTCGCCTTGACCTCACCCGTCCCATCGTCAACCATGCCGCCGTCAATGCATGGCAAATCCGTCTTGCCTCCTTACCCGCCCAAGCTATCTCGGCAGCTGAAGTTGACGCTCTTCCCGCTCGACATCACCACCCCGCACGAGCTCAGAAAGAAGTTCTTCAACGAGATGATCCAGCCCCTTAAGGCGTCCGGGAGCCCGCTCGCACAATGGACTGACACCTTCATGAGCGGCACCTTCAATAAGATTGACGAGATGCTCGGAGACGGGAGCGAGCCGGGTCTGTCACTGCACGACCCGCTGTGCATTTGGTACATGCTGACACGCGACGATCCCGCGTGGAAGGCGGTACCAAAACTCGAAGACATCCGCATCGAGACATGCGGACAGTGGACAAGGGGGATGCACATCGTCGACCGGCGCCTGAGGGCGAAGCCCGGTGAGAAGGACAGCACGGTGCAGACGCACCCAGCAGACCCGATGGATGCCGTCACACTCGACGAAGTCCCCGGCGACACGATGGGCTGGCTCAGCGTGCGGAAGGGCAACAGAATCAACAGGATGGTCGCATCACCCGGCCAGGACGAATTTGCCGGCATCCTGCTGAAGAGGGTATTTGCGTAGCGTAGAGCAGATAGAGCATAGACCTGGCCGTGTTTCATTTAATCATTTGGGGTATCTCTCAGATCAATAGCATCTCTCGCAGTGTCAGCAAATGAACTTCTAAGGGGAAGTTGAGCATACCCTTTGCAGACCCATCGCCGAATGAAAACCCGCCGTCGCGTCCTCAGCGATCTCAAGACTATCCATATCACTTCCATTTCCGCATTCTAGCCGAGGCCGTGGCAGGGTACCCGCCAACCCCGACAACCAAACCACTCGGCACCTCTCACTCCATCGTCTCTTGACAGACATCCCCTTCGGAAATGTGAATGGCCCACTTCGGCTCGAGCTCGAGGAATCAATGCTTCGTGGTCCCGATGACGGCGCCCTTCACCTCGGCCCAGTTGATGCTCCGGTCAAGCGCCTCATCGACCAGCCCCACCAGGCACACATTCTCCCCGCGGATGATGTAAAGGCCCAGTGGCACCTCAGCCGAGGGCTCGCCATCGTCCGGTGAGCGGATAACTCGCTCGACTGTGTCTTTCAGGACCTGCGGGGGCGGAAGGGGGGTTTGTCCCCCATCCGTTAGTGTTCTGTACCCGTACCGGTCGGGAGTAAATCCGTAGGGAAAGGGCGGCGTACCAGGTTGGTGGTGTGGTCATGTGCCGAGAGCACGCCGACTAAGTTGCGCCCGTCGGTGGTGATGATGCAGACTCTTTCTGGATTTTGGTGCCGGGCGCAAGGCCGATTTGTTAGTCCTTGTTCATGAACGAGGTAAAGAGGAGTAACAAAACAAAGCTGGTAGTCAGGGAACATCTCACTTTCGACGTAGCTATTCAGCGACATGGTGGGCTGGTGTTGTTGTCTCGCGGGGTAGCTCCTCGAGGGCACAGGCGCGATTCACACGAGAGTACTCCTCCCACTACTAATGCTACCTAGTCGAGAGTAGTGGATGGAGCGTTAGAATGGTGTCGTCGCTGCTTGTCACTGTCTCCCTCTTGCTTGCTGCGAGGCTGACTAGCATGTGGACGTGATAGTTGGAAGCAAGCAAGTAAGCTGGGTCGCTGCTGGAGGTCTGCCTAGGCTCCCATCTCCAGAGCAGAGCAACGTGAAGCTTCGATGTGAAAGCCCCGATTGGGGGAGTGGTGGGTCTGAATGTAGTTATCGGGGGATCGAGCAAGACGGATTTATGCACCAGTCGGGTTAGCCCCTTACCCCTGAATTTGAGCTCGTACGTGTAAGTCTTCATGAGCCTGCGTACAAATGAAGAGAGTCTATACAATCTGATTTTCGCGGTCAAGCAGGTCCTAAGCAGTAATTTGAAACACAAGTTAACCCATCGAGTGTTTACTCGCTTCACTCGGTTGCTATGGTCTATCGGGGGACATCAAAGCCCACGATCACAACAACGGCAGAACCACAATGCCAACACTAGCCTCTCAGGTGCACGCATCACTGACATGCCAGCGCTGGCGATAGCCGTACTTGACATGCCTTCCCCCTAGCAGGGAGTGCAACTATGGTAAACCAAATTTGTCAGAATCAGAACTAGCATCAGTTCTGCACCCAGTATGCCGTATGCCTTCACACCTTCCTTCCAGAAGAGACCCGGGGCGAGTCTTTCCACAGGCTAAAGGTCTGAATGGCCTCATTCTTGTCAAAAACAGGAATCTTGTGCGTGGCCACGCAACGAACGTTCAATCCGTTGCCTGGCATGGGGTTGATACCTTCGAGGAATCGAGCTCCCGCCCTGACAGCTGGGTATCATATGAGCCCTCCGTTGCCTTGCGCTCTTTGCCAATCCGGTGATCCAGGTTGGCAAACAATGAAGTCACCCTAGCAGGTATCAACAAGAGGGGATATATCTGTCTGTTGTAGACAGGTGTTTGTACCGAACAGGAGCTCTCAGCTCAAAGTCGAAACCTGGAATATATAGCCAACGAAAACGGAAGGAGAATATATGACCCAAAACTTCCAACCCCCAAGAGAAAAGTATGCTTTGCCGTGAGTGAACTCTCACAAGCCTCAACTTTCACAGATGACAGAAGAACTAACTTTGCATCTGGTGGAAGAAGTGAAGGCACAATACGGATAGCTAAACGCGCAAGGTATCGATGCACCATTCCCAGGAAGGGATCATTTGCATCACCACTATTCCGCTGATGAGGAAATGCCGTCTGTCTCTCAGAGCTTTCACTGGGATCAGTGGAATTGCTCACCAACGCAGCATTGGAGGAGAAACCAAAAAGACACAGAAACGAGTGCCGCGCCCAGACGGAGAGACGTGCTGCAAAGCAACTTATCACCGGAAGATTCCATACACGCGCCAAGCAAAAAGAAACCAAGTCAGGAGAAATAGGAACTGCGGAACTTAACCGTCGCTCCGTGAAGTCCATCACTCCGATAAAGTCGGTCCGATCCAAGTAGAGGCTCGCCAGCGAAGTTGGGGCTTAGTATACCTCTTGCGGAGGCCGCCCTGCTGCCCAGAAAGGGAGGGCCGTGACCGGAGACGGGACAATACAGACGTCCAAAGCAGGAGTGCCATGTATATGTCATCTGGGCATCCCCATACCAGCTCGGCCAAAGGTAGATCTGATGGTACATGGATCGCTTGGAATGAATTCGCGATCAGGGGCGCAACTTCAGTGTGGACATGTCAGGGGCTGCTTGGCACGGCATCTAGGACATCGTGGCAGATGCGAACCATTGATGGTTAACAAGTAGGTCAACAACATGACGTAGAAGCCCATCCCGTAGCCTCCGATAGCAATCTGCACCTGCTCCTTAAGGCATACATGCGATGTTACAACTGCCCTTGTCCCGGGTCGTTTGCTGGCTGAATCCGGCTCAATGAGGCTCGGCGCAACCCTCCAGGACGAGACACCGTTGGGCAGCAGTAGCTTAAACAACCTTAATATATTAATCCCGGAATCGTGGATCTCGGCCGAACGACGCGTCTGTGCGACGATACGTGACGGCAGAATATGCCTTCCGTGTTGATGGCGTCCTGCCAGAAGCATCCGAGGACAGCTTCCCTGAAAGGGCAAAACAGAGTACACTTGGCGTGCGGACTGGATGGGGGGATGTTATCATGACGAGTAATGTAGATATCCCTTCATCATACACGCCCCGTTCTCAAATAGGAGGTTGGGCAGAAAGCTGAGATATCAAGGGCTGCGCGAAGACGGCTGAGCAATATTGTAAGCTCCCTTCCGCTCTGGGCATGCCTTGGCCGAAAGACTCTCCCGGGTCGGAGGCCATTCTTGGTCCCCGGTCCAAGCTTTCTTGGAGTTTTACACTGAGCTTGGATACCGAAGGACAAATAAATTTCAATAGAACGTAAGTTTTCGAATCTGGAGAGTATAAACTGCAAGTCTGCGGTCACCGTATGGAAGGATTACCCCCCAGAGAACGATGGGGGGTGGGGGACGGCTGGACGGGTAGCGATCGGCGCTACTCCGCAAGTGCCGGACCCCAGACTCCACAATCTTTCTTCCCACACATAGTGGGGGGTTTGTCATTTGTCCAGGTTCCTGGCAACTTCAATAGCTGGAGGTGAAGAGTCTCCAACACAAGTCTCCGTCCCGCCAGGTCTAGCCATTGGGAATTTGAGTCACTCTAGCTCCACTAGCTGACTGCTGCCTGCCATGATTCGGGCCGTGTCCTCTCTCGCTCGTCCGGTTTCTCAGAGGAATATCGCCTGTCGTAATCGCCGTCGGCTCGGTTGCACTCGCATCAGTCAGCCGCTTCGTGCAATATCCAGCATGGATGTTGGTTCCGAAATGCTGCAGTCCAACCGGCTGAAGCAGGTCTTCGCCAAGGCTCAGCGTCCCGCCATGGGTTTCTGGCAGATGTTGCCAGGAGCCAACATCTCGAGAATCCTTGCCCGATCCGGGGCGGACTGGGTCATGGTAGACTGCGAGCATGGCAATATCGACGGTAGGATACCATCCATCCCTTAAGCGCTCAACCCGGGGTCCTACTTTTGTTCCCACCATATCGCCATGCAAGCGAGCTTGTTAACGAAGCCCTTACAGACGCTGCCATGCACGATGCGGTACCCGCAATTGCAGCTTTGGGTGTTTCCCCAATTGTTAGGCTCCCAGATATCCACCCATGGATGGTGAAGAGTGAGTGCCCGGAGTGGATGCGTCGCTATAGATGACCAGAATGTACTGAATCACCGCAGGAGCCTTAGATAGCGGTGCGCACGGGGTAAGGTGGCCGTATCCATCCCATCTCTCAGATCAGCAACTAACAGACCCAAAGATTTTGGTGCCACTCATCCGGACAGTCGCAGAAGTGAGGGATGTTGTTGCCGCAGCCAAGTTTCCCCCAGACGGACGACGGGGATTCGGTTCACCCATTGCGCTGCAGAATTTTCAGCCGGGACTGAGTTTCACGGATTACCTGCAGCAAGCAAATGAGAGCCTCTTGACCATGGTGCAGATAGAAACCAGGGAGGCGCTGGAGTCGGTGGAAGAAATAGCGCCGCTTGTGGACGTCGTATTTGTTGGGCCGTTTGACCTTGGCAACAACATTGGACACCCTATCATCGACGGTAAGATGGAGCCCGAGCTGGATGAGGCAATCTCGAGGATCTTGAGGGCCACGGTGGCAGCTGGCAAGAAGTGCGGAATATACTGCACCTCAGGGGAGCAGGCCAAAAAGTACGCTGATATGGGATTCCACATGATCAGCGTCGCAACCGACTACACGACACTGGGGGCCGCGCTGATAGAAACACTAGCCGTCGCTCGGGGCGACTCCAAGAAAGCCAAGAATGATTCGTATTAGAACAAGCACTCGCCGAGGCGCGGGAGGCCTCGATGGTTGCCTTTACAAGCATTTCTTGGCCATCCGGAGTCCGCGCGTCCGGGTAGAAATGGGAAGGAAGACAGCAGTCCGATGCGAGCCTTTCCAGTCATTCGCTTCTCATAGCACAGAATTGCTTGCCCAGAGTCAGTGTCTGCACTCCAGTCCAATGTCGATGGCCAAGCAGTGGGACATTCAACGCGCTGTAGCATTGACCGGCAGATCGTAATCTAGGAGCTCTCAACGGCGTCCATCTTGGCCTCGACATCCTGAGGTGTAAAGCGATGCATCAATTTCACAGCCTTGGAAGATAGCTCTGGGTTTTCTGCCGGCCACTCGGCCTTGCTGACGTGGATCTATGCAGTGATGAATGAGTGAGAAACGGAGGACACAGCAGGCGAGTCATCACAGACGGTTGGCAGGCTAAACTCACCACAGGGACGTCAAACTCATACAGATCGCGCCAACGCTTTGCTTCGGGCTTGATAATGTCGACTTGCTCAAACGCAAATGGCCGCTTGTCCCAAACATCTGACAAAACGGATCTCGCCTGAGAGCAGAGCCCACAATTCTCGCGGGTGAAGAGTGTTATCCTGCAGGATCGGAGTAATCGACTGGTAGCACGCATGGCAGGTCGATGTCGCTGGCGGGAGGGAAAATGGCGAAATGGTGTTCGGTCGGCGTGGATGTTGAGACACGTGAACAAGTGCTGCTGTTGTTTCCAGCAGAAGCTGCTTTGTTTGGTCAGAGCTCTCGATGGCTGGCCCGATCTGCTGTGAAGCCTGAACCTCGAATTCTTACTGTACCGCTGTAGCTAGTCCCGATTAGGCACCTCTGACCTGCAGCCCCAGGCCCAAGGCTCACTCAGCTGAGCACAACCTTCCCCACACCCCACCTTCGACCTCAAACTTTCCAAGTGTAGATGGAAAGCTTCCATTCACTTCGAGAGAGCTTCCACAGGACCAAGCACGAGTTCCTTATCCTCGTCAGTCGCCAACCACAAAGATTGCCAGTCCGTTTGTTCTATCTTTTTTTTTTTTTTTTCAGCGCAGGGCATGACATCTGCAGACACAGACCGATTTCACTGCAATCAAGCAAGTAGCGGGGCCTAATCACCAAGGGAACTTAGCTCTCTGTTAAGGGGAACCCATTGACCCAGAAGTATGGCGCAGAAGTGTGTCCATCAGGGTTGCGGCAAGGAATACACAGATCCCGACGAGATCTGCCGCTATCATCCTGGGCCCCCAGTTTTTCATGAGGGCCAGAAAGGTATGCTTCCCGGCTTCTCCAGACAACTCCAGCCGCCGAACCGTCCCGCTGCAGTTCTCCGATGCATTTGCTGCTGCACATGCCTGCGGGTCAGACACCAATTCTGCTCCTTGTGACTCGCCGACTGACGCTGGCCACTCACACGCAGGATGGAAGTGTTGCAAGCCCCGTGTCCTCACTTTTGAGGAGTTCATGGCCATAGAGCCTTGCACCGAGGGGAAGCACAGCACTACGGACCTGCCGCCCAAGATCGAGAAGAAGGAGGCCGATCCCGCCCTTCTCGAGACCCGGAGCATGGCCTCCCCGCCTCCCCGTACGCCCATCGCCGCGCCACAGCACATACCGACGCCTCCTCCTCCGCCCCCAGAGTCCGAAGAGGACGACGAGACCATTGAGATTCCAGATGGGCAAGTATGCAGGCGCAAGGGCTGCGGTGCCACCTACAAGAAGGGCTCCAGCCGGGAAGGTGAGACTTGCGTTCACCACCCCGGCGTCCCGATTTTCCACGAGGGCAGCAAGGGCTACAGCTGCTGCAAGCGGCGTGTGTTGGAGTTTGACCAGTTCATGAAGATTGAGGGCTGTAAGACCAAGCCCCGGCACTTGTTTGTGGGGAGTGGAAATAAGGATGCGTCTGGCAAGGGTCCCGCCCTTTCCGGGGGTGAGGAGCTGCTTGAAACTGTCAGGTGAGTGCCGTCTACTTCGTTGGGACGGAGGTCCTCCGCAGCCAAGGATGAGCCAAGGATGGCTGTGCCTGCAGACACCCTTATGGGTGCCCGAGGGGCACTCCCGACTACCATGATTACTATGCACCCCAGCTAACAACTGCTCTCTCTTCCCAGAAATGACTACTATCAGACACCAACGACGGTGATTGCATCTTTCTTCCTAAAGAAGATTGATAAGGAGGCGGCCAATGTTGAATTTCAGGAGAAGCAACTGAATCTCAACTTGCTCACAACGGACACGCCCATTCCGAAGCGTTACAAGGCCGAGGTGCCGCTGTACGGATCCATCGATCCCACACGGTCGACATTCAAGATCTTGGGTACCAAGCTTGAAGTGTCGCTAGCTAAGGCGGACGGCAGCTCTTGGCCGGTGCTGCGTAGTGACGACCGTCCAACGGGTGAGATACTCCAGGTTGGCCGCGCAGGAATGGCCAAATAAGAAACGGAAACAAGAGGAAAGAGCCCGAAAGTGTGCTATTTACTCTCTGACACAGGCTCCGCTGCCGAGACCATCTGCCAAGGAGCGGCTCAAGGGAGAAGAAGGAGGAGAGTTGGCCGCCTTCGAGTCCCAGACGTTGGTGCCCAGAAGATCTGAATGCTACGTTCAGAAGCGACGAAAATCTGCAGTTGGGTTACTCGGTCAATAGATGGGGCGTGGTCAGATAGGGGGTGAAAAAAAGGGGAAGTGAGAAAAGGTCAGAAAAACTGATAGTTGCTAGTGTGAGGACTGCAACTGACAATGGATAAAAGCGAACCACGAGTACCTACACTAGAAATGCCGATATGCACCATAACTTAGAAACGCCATCTAGCCTTACCGCAATTGCTGGGCATTTGCTTGTCCTTACCAGGATGGCGCTAGAGAAGGAACTGCCGTTTCCCAAGGCGGGCTGACTTTGGGTTGCAACCCTCCTTCCATCTTCCCTATCTCTTGGCTCGGAATCTGTTTCGCTTCACCCGAACCCGCCGAGACGGAATCCCAAATCCCCAAATCCCAGCCCAGATGCACATGGGCATCTGCGGCTTTAGCATCCGGCCTAGTCACCTACCTACCTTAGTTTAACCCGCCTCGTTGGATCCTTGACTAATCCTTACCACCCTCAGCTACCTCGGCTACGCTACACTACGCTACACGGTTCGACGACTGGATAGGATAGGGTCCCTAGCTGCCTAGCACGCCCGATTGGACCCGAACTACACATACCACGTACATACGTAGGCGCTCAGCCCCATTTCACACACAGCGGTGTAACGATCGACATGCTTCGCTCTCTTCCGATCGTGGTCATGTTGAGCAGCAGATGTCTCGTCCCAGGTCCCTGGTTAGTTATGGTTGTTAAGGGGGGACTGAAGGCCAACGTCTTTGGCTGATCAGCGATCCAGAGCCTCGGCCTCCTCCACGTGTGCTGTTGACTCGTATATACATGCATACATACTCATATTTCATATCCTTTCTTCTGGCTGACCCGCTCCTGCATTAGGTTGTAAGCCCTCATTCCATCTGCATTGATTGTCAAGACTACTGTGTAAGTACCCTAGGAAGTCTTTACCTCATTGCGAAACCGCCAAGGTGATACCTATGGTGTAGCGGAGAGAACACAGCCTCCTTCCATATTGTGAACTACGTGCTCTATGCATTGCATGGACAAGAAGAGTTAGGGTCCGGACGTAGTGTATCTCCGTATAGGAGGAATGAATCCCCGTAAAGAAACAAAAGGGAAATTGATCCACGACGCCAGCGCGTCCCGCCGTCACCCGTCCGGCAACGCAACCCCACCTCCAAGACAATTCGGTTATGGCGGACGAATCGGGTGCATTGGTTCCGCCTTGGGAGACAAGGTTAACCCAAGATCTCGCAAGGAAGATCTGCAGATCGATTTTGAGTTTGTTTTCTGATATCTTCACCCCCACACCCCCTTTTCTCCGAACCCCCTGTCCATTATACACCCCATGTTGCTTGGCCAGAAAAGTACAGTACACTATGTAGAGGCAGTGCCTCGTTACTCGGGAATTATCATCAATAAAAAAGAAAAGGACCGGCGGGATTACTGCAGGCAAAGGAAAAGAAAAGAAGGAAAACGAAAAGGACAAATCACCTTGTACGTGTACTTCGCGGGTGTATGCACAATTCAAAACAAGCGTAAGCACAGCAAACCTCCCAAAAACCGGTGTACGCAGTGTAACGACTCGAAACTTATGCTTTCCGGTGCTTGTGAGATCCCAATTGGATCCACAGGCCAGTAAACTACCTGGAGAATCCGGTCATAACCGGACGAGAGAGGAAGATGATAGACATCATTGATATGCAACAGCAGCCCTCCACTCATCAATGCCCTTCAAGCCACTCTCAATGCAACCGTGTTTTTCGCCAAGTAAAAAACCCATGCTCCAGCTGATGTGTCGTACTCGTAACTGCCTAAAAGTTTCAATGCCAAGAACCGAGCCCAGAACCGTAACATGGATCCCATATGTAACATATTGACCTGAAAAGAAGAATGATCGTCAAATCGCAGTGAGCATGCTCAGACCGGCGATTCCTTACACCACACGGCCTGTGGCTCAGCGATCCTCACTGTCGGCGTCTTGGAGCTCGGGGATATGGCCGGGGACGGTGGGCGCGGCGAGGGCGAGGGCGGCGGCGGCGGTGACTCCTGCTGCTCGACCCAACGGCCGGGACTGGGCGAGTTGCTTCTGTCGCTGTTGCCGGCAACCAGCAGGGTCTCTGGGAAGGTGATGATGTTGCCGTCCTCTCTGCGGCCGATGACCAAGCCGTTTTCGGGTTTAATCTTGACCGGCTCTCTCAGAAACTTGATGACGGGCGCGCCGTCGGGCGTGAAGCCAAGGAACTTGGCCGTGATCTCAACTTCTTCCTTGTCGCTGTCATCCGCCCGGAGGGTTTGCCTGTAAACAGAGCTGGATTAGCTACGGCATCTCGCCGGGGATGAAGCAACCCTGTAACGTACTCTCTGCTGAGAGGAAGATCGCTCGACTCGAGACGATTCCTGGAGCTGCAACTTCTAGACCGGACCCGTCGCACGCGCTCTCTCATAGACCGGTGGACAGCGTGGCCGATGCCGGCAACAACGAGTACGGGCGTGCCCAAAGCCAAAGCCCACGGTCTGCCGTCGCGTCAGTATTTCACAGCCTTCTCTCGCAAATTGTAGGGAATTGCCATCGACTTACGGATTCCTTCTCCCGCGGATGGTGTTGGAAATGGCGAGCAGGATGCCAAAAATGGCGATGACGGAGCCAACCTGCATCATGGCCCATGTCGACCAGTAGAGGGGCATAAGATCCTCTCCGTCGCAGAACTGAAGCGCCATCAGAGCGTAAACCTCCATAACGACGGCGACGATGGATATGGCGGCATAGATACTGCATGCCATCATACACTTTTTCATTTTCGATTTGTACCCCCGAGATTCGGGCTCCAAGCCCAGCATCTGGCATTTATCGAGGTCACTGATGGAGACACAAGGTTAGCCGTCGCTTGGTTACGTAGAAAAGCATGAAAAAGCAGAGGGGAAACCAACCCGCTGTACTTCCATGAGGACAAGAATAGCATGAATATGACAAAGGCGAAGAGAAACCAGTAAATAAAGTCAAAGGCCTTCCGGTCAAGGTGCGAAGCAAAGCCCGCGTAGTGTCGACACCGCTGTGGGTCGACAGGGTCAAAGCCACCAGCCATGATGGCAGGCTTAAGGGTATCAGATTTGAAACTAGAAGTGACTAGAGGGAAAATGGGTTTGGAAAAGAAGTAAAGAGTGTCACACCGAGCAGGTGTTCACGAGGGTTTGCAAAGTAATCCCTGATGGTGACAGTACCTGGGAGAATGGGGTTGGGGGTGCGCTGGAGCCTTTAAATCAACAAACGAACTGTGTGCTAGTGCCCGAGCGATACAAGGTAGGCCGTCTACTTTTTTCTGCGTCCGAACACCTTATCGGAATCTGTGCAGCGGCTGCACACGAGCCCAGGCCGCTGCCAACGCCACTAGGATCTTGGAGTGTGCAGAAATCTGTCAACTTGGCGATATGCGGAATAAGCTTGGGTGACACCTTTTGTTGAGGGTGGTCGATGTGGAAGGTCAAAACCAAGACTTGTGTCAGGCATCATGGGACGGTATTCCGCAGGCATTCAGGCCGGCCCGGTAGACGAGAGTATGGAAAGCCGCAGAAAGAGCCTGGCACAACAATCTGAGATGAATGGTCTTGGTTTCCATCTCGGCGGTTTGGCATGCACACAGTAGATTGATATTTTGCTCCACAATCCTTGGCGGTGACGGCGGACTGCGGCAGAGCACAGCGCCCCACGGCCGATCGCTCGCATAGCGGTAAAGGCAGCCAGGGCCAAGAGCAGCCGGGTCCGAATGATAATGATCGAAGTTTCCGCGACCGCTCTCCGCCAAGCCCTTCGGGTGTACGACGGCGCACAGTTCGTCTAGTCATCGTGGTTACCCGCTGCCGTCGTTCCGCTGGTTCCCCCAACCTCTTCTAGCGGCCTAGCCTGCCAGGTAGTTTAGTTCATGCCGGGCATCAGATCCACCTTGTCAAGGACCATGGATCGGTGCAGTATATATTCTCGGAGCCACATGAAATCTTCCCCCTCTTCCTCGCCGTACCGGTGCTCCTCAGAGAAGCCGAATGAGCAGGCAATCTTGTCAAGGGCAGCGCGCTCATCTTCGTAGAGCCAGCGATGGCGTAACGGCGTGCCCAGAGCCCAGGTTACCCGTTTCATTTGGTCATTTGACGTAAAGAGAGCCACGGCACCGATGCTCGCAGTGAAGCCCACATAGCAAAGGGCGCCTGCAAAGGCCATGTTGGTCGCGGTTTGCGAATCCAACGAGTATTGCATCTGCGCTAGCTCGGTGGCGATAAAGTAAAGGACCAGGGGTGTGGTCACAACGGCCGTAGCAGGGAGAAGGGCCTTGTTGATTATCTTGGACCGGATGAAAGCCTTTGACGCGTAGGTATTTTCCAGAATGCCGATGGCGGCCTCGAGATTCTTGGCTTCGATTGCGGCATCCAAGGCCATGTCGGCAACGGCGCGGTCCACAGCATTTTCTGCCTTGTTGGGGTCACGCTCAACATATTGGACGGTCCCAGATGCCAGTTTCGGCCTTGGCTTGCCAGCGTAAAGAGCGAGGACCTGGGGCAACGTCTGCGGCCTTCCGAGACGAGCCTGGAGGCGGATGTACTCCTCAAGCACCTTCCGGGTGATGACAACAGTCGGGTGGGCGACGATTGCGTATGCCGCATCCGATATCTTATCAATGACATCGTGCGGTCGAAGTGACGGACTTGCTTGGGGAACGGGCTTGTCCCCGGTTTTTGGGACGACGCGGTCCAGGCCCAAGAGCTGCGATGCGGGTCTAGTCTCAGACGCAGGGTCTTCAGCGCGGCGTTCCACAGCGTCCCCCAACAACCTCAGATCGATTGCTGCGCATCCTTGAAGAGCCTTGAGCGTGGTCTCCTCGGATGGAAGACCCGAATGAGCTAGGAATGCCTTGGTGATGCGATTGACGGCAGCAACGCATCCAGCCAAGTCCGGAAGCGGGTGGCCGGCCGGCTGGGTCCTGCCGAATCTGTTCGGCGATGCATTCAGGGTTTGGGGGCTCTGTGGCCATTTGACTACTAGACATGGCCGCGAGGTTGTGAAGGAGCGGGCGGCTATCGGAAAGATAGGGTTTGCTCGGGGTGCCGCAGCAGGTGAGAGCGCGCCGATGCGCAAGGCGGAGGAGGGACGCTTGGCAGACTGAATCCACCGCCGCCCGGAGACAGGCTCGCAGGCCTGGCAAAGCCGTATGCCCGAACGGGTTGGGCACGGGCTACGTAACATGGCTGGAAAAGTGCAGTCTGTGTGGCCACCGAAGCTGAGAGGTAAAGGTAGGTTGTCTTCGGTCAGCAACGCTAACAGCAGTAGCTTGCCCGACCTCACGGGCAGCCGAGGTGGTGTCTTGAAGGACGGAACCTCAAGTCAATCAACGCTAGAAAAGCCCACAAATGGTTTGTAACACAGTCAGACAAGTAGAGCCGGTAGAACCCGGGAAGTTGCGGGGAAATTGGGAGATTGCGAAGCAATTGCAAAGCTTGAAGTCAAGCAGAAGGCGCGGTGCAGTCAAAAGAGAGCTCGTGAGCTAGCGCTGTAGCATAACGAGATCTTGCAGATCCGTGCATTTCTCGAATTGAAGTCCTGGATACGGATACTGTACTGCACATAACCCCCGGGCGCCTCGATTGATGAAAAGCCTCGCTCTTTCGCCGCTCCGGTCAATCAAAATCTCAGCGCAAGTTGATGCAAGATTTGATTTATGCAATACCAGAAATGCTGATAATGAGACAGCCATCTCTCACTGTTGGATACTTACATAACGTTCCTTGATCGACGCAACGAGCAGTGTATGAATAGACGGCGGCAAACATCGCAACCGAAGATATTCATAGACACAAGTCAGTACTCACACATGTCTCAATCGGTGGGGGATGAAGTCAGTGATTGCGTGTCGTCCTGAGTTCATGATTGACGGTTTCGATCTCCAATCTTGGCGCCAAGCTTTCCAGCCCGGGACCCCACAAAGAACACAGCGATGCAGCTCAGCCACAAGCCAGCCCGGAAGTGACGCAGTCCCAGGCAAGGCGGCAAGACATGTGGAGGAACGACGGAAACTTCCATGAATGAGCATAGCATCCCACGACTCTCCCACCATTCGAACCTTGGCCAGGCGTCCATACGAACGAGGATTAGCATCTAAGTTATCTTTTCTATTATAACTGCGCAGGTTTGAACGGGCAACAACGTAGTTCAAACAGGAGACCCTCGGTCTATTCTCTCTCCTCAATCTCAGGCCATCATCAAAGCTCCATCCTCCGCCGAGCACTCTTCCGCGATGCCGCCTCCCCCACCACCGCCGCCGCCTCCGGCTCCGGGACTTGGTGGTCCGCCCCCTCCACCACCTCCTCCGCCGGGGCCAACCGCCCAACCGAATAGGGTCAGTGATTTGGATTGTCTTGCTAGAGAGGAAGTAGGTGCTGACTAAGTCGCAGGGTGCGCTGCTCGCAGACATTCGGGGCGGCAAGGCGCTCAAGAAGGCCGTCACGAATGATCGATCCGCACCGCAAATAGGAAAGGTGTCGTCGGTCGGCGGCTCGGGGCCGTCCTCGCTCGGCGCACCTCCGATCCCGGGGATGCCGAAAGCGCCCAGCAGCTTGGCGCCTCCTGTCCCTGGAAACCGTGCTAGAAGCAATAGCGACCAGAGCGAGAGAACACAGCCGACATCGTCAAGCACAGACGGCCCGCCGCAGCTAGCTGGTTTATTCGCCGGGGGCATGCCGAAGCTGCGGAAAACAGGAGGAGGTGTGGACACTGGTGGTAAGCAACAACTTGGATTGCGTCTTGAGGCCTTTCTGATTATCATCTAGCGAGCCGAGATGCCTCGTACCTTTCAGATTCAGAAGTGGTCCCTAGATCGGCCCCGAAACCACCTACCGGAGCCGCTCCGGCCGTCCCGAACCGACCGCCGCTCCCCGGTGCATCCAGCACACCCACCTTTCATCCTTCGATTGCGAATTCACGAAAAACTGCAAACTCCGAGGCTCCAAAGCCATTATCATCAGTCTCAGTACACAAAGGGCCGCCCCCTGTAATCGGCAAGAAACCGCCGCCGCCGCCTCCAGGCTCTCGAAAGCCATCCTCAACCGTATCGCATGCGGCCCCTCCCCTCCCGAACGCGCCAGCTCCTCCGCCGCCTCCCTCCGCACCCTCAGCGCCATCACCATCCTCCTCTCTCGCTCCTCCCCCAGCCCCACCCCCTCCGCCTCCCGCGGCTGCTTTCCGCCCGCCCCCGGCCCCGGCGCGCACCCAACCGCCACCACCTCCACCACCCCCACCGCCGTCCGCCTCAACAAGCAGCATCTCCCAGACCATCGCCGCGCAAGCCGCCATCCGCGCAGCCTCCTCCGCCACCGCCGCCGCCGCACCACCACCGCCCGCACCCCCTCCCCCACCCCCGTCAGCAGCCCCGGCCCCGCCGCCACCGCCACCGCCGCCAGCAGCCCCGCCATCGGCGCCTTCGCACGCTTCTTCGTCGAGCACCTCACTGGCCCGCTCCTCGTCGGTCTGGTCGTCCATGCTGGACCCCAGCAGTTTCACCCTCGCCCCGAACGGGTCCGGTGCCAACAAGACGCCTAGCCCGACCGGAGGGGTTTCGGCGCATGCCACGGGTGGAAGTGGAGGTGGAGGTGGGGGTGATGGGAGGCAACGCTACGTGGTGCACGACCCGCGGTGGAAGTTTATCGGCGAGGAGAATTTCCCCAAGCCGAGGGAGTTTGTGGGCGGGCCAAGAAGGTACCGTGCTGGCAGGGGGAGTAGTGTGCCGTTGGATTTGGGGGCTTTTTGAGACTTTTGTTTGTTTGAGAAGGGGTTAGTTGGGGAGGAGGGGGGTTAGATAGGCAGCATGGTTCGGAGTATGTGAAGCGGAGAAGGGATGTGTGTAGGTTTGGTGAGGTGTGCCTGTACGAAGCAGATGGTTGTTAGAGGTAGGGAGCTACTCTGCTGGAGGGCGTCATGGGCAGTTTGTCGAATTGGAGGTACCATGGGTGGTTCTGTTAAGTCGGGGAAGACGCAAGCGGAGTCTTGAAGTAGCTTAGGGATTTGCAAGGACAATAGAATCATTAGAAACGCATGAGACGTTTGAGTACTCTGTGTAGGCCTTTGAAGTTCTCTGCTATTGCTGGTGACTAACTAGTTGGAAGGGCAATACAGGAAGCATGAATAACAACCAATTACTGTGAAATAATTGACATCGATTAGTTAAATAGATACTGGGAAGGAAAGGGCAGGGAATATTAAGCTGGGTACTCATAACTCATGAACCTGATTGCGTGTGCTAGCTGCCGGTACTGGTAGTTGCTCGGTTTCATAGCTGTTTCTCCATGTTTCTCCATGTGCTCCACGAAAGAGTAAAGACTCCGAAAAGGAGGTTGTGCTCCCAACAAGGCGCACTCGCACACTCAATAGTAAGAATAAGACTCAGGAGGCACCCGTATCCGATGATGCCCACTCTCCCGGCCGCCAGTCACCAGCCCCTTCTTCCCGCGGTTCATTGTGTCTCTCTCTGTTGGACGGGGGTCAGTAAGATCGGACAACTCAGTTCAAGTTTCAAGTCAAGGAGGTCTGAGAGTGCTCACCGCGAGGGTAGTATGATCTCTGGCCGACGACGCCTTCATTGCCGCCATGTGCCTCGAGTTTCTTGGAATCTTGTGAGGATGTAGACGGAGCAGGCGTCGTGTCGGACTTTGTATAGAATGGCGGCTGCTCATCCTGCGACAACGTCCTCGCCTTGCCGGAGAAGCGGGCACCGAGGGAGAGGTTTCTCTTTCGGTCCATGATGCGGCAGGTATGTTGAGCTGGTGGGCAGTATCAGATGTAGTAGTAGTAGGAGTAATGGAGCAGCAGCAGGAGGAGGAGGAGGGTTGTAGCCAAATGAAGAAAAAGCGAGCCGGCAGCTCATGCCCACTCTCTCTCACCCTACTTATACACCACCAGGACCTGCCGATAGAGCCTCAATAATCCCCACACAAAAGCCAGGTGGGGTTTTGGCTTCGCTGGCCATGATGGCAAACCAAGTCCACACGCACACATGGGGTGCGGGTCGGGAGTCGTGATGTAGCTGCTGGCCGGTCGTGTGTGGACAAAAACTCCCGGGGACGTGGAATGTGTCTGCATAACGAACGCAGCAGTCTCATTGGCAGGCCACGGACTTTTTGCATCGCGACTCGGCGAGGGCGCTCGGGGGGTTGCAGCAAGTGTGGCAGACACTGCTGCTTTGGGGCAAGAGGGGCTCGACCACGGCTCATGAGCCGCATTCTGTCGGATAGTCTGCCCTTCCCCCGGGATTTTGGAGTAGCTCCCGTTAACCGGTCTCTCCCCTACCCTACCCTACTCTCTCGTTTCTTCAGGTCGCATGTCGTCGTCATACAGCGGCGGGCCGGCTATTGCGGCACGGCGTATGATTTGCTTGCTTCCACTTTCCACTTTCCCACTTTCTGTGCTTTGCTTCTTTGCTTGGTAGTCGGTATTGACCACTAGGTGGGAGAAGCGGCTGGCTCCGTGATGCCCAGCAGCCGAACTGGGCTGGCCTAAATGTCTTGCTTGTCAGTGTGGTGCTGCAGCGCTGCAAAGCTGTCCGGGTTGGGTTTTCGGGCCAAGCTGGTTGGCCGAGATGGATGCTTACTCACTCTCGTGCACTGTATTATGTTTTGCACGATTTGAGCCACCGGTGGACTGAAAAGCGCTGGTTGTCGGCCATTTTACTTTCCTGGAGCAAAATTTGGTGGAAGAAAATAGTTCAGGGGTAAGCTGGACCAGATATGTCACGTCGGCGAGTTGAGAGTTTATATCTCAGATTCTACCCCTGAGCACTAACATGGCTAGGTGAAATTCCAATTCCCTGATCCGTACAAAATGCTGGGGCCCGCCCGCCGGGAAACGGGACCAAAAAAGCCTCCAGAATGCTTGATTTAACGTCAAGAAAAAAGGTCCTAGAGTGGCTACCTAGAAATTCTAGTCAGCTATCTAACTGCCCGTGGTATGCTGCACATCTTTAGGTATGCGGCTATTATATTCCCAAACCTGGAAAGAAGGTGCCGAAAGGCAGGTAATCACTCTTTCCTCGCACAGGGTTCTGTGCCACTTACCCTCGACGGGAGCTGTATGCTGCCCCGAGACTCGGAATCGTGCCATCGTGCCTGCCCAATACAAGGCTCGAAACCAAATCGAAGGAGCCACTGTCGTCGTGCTATCAAGACAAGCTCCTGGCATTGCGCCGACGATACTGGGTAATAGTCATGACACACAAGCGCATGGCCAACAGCTTCTCAAGACGCCTCCCCCGCGCGCCCCAACATATTGAGTACTGGCCGCGACGAGCGCAACCATGGAAGCTTGACGTGGCGGTTGCATGGAGTCACTGCAGCGGAGTCGAAACGACTCCATATTGGACCATTGGCCCATCCCAATCCGTGGCGAAGACGGGCGTGAAGTTTTCGCTTCAATCTACCTCTTATATCAGCCCTCGTCAATCATACGGCACGCAACCCCGGCCAGCCGTGCCCGAACAGCTGCTTTGAGCTGCAAGTCAGGGCAGTCTTGGGATTGCAGGGCTGTCGTATTTGCCCGCCGCATATCACATCTCTTAGGCCGCATGGGGCTATCGCTCGCGTGCCTCGACGCTATTTGGTCTCCTTCACGGTTGGATCAAGGGGCTACAACCATACACATCACCGAACCCCAGTAACTCGGCTCTCTATCCGAGCTTGCTTCGGCTGCCCCCACCTTTCCGGCCCCCTGGGGATGCAAATTGTCGGCAATCGGCACGGATGAATCTGCGAGTAGCGTGACACAATACACCTACCGGTAGACACAGACGGCAGAGGCGGAGCAGGGTCCGCTGGTAGCTGAATAGGCTGTCGAGACTCGAGAAACACAAGTGTCTGCTGTCGCTCTGGGACCAATCAAGCCAAAGTCGTTTCGGCATTGTTCGAAACGGAACATTCAAATCTGCCGTCCATCGAGAAGGTTACCTTACACAACCTACTACTGTGGTAGTGTTTCGAAACACTTTCAGCTTTTGGGAAAGAGGCCACGGGTGCTGGTGCACGAGCCATATTCCAAGACGGTAATTACTAATTTGGGTGCCCCCTGTCTAGCCTGCGAATGACGTCTGTCCTTGAACCCATGTTTGCCGTGGAGAGTGGCCAAACCTGCACTTGCAAAGCCTTGAATTGCTTTTGCGGCATGTTCAGAGCCAGAGAGGCACGAGAGGCTCAAGCCTGGTTGCATATTTATTGAGTCCGGTCAAGGGGTACATTATCCTCACGATCTACTTCGTACACGTGTATACCTAGCTTCGCACGGTTGTCGTCATTGGCTAAGCCGCTAAGAGCAGCCCAGTGTCCTTTGGACCGGACGGCGGTGGCCTAAAGGCGGCGAATCAGAGCGCGGTTTGCGACTGAGTGACCTTCCACTTTTGGGAAGGGTGGATCACGCCTACTGTGTCAGCCACTGTCTTTCCTCCCGCCGCTGCGCTGAAGTGCCACAGTGTGTGTGTCGGTGGGCGCTGCCAACAAAGACAACAAAGCCTCAACAGGTTTCAACCCGCCGAGTTCGTCTCGTCAAGGCGGCGCATAGGTGCAGTCTGAGCTACGGGACACTGAGCTTACTCGGCACGGTTCTCGGTTTCCCTTTGGCCCTTCCGCTCGAACTTTGCTGCGAATCAGCTCATTTGCTCGAGCGATCGTTCCATTCAATCATTAAAATCGCCTTTAACTAAGCACTTGGTCTCACGTCTCCACTTACAGAGGCGGGGCTTGCCGCGGGGCCGACAACTGTTGACGAACGAGACGAGCGAGCTCGCAGTGACTGCGCGAAGGGCCCCAAGCGCCCAATAATCAAGCGGGCATCTATTGCCTGCCGTCCTTCCCCCTCCTCTTTTATTCTTTTATTCGCAATCAGAGTATCTTTTGCCATGGCGCCTTCGGATTCGCAGCGCACACGACAGGGCGGGGAGCGTGGCGACAGCCGTGTTCCGGAGACCGCTGGCCGGTCGGATGCGGCATCGCCCCAGCGCCGGGGAGACGGTGAGTTGGCCTTGTATGTGTCCGGCTTTGGTCGGAGACTTATACCAGCAAATTTAGAGTCGTGGATCGAAGTTGCCTCGCAGCCGTCGTCGTCATCCTTATCATCTATTGGCGAGGATATCGTGACAACAGGACTTAGGGTTGGAAATGCTTCACATCTACACCGGCGGCGACGGTCGCAACAGCAGCAACCCATGCCCGCTTCATTTATCGTTGGCCACCCCGCTTCACAAGGAGGCGCCACGAGCAGCCAGGAGGAATACGACGAAACAGAGAGCGAGGAGGACCGGGTCCTGACAAGCTCCACCGAGGCAATACACCCGTCTGCCAGTTTATTCCGCCAACAGACCGCTGTCCGGCCAGCCGGGGAAAGCGACCCTGACAGCGATGACGATGACGAGAATGCGACAGCCCTTGGCCGTCCGTCCAACGTGCCAGTGTTCAGGCCCCAGCCGAACGCCTTCTCTCACCCGCCTTCGCACCTAACCCATCGCCACTCGACCGGCTCAGCCCAGCCGTACCATAACCACCCCCAGCACCGCCCTCCGATGCCCAACCGCCCGCATACCCGCTCCCACCGTGGCTCCACGAACTACATGTGCCCCTCATATCAAGCCGACAACGACGCCGCGCTTCGCGCCTCTCTCACCACTCTCCTCTCCTGCGCCGCCGCGGCCCGCGGGCTGTCCAAGGAGAAGCAGCACGGCCTGGACGAGAGGCGGACCGTCGGCGGCGCCGGTGTCGTGCCCAGCTCTCAGCCAATGGAACTGCGCCTGGTGCCCGAATCAGAGCTCATGGCCGATGACGCCCCACCACCATCTGCCTCAGCCAGCCGAGCGGCACCCGCGGGCACCGGCCCGGCAGCAGCCAAGACCCTGCAACAACTAGGGCCGCAAACCCGCACGGCATCCAACTCCAGCGCCCCCAGCGCCGCCCCAAGCTCCAGGTCTGATTCCCAGAAGGGGGCAGTGTCCTCTTCCGAAAAGCACAAGCGGCCGGCGGCCAGCGGCTCAAACAACCAGACGAAACCCGCAAGAACTGCAAGGAAGAAGCAGCGCACCGGCAGCGGCGGCGCTGCCGCCCTCCTCCAAGGCGAGGCTTCGTCATCATCATTAACGGCCACCTTTCTCAGCAGCCCGACGCTCCTGACCTGGGTTGTGAGCGCTGGCGTCGTGGTGCTCGTGTCCGTGGTGGGCTTCGGGGCCGGGTACGTGATTGGGCGCGAGGTGGGCCGGCAGGAGGCTGCTTCGTCAGCGTCGTGGGGCGCCGGTCTCGGCGGCGCCTCATCGAACGGCTCTTCGTGCGGCCGCGAGCTCGTCAGATCCACCGCGTCGGGCGCTGGCGGCGGCGGTGGTGGTGGGGCGGCTCTGCGGCGGATCCGCTGGGGCGATGTGGGCAGGAGCGTCGCGGCTTGAGGTGATTGCAGTGGAATGAAATGAAACGAGATATGCCCCCCATCCAACTGATTTTGCCTATACTCAAGCCGGATTGTGGGAAATGGTCTGTCGGGGTGAGGGCGCAGGGTCCTTGGGGACAGCACAAGCGTGCAAACATGAATACCTAGGTAATGAGGCAATGTCGTTATGATGGATTTGGGATGGGGCCGACGACGACATGTTGCTCTGCGTTCCTTTATTTTCCTTCGTCTTCCCTTTGGCTATCGGTCGTAAGTCGTTGCAGCAACAACGTTTTGTTTGGGTGGTTGCGGTTGCTTTTTTGGTTCTCCGATCCTTTCGTCAGTAACTTGGGGCGTTGCGGATACCGGATAGTTTCAGATCGACTGAATACCAGGTATTTTCTAGCAATTCCCTGTCGTTGCTTTCCGTGCAACCCCAGGTTTCCGAAACTCGTGGCCATAAGCCGCGCTAGTTCTGCCTCAACCTGGCATGTCACAAAATCACAACAGTCACAGCGCAGGAGAACAAGTTCGCAGTGGCTGATGTAAGTTCTGGCTACCTAGTATTACTCGTACAAGCCTGCCCATGGGGTATCGACGCTGCTGGTAAGAAGTAAGCATCGTTGGGTATGGGATACTTACCAGGCAGAGAAACGCCATGTGTAAAGATCGCCCGTGTACCACCGAGACTCCTACCTCACCGCCGGGGGGTCGTGGAACTGCCAGGATACCTTATGGAGGAAAAGAAAAATATAAACCGAGACAAGCCGTATTCGCCATAAACCATCGAAATCAGAGCCCAAACTTTTTAATTACCCTCAGAAAAAACGTACCCTCGAAGCCCTCAAAGCCCAAGGGAAGCAGCTATTGCAGTTGCAGAAAGCTGGCTCAGGTCTCGCGTTGTGCAGGACCTGATACCATACTTCACTGCCAGAGAAACCCGCTCTTGCGGATTGCATGGAAGCTGGGTCAGGCGTGTTGATGCACAGGCGCCTGTTTCCATGCTTCACTTCAACTGCGATAAGCCCACGAGAACCCACGAGCCAACAAAGCCCACAAAGCGCAGGGAAACCCATCATGACACAAGTGATCCAGCAAGCCGACCAGCATCGCGCAGAGCGGATGCACTAAACGGGCTGTCAAAGAGCCAAACCAGCCCACGAATATGAGATCAAGCCCTCAGGTGTATCGTTGCTTCTTTGCAGAAGCTGCCCCTCAAAGCCCACTACCCCCAATCAGGGAGCGTAAGATTTCAAAGCCGACAACCCACAAGCCCTCGATGGTTACTGTGTAGAGCCCTCGCGACGATCCCCTCAATGTGCGGCATGCAGTGTCACTTTAGAAAGTGATCTTCTTGCCCTGGAAACCACCACCCCCGCGGTTCCCACCAAACCCACCGCGACCACCTCCACGACCGCCACGGTCACCAAAGCCACCACGGCCGCCACGGCCGCCACGACCTCCACGACCGCCTCCACGACCGCCTCCGCGGCCACCACCAAAGCCGCCGCCGCCGCCGCTGTTGTCACGGGGCTTGGCGAAGTCCAGACGGACAGGCCTGCCATCTAAGTCGGAGCCATTGAGAGCCTGGAAGGCAGACTTGGCGTCATCAACCGAGGAGAAGGTCACATACGCGAAACCCTTCGGGCGACCAGAATCCCTAATGAATGGTTAGAAAGTGTGTAATCATATGTTGTAATTAGCACTTACTGGTCGGTAGGGATCCGCAGGCTTTGAACCTGAGCGACTTCGTTGAAGAAGGCGGAAACAGAGTCCTCACTGGCGGTGAAAGCGAGGTTGCCGACGAAGAGAGTGTCGCTCTCGGGGCTGACGACGTCGCCATGTTTGCGGGCGCGGTCGGCAGCACGAGCGTTGGGTGTGCCATCGGTGCTCGGCTTCTGGGCGAAGTCAAGACGCATGTCACGGCCTTCGAGGTAGGCACCATTCTTGTCATTGTAAGCCTTCTCCGCAGCCTCGGGGCTGTCGAAGTCGACATAGCCAAAGCCACGTGAGCGACCAGTCTCCTTATCGGTGACGACCCGGGCACCGACGATGCCCTCGTTGTGCTTGAACTCCTCGTACAGCACGTTGTCATCGACACCCCAGCCGAGGTTGCCAACGAAAAGGGTAGCGCTCTTATCAGAATCGGCCTTCACCTTCTTGGAGGCATTATCGGTCGCCTTCTCGGGTTCCTCGTCGGCCTTCCTCTTCTTGGACGGTTTTTGGGCCTCGGCCTTCTCCTCAGTGGACTCGGATTCTTCGGACTCCTCCTCGGACTCGTCCTCGTCAGAATCAGAGCCGTTCGAGTCGGAGTCGCTCGAAGCGTCCTCATCCTCATCTTCATCCTCAGACTAGAGACATCGAGTTAGCCCAAAATACACTCAAAATGTTATGAGCGACACTCACGTCAGACTCAGAATCAGACTCAGCCTTCTTGGCCTTGCCATTCACTGCCTTGGCGGCCTTAGCAGGCTTTTCTTCCTCCTCGTCATCGGAGTCGGATGACTCGTCTGATGACTCGTCGGATTCGGTGCTCGCCTTAGCAGCACCGTTGACCTTGGCCTTGCCATTGGTGACAGGGGGGTGTGCATCGGTCATCTCGACATCAGAGTCGGCCTCAGACTCCGAATCCGACTCGGAATCTGAGGCATCGCTGGCGCTCTCGTCCTCGGACCCGGCCTCAGACTCGGACTCGGACTTGGACACAGACTCAGACTCAGACTCGGAGTCGCTCTCCTCTGACTCAGACTCAACCTTCTTCTTGGACTTCTTGTCGCTGACAGCCTTCTCCTTGGAGACGACGGCCTTCTTGGCAATGTCCTTGGCAGACTTAGCAGCGGGCTTCTCGACAGCCTTGGGGGCAGCAGCCTTGACGGGCGCAGCGGGCTTCGCAGCGGGTTTGGCCTTGGCGGCCTTGACATCTTTGGTCTTGCCCATGATGATTGAGGTGATGGAAATTGAGGTATCGAAACTAGACGCTCTGAAAATGGTGGATGTGTGTGGATGGGAAAAGGTCGCTTGGGGAAGGGAAGGAACTTTTTATAGAGAGAAAGTGGCTGGAGGAGGGCCGATAGCAAAGAAATTTCAGTTGAAAAATTGCTTATCGCAAAAGATTATGTGGGGTCAAAGGCGGTGAAACGCGTCAAAAACGCGGATCTCGTGCATGGCTGCATTGGCTGCATTTGTGGCCCACATAATGCTCGATGTGGTTGCCTATCAATTCAGGCACTCAATCTGGAAGCTTGGACGCCGAGCTGCATTGGCTCCGTCACGAATCGCTGTGGCATCTGCTTGGGTCCTTGTGACCACTGTTGCTGGACTGAAACCGCACCGGCGCATCCATTACTCCCATCAACGGTCTACCGCGACTTACAAGTATCTTGGGCCACCGTTACAGAATCATGCCGACACCCGAATCGGAGGCCTTCCTGGCCAAGAAGCCGAAAGTCCCTCCTAGCTTCGACGGGGTCGATTACGAGGACACAAAGCGCTTGAAGCAGTCCCAAGATGCCATAATCCGCGAGCAATGGGTCCAAGTCATGATGGGCCGGCTGGTCCGGGAGGAGTTGAGCAAGTGCTACTACCGCGAGGGAGTCAACCATCTGGAGAAGTGCGGTCGGTTAAGAGGTTAGTTATCACGGGAGGGCGAGAGCCATTGGAAGTCAATCGACTCGGTGGTGGCATCTACCTCTCGCATGAGAATATGACGGTCATGGACACTCGATATGGTGCTAATGTTGGTGCAGAACGGTACCTCGAACTGCTCAAGAATGCCAAGGTCAAGGGTTATCTGTTTGAGCAACAAAACTACTGGTCGAAGCAGTCCGAGCAATGAGCAAGGAGTGTATTGTAGACGGATCCGATGACCGCTCATAACTGGGAGCGCACTGCTGAACAAGGAGTTTCTTTGGGATCTTTGTGGGGGGGGGCATAAAGTGCTGCCAACGGGGGCTGCAATGTGGCAGTCGCAGCCGTGCAACTTGAAATCCTAACATCACAGATTCGGTTGTACATACAATCAATCGAGGCCTGTATAAACGTCACCGGCAATTTTGTTTCATCGAACACCTAACCAGTATTGCAATCGTAGTGGTTCTGTTAAGTCTTGGTTCGCGAGCTCCCTTTGAGTCTTTGACAGACCCTGGTCAATATCAAACTGCGCAAGCGGTGCGTTTGGACAGCCGTAGAAATTTTTAGCTCCTCGTCCTCCACTGCAGCGCTTCGACTCGCAGCTCAACACCAAAAGCAGCAAAACCTCACGCTCCTTCTGTGCACCCCAAAGCCATGATTTGCCGAACCTGTCTCCGGCGAGCCGCAGGGTTCGCGACCAGGCAAATAGCACCCCGATCTCTCAGCGTAACAGCCCCTGCGCGAACCTTCAGCACGACCCTCTGCACGCGCAATGCAGCACCAGCGGCAGCGGCAGCAACGCCATCAGCAGAGTCCCGCGCGCCGGATCTGACCCCTTTAACGCCCTCCTCCTCCGCCGCTTCAGAAGCAGCAGCCGCCGCCGAAAAGCCCAGGCCGATTTCAATCTGCGCGGCCGGCACCCCGCTCAACGGGCTAAACTATTTCAAGGGCAGATCGGACCCGGTCGCGCTGCCGGACGAGGCCTACCCGGACTGGCTGTGGAACTGTCTGGAGGTGCAGAAGAAGGCCGACGCCGCGGACGACGCTGACGCAGGCGACGAGTTCTGTTAGTCCCACCCAACCCTACCCCTTTCCCTCCCTCTCTCCATCCACAAGCCAAACCCTGCCCCTAATCATTCATATGACTAACCACACCCCTTGATAAACAGCCAAATCCAAGAAACAACGTCGCCTCGCGCTCAAGCGGCAGCGCCAGCAAGAGGAGAAGATCCTGGCATCGGGCAACCTCGAGGCGCTGGCGCCCAAGATCCCGCTGCAGCAGCAGAGCATCAACCTCCCCGCGGGCGAGCCGGGCAACGTGCGGGCGGCCATAGAGGCCGCCGACAAGCGGGAGGAGCTGCGCCGCGCCATGCGCAAGGAGCGCCGTGCCAAGATCAAGGAGTCGAACTTCCTCAAGAGCATGTAAAACTAGTTTCTTCGCCGCCCGGTTGGTGTTGTTTTGGATGGATAGATACTGTGGGCTCTTTGCGGAGGGAGGAACGGGGGCATGGCATGGCATTGATATGGACGTGGGGCTGCTACACATGGTGGTGGAAGCTGGGCCCATGTGGGTATGGCGATGGCTATCGCCCAAACGTATGTACAGGACAAAGGTGTATCGATATGTATATTTGATTCATAGACACATCACGGCATGGTTAGGGGCGTTGCCTGCTATTGATGCCTCACTTTGCTCAATCACTCTCGATCAGGGTGACGATCAAATGCCTAATAAGCATCTGCGCCAGGTCATGGCAGGAAACGTCATCCTCCGAAGCAGATAATGTTACCTCTGCCGCCCACATCAAGCTGGTGGAATTTATCCTTACTGATTATGCGGTACGTCCGTCTCTGGACAATACTGCCCGTAGCTCAGATGCCCTTGTTATGAATTATGCTGTAATCTGTCCCGCTGTGTAAACCTAGTGATATCTGCTTTTCGGACATCATCATTAATGGCTACATTAATAGGCAGCCGGATGTCCTAGGTGGGTAGGTGGGAGGAACACAGTTCCCCAGCTGCTGGAACGTCGTTGAAACCCAGTCGGACCGCAACTGAGCAGTCAAGGCGATTGCAACCCTCCCCGTTTCCAACAGGCGGAAACCAGCCAAGATGCTGCTCTTCAAACCGCTGCTCCCTATCCCTAGCCATGCCCTGGAACAGGGATTTGTCCTTAAACTTCAGCACCCAATGCCGCGCGGTAAGATAAAACCGCTTCCTGGGTGGTGCGCCATGGCTCTCCTGTAAGGGTCCTAAGAAGATGTTTGCAGCTCAGAAGGCTTGGAGGCATCCTAATCCTCTTCTGCCTCACCAATGGCAGACATCTTGAGTAATATCTCTGACTTGACGTTCTTGATGTTGCCCTCGATGCGTTTCCGCATGATTGGCTGGACCGAGTTGGCCAGCTGCTCCTCGTACATCTTGAGCTGCTTCTTGAGGTCGGCGATCTCGTGGCGAATGCCAGCAATCTCGTCGTGGTCGTCGCCGTCGTCATCCCCTTCATCGTCATCACCTTCCTCGTCCTCCTCCTCCTCGTCTCCCGACTCCTCTTCCTCCCCGCCGTCCGCTTCCTCCTCCTCGGTGTGGGCCACGGGGGTGCCCGTGTTGGCCGTAACAGGGGTGATGGCATCGAGCGCCGCCGCTTGAGTGGCCGGATCCATAGCCTCTGCTGGCGTTTCGACTGCGTCCAGGAACTCAGCTTCGAGGGCCGCATCGTCAACCTCGAATTCTTCCTCGAGCTGTTGGTCCGCATCCGCGTCGCCAAAGTAATCCTCCATCTCGCCCTCAGCGTCCTCTTCGTACTCCTCGTACTCCTCGCCGTCTTCGGCCTCGGCGGCATCCCGCTTGTTGTCGATCCACTCCGTCCTGACGCTCACGGCTTCACGATCGGCCGCAAGGAGCCGCTCCACTTCAGCCTCCTTATTCTTGATTTCCAGCTTGCTGAGACGCTTGCGAAACCGGCGGTTCCTGGCGTCGTGCATCGGGGGTGTGATACCGTGAGGCCATCGGTGCCCGTGCTCGACCGCCTTGGGCAGCGGCGCCGTCTTGGCCTCCTCTTCGCTCTGGACTTGGGCAAACACCAGCAGCATCTGGCAAATATCGGCGGACTTGACCATTGACTTCTTGTCCCACGTTTTCATGCCCTCCGTGATGGTGGGGAGATCCAGAAGAATACCGGCAAAAGGCTGGCCATTGATTATGAGGAAGACCCGTCGGCCCTCTTCGTCCAGAAACTTCATCTGTACATCTGCGCCTCCCTGGGCTCTAGAGACGCCAATCTTTCTCTCTTGTATGGCTTTCCTTAGGTACTCGCAATGCTCACCGGGCATCATGCGGAAGAGGAACTGCTCCTCGATGACCGGATCCACCTCGCGATCTTCGGCCTCCGAATCGTACCCCTCGCCGAGCGGCCGCTGGGGGACCTTCCCTACCGGTTTTACTTTGAGCGTCGGCTGTCGGATGAGACCGGGCGTCGGGGGCTTGAGGGTGATCTTGGTTTTCTTGGCCTGAGGTTGCAGGGTGGTGCCATTGGCAAGGGGGACATCATCGTCATCGTCATCGCTCTGGTCTCTAGCCCGCTTTTTCGCTGACGGCTTGGGAAGCCGCCCTGCTTTGGTCGTTTGGATGGTCGGAACGGCGGGTGCTGTGGCGGCGGCGCCATCTGTGACTGTTTGAAGAGGCCGGGATGCGAGATGGGGCGGGTTCCCGTCGGCGGGTGTAGAAGGTTGAGATTTTGTCAGTATCTTGATCTTCATCGGGCCGCCAGAAGGTGTTTGCGGCGCTGGCGACATAGAGGGCTGGTTGGCAGTACTTGTGGTGATTGCCGACGGGCTGGCGGCGGTGATGGAAACTCCAGATAAACTGCTGGTGATTTTCAAGCTAGGGAGCCGCTTCAAAGGCGGCGGGGGAGGTTGTGGTTGCTCCATCCTCCAGTTGCAGATTTGCCTGCAACTGCCCCAGAATGCACGTAATGTAGAGGAAGAGACCACGCCGGCGGTAGACGAGAAGGGCCGTTGAGGGAGGGCAGGTGGGAATCAGGAACCCGGCAGGGACTAGTACCTTAGCCGGAAACAATGGTACGCAAAGTCGCAAACTCTCCTGTCGCTAAGCTGAATTGTTCTCGATGTGTCCTCTTCTGAGTCGCCTCGGCTGAGATAGCTAGGTCGCGGCAGGCAGAGCGCAGTATGGCACCGGCAACAGTTCGAAAATGCGACGCGATGCGCTTCACAGTTACAGAGGTTATGATGCAAGTCAACTGACGGATTGTACATTTGCTTGTACCGGGTGTGGGTCGCTCGGCAAACACCAGGATCGCCATGAAGTGGAGGCGGCTGTAGGGGGTACTGGGAACAGCGACCACGATATGAGATTTGTCGGCTGACGACACTTCAAAGTACTCCAAAGGAAAAGGAAGAGTGCTTTTCAAGGAAACGCCGTATACTATATCTTGTGGAAACGAGATGAACCATAAATTACCCAGTACTTCAGAAACCACGGTGAGAAGTAAGTTATCCGGAAGGTACCTGCAACTTTACTGGACTGCATAGTGTGGGGCTCTCGCCTAAGGCAAAAACTGCGGCCCTGGTTCAAGAGAGACGGCTAGGCCCTTGTGTAACGGGAGGTATCCATCAGCATCACTGAACTCTCATCAAGCTCTCAGACCTTCGACACAAACATCTAATTCCACAACACCAGATCCCGACGCCTTATAATCGTATCATAGCAAATGGTGGCTTGGACACAAGCATAGATTATAACTTGGTAGCCAGTCGACGCAATCTGTCAGGAAGTGAGAAAGTTTTACTCAAGAATCGAGAGGAGCATACCCATTTTACGGGTGATGGCAACAACGAAGGGTTTCTTGATCGATGTTAGGCATCTGAAAGGGGCGATTGTTTGACCCAAGGCGAGGCTGAGGGTGCATATCACTCGGCGCTTCACCTGTCGCCCATGCGCAGTTTTGCTTTGGTTCGATCTGTCATCCCAAGCCTCCAAGATCCACATCCAAAGCTCAGCAAAGCTGCATCGATACACATCAAACCCACCTCAAACTCACCACTGTGCTCACAACCCGAAAACGTGACGCCTTAAAAGTTCAAACCATCTCTATCATCACCACCACCATTTCACACACACACACCCACAATGACCCCGCCACCACCGCTCTTCCACGCCCTGCTCCGGCCGGCCGTGCTCCAGATCCTGCGCGCGGCAGGCTACCACGGGGCGCGGACGTCGGTGATCGACTCGGTGACAGACCTAGCAGCGCGGTACTTCTTCCACCTGTGCCACTTCACAGCGCTGTACGCGACTCACAACAAGAACAATGACGACGAGGACGAGATCTTCCTCGACATCGACCATCCGGCTGCGCCGACCATTGTCGACGTGCGCATGGCGCTGCAGCGCGTCGGTGCCCTGCTGCCCGAGCGGCACTTCCAGTCGGCTGAGTACATAAGGCGGGCTCGGCGGCGGTTGGTTCAGAGGGGGAGGGATGGGGATGGTGAGGATGGGGATGGGGATGAGGAGGAGGGGGAAGAAGAGGAGGAGGAGGAGGAGGAGGATGAGGGGGAGGCGGAGGATATGAGAGGGGTAAATGCCTTCATTGCGTGGGCGATGGGACCGGTTAATCGTGAGATTAAGAGGATTGCGTTGGACGGGGATGATGAGGCGGGGGATTATCTGGACGGTGAGTTTTGTTGTTCCTTCACTTTCTTTCCGACTCTTTATGCAAAAGCGTCTGTTCGTTTGGGTTGAATGGTCAAAGGGGAAGGAAGGCTGGAGCAGATCAGATTTTGCTGACAGCGTATGACAGCCCTCAAAAAGAAGCACAGCAAGAACGACGACGACTCAAAATACCTGGGCACGCTGCTCGGCCGGAGCATAGAGCACGGCGACGTGCTGGTCGAAGGCGGGGACTGCCCGAGTATCTTCCTGTGGGAGGAGCGAAGGCGGGCGGCGGCGCAAAAGCCGCCCGAGCCGTTGCAGCAGCTCGATGTCAATGGTGATGGTGACGGGGACGAGTCAAGGCCGCCTAGTTCTGGCCTCAGCTCACTTGGCGATCGGAGTATTGCGGATGAGATGGAGTTATCATAGTACGGCTGGAGGACGTCTTTGACATTAGGAGGTAGAAGGCTCTCCAAATGGGTACTTCTGCTATGAGGAGACTCTAAGCGCCGGGTACGACAGGAAACTCACCGAAGCAGCTAGCATAGCGATGGCGTTACAGGACTGGAATTGGAGGGAAGAGGACCACTACTTGGGCGGGAGGGGACTACATTTGTCCATTCCGCCTATGGTCAGAGTATCACGAGCTTCGCAGCCATATCGGCAGCATATCATCATTGTATATAAGATCTATGCCACATCTAGCAATCCAAGGTGGCAATGATCTAGACCTCATCTCCAACCTTCGGATACACGATCCAAGTTGAAGGCAGCACTGATCAGGGCAAGGTGACTGAAGGCTTGAGGGGTATTTCCAAGCTGCTCGCCGCTGCGCGAGATCTCCTCGGAGAACATCATGAGGTGGTTTGAGAAGCTGAGCATATTCTCAAACAAGTTGACGGCGCGCACCAGGTACTTTGGTTCATAGAGCGACGCGCGTGTCATGGCTTCGACCAGCCAGAAGGTGCACATGCTGAAGGCGCCCTCGCGGCCGCCAACACCTGGAGCGTGGGCAGTGGTAGGTTAGGCATCCGAGGTTCGTCTCCTGAGGATACTTGGGTGGGGCAGCAGCTTACCGTCTTCTGACACCTCCGTGTCGTATCTGTACACCAACCCCGTGCTGGTTAGCCCGCCTTTCTCCGGGGGCAGCATGATGCGGTCCATGGTATTCAGGAACCGAGGGTCGTTTGGCGCGATGAAGAACACCAAGGGGGCGATCAGGATCGACGAGTCGAGCATGGTGTTGCTCTCGTAGCTCTGTATGAAGCACTTCATCTCCTTGTTGTACCCCTTCTCCATGATCTCCTCGTACAAGCTATCGCGTGCCTCGAGCCACTTGGCCCTGTTTGGGCAGGGGAAGTTGCGCTTGTCTGCGAGACGCAGGCCGCGGTCGAAAGCCACCCATAGCATGATCTTGGAGTACGTGAAATTCTGCTTGTTGTTGCGGACTTCCCAGATGGACATGTCGGGTTGGTGCATGATGGTGAGGACGTAGTCGAGCATTTCGCGCACCGAGCACCACAAGTCCCAGTGGATCGGCTTGCCGTATTTGTTGTAGAGATAGATTCCGTCCATGAGTTCGCCGTATATGTCGAATTGTTGGTGAAATGCAGCGCCGTTGCCTATCCGCACTGGTTTGCTGCCACGATAGCCATCCAAGTGCGTCAGCTCTTTCTCGGGGATATCAGTCTCCCCGCGGATGGTGAACATGATGGGTAGACCGCCGTCCGACACTCGCGATTTGAGAAAGCGTTCACTGATAAACTCCATGTATGCGTCGGCCTCCTCGGTGAAGCCTAGGCGTAGCAGAATGTAAATGGTGAAGCTAGAGTCACGCACCCACGAAAAGCGGTAGTCCCAGTTGCTTGGTCTAGGATTAGTACATCATTCTTGTCAGAATTGAGAGGGTTGCTAGAACGCCCGCTTACCGGACACCACCTATGTCTTCCGGGATGGAGAACGTCGGGGCGGCAATGATAGCCCCTGTTGGTTCATAGGTCATAAGTTTCAGGATCATGAGACTGCGCGAAACGACCTCGCGCCAACGGCCCTTGTATTTGCTTTTCGAGATCCAGTTGTACCAGTACGTCTGAGTGTCGTGTTGCTGCGTGTCGAGGACTGCGCTCGTGATGTTCTCGGTGTTGTGGTGCGGGACGTCATTTCGCAGGACGAAGGAGACGGCCTGGCCCTCCGAGACATCGATGCAGGCCACGACGCCCTCGCCCAGCATGCCCGGCCTCATGACCTTCTTGAAGCGGACTATGGGCCAACCATTGGATTCATCTTCACCGCGGTCAACGCTGACATCAAGTTGGAGTTGAACATTTTTGCTGTGGAACGTCACTGTCTTGCTTTGAGGACCGTGCGGTATGCCTTCTTCCTGGAGAATGGTAGTGACGTGAGGCTCGGTGGCATAGTCGAAGGCAGGAAAAATTTCAACATCTGGATCCCGTTAGATCTGGCATCATGGACCCCATTCTCATTCTCACTCCAACGTGGTCGTGCTTACCCAGCTGCAGACGACCCCGGATGCATTCTACCCGACGAACTAGCCATCTCTTCAGCTCCTCTTGGACACTAGTCATCTCGCGGTAGGCGCTTTGCTTGGGGCCCTTCCAGAGAACCTTGGCATGCTTCGGACGGGGGAAGAAGTCAACGAGGTCAACGACTCCATCTTCGTGGATGTATCGGGTCTGGAGGATGTTTGAAGAAGGGAGATACTGCTGCTTAGTGGTGCAGCTGAGGTGCGCAGCGGGGTGAATGCTGAAATGGCCTCCCTTATCCTTGTCCAACAGGCGGCAGAAGACCGACGGTGAGTCGAATTCGGGCCTGCGAGTGAGTTAGAACTCTGAACTGGGTTGAGGATACTCACTGGCAGTGAGGCCGTCAAATTCGACTTACCAGCACATAAAGTCAACACTCCCGTCCATGCCCACCAAGGCACAGGTTCTCATGTTGCCAATCAAGCCGTAATTCTCAATTGGGAGATAGCCGCCTCCATGCCTCCGCATCTGGCCATTGGTGCTCTGCGTCGAGCACTGAGCTGCCATGGTGGGAATATTACCGCCTCAGCCGGCTTGATCCTATCGTTCCGTAGAGGATGGGCGGATATGGCGCTTGAGATAACTCAAGCTTAAACGTTATAAGCAAGGCACAGGTTGCAATGTTCTGGACGGATGCGGTTTCGATACGATAGCTTAGGATAGCTAGGACGAGAAAACCAACGGTAAGACAATGACGCCAACAAAGGGACACAGGTCCAGATCCTGTAGACGATCAGGTACCCTGAGGTCGATCCTCCTTAACCACGATCTATAGGGCACCAATCTACACGTAGCTATCCCCTCTTTCTCAGAGTGGCGTTGGTGGGGTTAAAGTAAGGTAGCAGCTTGCTGCGGGTCACGAGCTCTAATCATCCAGCATTCCCAGGCTCAGCTATTCGCTCTCTTTGGGTCGATTTGAAGGGTCTTGCAGGTGCAGCGAGCGCGGAAGCCGTGGACTGAGTAAGCACCCAATCCTCCTCCGTTGCAATGCATGAAGCTCTTCCTGCTAGGGCTATGCAATAACGTTAGAGTATTGGACGCTCGCTGAATACTTATGGATACGTGTACAGTATATCTAGGTAAATAAGTCTGTCCCCAGACACGGCGGAACACAGCATCAACAGACCAGTACTGTGGTATCCAAGGTGACGTATCGACTTACTGAGACGGGAGTCTAGCGGACCATGACGTTGGGACGCCGGCGGGGGTTGTGCAACCATATGACTAAGCCTTGGAAGTTAGATGTGGATCGTTTTTGTTCTCTTCTCGTGTGGTCGGCGTATTCGGGGAACGGAAGGCAGTTGCAGTTCATGGATAAGGTACGTACGGTACGCTTTGCAAGCACCTGAGTGATCTGTTGCCCTAGTCTGTCTAGAATATTGAGTTGATTCTCTACCTCCGTACATTTCTTATGAAAGGATAGGATCTTTTGGAGACCGCCTGAGGTTTCCTGATGCTTGACGTTCAATGCGGGCTTTGCGACAAACGAGGCAGGTGCCAACAGGCGGCCCAGAGCCCAGAAGTCTTGGCAGACGAAAAAGCAGCAGTGATCTCTGAGCGAACCAGATGCGCCTCGCCGCCTCAAGTCAAGCCCCGTCAAGGATCCTCGCAGTTCTGGCGACCCCAAAAGCCAATCCCGTCGCGTCTCCCAACTCGTCAACTCCACCGCTCATCTTCCGCCCTGTTGACCTCCCTGGGATGCGAGCATTGGCCGGTTGGAGCTTGCCGAGGAGCGCCGGGGTCTGTGCAATTGGACGACGATGAGACTAAGGAGGGCTCCTGCACCCGGACCATGACGCCTTCTTTTCCTTCAATCGCCCCAATTCCTGACCCTCATCCATTCACTGCCGTGGGCGACGCTGTTGGCTCTTCACACTCTTCAGAACCCGTTTCGAATCCGTCGACGTCGGGACACGCGACAACAGTAACCAGCAGCCCTGGGGCCCCACTCGCCGCTAGCCCAACTACCGAACCACGGACGACTGTTGCTTTCCGATTCCCGGCAGCCGGTTCGGGCCCGGAAGCCATAGAGATGGACTCGGTGACGCCTTCGGGCCACCGCCGCCGGCGTAGCAGTCTCATCAATCCTCCCAACGCCACAAGCAGCCGTCAGAGATCGGCATCGATTCGGCGGCCTGCGAGCGGCGAGACAAAGATAGTTGAGGAGAGTAGCGATGACGGGTCTCAACAACCTGACGAGCTGGATGAGGACGGGTTGTCAGACGAAGACCTTCACGATGATGAGGAGACTGGTTTGACGGGGAAGGACCGGCGAAGAAAGAGGCGCAAGAGGAACCGAAATCAGCTGCTGGACCAGAGGATAGTCAGGGACAAGATCTCCCCAGAGGAGAAGAAGGAGGCCGACCGCAGTGTTGTCAGAAATCTAATGATTGACGCTGCTCTGATCGGGCTCTGGTACTTCTTTTCGTTATTAATCTCTTTGGTATGGATCATTTTCCAGTCCCCTGAACTCCGGACAGACCGCTGACTGATCCCGCCAGTACAACAAATGGATGTTTTCTCCCGACAAACTCAACTTCCCCTTTCCTTTGTTCACGACTGCTGTGCACATGCTTGTACAATTCTCTTTGGCGTCACTAGTGCTGTTCCTCGTTCCGTCATTCCGGCCGAAGAATGCCCACAGATCAGATATGGGTCAGTCAAGGCATGAAACCGAGCCGGAGAGGCCAATCATGACCAAGATGTTCTATCTCACCAGAATCGGGCCTTGTGGCGTGGCAACGGGCCTCGACATCGGTTTGGGCAACGCATCCCTCCAGTTCATCACCCTTACCTTCTACAGTAAGTCAGACGGCCAACAAACGAGCTCTTTTCTGGAGCCGCCATCTAACATAGCTTTTCAGCAATGTGTAAATCCTCCTCCCTCGCCTTCGTTCTCCTTTTCGCCTTCCTCTTCCGTCTGGAAACGCCCACTTGGAAACTGGTAGGCATCATCGCCACCATGACCCTCGGCGTTGTCATGATGGTAGCAGGCGAGGTCGAGTTCAAACTAGGCGGTTTCGTGCTGGTCATCTCAGCCGCCTTCTTCTCGGGTTTCCGCTGGGGGCTCACGCAAATCCTGCTCCTCCGCAACCCGGCCACGTCGAATCCCTTCTCCAGCATCTTCTTCCTCGCCCCGGTCATGTTCGTCACGCTGCTGGCCATCGCCATACCCGTTGAGGGCGGGGCTGCGCTCTTTGCCGCACTGGCCGGCATCGCCGAGCAGCACGGCGTCCTCGCCGCCCCGCTCGTCATACTCTTCCCCGGCGTCATCGCCTTCCTGATGACGGCGTCCGAGTTCGCCCTGCTCAAGCGCACCTCGGTCGTAACCCTGTCCATTGCCGGCATCTTCAAGGAGGCCGTCACCATCTCGGCCGCCGCCCTCGTCTTTGGCGACAAGATGACCCCGGTCAACATCATCGGCCTCGTCGTCACCCTCGCCGCCATCGCCGCCTACAACTGGATCAAGATTTCAAAGATGCGCGCCGAGGCCCAGACCGCCGTGCACATGGGCCACATGCAGGCGGAGGCCGTGGATGCGGAAGGGACCTCTGGGAGCAGCGAGAGCGAGAGGGAACGGGATGAAGACGAGGTGCGTTTGCTGAGGCGGAGTGTGGATGCTGGGGTAGACGAGGTGCTGTTTACAGCCGATGGTGGGGACGTGGTCGCTGGGCCCGGTCACGAAACGGTGCCGGGTAGGGCCGAGGCGCAAGTTTTGAACCATGGGAGGATTGACTGAGAGGAGGGCAGTCGTTTGCATGTTAAGCTTACAAGTGGCATATATACTGTGATACCCACACTAACCTACCTATATACTGTATTGTACACTCGCCCTCTGGTTTGCAAATGGACGCATCCAAGGAAGATAAGGGGGGGAAGGAGACTGGAAGGTAACTGCTTGGCTGCATTTAGGGACGTTACGGGAGCACAGGCATCGCATTACGGACATATCTGATTTGGTTCATTTGTCATTTATCGCACAAAATTCATCGGCCAGTCCAATAAACGTGGATGGAAGGGATAGCCTTCCCCTCAATGCTAACGCCATGTACCCGCCGAATCTCATTAACCTTTTCCCAGAAAGCTGCCCGGAATGTGATAGGTATTATGCGAGGCGGATAGCAGCTTGTGGTCCGTCTCAAACTCAGAATCATGATAGCTTTAGCGCCTGGAAGGCTGACCGCCTCGCGGAAGGCGGTAAATGTTTGGCGAGTGGAACAGCTCTCATCAACCAAGCAGTTTTAGCCCGCCCTTGGTCTTCTGGCCGGGCTTAACGATGCCGCCTCCCGCCACGGGGCCAAGATGCGGATCATAGGCAACACCGCCATCCTGACCCGCACCCATCCCGCTGCCACTCTTGTTCCCCCCGCCGCCCTTCTTATTATTCTTCCCCTTGTTCCGATCCTCCTTGACCACCTGCGGTTTGATCTCGGTCTTTGCCTTGCGCACCACGACGGGGTGGCTCTGGATGTACTTGCCGTTCATCTCCTTGGCGGCCTGGAAAAAGTCCTCCGGGTCGCTGAAACTGACAAAGCCAAACCCTTTGCTCTTGGTCGTGCGCTTGTCGCGTATCACTTTTGCCTTCTGCACGCTCTTCCACCGGGAAAAGGCCTTGAGCAGCGAGTCGTCGGTCGTCTCGCCGGCCAGGTTGCCGACAAAGAGCCGCAGGTGGCTCGGGTCCCATTCCAGCAGCGTGTCGTCTTGCCACTTTTTGCCGCCGCCTTCGCGGTAGACCGTCTTCTTCTTCTCGTTCGACTGGCCGTTTGCCCCGGCATCGGCCGTCTCTGCCGGGCCAGCCTGCGCGCCGGGTGCTGGGGTGCCGGTGCCGGTGTTGGTGCCGGAGCGACTGCCTGTGTTCGCGGCTGGTTTCGTGGAGGGCTCGTTAGGGTCTTTCGGCATGTAGGCGCTTTGCCATTGTGCGATCTGAGCGGCCATCTCGGGGTCAAAGTCGTTGCCCGTGCTGGCGGGAGCTGGAGCCGGGAACGGATTTTGGATCTGGGGCGGAGTCGGGTAGCTCGGAGTCGCGGCGGCGCCGTAGTAGGGTGGTTGCTGTGGATATGTCTGTTGTGGATAGTTGTATGTGCTGGCCTGGCCATAGCCTCCGCGGCCGGCGCCTATGGCGGCAGTAGCCGGCGGGTTGCCCGCGTAGGGCGAAGCGGAATTGGGTGCGCCATAGCCCGATGACGGCGGCGCTATGGTTGCGGGTGCACCGTACCCAGGGTATGACGGCGCAGTCGCTGTGTAGCCGGGAGCCGAGACGGCGGGCGGGGCGGGCGAGAAGGCGGGCTTGAACCCCGGAAGTTTTGTCGTCGGCGGACGTGGAGGGAGCGAAGGGTGCGATGCCGGCTTCGAAACACCTGGAGGACCCGGGTACGACATGATGAACTTCTTGCTTCTTGCGCCGAAACCAAAACCAGATGGATGCGAAAGGACGCGCTGTAAATTGTTCACGTACCTGTGAGCCCAGTCCGGCGAGGCTATGCTCCTGGGGCAACCTTTCAACCGAGGTGCTGGCTCACGGAACACGTGCAAAGGTGCACTGCACAATGTTGTGTGATGCGGCGTGCTTGTGTTGGGATTCTACGAATTACGAAAGTCGGTTGGGTTTGGTGAGAATCCACGGTGCAGCTGGCCAGAGGCAGTGATACTTGGCCATCTGTGGCTGGTTTAGTGTGGCGTAGCTATGTGTGGCGTAGACCGTGGCATTGAGGCCGGGACATGGATAAGCCACTGCAATCTTGCATGCTTGCAATTTTCCACATGTGGCTGAACTTCACCAAGCGAATGGAGGGGCAATGGAACCCCTCATTCTCATGGAACCCCTCATGCTTCTGCGTTGCTTGGCTCCATGCCGCGTTCCGGTCTTGCGAGGCCACCACATACCTACAGCTAAGGATTCAGGTAGTAACGGAAATCGATCGGAAGCAGAAAATATCAGTTATCGGCCTTACAGTCTATGAATTAGTCTCGTTACTGGCTAACAACAAAGAGGCTGAAGTCATTAGTCTCAGATCCAGCGGCTTGACTGAGGGAATTTGGAGTCAGCCAATAGTTTCGGCCTTTCACACTTCCACCTTTGTGTCTTCCCGTTCGCTGCGGTGGGTCTCTGGACTCCGTTTGACGTCTCGGCCAGTGGGGGGCACAGGGCTCGGGACTTCCACACTCATGGCACACATCGGACGCGACTGGTGCGGTTCGCTCTACAACAGCTAATTCCGGTGTATCCGCGGAGACTATGAGAGGTGGGAGAACCGAATCTGTGAAGATGAGTAACCGGAGAAGCAAAACTACATAGAACGTTTCTGGCCAGCAGCCAGATGTTTGCCCGGATCGGTCCATAACAGCCAAGTCCGCTAGAGAGGATCAATAATCTTTGACTGCTCAGATCTCGGATGAGATGGCGGGGTAGCATCCAGAGCCGGAAATCTTCAGGGCATCGTGGTTGCAATCGACTGCTCGCCAGTGCCTGTGCCGTGCTTCCTTGAGCGGCGCTGGCAGTACAGAAGCCGTTGGCTTAAATCCGAGACAGTTATTGTCGGACCTAGAACGAAAAAGAGGTTCTGTCAGTTGTAACCCGCTGTGCTTGTCCGTGTCAGGAGACGGGATATCTGGTTCATAACAACCCGGGCCGCTCAGCACGGATGCACCTGGAATCCCAAACTTCCGGAAGCCCAAAGCTGTCGATTCACAAACGGCGAGATTGCTGGATACCTGTGCCGTCATTGATGACCTCGGAAACCGGCAGCGTTCCCTTGGTTGGCAGGGAGCTGGGCTCCCAAGAGTTTCAACAAGTAGCTCCAAACAATTGAGGAGCCTGGGAACTGTAGTTCGGGAGAGTAATGGCCTCCATGTAAACGGTGAGAACCTTGAACCTCGATGACGATTTGGGACGGAACAGAGGGACATGCTGCTCGCTTGGTGAGCTGTTTCAAAGTGGGCAGGAACTAGTAGAGCTCACTGAGTAAGCCCCGCGGTAATTACCCGCCCTGTGCCCATCATTGACCCCTCCGACATCGAAGGCCTGGTCTGTCTTAAAAGTTTCGTCATTCACGCCGCTTGCCTTTCCACCTCTCCTCTCTTCTTTTCCCCACGCGAATCCCCCGCAGATAGCCCATTTTCGCATCGTCAGCTTCTCCTTCTCTTCAGCTGAGCGTTCACCTCCAAGGCAGCTCGCATCTACACTTCTCCAGCTCCATTTCCATCCAGGCATCATTTCCAGTCATTCACAATGTCTGGCGCAGTGTAAGTCCATTTACCCCGCCTTCCCGCTCTGCCCCTCCATGCTTTGGAAGTGGGCTTCCCGACCGGATTGCCCGCCACGCGTTCGCTGCTGGAAGCTCCTCTCCAAGTCGGTAGAAGCAATAATAAGATCCTATTCCGCGATGTTTTCGAGACGCGGGAGTCCAGATGTCTCGAAACCATGTTGCTGTTTTTGACTTGTATTCCACCTACTGAGTCCCCTCCAGCGCCCGCCTGGCGAGCATCAACCTTGGCGGAGCTGTGAAAGCTGGCTCCCCCTTGCAGAGTAATGCTGACAATGGCAAAAGCGCGGATCTCGGCCTCATTGGTCTGGCCGTCATGTAAGTGACAATTCCGAAGACTCCCGGCACCCCGATGCCTTCCCCCGCAAGAAGCTGACCCTTCACAGGGGTCAGAACCTGATCCTGAACATGGCCGACCATGGCTTCACCGTCTGCGCCTTCAACCGCACCGTTTCCAAGGTCGACGCCTTTCTCGCTAACGAGGCCAAAGGCAAGTCTATCGTCGGGGCGCACTCAACTGAGGAGTTCGTCTCCAAGCTGAAGAAGCCCCGCCGGGTCATGCTCCTTGTCCAGGCGGGCAAGCCCGTTGACGACTGGATTGAGACCCTGCTGCCCTTGCTCGAACGTGGGGACATCATCATCGACGGCGGCAACTCGCATTTCCCCGACTCCAACCGGAGAACAAAGTACCTTGCTTCCAAGGGTATCCGCTTCGTTGGTTCCGGCGTCTCGGGCGGTGAGGAGGGTGCTCGCTATGGCCCCTCCCTCATGCCTGGTGGCCACGAGGAGGCCTGGCCCTTCATCAAGGACATCTTCCAAAGTATCGCCGCCAAGAGCGAGGGCGAGGCCTGCTGCGAGTGGGTTGGTGATGAAGGTGCTGGTCACTACGTCAAGATGGTGCACAACGGCATCGAATACGGCGACATGCAGCTCATCTGCGAGGTACGTAGACTTGGTGTAGCTTGGAATGTGAGCGTGGAGGCAGTGGGAAGCATGATACTAACTGGACGCGTCGCAGGCCTACGACATCATGAAGCGTGGCTTGGGCATGAGCAACAAGGCGATTGGCGATGTCTTCACCAAGTGGAACACAGGCGTCCTCGATTCCTTCCTGATTGAAATCACAAGGGATATCATGTACTTCAATGACGATGACGGCACTCCTCTTGTCGAGAAGATCCTGGACAAGGCCGGGCAGAAGGGCACCGGCAAGTGGACGGCAGTGAATGCCCTGGACTTGGGCATGCCCGTCACGCTGATTGCCGAAGCTGTGCTCGCCCGTTGTCTGTCCGGCATCAAGGATGAGCGTACAAAGGCCTCAACCAAGCTCGAATTTGTCAGCCGTGCCAAGACCTTCGAGGGCAACAAGGAGCAATTCCTGGAGGACCTCGAGCAGGCCCTCTACGCATCCAAGATCATCTCGTATGCGCAGGGCTTCATGCTCATGCAGGAGGTATGTTGAATCCCTAGTCATGCGAATCACGAGTCGGAAGCCCTAACGGGAAAAAAAAAAATAGGCGGCCAAGGAGTACAAGTGGAAGCTCAACAAGCCCTCAATCGCCCTCATGTGGCGCGGTGGGTGCATCATCCGCTCTGTGTTCCTCAAGGACATTACGGCGGCCTACCGCAACAACCCCGACCTGGAGAACCTGCTCTTTGACGATTTCTTCAACAAGGCCATCCACAAGGCGCAGCCCGGCTGGAGAGACGTGGTCGCCAAGGCTGCCCTGCTTGGTATCCCGACTCCTGCGTTTTCCACGGCTCTGTCGTGGTTCGATGGTTACCGGACAAAGGACCTGCCCGCCAACCTCCTGCAGGCTCAGCGTGACTATTTCGGTGCGCACACCTTCAGGATCAAGCCTGAGGCGGCGAGTGCCAACTACCCCGTGGACAAGGATATCCACGTAAACTGGACCGGACGCGGCGGCAACGTTTCGGCCTCAACATACCAGGCCTAAGAAAAGTTGGTCATTTTGGTGCTGGCAAGTCGACAGATAGCTCCAGGTAGACACAAGATAGAGATCGTTTTCAAGTAATAATGCCTTGCTCAAGAGGACAACTGTAAACAATAAAAAAGCAAGAATACCCAAGGAGAACCCTTCATGGGGTTTGGCTCCTGAGTTTGCAGCTCGGTTAGCAATGTTGTACAGCATTTGAATATCGAAGTCACGTGCCGGCTGCCCCACCGTGCCACCCCTGCGGCCACCAGTGCCCGGCAGTGTCAGCCAGGTCCTGACCCACTGAAACATTCACGGCGACGTGCTCCTTGTTCGCGAAAAGCGCGACTCGTACAGGGAGCTTGCGAGAGCTAACGCTCAATAAAAGCCCAGCTCGCAACATTAACTCGATTCTCATTGCATCGCCGGTCACACCACAACACTGCCCGATTAATAATAGTGTTCGATTGCGCATTCGAATGATCCCATCTACGTCGACATCGACATCGAGTTAGTGATCGGCGACCTCGACACAAATGGCTGTCGACCCAAGCCAGAACGTGAACGGGGACTTGGTAAGTCGATTTTCTGTCGCAATGAGATACCGCATCACCGGCGCAAAAAGTGCTGACTCGATGAAAACAGCTCCCTCATGTCCACCTGCTATCAACGTTCAGATATGCGTCCATGCCGAGAGTCGACTTGGGGGAGGTAACAAAATGGTTAATGCAGGCGCCCAAGATTGCGCGCGACACAGCCCCTTTCTACTGGACCTACCTCGATTGCCCGAGCGACGGCTCCATTTTCCTAACGTGGCAACCGACCGCCCGCCGCGGTGTCGATTTCGCCAGTGATGGATATGTGTGGGCCGGCCCGGAGGTCACATTCCAACGCGACGCCGGCAATGGTTTGGTGCGACACCCTCTAGAGCCTCGGCGTGCTCCTTGACATGAGTAACTGGGACTGACCATCGAGGATAGGTACTTGAGATATATTTTCAGCGGACCGGCTATCGCATCGGCGAGCAGTTTTCCATGCACTCCAGGAGACGCTTCCGCCTCTGCCCGCCACAAGCACCTGTTCCGAACCTTCCACAGGTCGACCCAAACCTCTGGATCGTCCACTATGGACCGGCGGAGAAGACGGACAGACTCCCTGCCAACGCGATTGGCATTCCACCCCAAATGCAGCAGGTGCTGAGCTTCCGCCAACATCTGTTCCAGATGGGCCAGATCGTCCGCAAGGAGTTCATGTTGTCCGACCGTGTCAATTGGCCCCAGATTCCGTTTCCTCAGCGTGGCCAGTCCATGTATGCGCCGGCCATGCCGCCGCGTCACGTCCCTCAGGCCATGGCGTATCCTCCTCACCCTGGCCCGGCCGTTGGCCCAACACCTAAGAGGCGAGGCGGGCACGGTCCGGCGGGCCAGCCTCAGATGATGGGCGCTGGCTATCAGAACGTTGAGGGTGCTTTCGACGATGAGGAGGACATTTCTCGTGGTGATATGTTTGACCATCTCAGCCCAAGAGAAATTAGCATGGCACGGTATCAACAAAACCACGAGTGGATGGAGGAGATTTTGTCTTCACCGTACCGCATCGGCCAGATCGAGGCTGCGGATCTTGGCTTGGGGCGGAAAGGCGAGCTTGCCTCCCTCACAGAGGGAATCTTCGAAGCCCAAGGAAGTGATGCCCTAACCACAGGGCCTAAGAAGCCATATACGGGCCAACTTGATCCGGGGCTGGCCGAAGAGTTCCGGAAACGAGTCCGGGAGAGAAACGAAGCTGTCAAGGCGGAGATTGAGCAAATGAAAGCGCAACACTCGAAGATGTTGGCAAAGTTCAAAGGCAACGCGGTTATTAGAGATGCGGAGCAAGCGCTATGCGCCGCATCCCAAGACACGGTCGCCGAGTTCTGGCGACTTGAAGGCAAGTTTGAGGATGGTGAGGAAGCCGTAAATGGGAAGGCACACAAATCTCTGGAGGAAATCCTAGCAAGCGTTGAGGAGGTAGTGGGCAAGCGAGCGGTCGTCGTACACGACGTCCATCGGATTCAAGACGGTGGCTATCAGGAACCGGCACCCGAACCAGAAATCGTACAACCACCGCCTCAACTGCCCGGCGACCCGGCCGGTACAGGTCTTCCGGCGTCCATGTCTCGAGGGCCCTCCCACGCAGGATCACACGCCAGCGGAGTGATGATCGGCGACTCTGATATTGATATGGGGGGAACAGCAGCTGGCCTCCTCGATCAAATGCACACCGGCTTCTCGTCGACATCCACCCCCATTAACAACTTCCCCACCCCTCAGCCTCATCTATCCGCCATTCCTTCCAGCGTGGCAACTCCCGCGAATCTTAATGTCCCATCTCCACACCCTGCACACGCGCCCACATCGCAACCGTCCGCCCTAGCGCAAGGCGATGTCCGCATGGACAATAGCGCCTTGTCAAAAGACACCACAACCACCGCTCCGGACCAAGGTACCGGCAGCGGCGATTGGGTAGTTGTTCCCAAGGACGACTTACCCCCTCATCCCAACCAGAATCCCTCTTCTGCAATGCAATCCGCCGGGGCTGCTATTGCCCCGGCGCAACAACAGCAACCTGCTTTAAGCAAGCCGGTCTCCGCAGCAGCTACACCGCTCAATTTCGACGCAGACAATAACGATTTCAGCTCGCTTGGCGACCTGGACACGGCCGGCGACGCCCTGGCCAGCTACGACCCGCCCAGCGGCGACGATGACGACCTAAACATGGACATGGTCGAGGACTCGGCATTCGGGGACGCCTTCCACGGCGTCGAGCACGCACAGGAGGGAAGTACCCCTGCCGACGGTGGGCTGTAGGACGCTCAATGGCAGGGGGATGAGTTGCGAGCGAAGTTATCTGGAGCGCGGAAAAAATGCCTGTTTGGTTGCTTCTTTTAACCTTTCCTCTCTGAGAACAAGCAGTAAGGTTTGCTGGTTGTGGCCGCTGCTGGATTTTGCTCTGTTAAACAGGGGTTCAGGTGGGTAGGGAAACCTAACGGAAGGCAGGACTGGGCGCAATGAATGGGAAAGATCCATGCTGTGTGTATTCCATGTATTCTATCATGAGGCAGTTCTTATCGATTTTCATGGCATGTGGGAACTGAACTGTGAGAGGAAACTATCCCTGCTGAAAGGAGGTGGTTTCGTGGTAATCCCTATGCATGGGTTCTTGCGTTCACCGGCCGATATGGGACACTGTAGTTGTCTTATGCTTCTGAGACCTGAGAACCAGGCTGAGCAGCCGGAGTGCACGACTTTTGCAAACGTGTTTCGACACAATGCCAATGCTTGCCTGTAGGGTGATGCATTGGGCGCTACCAGTATATCTCGGCTCGTCTCTCTCGAGCCCCCGGATAACTGCGTGTTCAGCTCGGCCAGCGTCCACGGTTGCAGTCTTGTCGGGTATCATGGCCAGCCTCCGTGCCTTGACAAGCTCACTAGGCGGATTTCATTCAGAACTGCCTCTATGACACACATATGCCCTTCCGTGCAGTCATTTTCCCAGCCGGCCGACCCGATTGTGAAGAGCTCAAGTCCCCCAAAGCAAAACCACGCCAGAAATGCCCAATGGAAAAAGCCCCGCCGACCGATTAAAACTTGCTGAACTTCTTGACCGACTTGCCGGTCCGAGGAAGCACACGGAGAACGTTGAACCGGACCTGTTTTGTTGCCGAGTGTCAGCTGTTTTGCGGCCTACACGCCCTTCCCTGGGCAGACAGAAAAACTTCGCAGAAAATGGTATTTTGCAACGCACCGTCTTGCTCAGAGGCCGGCACTGGCCCACGGTAACCTGGTCACCCTCCTCAACACGGAACGCCGGGGAAACGTGCGCGGCGAGGTTCTTGTGGCGCTTCTCGTACCGGGAGTACTTGGGGATGTAGTGGAGGTACTCGCGGCGGATGATGATGGTGCGGTGCATCTTGGTCGAGACGACGGTGCCCGTCAGGATACGGCCGCGGATCGAAACCATGCCGGTGAAGGGGCACTTCTTGTCTGCAAAGATGGAAACCCAGTCAACAACCATTCTCCTGTTCAAAATCGCCGGCCTTCGCCTAGTGCCATCCTTTCGTCTTCGGGGGAGTGTTCCTTTCGCGATTCGTGTTCGGACAAGGTCGGTTGCAACGTACCAATGTATTGACCCTCAATAGCAGTGGCAGGCGTCCGGAAGCCCAAACCAACGTCCTTGTACCATCTCCGGCCACCCTTGCCCGGCCGGGTGGACTTGACCTTGGTCTTGCTGTTGAGGAAGACTGTGGGATTGTGCCGTGGTCAGCTCGCGCCTCGTCGCCAATTCGCGACCGCCCGAAGTTGCAGCAGTTGCAGGCATTATTCGAGAGTTCAAACTCACTATGCGGCTGCTTCTGGAAAGCACGCTCGCTCTGGACGGTAAGTTCGGTGGCCATCTTGACGGTTCTGGCGTGGGCCCGAGATGTGCTGTGGTCGAGGGTCGGGAGTGATGTCGAAAAGTCCAAATTCACAAGCCTCGGGAATTTTGGTAGTTTGGGGATGGATTTTTGGTGGCTCCAGTGCGAAAAGTGTGCATGTGCCACACCTTGGCCGTTCACAGCACCAAATGATGGGTCGGTGGGGTGGGCACTAGCCACACTGATGCCAAGTGGGGCAAATTGCAGCGGGTTTATTTACATCAGCCGAGTTTGGACCAATTGAACTCTCCGATGGAAGTAAACAGCTGCAGTGCCCCTCCTACTTGGTTCCTGCAAGGTGACCCGGAAACGTTCTGGCGCGGCTGTCAAGGTTCCCCATCGCGTCCCCAATTCGGCGCGCAGAAGATACGACAATTTCAAGTAATCTTCCGTTATCTTTAGCAACACATCTAGCGCGTGCGAGTACGTCAGTTGTTCGACCATGGCGTCGCAAGGCGATGCGACGCTTCCCGCGACGCGCCGCGCGCGCAAATCCATAGGAGGAACCGTCCCGACAAGGAAGAATGGCGAAAGGGAGAATGTGACGGCCGACATGAGCAGCGCTACTGCCGCCTCTCGCAAGAAGTCGAGAAGCAAGAGCATGGGTCCTGGCGGTCTAGATGGCCTTAAGATGGGTAATGGTAACCGCAGAGCTGTGTGTCTTCACCTCGTACACCATACACCATATTGCTGTCAAATGGCCCCTAACATGACCGCTCTTAGTCCCTTGCCGTTTATTCGGGGCCACCCCCGCGGTCAATCCTCAAACCTACCATACCCCTCATTCCCGAGATTCCGTCTTTCAGGCCGAAACCGACATCAGGGAACGGCACGACGGATAATGATGGTGCAGGGACTAAGATTGCCCTTCGGACGGAGGAGGAACAGCAGGCCGCCGCACGGGAGCGGGAAGAGCGCGAGCGCGCCGAGTTGGAGAAGGAGATCAATGATCGAAGAGAGGCGCGGAGGAAATCGCTAGCGAACCGGCGCGTGTCCTTTGCTGCCGAGGCGACTCTACACACCTTCCACGAGATCGAATTTAATCAAGATTCGACTACTTCGACTGATTCATCACACCGCGCGTCCTCTCATGCGGCACAATCTCCTAGCGCTTCAACTCACGAACACCCCAGCTCAGACCCGCCCTCCACACCCCTTGACCACGATCACCAATATGCAGCCGAGTCCCCGGCCAAGCAAAGGGAATCACATCAGCGTAGGCGTCGACGAAGTTCCGCAGTGTCATCAGTCTATTCGGAAGAGGATACCATTGCTTCTACCGTATACGATTCGGACTTTGAGAATGCCGACGGCGTTGCCGAGATTCAGGGCGAGGAGATGACAGGCTCCAGCGACGACGATGACGGCACCATGGTGACTGTCGACGCCGAGGAGGTAACAATGGCATCGGTGACATCAGGCCAATCCGGTCTCAGCGCTGATTCTACCGGAAGCTTGGACGAGAATCTCCGGCTGGCGGCCCGGAGAGCTGCGACTCAACATGTAAACGACGATGAAGAGGAGGTTATTGCAGGCTTTGCGGGTTGGGGGAGAAAGAATCACTCACAAGAAAGCATCGCCCAAAACATGGCCAAAGAGCAAAATGTGCGGAATGGCAGTCCTGATGCTGAAGACCAAGCCGACATGGAAATGGACATGGATGCCGATATGGAGATGACCAGCGCGGTTGGTGGAATTATACGGCCCCAGGTCGGATCACCGACGAGGGACGCAGACGAGGATGAGGATATGTCCATGGAGGTAACCAAGGCCTTGGGAGGAATCCTTTCAAAGCCGGCCCCTGGAGCACGCCGCAAGTCTGCTAGGCTTAGCTCCCAACAAAAGCCGGACAACTTTGGCGAGCAGACCATGGAATTCACAACAGCCGTCGGGGGAATCCGTCAGGGGGCGCTACTAGAAGAAAGCGAAGGCGAGATTGATCCTAACGAAGACATGTCCATGGAATTCACTGCAGTCATGGGATCCCTCCTGTCGCGTGGCTTCGCTAAGAGTGGCGCACAAAACGGCCGTCGAAGGACAATTGCTGAGGATAATGAGGAGGGCGCTGAGGGTACGATGATGGACATGACTGTGAACGTTGGGCGAATTTTACCGGCAGAAGCCGAAAAGGACGGCGACGGCGACCAAACCATGGAGATGGATATTACGAGGGCAGTTGGCGGCATCATACGATCTGTGTCTGCATCCGAGGCGCGGACAGCAGCTAGGAAAGCAATGGAGCAGGAAGCCGACGAGCCAGCACCTTCGGTTACAGCGACTGCTGAACTCGACATATCCCCGAAACTGCTAGCCCCTTCAACTGCAGATGAGAACAATAGCTCTGGTCCTTCTCCATTCCGAGGCAAAGGGCTCCGTCGTAGCCCACCTCGCGCAGTGTTCCCGGAGCCGAGGTCTCCCATACCGCCCAGTAGTTCCCCATTTATGGGGTCACCATCTCCCAAAAGAAACGCACCACCAGCTTCTAGGAGTCCCGCGAGGACGCCGCCGCTGACTAGGAGCCAGTCCAGCTCGCCCATGCGCACAGCATCCTCGCCGGCCAAGACTACGCCACGGTCACCGTTGAAGCAAGGGCTTTTCCAGCAGGATCCCAGTACTGGACTTAGCACCCCCAGAATCATCTTAACCCCTCAGGGCCGTCGGCTATCCGGGGTGGGCGCTGACCGCCCCGGTTTGGGCTCACCCCGAGTCGCCGAAATCTTTGACCGGAGAGAGTCGATCGGAGAAGCAGCGACGGACTTTGTGCCGAGCCAGCCTGTCAATCCTCGCAGGACTGTAGCTTTCACAGACCCGCGGGTCATGGAGGCGGAGATTGACAGAGAATATCAAGATGAGCAATACCAGGAGGATAGTCGAAGAAGTCCGGGCCGAGAGGGCAATGGATTCCGAGATGAGAACGAGACTGCCCTTAATCTGAGGGAGATGATACAAAGCCTCAGTCCCAAGAAGAATCCACTCAAAGGACGAAAGAGCCTCCACATTGGCAGCGCAAGGGGCCTTCTCGGGAAGCGGCCTGCTGAGCTGGACGAAGACGACGAAGGAGAGGAAACGGACGGCATTAAACGACTTAGGGGGCATCAAGGCAGTCCGGTCAAGAACATCAGGCTACAGTCGCCCCCGTCCAAGGCTGAGACGACGACTGGCAGGAAAACCCGACCCAGTATCATGCCCGCAGACGCTGCGCATTCTGACAATATCACACCGACTGGTGCCCGCTCTCCCCAAAGAACCACAACACCTAGGGGTCAAGGCCGGTTCAGGGATGGCTACGACGAGCCAACAAACACGGTTGACCTGGACCACACTGCCCACATACAGGAGGTTGAGATGCAAGACGACGACGGAGAACGCATTCACCTGCAAGATTTCCTCAACATGACCAGCATCCGCTTCATGGAATTGACAACGACTAAGCGGCGACACACGGTTGCCCCAGGCGCTTCAAGAGATAGTACCTCTGCTGGTGGGAAGGATGATATGTCCCTTGAGCGATGCGTCGTTGCTGGTGCGTGTACGGTGCCGATGCTAGAGCTGTATCAACACGTAAGTGAAGACCTATTCCGTGACTGCAAGATGCGGCTAACCCGGCGTAGTCCTGTCGCGAGTTGAAGAAGTACATCTCAGAAGGCCGACGCATCGTCCGAGAGATTGAGACGGAGACGTTTGAGGAGAACCCGCCTCTCTTCCGCGAGTACATGACTGCATCGCCAGAGTTCAAGGTCCTGATGGATAACCAGTTCAAGAACGTCAAAACGCATGCCAGACTACTCAGCAAGGCCATGTGGTACGAGTGGCGTATGAAGCTGCAAGAAGGGCTCAAGGAGGGTCTCATGAAGATAGCCGAGGGCATGGACAATGACGACAGATTGCTCAAAAAACAGCAGGAACTCTTGTCGTCCGTCTTGCCCGACATGATCAAACGGTTCGAGGCACTCCAGGCTGAGCACGAAAATCTCGAGGCCGTCGCGCGTGATCTTGCAGACTGCGATCCCAAGGACCTCGAGGATGCCAGGGCAGAGCTCGCCGCCGTGGACAAGAGCATCGCGGAAAAGACCAGGAAGATTGAGGAGCTTCGCCGGCAACTCGACGAGTCGACGCAGAGCATCGAGTCATCCACTCAGCAGAAACAGCAGTACCTGGAGGAGATCCGAGAAGCGGACAGGATCAGGGAAGAGTGCCGCGGGTGGTCCTCTGCAGAGATTAGCAAGCTCAAAGGTAAGTCAGGCACGCAGGCATCAGCTTTGTCATAGTCGACTAACAGATTCTCGTACAACACACAGACCAAACAGACGCCCTCGAAACAAAATACGGATGGGCCATCACAGCCATCAAAGACACGGCCATCGCCATGCGGTACAAGCGCGAGCTCGAGCTGGTCCTGGACGTGCAGAACAACGCGGTGCTCAACCTCCGGTATATACCCCCTCCCAACAACAACACCAACAACAACAGCATTTCGCGCGGCTGCAGCTGCCCGCTGGAAAAGGCCTTTTTCCTCGACTGCATCCGCGCCCACATCACCACGTCATCTTCTGTCGCCCGGCATAAGCCTAGCCATCTCCTGCGCCTTGTCGCTGAGGCGTGGGACGAGGCGGGCGCCGTGGCGAGGCATGTGCGGCTGTTGAACCTGTCGTTCCCGACGACGGTGCGGCGGGACTCGGCGGATTCATGTTCCAGGCTGCGCGTGACGGCGTCGCTGCTGCTGGCGCCGCTGCGGACTAGGGTTGAGGCCGGGTTGAGTTTGGAGGTTGGCTTTGGCGGTGATAGGAGTAGTAAAGGTGGGGTGGTGGTGACGGTTGTGCCTGAGGCGAAGGTTGTGTATGGCGAGCCGTTTGATGCTGGGAAGATGAGGGAGTTTCTGGTTGGGAGGGTGATTGGGGCTGGGGCTGGGGCTGGGGCTGGCAACGGGGATGGGCATGGGAATTCTTCGAGGAAGGTGTCAGTGGTCGGGGGTTGGGATGAGGCGTTTATGGGGCTGTATCGGAAGCTTTTGGCCAAGGGGGGGAAATCGTGAATGTGCCTAATCATGACTTGACGGGCGGTAATGATGGAATGAAGTTTTTATGGTATTTTTGGTTCGGTCTGCCTTGGTCTGGCGTGTGGGGGCATGGGATATGTAAATGGATGGTCTTGTGGTAGACGGGCTGGAGCGAAGTTCAACTACTGTACATCACTATCACTTGACTGCCTCGATGGTTCATGGCAGAATGCGATACCACCATGAAGAACGCATGGATTTACTGTACCGGATCTTCGTCGCGCAGAGTCCGCCACTATCAAGATATTACATAGTTGGACGAAATCGAGGGACACGACAGAACCGACGGATACACAGAATTTGTGTGGGAAAAGTATACAACAGCCCGCACCTCAACAACCACTGTACTTATTAGAAAATTAAAATCATCGTTCGATTCGTCTTGAAGAGGCGAGTCAAATGATATCTGTTGTAGTAGGTTGCATCTACGTTCCTGGGTGAGGACCAAGGACAAGGACGGCAGCACTAGAACATGACAAATGCGACGATTTTCTCAACGATGACATGACCGTCGCCCTTAGTCAGGGCGCGATAACGCAGCCGACGATGCAGCGGCTGCATTGTAGTATGTGGTTTTGTTGAAAACGCTGTAATCTTCCAGTGTGGTGTAGTCGCTTGCTCGACTTGAAACTTTCAAGTTGAAAGATAGAACTGAAGCCCACTACACTCGATTAAAGCATTTTCACCAAGAACTCTACACAGCAGGATTATCGTGGTTAGTAGCCTACGAGGCCATAATCTTGATCAACTGGCAATGACTCAAGTATTTTGATCATGTGGATTCAGTGCAGTGCCGCATCGATGTGTTCCTTGGTCCGCCTGCTTTATTTAGTCTGGCTCTCTGGAAGATGTGATGTTGAAATAAGGTTGCGGCCAACACCTGCCAAGCAGCTGTTGCCAATCCAGCCCGCAGTTGCCGCAACAACAACGGCGACCTCTGCTCAAGACTGACTTGCAGCATTTCGAGATGGTCGACACTCGTTCGCATCATTTTTTGCAAAGGAGCGATTGAGCACAGTGAGAATATGCTATTTTTTACATTTTAACGTCGCTGTAGCGGCTGGCGCATCCCAGCTTTCAGAAATGCCAGTTTTGTTTACTACCTTACTCACCATGGCAATGCCAAGACTTAGCCCCTGAATTTGGCCTTCCTGTCCCTTGGATACACAAACTGCAAATTGAACACAGGAAACACTACATTTCGTTAGAAAAATATTTGAAAAGTGTTACTCGAATGTGGGTGTTGAATGTTTTTTATGCTGTAAATTGACAGTTATTCAAAGTTGCGTGCCCTTGTTGTCCAAACACGCAACGTCACCGCACGAAGATGGACGTAGAAAAAGTTCAAAGATTGCATTGGAGAACACAACGCATGACTGAAAGCGATGAGCAAATGTGGGGTGACAAACTTCAACTTCCATGACGGAATTGAATCACCACAAGCTTGTCAAACCGAGGAGAATGAACGGGAAAAGATGGACACGTTCTATAAGACTTCCGTACAACCTTTCGACTCGTAAGCAGATTATCGACCTGTGGCTCGATGGGGACAAGACAGAATGTTCAAATGGAGAAGCTATTTGACATGACATCGTGTCGTTCGTTGTATATATATGCATGATCTATCAATCCTCTCGAGAGAGACATTTCAATCATGTGGTGTTTCTTCCACGTTCTGGGACCCGTGGCTCGGCTTGGGCAACAGAAGGCTGCTACATGACTTACCGAGTCCTGGACAAACTGGAAATAAAAGATTCTCAGACAAAGACGGAGCAGTGTGTCTCTGGATCCCCAACTGCCCGGTCCGAGTCCTGATGCTCGTTCACCTTGACGGAATATCATCTACATAAATGCCTTTACCTCAACATCTTGAGGTCCTAGAGCAGGATCGGGTCTTGACTATACTGTTGGGAAAAAACACCAAGGAATGTGGGTTAGAAAGAGGGAAAATAGCAAGTGAAGGTCCCAAACAAGTGGTTCTCGACCTGGCCACCTGACCGTCCTCGGTTCCATGTGTTGTTTTGCCAAATTTACTCGACGAGGGAAGTCGGGAAAGCAAGAGGAAGCAGGACTGGTAAAGGCGAGGGTACAAGGGCACAAGGGCACAAGGGCACAAGCGAAGGAGGGGGGAGACCGTCACGGCTCGAGAACAGTGGCTGCGGCGGGGGGGTTTTGCTTTGTGAAATGTTTGGATTCCCCTTCTCGCAGCCTTCCCATACAAATTTTGCTGTAGGAGCTGCCGTGCGAGGAATTGACGGTTTCTAGACGGTGAAGGTCGTGAAAGTGAGTCAGGCGGAGGGGTCAGGAGGCACGCCATTGGCCGCATCACTGGCTATTCACTTACTGTTGTTGCGAATAGCTTCAGATGAAAACCGCAATACTGCCCACCAAATTCGCTTTCCCAGCACACTTTAAATAACCCACGACCCTTCCTCTTCCTCCCTCGAACTTTCTTTCTCCCACCATAGTCGACTTCAGAAGCGATTTTGTCACGACAATCTTCAAAGAGCAGCACCAGCAGCAACTTTGACGATTCTCTTCTCCTCCGCTCGTTTTTATCTTCCTTCTATAAAGAAGATATTTATTTATTTACAAAATCGCAATGGCGCCTTATTTTGTCGACCTTGCCGCCAAGGAGATGTATTCTCCTTTGGTTTACCTGGCCTTCGCGGCCCTTATCCTCCTCCTCTGCGTCGCCAGCGACGCACCAGAGTTGTACCAGGACGCCGCCGACGTGCTTCGTGACATCGTCGCGGAGCTGTCCGTGGTCTCCTGCGTCTTCCTGGTTTTCGCGGGTTTCTCCATCGCCAACTTGTTGGCAGTAAGTAACAATTTCAATTGCTCTCATAATTTTCATTCTCGAGACGGCGACTTTGCTTCCGACTGGGAGCGATGCTCTCGAGGCGGCGACTCTGCTTGCTCTCTTCTCTCGATGATGACAACTTTGCTCTCCAATCCCTTCAATCAAGTGCGCCAATGGCGATGTGACTGACAATTTGGCGGCAGTGGTTCTTTATTTTAACCCGCCCGGTCCTTCCATCACCTTCAGAGATTCGCTACAGGGTCAAACTGGCCTTGGAGTCGCTGATCGTGAGGTTGGTCACGGAAGCCACTCGTCGAGTCAACCTGGCTCGCGAGTCGGCCACCACGGTCGCTTGGGGGTACATCAACGCCCTTAAGCAGACCATTATCGCCGGACTGGTTTCGACCGTGTCCGCCCTCCTTCTCCGCCTTGTCCTGGCTTCCCTCCGGTTCCTCCTGCGGCCCTTCATGCCCACTCTTCTCCGGAAATACCATCTGGAGAAGAATTGGCTGGAGTCCCGCGCCGGGGACTTCGTCGACTGGTACTGCGCTGTCACCACCAAGAGGAAACTCGCTCACCTGCGTTTCCTGCTCCAGCGCCAGGAGTTGGTGTACGCAGTCCAGTCGGCGTTGCTCGCCCGCATGAACCAGAAGGTCAAAAAGGCCGCGCTTGACACTTTAGAGGTGTTCAACAAGGCCCCGAACGCCTTCCAAGGGTTGCACCGGGACATGGTGCCAAAGCTCTTCAAGAACCCGATCGCTGCCACCGCCCCGGAAGCCGGACCCCTCCCCAAGCTCAGCTTGTGGACCCGCTTCTGGCGCCGTGGTGACTGGAACGTCATCTGGGCCGAGGAGAACATCCGTCGGTTCGGTCGCGCCTCTAGACTCACCCAGGCCAGCGTCAAGGCCCTGGAAGATGAGCTGGAGCGCCGGTTCCAGCAGCGACGGGCGATTGAAGAGGACGTCCAAGAATACCTCCGCCGCGAACAGGAGAAGTGGTAAGTGCCTTGCATTGACTCCCCTTTCCATCTCGAAAGCATCACATAACCGTCATTGACTTGTACCAGGGACGATCTTTGGTCGAGAACAACCCCGGAGCGGTGGGTGCTGGGGTCAACCATCCGCTACGAAAGGATGATGCGAGAGTCGCTGGCCAGGTCCAGACGGAATGCCCCCGGGTTTCCATTGGATCTGCCCTTCGTGCCCAAGGCACAGCAGCAGACCCTCGCTCCCCCGGGATCGCAAGATGCCGCCCAGCACCTACCGGTGGTTGTTCCCAAGATCGTCATCACGCCACCCTCCCTTCCTCCCTCGCCGCCGCCCTCTCCCAAGCTTCTCCCTGCCGCCTCGACCCCGCCTGTGCCGTCTCCAGAGAAAGTCCTCCTCGAGGAGGCGCACAAGTCAAGGGTCAGGTTCCACGAGGAATCTCTCCGGCAAGCCGAACTCATGCGGCGCTGGCAGAGTGAAGTCGACGGTTACCGGCTGACGCTTGACGCCGAAAACCGGGCAATCCGGGAGAGCAGGAGACGGCGCGAGCGCCTCTCGTATCGCCAGATGCGGGCAGCGCAGGAGTGCGTGCAGCAGGAGGCCGAACCGAGCGCCTCCAATGACAACAGCGTCGTCGGCACCGACGCCGAGTCAGCTGCTGCACTCCAGAAGAGGGAGGTGGAGGAGGGACTGCGCCAGGCCGCAGAACATCGCCAAGCCCAGGAAGCCGAGCTCGAGTCTTCACTTGCAGAGGAGGCTCGGCTCCGGGCCCAGTTGGAGGCCGCCCAAGCTGCTCGTGCTGCTGCCGAAGCCAGAGTTGAGTCCGCACGTGCGGAGGAGACCAGGCTGGCCGAGTTGCTTGAGCGGCTCAACTCGGGTGGCGATGCTTCTGCTGAGGACTCTCAGCACCGGGAGAACGCTGTGGAGGGCAAAGACGCCACGGAGACCGATGCCCCCAGCAGCACGGCTGGAGAAAGCAAGTCTCCGGAGGCTGAGCCTCTGCAGGCTGATTCTCTGTGCGCGGCCCAGGAGACCGAAACTCCCGAGACCGATCTTTTGGTCGGTTCTCTGGAGGACGTTTCCCTGGGCCACGATGCTCCGCCGTTGGACGAGCATGGTGCGGAGGACTCGAGCCTGGTGGTGCTCCTGGTGCGGCTAACCTTGGACGACAACGAGGAGGAGGAACACTCCCCACAGCATCCTGTCGTCGAGGAGCAGCACAAGCTCGCCGATGAACCCAAGCCCGCATCGCGGGGCAAGGTGAAGGCTGAGCAGCTCGCCGATGAACTGGACCTTCCACAGGAAGGGAAGGTGAAGGCGGAGCAGACTCTCTCTGCCCATGAACCAGAGCCTGCACAGCAGGGGATGGTGACCGCAGAGGAGACCCATCTCGCCGACCAATTGGCTCGGTTGAGTTTGGATGATGCTGTCTCCCAGCAGGAGTTTGTGGAGGAGGACAAGCGCGCCCAGGAACCGGAACCTGCGCAGCAGGGGATGGAGAAGGCAGCGCAGCTCGCCGAGGAACCCGAGCTTCCCGAGGAAGGGAAGGTGAAGGCGGAGCAACACGGCGCCGAGGAACAGGAGCCCGCATCGCGGGGGATGGAGACGGCCATTGAGGAGGGCGGCGACCAGACCGGGAACGCCAGCTCCACCGAAGAGGCCCAAAACTGGGCTGAATTCGAGATGGACCTGGACGACTGGATGGCGCAGCCCGAGGAGCAGCTGAGCGAGCAGCAAAGACTCGCCGCCGAAGCGGAGCAGGCTCGGTTTGCCGTCGAGGTCCAAGCGGCCCACGAGGCCGCAGAGCTCCAGCGACGTGCGGAGGAGGAAAGGCTAGCCCAGCTCGCTGCCGAGAGAGCCCGTGTCGCTGCTCTGGAAGCCCTCGCTGAGCAAGAGCGCCAGCATCAACAAAACCTGGCCGAGCTCAGGAGGGCGACCGAGGAGTGGGAAGAGCAACGCCGCGCCGCCGAGCAGCGTCGTCTTTTCGAGGAGGAGCAACGCCGCGTTGAGGAGCTGCGCCAATTCGAGGAGCGACGCCGTCTTGAGGAGCAGCGTCGTCTTGAGGAGGAGCAGCGCCTCCTGGAAGAACAACGTCGCGCCGAGGAACTGCGCCGTCTCGAGGAGCAACGCCGCGTTGAGGAGCTGCGCCGTGCCGAGGAACAGAGACGGCGGCAGGAGGAAGCTCTTCGTCGGCTCGATGAGCAAAGTATTGCCCATCGAGCAGCAATGGCTCAGCGACAGCCTGAGCAGAAACGGGCTGCCGAGGAGTATGCTGCTGCGCGGCGGGCGGAACAGGAACAGTGGCAGCGGACTGCTCGTCTTTCGGCCTTGCAAGAGCTTGCCGTACAAGAGACGCGGGCTGCAAAACAGAGCATTGCCCGAGAGCGTGCAAGACCCGCTGCGCTGGAGGAGGAGGACGCTTGGGACTCCATGTACGCTGCCCTGGAGGAGGTGGCATCAGGTCCCCAGCCGTCCCGACCCTCGCCTCTTTTCCGCCCCGCCCCGGCGCAGTCACTCTCTTCGTCGATTCGGCCGACAACGCCCTCAGCCAGGGCATTCACCGCCGCCACCCTGGCCCCAGTGCCCCCTCTCCGGCCCCAGCCTCAGCGCCAGCCCAAACCCCGTCCCCAGCCTCCGCGCCAGCCAGCAGCAGAGCTCCGGGCTCCTGCTACTCCCACTTTTGCCCCCGCCGTCCCGACCCAACCTCTGCCCCTGCCCCGGCCGGCCCCAGCTGCTGAATCCAGCCAGCAGGGCGCCCAGCGAGAACAAGCAGCCGAGCGCAAGGTGCTGCGCCCTCGCGGGGTCAAGGCCAGCGAGGAGGTCAAGAAGAAGGCCGCCCAAGACCTGGCCGAAATTGAAGACGCCAGGGACAAGGCCGAGTGGGAGCACATGCTCCAGCACACGGACGAGGGGCGGGAGCTGACTGCCTTCCTCGAAGAGGAAGAGGAGAAGTGGGCTCGGGAGATTGAGGAGGAGCAGGCCGCCGCCGCCGCCGCCAACTCCGCCGCCGAGGCCGAACAACAAGCGGCCGAGGAAGCCCAAGCCCAGCAGAACGCGACCAGCCAAGACAAGGGCAAAGGCAAGGAGAAGGCCACGGCGTCCTCAGACGCATCGACCGAGGACGCCGCGGCGACAAAGCCCGCTCCCGCCAACGCCAAGGCCGCCGCCGCCCGCGCCGCTGCCCGCGCTGCCGCTCTCGCCGAGTTCCGGGCCATCGAGCAAGCCAGTAAACAGTCCGAGGAGAGCTGGCAGCAGCGTTCCGCGCCCACCTCCGCCGCCGCCATCGCATCAGTCAACTACGAGATTGAGCGATTCCTCAGCCCCCAGATCAACGGGGAGCCGGCGTTCGACCCTCGCGCCGAAGAGGCCCTCGCTGCCGCCCAGCTTGCCGAGGCGATGCGCCGAGGCGCTGAGGCCGCGCAGCGAGAGGCCATGGCCGAGAGAGAGCGGCACCAGGCCGAGCTGAGGGAGCAGCGGCTGGCGGAGGAGGGGGCCCGGAACGATGACAGGGCGCGGGAGGCCAAGAGGGCGATGGGGGAGGAGAAGGCCAGGAAGGCCGAGGAGGAGGGAGAGGCCCAGGGGGGCGAGGGGGTAGACAAGCCCTGGAAGGGCTTGGATGAGGAGGAGGACAGCGCGGAGGAGGAGAGCGCGGGGGAGGAGAGCGGCGAGGAGGAAGGGGAGGATGAGGAGATGGCGGAGGAGCAAGGCCCCGCCGAGGAGATGACTGGGGAGGGGAGCGCCGGGAAAGGCCCGGGAGGACAGGCCAAGGGGAAGGGGAAGGGAAGGCCCAAGAAGGGCAAGAAGAAAAAGGCCAAGGGGAAGAAGGCCAAGGGAGGAAAGCGTCGGGGAGGACGGCGCTGAGGAGGAGGGGGGAGGAGGAACGGGGCCTGAGGGCCAGAGGATATCATTATCACCATTTTTGGCAAGGAACGGAGTTTGAGGGCTGGTAACTAAGGTACCATTGGTACAATTTTGGACGGGAAATAATATACATGGAGAATTGAAATCTCCCACATCAAGTTCTTCAGTCGCTCCAGTGCAGTGTGTCCCAGGAAAACCAAAGCTGAATGTGACGGCTGAAGAGGCCAGCATCGAAGGGAACAAATTAAGCTCCCATCATCTAACGACTCCTCAATTCAAGGCGGACTTCACTGACGAAATCTCGAAGATCCTAGGAATTAAACGGAAGTTGGCCACGCGGGGCCATTCCCAGACCGCCGGCCATGTCGAGAACAACTACAACGAATACCTCAATCAGCGCCTACGACCTTTCGTCAACCACTACCAAGACAACTGGTCAAGAGCTGTGCCCGCGATGGACGCAGTGACAATGAGCCTTCTACACGAAAGTACCCGGTCTCCAGCCTCACGACGTCCTGCTCGGATTCCCGATGCCGTTGTCATTCGACTGGGAGGCGCGTACACAAGAATTCTCTACGGCCCGCGAACGACTGAATCGAACGGAAGCGCAAGAAATCGCCGCGTCAAGCGAATCCAAAGCTACGCCGACACCGCTGGGAAAATCGCTATGATAGCCCAAGCTCGTCAAGCCGAGCAAGCGAATTGCCACCGAAGAAAGGCCAACTTCAAGGTCAACAACCGCGTTGTGATAATCTAGAAGTTAGTGGAAACAACAAGCCGACCGAGCGACAAGCTTTCTTTTCCCGGTGTACAGCAACACTACAAGATCACCAAGATTGTCAACGACGGCGAGGCGTACAAGCTCGACCTTCCAGAATCGTAGAAAAGCTCCCGCGTACTCACACCCGACAGGCTTCGCCTCTCCCCAAACAACCCGTTACTGGGTCAGGAGTCCGAGAACCCGCCTGGGGAACCAGTATTCGATGAGGAAGAATGGGAGGTTGACAAGATACTGGCAAGCTGTACCCATCGTGGGAAGCTAGAATACCAGGTCCAATGGAAGGGATGGGACCCGGATCCTGAGTGGTATCCCGCGTTATACTTCTACAACGCCTCAAAGGACTGCTTGTGAGTGTCAGCGAGGACCAGAGATCACCGGGGCCTGCTGCCTTTTGGCGAGCCGTGTTGGACAACGACAGCGGCATTGACTCAAATCGGCCCAGTTCCCGGGACAGGTGTCCGTACTCAACCCGGCTGGAGGCCATGGCCGGGAGCGAAAGGGAAACGCGTTGACGAAGGCGCCTTTCTTAAACACGTGAAGGCGGGTTGGGCGTGAGGCGAGCAAGAGAAATTCGCCAGCTCATTTGTCCTCGGACGGCTGCAGTGAAGCGGGATTGCTTTGACCGTGACGGGAACGATAGCCATCAGTCGATTCCGTTTAGGGTAAGCCAGCCGTTTAGTGTAATTGGCTTTCTTACCTGCCGGCGCGCTCAAGCATGTTCCTGCTAATGTCAAGGTAAGTCAGCGAGGAGGCACGAACACAAGCAATGGCATTGGGGTTCCGCAAGTCAGACATGGTAGTTGCAGCTTGTGTTGTGGGATATCGAGGCGCCGCCCACTGAGGCTAGGGGTTTCCACCGTTTGTATTGACGCAAGGGTCAATGATGAACAAAGCAGCATCTTTGCACCGAGTGACGGAAAAGGGGCAGTAGTCAAGGAGCTGGTGTATATCTGTTCGCAGGAGCAGTCTATTCTGGGATGAACTTGCATAGACATCCCCTGCGACTGATGCCGAGATGCAAAGTGCTGCAGAAGAAGAGGCACGAGTGGCTGCTCAGTGTGTCTCAAACCAAGGCTTTGCCTGGATCGCGACGCCTTCTTTCTGTTGGTCTGTCAAACACATGTCATCCCTTCACGATTCGCCGGTGTAAGGAGTGTGATGGTGGCGAATGATGAAGATACATTGGACAATGCCGGTTCTCATGCTGTCGGGTTGAGCTTTGAATGCGATTAGGGTATAGACAAACCAGGGCCACGAAGAAGGCGTTGGGGTCTCGCTGAGATGCTCTATCTGCCACTGAGTATAAGATGGTGTACAGCAGACAATCTGAGGAAGCTGGATGCCGTGTGCTCTACGTCTGTGACGATACAGGGGTTGGGCTTGTCGTGGTCGACAAGCATACGATCACCAGTGATCGACGGCTTCTACTCTCTAGCTCTTCCCAATGGAAAATCGTCTTTCACATTGGCAATGTGAAGAAAGTGGAGAATCCCATCTACTGGTGAGCGCTCCATCCACTAGGAAAGTCCCAACAAGGACCTCGAGAATATGGAAGCAACGTTCAACAGCGGTCAAGGGCTGCTGTTTCCCAGCGCGCTGCATCTCAGCCCTACAGTAAGACTCAAGTATTGGACATATAGGTTAAGTCCACCTTCCTACTTTCACCCCCCGCTGGGTAGAGGTGATAGAACAAGAAGTAGCCAAGTGGTACCCGTCTCTGCCGTCTATGCAATGCTCCATGAGCTGCTCAGTTCGATCCTTCCTAGGCTCTCACTCTCCTAGCCTAAGCCCAGCTCAAGAACCCCAGCCATCACGACCCTCACCTCAGCCGCGCGATGCCCGTTCAAGCCGATAGTGTGCCGAAACTGCAAGCAGCAGGGGTCACAAGTCTAGGGACTGCGAGCGATTGGTGTAACACGTACAAGACTCACATCCACCACACCAACAGGTGCCCAGCGACGACAATATGCAACAGATGTCGTCAAGTTGGACATTTCCGCTCAGATTGTCCCTTTAACCGTTGCAAAATCTGCCATGTCGCTGGGCACAAAGCAGCCAACTGCCCAGAAGGCACAATGGGTGGTTATCCGGACTTGATCAGGGCGTCTGCGGCGTCCACCTCAGCAGTCAACATTCGGCGCGCAAGGACGTCGAGTGGCACTGGAACTTCGATCGACGACTTCAACGTCCTAGCCTAACCTCAGCTCAAGAACCCCAGCCATCACGACCCAGTCGCTCTCTTCGTCAGCCAGCCTCGTGGGCAGCTTGGACCTCGGCGCATACCGAGCCTGATCCGGTGTTGACGCAGCCCTCCTCAGTGGCCTCGAATCCAGCCAAGTCTTGTGGGCTTCTTCGGTGGAGCTGGCGTTCCGGTGTTGTCGCAGCTTTCCTCAATGGCCTTCACCTTCCTCTGCAATACAGGCTTTGCATTTGACATTCTATGGCGTATATGGTTGCTCATTGTTTACCTATACATCCCCTCCATCTTCTGGAATACCCATCTTCATCCATGTCCTTATGGAGCCAAGAGAAACGCGAGGCAGTGCTTGATCACCTTGGAACTGGGTGTTAGGCAGTGGCGTTACAGGGAAAATCATTATCACAGACATCAACAAATGCAATGAGCTAGCTGGGCCAGATTTCGAAGTCTTCTCGATAACGAGGAGATCGGAGAGTATGAAAGCATGTTTCACATTTATCTGCTTAAGCGCCTACATGTATATTCCTCAATTGTCGACGGTCTATGTGCATTATCTACCGATTCTTTAGCTTCGTCCACCCACTTGTTCCCCTGGCTGTGTTGCCAGTATCAGGAAAGCCGCCGGCAGTACCAACAGTGCGCACCGTCATGATGCTTGTAGCACCGAGGTCGCTACGTCCAGCAGACCCACCGTTGCCATGCCCTCGTACCAGCACGCCGTCCTCAAACCCGTCCTCGATTTCGTCCCCTTCAATCTTCTCCCATTCCAGCATGGGGGCCTCGCTCGATAACCGCTTCTTGAGTCTGTCGGCTACCTTCAGCGGGGAGAGGATCTTAAAGTTTCGGACAAACTCGGTCCCCTCGGCTCCCCCCAGGTAGCTGTGCGCTGTCCCGTGAGACCAGCGGCCGATGGTCAGCTTGGGATTTGTTACCTCGCCATTATCGCCATCTCTGGGGCTTCCCGTCGGCGGAGTGAGCGAGGTTGGGAAGGTTGGCTCGACAGACCGTCGGTGAAGCTGGTCACCAATGAGCAGCCGCCAGAGGTTTTGGCTCATGTTGCACACGTCCTCGTACGAATCCTTGTCACCAAACCAAACCCCCTGGGAACAACATGCCCAAGCAATGTCATATGCCAGCAATGCTGCTCCTTCCAGAAAGGATGAGTATGCGGATGGGTCCTCCTTGGCGAGCACGGGAAGCGGCTTGTCGATGAATAGGGACCGGGGCCGCGGAACATGTGGTTGCTCACTATCAACCGGAATCTGGGAAGACAGCGCTGAACCCGGAAAGGGAACTTCCCCATGCTTGTACGAGGACGCAAGCGAGAAGATGGTTGGCCGAGGGTAGTCACGATGCGGGAGCGTGATCTCTGCTGGTAGTCGAATGGCCAGATAATGCGATGCTAGAACTAGGATATGCGCAATGTGCGCGAGTGCTGTCGAAATCACCTCGGGCGACAAACCTGCCAGTACTGTTAGTTATCAGCCTGAAGTGCTAGGTTCTTCCGAGGACGCAGACTTACTGTTCATGGCATGGAGGTCAAACATCTCGACACCGCCAATCTCATACCGCTTAGTGCTGCCCTTCTTGACCTGCCGGAGGCCGTAAAGCCTCGCAGCCTCCTCGCACAGGAAGGCTCTCGTCGCTGCCATTGTGTCGGCGCTGCGATTCCACTTGTACTTCGATCTCTGACAAGACCGCTCCACCTCTTCCAGTTGCCTGGCCCGCCTGGCCTGTGTTCCGGTGGTGACCGAGGCCAGGTCAGACTTTCTCCGAGCCAACGCATCCTTCTTTGCAGCGATCTCCTCCCGTGCGGCATCAATTTGGGCCCTCAAAACCTCTGCTTGCGCAACGATGCGGTTTGTTCGGTCGGTGGCTTCTTCTTCCTGGGCTTTCAGCGACTCCACCCTGATCCTCCTGGTGTCGACATCCTCCTGTGTCTCGGCTGCTTCACTTGCTAAGGCGGCGTCGACTCGGACTCGGTTCTCTTCAGTCTGTATCAAGGCGCGGGTGTACTCGATGCGGCTTTCATAGAGGCGGTTCCTCGCGTCGACTGCGCAAAGGAAAGGCAACTTTTTGGCATCGTGCGGGCGGTGACAAATGCTGCAGTTCATTGTGGGCGGTGGCTTTGTCGTCGAGGAAGTGCAAGGCTCGATTACTCTATGAGGGTGGCTTTCTTGATAGCCAAATGTGCGGAGAACAAGAGAAAGCGTTCGTGAAAGCAAGCGCGGGTTTAGATTTCTTTTTATACTCGACGTTCGATCACGGCTTACAATTGGCGCAGCCTATATATTCGATTTCGCTGCGTATTGCATCAGCTCGAACACCCAGGTGGCGTCTGGTGCTGCCTAAAGAGGTGCAGATGAAACTATCCGCCTGTTTGGAAATAAGACAGATGTCTCAAATCCACAAAGACTCAAGATACCAAGAAAAGCCTTGTCAACTGGCTCGGCTGACCGAGTTACTGAGTTCTCGAGTCACCTGGCCAAGTTGCACAATGCAAAGAGATGGAGGAGAGTCAGGACCGTTGAGGTCCCTGAGCTTATCGCACCTGCGTCACCGTTATCAAGCTGCAACCAGTCGCAAGCCGGTTGCAGAGCCAAGCAGCCCCGATGTGCCATCCCGGGACCCACAGCGGGTCACCTTCGGACAAGAAGCCAATCAACGGCCGTCTCACTCCCAGCAGCTCGGTAGATCATCTTTGCGAACCGTGTGCTGTTCCTATTCGCGACTCAACGCGCCTGCATCGGTATTTGTTAAGTTAGCGGCTCGCAACCGTCTTGACAACTCATCCACACATCCATCATCTGCAAAACGAGGAAGGCACACCAATCAGTCTGCCCAGCAGGCGCGGGGATTTTTGGTCTTGGGCATCCAGCCCTTCTCGGTCATGGAAGCGGGGTAGAAGCCGCCGTCTTTCATTCGAAGACGACGATTAACGTCTTGAGCACACTTGAATTGCTCTCATCCAGTCATTGTCTCTCTCCTCAGCGTGCCTAGTTCACATACATGCTCTCAAACTCATATAGTAGTATCACTCCGGTCTTGCCAGACTACTGGGGCAACTCCGTGTCAGGCTTACTTTCGAATTGGAAATTCCCAAGGATTGCGCCTTCCCCCCGCTATCAGTTGTCTCACCAGCAGACACATTCTTGCACGAGCTTATCAAATTCTACGACTGGCGAACTGACAACGCTCGATGGCGAGTGCGCCTCCTCATACTCCATCTACCCCCAGGACGCCCGGCCACGCATCGCCGGCAAAGACACCCGAATCACCCATTATCCCTTCACCGCGGACAGCGTCAGTTCAGAGCAGCCCCCCAAGGCCCGTCGACATCCACATGATGGCTGCCGCTCAAAGCACGCAGCCTAAATCTCTCGTCACTCGAGCCCAGGTCAAGACACCAGAACCTCGCCCCTCTAAAGAGCGCATGAACGGCCAAAAAGAAGGGGCTGAGAGATCGCCCAGCACTCCGGGCCACTTGGCGCCGTTTGATTGGGAAGACTTTGAGGCACGCTATGAGGAGGCCCTCGCTGAAGCCGATGGCCAGGAGCAAGCGCTCCTCAAAGAGTTTGAGGAGCTTGTAAAGGTGAGCAAACTTCTACACGCCATTCTCTTCGAGCCCTCGCTGACAGCGTTTGCAGTTCTTCAATGTCTGGGCCTCGGCTGCATCGGTCCACGATACCGAGCGCGGGGTCAAAAGACTACAAACAAGAGAGCGATACGTCAAGATCGCAGAGCAGAGCCTGTTGCAGAAGAAGAAACACCGTGAGCCTAGCCGCTTTCCACTGATTTCGACAGTCTAGCTAATGAATACAAGTTACCGAAGTTGTGCGGGCTTTCCAGAGCGCTCTGGCGCTCCTGAGTCAATCTTGAGCTTCGTACACACAACTACGGGTGAATTAATGATGTTATGAATTATCAAGATTCGTTTTGACGGGACTCGGTCTAGAAGGTTCAATGCACCTTTATATGCTAGGCGTTCCTGGGCTGGAACCTTGTCAAAGCGCGAGCCTCAATATGTTGCTTGCAGGCTCGTGCGGCAGGGGCAGCGTTACTATATGAGCAATAATACGCAAGATCTGCTCTGCTCCGAATTTCCTGACCTTCTGGCAGATGTCGTACTCGGCCAGTGCTGCTGGCCTGGGCACCATCCGTCCCACCCTCGGCGTTTCTCTTGGAACCTATGTACCTTCACAGCAGCGCCACATGAGGACAGAACTACGTGTGCGACAGGCGCATAAGAAACAGTAAGAAAAGGGGAAACGGGAAGAAGGGGGGAAGAAAACAAAAAGCAGTATTCCGGGTGACCAAGCCGGAAAGAGCACGTGACCGACGCGACTCGACCATTCACTTCCGCCTCCACGCGCTCCTCACCGGAGCTTCGGAACCGACTACGCCCATCCCGCCGAAATGGCTGGCACGTCGATCGTGGTGCCGCAAATCAGTCAGGTGAGAACATCCAAATCATTTTGCTGCCACAAGCTGACGCCTGACTGTATAATCCAGGCTGACATGGTTGCGTTTCACGAAGCACATTTTTCCAAGCTCGCTACAGATCACTTCAATACCCATTTTCTTCGACCAGATTTTGCAGCACAGGAAGGCCCAGCATACAATGGCGCTGACGATGAGGAGTACTACGACGAAGAGGAGGACGATGGCCTCGGCCACTACCCTGACGGAGTCAAGCGTACCCTCACAGACGAGCAGATCGCCATCTTCCGACACTCCGAACTCGAAGCCCTGCGTCGCGCCAAGGAGTCTTCCAACAACACCAATATGAATGAGACGACGAGCACAAGGGCTGGTGAAGATATCCCGCATGATCTGTCCGAAGGCGAGGTGTCGTCCCCGACGCCGCTCGTCACCGCCACTACCAGGAAACAAAAGAAGCGAAAGCGCGGCAAGAACAACAAAAACAAGCATGCGGCGGAACAAATCGACCTCCGCAAGCGGACCTGGGACGTGGTAGACAAGGGCCTGGAGAGTCTGGAGTATGATGAGGAAGAGTCCGAGCCGAGCCAAGCCGGCGCCATCCAGCGTCGCCGCATCTCGTACGACGATTGAGGATCGAAAAGGGTACACTTCTAAATGCGGCCTTAAACTTCCTCACCAACCGCTCAGCTCTTGGCTTCGTGGCCCTGCGGTGGCTGCTCGCCAAGTTCAGGCCAAGAGCCAAACAACACCAAACCAAGAAAGGTGGATAGAAACACAAAAGGTAAGCGACCCTCTCTCCTAAAAGGCTACTCTACATGCCCCATCCACATTACTCCTAGTATCATGATGAGACAATCGTATCGTCATCCTTAGTCGGAAGTCACAGCCGGACATGGTTTGGAGTTTTCAAAAAGCTCTTGAGCCATGCTCTCGCAGCTGGAACATGTCGAGTTAATCTTCTCTCTGACTGGCAAGACACCTTGGTCTTGCATTCATGGCTCTTGTTCTTGACAGCAAGCTGATCCAAGTCATTGATGGGTGATTGCTAATGAGGTTTACTTTTTCGCCCAGGACACGCGCGTACTACAGTCTGCCGTTGGCTGTGACCTGGAGATGGCGGCTCTGTCACGGATTTGACGCTCGCATGACTGTGCTGAGCTAGGTTGAAAGGAGTGTGTTGCCGAGCTGTTTGCGAGGACCGGGACAAGAGGTCCAGAGCCGCGCTACGAAGCGAAGACCTTGAGGGAGGGTCTAGCTTCCGGCATACCTTGGCATGGGAGAGGCACGGCAGTTGGAACAGACCAAGGGCTATAGATCATGTCGTGCTGGTTTTGTTGCGCGGTAGTTGTGGAGTACTGAGGCCTGGGTTTCTGAAAGAGTGTACCCTATACTTTCGGTCATAGCCAAGGAAAAACGAACTCAGGACAATTGTATGATACCCTAATTTGCTGAGATCGTGCTTGGTCCCCGTTCAGGTACACCGAGGTACAACTTGATCAACCTTACACATTTCTATTGTGGGCTCGCTTTATACACATGAAACTAGGTATGTATTACATGCCAGGAGCAGCGCCGGAATTCAGGACAAGCACTGGAAACGACGCTCAGCGGCGGCACATCAGAACTTGTAGACCTGCTCCGGACTGTAGCCCAATTCCTTCAGAATACCCTTCAGCTCGCCCTGGTCCTTGGGGCTCTTCTTGTTGCCCGAGATGGACTCCATCATTCCCGGCGGGCCGCACACAAACACCTTGATGTTCTCTTCCTTGGGCTCAGGCAGCACCGTCTTGAGCAGCTCCTTGTTGATGTAGCCCTTGCCGCCCGTCCACTGCTTAGGCGGGTTGTCGAGCACGTAAAAGGCGCGGAACCGGCGCGGGTAGTGGTTTTCGAGCGACGCCAACTCATTCTTCAGCAGAATATCATCCTCGCTAATGTTGCCAAACACCAGCGTCACCTTGGTCTGGTCATCCGGGTTGTTGAAAATGGCCCGGCACAGCTGCCACATGGGCGTGATGCCCGTCCCGCCCGCAATCAGCGCAATGTGCTCGTGCTTGTTGGGCGCCCAGGGGTATTTGGGCAGGGGCCCCTTGACGTCGAGGCGCTGCCCGGGGACCATGTCGTGCAGGTGCGTGCTCATGGGCCCGTTGGGGTACTTTTTCACGAGCAGGTCGAGGTAGCCCTTCTCGTCCTCGTCGCTGATGGGCGTGTAGGGCCGCACCACGGGCTTGTCCGAGTCGTGGGGCTGGAACTTGGTCAGGATGGCGCTGGCCACGTGCAGGCCCGACACCATGTCGTCCTCGGGCAGGCGGAAACGCAGGCGCTTGGAGTTGTGGTTGACGATCTCGACCTCCTCGAGCTTCAGGCTGATGAAGCCCTGGTCGCCCCCCGTGAGCGCCTTCTTGACCTCGCCGCTGCCGGTGGGCAACTTCTCGGCCGCGGCGTCTGTCGCTTGCTTCACCTTCTCCTCGGCCTTCTTTGCGGCGGGCGTGCCCCCAAGAAAGTAGTACCCGGCGCCGGCCAACGCGGCAGCGCCGGCAATGTAGAGCGCCGTGTTGCTGCCCTTTTTGGCTGACTCGGGAGACGTCGGCTCGGTGGCATATCTGCGGACCTGGAATTGCTGGGTAAGGTGTCAGTCGTTCCCCGGTTTGCTGGTTGAAGGAGGGGCAGGGAAGCTCCCGACTCACCCGCTTGAGGGGTGCAGCGGCCCGGAAGGCAGACCGGCTGGCGACGAACAAGCTCATTGTGTCGGCTTGGCAGAGGTTTAGGAGGACTGAGAATGCGCCCACTGTTAATTAAACTGCTAAGGGAACTGAGAACAAGGAAAAGATGCGAGGAAGTGGTGTGGTGCCCGTGTCAATGGTATGGGAATTCACCTCGCTTGTTGGCGGGATGTTTGCTTTATCAGCCACTGCGGGTCAACAAAGCCAGTGGGTAGCTGTGCCCGGTTCAGGCGGTTTACGTCATCTCTAGGGCGCTGAAGCTGCCCCTGGCTGCTGTGGAGCCAGGGCCGGAGCCGAAGCATGGCAGCATTGAACAGGTGGGCATCGGATGTCCCGAGTCACCCGTCTTACATAGAACACATACCATACCACACGATCTTCGATGAGGATGTTTCTGTCGGTCTGCTTACCGTCGCTGTGCATTCATTGCAGAGAAGTCCATTCTCGTCTTATAGCTACAGTGATCCCAGGTTGCCAACTTGTAGCGCAAGACACATTCATACCCCCGAACGCATGGAGATTAGGACACCTCAAACCTCGGTGTCCTTCCATGAGTATACAATGTAGGTACTCCCATTTGCTCCAAAGTTATTCCTCGGCTCTGTCTCCTCGTAGCTGGAGCTGTGTTCTAGCCCTCACCGCATGGGTGGCCGACAAAAGCTCAACGAGACAAAGCAAACAGAACAATAACACAGAAGTGTAATCAAATTGCTGCCATCGTCGTCATCATCAAGAAACAACAGAAAACGAAAAGGCGCAACCTCCTTTTCGCCCCCTCAGTCCGTACAGTAACATATTGATACAAGGCACCGCCCTAAGCCCGACACCCCCCTAGAACCCCCCAACCCCAGTCCCCAGTGTGATATGCTCCCCTTTATGTCCCCTTGCAAAAGTAAATGCATGGCCGCCACCGCCTCTCCTCCCGCCCCCCTCCTTCCCCCAATCCAACCACTCCTTATAACACCAAACCGGTATATATCACCTTGACTCCCTCTTCTTCTCTGTCCCACCCCTTGGCCCTGACCCCGCTGCGTCCGCCTTACCCGTCGCTGTATCCTGGCTTGCCCGCCTAGAAGAGGCACCTCCGGCAAACCCCAGCCCTTGATGCATCGCCAGTGTGGGCGTGTTGGCCTGGCTCCCGCCTCGCTGGCCGTGGTAGTGCACCACCTGCGGGGGCGGCTGGCCGGCCTGAGTGCCGAGCAGGTGTTGCGGGTACGGGTCGAGGTCTTTGCTGGAGGTGGAAAAGGTAGACACGATGGGCTGGTGGTAGCCGTTTGTCGTTGTGCTGCCCGTGGTGTTGTTTGTCAGTGTGGACGAGGCATAACTCGCCGTCGTGAGTGCCGGTGAGTGCGGGTACTCGGCCTGCGTGGGCGTGCCGGCGTCGGTGGCCGGGCTGGGACTGGCTGGGCTGGCGTCGCCCGTGTGGAGGTGGCCGGTTAGGCTCGTCATGCCGCCTTCGATGTCGCGCAACAGACGCACGTATTCCTCAGGCACGAGCCCGCTTTCTTGCGTCTTGGGGTCCTCGGCTACCAGCCAGCCCTGGCCGTACCGGTACGAGACCCAGATGATTTGCCCTTCCACGAGGGGGAGCTCGCTGTCATTTTCTCGCTCGAAATCAAAGAGGGCTACGGCCTTGCCGTGCATTTCCTCGTCTGGCGAGGTGATTGTGAACTGATAATCTCGCGAGTACCGGGACTCGTCCGTGTTATGATAGCCCGGGGATGAGCACGTGCTTGAGTCGTCAGAGCCGTAGTCGCCAGCCTCGTACTGCCGCGGCTGCTGGCTGGAAAGCTGATAGTCGCTTCCGTCTAACCGTGCCTGGTCTGGGTGGTAAGTAACATATTCGCCGCCGGGGCCATTGGCTTCGCCCCCATGGTTGATGTAGTATCGCTCGCCGCCTGCATCGCCGGCGCCGGCGTAGCTTCCTCCGCGATCGTCCGAGTTGTCGGCATTAAGCATTGAACCGGCGTCGCGGCTACCCCGACTCTTCCCGTGCGCGCCGCCCGAAGACTTATGTTTTCTGTGCCGTGAGCTAACTACGGGACTCTTGAGATCATCATCCTCGCTCCATGGCGGACCGTCGGTAAACTGAATTGATGGCAATTCGCCCGCCCGATTGGATCCCCCGCTAGCCCATGAACTACTATCCCAACTTATCCTACTATCCCACGACGTCGGCGGGTCGGATAGACGCCGAGTTTCACTAGCCGGCGTAGTCATGCCCGACGGCGGGCCTGATGGCTCGGGCGGAGGGCCATAGTGCATGGGATGCGATGCCGGATAGGCAAAGTCCCGAACGAGGGTGTAGGGTAAACTCGAAACATAGAGTGGAAAGATGTGTGAAGGAGGTCGCGATCTTGATGGTATAGAACTCGCCGTCGAGTATTGCGACAAGCGGTTCCTGGAGGCGTGCGACATGGGTCGAGGCAGAGCGCTCCTACGAGCAGGCGGCGAAGTTATGATCGGAGTAAGTGCGGGATGTGCCGTATTAGCGGCGGGCGGTGAGATGGCAGGTGGTGAGGTCGCGGGAGAAGAAGTGGGCGACATGATCGCCGTCATGGCTTGAGAACTGCGATCGCACACAGGAGGAACGAATCGAGTGTGGGGGGCTTTCGTTTTCGCTTTGGCTCCCTTTCGAGCCAAACTGGTGGGACCCCAAGCGCGCCGGCGCAATCACCGCTGAGAGGCAGGGAGACCGGGGGTTGGAACTGGGTAGGGGTCCGCAACTCTCGCCCGTTTCGGTTCGCCTTCGTTGCTGGTGTTCTCCCTGTTGTTTCGTCGTCGTTGGTGTATGTAGCCGAAATGCTCTTTCTGTCCAAAGGCATACAAATGCTGTCGTCTGGGAATTCAGATCTTGTGCGCTCAGTCTAGGTCGGCCGATGGCACCCTCGCCCAGACGTTCAGACAAACCTCGGGCTAGGGCAGGGAAGCGACACAGATTACCGAGTGTCCACGTCTGGTACCTGGGGCGGCTTGTCTCTTGATAGGCAAGCCGCGAAGGCCTTCGAACCGGCGGGGAGGGAGTGGCAAGTCCAACGAGCAGTAACCATGCAGTCGGAGCAGACCCTCCAGGCAATTGGGCAAAAAATGATGGCGGTTCAATACATCAGGTCCTTGGAGTTTCGAGTCCAGAAAACTTGAGGCCAAAGCGGGTAACGAGCAGGGCAGGAGCGCCAACTGCCAAAGGGATCAGTGCATGGAGTGCAGTGGACGAAAGCAACGGGTTGGCCCTAACAGCTAAGCGCGCTGGGACTACATATCGATACACTGTAAACCCCGCCCCAACAACTAGGAATTAGGTAACATTACATCCAGTTACATGGTTAAGGTTACGTTACTGGCACTCGACTCCCGCAGCTTCATTGATGGGCATAAGTACCCGACGCAGACGTCCAGTCAACTCCCTACCTTACATACATACACGGGCAGCTGCCATTGCTATCCTTCCTACCTTCCAATCTCCCTAGCTCAAGTATGCAACTGTCCAAATATGAGGTATGGACTGTACTCCGTTCAGGATCCTGCTTGAGTAATATGTTGGTGGCTCCCCCACAAGTTCCCTAGGTTCCTCGACATCAACACTGATGGGAGGTGTGGCTCGCACACGACCGGAAGCAGTGCTGCACACCTGATTGGTGGTTCGTTTGCCCGCACAAGCTGAAACACACAAGCGACATGTTCATTCCCTCAAGCTGGGTGGCTCCCCACAGGCGGGAACGTTCTAAAATTGAGAGATTGGCGAGCCTCATCGTCCCGCCACATGGAATCGAATCCCAACCTCAACTTCACCGGGAAAATGATGAGGAAACGGTATGCAAGAAAGATTCGAGTCTTCTCCTGTTGCCGACGGTGAGTTCCGTAGCCCAACCGGTGCCGGACGTAAGGAACTTAATCACTTTTGTATGTACGGATACACCTATACGCCTTTGTACAATACGTACAATTAATACTCTGCCCGTAAGCAGCACTATTTTTGGCGAAAATACCTAACACAAGCAAGTCGAAGGACGACGAGCGGCCCCTGCTGTGGATGGAGCAGTACCGGTATGTTCGACCAGGGATCTGAGTTAGAAATGCCTTTGCCTTCGCATGTGTACTGTACTGTACGAAATTAGTACCGAGTGTTCCTTAAATCTTGGGTTCTCTTTGACTGCTCAACAACCTGGAATCCATCGGGATTTGAGACTTGTCTTCAATTCTCAGCATTTCTGGTATCGAACTGCCACGTGACGCAGGTGGGGCGGTTTCGCTGGCTATTGAAGGCGGTCAATGGCGGCCCAAGTGTTCGTCGGCTTCTGTATTTTCGCCATTTTGCCCAGACATTCGTCAAGCTTCGCGACCTCATCAATATCTCTCAGATCCAGCCATTCGTTTGCACCTTGTGCCCGATACATACCCTGACTAGAATGGGAGTTTAATAACGCCCTTCGCCGCTCGGTTGCCTTCTGTGCAGGTAATACGTTCCCTACTTTTTCTCTCCCTCTCACCCTTCTCCTCTCCGTCTGTGTGATGAACTTTTATTGGAGCTGTCTGTAGCCCTGTAATTGCAGGCGTTGATGACAAGTCTATAATTACGCTATTTCTTTCTGACATCAGCACTCTATCATTCGATATTCATGGGCTTTTGAAGTCTAGAGGAGAGAGCTAACTTGTACCTAGCGACCTACCCAAAAGACCCGTGCCCCTTACCGTTCACCATGGACATGGCCAACGGGAATGCGAGCACCTCAGCATCAGCCCCAGCCCAGAACGGCCAACGGGATGACGATGCTGCCGGGTTCAAATTGAAATTCTGCACCGTCTGTGCAAGCAACCAAAACAGGTAGGTTCCGTGGCCTGAAATTGTGAAGCGTATCTGACATATCCCAGGTCAATGGAAGGGCACCTACGCCTCGCTCAGGCCAACTATCCAGTCATCTCCTTCGGTACTGGCTCTCTTGTCCGGCTTCCCGGGCCAACCATAACCCAGCCCAATGTCTACAAGTTCAACGAGACATCATACGACAGCATTTACCGGGAACTCGAGGCCAAGGACCCTCGGCTGTACCGAGCGAATGGCCTCCTTAACATGCTGGGACGGAACCGAGTCATAAAATGGGGCCCCGAACGGTGGCAGGACTGGCAAGTCGGCATGCCTCGGCTCAAGCATGAAAAGGACAAGGGAAGCGCAGGGATGGAGGCCGGCATTGCGGACGTGGTCATCACATGCGAGGAGCGTTGTTGGGATGCCGTCATTGACGATCTCCTTAGTCGGGGTTCCCCGTTGAACCGGCCCGTCCACGTCATCAACATTGACATCAAGGATAATCATGAGGAGGCATCGATCGGAGGCGGAGCTATTGTCGACCTCGCCGATTCTCTCAACAAAGTTGCCGTCGAGGAACGGGAGAAGGTTGGCGCTTCAGCATTTGACTCTGGGAGCAGCGCCAGCAGAGCGAGCTTTGACGAGCGGGTACCCGAGGTCTTGGCTGAGTGGCAGGAGCGGTGGCCGAATCTCCCTGCCACATGGACACTTTCATGGTTTTAAAGGGGATATAGCGGTATAGCAGCATCTATACCCGGCTGTGTAAATGGGCAAGGCGTTGGGTGACTGGGCATTTCGGAAGGAATTTGGTTTAGGCGTTAGTTAGGGAAGGGGGCAAACGGAGAGATACCAGGCATCGCACAGGAGGACTTTGCAATGATGAAGGCCACGACCTTCGACGTTAGGCTGTGGGTACTGTCAAGACAGCTGGCCCCGGTTTGTTTCGGAGGAGGAAGTTAAAATGAGGATGACAGGGGTTGTTGCAAACGGGCTTCTTTGCCAACGAGGTTTCCCGGCTACCTCGCAGCAAAGTCCAAATGACTCGAATTCATTCAGGACGGGATCGAAGTCGACGACTCGACGTTGAAGGCGCAAAGCCCGGGGATTTACCCGGCACATGGAAAATCAAACAGCGAAACACATCATGGATGAGATGGGTCCGGGGAGTTTAATGCAAATAATACGGAGGTACATACGTGAATGACACACTGTGCTCCCGCGTTCCAGAAAGAATCGAATTGGTTCCCTGGCGCAGCGCCATGGCCGCCTTCCTATCAACCTGGCAGATGCTTTGGAACATGTGAGCTGTTATGTATACCGTAGTGTAAGGTGCAAGCCTACTGTAGCTGAAAACTAGGCGCCGGCTCCGCTGTCAAGGGCGGCCATGCCAGGGTAGTAAAATGCGCTGCGTGTGCCATCTTATCTACAGTACGGAGTACGGATACATTAGTCGCCATCTGAAGCTAGGTGCGGTTCGTTTGCTAATCGTTAGCAGTCAAGCGATAATCTTCCTGTCAGTCCAGCTACATAGTCATGTTTGTGGTATCCCGCTCTGTCTTTCACGTTACTCACGATGAAAACAAATGTTGAGCTGTAAGGTAGGCAGCCGTGGCCGGCGGGAGCGGGAGCGGCTTATTCTTGACCTGCAAGGCCGACACCACCCCTGCTTTTTCATCCTCCTGACCCCCTGTCTCCGCCCCGATACACTCTGCTCTCGCGCGCGACTAACATGAAATTGCAACCCCAACAGCGTGCAGGAACCAACCCAATTGCGTCGTCAATTTGATTGTGCCTCTTCGTCAGGGGCGCCGCCGGGCAATTGGGCAATTGGGCGATTAATTAGTGTACTCTACTCCTAACTAACCCTTTTCCCATTATTTTGTCTTAACTTGTCTTGTGCATTGTTCAAGTTCTGACGGTTTTTGCTTTATTATCTCCGTAGCCGATCTGAATTTGGCTTTTCCTTTTCGATTTTGACTCGTGGTCGCCGTTCATCTTTCCACCACCGCCACGCATCTAGGAGGCACACAAAACTGCAGCCGAAACCAAGACAAAGCCAGCGGTTCGAAAGAAGGCCCCCCAGCCTCGCAGTGCCGCTTTTTTGGCCTCGTGCTGATTCCAAGTGGCCGGTCCTTGTCCCTGAAGTCGAACTGCACGGTAGCCAGCCCGAGCAAAAGGACGCCGTTGGTGGACAAGTCGATGCGTTTCATGCTGTGACAACCCTCCACGATCCGACATCCCGGCTGCCTTTCTACTTCTCCTCGTCATATTGAATGCGGCAGCGCTACTGCAACAACGTCAACTAAACACACGACTGACGCGAAGCAACCGGACACGTCGCGCACTTCCAGCAGGGCCGACTTTTTTCCACCGAACTGCCAAGAATACCATGAATGGTCGCAATGCACCCTTATCACCTGTGTCTGTAGGCGGTAGCGAGTGGTCTTACCCGATCGCCGACAAGGACGGTCCTTATTCAAATAACCGAAGCCAACTCAATACGCCGCCCGACTCTGCGGGTCCCGTGAGGGCGATGAACGCGAATTTCCCACCAGGGCCTCGCAGCGTTGGCGGGCCGTCGCCGCCCCCCTCCGTGGGCAGGTCAAGTGCCGGTACCAACCTGTACGCGCGCAGCGAAAGCGGGAGAAGCCAGAGCCAACAGTTGGAAAATCAGGAGCTGGTATTGTCGGAACACTATGTGTCTCTTAAACGCTTTCTGTCGGCTACCTCGCGCGATGGCAACCCGAAGCCGCCCCCAACAAACAAGGCCCGTGACAAGCTACAGCGCCTGACGGGCGTCCAGTTCCTCGAACTCAGTACCGACGTCTACGACGAGTTGAAGCGACGTGAGCTCGCAAGCCGAAGACCCTCTAATGCGCCGCCCGGCACCGGTCCGCCTGAATACTTATTGCCCGAGGAAAATTTCCACCCTAAACGAAATCAGGCTCGGCAAAAGCTCTCTTCCCTTGGCCCTCCTCGGTTCCGCGACCTAGCCACCGACGTTTTCTGCGAGCTGGAGCGGAGATTTCCGCGTTTCACCGTAGGGGACATCCCGCGTGTTGGAAGCCCCATGTCGATCCGCGGTCGGTCACAGACTCCGGTTAACGGGATGAACGGCTTTCCTCCTAGAGGCCAGAGCCGGAGACGGCCCTCTGAGGCCAGTTCCGTGCGGAGCGGCAGGGGGTTGCCAACACCCATGAATAACGGCTTCCCTGTGCCGCCGTCCCCAGGACTACCAAACGGAGATTACGGGCGCCCAATGGCAAAACAATTCCAGAGCAACACCATCGTCCCGAACAAGAGCACCATGGTGGAAGAAGACGACGATGCGCTTAGCCCCCTGAGTCCAGATCCTAACGTTGCCGACGCCTACGGCTTGGGCAGGATGGCGGGAGATCGAGACAGCAAGCGCAGCGCAGGACCATCTGAGGTCTGCTTCCTTCTCCATTTCCCACGACTGATTTGGGCTGACATTTCCCCTTAGACCGACAAAAAGCTCATTGAAGATTACGAGCAGCAGGTCAGGGATCTGCGGGAAAAGCTCGATGATATGGAGGATAAGTTAAAGAAGAAGGATGATGAGCTGAACAACCTGCTAGACGGTGAACGTTCGAAAACAAATGCGGTGGACTTGGAAAGGAAAGAGTGGGACGAGACACGCGCGAGTCTGGAGAACAAGCTCGCCGAGGCCCAGGAACTGAACGAATCCTTAAAGAGGGAACTGGACAGGTTACAGAGCGAACACGCTAATGAACTCCGGCGCCTGAGGGAAGATTTAGAGGACACTCGCCAGTTGAGCAACAGTAATGCGAAATCGAGCGGCGCCGCTAGCTCGGACCTGGAGAAAGAGAACCAAGCCCTCCGTGCGGCGCTGGAAGAGCAGGAACAAGTGACGGAGGAAGTGCGCCGGGAAGCTCAAGAATTTCTCAGGGAAATGAGGATGATTTCGCAGCAGAGCGGCGCCGCGTGGGAGAAACAGTCCGAGCTGGAAAAGACGATCGACACACTTGAAAACGAAGTTCGAGAATGGCAGAATCGGTACGCCCGCGCCAAGACGCAGCTGCGCGACATGCGTGGCTCATCAGCCGGCCTCACAGTCGACCAGGACGCTGTCAAGTACGTTCGCGACAAGGGCTTTATGCAGGAGAACGGATTGGTCAAAGACATACACGTTACCAAGTTCCAGATCGCCATCGACGACTTACTCCAACGGGCGCGAGCCGGTAATCCGGAGCGGCTGACGGACTCGATGAAGGCAGTCGTGGTCAGCGTGCGGCGCATCACTAAGGATGTCGATGGGCCAACGCAGAGCAGCGAAACGGTAACGCAGCATCAAAAGCTCAAGGCCCGGGTTTCTGCTGCGGCCAACAATCTGATTACAACGTCGAAGAACTTTGCCAGCTCGGCGGGCATTACGCCAGTGTCCATCATCGATGCGGCTGCATCCCACCTCGTTGCCGCGGTCGTTGAATTACTGCGGGCCGCCAAGATCCGATCCACGCCGGCCGACGAGTTGGAGGAGGATGACGACGGAACAGTTACGCCTGTGGAATCCACAAGCTTCTTTTCCCCTCGGAGCAACGGGCAGAGTCAAATATCAAGCGTCACATCCGTCCAAGACTCGCTGCCCCCGCCTCCACCGTTCCAGGGCTTGGGTGCTGGGAGCCGAACCAGTATCGACTCGTCCGCCTACAGCCCTGTCAATTCGCCGCGCGAATCGTACGCCAACGGCTCCACGGCTCGTAACGGCGCGACGACAAACGGCAACGGAGGCGGCTATGGGAACATGGCCAGGAATTTAGCCGCACCACCCAACGGGATGCGTGCCGCTGACAGGCGGACCGAGGATCTCAAGATCTACCTCGAGGACCAGACGGCGGTGCTGGTGCAGACGATCCAGGAGCTTGTGCAGCTGATACGTAACGACGCCGACATCAACCAGGTCTCGGAGGAGATCAACACGATTGTGGAGGTGGTTGGGCAGGTCATTGCCGAGACGACGGCGGCCGCAGGGCCGAGCGGCGCCCAGGAGGTCAAGCGCCTTGCGTCGTGCCGCGAGCGGCTGATGGAGGCCGGCAAACGCGGGCTCGAGCTGGCAGGTGACAACAACAACTACAACGACACCAAGAGCAGCCGCGAGTGGCGCATGTGGACACAGACGCTCCCGCCCATTGCGTTTGAGCTCGCGCGAGAGACCAAGGAGCTCGTCCAGCGGGTTGATCAGCTCCAGATTACCGGGTTGGATGATGGGGTTGATGACTTTGCATGATGCATGCAGGGCGTAATCTGCTGATGTTGAACTTCTGCTCGGCGGTTTATATTTTCTGGCTTTGTTTTTTCTAGCTTCTCAACCCCTTCCGTTCTTGACCGCGGCATATACAACAATAGCTTCATATGCTTCGCTCTTCTTCTGCTTTGATACCCATCATAGCCCCCTTCCATGGTTGATGCTTGTTCATCCCATTTTGTTGCGACACGCCGTTGGATCTCAATGGAGCTTCTTTATCGGAGTGGTTGCACCTTCAGTCGGGTGTGGTTGGTGACCTTTTGATTTCTCGCATCGGCATTTGTCAATGTTGTCGTTTATTTCGCCTGGCTACCTACGACTGTTGCCGAAGGGTGGTCATATACTTGTATATAAAGCAGAAGGGGTGTTCGGTGAGGGATGAGCATAGATCTTCCCCTTTTTTTGGAGATGTATGTATGCCTTTGTATAGATGGAGAAGGTGTTCTCCGTAGGTGGTTTCATGATGCTGACGAGGAAGGGTATCCGCGGGTATCTACTGGGTTACCCTTCGATTTTGTATGGATGGATGGAATGTATTGTACGCATAGTATAATGTGTTAGACCAATCATCAACTGCACAAGTGCGAGATCTTGGACTTCGAGAAGGTTATGGGCTTGGACCTGCTGGTGTACATGTATTTCCCTTTGCTGCAGACTTGCAGCGTGGCCGCGCTTGATTCGGCTGAGGCTAGGTAGGGTATATTCAGAGGGATGATGGCTGTTACGGCTGAGGCATATCTCGGATTTATGTAGCTTGCTGGCGAGAGGCTGGCAGCCCTGGGAACGGTTCGATCTACGGTAAGTAACAGCCCAGTTGACTACTCCGTATCGAGATCACAAACTGAGTCCTGGAAGAACTGGAAAGACCCTGAGTCGGTAATAACCGCTACGCGTGACCTTCTCGCTAACCCTGGCCTGTGGCGTTCTTTAGCGCCTCAGCAGTTCCCCAGTTCCCTGACTGAATGGACGAGAGAGAAAGACATGAAAAAGGTTCCCATGGATCGTGTGCGACGGTGAATGCAAGGCTCCCGAGGTCGAGTGCTGATTGATTGAAGAGACTGTGCAGAGCAATACATAATCTTCCTTGCAGGAAGGATGCATGCATGCGTTGCACGACTTGAGCGACTCGTTCCTGCCGCTTCTGCTAGTGTTGACTGCATCTCTTCAATAGCGCTTTCCACGCCCACCACCTCAAGCCTCATGCATATCATGCATTGCACAGCCTTGCCTAACTTCACTCGTACTTGTACTTGGCACGAATTACAGATCAGAGACAAGCTTTTTCCCGACCCTAGTCGAAGCCCTTGGAGCTAACGTTCAACAACCGGGCGCCAATCCTCAGCCGCTGCCTTGCCTGCCCAATACCCGACCATCCGGCTCCTCGCTGCCGGTTCAGTGACTGTAACTTGGAGGAAGAAGGCTGTTTGGAATGACTTGATGTTGTCTGTGAGCTTGCTGCTGATGATGCCTCACATATGGAATGTTCGTCCATGGAAGAGCAGATGAACAATGCAGAGACAACAGATCCAGAAAGAAATCAGAAAAGAATTACACAGTTCCGAGATGCTGGGATCAGCAAAGGGGTGTGTGTCACCCCTTGTTTTCTCCCCCCTAGATTGGGCTTCGGCGCCCTTCAGCCGCACGCACGTCTCCTTGTCTCGACCAACCACGACAGACCTTCAGCCCAGAGGATATGGGTCGGGACTAAATAAGCCGCATCTCATCACGCATTATGAAAGTCACAGCATAACCTTACTAACACGGTCCTGTACATACATACAGGATGTACGGAAGTATACCCCAGGGGGATTCGCCTGCTGGCCGCAAGGCAGATTCGGGACCCGAACGCGCGATAGATCGTGCCGTGTGAGTTGTCCTCCCCCATTCGTGGCTTGCTTTGGTCCCTTGTCCCGGCAGACCAAAATAAGATTAGAAGGGCCATGACATAAAGCCCTGAGATCTCCCAGAGCCCGGCGTGCTCCTCTCGCTTTCTGTCCAACTCCTCGCGTCGCTCTCTATCTCTGCCTTCCTTTCACTCGGCCTTTCAAGATGGAAGACCCTCGGTACTCAGCCATTCGGGCTCCCGGGCACGAACACATCCCCCTCTATCCTCGGGGCTTCATCGCAGTAAGGATTATTCAGCTGATCCTTGCTGTCCTGATCCTCGGCCTGTCCGCCTTCGGTGCGTTGCCATCAAAGAAACCATTCCAGCAAAGCTACATGACAGGACTAACATGAGCCACAGCCGTCTGGTACCTACCTTATGATGGAAACGCCTTTATGCTCGCTATTGTAAGTTATCAGGAGCTCCCTCCTAAGAAGGGAGACCGACACTAAGCATCTCAGGCCGTGATGGCCATCATCGCCGGCATCTACCATCTCGTGGCCAAGTACGGCGCGCCCTACGTTTACAACTACTGGGCTGTTCTCGGCCTCGATATCTTCTTTATTATCATGTGGCTTTGCGCGTTTGCCCTGCAAGCCTCCCGCGTTGCGCGCTACTTCACCTCGACTGCCTCTTCCTATTATGACTACTATGATTATGGTGATTATAGCGATTACTATTATGTCAAACGCAACACCTATGCTTACCCGATCGCGTGGCTTGCCTGTCAGGCAGCTGCGGCTGCTTTCGGCGGCTTCTCCTTGTAAGCAGCCTTCCCCCCTATTCTCTTCCCCCTTCCTCCTCCACAATCTGACACTCTACCTTGACCTCCAGCGTCCTCCACATAGTCGCTTTGATCATCCACTCGATCCGCTTGCACCGTCACCGCCGCGCGGGCCTGCACTGTATGCCCGGCATGCCGCGGACCATGCCTTCCGGCGGCGGCAACACCACTGCGGCCGCTATCCCCATGGGCCCGTACGCCCCTGCTGAGAAGGCCGCCGACCCTGTGCCGGTCTACCCGCACCACCAGCCCGCCCAGCCGTATCAGCAGCAGCAGCAGGGAGGCTACCCGGCCCAGAACGGCTTCTACCCGCCGCACCCCTCGCAGAGCCCCCCGCCGCAGCTCGTTGCCCAGCCCACCGGCGGCAGCTTCGCCACGAGCCACACGGGCGGCATGCAGTCCCCCATGCATGCCCCTGTGCCTATGCCGGCCAACCATCATCAGCTGCCCGCGAATTAGATGATTGAGTTCGGCTGAGGAAAAGCGGGCGGGAAAGCGGTGCGTGGCTAGATGGAGGGGGGGGGGGAGGGTGGGGAAATGTTGTGATAGAAAGATCGTGATCGGAAGGAGAGGGTGTACGTGTGAACTGGAATGAAGGGAGGAAGGGCGTAATGAAGAGGAGTGGTCTAGGTGCCATTAATTGCGAATACCCCTGTGGCTTTCTTTACGTAGTCTCAATTGGATGCTCCGATGTGGCCCGCGGAGCTCAACAGATTGTCGACAGTTTTCTGCTAATCAGATAGAGTGTGTGGCCTCACAGTTGGTTTATTGGAGTTCACCTGAGTGAACCCAGTTAGATGTTGTTTGTAGTCGTCGATAGAATACCTGTTTTCAAGGGATGCAGTAGGTGCTTAGTGGTCGTGGTTATGGGACGGGAGTGCTATCTGAGATGTCATGTCTCTTTTGACGTTACCTATCTCGTCAGGTAGAAGATGACATAGCAGTTCTGTCTACCAGGTATACAAAGATATCTCCAAGTTGTAAGGTAAACGGCACAGACGGCAACCCCTTACTTTGGGTTACACACAGTATTGGATTAAATCAGACAGAAGTTACACCTGTGTAACCAGCCTGGATGTCGACAGGCCAATGTGATCTTACGGCACATTATGCCAGCTCAAACCTAATTATAAACACACAGCAATCGGCAACTCCGTCATTATAAACCCAGATCAACAGCCTCTGTGAATACTTGCTGCAAATCACTCACATCTCCTCCTCTTCCAACATAGCCACAAACTCACAACAGATAAAGCCAACTCCTTCCAACACGCAGATGGAAATCGATCAGTTTATGCCATCCAAGTCTACAGCATCACAAACACCCTATCATCGCATGCTCAAATGTCCCCCTAGAAATTACCCAACTGCTCTGACCAGACTTACAGTCCCTTCGCAGCGTTCAGGATCCTGCTCTCAATAATATCCACCCACCGCTCCGCATTCTTCCAATCTTCGGCATCAATACTCTCCATCAGACCAGGGAAGACAGCTAGTTTGAAAATCACACATCGTTAGTCTTGCTTGGATGGGATAACTTTGAGTCCAGTAACAAAAACAAAAGAAAGAAAACTTACCGCCAGCATAACCCGTCCACAGCCCCGGGGCAAACACGACATGCTTGAACCACGGCCGCCCGTCCAACCCTTGCTCATGCAAGAAAGCCCGCTCGAGATACTTGTACTTGGTGTTGACTTTGCGGATGGCGAGCGCCAGCTTGATGCGAGCGGGCCAGTGCCACCAGGGAACGCCCTCAAAATCCAGCTCTAGATGCTTGGCGCGCTTATCCAGCTTCATCGCGCGCTCTGTCAATTTTTCTAGGGCGTGGTGCAGGCGGCGGAGGTGGGTCTTGAATGACCCCGCGTCTGGTGGGGAGGAGGAGGAAGTTGTCGTAAGGGCGGACGTGTTGTGTGCTCGGCTGCGGAGTTCGAAATACACCTCGTCGTCGTTGATGGCTAGGACGGATAGGTCCTCTTCTACTTGCGGAAGGTGTAGGGCGGCGCCCAGTTTATCCTCAACCTTTTTGACATAGCTGTCTAGGGCTTTTGCGTAGTCGGTCGCCATGAAGGGAATCACGGGCATTTCAGCCAGCTTGGCCGTCATCAGACCCAAGATCTGGGCCATGGCCTTATGGTAGACGAAGCCTGGATCGCCAAACTTCTCCATCCAGTGGAAACTGTCGTAGTTGCTGTGATAGTGGTACACCGCCTTGTAACCCGCGTCGAAGCCGATGTGCACCGACGGGATGCCAGCAAAGTCCTGGAAGGCAGTGAAGTCGCTTCCGCTTCCCATGGTGTGGATGTTCTTGTCCCAGAGGTCGAAGACGGTCTGGCCTGGAACCGTCTGGTTGGGGGACGGGACTTCGGCAGTCACAGAGTAGATGAGGTTATCGAGGAGTGGTGCTGCAGAGACGAATAAGTCGGGGCCTCCGGCTGCCGTGTCGGTGTTCTGCTCGTGTCAGCAGGGTAGAACTTGATGCCTTCTTCAAAGTGAGGGGCGCACAGTCGACGGCGGAGGTTGCACATACGACATAAGCTACGTTCGCGCCCCTGAGCCAGGGCAAGTATTCCTCAACCCACTCGGTAGACCCGATCAGGCCGTACTCCTCGCCGTCCCAGCTGGCAAATACAATGGTGCGAAGGGGCTTCCAGCCGAGACGCAAGGCCTCACCAAACGATCGGATCGCTTCATTCAGCACGGCTGACCCGCTGTTAGGGTCCCCAGCTCCGCCGGCGATCCAGGCATCGCGGTGGCAACCGACAACTGTGTAGCGCCGTGATTAGCATCACCATACGGGACTACATATGCACGTAAAAGCTCTGAAGAAGCCGGTCTGACCAACGCTCCTGGATCACTTTCACGGATGGCAAAGCCCAAACACTCACCGATGACCTCGTCCGGAATTGTGCCATTAATGACGCCAATGACGTTCCACAGAGGAGTAGTCTCATATTCCTGCTCATTGTACAGGTTCACAACGACATCATCTGGCGTTGGGCCGATGTTGTAATGGACACCTTTGTACTGCAGCCCCATGTTGCGGTTCCAGTACTTGTTGAAATCCTTAACCTTCGGGCCGTGGCCGTTGAGCGCTCTGAGAATAGGGATGGCATCTTGGTAAGAAATAGGGACTGATGGGATGCTCGGGATCGCAGAGTGAACCGGCTGGCGGGGCGCACCCGGTTTTGAAGGATAGCCCGGTGTCGTTCTATCGACATGATTAGATGGATTACCGGAGGATGAGGGGGGTCAGTACGCACGGGTCGCCTGGCGCAACACTGAGGAACTGGGTGCTCCCTCGTTGCACGCTGCTCGGCTGGCGCGCTGGGCCATCTGGATACACAGCATACCCGTTTTCTTCCGTGACATCGCCGTCGTCGCCTGGGTCGCTGTACAGAATAGTACCGATCATGCCGAGCTCCTGAGCACGCTTGACCTTCAGCCCACGGAAGATGCCGCCATAACGGGCAATGGCGATCTTGCCCTCGAGGGTGACATTGGCCTTGATCAAATCCTCGAAATCCTGGTACGTCCCATAGTTGACGTAGACAACGGGGGCTGTGACATTCCCGGATGCGGAGTAGCCATGGAAAGTCGGGATCCTGTCTGCCAAGCTGGTGGTCGGATCCTCGTCAATGACATCCTCGGTGAGCGAGGCCTCGAAGGACACCTTCCACGCCGAGGCGCCGTCGTCCTGCTTCTCCTTTTTCAGAAGCGCTAACCGGTGGTCTACCGGATAGTTGATGTACACATCGTAAGAAACAATGTCTGACTTGACCCCAAACTTTTCCCATAGATCCTTGGTCCACAGTGCCTGAAACAAGCAGGTTAGTCTAAAATGAGACACCAGCTATCTGGGGGTGAGAAGCGTTTAACCTGGGAGTAGTTCTTGCCGGCTAGATGGGGCCCGGCGGTGTAATATCTGCTCCATTCCTCGGCCTTCTCGCTGCTGGGTGTGTCAAGGAGGATGCGCTTCAGCTGGTCGTAGTCGACCTTTCGCCGTCCCCAGCCGGGCCAGGTCCGATGGCTGTGGTGGCCATGATGCCCATGACCGTCAGGGAATAGGGTCAGGGACACAGCAACGGACAAAAAGAACCATGTCAAGACGGATGCGAGAGCGATGGTGCAGAAGCGGCGTACGACGGCATGGGGGTACCGTGGCCGGGGAGAAGCAATCGGGAGCGTGGTTATGAGCGGAGTGCGCTCCGAAGCCGTGGCTGTCTTGGACCTGGATCCTGAGTCAGCTCATGTCTGTTGTTTTGGGGGAACGTGTGGAACAAGCCACACTCTTTCCTGGAGAATGGAGATGATGCTCGTGAAACCTGAACTCACTTCATGCCGGATCGAGATCGTCAAAGTAGTACAAGTACATGCAGTACTCCCCCGCGAGAAACAATTGGATATACTCCTTACCAGTATGTCATCTCAGGAACATCACTTGGATGGTTGGGCGTCGGATGAAGCTTTACTAAGGTAACCAGGCCGCGTCTCGGCCATTGATACTCACTGGCTGGTGACGCAAGAGCGGGAGCTGCTGTGCCACGAGTTTAGGAACTGCCTGTTCTGGCTTAGCTGGATATGCGTTTACACTACAAGTGACAGGTCCCAAGTGAACAAATTCTCTTCCCTTTCTCAAAGATGCTCCAAAATTCGATGCTCCTTCTACATGCCACTCGGATTCGACTTCTTACAAAGTCGATGGTGCAACCCTCTCTATCTTGGGGTGTGCTACATACAGATGTTGGGTCGTAGCTTCCCGCCGTACATGCTTCCTCGTGATTGCAACTGCAGGGGATCAGTCACAACATTCACCATGCCTTTACCACTTGCGGTTACTGGCGGAAGCTGCACCCCGTCGCTGCCCCGTCACCAACGGCAACGATGACTGCATACACTAGATGCACGTCAAGGCCTGTTGCCCGCTGACCTGCAATCAAGCCACCAAGCACGGGGAAGTGTTCCCGGGAATTTCGTGCCTCCATGACCTGCACTGGAGATATTGGCTTCACCCTCTCAGACCCTCTTCACTTCTTGGACCTTAACTCTACCACAGTAAGGGAAAGTGGGGCAGGTTGTGGGGAATCTGCATGAGCAAGCACCGAGATCCGATTGCGGAGTAAAATTCGGGGGGCACCTGCAACCTCGACCTCGCAGGGCAGCGGCGTCGTTGATATCTACGAGATTGGAAGGTACCTCGTTCTATTTCACTCCGAGCGAAGTTAAGCGTACCTGTACATCCTATTTCTTTGATCACGAATAGTTTGCGCATAAAATGACAGCGCAAAACGTTGCTTCGTACAACACAGCTTCTTTCTCGGGTGTCGTCGGCTCCGTCCATAGACCCCGGTCCTCGGTGCGCCCTCCGGATTCTCCGAGCTGGGCGCCGAGCATGTGAGGGCGGGCCGCTGGATACTGTGACCCTTATCCGACGGCCGGGGGCGTGTCGAAGTCCCATTCACAGCAGGGCCGACCAATCGATAGCCCTTCAATGAAGTAAAATTCAAAAACCCTGGGTCGCCGCTGCCTGCAGCTTTCTCTGCAGAAAGTAACCCTGCTGTCAGCCTTCCCCAACCCCGTGCTCTCGGTGGATTTTGAAGTTTTAAAGTTCTATGCCGCCACCATATTCTCCGTAAGCTTCTGAAAGTTCATTCTGCTTTCCAGCTTTTGGCTTCTGACAATTCTGGTTTGCCGATTAATCAACCCACAAGACACCTCTTCAAGTTTGTCGCGAATCACAGCTCGGCGGGACCTGAACTTGAGTAACCTTCGTTCTTTCTGTGCCTTGCATTCTCATGGCCAATCAAAAACAAAATGGCCCCAGATTACCAGTGCAACAGCTAGCAATTTTAGGTGAGTTCAACACGTCTGATTCGAGGCGTTGTCGTCCACTTCGGAAACTGTCCATCCGGAACTTGCCAAGACGATTTCGATTCGTGAGACCCGGGTACCACACCCATCCCCAGTCACCGTCGCTAACTCTCTGACTGGGCCAATGCAGCCGTCGCTAGGTTTGCCGAGCCACTGGCTCTAACCTCAGTGTTTCCATACCTGCCTGAGATGATAGCAAGCTTTGGCGTTGAAAAGAACGAGATAGCAAGATGGGCCGGTTTCACTGGGGCCATCTTCTCCGTGTCCCAGAGTATGACTGCTGTCGCTTGGGGGAGGGCATCCGATAGGTTCGGCCGGAAACCCGTCATCCTCGTCGGCCTTGCAAGTACCATGTGCTGCTTCCTCCTGTGGGGCATGTCGACGAGTCTTCCCATGGCCATCACCGTCCGCGCTATTATGGGCGGTGGCAACGGCAATGGTTGGTCCACTGCTCGGAACCCAACTTGGAACAAGTCACTAACACGGATCAGTTGGAATCATCAGAACAATGGTGGCAGAAATGGTACCTGAAAAGGAGCTCCAGCCAAAGGCCTTCTCCCTTATGCCCCTCGTATGGAGTATAGGCTCTGTCTTCGGTCCCGCCTTTGGCGGCTTCTTTGCCCGGCCCGCCGAGCAGTACCCCGATCTGTTCGGTCATATAGAGTACTTCAAGCGCTTCCCTTTTGCACTGCCCAATTTAATGGCTTGCTGCGTGTTCTTCATTTCCTTCATGACGGGACTGCTGTTTCTAAAGGTCAGTGTGATAATTTAAGGGGCTATGTAAACAAAGCTGACGCCACACAGGAAACACTCCATAGCAAACGCCACAAGCGCGACTGGGGCTTGGTGCTTGGCGAGAAGCTGACCAGAACCTTTCGCCGACCTATGGGTCACGGAAAACATAGGAGGCGGTCCTTTGTCGATGATGAGGCCTCGGCGCCTCTCCTGGCGGAATCTGTGTCGAGTTATGACCAAGCTACTGCCGAGGCCGAACCCCCAACTGTTGGCGACATCTTCACATCCCAAACCACTATCAACCTCTTATCATATACATTTTTAGCCTTGCATTCCGTCACCTACGACCAGGTTCTCCCCGTCTTCCTCAACTATCCCCGCGTGATACCCGATGAAAGCAACACACACCTTCCCTTCAAATTCACAGGCGGATTCGGTCTAAGCTCTGACAAGATCGGCACCATCTACACTATCTATGGTATTCTGTGCGGGATAGTGCAATTTCTATTCTTCCCTTGGCTTTGCGCCCGCTTTGGCGTCTTGGGATGCTACAGAGTTGCGAGTAGGTTTAACCCTCTTCGTCGCAATTCCAAGCTCCATCGCTAACTCGGGGACCCCAACTCCCCTACAGTGCTAATCTTCCCAATCCTCTACTTTATCACCCCTTACACGGCGCTCATCCAAGATGCCACCATGCGCTATGCCATCTTCCTCACGATCATGTTTATCAAGGGCGTCATTGTCATCATCGCCTTCCCCTGCACCACCATCCTGCTCACAAATTCAGCCTCGTCCCTCCGCATTCTGGGCACTCTCAACGGCTTCGCCACCACCTTCAGCGGCCTCGGTCGCGCGGCTGGGCCTGCCCTCATCGGCGCCGTGTTCAGCTGGGGCGCGAAAATCGGTTACGCCATTGCTCCATGGTGGTTTCTTGGTTTGATCGCTGCGGTGGGCGCCATTCCGCCCTGGTTCATTGTCGAGGGTGAGGGGCCGACCCGGAGTCTTGGCTCCGGCGGTGCCGATACGGAGGAGGACAGCCTTATTCCGCCGGCCGATGACGATGACGAAGTGGCTATTCTTGATGCGCTTGACGACTTGGATTCTTCCGGATCTGATGACGGCTCGGCAAAAGCGTTGAAGAAGACGAGTGCGAAGAGATCTTACGGTACCATAAAGGAAAACGGAAACGGGATGTCCAAATGATTGGATGACTGATTCTGGAAAACTATTGACTCCCCGGATGATTACGATGGGATACGAAAACGAGACGAATGTTGAATTCACACGACACGGCCAGACGAGATACGACCTGCATGGCGTCTTAATTTTGGATACTCTGATTTTTTGTCTGCCTAAGGGTGTTGCATAGTATACCCATTGGCTTGGAGTCGCTGTTTTGGTTCAATGGCGTTGGGTTTCAAAAGTTGCGGGGTAGCATTGTGATGCCAACTTCGAAAAACGATGGGCGGAGGGGATACCTTATGGTGGATAATGTATACTTATCCAGACTCAACCCGTACGTAGCAGGGTAATAATCGAGGAATTACTGGGATACTACGGTTTCCAACTAGTGACTGATTTGACCTGTAGATGGACAGGAGCCAGATAACACACCTAACAGAAGCCATCGCATCCTGACATGCTCACCTCACTTATCCCACCGGTCGGGCGAGTGGCCCGGCAGACAATTAACATACCCATGTTCCTGTCAATTTGGACGCCCGCAACACAGCATTGAAACCCCTACGTACCCCTCAACTACTCCACCGTTCCATGACCTCAACACCGTGAACTTTAAACACGGAAGCACCAATAGTTTGCTTACACTAAAGATATCATGATTTCATCTACCTCTACGTGGAACTAGCGATGGAATGCCCCAAACCCCGCCCACGATGCAGTGCAGTGCAGTGCGCTCCAGCAGGAGACACCACCACACACGCCCACGACCAACCCACCCCACCCAGAAAGAAACACATCCCTCAGGACTACAGGATCAATACCCTACACCTAAATCTTGCTTTGCCTGACAAGTAACCCAATTCCAACAGATGTAACAAGACCGGACACAAAAGTCTCCTTCCCATCATCAATCCATCATCCATCCCGTCATCGCCCGTTATTCGTCTGTCCACCCAATCCCGCCCGGATCCCCTAACTGCCAAACGGAGAGGAGAAAAGCAAGCCTAGGTAAACCCAGGCAAGAAATATCGCTTCAACGCTCCCTTCTCCAAATGCTAGCCTCGGTGTGTTTTTTTCTCTCTCGCTCGCTACCAGTGACGCAAAACGAAACGAAGGAAACGAAGGGGGAATCGAGTCAACAAGCCATCAAAGAAGAAGAAATAGAGGAAGCAAGGAAAAAGATGAGAAAAAACACCCCCCAAGCCCCATCATCTTCAAATATCCCCATCGAGGGATTGAAGGAGCAGCAGAGAGAGTCTACTGCGTCCGATAAAACTTCTTATACAACAAGTGCAGCAACAGATTGACATTGAGCCTCAGCCCGCCCTCAAACAGCGTCATGAACTGGTGCGCCTCAAACTGGGCCTGCAGCAGGTCCTCGATGGGCACCAGGGCGCTGGCGCCCGGCATTTGGATGTGGCCGCGGGAGCCCTCCAGGCTGAAGACGCCCACCTCGTCGCACGAGATTGTCAGGTTGATCTGGCCCCAGTCGCGCTCGGGAATCCCCGCCCAGGAGACGAGCACACCCTTGTCGAAGAGGGCGCGCGCGCTGTACTTGTACGAGCCAAACTTGGGCACGCGGCCGGAGCGCTCGAGCTCGCGCTGGTGGTTGTACTGCTTTGTGAAGGGGAGGAGGAAGCGCTTTTTTCTGTTGGAGACAAGAGAGTGGTTAGTTTCTGGTTATGATTCGGGAAGGAAGGGGGGGTAGGGTTCAAGGGAGTGGACGGTATGAAAACATGACTTACCCTTTTTTGTTCTGCAGGGTTGCCATCGCCTGCTCGATGTAGTCGTCATAGCTCTTGCGCTGCTGCTCCAGGTATTTTGCCTTCTCGTGCAGGTTGGCCAACGTCAGACGGACGCCTTCAAGCTCGCGCTGCCTCTGCACTCTCCTCCTACTTTTCGTGCGGATGTCGACGGCGATGGCGTTCAGGACGTCCTGGTAGTGATTGTGTCGTGAGATGCGGCCCATCTGCTCCAGCCTCAGAATGTTTTCGAGAGCCATTCTCTTCAAGTCGGAGTACGACATCCTCGTCACGTCGACCATGTTCGCATCCGAGTAGGCACCTCGTGTGTTGGAGCCGTTGGAGAAGTCCTCCCGCAGGAGCATCTGCCACTTGTGCTCGTCTTCGACGCTGATGGGCTTGACGAGGATCTCCATCAGGTTGGTACCCGTTTGCACTCTAATAATGTACAAGATGCACCGCTTCGTCTCCATGAACAGCGCCTTGACGTCTGCCTCCGGATCCTCGAGGTCGTGCAGCTTGGGGGTCAGGAACATCTGAATGTCGGACGAACCGGCTGCGGTCATTTCGCTCTCGTTATGCTTCGCGCTGCCAAGATCTTGCATGATTTCCCGCAGCATGTCGTCCCGATTTGGGCTCAAATGAGGAAGCTCAGAGGCGATGAGGTTGTGGATGGCGAAGATGTCGGTCATCTTGATGTACAGCGTCGGCTTGTTCTTCGCATACAGGTCGTTGAACTCGTCAATGTCGAAGGTGCTCTCTGCATCGGGAACCGTAATGAGATTCTCGGTCAAAACTGCTAGACGCTCGATGGATTCTGCGACAAAAGCGTTGAGAGGCTGAAGGTAGATATTTTCTCCACCAAACTGCCTGCCCGAGGCAATCTGGCTCAGCACCTTGGCAACTTCTCCTAGGTTGCGCTTCTGGAGCGGACTCAGTTGCTTGTCAACAACACCGACGTTCTCGGGAGCTGTGACGGCCGGCTGCAGATAGAACTTCCAGAGCCAGTTACTGACCACCTGCAGCAGACGCGTCTGGTGTTCGCGCGGAAACCGTTGGCAGAGAGCATCGAAGGTCTGCCTGCAGACAAAGCGTAACCCGTACGGCATGCGAGGCAAAAGGTCTTCTAGCGCCAGAAGGAATTGATCACAGATCTCGCGAAGGTCCCGTAGGTGGTCAATGAAGACCGCCTTGGTCTCCGGATCCTTGATGGCGAGCTCGCGAGGAATATCGAGGCGCCGATTGCTGGGACGGCCAGTCCGCAGCTCCTCGTTATTGATGGCAGAGCGGTAGATTTGCATAGGGTCGCTCTCCAGGTCAAGCTCGGGATCCTCGATAATGTTGTCCCTAATCATAGGGCCCAGAAGGTCCCTCAGATACTTCCTGTCGCGCGGAGACCTGGTGTAATTGTGGAAGAGCTTGGACCAGAAGAAGTTGCCGCGGAGGTAGTCCTGGAGATTGTTGCAGGCATCGACTTCTTCCCGAATGGATCGTCCGATGAGCTTCAGAAGATAATACTCCTCTCTCCGCTTTTGCGCATAGCCAAACAGGCCCATCATCAAGTGCTCGATCCGCTTGCACTCCTTATCGGGTGTGCCCGTCTCGCGCACACGCTTGAACAGTCTGGCAAGATATTGAGGTTGCGTCTGGAGAGCAAAGAAGAGCTGCTGATAGGACTCAAGCTTCTTCCTCGAGCTCTTGTTCAAGGCTTTGAGATCGAACTGGTTCGCGCTCGCAATGGAGCTGTTGGCGAGGAGGCTGCTGGTGTGGCCGCCGAAATTGCTCTGATGCTTGACCACCTCGTCGAGCGTAATCTTGTTCTTCACCAGGAGGGCAATCTTGATATCCAGCTGGTCAATGTACTGCTCCAGCATCTCGTTCTGCCGGACCTGCTGGACCACGGTCTTGCGAAGCCGCTCAAACTCAATCTCTTCGTTGAAGTCAAAGTCGCTGTCGTTAAGTAGGTGGACAAAATTCTTGACGGCGTTGACGGGAGGGTTATTGCCGGATATGAGGCTCTTGTATGCCTCCCCTTGAAGTTTGGCGCGCACAAAGCTTTGAATCTTAACCACCTTCTGCATGTTTTCATTGAAGAACCGCTTCTTCTCTTCAAACTTCGCCCTGACAACGAACGCCTTGGCTGCAGCTTGAATCTCTCCAATGGATTCCTCGTGTGCTTCGAGTTCGTCAAGCATGTTGGCGACATTGGACCGAAGAAGCATTGCTCTGGCGAGAGACTGAAGCGAAGTGACTTCTTCCTCATTTGCTTTAAGCTCGCCAACAAAGTTTTGATGTTGTTGCCGGTATAATGAGCCGCGGATACGTGATTGAAGATCAATGATTGAGTCCTCTTGTTGGCTGAGTGCGTCGAGAAGGTCGGACAGGCGCTTCCTTTCATGCATGCCCCTGATAATGGACTGCAGGGTCACGATGGTATCCTCAGCTTCAGAAAGACCCTCAAGCTTCTCTGATATCTCTTTGCGCACCGCCCCAGCCCTTATATGGGCTTGAAGAAGGCCCAGGTTTGACGAATGCTCCTGGAGTTCGGCTTTGAGGACCTTGACATTGCCCCTAGCAAGGTTCCCACGGCAGACGGCTTGCAGTGTCTCCCACATGGGCGCGAGGCTCGCGAGGGCTTGTTTTTCCAGCGCGATCTGTTTTCTAGTCAGCGCAGCTCTGGCAGCAGCCTGCAAGCCGGCGATGACGCTGGCCTGCGACTGCAGGTTCTTCCAATCCTCGTTAATCTTCTTCCTTAGCAGTAGCCCGCGAACTGCAGCCTGGAGCCCGGCCACCGGAGCGGCTGTATGCTGGACTTCCTGCTGCTGAGCAAGCATGCGTTCACGGAGGAGGAAACCCCGGAACGTTGCTTGGATGCTTCGAATGGGACCCGCCGCCACCATTAGTTGAGAATGCTGCTCTCGTACCTCACTGCGGATCTTGCTTGCCCGCACCAAGCTCTGAAGTTTCACGATATCTCGTTCTGTGCTCTTCCAAAACCGCTGTGTCTTCGCTTGCCGACGGCGCACGAGGAAACCCCGGACAGCGCTTTGGAGTCCAGTGGCGAAGCGCTTCATCTGGAGACGATAACCCACAATTTGGCGCGCGAAATCACCTCTAATTCGGGATTGGAGGTCGATCAACATATTCTCAGACTCCCAAAGACTTTGCATGAGGTTTCCAAGCTGCAATCGAACCATTGCTCCTCGTATTTGTGCTTGAAAGTCGATAATCATTGGCTCATTCTCGGCGAGCTCTCTGTCGATCCGTTCTTCCTCGGTCTCCTCCGGCTCGGGTGTCTCCTCAACCCCAAAGTCGGCTCCCATGTTGCCGAAGCTAGGCATATTAGCTCCCAGCTTATCGAGGCCCTTTTGCGTAGCCTCCAGCTCATGATGCTCGAATTCAAGCTGGCCGACTAGATTGCCGATGCGGAAGCTCACTATGCCTTTGCGATAAAGAAGCCAGCTCAAAGCATGGATGCAGTGGATGACTTTCGGGATGTTCTTCTTTTCGTAGAGGTCAATGAGCTCGAATCGGAAAAGATCGGGGAGCTGAACTTCGTCGAGGTAGCGGAAGAATATGGCGATATTGTCTGAATGACGGTATTGAAGCCGTGGATGGTGGAAGATTTTGTATCGACGATGTGGATTGAGCGACTCAACAATCTCGGCGAGGGTGACGCCATCCCTCAATGCCTCCTCTAGTTCTACGATGGGGGGAATGGTGCGCTGAATCACGTCCTCGATCCACTCCTTGGCCTCACCAATGTGGCACAGGTACTCGTACGCCTGAAGGAACTGACGTTGCTTATCCATCCAGTTCCGTCCCTCCCAGCCATATCCGCCAGTACGCTGAGCGGGCCGGTTCGGTCCGGACTTGTCGGTCCTTTGCAGCCGTCGCCGACCCCGAAGTCCGGTAACTTCCTGCGCAGGGGAGGTAATTGAGAATTCATCGGCAGAACCAGATTGCGCCAGCTTGGATAGGGTGCGCAGTTGGTTTGTGGAAGAACGGCCGAGTCTCTCGAGGTCTGGCGTCGTGAGAGGCGCAGTATGTGCATGCACAAGTGGTGGAGGGCTAGCATCCCCGCTGTTGCGGTGTACTGAGTCGTAGCGCGTCATGAGCATTGAAGTTGGACGCACGACAGGCGAGCGCGGTGGCGGCGTTGGCGGAGTCAGAGGAGTCGCCGGAACTGGCGAGGTTCGCCCTTGGTCGGTAATCGACAGCTTGCCAATGTCGAGGCTGTGGCCGCGCTCATGGCGACTGGAAGTGCGAGGAGGCGTCACTGGACGGGGAACCTGAGGAAGCGGCCGGAGCGACTGGCGAGCCGCATGGTAAATATTTTCGGCCATTGGCGTCGAAGGATAACTTTGGGATGAGTTGAGCGCGGGCGGTCGTCGACTGACCTCGCTCAGCCCCCGCTTGTGTCCGTAGGCGGAATAGGTGCTGGAAGGAGAGGACGGCATGGTGATGGGCGTCCTGCTAGACTCGTAGGTTGTGGATGAGGTGTTGGAATAACCCGAGGATGCGGAAGATGATGCATTGGAAGACTGCCGCAAAACAGGATACTCGGCGGTTTGCGATTGCCGCAACGGATGCGGCCTATAGGAAGAAGACATTTTGTGTGTTCGTTGACGAGGTGTGTTACCGCGGCGAGGGGTTGTTGAGCTGATGAAGGTGACGGTCACACGGCGGTTCAATGGGCAGCAACAGCATTTGACCGGTTTGTTGCGGTGTGATTTGCTCTGATTCCTTGCAGTAGGGGAAGCTGCAGGCACCGCAATTCTAAGACATATGAACCTGAACCGATGGTGCTTCCTGCCTCGCAAATTTTGACCACTTCTGGTGACGCAACAGCGCTTGCGGATGTTGAGGGGTTGTCTCGGCACAGCGCGGCGCAGTGCAATATAAGAATGCGTAGAAACCCAAGATACCAGAGAGGAGATGCTCGTTGTCGTCGTCGTCGTTGTCTGTTTAGGTTCGCCGCAAACGCCCGCGCACAGCGCAATTAACCAAAAGATCACAAAATAGTGTCAAAAGGATAGGAATAACTTGGTCTGCACAACGATGCCCTCATTTTCCCCGGCCCGTGAGCGGCATTGGGTCGCAGGCAGTGAAAGTGACCTGGGTGTGCCCGCAATTGAGTGGTTAGGAAGAAAGCCCACTCTTGTTTACATCCGAGAACAGCTCCCCAGCAACCACAACATCCCTCCGTACCAAGGAATTCCCCCCGCCAAGCTCTTAAAGTGGATCCCTGTGGCTTTCCATCTTGGGATCTGAAGTGTGGCTGAGTGTGGCTAAGGTTACTATGTACCTCACCTTGTCACTAACTCACCGCCCGTTTTATGCCCCGCGTTCGGTCTCAATCGGCTGGCATAAAAAAATTTCGGCGTCGAGATCCAAAATTCTTCTTTTCCCTTTCTCTTGGGGGGGAACAGTCGACTAGTCTGGCTAAGGATACGTCGTTACTGTCTCCCCCCAGCCAACAATCACGTCTTCAGATTCCTTTGGCAGTCCCAGCTGCTTTGAATTTTGTTGCTTGCGCAGAAATGCCGGCAACAAACGGGCCCAACGCCAGCTCGGCGACCCTCGACTACCGAAAGGCAGTTGAGTATCTCGACGAGTACCAGAGCCGAGATGGTCTGAGCATCGACGAACTCATGGACTCCAAGGTCCGTGGTGGCTTGACGTACAATGACTTCTTGCTGCTCCCTGGTTACATTGGTTTCCCCGCCTCGGCTGTGACTCTTGACTCGCCCATCACCAAGCGGATCACGCTGAAGACGCCCTTTGTCTCATCACCCATGGACACCGTGACTGAGCATGACATGGCGATTCACATGGCGCTTCAGGGTGGTCTGGGTGTCATTCACCACAACTGCTCGCCGGATGCCCAGGCCGACATGGTGCGGAAGGTTAAGCGGTATGAAAACGGCTTTATCCTGGACCCCGTGGTGATCAAGCGCGAGACGACTGTTGGTGAGGCAAAGGCCCTGAAGGAGAAGTGGGGCTTTGGTGGTTTTCCCGTAACAGGTCAGTTCACTCCTTTCAAGCTGCCATCCTCCCGCTGCAATGATTACAAAACTTAAATCAATAACTTTCGTTCCACCGTATCGACCTATGTGTCATGGGGACTGTATCACTGAAAATTATGATTGCTGCTCAATTTCGTCGATTTTGTCTGACCGCATGGCATTCACGGCTGCGTTGCTGACTATGACTCGACAGAAACCGGCAAGCTCGGCTCCAAACTCCTGGGCATTGTCACCAACCGTGACATACAGTTCGAGGAGGATCTTGACCAGCCTGTGTCAAATGTGATGGTCACCGATCTCATCACCGCCCCGGCCGGCGTCACCCTGGTCGAAGCCAACAAAATCCTTGCGAAATCCAAGAAGGGAAAGCTTCCAATTATCGATCAAGAGGGAAACCTCGTCTCGATGATCTCACGCTCCGACTTGACAAAGAATATCCACTTCCCACTCGCTTCCAAACTTCCGGATTCCAAGCAGCTTATTTGCGCTGCTGCTATCGGCACCCGCCCCGAGGACAAGGTCCGTCTTGCCAAATTGGTGGACGCTGGCTTGGACATTGTCGTCCTGGACAGCAGCCAGGGCAACAGCATGTACCAGATCGAGATGATCAAGTGGATCAAGCAGGAGTACCCTGACCTGGACGTCATTGGTGGCAATGTCGTGACCAGGGAGCAGGCCGCTGCCCTGATTGCGGCTGGTGTTGATGGTCTCCGTATCGGAATGGGTAGTGGCAGTGCTTGCATTACCCAGGAGGTCATGGCTGTTGGCCGGCCTCAGGCGACAGCTGTCTATCAAGTCAGCTCATTTGCCGCCAGGTTTGGCGTGCCATGCATCGCAGACGGGGGCATCCAGAACGTCGGTCACATTGTCAAGGGTCTCGCTCTTGGTGCATCCACCGTCATGATGGGCGGTCTGCTGGCTGGAACCACCGAATCGCCTGGCACGTCTTTTGTGTCCAGGGAGGGTAAGCTCGTGAAGGCCTACCGTGGCATGGGCAGCATCGACGCCATGCAGGACAAGAAAGCTGGCGGCGGCAGCAAGGACAGCCAGAAGAGCAATGCTGGCACTGCTCGCTACTTCTCAGAGGGTGACAGTGTTCTTGTTGCCCAAGGCGTTTCTGGCGCCGTGGCACACAGAGGGTAAGTGCACACCCATAACCCTCATGTCACTCCATACTAACATGCAGGTAGATCGGTCTCCAAGTTTGTTCCATACCTTGCCGCAGGTCTCAAGCATTCCATGCAGGACTGCGGTATGACCAGCCTTAAGGAGCTCCACGACGGTGTCGCCAACGGCATTGTGAGGTTTGAGATTCGCACTGCCAGTGCCCAGCTAGAGGGCGGCGTGAACATGGAGTCTTATGAGAAGAAGCTGTATGCTTGATGGTTGATTAGGGTAAACGAAAAGCAAAAATCATGATAAGGAAAACGGAAACGAATGGAACGGTTGCTCATGATGGTATGGAGTTCGTGGAAAGAGGATGCAGTGCGGTAATGGTCTCCTTGTGACATTGGGGATCATCTTAAGGCGGCCTTTCAGTAACTATCTTCCACCATATGTTGCTGCTTATGGGAATGCGAGCGTCTGTTCAACATGTGCATTGCTCTCTGTTCTATGCTTACGAGATTGGCTGAAGAGCGTCGACGTTGACTCTGAACTCTACCGCATATACCTAGTATCTATCAGACAGGAATGGTGCTTTTAATCTACCGGTGAAGAAACGCCCATGTTCTTCTCCTGCACAAGAGATATCCTCCCATGTACGTGACGGTCTATCTAAGGACAACGACAATCCTCCGCGCTATTCCCACGCCCGTCAGCTTGGGGGTCCCATCCTGCTCAGTTCTCCAGAGCGCTGGCCGGCAGAGTCGCCACCTTCTCCTTGAACAGCTTCTCTGCCCTGGCCCAAACCGGCGAGTTTTGCCAGTCATTCAGGGTGAGCAAGTGCGGGAGGAGATCATCTGGAAATTGTCATCAATCAAAATCAGTATTTCGCAACAGAGTTCGACTGAAAGAGGTCAAAAGAAAAGAAAGACGTACGGCTGAAGGCCTCAGAGGCCTCGCGCGGCAGGAGCGATGGCAGGTGGTCGATGGAGATGACGGAGAGGGGCGGGCCGGTCTTCAGGCCGTCGACGGGAACCGTCGGCTTGTCAAAGGTGGTGGCGACGGTGTAGATCGGTACTGGGGTAAATGGCGAGGTGGTATCCTGGTGATTGTATGTTAAGTTTTCTGTCTGGTCGCAAGGGGGTTTGACGGGATAGGGTTGTTGGGTAGCAGACATACCGCGGAGACGTCACACACGACGGAGAGCTTCCGGTCTGGAGTTTGTAGGGACTCCATGTTCACTGGCGAAAACGTAAGGTTAGTACAAGATGGTGCTAGCCTGCGCGAAGGTATAGGGGGGTGGCTCACCAAAGTTGGGAATCTTGCTCGTCAGATAGATACAGTTGACGAAGATGTCGCTGTCGGTGATCTCCTCTGCGTGGGGTCGTCAGTCAGATGAACATGGCTAGAAGGGGAGGAGCTAGCATACTGAACGGTCCGCCCTTTGCAGTCTCAGCCATGTCCCACTTGAGGATGTTCTCATCGGGCAGGCCGGCCTTTTGCAGAGCGGAAACGGCCCCTGAACCGCAGCGGCCGAGAGCGCCGATGACGATGACGCGGGGAAGGCGCCCAGCCTTCTTGGCGCCTTCGTCAAGGGCCTTCTTGACGTCGGCAATCAGGGCATCCTCGTTGGGATAGCTCTCAACTCCGGGGAAGGGCTCGCTGTGGTTCAACTGCCAGGCCCAGACCTCAAGCGCGAGGGCAGCACCGGCAAAGCCTGCATGGAAGCCGAACGCCTGGGGGCAGTTTTAGTCAGTCGCCCTGATACACAGAGTCCAGCAAGGGCACGAACAGCGACACGACGACCACGATCGTCAACCAGGAACTCCAGATCCAGAAGGGTACCGCCGCCCCTGGGGAATCGGGCGAGAACCTTCTCCCAACCAGCTTGCTGCTTATCTGTTTGAAACTTATGTTAGATAATGCAGTCATTGCGCGCACGGAGAGTGGGCGAAACGCACAGCAGTGAGCGAACTGAACGTGAACATGCTTGAGAGGGACTGTCGGCCAGTTAGCACTAAAGTCTCCTCATAAACAAGGCTCGATTGGGCTATGCTTGCAGTCCTTCTCCTCGAGCTCCTTCAGGCCGACGATGATGTGCTCCTTGGGCGCATCAACCCAGCTGCCTTCAGGCACCAATGTGGCGCCGGCAGCCTCGAACTCGGCATCGTCAAATATCCTCTCGGGTGAGCGCTCAACGTTGACCTTGTAGCCAGCCTTGATCAGTTGAGCCGCTGTGGTTGGCGTCAAGGCCGATCTGTGCTCGAGGGGCTTGGTCTCGCTGCGAAGATGCAGCACAGTAGGAGCCATTGTAAAGCAATTGTAAAGAAATTTGCTGAACAGCGAGGTAATCTATAAATGGCCTTTTGTTGTGCAAAATTCCGGATGTACAGTGGAAAAAAAGATGATATGGATCTCTCTATGGATCGTAGTAAGTAGTAAAGTATGTCTGTTCTGAGATGCTCAATTGTAGGCGTTGGTTACATGTTTGAGTCACTCCAAAATGCCCATAGGTGGAATTGGTTGCTGTGAAAACCCTGCAGGTATGTACACGCAATACAGTACAGTACAATACCGGCAACTGCCTTACTTACTACGGTACTGGGCTGCGCTTGCTTGATGGCAATTCGCGCCCATAATTACCGGCGGCATCGGAAGGGCTTTGCAAACATAACCCTAACCCTGTGAGGCGCCGGAAGTACTTGTCTTTGAATAGGTAGAAAGCGGCTGGCAACTGTCCTGTTTATCGCAGATGGAAGGCAGGCTCTACCTTACATATACTCGTCAGGAGCTTCATAAGCGCATTCCTGACCCACTACGAACGAGTACCAGGCACAACCGAGGTATAGAGTGGTTTTCGTAATCATCGCAAATCTGCTACATACCATAGCGCGCTGGGTGGGTAGTGCAAAATGATCACCGTCAGTATTTTTCAGTGCCAAGATGCTGTGGCCGTGCCAACCCTATGTTGATTTCAGTAAAAGAACCACTGTAATCTTCATGGAACCACCACAGTCAGATCACTCGAAGGGCAAGTTCGACAGACAAGACCTTCCTTCCTGAAATACTAACTATAGCTATTTTCAAATGAATCCATCTTCTAGCTGTAAGCGCATTTCGACTTTAAGGCCATTTTGAAGTACCAAGGTCATCTTCAATCGAATTTATCTTCTGACTGTAAGACCCCGGGCCTGACTGCTGGGCTTGTAAGGTACTGTATCCTCTGCGCAAGGCCCTGGGCACTGCATCCTCTGCGCAAGGCCGTGGTACTGGGCTCGGAGGGTGGAATGGAGTATATAGGTTACGCGAATAGAAGGAATGTTAAATTTGTAGTGTAGTGTAGTGGGTAAATTGTAGATAGAATAGAGAGGTTATATGTTTGAATCACACTGTAGTTCAATTTTCCCTTGTAAAGTCCAAAGTAGAAAATAGAAAATTCAAGGTAGGAAAGTCCAAGAAAGTTCAAAGTAAAAAAAGAAAAAATGGTAAGTAGGAAGGAATGAAGTGATATATATATTTTTCTCCTACCTACTTAGTACTAAGACAATTCCTCCCTTATAAAATAGTCATCTACTAAAAATAGTTTCCACTCAAAGATAGTCATCTACCTATAGGATAGATTTGTTTCAAGGATATCTTCAATTTGCAAAATGGTCATACATAGAAAATGGTCATCCGGTTGTATGACCATTTCTTTCCTGAAAGAGTTTAGCCTGTATCATCCTAGCCTGACTGACTTGCAATGAAAACCATTTTGCAACCCTATGATACTAACGGTGATCATTTTGCACTACCCCCCTAGAGCGCTATGGTAGGTGCTTCGTAGCAGTCTTGGTATATGGGCCAGAACAACTGCCATACTTTCAACCCCCCCGGATAGTATAGACAAGTGGCAGAGAGTTAGCACCTAGAAGTAGAAACCACGAGGTCAAGCGTTCGACTCCCACCAAGCAGAGGAGGAGGAAGCAAGAAGCTGATATCTTAGCACTCCAAGTGAACGCCGTGTTGGAGGCGTTAGGTTGCCCAACAGCGCACCGCTTGACGGAGAAACGCAGGAGGCTCCTGGTAGCGATCGGGGCTACAATACAGGTAGTTTGAAAGCGGATGGACGGTCAATGTTGCACACAACTACAGCAGGCATCACTGGGCATACACTAGGGTATATTTAGTGGATTCCAGGCCTGTATCATCCCTTTCCCAATCCAACAACTTTCTGATCAATCAAATCAATCATTTGCCCACTTGGCGTCGTCTTCTACAGTCAACAGGAAAGGTTATCTAATGTCTCAATGTGGATACCCCAATTATAAAAGCGGGCACTGCAGCGGAAGTGCAAAAGTGGTTACTGTAATAAGGGTCCCACGCGTTGGGCACGAGCGAATAGAGGCGGTGCGGAGTGAAGTCCGGTTGTGATTCGCTGCCAAATGGGACGGCGTCCTGGTGGCATCCAAGGCTTACTTAACGGGAAACGGAGGTTCGAAGGAATATCCTAAGGATCATGCACTGATGCACTGTTGCAGCGATTCGCCAGAACAATGCTGCTGCCCGGTCCGTTGCTGTCATCGTCGTCGGCAAACCTTCCTACTCGTTCTCTGGTGTGATTTCCGCTCTTGACCGCCCCCGAAGGGCTCGGGCCCTGCTCGATTATCGATTAGCTACCATGTTGAGCTCGAGGTCGGCGTCTCCTACAGACAGGCAGCTTGCAGGGCCACTGCGGCGTTTACTGCCGGCCGGCGCCGATGAAGTGAAACCAGCCCGAGAGAGGTCTGCATCTCGATCGACGACTGCCGCCTCTGCTGCCCCCAACAGCAACAGCACCGAGACGCCTCCCGTTCCAGCTCGGAGGAAGAGGGGCCAAGCTACAACAGCGGCATGTGGCGCGTGCCGCAAACGCAAATCAAAGGTGTGAAGCGTTGCATTTTGCTTCTTCTCTTCTCTGATCTTATTCTTTTTTTTCTAGCAAGAGAATTGGCCGTCTTGACAGTTCCGGTGCCTAACTGGTTGTGTCTCGTTCTCTTCAGTGCGATGGCGCGCGTCCACAGTGCTCAATTTGCCGCGACCGAGGCACGCCCTGCGAGTTTGACACCAATGCGGCCGAAACACACACGCAGGCCTTGAAGCGCAAATACAGCGAGCTGCAGAACCAAAAGTCCACCTTTGAGCAAATCTACGATGTGCTTCAGACGAGGTCTGAGAAGGAGGCCGAGGAGGTGTTCCAACGCATCCGGCGAGGCGCCGATGCCGGCTCCATCCTGCGCCATGTCAACTACGGCGACGTCCTCGTGCAGCTTGCCCTTGTCCCTGAGACAAGATACCGCTACGAGTTCCCCTACCTCCCCGAGATGCCGCCCTTCCTGCGTCGATTCGATAACCCCTACTTGGACTCTGAGGTCTACGAATGTGCGTTGCGGGGTTTGCAAGCATGCCATCTACAGCAATCGTTGCCCGCTCTAGAAAGTGGGAGGAAAGTGGACGACGGTACCGGCATTGCCAATGGGGCCGGTCTGCGGGATGCCTACCTGAAGCCCTACCTCTCGGCAACCGTCGTCCACCCCTGGCTGGACTCGGTGAGGCCGTCAAGATGGACAAACGTCAGCAGCGATGACGTTCTGATGCGGAAGCTCCTCCACGACTACTTCCTCTTTGAGTATGACTGGTTCACCTTCTTTCACAAGGACTACTTTCTCCAGGACATGGCTACAGAGCAGCAGCGCTTCTGCTCTCCGCTCCTAGTCAACGCTATACTATGCATAGGCTGTGTGAGTCCCCGCCACCCACGTTATATATCACTCGAGTCGTCACTAATGACCCCGTCTAGTTCTGTCACCGTAGGCTTGAGGGCCGTGCCGAGTTCTGGAACCCCAAAAACCTAGGGTATCAGTTCCTTGCCGAATCCAAGAGGCTCTTTGAGATCGACTCGGAACTGGAAAAACCAGTTGGCATTCCCGGTGACCCCTACTGGGAGCGCAGGAAAAGCCAGTGGGAGCACCGCATGTTGACGACGATACAGGCTGCACTCCTTCTGACCCTTGTATACGATCTCAACGGCTCCGACAAGATTGGCTGGCGCTATACCCTCCGAGCTATAGAATTGGCAGACGAAATACAGCTCCTGGATCTCCCGTTGGCCCATCACAGCCCCGAGGTTCAATGTGTCAGAACATATACAGCCTGGGGCCTCTTCATTTGGCAAAGGTAAGGTTTGGCAGTTCCCCTAAATCTGCTGACCGGCACTCCCTGACGGCCGTTTTAGTCTCGGCAGCTATCACTACTTGAGACCCCCTAGCATAAAAGAGCCACCCAAAACACCCCTCCCTGACCCCGTGGAGCAGCCGCAGTGGTACGGCGAGCTCTGGATCAAGTATCCCTTGGGCCAATCACGCCTGCCAACTTACCATGGTCTTGTATTCAAGGCTCAAGCCGATTTCTGGACCATAATCACCGAGTTTCTGCTGCTCACCTTTTCGCGTCCCCGCTCGATTGCAAGGCTGTCGCTGCCCCAGATTTTTGGATTCTACAACAGACTCCAAGCATGGCTACATAATCTCCCGGAGCCTCTCACGCCAAGGAAGATTGTGCTGCCGCACCAGCTCAAGCTTCATATGCACTACCAGTCGATGTTGGTTGATATTTTCACTCCCATTTTGGAAGACACCGAGGCCGACAAGATGTTACGATTGGGGAAGACACCGCGTGACATCTACATCGAGGCGCTAACCCATCTCGAGACGCTCATGCGGCTCTACTACCTGCGGCACGGCTTCGAGGGATTCGACAGCTTCCTCATCCACTTTCTTGGGACTCTCAATTACATGACCATGACCGGGATTGAATCCGAAGCCGACCCTGCATATCGCGAGTTCCGCAGGTCGACCATGATACTACTCCTCAAAGGAATTCACGACCAAGGCCAGGCCCATTTCGTTGCGAGGGCAGTTCTGCGTCTGCAAGCAAGCTATATGCGACGCGAGGACGTCGAGTTGTTGAAGCGCTATGTCGAGATCAACGAGGGTCATTTAATATACGGGCCTCTCGAGCAGGCCTTTTGCTCCGACTGGCCCACGTATGGAATCGGGCTGGAGGCAAAGGCCGAAAGGTTGAGGCAGGGAATATCGCTCTCGAGCACCATGGCATCTCTATGTCTTGGGCCTAGCACTTCACCAACATAGCTTCAAGCATAACCACATTCACGACGCGACTACTTCCCATGGTGTATACCGCCCGTCAACTCCCCTGATGCACTAACCCTTTGGATGTTGCGCCTGTTGCTTGTTTGCTCTCGAAGTACCAAAGCCATACCAGCATGATGGCAGATGTTGGAGGGGCTGACATGCAGTGTAGGCATACCGCCGCAAGGTTCCCGCTGACATCCCCGCAGCTGCCTAGGACTACCCGGAAACCAACCAACCCGACTCCTCTCCATCTTCGGCGCGGAGTGCTCGTTCACAACGGCGTCCAGTCTTGACTGGTTGCCATGACCAACCTCACGCAGTACAGCATCCTTGTTGCCTTGGGGAGCAATCGCTGGACCTATAACAATCGTCCCCCGATAGACGATTGCCCTTATTTGCAATCTGCATGTTCAGTAGGCAGCCCTGCGCAATTGCTCACGATGCCTCCTCCCCTTGTATTTATATGCATTTCTTGACCCCGAGCTCCCTCTGGCCAAGGGCTCTCCTCCTCACTTTCCCTCAAACTTGAGAGCTTTGCTCCGTCTGAAAACTCAGTATAGAACGCTTGTACATGCACTGCCAAAGGTACCCGATACCCGCGATGAGTCACTCAGAGGTACGTCCTCCCGTCTGATTTCAGGGTTCAGTGAGCATGCTGCTAACATGCAGTAGCACAGCAGCGACGACGAGGCCTCGATCGTCGATCTTGACGATGACAGCCGCATGCCAAGCAGACGCGGGCTCAAGTCTCTGCTTTTGAACATCCCGGGCAAAGCAGTTCTCGAGGGCGACGATGTGCCTGACGTACTGTATACTGTACAGTACCTCAGCGGCGGAAGAATCATTGGAAGTCAGTATTCTCCTCAAGTCTGACATGCCAACGAGCTTTAAGAATGAAGCTAGCTGACATTTTGAAGCCCGTCAGAGTGATAAGCCCCCGGGGCACATTCTCTTGGAGCCGGAAAACCATGGCACCAGCGACAAGAAGATGCCCGTCATCGAGATACTAACCTCGGTCTATGCGAGCCAATCGCGCCCATCTAGTGTCTATCCTAGGTCCAGAAGTCGTGGGAGAATGCCACCGCCTCCGAAGGCGTCAACTGTGATGGTGATTCGCTCTAGTCACTTGCGGGCTGCTCTGCAAGCTGTCATCGGCTACTACCCAGGCTTTGAGATCATCCAAGATGACTGCGAAATTGAGGCCCCGTTTCGCGTCCTGGTCCACCACTGGAAGGCGCTGGAGCGTTACAAATTGGACCAGCCTGCCTGTCACGATGCTGAATATGCAGCAACCACCTCGCGCCACATAGATGTGCTTCTGGCCTTCCTCGAGGACATGTATTCTCAGAAACTGGCCTTGGAAACCAGCCGTTGGGCAAACCCTGCCGGCGGGACCGCAACGTTTGATCTCTTCTGGCTCCTCCTGGAGCCTGGGCAAATCGTTTACCACGAAAAGGACGGCCAGATGGTCCCCTTTATAGTCAGTGAACTAGACATCGCCAACCAACAAGGTGCCACCCAGCCAGGGTACGAGGTGTGGCTCTGGAACATATGCTTCTCGAAGGGTCGAATGCAAAGAACCAGCACCAAAGTTGTTGTACACCCGTGGAACGGCGAGAGGCTTATTCACACATTGTCCGTGATTCCAGCCCGCTTCATACCTGGCGGCGAAGACGCCGTGGCTGAGGAGCAAATCAAACTGGGCAGGCTTTTCTGGGATCTCGCAAAACAGCCGTCGTACAAAGATTACGATGGTCGGGTGGTCTTCAAGAGCGATAAGAAGGCTGCCAATGTAAGTTCCCCTTCAATCTCTCCAAGTCCAGCAGCAGAACCAGCTGTTAACCTCATTCGTTTTGCATTTTAGATCACCGGCCGGGTTATTGTGGACTGCGAAGGCTTCGAGCGCTTCGGAGACGGAGCCTTTCCGCCACCACCAGTGCATCGCCGCGACGGCTCTCCCATGCGACGCACTGTACCTGAGGATTTAGGGGAACCTCCACTGCCCCAGGTTCAGTCTTGCTGTACATGCAAAGCCTGTAGCAAAGCAGGGCTCCCGATGGAGCCTTCGCCCTGGGCCGGCTTCGACAATCTGGATCCCCAAACCGACAGCCCACCCGCGAACGAGAATCTCTATTTCCATCTGTTGGGCCCGACCATCCCGGCGTTCATTCTCAGAGAACGACGCTGGGGTGAGTTTGAACATCCAGATCTTCCTGCCCCTGTTGATTTTAGGCATGCTAACCAAACGCAATCCAAAAACAATAGGCCACGTCCGCATCGCCAACCTCACCGACGTCACCCACGACCGGGAGGCCTTCAAATACCTCGTCCTCGACCCAGAGATCAAGCTCACCGTCACAGCCATGATTGGCCGATTCGCCTCCCTGGACGGCAAGGTCAACCCCTGGCCGTCCGACTTCATCAAGAACAAGGGCGAAGGCCGCATCTTTTTGCTGCACGGCTCGCCAGGGGTGGGCAAGACCTGCACGGCCGAGTGCGCCGCCGAGCTTGCTCGCCGGCCCCTCATGGCCCTCACGAGCGGGGACATTAACCCGAGCATGGACAGCTACGGGGTGGAGAGATGGCTGAACTACTTTTTGAAGCTCGGCGAGCGGTTCGGCGCCCTGGTGCTGCTGGACGAGGCCGACGTGTACCTCGAGCGTCGGCGGACGAGGGATTTAAGGAGGAACGGATTGGTCTCGATTTTCCTGCGGGCGCTCGAGTATTACCGTGGGGTTCTGTTCCTGACTACCAACAGAGTCGAGGCGTTTGATGATGCGTTTACCAGCAGGATTCACGTCGCGCTTCACTATAAGCGTCTGGGAACTAGTGAGAGGCAGAGGATTTGGATGCAGCATTTTGAGAGGCTGGGTGAGTTACCCCGTTTCCATGAATTCTGTCTTGATCACCCTTTTTGTTTGTTTGTTTGCATATCCCTATGTCACCCCTTTTATCTGTTTCCCCATCGTTCTCAACCCGGTCAGGACCTGGACAACCATACGTCACAATGTTGTACAAACCGTTGCCCTACATCAAACCCCCCCACCCCGGCCTCAAACCAACACCCAAGCCAGCCTCATTCCCCCTTTCAACTAACAATATTATCTCCAAACAAGAACGCGACTCGTCCCAAAAAGTCTACATCCCCCCGGCCACCAAGACCTACGCCCTCGAGTCGGCCGAGGTGGACGCGCTTGAGTGGAACGGCCGCGAGATCCGCAACGCGCTGCAGACGGCCGTGGCCCTGGCCGAGGCCGAGGCCGTCGAGGAGGCCGGGCTTGAGTCCGCCGTTGTGCTGGCCGACCGGCACCTGCGTGCTGTTGTGCGTATGAGCGCCGGGTTCAAGGAGTTTTTAGGCGCCGCCAATCCCAATGTCTCCGGTGATGGTGACGGTCGTCGGCGTGGTCGGCGTCAGGGCCGTCTGCACGTTCGTGCTGCTGCTGCGACGAGAAGTGAACGGGTTGGTGATGAGGAATTGGAGGGGCACGAGAACGAGGACGAGGTAAAGCAGGAGGTCAACCGGGACTTGGGGCAGGAGAGTTCCGGGGAGGAGTCGGGGTAGGAAGTTTGAGAGTTTTTCAGTTAGGGACGGGAGGAATTTGAACGGTTAGGTCGGAGAGAGCACATGAGGATTGGATGGTTCGAGTCTCAGCCTCCTTCGATATTTCTTTGAAGCTAAGCTCTATGGAATTAGAGTGGGATGGGATTTCTATATGGTCCTATGTTCGCTACTAATGATGATGAGGTAGTTCCTATAATTTACCGTCTGAGTTTGCGAAATCATTTCACTCAGACAGCAATCCCAGTTTCTTATCCGTCCGCGTTTGTTACCCCAGTTCTGAAGTGATCATTCTCTGCCGACCAACGCCACGCTATATAACCACCGTCAAATGCAAACCCCTAACTAAACCCACGCTTCTGTCACGAGTCCTGCAAAATCTCATAGGCCAAGTTTTCGGGCAATTGTATATGGATTAGGCCCCCGCACCGCGGCCATTCGACGCGGAGCTCACGTTGCTCGCGTGCGCCAGCAAAAACTTGCAGCACGTCAGCGTCAGCTTGCACGCCTTGGTCCAGCCGTCGTCCTGCGCAATGCCAAGCTTGATGCTGACATCCCCAATCTTGTCGCCCTCGATGCGGTACGGCAGGCTCAGGGGCGTGCCCTCGGCCGCCGTCTGCGCCTGCACGTGCGCTCCCAGCTGCCGCACGAGCTCCAGAAACGCCGTCATGGCGTTGTCAAACTTGCGGTGCATAAAGGTCAGGCCGAGGGGCATGTCGCCGCTTGAGAAGAGCTCGAGGACATGGCGTTTGGGCGGTGGCGGCGGGGCGGTACGGCCTGCTGTCGCGTTGCTGTTGCTGCCTGCGTCTCGTGCATCCCCACCCCTTCCGAGTCGACTTGACGATGGAGAGGGCTGGTCGTAGCGTATGATTCGCGAGGTCGAGCCCATCGGCTGCGGCTCGTAGCCCTCGAAGCGGTAGCCCAGCTTGTCGGCGACGGTGACGAGCAGGAGCAAGGCGTGGCCCCAGGCTGCGTTGATCTCGGGCCAATCTACGGGTTTGCTGGACAGCCGGCCAAGGCGGAGGCCGTTGATGGTGGCAAAGGTGCCGTCGTGGCTGATGCAGAAGGTGTCGTTGTACACGTTGCTGCGCTGCAGCTTCTCGAGCTGCCGCGAGTCGTGGTCAAATTTGCTGTTGATGCTGTCGCGCTCGTTCTGGAAGTCGGCCAGCCGACTTGCAAAAGCGTTGCGTTCACGCCAAAAGGCTTCTTCCTCTGCGTCTAGCTGCCTGCTCTCTTCTTCTAGGGCAAGCAGCTCTTTGTCTAGCGACTCCTTTTCTTGCTCGAGTTGGCGCAGTTCTTCCCTTGCAGCTCCTTCGGCAACTCGGGCTTTTTCAAGAGTCTCCTCCCGTGCTCGTAGTTCCTCGTCGGTCGGCGCGTTGCTTTGTGCTTCCTTGAGGAACGCAACGTACGCATCACGTTCTCGTGTCGTGGTCTCGAGCTTCTTCTGTAGTTCCTCGAGAAGTAGTTCGGTGCACTCGACGCAAACCGGGTGATCTATGTCGGAACGCGCCGAGAGTATCTCGAACAGTTTAGTAATGCGCTCCATCTCGTACGACTTGGTCGCATCGTCGTCCTCGGCGGCGCCATCCAGGCCGCTCGCCGGTGACGGCGCAGCATCTTGGGCATTCTGGGTCCTGGGCAATGGCAGGTGAGACGGGGCAATTTGGGAATCGGTCAGGAGTACGAAGGACATGGAGTTGTCGCGAAGATGGCCATCGGCTTTGCCAGGCGCGCTGTGTCTCTTGAAGGTTGGCAGGGCGGCATTTCGAGCAGCTCGGTCGTATGTCGCTTTCCTCGTCCGGTCCTGAGAGTGTAGTGTCCTAGGAGTAGATGGTTTCCTCGGGGGTTGCTGAGAATGCGTAGCTACGAGAGTTAGCTGAGGGTGTCCAAGGGAATGTAGCGACGATGCGTCGACGACTTCGGCGACAATCTTACCGACCAGTAGATCATAAGCCGCCGGGTTCAAGTCCTCCAGCGAGCTGTCGAGCTTAAGCGGGGTACGACATTTCTGGCAGTACATGATTGGGGAAGCCCTCCCAGAGTATTGGCTGTCCTTTAAACGTTGGTTGGCACAAGCGGAGGGACGAAATGATTCGGCTCGGATCTGAGGCATTGAAGTTATATATTAGAGAGCTCCTGTATCGGGCTGGAGCCTGCCGAAGTTAACGTCACCTTGTCAAGAGTCTCGGCTGGGCCACTGCAGAGTGCAGGCGCAGCGGCTTACCAGTGGGCCCGCCCGTTGAAGAACACCCTTGCAGCCGACCTTCAAGACCCCGGCCGACTTGTTCACAGTGCGCAGGCTTCAGCCAGCCTGCCCCATCTTTCCGCACTGGCAGTTCCCGCCACTGGACCTGAACCCTGTCGGTTGTGCCTGCCCTGTCTCAACGTCATGTGCCAGTTGGTCTGAGCTTTGCCGCATTTCATTCGCACTCCAGGCAACGCAATCGCAAACGTGAACCTGCCAACTTCCATCATCCCTCAGCACCAACGTCGGAACGCTTGACTCCATCGCCGTCGCACAGCCTCTCCCTTCCTTTGGACCCCGAACTTTGCGTGTCTCAGCCTGTGGTTTGATTCACAGATACGCCAGCCACAATAGACTTCGCCTTTGATTACTAGCGCCCTACTCCCTCCGGCCGTCTCGAGTGCTCTTTGTCCACTCCTGCTCACTGTCTTACTCTGCAACACCCGGAAACCCGGAATCATTTTGCGCTATCAACAATGGCGAATCCGCTCGACACAGACGCTGGCACCGAGCTTTTCAAACATTATGAAGCCGAATATCAACTGGTCCAAGCAGACCTGGTGCAGAAGCTTGACCAGATAGCCGAGTTGTCGGGGGAGCCGAGGAAGGCCGCGTTGAGTGCGGCCGAGCGGGCCTTGGAAGAGACGGGCGAGCTGCTGGACCAGATGCAGATGGAGAAGCAGAATGTGCCCTCCTCACAGCGCGGCGCCATCAACCGACGGCTGCGAGACTACAAGACCGATATTGACGGATACAAGCGCAAGCTGCGGACTCTGGCAGATGATCGGAGTGCCTTGTTTGGCGCACGATACAGCGACAATCCAGGCTCCTCGGCTGCTGATGCCCACTTTGAGCAAAGACAGCAGTTGTTATCGGGTATGTTTGCTGACCCATGGTGAGTGTACTCGGGGGCGCATTGCTTACCACGATACAGGGACGGAACGCCTGGACCGCAGTACGCAACGTCTCAAGGCCAGCCAGGCGTTAGCACACGAGACAGAGGCGATTGGAGCCAGCACGCTTGCGCAGTTGCAGCAACAGCGCGAGACGATCGACCACACAACGCGGGTCCTCTATGAGAGCGAGGGCTACGTTGATCGGAGTCTGAAGAGTCTCAAAGGGATCGCTCGTAGGTATGAGGTTTTTTCGTTCCCCCCAGACGGTATGGCTGTGCTGACAAGACGTTCTGAAGGATGGCTACGAATCGGGTGATCACCATTGCCATAATAACAGTGCTGGTATTGCTCATTATTGCTGTTATCTTTAGCAAATTCAGATGAATCGCTTAGGCCTCGGTCGGTTTGCTGTTGCAGGATAATTTTTTGGGCGACGGGTTAGAAGGGCGTTCCGGGTTCTGTAAGACGAGGTTGCGTTTTTCGGGCAGATGGTTTGGACCATGTCGATATGAAGGATTCTAGCCAGATTCTGGACACGCCGGGCAGTTTCAAGATACGCCGTAATGCACTCACCATAGTACATTCTTCGGTAGCGTAGAGTTTATAACGGTTTCTTTTCTTCTATGCATCAACATATGCTGCAGTATCTCCGTGCTGCTGCCCTCGCCAACCTCCTAAACTTGATTGATCTTTTGAAACTGTGTCGCGTACTGTGTGTTGTGGGGAGGACGCACTGTAATTACACGGCACTCAGGCTGCAGCGCAGTGCAATTCAGTTGTCGCGGGCACTGTAACCCAGGTACATAGTACCGTAGCAAACAACTTAAGTTCACCAGCCACTCATCCTCCATCTCAACTTTCTCAGGTTCCTCAACTGCCTCCACAATGCAAAGGTGATGTCTAGAAGGACCTTTCACGGCCATGGAACCGCCGGCCAAGCGCCCTCGATTTGGCCCTGTTCTACTCGAGGAGGATGATTCCGAGGCCGACGAATTGAATTCACACCCAGAAGAAGTGAATGCGCGTCGAGATCCAAACTTGCGGCTTGAGCGCTCACGCGCTTTTGCTGCCTTCAAGCTAAAGTCAGCATTCGAGCGCATTTTCGAAAAGTATGAGAAGGATTTCACTGGCGTGGGCGATGAGATTGACCTGAGAACCGGCGAAATCGTTGTCAACAATGGCCATATTCAGTCACTCAAGGATGCCCGGATGGGCAGCGAGGATGACGCGACATCTGAGGCCGAATCGCTGAATGAGGAAGAGATGCTCTCGCAGGGAAAGGCCGACATTGGGCTTAGAAGCCTGGGACGAAAAGCCCTGCCTTCAACTCCCAAAGTATCTGGGCCTTCACCCCTTCACGGCCGAGGCTGGCCTGCGACAGCGCCTCTGTTCGGCGATCCTCCAAGACTAGCGACTATGATGCAACCGGCCCAGATGCCGTTTGGCGGTACCCCCATTCATTATGGTGGACCTCTCACAGCGCCTGCCATTGACCCAACCTGGAGTGCCCCTGAGTTGCCGCTGCCCTCTTTCGGTAATCAACACGGTTCAGAAAGCGTAGAAGCTCCCCCCACGAAAAAAAAGCAGGCGCGGTCGTTGCTTAACGCCACTCCTCACCTTGGCGGTGAGGACGAGGATGACGTTCTTTTGGACGTGAGTCCGGCCAGCCACGATGGTAAAAGCCGAGAGGTGGTTGCGAAAAAGAAGAGACTGTCCCTGCCTCGTGCTCCATCTGAGCAGGTGGTCTCTGTGAAGAACAGACGAGCTGCAGTGACGAGCTCTAAGCAGAACTCGAGCGCCGCCAAGATGAGCAGGAATCACGGTCCTAAGAAGACGCTCGGCGAGCAGCCTTCAAGAGGAAGGTCTACAGCTCCCCAGTCGGATGCTCGTTCGGAAGTGAGCCTCACGAGGCTGAATTCAGTTTCAAAGGCTCAGGCTAGGGATAAAGACACCCCGATTGAACCCGAATTAACTCGCACAGAGAGGTTGACGCCCGGCAATACGTCCACCCCTGAAAGTGAAGATCGAGGGAAGACACAGGACGGAGAAAATCACGAAGTTGGTGTTGCGGAATCTCCGCTGTCGCATTATGCCCCTTCTGGACTTCTCCCTGAGCTCATGGATCCGGATATCTACCTCAATCTATCCTGTCCGGAAGGAAAAATAGCCAGAAAACCGCGGAATCAGACTCTGCGAGTTGAAATAGAAGCGAGCAGCCAGGCCGATCGCCGCTCATTCCGGAACATAATTCCTGAGTCAAGTGATGAAGATTCCCCTCGGATTCCGCGGTCTATTATCAGCGAAGGCGGGCTTGACGAATGGCCGAATGTTTCCAATGCCCAAGGCAAAGGCCCGCCTGATTCGAACAGAAATCCCACTCCTGAGAGCGGTGATCAGGTCCGAGCAGCATCAGCCGAAGTCTTTTCAAGAAACTTCGTAGATCCTGCCTATGCCTTTTCAGACGAGGATGAGCCAACGTTACCCAGGCAGAAGACCCGTCACAAGTCAAAGGTCGATGTCAGGGCCCCAGGAAACATGCCGGACACAGCCCAGAATGCGACGGCTCGCTATATTCAAGGGGCAAATGTAGCTGAGAAGCCCTGGAATGCGCATCACTCTGCTACCGCACGAGCTCCATCGCCCACTCTAAGTACCAATCTAGACGATGGCATGATGCCCTCTGTGAGCTCTCCCGTCCAGTCATCAGAGGCGCAACAGCAGCCAAGCCTGGAGTCGGCGGAAAGTGGCGTCAAATCTTCTGCGTCCGGCGGGGCACTGGATCCAGCACAGGCTAGGAGAACCTCAATGCATCCCTCCGACGAGTCATCGATACCCGAGCCGGAGGCGGAAGTGTCGTCGACAACAGCGCACCTAGAAACAAACACCAAGAGAGATGAGATTATACCGCCTCAGAAAGCGCAAAACTCACCTAGTGAAAGGCGGGGGCGGAATGCAGCTTTCAGAGCAGCGTCCCCTGTTGCTCTCCGGAGATCAAGGAGTCAAGAGAGCCCACTAATCCCGCATGGTATTCGAGAGCCAAGGGATCCAAGCTCGGCGACTTCTGAACCAGCCCAGGACCTGGAAACTCTAGCTTGCGACTCTGCAGGCTCCTCTCGGAATTTGGACCGAGGATCGCCAACTCTGACTGACCCTTCATCCAAACCCCCAGCCGCCGCCATAACCGCACTCACAGCAACATCCACATCAATACCCAACCAACCTCCATCAACCCCGACGAAACAAACCCCTCGCTCCCTGGCCTCAAGACCACAGCAACCAACCCGCTCGTCGTCAACATCCTTGACAACAACAGCAACGACGAAAAAGAAGAGACAAAGCATCCTCTCACTCATCTCAGACGACGACGACCAAGACGACGAGCTAATCATCACGCCCCGCCCGCCACGCTCAGCAGCCGGCCCTGCTGCGACCCCGATCCACATTGCGATTCGCTCCTCTCCCGCGGCTCACCATGTCCGCCTGTCGCTGGTGGCGGCGTCGTCGTCGTCAGGTTCGCTGAGAAAGAAGAGGAAATCAGTATCAACCCCGACAATGTCCACCCCGGCACGCAAGGGAGGCGTTCCAGGTTCGACTGCCCGGGGGTCACCTCACCCAATGGCGAGAGGGACTGGCGTGGAGGGGGACGGAGGGGAGGAGGGGGAGCTGGTTCAGACGCCTGGAGGCACAATGCGCAGGTGCGGGGAGGACGGGTTCGTATGCGGGAAGCCTTTCTGTTTCGCTTGTTTATGAACCTGGTTGGCTGCGTAGTTCAGAGCTTGATCCCGATGCGGGCAGCTTGGTGGCGAGCTCAGATGGAGATAAGCATACATGCATACATAACTTACATGTTAAGCATCCAGCGGTACCCTACGCCTCCGGTGAAGTTTGGTTTGCGGGATTGCCGCCGCTGCATACCTTTTTGATGGCCGACCGGGCCCAATTCTAACCTTGCTCCAAAAAATGGAGGGCGTGACGTCGTCACAACACAGAGGCAACAGAGGGTGTTGGAAAAGATACCCAGAATAAAACAAAACAAACAACCGGACGCTTCTTTCCCGTGTATTGGGAGTCCCTCCGCCTTACCCAGTCCTTGTTTATCTTGTCTTAATACCGGAGCTCCAACAAGGGCAACTGGCACTGAGAGTAGAGTATGGCTAGTACAGGTAGTACTTTGCTAGCCTGCCTAGCCCTTAACCACACAGGCTGTAATCCCAGGAGTGACCCAACCGACCGACCAGCCTAACCATTCCCATCCCTCCACTGACCCATCAACATCATGCCATGCAATGTGCTTTCCTAGTATTTTTCACACCACGAGGCACACAAATACCAGCACATGAAGACTGCTGAATGGAATAAGGCGAAAAACAATAAAAAGACCGAAAAATACACGCTACTGCAATTGCCGGACCACCCAACGCAAACCGTTCCATTTCCATAAGACATCACGTCCGCGCCGCTGTTGCATGGGAATATCATTCAGGGAAAGGATACGATACGATCCCCGTACCCGGTAAACTCGACCTCCGCGACGGCACCACAAGGCAAGCTGAAAAAAAAAGAGGTGAGGAGGGGCCTAGTTATATCGGCGAAACAGTAAGGCGAGCGGCGCACAGGTGAAGCCGCTCGCCTCCTAAGACTGCGTGCCCCCCGCCAGGTACTGCTGCAGGGTGGCCTCGTCGCGGATCGGGGCAAAGTAAGGGTGAGCCATGGCCTCCTTTGCCGTGAGGCGTTCCTGTGCGGGGGCGGGGATTGGTCAGTTTCAATAAAGCAAGCGTAACAGAACACGGGATCGGAAACATACCGCATGATCGTAGCGGAGCAGCTTGTCCAAAAAGTCAATGGCCTCGTTGCTGACGAACCTTTGGTTCTCCGAATTGACGAAGCTGTGCCAGGGCTTCTTCTGGAAGCGGCCCAGGATGTCGTCGTACTGGGCGTCGAGCTCAATCTCGTACTTGTCGAGGTAGTCAAACAGGTCGTCGGTGCCGAGGACCTTGGCGATCTTGACCAGCTGGTCGGCGTTGCTGTTGCCGTGGAAGAAGGGCTCCTTGCGGAAGATCATGGAGGCGAACATGGCGCCGAGACTCCACATGTCCAGGCTGTAGTCGTACTCCTGGAAGTCTACAAGCAGTTCGGGACCTTTGAAGTATCGCGACGCCACCCGGACGTTGTACTCGGTTCCTGGGTGGTAGAACTCGGCCAGGCCCCAGTCGATGAGGCGCAACTGGAATAGGTTAGCGTTTTGGTTCTCGAGAGATGGGCGAAAAGGGACAGGGAGGTGCATGCCTTCCTGTTCTCGTGATCGATCATAACGTTGTGAGGTTTCACATCGCGGTGCATGATGCCTTTGCTGTGACAGAAGTCCAGGGCCTTGAGCAGCTCGTAGATGTAATAGCGGACGTCGATGTCGTTGAACTTTGGGTAGAGGCTGCGGAAATCCGTGTTGTTTACGTATTCGAAGATGAGGGAAGGTGTTTTGCTCTATGACGGAGGGACAAGTCAGTCCTGCGATCTGGACAACCGACCGATCAGAGAGGAAGAAAGGGAACCAGCGCACCTGGGAGTCCCGGACCACGTCGAGGAGGGCAACGATATTCGGCCCCCCGGCCAGATTTTGCAGAATCTTGATCTCACGCTTTATCTTCTTCTTCTTAACAGGTTTGAGGACCTTGATGACGCATTTCTGGTAGTTGACGACATTGATGCCCTCGAAGACCTCGGAGTACTTTCCGCGGCCTGGACAGGTCAAAAGCGGTCAGCGAGTTGAAGGGGTTCACCGAGAAGGGGAGAGGACAAACCGATCTTCCTAACAACCTCGTAGTTTTCCAGGACGCCCCAGCCTGCAACGAACGAAGGTCAGCACGTGGACTTGTTCCGGCGGGCCTGCGCGCGGGAAGCGACGAAAGGGCCTGGATAGACTCACCGATATTAACGCTGTCATAGTCCCAGTAGCTACGGGGCATGTTTTGATTGACGTCGGCGTAGACGCGAGCCATCCTTGCGACCGGGGCGCCGAGTTGGGCGCGGCCTGCTAGCGAGGAATCGACGTTGCAAGTGGGAGGTTTCGCTTCGAAAAGGAGGGCATTGATTGTCAGCCAGGACAGTGAGGGGCACACACCCAGCATCGTATTTTTCGACCGTTAGCCCACTGCAGGCTGCAGCAGGTGGATTCGGTGGATGCGCTTTCCTGGACCCGGCAATCCTGGGATGTAACCTGATAAGAACCCTTATCTATAGCCGATTACCTTGATTACAGGTACCTCTCGAGCCTCTGTACTGGCAACAACTCCAATCCTCCTCAGGACGCGAGATCCATCCGAGCCATTGCAGACTTGCAGTAGCACAACGTTTTACATACGGGTCTGATTCCATCATCAGTGCGTGCTGGAATTTCAATGTTTCTTTGTGACTCTAGGCAGATGCAGACTCAGTGCATTTTATGATTTCTTTATCATGTAACGACTTGAGGCGTCGAGCTTTTTTGGAGCTGTCAACACCAACTCTCGCCGGCTGCGACTGCTGGGCACACCTGTCTCACACTATGAACCCGGCCAATGAGCGGCCAGCTTTGACTCCAAAACCGCAAACTCGCGTTGCATCGGCATCATGGGCCATGGCACCCTGCTCCAGTCCATTATTATGCGATGGCTTATTATTACCAGGGAGGGCCCTCATGTTTGCCCAAGACCCAGACTCGCTCCCAAGCTTGAGTCATCAATCCCTCTTGGATCTCGTCTGCCGCCTGCTGTTTGAAGATGGACGTCAGATCGCGTCGCATTCCGTCTACTGCCCTTGACGACGCGGCATCTATCCGTTCCAGGAATTATCATGGAATCGCTCATCACCTGCGACCCGTCGAATCGCGCTACTCTCTTCGTGAGCAGTTCGCAGCAACGCGGAGGGAATATGAATTTGGCTTCGACGACGCTTCTTCGATCCTGGAACGGTCCATCTATCCAAGTGATGAGCTCGGTGACACGGTCGTCGTTGGTGCTGAGCCAGCGGCCCCTGAGCACGGGTTCCTCGATAAGGGCCCCGTCTCCCGGAACTGTTATGAGTTGCTCTGCCTACCAAACGAGCCATCGCTCTCTCCTGATCAGGTTCGCAAAGCAGCGCACCGTCTCGTCCAGGTGCTCGCAGTCGAAAAGCAGCCCTTACGCCTGCAAGGACCGGCAGCCTTTCACCTCGGCCTAGCCCAGGCCGCCTTTGAGACTCTGGTTGAGCCCTCCCGGAGGCTGGGTTATGACCTCTCAGACCTTGGTGAGACCGACTTGGACTGCGATGGGGATATCCCTGATGACGACGATACCGCCCTTGATCCGGAAGGCAGCAGTACCACGTATGAAAGCAGCATCCACGAGCAATATCTGCTCCTAACGCAACGAGAGGCCCGGGCAAGTACCGATATCGGGTTGCGGGTAGATGCTTCGTCTTTGCTCGCTTCACAACGAGGCGCTCGGCGGCATCGCTCAGGTTTGGAAGTTGTCGACTTCTCCATCCGGCAATCAGCCACCGCCAGCGTGCCTGCTCTAAGAAAGCCGATAGAGAGTACGGCGCTATTTCTTCGGGGCTGGTTCGGTAAAGGAGGCCAACCCCTTCGGATTACAGACCCAACTGTCACCGCCACCATGGGGACGCACGGTTTACTGGACGAGCCATTCAAACTCGCACCGCTCTTTCTCGACCGCTATCAGCCTCCGGGACCTGCAATCCATGGACCTAGACGCACGGAGCAGCTGCTTTCTTCACGATTCCTCCCGGTTGCGAACCTTAACTTACGCCAGGAGATCTTTTGGGAGCCCCAACGGACACAAAGCGAGTCTCCAAGGGTTTTCCCCAGATCTCTCCCGGGCCTTGTGATCGAGCACGAATTGGAGCTTCTACCCCGGCTGTCCACATCGCTCCGGTTGGGCTACTCAACCAACCCTCCCGGACTTCGCGAGCCTGTCAACGTCGAGATATTCGCTCGGAAACCGATAAAACCAAGGACCAATGTATCACCTGATTTAGGGTTTGCTATTCATAGCAATGTTGGGCCCGGGACTGCTTTCGTCCTTGCCGACGGAGGCGACTGGGACCTGCGGTCCTCAAAGGAATGCAGAGAGCTCTCCAAGTTTTCCAAAGTGTCAGGAGCCTTCGCGCACGTTATGGACATGTTCCGGAACCCTCCAACTGTTGAAGCCGGGTATGCGTTTGGGAGACACGACCTGGGCATACAGTCCCAACAGGCGTTGACCAAGCCGGCGGACCGGGGGCTCGCAGCGATAGACTGCGACATGGACAAGAATAAGGCCAGCTCATGGACTCTATCGACTGGTTGGACACCAGGTAATGTAGCAGCCTACCTTCGGTACGGCAGAGATCTGTTCTCCTTCACCTCAATGACAGCAACCCGGCGAAAAGCAGGTCTCCGAGCCGAGGTCGAGCTCGCGGGGACCGCGCAACGGGATTTCTTTCTCGCCTTTCGCGCTCTGCGGCGCGTAGGGCGTTTCTCCAAAGCCGGGCTAGAAGTGGGCATCTCGCCGAGCAATCTGCACCTCTCATTCTACTGGTCGCGTCTCGGACAGCGGATCAGCCTGCCCTTATTGTTCTCCACCAAGCCCAGGCTGGGCAGCTCCAAGCTGCTCTTCTGGACCACGGTGTTCCCCTTTGCCGCGCTTGCTGCGTGGGAACTCTACCGCCAGCGCCGTCTGGTGGCGAAAGTTGTGGCGGCCAAAAGCAATAACACGGCGATGCACAGGGATAGGAAGATCCAGGACTACGTCGCGCGCCGCCGCGCTGAGGCCGACGAGCTGACCGCCATCCTTGCCACGGGCGTCGAGCCGCGCCAGAACGTTGAGCGCAACCGAGGCGGGCTCGTTATTGTCAGCGCCAAATACGGCGTGCGAGATGCGCCGCCTGAGGAGGTCGCCGACGTCACCATTGCGTTGGCGGCGCTAGTGGATGAGGACGGGAGGCTTGTCATACCTAGGGGGATCCGCAAGAGCCGCCTGCTCGGCTTCTGGGATCCGGCGCCTATGAGTACCAAGGTGTTAAGAGTGAGGTATTTGTGGCAGGGCAAGGAGCTGGCGGTTGAGGTTTGTGGGAGGGAGGAGTTAAGGCTCCCTTGAGCCTTGATCCGGTGGATTATGAGATGTGTTTGTATGGGACTATGATGATGGGTGATGAGGCATGTTTTTTTATGAGGGAGGGTTGAGAATGGGTGTTGGGCATGACGGTTTGTGTATCAATTTCCCCTCGAGCGAACGGGAGTTGGATATTTTTACCCTGATTGAATGTGTTGATCATCCTGTGGTTGGACGATGGGAAAATGACTAGATAACAGAAAGAAGGAGAATAAGGGAAGAAAGCAACAAAGCTCGAACAGGCGGTCTTTGTGCGAGCCTCGTACTAGCCTGCATGAATACGGTTCAGCATTGGGTCTGTCAAACAGAAAGCTGGGGCCAGGGATGGACGACTACACCCAGCGAGATGGGTGTGTGCTTGGCTATTGGTGAAGGTATCGTCTTATAATCCAGCTCTTGCGTAGGACTCCCTTGAGTGCTGACATGCTTTAGGCGAGCATCTAAAATGCATAAGCCCCTGAGAAGGCATGTCGTCGCCCAGCAACAATCAGCCTCCGCACTCAGAGATCCATTTTAGGGCTGCCCCGCATTCAGGGGCAATGGAAACTAGGTCTGGTCTTGATCCGTCGCCTTCGCCAGAAGTTTCATATTGACATTGTGTCTATCTTCAGGCTTACTTATATACTGGAGCTGCAGCGCAGTTGAACCATTTCTTCTTCCACAGTGCCTACTGGTTAGTAGTATTGGCAACGATGATACCACCCGCTGAGCTCCCCTCTACGGGGTCCAAGTGGGCACGGTGGACGGCCCAGTGGGCGTCTCGTTGATGACGTCGTTCTGGCGGGTGCAGCCGCTCTTGGCCGTGATGGCGGCCGGGCAGGCCACCTGCCTGAAGGTGACGTCCGGGTTGTCGGCGCCCATGAACCTGGAGGGGGCTGTCAGCTCATATTACTCCTCTAGGCGAGACAAAAAGAAACATACCAATCGAAGCGCCAATTGCATCCGGCCTTGAGCTTCTCGGGGAAGCTCTCACACTCGCTCTTGGATCCGATTCCGCCGTAGCGCTGGCCCCAGCCGTTTGGCGGCGCGCCGTATTGGTTGGTGCATGCTGTTTTTGAAGTGTCAGATGGCTGACTTTGAACGGCCACAAGGAGAAGGTCTTACCGTTAAAAATGCCGACACCACCGCCGGGCATCTATTTGGGCGTCGCCATGTAAGTACGTACACGAAACAGGGCGGCACAGCTGAAAAGAGAAAAGGAGGACACCAACCGCAATATCAAAGTGATTATTCCCCAGATCCCCTCCCGTATTAGTCGCCTGCACAACCATCTTCTTACCCGCCACTGGCCCGCTGGTAAAAGTCAACTCATAGCAGGCACAGCACCAAGCGGCCTCGTTGGAGCCCGCAATGTTGACGGCGGCCCAGCCGTAGGCGACCGTCTCGTTGACGGCCCAGGGGCTCTGGGAGGAGCACATGTAGGCGGAGCCGCCGCTGTCGCAGCCGGAGCGCGTGTTGCCGCCGTCGTTGAGCGGGTTGTCGTTCTTGTCGCACGTCCGTACCGGGGAAGGCGAGTTGCCCTTGCGCGGCCACGCGCACGACGGCTTGCAGCAGTCCCAGTACCGCGTCGTCCGCCCGCTGCCCGACGCGCCCTGCGCCGAGACGAAGACGGGTCCAAGCAGGAGGGACAAGGGGGCCAGCAGGGAGAGGTGCATCGTGAAGTTGTCTACTTTGGTAAATAGTAGAGTGAGAGTATCAGATAATACACAGACAGCTACTACTGAGTATAGTAGTAGGCAAGGATCCTGGTCTGCAATGTTCAAAGGCGCCAGTCGCCAGGTCCCAATCCCAAGACCAAAGGGCAGGACACAACCAGGAAATATACCCCCCTCCCCCCTCTCCAGCCACTTAATAGCACCAGTAAGTAAACTCACCTTCACTTGAGCCTGGAACCGCAGCGGGGGATCTCTCAAGGACTAGTAGTATACCCAAATGAAACCCCCATCTCCCGCTCCGCACCGCTCCGTAGGGAGAAACAGCCCAAAACGGCCGCCAGCATATGAAAGCCGTCAGCGGATGGCAAGGGGGGTTATGAGTGGCCCATAATAAGTGATCGGCACCAGCTTCCGAACAAGCGGAACTTATCCCGCCCTGTCCCTGATTTCCAGTTACCACCTTACCGCACAGTACGTCAGCAGGGCACATCAGTTCCCACCAGATCGGCACCGTCCGTCCATCGGTTCTGCTGCGGCGCATACAGAGCAGGGGGGAAAGGGTAGGGGGCAACAACTGCGGCAGGTATATTACCTGCTCTTGGCTCCCCGCATTACAGAGGAACATACCCATTGGCATGGCGTGTTCAGAATGTGGAGGTGGACGGGGAAGAAGGAGGGTTTAGCACTATAACACCCCAGATTAATATATGTACATATATCTGCCCAGTGAGCAAAATAGGCGGCGTTCGCATATCGACCCGCAAGCGAACCAATTCCTTAGAATGCTCGGTTGGAACTCCACGGTTTCCCGGTATTATATGTGAGAGCAATGACGGGGAACGGCGTAGGACAACAAAGACAAGATGAATTTGGCTAGCTGGCTGGTGTATCCGCAACCGATCGTTTCACGACAAGCACATGTGATATTCCGTGAGATTCCCAGCTACCCACAGAAAACACTTTTCAAAAAAAACCAGCCGTCCCCGGGCTTCCTACCCACCCAGCAGATCGAGACTAGCCCTTACCAACCACAGGAGAGATTTAGAACCCCCATCCTCTACCTTCATCACGCTTTTCCTCAAGCGCCTCCCCTGCACGCCGCGCAAGATTGCTAAGGAAGCCGGCAGCACCAGATTCTTCCTCCTCCTCTTCGTCATTCCGGCGACGGCCATAGGACTGTTCCTCGCGACGCTCAGGGCGCTCCTCACGGCGCTCATAGCTGTCTTCGTCCCGACGGCCGTATCCTCCACCATAGCTGTCCTCATCACGGCGATCATAACCCCCGCCATAGCTGTCCTGATTACGACGACCATAGCCCCCACCATAGCTGTCCTCGTCGCGCCGGCCGTAGTCCTCCCGGCCACCGTAGCTCTGTTCGTCGCGGCGACCGTATCCCCCGCTACCGCCATAGCTGGTTGTCTCTTCCTCGCGGCGATAGCCGCCACTGCTCTCATAGCGGGTCTCTGTGCGTTCCTCCGTGTAGCTGTAGGCCTCGCCACGACGGCCGTTGTCCTCTTGCTCATAGCGGCGGTACTCGCTCCGTCCGCCGCCGCCGCCCCCGTATTGCGTCTCATTGTACTCGGCCTGGCCATAGCGATTGCCTTGGCGGCCGTATTCCGTAGTCGTCTGCGTGTAGCCGCCATCGTCGGTGCGTCCGCCAGACTGGTAGGTCTGGGTCTCCTCCCGCCCGAAGCCGCCGCCTAGGATTCCGCCGGCCACCCTGCCCAACAGGCCTCCAATGTCGTCTTGGCCGCCGCCGCCACCACCGAAGCCAGATTGTTGGACTGCGCCTCCGAGGGTTTGCTTGACACCACCGACAATGGCGTCGGCGGCGGCGCCGGCAATGCGGTCCTCCATTGTCAGGTTCTCTTCGTTGAAATTTTTGCGCATCTTGAGCTTCTTGCCGCATCCGTGGCCGCAGTCATGCTCACCCTCGCGGTGGTTCTCGCCTCTCTCGACGCCGCTACGGCTCAGCTTCCGCCGGTATTCGTCGCGCTGGCCCTCGTCCATCTCCTGCCACCACTCCTCAACGCTGCGGAAGATCAGGTTGCGGCCCTCCTCGGCGCCGTCGGGACCCATGTCGCGTTGCGCAGGGTGATGCAGCACACCGTAGATGACCTTGTTAAGCATGCGGTCGACATCCATGTGAGGGTTGTCCCAGGCTTCCATGAGCTGAGGGACCACCCAGCCCACGACCTTGGAGGCGGTGCGGCCAGCAATTTCGTTGAGAATCTGGCCCTGTTGTTAGCTTCGCAATCACAGCCTCAAAGTTTTCTGCTTACGTTGGTAAAGTGGTCCTTGGCTAGCATCGAGTGGGTCGGGTCGCTGCAGTCGTCGTCCTCAAAGACAATGTGCTGCTCGTGCTTACTGCTCTCGATGATCTCGCTGGCGCCCGTAGCGAGCTCGTTCTTGATCTGGTCAATGACGGGGATCACGAAAGGCGCAATCATTGAAAAGACGAAAAGCGAGAGCTGCTCCTCCAGCTGCTCGATGATCTTGGGCAGAATCGGGATCTGTTCAATGGCCTCCGTGATGCTCTGGAGAACCTCGTCGTGGAACTGAATGGCAGGCATGACCTGCTGGAACACCTGCTGGATATACTGAGTGAACTCTTCTGGATCCCTGGGTGACACCGTCATGTTCTGCATCTGGGCGGCCTGGGCGTTGTTCTGGAGGTCGTCCATCTTTGCTTTCTTGTCATCACCACCGAACAAGCCATCGGGAATCTTATCGAGCAGATCACGAAGGAAGCTGGTGTCGCTGTTCCGGCTTTGATCAAGGGTCCCCTCCAGGTCCTCAATCTCGCTCTGGATCATCTTATCGGACACTGTCTCTTATTAGTTTCTGTTATCAACGGGACATGTGTTGGGGATCAAGTACCTTCTCCAGTGACGGAGTGGAGAAAGTCGACACCCCCAAAAGTGCCGGTGACGATAGGATAGACCGAGTGGCGAGCACCAGGAATCCTGATTTTGGTGTTCCGGCCGACATGAGGGAATACGTCCCGCTCCCCCAGTTCAATCAAAGCCAGCTCGGTGTAGTTGCTGTGAGCAAAGAAGTCTTTTGTTTGATTTGTTAGAACCCATTCGGATTTGGGGGAAGGGATGGTTATGGAACTCCATACCTTCGAGACAGTGGAGGCCGGTTCCAAGCAGGCGAAGGGCTTCGTAGAGCTCTTCCTTCCTCTGGCTTCGCCCGTACGAGCGACCCAGCTCGATAGACTTGGCGAAGAGACGGCGGACATGCAACGCCGAGGTCATGATGCCGGCATTCTCGTTGGCAATGTAGTTCTTCATGCCCGTCTCCTCGTCGATAGCCAGCTCAACGGACTCGTCCACAGGCCCGCGTAGGCGGCGGTCGTACTGTCTCGCATCCATGTTGTCGGCGTAGTTCTTGGGGTTGTCAATATGGTCCTCGGGACGGTAGCAGCCAAGGCGGTCGGCCGTGACCTCGAATTCGCGGCTACCATAGCCGAACGTCAGGAAGCCTAGGATGCACAGCAAGAGACGGATGGCCTCGGCCGACACGCTCTTGACGGTGCCCACGTCAATGGCTTGGGAATAGTCTCGGAGCCAGTTCCCAAAGTAAACACGGGAAACCATCAACTTGTCGAACTTCTTGCCGCCGGCGGCGCGAGCCATGATAATTCTGAGAAGTACATCCTCGATATCGCCATGACGCCCTGCGGTCAATAGCATGGAGCGTCAGCACTGGTCAGACAGGCTTGAAAGAGTTGGGCAAGCAGCGTCAGAGGTAAGCATCTCACAGTTCTGGCCCTCGACCTTGGAGATCCCTGCGATGTTGCCGGCGCCGAAAGCGAGCGTAGGTCGCACAAAGCAGAAGAGAACGATGAACCCGAGCAAGAACGGGTAAAGTTTAAAGGATGTCATGGCTACGGCTGCGGTTCGGTATTGAGAGTTCCAGTTGGATGAAGGTGGAAGACCCTGAGAATTCAGCAGAGGGAGCGGTCAAGGAGAAAACAGGTGGTGCGGGGCAAAGGGGAGCAGGCAAAAGAACTAGGCAGATCCTGGCAGGTAGTGTAATCTGATGATGTTTTGGTTTTGGATGTGTGGGCGATTCGTGATGCAATCGGGATCATGTACTACTGTCTACAAGCAAGCAGCGATGGCGAGAGGTAAAATATTCGGACGAAGTCGGCTCAAGGAAAGATGCCTGATCCAACTTCCATGCCGTCGTCCTGACCACTGCTAGAGATGGAGGGGCACACATGCCACTCTCGGGCTGCTTGAGAAATGAGTGGCCCATCGTGGTGTTACTCGTTATGCCAACCAGTTTCAGGCAATCAGAAACACGCCAAGCCGACCATTCAGCTTGCTCGGTACAGAGGCACAGGAGGAGGAGGGGTTCCTTTTTCGTGGAGAGGGGTCGATTGTGGGAAGCAGTGCCGGATCTAGGAGTGGGGCAAGCATGAAGCTTTGCGTTGGAAGTGGGGCATGCTGCAAAGGTACCGAGGTACCTACCCTCAGCTACCCAAATACAGTATAGTGCAGAGCTAGCACCGCAGTTATGCCAATGCCGCGCGTTATGCGGGGTTTGGCACCTTTCGATAATAAAGCTTGGGTTGCCCTGTGAGGGCGCGACTCACTGTGATGTGATGGCGTTTGTCGATACTCGATGGTGTTTTTGCCTTATCTGCTCATCCGTGTAAGATGAGATTGCTGGCGAAGCTTGTATCGACTTGAGGTTATTCTCTGCGGATAGCCGTACTCTCACTGGAGCATGACAAAGTTTCTTGACATTGTCGCGTCCGCCAGAGCCCAAGCTTCAAGATAGATCGCTTGACCTTGGGAGCCCAATCTGCCTTCCAATACCCAGCCCTTTATGCTTGTATATATGTGAGCTAAGGTACCGAGCTTCCTGCACACTATCGTCGGGATCCCTTCTTGAATCTACCCGTGCCGTAACTAAGGTACGTTACCTAGATGCGGCAGTTGAGATAGCGCAGGACGCGTTTGGACGAGGTGAGCTAACCTCGGGCACCCATAACCTGGAAACCTTTGCCAAGACGTAACTACATATCACGTATTGTACGACTACTGCTTGTAAGTACTGGCAGCGAGACTCGAACACATATTTACATTACTAGCATCACATAACGACTGGATGGCAGATTAGTTACTGTCAGGGATGCTCGAAGGGAGCGGAACTACTCTGGTTCGGGCCTGACTGTATACTTGTTGTGTATGAGTAGCACGAGACATAGGTGGTTTCGGTTCTACGATGTCCGAGAACAAACCACTTAAGCTGAGCGGCCATGAGCGGAGGTAGACGGCGATGAGCAGCTGGTTTGCAAGCGGGATAAGATACATACCCGATCTCAAGCACAAGATATCTGCTGCACCGTGATGGAAATGGTCTGCCAAAAGGTAGGGTGAGGGTTGTGAAATTCAGGCCATACCTAGCCGATATGTAATACTCCCGCCTGGGGTCCTAGGGGACGAAATGCTTCCAGATCTAGCCTCAGCACCCGCTGGGACAGCTCCTTCTGAAGGAATGGCATCTTTTCTGACAGGCGAAACACAGCGAGGTGCAGGGAAAAAGGCGGGAGGAGCACAGTACAGTACAGAAACTCGCAAATCAGCGACACGGGTAAAATACTTACGTATGTAATAGGCCTTGCCCACTTCAGGGCAGGCAGCGAAACAAGACTGATCAGGCTATCGGCTGCTACTGTAATTCATCCAGGCACAGGCCGACCTAAGGTAAACTTGGAACCAGTGCCTGGTTTCGCTCCTTGGAATGCTGAATGCCAGAACCCCAGAAAACTAACTGCTTGACAGGATAGATGCATCCAGTACTTACCCAAGGAACTGACGGAAGACTTACAAGCACTTGTCGAACGCTTACATCGCTGCATTTTAACATAGTAATTGCGCATCATATTGCACAAAAGCCAACATCAATTAGCTTGTCAAATATCAATGATTCAGCACTGTACACTCAGAGGAAACAGACGAATTTGGTCTTCTTCCGTGGTAAGGAAGGACGTGTCCGCTGCGAGGTGCACCTGCCCAGGTGTCTTATCAATCGGGTAATGGTAATGCAGGCCAGTTATGCTGGTGCAGTGGTGGGGTGAAGGTTTGCTGGCTTTTGGCATCACTAACATGAGTATTGTATATATGTATGTACTGTACTGTATTGGTGTTCAACTTTCGTGTTGCAGCCAGAAAGCCTACCTTACATAGAGCTGCGCTGGCAGTCTGATTTTGGTGTTGCCGCGAGGCCGCGAGGCGGGCATCCCCTCTGATGGACGGAAGAGCGGGAGCCTGGAGGGCCTGCTGTTAAGTTGAACCTTGGAGTAGGGCGCCTGTTTCTGAGCCCGCGTTGGTAGTCGGGTGCCCCAGAATCTGAGAGAACGTTAGCCTTGGGGTGAGGTGCGGTTCAGAGGGTCGAACGTGGGTGTGATCTGATTTGCACTCAGCACGCGCAATTTTCCAGCACACCAATTTTCTTTAGCAGGTCAATCAGCGCTGGCAACCCCTCCCCAGCGACCCACGTATATTTTTCGGGGACCCCCGCCCTTCCCCCAAAATTCGCCGTGAATTTTTCCTCCTGTTCTCACCCTTCATTCCAGCAGTTCCTCAGCGCTTGACTTCCCCATCGCGGTCGCAAACCCAGCACCACCATCCCACTAACTTTATTTCCAACAAAACAGCGGTCAAATATACCACCACCGCAATCAACCATGCCGCGCCCACCCAAGAACAAGGCCTTGGTCATGCCTGAACAACAACCCGTCCCTGTCGCAGCAGCGCCTCCTCCCAATGTCGTCGCAGTGCAACCCGCCGCCCTCAACCTTAAGCAGGTCCCCCCAGTAATCGATGTCGGCCAGTTCATTCGCGTCAGAGATTCGGTAAGGAGCACGGCTTCACTTCCAGTTGCTCGCGCGCATTTCCCCAATGGCCCTCCCCCTGTTTAAGAACCGCGAAACACTCCAAATCTCCAGCCCAAGGGCCTGTCTTCCGTGCAGACGCGAGTCGGCACGTTCCCTTCCATCTTAACCCTCACTCGCAATCGCAATCTGCAATGTTTTGATTCAGACAAAGACGCGCACATCAAAACAAACTGATACCTCCCTTCCTCACTTCATCACACAACCTTACACTTCAACTCAAGCTACCCTGTGATGACAAGTGTTCACTATCTCCCAAATCTGCTAGAACAATGCAACTGTTGTCAGAAGCACACGTGCTACCCACATCGAGCATATGACGCATACATCTGCTGCCCCTCATTGTTGACAAGCTCCCCGTTTGGGTCCTGCGAAAACATGCCTCCCCTAACAACCTCGTACTTGCCTCGATCGATTGAGGGTCAGACAAGTTTCGCTAACCATCTTACAGGTCTACCAACGGCTCCAGACTATCCAGGACTTGATCCGGAGCTTTTCCCAGGACTACCTCCGCCAGACCAACCTCCTAATCGGGGAAGGCACCAACCTTGAGAATGGATCAGAGTTGGATCACCTCGTCAGCGGGCTCGGCAGCTTGATGCCTGCCATGGCCATGCCGCAACCCCCTGTGGAGGAGAAGAAGGAGCGCAAGAAGCGCACCCATGACCCCAATGCGCCCAAGCGGCCTCTCACTCCTTACTTCCTCTACATGCAGACAGCTCGCCCCATCATTGCGAGTGATCTCGGGGACCAGGCGCCAAAGGGTGCCGTTCAAGACGAGGGCCAGCGCCGGTGGTCCGTGATGACGCCTGGAGAGAAGCTCGGCTGGAATCAGGCCTACCAATACAACCTGCGCCTCTACAACGCCCGTGTGCACTCTTACAAGCACGGCAACCCGGATGCCAAGAACATGACGGATGAGGAAGCGCGCGTCTACGCAGATCAGCACGGCATCTCGATGCCCCCTCTCGCCCAGGCCGAGGAAGCCCCGGCCAATGACCAGGAGGCTATCGCCGAGCAGCTTCAGGCGACGGCTGTCCCCGAGGAGGCCTCTGAAGAGGCATCTGAAGAGGAGCCCGCGCCTGCAGCAAAAACACCCAAGAAGAAGGACACGCGCAAGCGGAAGAGCACGGCCGCGACTCCCGCGACCGCCGAGCCAGAGCCCGCAAAGCCCGTGGCGGCTACCCCATCCTCCCCCGAGGCCAAGAAGAGGAAGCGCACATCCAAGGCGGCAGAGCAGGTAGAGGAGCCTAAGAAGTCTGGTCGTAAGAAGACCAAGACTGGCTAGGTCCCTCAATAGCCCTGCTCTTTCTGTCTGGTGTCGGTTCATTTACTATCGGTGATACCTCTGGCGCCTCTGCTTCTTCCCTCTTTTTCATGATACCCTCCCGACGAGAGAAATACTGGTAACAAATCAAGTCGTCGCCTGCGTGGAATATGGGAGGGGGGTGTGTTTTCTCTCGCAAGCTGGCTATCATGGGCTCGGTGTCGTTGCGGTTTGCCATTGCGGCAACTTAGGGCTTTCTAGGTTTTGTACGGGTCAATCGCGGAATAAAGGTGGTCTCGGGGTTTTTCCTCTGAAAGCAATTGCTTGGGGTGAACGGGGAGGTCGAGGAGCCGGTTAAGGCTATAGGAGAGTATCTCTCTGCTGTGCTTGGTCTTGTGGGCTTTATGTACTTATTTACTCGGATTGTTTCGGCTTGGTGGCTGGTTGCACCAGCACACAGCAGCAGTAGCAATACACGCGTCGATGAATTGATCAGATCACATCCATGTTGCACTTGGCCTTTTAGTCGGGTGGTTCTGGAGGTTGTGTCATTGATACTGTGACGGCGCTGTCATGCTCGCAGTGCCACGAATTTCAAAGGGTAGGTACTCAGTACTCAACCTGGAATTTACTTACTAAGGACCTGAGAAACACGCAGCATTTGACGGCAAACAAGCTGCTTAATTCCAAGATTGAATAAAAGGAGCACAGGTGAGATCCCTCAAACTCTACGGGAGATTGAGATAGGATCAGCCTGTAACGCGGCCTCCATTGACTCTCGCCGTCAAAGCATCGTAATTCCGGGCATATCATTGAGCCCTATCATACCTAACCAGTCGGTGCCTTGAGTACTCACACAATGGTCTGCTGATGGGACAGCTGCCCAGCCCCTGGCGTCTCCAAACTCTCCGGCTTGGAGGTTGTAGGCCCTGTGGACCCCACCACAAGCCAGACAGACTTGAATGACAGGACCTTGGGATGGGAGCGCTGGAGAACTGTACTGTACTGTACTGTACATACATACATTACAGGACCGTGCCTTATAGGGGTAACTAAAGCTCAAGGCATCTATCTCTGAGCCCTGCGAACTGACAATTGCCTTACTTGGTCGGAGACCTGGAGGCGGATCGATTAGCACTGAGGAACGGTTGCAAGGGCCAAACCCTTCCCTGACTTATTAGACTCATGTCTGGCATATCAAGCAGTTCCCGAAGCCGCATAACTCACTGGCCTGGCTGCCCTACGAATTCTACCGACTGCAGCTCACGGGTAGCTCACGGGTAGAACAATTTTGAAATGACTACTTGCCCCTGATGCACAACCCTGATTATGCCCCACCCTTCCATGTTTTGAGCATTGGAACATCGGTTCTTCAACGGCATACACTAATATCATCACCCCCTCTGCCGAGCTGTCAACAACAAAGGACACAAGTCGCATCAAGGTCATAATCAGGTCAAGAATACACAGCACATGATTACTATGTCACTGCAAGAGTGCTCCTTGAAGAACACCGCCATCACCTACGGAATACACGCAAGGCAAGCAACCCGCCACTCCCTAAAAAAACACGACCTCCTCACCCATCCACACCCAACAACTAGTACACATACCAGCTCTGCGCAAGTGGTAACTCGGTACTCGGCTCAGCAGTACAAACCTTACCGTCGGCCTCGACGGTATAACTCTCCGGGTCGACACGCATCTTGGGCATGACGTCGTTGAACTTCATGTCTCTCTTTCCAACGGAGCGGCAGTTCTTGACAGGCTCGACACGCTTCTTGAGGCCGTACGACGCCGCCTTGCCGCTGTCAATGCATGCCTGGGACACAAACAGCACACTTGTCTGTGGGACCAAGGGCGCAAACATGGGCCGGGCGATGACCGGCTGGATGGTGGGGATTGACGCGTTGGCATCGCCCTGCAATAGAGGAATAAGGTTAGGGATCTTCTTTTGATTGATCGGAGGAGACAAGACAGGTAGGGGGAGGCGACTTACCATCTGCGCCCAAGCAATCATGCCACTCTTGAGCACCAAGCTGGGCTTGGTCCCGAACCAGGCGGGATCCCACACAACCAAGTCGGCCAGCTTGCCAATCTCCACACTCCCGACCAGGTGGCCCATACCCTGGGCGAGGGCCGCGTTGATGGTGTACTTGCTCACGTAGCGCTTGACGCGGAAGTTGTCGGCACCGGTGCCCTCGTCCTCAGGCAGCGTTCCGCGCTGCAGCTTGTTCTTGTGCGCCGTGTTCCACGTGCGGAGGATCACCTCGCCGCAGCGGCCCATGGCCTGGCTGTCGCTGCTCATCATGCTGATGGCGCCCAGGTCGTGCAGCACGTCCTCGGCGGCGATGGTCTCGGCGCGGATGCGGCTCTCGGCAAAGGCCACGTCCTCGGGTATGTTCTTGCTCAGGTGGTGGCACACCATCAGCATGTCAAAGTGCTCGTCGATCGTGTTGAGCGTGTAAGGGCGCGTCGGGTTCGTCGACGACGGCAGCACGTTGGGATGCTCCACCACGCTGATGATGTCGGGCGCGTGGCCGCCGCCGGCGCCCTCGGTGTGATACGTGTGGATAGTGCGCCCCTTGAAGGCTGCAATAGTGGACTCGACGAAGCCGGATTCGTTGAGCGTGTCTGTGTGGATGAGGCATTGCACGTCAAGCTCGTCACATACGCTTAGGCACGAGTCGATGGCTGCCGGCGTGGTGCCCCAGTCTTCGTGTAGCTTGAGACCACATGCACCCGCAATGATTTGCTCGCGCAAGGCTGCTGGGTTACTGTCGTTGCCCTTGCCAGTGATGCCGATATTGACCGGCAGCTCGTCGCAGGCTTGGAGCATCTGGCGCATGTAGTTCGCGCCAGGGGTACAAGTTGTGGCGTTGGTGCCGGCGCTGGATGCTGTCAGTTTTCACCCGCGAAACTTCAATGTCAAACACACCTTGGCCCAGTGCCGCCACCCAACATAGTAGTGATGCCGGATGCAATCGATTCGTATGCCTGCTGCGGGCAGATCAGGTGGATATGGGTATCGATGCCGCCCGTCGTGACGATCTTGCCCTCGCCAGCAATCACATCAGTGCAGCTACCCACGACCATGCCGGGCGTGACGCCGTCCATGACATCGGGGTTTCCGGCCTTGCCGATGCCTACAATCAATCCGTCCTTGACGCCGATATCCGCCTTGTAGATGCCCGTCCAGTCCACCACGAGTGCATTCATCACAACCAGATCCAACGTCTCGGCATCCGACCGCCCCGTCGCCTGGCCCATGCCCTCGCGTATCGTCTTGCCCCCTCCAAACTTGCACTCATCGCCATAGACGGTATAATCCCGCTCAACCTTGACCCACAAATCGGTGCTCCCCAGCCTGACCAAATCCCCTGTCGTGGGACCATACATGGTCGCATAGGCCGCTCTGTCGAGCGTGTAACCCTCGGTGAAGAAGGCCATATCCCCCGCGGGCTCAGGGGCGTGGGCGAAGCCCGCGTTCTGTAGCTTCTCAAGGATCTCGGCGGCCCTCCCGAAATCCACCTTACCCGAAGCAAGCCCATTCCCGCCTCGAATGATCCTATCCCCTCCAATCTCGACGAGCGTCACAGTCTTGGTATCCCCAGGCTCAAACCTGATAGACGAGCCGGCGGGGATATCCAGCCTAAACCCGTAGGCCCGCAAGCGGTCAAACTCCAGCATGGGATTAGTCTCAATGAAATGATAATGACTGCCGACCTGAACAGGGCGGTCGCCCTTGCTGGTGACGCGCAGCCTGATCCTTTTCCTCCCCTCATTCAACTTGACTTTACCCGCCGTCTTCACAACAACCACGGCGCCCGGCTGGCGAGCCGCCTCGTACACGGCCGGGTCCTCGGGCAAGGGGAAGGCGTCGTTGCTGGGCACGGGCAGGAAGCTGCCGTACAGGGCGCGGGCCAGGTCGCCGTCGTCGGTGGAGATGGGGTTCTGCACCGTGACGAGGTAGGTGCCTGAGGGAAACGTTCCCTCGACCTGGATCTGCCCCAGCGTCGACACAACCTCGGGCCGCACGTGTCTGCGCCCCAGCATGGTGGCGCCCAGCGCCATCAGGTCGGCCACCGTGTGCCCGCCATCGCGGATCAGTTCCTGCAGCGTCGACGAGATCAGGGCCTTTTTAAAGTAATTGGTAAGTGTTGTTTTAGATGAGTGTACGCTGAGGCTGGGTGACAGGAAAGAGGGACTTACGGTGGCTTCTGCATGATTCAGCTTGACGCCGCGGGCCAGGCGCCGCTGGGCGAGAAAGCCCAGCTGCGATATGGTGAGCTTGTCAAGCTGTGGGCGGTTGGCAATCGTATCGTGTTAGTTCTTGCTATTTGATATCTCATAGGTGGGGGATGAAAATAAAGGAGGATTGAAGTTGTAAATTGCTGTGTGACAAGCATCGCCAAGATCAACTAACCTCCTTTGGGACGAGATGCATCGTGACTTATTGTGTATCGCGGCCGATGAGCAAAGTTGAGACACGATGATGGAGGAAATATCGAATCGGCGGTTTGCACAAGCTCTAAATCGGCAGCTCGCCTGATATGCTCCCCGGATTGTCTTTGCATGATCCCCTTGCGTATCGCTCCCCGCTATCCCAGTGGCCTCACGATAGTAGACGCAGTACAGCAGAGTACTTGCATCACCCCGCACTCTCCGCTGATAAGCTCTCGGTTTGCTGATTGCTGTAGTCATGTTAGCGGGCCACGGGCAGCCAGATGCAGTCCCAAAATCACAAGCCAGTCCCAGTACACAGTGATTTGGCGGTTACCATATTAAAAGTGATGATGCTTGCAAAATTTACAAAAATTGCCCGGTTGTCTCCAAAACGCCGCTGATGGCCCGGTATCCCTCTGTTCCAAGTTCCCAACCCCAAGTTCCTAACCGCCTCGTCGAATGTGGAAGGAAATCCTATGGATACATTCACTTGACCTGCTCCACGATGCCATATACCTGTCCAGTCCAGAGCATCTCCCAAGAATGTCAATGCCAACAAGCGCCGTGTAACCCCAAACCGGTGAATTCACATCGACTCAATCAACCTCTCTCCTCCCTTCCCTCTCGCTATTGCCTCCCTAAGCCTCTCGTTCTCAATAGCCCTGATCCTGCTCCGCGCCGACTCCAGTCTCTCCAAGCCGCGGTCAATCGTCTCGACGTGCACACTAAGCGGCACATCGACCCGTCCTCTAAGCAGCCCCGGTTGGGCGGCCCGGTCCCTCAGGTCCTCTAGTCCGGCCTGGACCTTTTGCAGTTCGGCAATCATCTCACTGACCTGCCTGACGGCACCTTGGCGCTGCGTGTCGACCTGCTTGAGCAGCAACAGCTGGCTGTCCAGGCTCCTCAGCTGCTTGCTCTTGCCGCCCACGAGCGCCCACAGCGTCGAGAGCACCTGGTCCTTGCGGTCTTGGACTGTTATGCGGGTCCGCGTGACAAAGTCGTGAATGATGTCCAAGTGGTCGCCGGCCTTGGACAGCGAGTGCAGCACAGCCTCGCCTTCCAGGACCAGGTCGCCAACTTTTTCCGACACCAGAGCCGTGTGTTCGGTGTATGTTTTGAAAATGTCCCGCTCGGAAAAGACAGCGGGCTGGAAGGGCGAGAAGAGCCAGTTCGTCCATTGGCCCACGACGCCTACTGCATGCTGGTCATCGTTGCTGCCGCGGTCCAGGTCGTCGAGGAAGCGGGCTGTCCACCGGTTGATGCTGATAAGGGAGTCGACGGCCGAACCAACATGTGTGTTGAATCTCTGGAGATCGCTGGAGGCTTTTCCCGCAGCTTCAATGAATCCGTCGAATTCAAGAACCAGTTCCTCCTTGCGCGTGAGGCTGCTGTAGCGGACCAGCGTACGTAGATCACGAATCGACGCCTCGGAGCGTTTCATTTCCATAGGGAGAGACACCCCCTGGGCTGACTTCTCGGCAACTTGCTGGAACTGGTCTTGGAAATCCATCAAGGTCTCAAACTCGGCCTGCTGCCCGCGCTGCTCTCCCTGACCCTCGTTTGGCACGAAGTGTGGACAGAAGGGCAAATCAAACCACGACGCGCCTGGCAGGCGGCAGATCGGGGAAAGGGAGGCGTAGAGCGACTTGGTTGCCATGTTCTGCAGCACGACGATCCCGCCAAAAGTGAGGTACAACGACAGCAGTAAGGCAAGCGGCTTTTGTGCATATCGGAATGCGTATCCCACCACGCCAAACCACCATGATAGTACGCTGACGAGGTGTTCAATCAACAAATCCCAGAGCCCATGGCCGCTCATCGTCTGCCCGTCTCTGGAATCACCATGGTTTCCCCGGTTGCGCCGCTCCTTGGCAGGACCCTCGGATGGTCCTACCTGTCGGCGCCTAATCCCCGGGAGTGACGGGGGCGGAGCAGCTCTCATTGTCGTCGTTGACCGGGTGCTCGATCTCCTTGGACTCTCGACGTCGACCCGGGGCATGTGAAACTCGGGTTCGGGTGAGCGGTGCCTCATGTCCTCTCTCGAGCCATGTCGCACCGACTGAGGCACCGAGGGGCGGAAAGGCGACCTTAGGAGGACCTGCTCGTCGTTCTCGGCCTTGTAGAGAAAGTTCTCGATGCTGTCATCCTGAGAGCCCCCGATGCTGAAAGGCTGGGATCCACCAATGCTGAAGGGTTGCGATCCGTACGGCTGCGTCGACTGCTCGCTGCTGCTTGAGATGTTGAAGTCTTTATCGTCATTCAGAATAGAGGTATCGAAGCTGTCATTCTCGCCGCCCTCAACCATGCGCCATGACCTCTCTGGCTCAAAGTCTCGCTTCTTGGATGAGCCTGCCATGGTGCGCCGCCCCGAGCTGCCAGAGCGGTCGCGCATCAAGGAGAATTCCCGTCACTGTCTGAGACCCGGTCCAAGTTGGGATATTTAATATGCCCTTTGGTACGGAATAGGATGTCGCGAGGTCACGCGTCGGCGCGTCTAAGTGGCGAAACGAGGTATCCAAGGCAGCAGCGGGCACTAGTAGCAAGCCCCGGTACTGCATGTATTTACAGTGTCCGAGAGATGTGGGGTGCAGAGATGGCGGTCAGTTTCGCTTTGACCTCTGAAATGAGTCACGGTAGGCAGCAGAGGGCCGATGGAAATGTTGACCAAGTTGGTGGACTGGAGCATCGAACAGAACCATTGTGGGTTGAGAGGGATGTGGAAGCTATCAGTGCTTCTGACTGGTGATGGGTCGTTGGAGGTGTTTGGTATGTACTGTACTCGCGTTTGTTACTGGTGAATGACACCCAATGCTCGATGCAGGGCACTGTGCGAATACAATGCCCGATCACCTGGACTGGCTGTCTTTCACCTCCGCTGATGCAAAGCCCCCCGCAGCGTAATACAATCTTTGTATGTACATACATACGTCACATGTAAATACTGTAAAGAGTACAGTAATGTTACCGGTACTCAAAGTTAGGGCCATCCTGGATCCGGGAAAAGTTAAATTGTTGGTCACGTCACACGTGTCGCGGGTGCCATCTGAACCACCACACCTGCTCAAGAGGACCGACCTGGAGAAAGGGCAACCATTTGGTGTTGGGGCCAGCGGCAGGATGCCCTTGCCGCGGGCGCCAGGATGCCTCGCGCAAATCTTGACAAGGCAATTTCATTTTAGGATAGCGCAACGATTTCCGACTCCCCAAATCCAGCGCCGTCTCTGTTCGTCCTGCGACAGCCCCGACCCTTCCCCATCGAAACCCCCTGCGCCAGACCACCGGAACCTCGGCGTACAGCAGGAACTGTTTACCACGTCCATATACAGTCCCGGGTCGCCCATCTTCCTCCCCAATGGCGCGCGCATATTCAACCAGCTGACCGACTTCCTCCGCAAGCAATATATCCGCTATGGCTTCCAGGAAGTCATCACGCCAACCATCTACAAAAAGGCTCTCTGGGCCAAGTCGGGACACCTCGAAAACTACTCCGAAGACATGTACACAGTGACCAGCACCTCGCCGTCGCGCGCCGAAATCACCGAGGGCGGCGAGGAGTCTGAATACGGCCTCAAGCCCATGAACTGCCCCGGCCACTGCCTCATCTTCGCGTCGCAAGCCAGAAGCTACCGCGACCTGCCGATCCGGTACGCCGACTTCAGCCCGCTGCACCGGAACGAAATCTCGGGCGCCCTAAGCGGCCTGACGCGCGTGCGCAGGTTCCACCAGGACGACGGGCACATCTTTTGCCGGCCGTCCCAGATCGAGGACGAGATCCGCAAGACGCTGGACTTTGTCCGCCTTACCTATCGCGTCTTCGGCCTCGGCCCATACCGGTTGACGCTTTCTACGCGACCGGAACAGTACATGGGGGCGCTCGAGGACTGGGAACAAGCTGAAAATGCGCTTAGACGAGCGCTCGATGCAAGCGGACAGGCATGGACTGTCAATGAGGGCGACGGCGCTTTTTACGGGCCCAAGATTGACATTGTGCTGAAGGACTCGGACGGGAAGGAGCACCAGACCGCCACCATCCAGCTTGATTTCCAGCTCCCCAAGAGGTTTGGCCTCGAGTATGCCACACCAGCCCCCGAGGTTGAAAGGCGGGGCGAAACCACAACGGACCCCGAGCTGCTCGCCGAATTCGGGCTCGTCCGGCCGGTGCTTATTCACCGCGCCGTGCTTGGCTCGGTGGAGCGGTTGATGGCGCTGTTGATCGAGCACTACAACGGGAAGTGGCCGTTTTGGCTCAACCCCAGGCAGGCTATCATTCTTACGCTGAACGACTCGGAGCCTGTTGTGAACTGGGCGCGACACACGCGCGATGTGCTGCTTGGTTTGTCCACGTCGTCGCCCGATGAGCCAGCCTCCCCAACCAACTTTGTCGTCGACTTTGACGATAGCGCCCGCGGCTTAGCGGCGAAGGTGCGTGAGGCCACCTCCAAGGGGTATAGCCTGATCGTCGTTGTCGGCCCAAAGGACGTTGAAAAGGGGGTCGTCTCTGTCAATGCAAGCGCCTTGGCCGGGGCCAATGCCAAGCTCCTGAAGCAGATGAGCTTCACACCAGAGGAGCTCCGCGGGTATATGCAGTCGAAGGCGAACGCCTATCAATAGCCGGGATTGTAACAGTATTGTATCACCACACAGATGCTAGAACAATCTGTGTTTAGAGCTTCTTCCGGCCATAAGTAGACGCTGAAACCGAAGCTGGAACTTGTACGTGTAACGTACCGTAGGAATCTGGAAGTAATCTAGTTAAGCTTTAAATCTTATCTGGTCTGCTAATGCCGGGCGATGACGCAGTGCCGCAGCTTTAGTTGGGAAGGTGGGGTTGTGCTACGGTCCGGAGCTTAACTGGCCGGCCCCTCACCTGCAAGGCAGCTCTATCAGGTTAAGTGTCTACTACTACTACACGTTCCGTACGTATATTACTCTAGAGATCTTTATAATTTACTCTTCGACTCAGAAATCTCCGACCTCCCCTACCCCTTTCCGATCCACAAAACGAGCGCCATGGACCTCACTGACCCCTCCGATCCCCCACCCGAGCACATCGCCGCAGCCCGAGCTCACGGCATACCTATCCGCCAGAGCGCGCCCATCAAACGGGGCCCCTTACCGCTCGAGCTGCCCATCCTATCCTATCTGCGCTCCAAGCGCGTGATTTTAGCGAGCGCGTCGCCGCGAAGAAAAGCCCTCCTAGCACAAGTTCGCCTTCCCCCTTTCCCCTCTTCTCTTAACCTTGCTCTAACAACTGAACAGATCGGTCTCCCCAACCTCGAGATCATCCCCTCCACCGAACCCGAAGACCTCGACAAGAAGCAGCTCTCGGCCGAAGAATACGTCTTAGCCACCGCCAGGCGTAAGTGCCTGGCCGTGTACCAAGCCGCGCTCTCCTCCGACGACAATACCACCACACAACAAGATCAAAAAGAACAAGAAGACCCGGCCGTGGTGATAGCAGCCGACACCATCATATCGACCAAATCCGGGCAGATCCTCGAAAAGCCGCGGTCCGAGGCGGAGCACGTGCGCATGCTCAAGCACCTGCGGGACACGCGAGAGCACCGCGTGCTGACGGCCGTGTGCGTGCTGGCACCAAAAGCCGACGCCAGCCACCCGGGCTACGAGCTGGCCTCCCACGTCGAGGAGACACGCGTCACGTTTGCCGAGGAGCGCGACGGCCTCCCCGACGACGTCATCGAGAGCTACGTGCGCACCCGTGAGGGGGTCGACAAGGCTGGTGGGTATGCAATTCAGGGGATTGGGGGTATGCTCCTTGTGGAAAGGGTCGCGGGGGCGGTGGATAATGTTATTGGGCTGCCGGTTAGAAAGTGTCTGCAGCTGTGTGAGAAGGTGGTGTTTAGGCAGGGTATGGAGGAGGAGGAGGTCGGGAGTGATGTGGATTGAAGGGTGGTCAGTCCATGCGGATTGGGGTGTTATTGCTTTGCCAGGGTTTCACAAGGAGTCGACAAAATACGGATAGACATGACCCATGATTCGAGAGTTTAAAAGGCGTGCGTAGGATTGCTTATCCGGGTTCAAGAGGGATCAATCTGTTGGGTTCAGCCATGTCGCGATGAATTCATCTTATGTATCTCCTTTTACTCGGCTGTCTGCGGGCTTTGGTATTCTCAGCGGGTGCGCCTCCGTATTGAAGACATAGTCATCCAAACTGATCAGATCGGGCTCCGAGAAGATGAGATAGAAGTATTTGAGTGTCTCAGCAATCCAAAAACTCTGCGCAAAGAGAGTCAGCATCGCATCCAGGTCTTCAAATTCCAACGGCAACCACTCACCTCCATGGAATCTATCTTGGTCGTCCGGCCAGTCGTCTGTACGTCCGAGATCGCCGAGTAGGCGTGCCGCGTCTCAGTCGCCTCCTTGATTGACTCAAACATACGCCACGCCACGTCTAGCAGGTCCGCTTTGCCCGTGATTCGGTACAGGATAAATATACTCTCGATGGCCTCAGGCCGCAGGTGATATTCCGGTCCCCGGACCGCTACGAAACCTTTTGGGAACCTGACGACATGTTCGCCGTGCGCCTTCCACCGGGACTCGTTCCACGCGCAGCGAGGGAAGTCGTCGTTCCCGTCAACACCATCTCTCTTCTTTTCGCAGGGTATCACCTCTGACACCTCCGGCATGATGCCCGTGGGGAAGGCATGATACGCCCAGGCGCACCCGCGGGCCAGCTGCTCGCCTATCCTCACGTGGTCTTCCTGGTTGAACAGTCTCCCCCCAAGGGCGAACATCCCGCCGGCGAAGCAGCCGAGGTGCTGCACTTCGGGCTGCAGCTCGACGATTTGTCCGTTAGACAGTGCCGTGCCGGAGAAGAGAATGTCGGGCGCTGTGCCGGGAAACATTTCCGGCAGCATGGGCCGGAAGAGCAGGTGTTTCTTGGCTGCCGCCATGGCTTTTGTGTGCAGTTTTTCATAACTCGGTTCCAGCCCGCCTAGCAACGCGTACATCTTGGACAGATACTCGTATGCTGAGTCAGAAGAGGCACCGAGAGAGAAGTCGGTTCCAGTGGCACGGAAGCCGCTCCAGAGGTCGATAAAGACTGGCCACATCCCTGGGAGGTTGGTTGAGTCTTGGGTCCTTTCGAGCGCCCTTGTGACACCTGCGATGGCATTATAGTACTTTGGATCGCCCGTCAGCTGCGAGAGTCTCGTAAACTCCAGCGACAGCGTCCCAGCGGCGGCAGAAGATTCGTGCTTGTCAGCCACCAGCTTGCCCTCCTTGGCCTGCTCAAAATTGAAACTGTTGGCAGGCATATGATTTAGCGTGTCGAACCCAGCATAGAGCATGTCCCCAAGCTCAACAGCTTTGTCGAGGAGTATCTTCTCCTGGCTCAGGTCGTAGGCTGAAAGCAGCCCACCCAAGTACCTGATATTGGTCTCGAACAGACTGCAGTAAGGGGAGGTCGCATTGTTCCAGTCAATGCGTCCGACATGGCGTACGGCTTCGTAAAACTCCCTTCTCAAGCCCATGATCCATAAAGTATCCAGCGAGTCAACCAACGTGGCACCCCATCCGGCAAAGCTGTCTACCCCGACCAGGCTCTGAGGGGCAACTTCATCCTGGCCCCAGGCGTACTCTCGATAAGCCTTCCAGGATTTCATGGCCGCGCGTTTGACAGCATCCCGGCGAGCTCCCCGCGTCTTGCTGTGCGAGCTGCTCAAGTCGTCTGCTGAGAATTTGTGTTGAATCCGGGACAGTTGGCGAGGGGTCCCTTCAGGCAAACGCGCCATTGCCGACATATCGACAGGGTGCACCTGTTGCCGTTTTCCCCAGTCATAGCTGCTGGGTATGTACTTGAGATTGTGCCATTGCGTCTTCGCCGCAATGTAGTCGGTTGGACCAAGCAGAAGGTAGGAGATAAGGAAGATGATCGCCACGAGAGCTAGGCGTAGGAACCTACGTCGGGCTGTCGGGACGGCCATCGTTCCAACGCGTCGATGGGAACATGGACAGGCAATCCAAAGACCAGAACCGGTGATGCAACATGAGCAATGAATGATTATTGTTCTAGCAACTGGAAGAGTTATGCAGCGGCATATGTAATGTAGCAGAAGGAATAAAGTATTTACCTTACCGGCCTCACTGGAGAAACCTGTTTTGGCTGCATCAGGATCTTCAGTGCCTGTAAGCCACAGACCCCAACGAACCCTCGCTTGGCTTCATCATCGCCCGAAATTGGAAGTTCCCCTGACGTTCCCGGGCTCGTTGGGTCCTGGGTCGGCAATTCCCCTGCTGCTGGTTGGAGCCTGTGCATCAACAGTATTCCGTACAAGTGCTCAACCTCGCATGAAAAGGAAAGCTGAAAGGAGGCCAGCATTTGTGCTAAAGACTCGGGAGATGCACCCGTTCGTTATAAGCTCAGGTAGCAATGAATCGATTGATGCTCGAATGAATCGTAATTGCGGGACAGGAACACCTAAACTGTCCGTAGTGGACATGAGGTCTGGACGCCACGTAGATAAATGATTAGCAGGGCCATCGTTGGGTCCATTCATGGGGAGGTCCAGATTCTGACTTCCACGCAAATCTCCTTGAAGAATTGGTGAGAAGTTGAAAGGAGCTGGCAGTTGAAGATTGCCAAGCCTAACTAATGTTCGCCAAGATTGATGGATTCGGTTGATCTCTGCCAAGACTTGGTGGTCAAATTCCAAAGAAAAGCCCCTGTAAGGCTGTAATCAGCGTTATCGAAATGCTATCGCCCAAAATTTTGGCGATAGCTTTGCATCAACTCCAAATCGCCAGCACTGTCACTCTCCATTTCCACATTCCATAACTCATCGCAACAATGTCATCTCTCCGCAATAGGTGAGTTTACCGATCAGCCCCCAGAACAGCCTAATGTTGACAAAACTAGCATCCAACGGCGAGCCCACCGCGAGCGGGCGCAGCCCCTCGAACGAGCGAGGCTCGGTCTGCTCGAGAAGCACAAAGACTACCAGAAACGCGCCAAGGACTACAACAAGAAGAAGGCCGTGCTCAAATCGCTGCGTCAGAAGGCGGCCGACCGCAACGAGGATGAGTTCTACTTTGGCATGTTGTCGCGCAAGGGGCCCGGCTCGGCCATCACGCGCGGCAAATCCTTCACGGGTACCGTCGACGGCGACCGCGGCAACAAGGCCATGGACATGGACACAGTGCGGCTGCTCAAAACGCAAGACCTGGGATATTTGCGGACAATGCGAAATGTGGCAGCCAAGGAGGTGCGGGAGTTGGAGGAGCGCTTCATTCTCGCCGGCGGGACGACAGAGCAGATGGCCGGGGACGACGAGGGCGACGACAGTGACGAGGACGATATGGGCACAACATCATCTAGGCCGCAAAAGCCCAAAAGGATTGTGTTTTTCGATGCAGCCGAGGAAAGGCAGCAGGCGCTGGAGGAGCAGGCAGAGGACGAGGACGAGGCAATGGGGGAATTGGGCGACGACCAGGACGATGAGAAAGCAGCAGAGGCACGCCGGAAAGCAGAGAATCTCGAGAAGCTCCAGCGGAAACTGAAGAACGCGAAGAAGAAGTTAAAAGGGCTAGCGGATGCCGAGTACGAGCTCGAGCTGCAGCAGGCCAAGATGGCCAAGACGGCGACATCAGGCGGTATCACCAAGAGCGGGAGGCGGATCAAGGTCCGCGAGAGAAAGAGGTAGCTGGCATGATCCCGCCGCTGTCCATATTTTTCCTTCGGGGAGCGATAAGTCTGGCTTCGCTCCAAAGGGGGAATGTTATTATGCAAAATACCCAACGCCAGAATACCTATCATGACCATGAATAAAGCCGGGTCCAGAAGCCCGTTTATGCCCTCTCACAGTGTTCTTAATTCAACTCGAATCTCCCTGAGGGAGCAGCCATTACACCCTCCTCACTCCTCATAGCTTGCCCGCGCCGCAACACCTCGCCAGGCCGGACAAGATGGCCATGAGCGCCCTGAACGCCAGCGTCGCGCACCACACAAAGCACTTGAGCGTAACGGTCAGCAAGCCGATGAGCGCCCTGGCCACGCCGGGAATCTTGTCCTTCTCCCCCGCCTGCCCGCCGCCCATCTTGCCCGCGAATCCGCTGCTCTGACTCTCCAAGTCAATCTCAAACTGCTCCATCCTCTTCTTCTTCTTGACCGTCCCCCCTTTGCCCCTCTTAGCCTCCCTTCGACTAGCCCTACTCGCCCTACTCAACCGGCTGCCCCTGCCGCCATCCTCACTTCCCCGCCCAAGCCCAAACAACGACCCATCCCCGGCCGCGGGCACAACAGGCGGCGGTTCAAAAACCTCGACCCCTCCACCCCCCATAAACCCACCACCCGCACCACCCCCGCCGTTAATATGACCATCAAGATGCGCTACAATCAGCAGCGCCGCAACAGCCACATCCACGAGATACACCGCATCTGGCACCTGGCGGGCGACATTCGTATCAACCTCGAGCCAGCCGCCCTGCTGGCCCTGGGTGAGCGTCAATCGGGCCAGGTGCTGCGGGGATTCGAGATGCTCGAGCGCGTACTCGGTGCGCGAGAAGGCCGGGTGGCGCTCGCACGTCACGCAAAACGGCACCGCCAGCGCCGGGTGCACCAGGTAGTGATTTCCCGTATCGGCGTCCCAGACTAGCCGTGCAGACTCGGCTTGTGCGAGGGCTACGGTGGTCGCGTCGTTGGAGCGGTCGGCGACTAGGCGGGCGGCAGCGGCTGGCCAGAGGGCGGCTACTAGTCCGTCGTTTGGGTTTTCTCCGGGTGCTTCTGATGGGGATTGCGGTGGCGGTTGGGGTTGGGGTTGATGTCTGCGGATAGAAAGTGCGCTTGGCTCGAGGGTGGTGGCGAGGACTTCTTGCCAGTACTTTTGGTGCTTGGACGAGGTGGTTGAGGGGTTGTGGGCGACGTTCTGCAGTTGATGCTCTGAACGCCTGCTGGAGGAGGAAGATGACGAAGCGCGCAGGGAGGGTGAAGAAGAAGGATCTGCCGCTGCTGACGACGAGGCAAATACCGCGCTGCTTGTGTTGGGTTTGAAGGGCTTGTTGGGGTCGTAGCGCGACAGCGACACGAGCGCCGAGGCCGAGGTCGGGTCGATGCGCAGGCAGTAAAAGGGCTGGTTGCTTGCTGACGAGAGGGTGTAGGTGGGCGCGTCGGGCGCGGCCGTCAGCTTGAGGCAGTAGTTGCGCGCTTCCAGTGACGACGCCCTCCACCCGTTGGTCACCTTCCACAGCGTGCGGAGCTCCTCGGTCGTGCTGACGGGCGGGATGGCGGCGGGCTCGGGGTGCCGATGCCCCAGGCCGGGCCACCGGCTGGAAGAGTTGGCCGTCAGCGCAGGGCTGAGTACCTGGGCATTACCACCACCATGCGGGCTGCGCGAGTCGCTCGGTGAGGCAACGTTGGCGGCGGCGCTCCGGGGGGAGTAGAGCGGCCTGCTGATTGCTGCTTGCGGAATGTGGGTTGGGCTTGCTTGAGTCGGATAGTACTCCTGCCGGTCCAGGGGAAGCTGAGGATTGTACCGGGGGAATATAGAGCGGAGCGCTGGCGGCTCGGAAATCGCCGTCCCGGGTGGCACGGAGGAAGAAGACTCTCCCGGCACATAGGCTAATGGTGGTTTCGCGATGGAGCTCCGGGATCTCTGGCTTGGACTCCGGACAAGAGTCTGGGCTTCGGAGAAGGCGGTTTCGCATCGCTGCGGAACGTCGGCCACTGGTTGAGGCGTCGTGGTTTCTATCACAGGGTCGGCGGTGGTGGACGGGCCTGCCGTGCTCTCGGCAGAGAGCTGGTGCTGGCGAGCATCGAGGGCGTGCTGCCACGGGTTGTTTGACACTGCCCTCTGCCTGCCCTCCCTGGTAGCTGATGAATTCCTCCGCGCAGGTACTTGCCTTCCGGGGCGGGGCGGCGTTGTCTCGGTCGAAGGAGAAGGCCCCTCCTGTGGTGTAGCGGCGCCCCTGGATCGAGATGGCGGTCTCGGGGTGTTGCTGGTGTTGGGAAACAGGGAGAGCCCTCCGGCCAAGGTCGGTGCCGACATGTCGTCTCTAAAGGATCTGGTCCGCTTGGCTGCGGGCGCGGGTGGCTGTGGCTATGCTCCAAAGATGCCGGGAATTGTCATCGAAACATGATCTCAGATCATACGACTGAAAACAGGAGACCCGCGTGGTGTTTTTCTCTCCTAGCTCTCCCCACAGTCGACGCCAGCAGAAACTGATGATGGAATTGAACAAGGGCACGGGATCAGGACAAAGGCCGGGAACCAATCCGTTTTATTCAAAAGGCTATCAAGGTCAGGGAAGACAGCGGTAATTGCAAGTGGCAGAGGGTACATCTTGGCAATGGAGGAGTCCCTTGTCCTCCTTGTGTGTCTTGTATGTATATGCAGTGTATAAGACCTGAGCAAGTGTACTTGCACACGGCGACTCGAGCTTCGAGCCCCTGTCTCTTGTCCCGCGTGCCGTACTGTCAGTCGGAGTGGCGTGAGTGGTGCACGCTACCAGCGGGTGTGTAATGTAGGTGCGCCTACGAGGACTGCGCGTGTAAATTCACCAGGCTGGATTAGAGGTGAGGTCCCTGGTTCTGGCCTATCGTCATCCTGGGCCCAGCTAGCCCCATGCAACGCGCGGGCTAGAAACCCGCTGGGCGAGATCCCGACTTCCGACCAGAGGTTGGATCTTGCAGGCTTAAGCGCTGAGGGTTAGACCCCGGACGGCGGTCAATGGGCCTTGTCTTTTGGAAACGCGTTGTGAATGGCCAGAACAGAGCTCTCTGAGCGGAAGCAGGAGGGGCAATCGCGGGTGGGGAGGAAAAGAACCACCCAAAATAGATTGTCAAAGCCAATCAGGGGCTGAATCACTCTGCAGATAGACGCCCACTACACTACATCAACGTCGACGAATCTGATCGTACTTGCGTCTGCTTGTCTCTTGCTGCTGCAACATTGTTGCCCTACCCGCCCTGGGCATGAGGTGAGGAGTGAAATGGACGAGGCTGGGCCCGGCGGCACCTCCTGTGGAAGATTAGAACGTCTTCCCTACGTTTTTTCCTGTGCAGCCAGTTTGATAGCGCTGCGCGCGGCCTACATTGATCAAGAGCTACCCGGCGAGTTAGCCCTGTGCTGGATGTAGTTCGCGGACCAGCTGAAGAACCGTGGCTTTTAAGCAGCGGCCATACCTCCGGAGTCGGTACAAAGCAATGACGAGTCTCGAGCTTTCTTATGACTTCAGAATGCGCCGGTATATCATCCGAGCAACCAGCTCAGACGCGTCATTAGTCTGATGAGCAACCTTCAACAGCAAACTTGGGCGGTAAGTGTAGTGCCTAAAGAAATTTAGGCGATGCATCAATGATTGTGGTGGGAAACCTGGACCCCAAGAACTCGGCATCCCGAAATCACTGACTCTACATCTAGTTTCTCCGCCAATGTCAGGTTCAGATTCATGAATTTATCTACACAGCGGCACAGCGGCAGTTTCCGTGTTGGCCCCGTCTTCCACTTCCCATTCAAGACGGGTCGAGTGCAGCCTTCTATATGGCTTCGCTAAGTGCTCAAGCGAATCAAAGTCTCTCTTTGCTCCGGGAAGTTGGACACCCGGCCTATATGAATAGTTCCCGTCTTCGAAGCGGGAACAACGTGGAGTGCAGCTGCAGTGTTACACGCCCATATGTCTACCACCCGTCGACGGCTTTTATGTCTGTGAAAGCAGCTGTCAGTGATCATGTCTCTCGCGCGGGCAGCGAGCCAGAGCCTCGGTAACGGGTAAGAGGATCATCTTCTACATGTGTGTTGTCTATACTCCGTTCATTTAAGAAAGGTGAGATCACTGTTCCAGGGACTCGAGAACTCGAGAAACTTTGACAAGTGTCAGAACTTAGACAAGTGTCGTGACTAGCCGGTAAGTGAATACTAGTGCCAGAGCACCTTTCACCTTGCCTCAGTCTAGCCTCTCTTGACCCCGTCACTAAGATACGGTGTAAGGCACTACACTGGTATTTGGCTGCGGGCTGCTCATCCCAAAAATATTTTGGAGTAAAATATTTTGGAATTCCACATCGTGCCAGTCAGCACCGTTCGCCTTTGTTCCGGCGGTGACACGGGAATGGGCTCGTCAACAACCCGCCCACGATGTTCTATTTCTATTCGTATTAGATCGTCAGTCCAAGTAGATTTGCCCCTGGGGATTATTCCGCTAGCCAGCAGTTGAGGAGAAAGGGATAAAATAGGTGCCGCGTCTGTCGTGTAATAGGTAGGGTACGGGTGGTTGTTGTTTGCTTCGAGCACAGGAATTTCTGACCCTCCACCCCGCTATTCTTGGACGCGGGTGGAAATCTCACAGATTGTGACGACGGCAGAAGACCAGTGTGTCCGTAGATGTCGGGCTTTGGGAGGCCCGGCAACCTGAGGTGAAAGCTGAACAGTGAAGAGAGAGATCATTGGAACTTGAGAGACCTAAGAGGGAGGCGAGTAGGAGTGGGGGGGGGGGGGGGGGGGCGTTTACTAAAGGCCACCATCACAAGAGAGGAAAGAGCGAGACGTTGCAGGATAGGTTATGGGTGGCAGGTGCAGACAGGTAGAGCACTGTCCGTTTCCTTTCGAGAGCACTTCACACCTAGCTCCTTCGCCCCTTAAGCGCCACCGATTTATTGCCTACTACTAGTAGAGTGACCATGACGAAGAACCGGAAAGGCTGTGCACACGTCCCAAGGTAACGCCCGATCGGAGCCGAGCCGACCTGGCGCATCGGCTCCGGTCGCAGTTCCGGCGGAAGCCGGTCCCATTTCGGCGATTGGCAGGGGGATCCACTCGGCATCTGCAACCCGGAGCGAGCTCGGAGACCCCGCGCGCTGCGCTCTTTACCAAATAAGTTTGGTGCTGTAGTCTCACAGCAGCCACATGCAAACCGAGTGCTGGATAATGCGTGCTTTCCAACGAAGTTGTTAGACCGTCGTCAAGTCTCATTGAGACTACTATACCATTTTCGAGGATTCCACGTCGGCCAGCGAAGGTCTCATGACGGATGGAACTTCAAGCGTCGCATCGTCTCCGCTCGGATGTGTACATATCTACGAGGTATAATCGTAAATCAGTTGTCTATATATCGCAGTAGCCCACGCTGCTATCTGCTGCAGCGACTCCTTACTCCTTCATAGGCCGTAGTCCTCTGCCCCCAATTAGCCTGCCAACATCCAATTCTCACCTCCAAGAAATGCCCGAACACGTTGTTGTTACCGGGTGAGTCAAAATCTTCATATTTCTTTTCACAGAGCAGTTCTTGACTAACAGTCCACAGGGCCGGAGTCATCGGCCTCAGCTGTGCCATCCTCCTCCAAGAGGCCGGATACTATGTGACCATAGTAGCCCGCGACTTTCCGGGGCCTTTCGAGACAATGGACCCCATCGCTCAAATCAACTATACCTCTCCCTGGGGCGGCGCCCGTATGTTCTCTGTCACTCGAGCCCTCCGTACTGTACTGACACAACCCCCTTTTCTTTTGTATCGCAAAGACAACCGCTGGGTCCCTCCACACGCCGCCTCCCCGCCGTCTGTTCATCGCGAACACGCCTTTTCCCTCGTCACCTTCTCCCACATGCAGCGGCTACACTCTGCCCACCCGCACACGGCAGGCATCACCTTTCTCAAGGGGATCGAGTACATCGAGTCACCCGGCCCAGAGTACAAGGCCATCACGGCGTCCAACCCGCTCCCTGTCCCCAACTTCCGCCTCCTCCCCCCGTCCGCCTTCCCGGACGACAAGGTCACCTGGGCCTGCGAGTACGACACGTGGTGCGTCAACCCCATGGTGTACTGCTCCTTCCTGCTGCGCCGCTTCGTGCACCGCGGCGGAAGGCTCCTCAAGCGGACTCTCCGCAGCCCCGCCGAGGCCTTCTCCCTGTCCCTACCATCGCCATCGCCACAACAACAAGAAAAAGTGACCATATCAGCGGTCGTCAACGCCTCGGGAACGGGTCTCGTCCCGGACTCGAGCATGACCGTCACGCGCGGCCAGACGTGCCTGGTGGCCGAGGGGTGCGACGCGACCGTGACGCGACAAAACGCCGACGGCAGCTGGACGTTTTGCGTGCCGCGCGGGTTCGAGGGCGGCACCGTTATCGGCGGGACAAAGGAGCTCGGCAACTGGGCGGTTGAACCTTCGGTGGCTGTAAGAGAACAGCTGCTGGAGAGCTTTGTCCGGACCTACCCCAAGATTCTGGAGGGGAGCAAGACAGGCGGGTTGACGGTCCTCAGGGATATCGTTGGGCGCAGGCCCACCAGGGTCGGCGGGCCCAGGGTTGAAAGTGAGGTCCTGCCCGGCGGCGCTGGGTTCGTTATGCATGCTTATGGACTGGGTGGGAGGGGGTATGAATTGTCGTGGGGTGTCGCGGAGGAAGTGGTGCGGAAAGTGAAGGGATATTTGAATGAGCAGGAGAGGTCGAGGTTGTAGATCTCTCCGGGGTGCTACCTGCATTCGCGTTGGGAGTTGAATTACCGGTCTTTCTATTCGCTTCGCGCTCTGTTCCTATCAGTTGGTATACATGTGCTGTACAAGGCTGCATATGTCTCGACATCACCGTGGCCAGCCCATTAGATGCTGCCCCCTCTCTGGAGATTCCAGCGCCTCTCCCAGCGCCGGTCCCAGCGAGGCCATCTATCTGGCCAAGATATTCGAGCGTTCGCCCATGTGCATGGCCATCGTCCTCGGGTAGGCAACCATGTGACACAAAAGTCCCAATTCAGAAGAACCAGGACCTGTGCCAACCACCCGGTATGTGTATGTAGGCCAACCGCCATCGTGTCGTGTCGTGTCGTGCGGCGCCCATCCTCCTCTCCCTATTCATCAACCAACCCCAACATCATGATCATCACCTCCCCTTCTCACCTTGCTGCCCAGAACCCCCTTCCGCACCCGTACTATCCCCCAACCTAACCCTATTCCTACTCGCAAACCCACCAACCCTCTCCGCAGCCTGGAGCTTCTCCCATTCTTTCCTCGCCGCCTCACGATCCTTCTCCGGCAAGCCCCACCACTCCCTCAAAAAAGCCTCCTGCTCCAGCTTACGGCGTGCTTTCCGTTCCCGCTCGCGCTGCCGCTGCAGGCGCTGCGCGAACCACTCCTCGCGGGCCGCGTCGTGCTCGGCCTGCGTCGCGTGCTCCTTCATGCACCCGTTCATGACCCGGTGCAGCGCGCGGCAGGCGAAAGGTGCCGAAAAGGTCCGGCCGGCGGCGCAGTCGGCGAAGGCTGTATGAAATCCAATAAATCTCTGGTTAGAACCCAGCCCTGGTTTCAAGCAAAGACATGGGGGGGATTTATGAGGGGAAACGAGGGACGCATGGGAAGGAAGGGGAGACACACACCCTTGATCTCGTCGGCGCACTTTTTCCTTACTCTCGCATGAAACACTTCTCTGACTTGGGCCTCCTGCGACGCCGACAACGGCAGGGGATTCCGCGACGGCATGGGCAGGCGCTCTGTCTGGTCGGCGCCGTCTGTAGCCATGGCGGCCATTCAGTGGGAGAGATTGGACCTCTGTTCTTTGTTGTCGCGCCAGTGCTTTGTATCCTACATCCGTCCCTACGTATTCGTGGTTCGCTCAAGCTGTCCAAGGCAAATAAATGTTGGGTTGTCGGTGCTGGGTTTGTCTTGCGTTTATCTATGGCGTGTTGTGAGATTCTGGTGCTATCTATCCTACTTTGGAGGTCCGTAGCAGGTGCTGGAACCATTTATTAGGGGAACCACTCCGGGCGCACTAGCATTTTCTTATTGGCGCACTAGTACCCCATGAGGGTTAGGGTTATTGCCCCCTATCTTCCTGCGCCGACCCTGGAGAACCCATCTTACTGCAGTTCAATCCAACGTACTGGAACCTATTCCAAATGGCTCAAATCGCTTAAATCGCTTAAATCGCTTAAATCGCTTAAATCGCTTAAATCGCTTAAATCGCTTAAATCGCTTAAATCGCTTAAATCGCTTAAATCGCTGAATTCGCTTAAATACACTACTTTACTGAAGGTTGCTCAATTTGCAGTAGTTGGCTTGGCCTCTTTAGTTAGCTACCTACCCTCCCTGCCTTACGTCCTCTATCCTCGCCCTTATTCCAAGCCCTTGTTGCACTACGTTGCTCTGGGACGCCCCTTATCGCCGGTGGCCCTCTTCCTCTTCCTCCACTTCGCCTATGCCTACGGCTATGAACGCTACTGTTGAGCGGGCGGGATCTAAGGCTGACTAGTAGCAGGTCCACTAGGAGGAGGTACATTACCCTCGACGATATCTCTCCAAACGTATCTACGCCTAGGACTAACTATAGGGGACTGTCGCTTGTGATTCAACTGTCCGTTGTAGGGCGTTGCCTTGCGGTGCTGGTGGTATGGGAACCGCCGTCCCCGTCTGTCTGGGCGTTTCTGGCGTCGCTGGCGTCGCTCCCGGTCTCCGGTGATGGCGGGATCAGTTACTTGACGGTAGCGGTGGCTGCTCTGGCAATGTAAGGTGGGCTGGTAACGGTACTGGAAAGGTAGTTGGATTGATCGTAGTTGGATTCGCAGTTAGATTCGCAGTTGGATTCGCGGTTGGATTGATTGCGATTGATCGCGATTGAAGTCAATGTGGAAGAAATAGCTATAATCGTGTTTCCTAAGCTTACTTTGCGTGGAGTTCAAAGGCAGTAAGATGGGTGGAATTCGAAGGCAGTAAGATAGGTGGAATTCAAAGGCAGTAAGATGGCGAGGATGGTTCTCCAGGGTCGGCGCGGGAGGGTTGGGGTTGGCGACCGCCATAACACTAACCCTCATGTGGTACTAGTGCGCCAATAAAAAAGTGCTAGTGCGCCCGGAGTGGTTCCCTTTATTAGCGCCACAGCAGGGGTGGCAGCTCCAGCCACACCAAACCCCCTACCAAGTACCAACGGCGCAGTTCTCGCTCCCTAGAGTCCCTACTTTGCATGCACTTGAGAAGACATACTCAGGTTCTAGTGGTTCTTTTCCAATTGCTCTCGTATTCTCAGCAACATATGCCCGCTAGTTGTGCTATGCAATGGCATACACTCGACCTATTTACTGCATGTACCTCGGAACCAACATTTTCCCGCCAGAGAACCACACTCAATCTCTGCAACTATCCTCGGACGGCCTTTCAGCCTCAGAGAGCTGGTTTCGGTCCAGCTCAAGGCTCTCCTTCTCCTTCTTGCCCTTCTTGAAGTTGCTGAGCCACCGCACCGGCGCCTTGCTCTCCTTGCTCCGCGCACTCGATGTAGACCCCAGGTTCGGGCTGCTGGTGACGCTGTCATAGCTGCGGCCCAGGAAGCCAGGGTTCAACGACTCATCGCCAATGTCGTCCATGTCACCGATGCTAGTCCGCTCCATCGACGTCCCCTTTTCCGAAGCGCCCGTGCTAGCAATGCTGCTCGGGCCCTTCTTGAAAAGGCCCGACTCCTTACCACCTAGACGTCCGGCAAGGCTGAATTTACTGGAGCTGCTCTTCCTGAACAACTTCAGCACCACGTTGTCGTCCCTGAAGCTGCCCGAGAGACCGGCACTCGTGGGTTCCGACGGCGTGTTGGAGAAGGACTGGTCCAGTGACAGCGAGTCCCTCGACTCGGAGACTGACGCTAGAGTGTGCACCGACATCCCATCACGGGACATGCGGGGCTCTGATGGAGAATCGAATTCGAAGGACGGCGCCTGCGAGGGTTCCGGCGTAGACACCGCCTCCTTGTTCTTGTGCTTTTCCTTCGACTCCTTGAACTTGGATTTGTCCTTCTTCTCCGCCTTGGCCTTTTCCTTTTCTTCTTTCTCCTTCTCCCTTTCGGGTTTGGATTTGAAGAAAGAACCTATGAATGCGGGCGCGTTCGGGTTCAGTCGACCAAGGGGTTTCGACGACTGCGTCGGTGGGCGGCTGCCGATGACGCCCACCTCACGGGCGTTGGGTAGCATCTCTTCACTAAGGATCTCATCGTCCGCAGATGCCAGTGTTGTCTTTAGAGCCGACGGCGATCCGTGAAGGGATGGTCGTCGGGAGGGATTCCTTGACCAGGTCGTGTCAGGCGACCAGAGACGGCTGGTCTTCGCCAGCGCCGCAGGATCCGCTGGAGGGCCCCAGATTGAGCCCGAATCTGTCGACGGCCGGGGAAAATCCGAGGATGCGATGCTGGTTGGCCGGGGACTGCTAGGGTCCCGCTCCGGAAACGAGGCGCCCGGGGCTCGGTGCGAGTTCGAAAACGGATTGAGGCTTCTCGAGAACATGCGCGAGGTAGCCGTATGTCCATCGGTGATTTCCGGCCCTACCGAATTCCGGTTGAACACGTTCCAGCTGCCAGAGAGACTGATCCGCCTCCTATTCACGAGACCATCCTCATCTGCTTGCTTTGGAAACGACTGGCTCTGGCCCTGTTTGAGGCTACCGAGAACCGGGCCTTCTTTTTCCATGGTTTTGGCTGGCCTGGACCGCTGGAAGGAAAAGAAACTGCCTAGCTTATTCGGCGGTGGCTCTGTCGCGATGGGCGAAGGCACGGTAGCAACGGCATTGAGCGACATTCTATCTGAAGCGTCGTTCGGGAAAGGGGGAAAGGGAAGATTGCTGGACGAGCCATGCGGGCTGGAGAAGATGCTGAGAGACCTGCCTGAGGATGCCGGGGATTGCGGTGTGTTCTCGGGCGATGCCCGTTGCTGCGAGAGGAAGGGATCGTATCCGAACCCGGAACCGGCGGTGGGTTCATCGTCGTCTAGATCTGCCAGTATATTAGATGGCAGCAGCGCTGTGGCCGACGGGCTCAACGGGGCGGGCGCAATCCGAGTGCTCGATTCGTCGAGGCGGCCGGAGATGTCCGCTGAGATGTTCATAAAGGGACCAGGGGCAAATCCGGGAGGCGCGTTTATGGATCGCGAGCTGGCAAAACCGAGAGGAGCGGCTACAGCCGAGTCGATTTGAGAATATGCGGGTAAAGGGGTGGATATCGAAACGTTGGAAAGTGAATTGCTCGTCCGGCTCCGCCGCTTCAACTGCGTGAGCGTTGGGTTGTCGAAATCAATGCCAGATGGGTTCGTCTGGTTATACATGCCATAAGGCGCTTGATGGTTGGTCTGTAGCTGTAAGGTGAGGAGGCGGTATTGCTCATCAAGCTCCCTGGCACGCTTGGTTTCGAGGGCGAGCGTCTCTTGCAATTCTCGTTGCCTCCGGGCCCACTCTCGCTTGATCTCGGCGTCCTTCTCTCTCCATCCACTATCATCCTCCCCTCCCGGTAGCTTTTTCCGAGCCTCCTCCAACTCTCTCACCTGCTCCCTTCGCTCTTTCAGCTCTGCCTCAAGCCGCGAGCACTCGGCCTGCAGATCGCCATTCTCGCGCCGGAGACATTTCACCTTTTGATCCCGCTCCTCTTGCAGCTCAGCTCTCTGCTGGTCAAAGCCCTCTCGGTCTCCGCGCATGTCCTCCATGCCCTTCTCCCACTTGGCGATGTTGTCGTAGAACTTTGACCGCTCAATTTGCTTCTCCTTGAGAAGCTTCTCCCTCTGGGCTTTTCGTTGCAATGCGTTGCGCATCGTCCGATCAGTGGAATGGACATCCCTCTTTAGCTTCTCCGTCTGCTCCTCCTTTTTCTTCTGCTCCTTCTTCTTCTCCCTTTTCTCGGCCTCTAGCTCCTCCAGCAGCAACCTGTTGTCAGCTTCTTCCTTTGCAATCTGGTTCATCACGTCTTCGGTTTCTTTGCGGATGCTTTCAAATTTCTCAGTCAGCTCTGGTAGGGTCTTGGTAGCATGCGCACTGTCTTCCTCTCGTATCGGCTGGTCGAGGCTCGTAGTGGATGGCGAGTGGCGTCGCGTCACTGTGTTCCGGCGCGCCCCGGATAGTGCGGTAGAGCCTCTGTCCTGGGCGGGCAACCCAACGCCCTCGGGAGGCGCTGCTGCTTCTAGCGCCGCGGTGCGAGGGGCTCCAGTCTCATTGCCAACATCGCTAGGCATGGACCCGTGCGGCTCATCCGCCGTAAAATTAGATGGGAGACGTGAACTTCCGAGTTGCGGCCGGCCGTCGGGGCCAAACGTCCTCAGCCGGATGACGCGGCTTCCGGTCTGGAAGTTGTTGGATCCGACGGCAATGACTCGCACATTGTAGAAGTGATCGGGCTTCAATCCGCTGATGACGATCGCGGGCTCCTGATTTGCGGCAACCTCACCCACTGCGAAAATATCAGGACTTGCTGGCGGAGCCGGTTGTGCTCCGGGTCCTCCAAAGGGCACTCACCAACCACGCCGTTGACCTGGATCAGAAATTTTTGGACCGATCGGTTTGCCGGAGGGCGCGCCCAATTCAGCGTTGCCGCATCGGCTCGGATGCCCGCCAGCGACACATCGGGCGGATCAGGGACGTCGACGCCCAGGATGTTGATCAACTCAGGAACAGGTTTCCATAGCGTCTGCCAGGCTCTGCGTGCCAACCTGCAACCACGTACGAGTGAGCTTACTGCGAAGGCACGATGGCGGCAAGGCGGCACGTGCCAGGGGGGTTATGCAGCAGCGGTGATGGCGGCGACTCAGGAGCAGGACAAACCAACGTACCAGAGAACAGCGCTCCCCATCAACAACATCTTGGCATGCTCCAGGACCAAAAGATCTAGATGCAGAGCAGCGACGGCATCGACGGTCGTGGCATACAACGAGTACGAGACGTCACGGGAGAGGTCCGGGGCGACAGCCCAGCAGAACAAGGCTAGCCCGACGGCTGCGACGAGGTTGATTCGGGCGTTTTTAGGCTCGACGAACCAAGCGAGACTGGCCGACAGGATGAGAAGTGCAGGAACCAGCGTCGTCCAGGAGGTCCATGACATATCGCTGCGGTCGGGAGCGAGGAGAGGATGGAGGTTGATGAGACGAGTCGGGCAAAAAGAAAATAGCGGGAGTGGGGGTTCGGTAGAAATGAGTCGCAGAAAGGTCGGCGGAGAAAAACCAACCTCACGTTCACGTTAGAGATGTCCCCCGGCCGAATTTTGCTTGGCCCGCAGCAGTGCGTCTTTGCTACTGCTGCGCAGGGGTAGGTATACCTAGGGTATAACTTTTAGTTCGCCAGAAAACCTCAGACATACCGGTAGGTACAAATAAAGGTTGTTAACCATTCGTAGAGTAGGTAATCTTGGAAGCAATAGCCAGTTCTACTACTTGGAACGTGGAAATGTGTCCGCTTCCTGTCAACGGTCCTGTCAGCAATCTAGCATCCAAATGGTAAGTTAGCAATTCTCTCCTTCCTATCCTAGCGCACCTGGCGGATGTCTGTACAGTACTGTACGGTACCTGCCAAGAGTCGGGTGTGTGGCTCTCACACCCTAACTTTATTCCTCTTCTACAGTCTCGCCGACAACCATCTCTCTCCTAGTGCAGACGGGACTGCCGGGGGTTGGATCCGCCATCCACTTCAGTGTCGAAAAGGCTGACGCTAGTTATAGGCTAATGTTCCATAGCATTTCAAAGCCAATGTGTGTGTGTTGTAGCGCTATCTAAATACTCGGTTTTTCTCATTTGTAAACGTTTGTCTCGAATCCGGGTCACTCTCCCAGTCTCTACCTGGAGTAAAGCCTTGTGTCAGGTAACATATAGGGACACAGGCTCGGAGTAGTCCAAACGACTCATCAGCCCCGCCTGGGGTCTCTTAGCAAGGCGGTCGATCAAGTTGCAACTCAGCCATCATCCTCTGCCTCACCTGTCCGAGGTAATTGCGAAGGCGAAACTAGGAAATCAGTCCCTTGAGTTTTGACCTCGCCCATGCACTGGAGAAGGACCATAGGCACTCCAGGTAACACATCCCCATGTCATGTATCGTACCACGGCCATTCTTGAGCGCCGGTGTTCTTCGTCGGATCCAAGGACGGAGTGTTGGGTCTGAGACATGCAACCGAGGTTAGGAACGGCCGTCCTCACTCCAAGAGCAGTCTTTCGCTCAAGCTAGGCGGCTGGGGGAAGACAACCCCTCCATACCGGCTGTATATCGCAGCGGTTTCCAATTGTCAGTGATCCCCGGCTTGTAGGGCTTGATCCATGAAGTGCAAAGTCATTTCCAACCATCGTCATTCGTTTTCCCGCCTAAACGCGGCCACCAAACTGCCGGGATTCACGCCAAGGCTGATCAGGTGGGCTCTGGGCTCCGGTTGCGCAGTCATTTCCAGGCTCGCCAGGTTCCCATTCCCCAACCAAAGTTCAGCCCCAGAATGCGAGTCGCGGCGTTGACCGGGCTGGCTCGGCTAACGCACGCCTCCCGCTAAAGTCGAGCGACAAATGCCATCGGGACTTTGAGGTCCCAACGCGTGGTCCCTGCATCTGGAACATGAACGAGTGCACAAGTGCGAGGTTCAGGTTCGAGTAGCAGAGGTGACGCTGGCATTCGACATTGCAACCAAGAAATCAACTGCCGAATTCTTCAAAAACATCTCAGTCATTGCTGTTCTGGTTTTTGTCGTGTTGCGTCGAGGGAATTGAGAGGATTGATTCATGACATCAGCGAGGGGAATTTGATGTGCGACCAGGGTCCTGAAGTCAGGGGACTGTCAGCCATCGTATTATACTTCTGAGGTACGGTGGGCTCCGAGTATTTAGAGCCCGTCTCTTGTGTGACTGACAGGTGGCTTAATGTATCACACATGTACCGCCAAGACTTTGTCGGGCCCGCGGCTCGGCCAAGACCGGTTGACTGATGGGGCGATGGGATTGTTGAGGCCCTCGTGATTGCCGTTTTAACGCACTTCAGCTGATCTGGGTCCAGGTGCCTGGCTTCTTCTCAAGGTCGACAAGTTTCGAAGAGTGTCGCCTAGCCGATTACCTTATTACACGTATTCCATCCGCTGTCAAGAGGAAACAGACGAGAAGCCCTCAAGCAGCCAGCACATGCTCTAGAATTTGGCTGTCCAGTGCCCAACCCCCGCATCTTCGTTTGGGCCTTCAACGGATGCCGTCTTATGTTGAGTTAAGCTCGAATCCTCCCGTCTGGCATTCCGCTCAGTTTCTTCGCCAATTTTCACTCCATAGTATTGCTCGACATTCCTCTCCGTATCCTGTCGCATTCTTCGCTCCAGAGCACCGGAAATAGAAGGCCGAGGTGATTTTCACGTGGCGACTCGGTCCCCGATTCTTTCCCTCCATCGCCTTGGCTCCTGGCAAGAGCCATAAGCTAGCACTGTCAAACGTTCAGTTGGGATATGCTTTAACCCTCTTCCCTCATAAGGCTGGCAAAGCCCTGTCGCATTTACATCAACCGCGCCCTTGCGTCTCTGAGAAGCGGCCCCCCAACACTAGGGCATTGGCCGTTTGCATACCATGCAGTACGTCAGGAACCTCAGTGATTCGGTTTCCACAGCATGGAACTCTATCAATCCCGCCACCCTCAGCGGTGCCATCGACGTGATTGTCGTTGAGCAGGAAGACGGAAGTTTGGCATGCTCTCCTTTCCACGTGCGGTTCGGCAAATTCTCGCTCTTGCGCCCATACGAGAAGAAGGTTGAGTTCAAGGTGAATGGCATCAAACAGCCCTACTCTATGAAGCTTGGGGAAGGGGGTGAGGCCTTCTTTGTCTTCGAGACGACGGACACCATCCCGCAGAGCTTGCAGACGTCGCCCTTGGTGTCACCCGCTCCCAGCCCCCCTCTAAACCCTCAACAGCCGGGGTTGCAGGAGCCTGAAGCGCTTGATCTAAACGACCATGTTGTGAAGGCGCGGTCCATGACCCTTACCCGACCTCCCCCTACGACATTGCATTCGATAGGGCGCGATGGTAGGCAGCCTCCCTAGAGTTTCCTGTGAACAGTCGAAAGAAGTGCTAAGCGGAAACAGGACTGCTCACCCCGCGGTCAACCTCTCCGGAACTTTCCAAGGGAATTCCCTCCGTCGGCGACGGTTCCCCGCCGCGACCTCACAGCGACGATATTTTGCGGCGGACATCGCGAAAGCCGGCAACCGATGAGGGCTCCAACGAAGCCGACAGTCCGAGATACAGGGATCGGTCTCACAGCCCGCCGCCTGTGGCACCCGCCGAGGCCCTTCAAAGGGCGATGAACCTTTCCAGGGAGCTATCTGCCGTCAACATACCATCCCATGTCACCGAAACAGGAGACTTGATGTTGGATATGACGGGCTTCAAGAACAGCGAAGAAGACGCCCTAAGAGCCGAAATTCTAGCCCGGAAAGTGCTGTCAGAGGAACTGGACGGCAATTACGACATTGGCGCTCTCTTTGGGGTTGATGAGCGGGGAAATCTTTGGATCTACAGCAGCGAGGAGGCAAAGGATGCTGCCATGAAGAAAGCAATGGAATCTGCGCTACGTTCTCCCCCAAGTTTTGCCATCGATGCTGTATCCGACCCCGGCTACCAGAGCGACAGCAGCGAGGCCACAACGTCTCAGACCGCCCCGGCTCATAGAAGGGCGGGGTCAGACCTAGGCCAGATGTCGTTGCAAACTCCTCCGAGCTCCCCCGGCCCTCAAGTCGCCGCCGGTGATCCTAACCGGAACTACGCCAAGACTCTGCGACTGACCAGCGACCAATTGAAAGCTTTGGACTTGAAGCCCGGCGAGAACTCTATGAGCTTCACAGTGAACAGAGCGACATGCCAGGCATACATGTACCTGTGGAAACACGATACCCCTGTCGTTATCTCGGACATTGACGGGACCATCACGAAATCAGATGCTCTCGGCCACGTGCTGAACATGATTGGGCGAGACTGGACCCACGCAGGAGTTGCCAAACTATACAGCGACATTGTAGCCAATGGTTACAACATCATGTATCTGACGAGTCGATCCGTCGGGCAGGCGGATACGACGAGAACATATCTCGCCGGGATTGTTCAGGGGGGATACCGTCTCCCTAGAGGGCCGACCATCCTCTCGCCTGACCGGACCATGGCTGCGTTACGCCGTGAGATATACCTTCGCAAGCCTCACATCTTCAAGATGTCGACGTTGCGCGACATCCGTAGTCTCTACGGCCCGAATAGAAGCCCGTTTTATGCCGGATTCGGGAACCGTTTCACCGACCAGATTTCATACCGGACAGTTGATGTGCCACGCACCCGTATCTTCACCATCAATTCCAATGCCGAGGTGTCACTGGACCTGTTGAGTCTCAACAAGATGAAGCTGAGCTATGTCAACATGAGTGAGGTTGTGGACCACTACTTTCCTCCTGTCAGCACGCTCGTTAAGGGCGGGGGTGAGGAGTTTACCGATTTCAAGTATTGGCGCGACACGCCGCTCGAGCTCGATGAGTTCTCGGCCAGTGATACTGAAGGAGACGACGAGGCCCATGACGACGAAGATCACGACAGCCAGTACGCCGAGGATGACGAGGAAGAGGCGGATGAAGGACTCGCGGACAGCTACATTTCAAGAGGTTCAGCGGATGACTACGGCGAAGGCAGTGTCATGACCGGGAGCTATGATGAAGACCGTCTGATGGGATCCATGATCGAGGATGAGTACGCAGACGATGAAGACGGAGACGGGGAGGAAGAAGAGGACGGAGACGAAGCCGAAGAGGAGGATGAGCGGGCGCTAACACCAGTCCGCACAGCGGATGGGGGCAGGGGTTCGCCAAACAGAACAATGCAAGATGTAGACGCTGAGATTATCACCGGTGTGAAGAATTTGAGGTTGCAAAGGGAGTGATCGAAGCGGCGACGGTGGGTTTGGTTTGAGGAATGGCAGGCATTCAACATGGACAGATGGACTTGGCGCATCTTATGGTCATCTCATGAGCCATAGACAGGGATAACCCGGCAGGAGGAGCATCTGTCCGCATGGCATAGCGCGGCGCAGGGCTGGTAACTGTGGATTTGGTATCTAGCGGATTCGTATACTCATTGCTGTTCACAGAGATTGGACCGCCTGCTGGGCGGACCTAGTTTGGCTAGGAGTGCTAGATCGAGCTCAGTGGTGTTGGACGCGAAGCATCGGGAGAAAGCAAGGGGCCCTTTGACGCTTTGAGACAAGCTTTCCCTCCCAAACGCCAGAACGCTTGTCATGTCACCCAACGATGCGTATTCTGCCATAATCTCTTATTCCAGACAACCCGTTAATTACTCCCCTTTGGCTCACGCCTCGGCCATCTCCTCGTCCTCCATCCCTTCATCCCCAAACACATCCCCAATCGTCCCGCCCTCGACTCCATCCCCTCCAACATCCTCAGTCTCAATACCCTCCATAGTATCCCCTCCACTCCCGTCAGCACCCCCACCAGCCCCGTCCGCCATCATCTCATCCCCACCCTCCTCATCATCCTCCTCCTCATCCCCATCACTCATCACATCCTCCTGGCCCGCCCACACATCCTTAAGCCCCCACCCGACTCCACTCAACACAAACCTCTCTCCCGGCAACCTAGTCCCCCACTCACTAGGCATGACCCGGGGCAGCGCGACCTTGTTGCGCTCCCGCGCCAGCTCAAGCAGCCAGTCCTTGCTGATACCGCCACCACCACCGCCACCACCGGGCCCGGGCCCCCCGCCGCCGCCCCGGAACTGAAACCCCAGCCTGCTGGCGATGGCCAAGGACACGGCGTTGGCCGTGATGGCCGCATCGCCTGCATTGACGGGCGCTGCGCCGGATGCCGCGGAGGGCCGCGCCCCGGCGTGCGAGGTGTAGGGGTCTGCGGAGAGGTGGAGTGCGTCGGAGAGAACGGCGGCCGTGTGCCGGTAGGCGAAGTCGAGGAGTAAAAGGGGCACGCGCTGCTCGAAGGAGGTTACGCCTTGCGCGGTGAGGAGGAGCTCGAGAGTGCGCGCGTCGCGGGGGCGCGGGGCGGTGGTGGTGCTGCCTGGGTTGTTTGGATTTGGGGGTGCTGTTGGTGGTGAGGAGAGGTGTGGTTGTTGTTGTTGTTGTTGTTGTTGTTGATTTTGTTGTGGTTGTTGTGATTGTGATTGGGAGGGAGCAGGTTGGCTGGTGGATGGTGTGGCGGTTGTTGCTGCTGTTGAGCCGGGCTGGGTCTGGGCCGGGTTCGCGGCAGAGGTGGACGCTTGTGATGGAGGCGTCGGTTGGGGTTGTGAGCTCGACGATGGTACGCCGTTGGTTTGAGGCGCGGTCGCCGCCGCGGCAGACATTTTCGATTAGGTGCTGACAGACGACTGAGGTCGGAGGGGGCTGGCGACGGACGTGAAGGAGGAAACGAGGTCGATTTCGAGGCGGTCCTTGTCGAGGGAGGCGGTTTGAATGCGCGAGCTGGTTTAATCGTGCCTGTCGGAGTTCCACGCGAGAATATGGTCTTGGGTTATTGTTTGGGGAGATTATATGCTCATGAATAAGTTGATGATCGCGATTGGTGTCTGTGATTAAATCAATAGAGCTCGGGGCTACTGTCGCGGCACCTCATTCAATGTTTCCGAAGCGGTGATGGCCCGGGTGATGGACCGAGCGCAACTCCGGACCCCTGGTCGAATCGGAGCCTGTAATGATCCGCCACCGCGGAACCCAAAATCCACAGGTCAAGTATTGTTCTTGGCGCCGCGACCCTCGAAACCGAAAAATTGGAGACATGGTCTGATGTGCATTACAGGCCGATGGACGGATGATGGAGGGGCAGAAATCAGCAAGGCACACCCCACCTCGCTTTATTAGACGATAGTGGATGCCGAAGCAGGAGGGAAACTTTGCGATGACTGTTATCAATTTTTGTCTATTAGTGGGAGCCCAGATGCACTAGGTAGTTTATAGGTGCGGACTTGATAAAAAGAGTCATAGTTGACTCTACGCATTCTCGTCTTCATCCCAACCCCCCATCCTACCATTGTCTCCCACGATTGCTGCTGGCATCATGGAGACGACGCTGCCGCTTCCCTTCCTTGTTAGCGTCAATGTTCCCCCGGGACTCGGCGGCGAAAAGGAGGGGCTCAACCGTGAAGAAGTGTCATGTCTTGGCTCCGTCTTCTTCGAAGCTGCTCCCCAGACCCTCGACAAGCTCCTGCGCTTCCTCGGGCGCCACAACACCGAATTCCACCCCTTCTTCGACGTGACACGCCTAGACTCCCGCGACGATGTGGTCTCGCTCCTCGATGCCGGCGCCCGCAGGGTATTTGTCCAGCCCGAACGCCTCCCGGAGTTTGCAGAGTTTGGCTCGCGAGTCGCCCCCGTCGTGTCCGGCAGCGGCGCCGGCCAATTAGCCATGGCGAGCGAACACGGCTTGCTCGTTTCCGGCTTCGATTCGACCTCGGCGGATGCGGCACAGTTCATCGAGGAGAGCAATGCGAGGAAGATTAAATCCTTGTTCATCAAGCCTGTCACCGGAACGGACTTCGAGCACTTCATTGGCGTCGCGGCCCAATGCAATGCCATTCCCATCCTGCCCTCGACGGGCTTGACGAGCACGGCGCAGGCAGGAAAGCTGGCGGTGCCCAAGATTCTGGCGGCTACGTGGAAGTCGGACCGTGCCGACGGCCTGATTCCCACCGTGGTCTGCGACGAGCACGGTATGGCTCTGGGCCTGGTGTACAGCAGTGAGGAAAGCGTGGGTGAGGCGCTCAGGACGCAGACCGGTGTGTACCAGAGCCGGAAGCGTGGCTTGTGGTACAAGGGGCAAACTTCGGGCGATACCCAGGAGCTGGTGCGGATATCGCTGGATTGCGACAACGACGCGCTCAAGTTCGTCGTCAGGCAAAAGGGCCGCTTCTGCCACCTGGAGCAGTCTGGGTGCTTCGGCGATCTGAATGGGATCGCCAAACTGGAACAGACTCTCCTGTCAAGGAAGCAGTCGGCCCCCGAGGGCTCATACACGGCCCGGCTGTTCTCAGACGAAAAGCTCCTCCGAGCCAAGATCATGGAGGAGGCAGAAGAGCTCTGCGACGCAAAAACGCCTGAAGAGGTGGCTTTTGAAGCTGCGGATCTCATCTACTTTGCCTTGACCAGGGCTGTTGGTGCTGGAGTGACTCTTGCCGATATTGAGAAGAGCCTCGATGCAAAGAGCTTCAAGGTCAAGCGCAGGACGGGGGACGCCAAAGGTAAGTGGGCAGAAAAGGAAGGCATCAAGCCTGCTGCGAGCGCGACTTTGAGTGCTCCAGTTGTCAAAGAGACAGCAAAGGAGACACCTCCGGAGAAGATCACCATGAAGGTCTACGATTTATCCAAGGTTACGAGGGAGGAGCTAGACGAAGCACTGAAGCGGCCGTCGCAGAAGTCATCAGACGCTATCATGAAGATCATCACCCCGATCATCGATGATGTTCGGAAGAATGGTGATAAGGCCGTCCTTGCTTACACGCACAAGTTCGAGCGGGCCACGTCGCTGACGTCGCCTGTCCTCAAGGCGCCGTTCCCGGAATCCCTCATGCAGCTTCCAGCAGAAACAATAAAAGCCATTGACGTGTCCTTCGAAAACATCTGCAAGTTTCACGCGGCACAGAAGGAAGAGAAGCCGTTGCAGGTGGAGACGATGCCCGGTGTCATCTGCAGTCGCTTTTCCAGGCCGATTGAAGCAGTGGGTCTGTACGTCCCCGGGGGCACCGCCGTGCTCCCCAGTACAGCACTCATGCTTGGCGTCCCCGCCATGGTCGCCGGCTGCAAGAAGATCGTCATCGCATCCCCACCCCGCTCCGACGGCAGCATCACGCCCGAAATCGTTTACGTAGCCCACAAGGTCGGGGCTGAGTCCATCGTCCTGGCCGGCGGCGCGCAGGCGGTGGCTGCCATGGCCTACGGAACCGAGAGCGTGAGCAAAGTAGACAAGATTCTGGGACCCGGCAACCAGTTCGTCACGGCGGCCAAGATGTACGTGAGCAACGACACGAACGCGGGCGTCAGCATCGACATGCCCGCCGGGCCCTCCGAGGTTCTCGTCGTGGCCGACAAGGGCGCAAACCCGGCGTTTGTCGCGTCCGACCTCCTCTCGCAGGCCGAGCACGGCGTCGACAGCCAGGTCGTTTTGATCGCTGTGGATCTCACCGACGCCGAGCTGGCGGCCATCGAGGACGAGCTCCACCGCCAGGCCATGCAGCTGCCCCGTGTCGACATTGTGCGCGGTTCCATCGCCCACTCCGTCACCGTCCGCGTCAAGACGGTTGATGAAGCTATGGAGATTAGTAATAAGTACGCGCCTGAGCACTTGATTCTTCAAGTCAAGGACGCCGAAAAGGTGGTGGACAAGGTCATGAACGCCGGGAGCGTGTTTATTGGTGAATGGACGCCTGAGAGTGTGGGAGACTACTCGGCTGGGGTGAATCACTCGCTGCGTAAGTGTGCCTTTGGCTGTTTCACCCCTTAACATTTCAAGTACTGACAACGGGGGGTGTTTTTGCAGCGACATACGGCTATGCCAAGCAGTATTCGGGGGTCAACCTGGCGTCCTTTGTCAAGCACATTACCAGCTCGAATCTGACGGCTGACGGTCTACGGAATGTTGGTGAAGCGGTGATGCAGCTTGCCAAGGTCGAAGAGCTCGAGGCTCACCGGAGGGCAGTGAGCATCCGGCTTGAGCACATGAGCCGGTGAATGGAAGTTATCTAGGAGACGAACAATATACATAGCTTTTGATGAGACCATGAGACTATGTATGTATGAGGGGGTTGTGAGTTGAGGTGCCGAGTTCCGGTCCGGGTGGCAGCTGTAGGCGGCCCGTCCTTCTCCCGATGCGGGAAGACGATGCAACGGCTTGGCAGGGACGAGCACATTTGTACAGTACGTTGCAGTTGGTCGGTATGTGTCCGTATGCAGGCATCATCTCCATGGTCTATCAGTCATCTGAATGCTTGCCTGTTCCGTTCCCTGGGATCAGCGCCGAGGAGGCCCATGGCTTACATTGTCCCAATTCCCAGCCCGTCGCAAAGACATGGTTTGTTACCATGCAGGACCGCTGTTAGTGCAGGGCAAATTTTGTATGGTAAAATTGGCCGCTCTACTACTGTACCCTCCTTAACACGCAGGGCCCCTAAGTACCTACTTGTCCACCTAACCGTTTGACGGCAACCAGGCAGTGCAGCGCCAATAACCCAGACATCGAAAACGACACCGGCGAAAACGTACCGATGATGGCCTTCTGTGACAGCCTGCGAAACGCAGTACATTCGTAGGTATGTGTATAATCCGGATCATCATCATCTGTCAGTGGAGGGGGCCGGAATTGAGGGGAGCTGACGCAAATCCCATACGAGTGCGACCCGGTGTCTGGCCTCGACTCCAGTGGTTGGCACACTGCGCAGGTCAAAGGGATGAATTGCATGTCTCGGGCCTAATGCAATCAGTCGGACCACGAGAAACCATTAGACGGGGCGGGATTTACACCAGCCTCCGGGTGTCCATTGTGCGATATGATAGTCAGCACTGCCCTCACCCTGTGCTGCAGTGTACTAAGCCGAGTAAGCGTATGTACTCGTCGCTGTAGTACCATGAAATGGTGTCGTCGTTTCGCCAGTCGATGAAGGAACCTCCATAAGCTCATAGGTAAGGTAGGGATCCGTACGGAGCGCCTTGTGGTGTTAACGATCGTTACTCCGTAACTATGTATTCCTCAATCCCCACACCATTCCGATATTCCCCCGCAACAGCTCACTGGGGCTCACCAAACGACAACTCACTTCAGCACGTGAACGCCACAACCTGCCAAGCCCCGAGTCGTGCTTCCCGTCTCGCAGATCCCACCGCTGCGGATACCCTGTCATCCGCTCTTCAACCCTGCTAAATTACCGAATTTGCTACTGTTAGTGTTACACGCCGGTAGTGTACGGATAGTGTCGTGTGCCTAATCACTGCGGCCCCGAGAAATACATAGGGGTCTTTTTGACATTACCTAGCGTTGCATTTGACCAGTAACCCTCCACTGGCGTATCACAAACTCGTTGACCATCCCGTCCAATTTCGAGTGCAAAAGATCATCAGAGGGATGTCGGCTACAGCCTAGCACATATGAAACATGAAACGATGCCCAGGATATGAACCTCGGGTTTAACTTACACTAGTATTATATGCATTTCCAAAATATTAGCGCCTACGGAGTGATCATGTCATTGAACACTTGGCGGCCTCCAGGTTACCGAACCATGCCGTCGCAACTCGAAAGGGTAACTGGGCACACCAATCCCCCCGTCCACGTTACGGCTGAGCCTCAGATCCGATCCGTCCTCCCTGGAGGCCAGTTGGACGCACCCAGCCACACGAAACAAATAATTATAACACTCTGTGGATCTGCATGTGCTGTTCAAAGGCGGCGCATGAGTTTAAGCCTTTTCCTCCCTTCCGGCCATCCCGGCAGCGCTCCTGGGTTCCTGTCAGGCTGTTGCTGCTTGGCATAACTACCATTCCTTCCCAGCAGACCTGCTTCAGTTACCGTTGTTCTAATAAAACTTCCAAGTCCATCGTTCTGGAGTGTCCGTTTAGTTCTTGGTTCACTTCCCTCTTTCTTTCTCGGTCTGCTTGCTGTTACACGGGCATGTTCTCATGATTCGTTAACCGGACTGATGATAGTGGTCAAATAAAATCCAAAAACATGCATCTTCCCACCCTTCTCCCAGTGTTTCTTCTTCAACCCTTCCTTACAGCCGCCGAGCCCATCAGGATACCGCGTCAAGATAATAACAATAACAATGCCTTGGTGATCAGCCCCCGTGCGCGCCCCAATGCGCCGAGTGGCGGCTACGCCCCGGCCCAGGTGCCGTGTCCGGGGGACAAGCCCACCATCCGGAGCGCGAATGCCCTCTCCCAGAGTGAGACGGACTGGCTCAAGAAGCGCCGTCCTAACACCGTCGACCCCATGATCGACTTCCTGAAGCGGGCAAACATTGACGGTTTCGATGCCGAGGCCTACCTTCGCAAGGTCGCCCCAGGCATCACGGACCTGCCCAACGTCGCCATCGCCGTCTCGGGCGGTGGCTACCGTGCCTTGATGAACGGTGCCGGCTTCGTGTCCGCCGCCGACAGCCGCACCCCCGGGTCCACGGCCGCCGGCGGCATCGGTGGTCTTCTCCAGGCCAGCACTTACTTGTAAGATACTTGAAATCTGGGTTCTAAGAGTCGTCTCACTGACTGTGCAACAGGGCTGGGCTCTCAGGTGGCGGCTGGCTGGTCAGCAGCATATTCGCCAACAACTTCAGCACTGTCGAGACGCTGCGCAACGGTAGAGAGGGCAGCAGCATCTGGGCCTTTGAGAACACCATTTTCGAAGGTCCCGACATGCCAGGCCCAGGCATCCTTGACACGGCGGCGTATTGGAGTGACGTTGCCGGCCAAGTTGACGACAAGCGTAGCGCCGGCTTCCCGGTGTCCATCACCGACTAGTAAGCCCCATCGTCCAGTTTACAACCAGTTTTGAAATGACATTTTCCTGACCATTGATCCCAAAACCATAGCTGGGGGCGTGCACTGAGCTATCAGTTGATCGACGCTCCAGACGGCGGCCCGGCATACACCTTCTCCAGCATCGTCCTGGATGATGAGTTTGCCAACTCGCGGACGCCCTTTCCCATCTTGGTTTCCGACGTAAGGGCTCCCGGGACCAAGGTCATTTCGCTGAACGCGACAGTCGTCGAGTTCAACCCCTTTGAAATGGGCTCGTACGACCCGACCATCTACGGCTTCGCGCCGATGCGCTATCTCGCCTCCAACTTCTCGGCCGGCGTTGTCCCCTCCGACGGCAAGTGCGTCGAGGGCTTCGACTCGGCCAGCTTCATCCTCGGCACGAGCAGCTCGCTCTTCAACGCCTTTCTCTTGCAAAACATCAGCGCCATCAACGGCGTGCCCAGCTTCCTCCTCGAAGCCGCCACCGCTGTCCTGGACGGCCTCTCCGAAAACGAGAATGACATTGCCCAGTACGCGCCGAACCCCTTCCTCGGCTGGAACAACGCCACCAACCCGACACACAGCGAGTTCGAGCTCGACCTGGTAGACGGGGGCGAAGACCTGCAAAATATCCCTCTGCACCCGCTGATCCAGCCGCTGCGTGGCGTCGACGTCATCTTCGCCGTCGACTCGTCGGCCGACACGACCTACAACTGGCCCAACGGCACCGCGCTGCGGGCGAGCTACGACCGCTCCCAATCCGCCATCGCCAACGGCACCCTGTTCCCTCCCGTGCCCGACGACAAGACCTTCATCGCGCTGGGTCTCAACAACCGGCCGACCTTCTTCGGCTGCGACCCAGCCAACTTTTCCCTCTCCGGAGACCGCCACCTGCCCCCATTACTCATCTATTTACCCAACGCGCCCTACACGGCCATGTCCAACGTGACCACCTTCACGCCCAGCTACACGCGCGCCGAGCGCGACGCCATCATCCGCAACGGCTACAACGCCGCCACTCAGGGCAACGCCACGGCCGCCCTCGACGCCCAATGGCCCGCCTGCGTCGCCTGCGCCGTGCTCAGCCGCAGCCTGCACCGCACGGGCACCGCCGTCCCGTCCGTCTGCAGTGACTGCTTTGACCGGTACTGCTGGAACGGCACTACCGTTGCCGCGTCGGCGGCTGCCGCGGGGGAGTACGAGCCTACCTTTAAGATTAGGAACGAGGGCCCGGGATCCGAAGACAAGGCCTCGGCTGCTGCCGGGATTCCGGCGAGGAGAGGGAGTTCGGCTGTGGTCGGGTTGGTGGTGGGGGTGTTTGTTATGGTGGCTATTCTGTGATTTGGATTTTTTCGTCTTTGCTTAGTAATACTGGGGTCATTTGTTGCACGGTCGATGTTCCATTCCCTTGCTGGCGGGTGTTCCATGGTGATGGTGCATTGCATGACGTTTGGCGCGGGTCTGGTTTGTGGGCAAAGGGGGTTTATTAGTAGAGATACCACTAGATTTTATACCAACCTGAGGTTTCCGTCCAGTTCTGTTGCTTCATGCCTTGTCTGCTGGTCGTACTTAGCGGTGAGAGGGGTGGTGTATGACCTTTACGGCGGGAGCCATCACATTTATGCCCTTAGCGGCCAAAGCAAAACTTCAATAATGCCAACATGCGGTTTCTTGCTGACGGCGCCCAGCTAGGCTTCAATCATGACACCGACGAATATCTTCTCGCCAGTGACCGGCGTATATACGTCGTATGTCGACCGTAACATCAAATGAGCCCCTTTTCCCTCCTCAGGTAACTCTCGGCCTCGTCAGAAAAAGATGAGTCGATGATATGCAGCGGGTGACGGCTTATCCCCGCGACTCGGGAACCTCAAGACAACACTAGTCGACTGAAAATGGAAACAAAATATGAGAGAGCAGAGAGGCCAAATCTTTTTCTTATTCGTCATCATGGTTGTGTTTATGCCTGCGGAAACATCAGGGGTTAGGGACTGAGAGGGATATCCAAACTCGGCCAAGCCTTGCCCGCCCGAATCAAAACGGAACAAACGCCCATGCCGCCGCGGCTTGCAGTCACGACCAAATCTCCTCTCTATTCCCCATATGCTCTGCTCAGATGGCAGTTTCTCCATTTCCATCTTCATCTTCATCCCCTTCCCCCATATCCAATTCCAATGAAAGTAAAACAAGGGAGAATGAAAACGTAATACTCAGACACTATGACTAGCTCTTTCCCTCGGGCAAAATGCGCCGAGACGAACAGATTTTGTGGTCATAAAAATTCGTTAGATGAGAAGAAAAGAGAAACGCTATATGATATGCATCATCAATGCAAGAAATAAGGAACCAAATGAAACCAGACTCCATCGAACAAACGTTTGCTGCGTAGGCGGTTATGCTTTTGTTCACCACCGCTCTGGGAAAACGGTGCGCCAAACTCGACAGTCTGCTGAAAGCCTAGGAGACAATGTCGCTGTGCAAAATGGGGGCGGGGGCTGGGCTTTGATGAAAAAAGTATCCCAGTCACCGTAACGTATTTCGGTAGGGACCTTCCACCTTCACTTCCCTGATCCCTTGTGGCATCGAGCGGAGCCATTCGGCCCAGCTATCCACGTTATATGAGTTTTCGTCCAAGCGAAACGTCAACGTGAGCTGTGATCCGCCTCCCCCTCCTCCGGGGGAGACCGGCGCTTCTCCCCCGCCCCGGTGGAAGGGGGCGAGGACAATGGATGGTAACGTTTTTAGGCCCGACAGCTGCATCCCCAGCGGCACGGGGAAACTTGCGAGGAGCTCCCTCTCCGGGTTGCGTTCCCGTATCACCTGCGGATACAGAGACAGCAGCCTGGAGTGCAGCTCGGCCGCCGAGAAGGGCTCCTTGTACTGCTGAGCCGGCCTTAGCCGGAGCAGGTCGGTTAGGGCATGTGTAAAAGTGCTTCTGCCGAGGAGCTCGACGTGATCCTCGCCGGCAGCTGCCGCAATCATCTCTAGCATGCCCTGTTGTCGAACCGTCTTGTATGAAGGGTAGTATGCGCAGTCCAAGATGAGCAAGCAATCGGAACGTGCGCTTTCAAAGTATTGCTGGATGATACTCCACTTGATGACCGAGGCACGGTCAGCGTGCTTGGAACTGGTAGTAGAAGACCTGTCAGCCATGGGTGCTCAGAATCGGATAGAAGAAATCATGGCACCAACCTTGCGAGCACCATGTCTCTGTCGCCGTCCAGGTAGCTATACCCGCTGTAGTAAAAGATATTAAGAGCGTCGCGTTGGTTCGGGGCCGCGATAAAGTCAGCCACCGCCCTTGACAGCCATATCCAGGGGTCCTTGCACTCATCCGACAACGTGGGAATTGACTTGACGTGTACTGTGTAGTTGTAGTCCTCGCCGAGTACCTTGGCCAGGTCGTGAAAGGCTCTCTTGGCTTCGTAATCGTGGTCGTCCTGCCACCGTACCAGTAAAGCGGAGACATTGGCATACCGGCTCCGGAACGGATTCGCCAGGATTCGGTCGGCACTTCCCTGGAGGTCGGTCCGGAAGCTGTCCAACCCGGGTAGAGGCGCCATATTGGCGAGCTTTTCTGGGCGTGGTGCTGACGGAAGAGGCGTCCTAATACGGGTCTCGACCAGACCGGGCTGTGCGGGCTGCTGCGTGGGCGACACGTCGAGATCCATGCCTTGGTTCTCCTGGGTGAAGCTCTGATTTGTGTTGAGCGGTGCCGGACTAAGACGCGCTCCGGACGTTTGCGCGAAAGCTTGAATCGACGAATCGCCAAGTTTGAACTTCCGGGCGGCTTCCTCCCACGTCATGTCGTGGTGATTTGGGTGGCACTACCTAAGGTAAGCCGGTAGTTCCACATAGCCACTGAACAGGAGGGAACTTACCGCGACCCTTCTCTTGCGACAGTCGTTGCAAGCACCCATTTTCCGGATCAGATGGGCCCGCTCTCGCTGGGCAGCTGTCAGCGGACCGGTCCGCCGCCGATTTGCCCGCCGTTGTTGCGAGGTAACGTTACTCCCGTCCCTGGCTGAGAAGACGGCTTGGGCGCCATAGTTGGTGGGCGAGGCTTCCATGCTGCTGTACGGGGTTCCCGGGGTCTCGTTGGTGACAATGCTGGCGAGAGTCGCCTTGGTCGCAGTGGTCGATGTTGATGAGGTGGTGTCCTTCCGCAGCCGCGGAGAGGCGCCGTCGAGCTGGCGGACAAGGTCGTCGTCGGCGGCATCGGGGGCGGAGTGCGCCTCCGGGCTGGCGGCGAGGCGGTGCACATGTGCCGGGCTCTTGATCGGCGGGGCCTCGGCCAGGTTGGGAGCTGGGTGCATCCTTTGGCTGGCGCGCGCTCAGCGGCGCAATCCCATCATGGGTCGGCAGCCCAGCTATAAGCCGATTTCCAGGGGCTCTATGCCAACCAGGTAGGACAAAAAATCGATCACGGCTCAATGCACCCACAGCAACCCTGCTCTCGACCCCTCTCGCACGCCGTCTTGGCCGAGCCGATAGGCGATAGGGTTGGCCTGACAGAGCCGGCGAGGTTTGCCCAAAACCGGTGGGCAATGGCCAAGATAAAGGAGAGGGTATCAAAACGAGGCACGAGACTCGGGCAAGTCGGTGCCTCGGTGAGCAACGGTGAAGGGCCGCCGGGAAAGTGCCCCGACAGCAAAGGTCGGGCTTGCTCTCGTAGAGTATGAGCAAAGGTGGCGCCCAGTCGCACGGATGTTCGTTGTGATGCACCTGAGAGGCCGAGCCCGGAGGGGAATGGCCAAGGTAGCGAGGGAGACCCCGGAGATGGCGGATAAAAAGGGCACGACAGGCGGATGGCAGCTTGTCGAAGCCGGACGGTCAAGGCTTAAATACGGCTATGTATCAAACCAATTCGACCAAGGAAAGGATGATCCATAGAATTAGAGTTTATAGGTAGGAAACGAAACCAACGGACGATAGATAACTAAGCAAGCAAGAGCAACCCGCTGCACGAACCGTCGACTGCAATTCAAATTTCAATCCGCGACTGTCTCCTTCCTGCGAGAGAAACAGAACCCACCGAGGAGGGACACCGGCAGCAAGCCACAACCAGCGGCAGAAGGAGTTGGAATAATTAAGTGTCGCTCAGTTCGGAACCGGCATTGACCTCTCTCGCTCTTGGGAGAGAAGCCTGTTAGCGCGGCAAGACGGGAACCTGAAAGAGGTGAGGGAAAGCACGGGCAAGCGGATTGGTGCAGTTGGAGTTGACCTGACATGGCAGGTACTGTACTGTACCAAAACATGCACATATGCACGCCCCAGATCTGCCATGCTCACTCAACCAGGTGAGGTAAGGGAGTTTGGGAGACAGCAAGGTACTGTACATTGTTGGGATTTCTTTTTCGCTTCCCCCGCCATCCTTCCCCCCATCTTTCTCAGAGTTTTGAATTTTTCCACCCGCGGTAGGCAGCCCCATCGTTTTCGAGGCTCTCCATCAAAACAAGCCCACCGTTGATTTGCCCGGGTCCAGACTGTCCAGATGTCACCGAACACGTGGACCCTGACCGACCAGTGGAGCTTGAGGTACCTTTCTTCATCCCGCCCGCTCCGCTCTGCTGCTCTGTCGAAGCAATGGTTCTCGCCGGGGGACTGGCCGCTTTCGGCCACCTGGTGGGATTTTTGGTTTCTCGAGCACACCGCGTGTCATATGATCAGCGTACAATGGAGCATTTTCAGTTCACTGCAAAATTACACAGATGCATACGGTGGTGGAAGGTGGGAAGGGGTTTGATTACGGTACAGCACCGTCACTTCCTCCTAGGTGACCCCCACGTGCTTGGTTTCCGTGCCGTCCTCCGTCGATAAACCCTAACCCGTTCCTCGCTTGGGCGCTTATGTAAGTAAATTCAGACCAGGCTTCATTAGAATCATTACCGTATCAGTCGAGGCTATCCTATGTAACACAACCGACCCAAGTCACCCAACACTGTCGTTGTCAATCCCCAATGGTGAGTTTTGCCGGATCATGCCGCCAGCCTCACCGCAAATGGCTTCCCGATAGGACGCCGGCCAACTCAGCAGGTTCCTTCTCTGGCATCACCTTTTGGCGGCTTGTTACTCCGTAGAGCCTTCGTATACTCATGCCCTCGGCGCCGCTTATGGCAGCCGGTGGCCGGCAAGGGAGCAAGGATGCAGCGAGTGGCGCTTACCATCGCGCGTCCCCGTTCTCTTCAATTCTTCGAGATTGGAGGCTCAATGGAAGTGCAGATATTGAGCCCTGCTTGTCGATGCGCCCACGCTGTGATCAGGTCCTATCAACAGAAAAACGTACATGTCGTCAATGCAACGGCTCGGCTGAAGCTTCCCGTGTCTTGACCAGCGTATGGCGCCGGCCCCAGCTCGGCATGTCTCGATTTGTCAATCCCCTCGTCTTAAACCGCTGATGTGCAGCCCGGTCACCCCGATAACCCGCCGACACGTATATCCACGGCCGTTTCCAAAGCGGACTGATGCAATGCTGCAGCCTGCATGGCCAGAAAAACCGCGAACCATCCACCGTGGGCCGCTCGCGCTCTCTCTGGCCTCTCGATGGCCTGCATTTCTGCACTTCCTGCAATTGTCGTAGGTTGGATAAGTTCGATATTTTCGTTCCTATCAGACAATCCCAAGCTTCCATTGTGCACCCACCCTGTCACACAACCTGAGAGCTTCACCCCTCCTTGTCCCCATGAGACGCATTACTTACCCCAAGAGGTACGCATATAGCATGCACGGGTCGCACATGCCTGTATGTATTCGCATTGGCTCGGGCAGGAACGACTGTGGAGGAGTAAGTGCGGAGAGAAGAGATACCCCAGTTTCCCAAGTCGCTCTCGACGCCTCAGCTGCACCTTCTTTCCCCACGCTCCCTGCTGGCTCCTCAATGGATGCTCTGTGCCTCGGTCTCACCTTCTCATGCATTGCTACCTGTGATACCAGACCTTCCCGGGGCGGCCCAATCAGCCTTCCCCGGCGCCCTGATCGTTGTTTATTGCTGCTGACGAAATATTATCCTGCATTTACACGAGGCATACATAGCCATACATGATATGGGCAAGGGAAACATCGAGATGGCAGGTCCAGCCAGCTGAGAGCAGACTCTCAAGCCGCCGTTACATTCAATGTCGTCGCTCAATGGCTCACCGTGCATGCACTCGCTCGGTTTGCCTGCACACTCGAACCGGGAAACGGCAAAGGTCCTGTCAATTTACTGTCTTGATCAAGATATCGGCCGTGAGCGAGATGACTGTGACTGCGGCAATTTGATATGCCATTTATCTTTCTGAGGTCGACAAGAAGATCTCACAGACCAGACTGATCGGTTGCTACAGCCCCGGGAGACACAACATGACACCGGACATGCATGCGGCAATACTACAGCCCAGGTGCCCAATGGTGCAAACCGGGCCGGACGAAAACGGACGGGAGGGAGTAGGTGCCGAAGTGCATACAATGGAAAGCAGCACAAATGCTAGTGGCGTACTGGGACTTCAATTCCATGCTACCTGGGCTAGAGGGTGCTATTGCCCGGGCCTCAACACCACATTGCTGAGCAATGCAACCCAGTTGAAATTTGGACCTTTGGCTAACGGGCGGGCAGATAATACCATCCACCAGGGCTCAACAAGCACCCACGCTAGCCCCTGCGGCCTCTCAAGAGACCACTCTAGATCGAAGTGTGCGGAAGAGCCTTGCCAGCCGACAACAAAAAAAGGGGGCGCGTCGATCCAACCGAAGTCCTGCTGGTTTCGAGAGCAGGTTGAGGCATGCACGCAACCCCATCCGGCCCGCCAACCAGGGCTTACTAGCCGCCATTGGCCCGATTCGCTGGAGCGCTGTCCTCTCAGCATCTGATGCACTATCTACAGCCCTCCTTGCTCGCTGTCCCTTTGGCGTGGCGTGTGCTGTACGCCGAGGGCTCAGGGGTCCTCAGGAGCGAAAATAAGGGCCATCAAGTGCGCTGTCAGGGGCTATGGACAGGAGGCCGATGCAAATGAGACGAAGCTGGCGCCGGCTCACACGTAGCTCCGTCTTCACCGCGTTGGCCACGCAACCGCGTTGGCCACCCTGTTGAACAGTAATCACATGGACTACACCAAGATACGCCTTGGCTCGAGTTGCGTGACGTTACATTCCAACAAAGACACTAGCCTTCGCCGTATCACCAAGTTACCCGTCTTCCCTCTTAGACAACCCCAGAGCCCAACCTCTCTCGCCGGTCCTAAACCTGCAGGTTACGGCTTGCAGGTTCTGAGTCATGTCAGTCGTGTGTTCGTTACTGCCGCGGGAGCCGTCCACGGAGAGGTGCGCCTGCTCTTCCAGGTATGCCCTGTCACCAGGAGGAAGGGCAAGCAGCGTGGCCATGGCCGAGTCCTTGACGATCTTGACCTTCCAGACGGCCGTCTGTATCATGATTCCGAGCAGGAAGCTGGCAGCCATGGCCATCTGAAGCGCCAGGAAGGAGAGCCAAGCCCATTCGACGTGAACATAAGTCTCCCGCGCGAGCACGACGCCGGTTTCCATCGCCGGGCTCATGGCGCGGATCCTGGCATAACATGTCCAAGTCAGCCAGAAGCACATTGGCATACGGCCAGGCAGGTAAAGTGTAAACAGTAAGGTATACAAGCAACTGGGTTCGACGCTGATGTCACAGCAACGGGAGGGATAGAAACAGAGATGTGGCAGGAAAGGGTGCTGGTTAGGGAAAATACACTCACGCATTACTTAGGCTAGTAGCCACATTATTCGTCATATTCCTCACCACGTCTCGCAGGTACTCCTCCGGATTGTTCGCAGCCGTTGCTGGCACCGCCCGCCGGAACAGAGCCTGTCCCAGCGCCCCGCTGGTCGGCGTCTCATTCCCTATCCTGGTTCCGTACCAGTAGGAATACGTACCCGAGAACAGTGACAGGATATACCCGTTCAGCAACCTCACGTCGTCCCGCTTGACAGAGTAAATACTACCTCCTCCGCCTTGGTCTTGCCTGGACCGCAACATCACCGCTGGTTCGCCCTGCTGCTGCCGTTTCTGCTGCTGCGCGCTGGTGGTGAGGGACGACGAATGGACCACCCGACTGCTCGAGACACCGCGGGCTGTTGAGATCTCGTACGTGTTGACGCAGAAGTGCAGGAGCACCTCAACGGCTTGGAACACGCTAGTGCTTGTATCCGAAGACGCTCCGTTGGGGCCAGCTGGGCGTTCTGCTATCAGGCTGGTGTAAATGATGAAAAAATTGGCAATGGCGCTCGCGACGCGGCCGTCGTCCCCGTTCGATGAGAATGCCAGGCTCATGCGGGCCGGGAGGAAGTTCTCCTGCTCCACGCCGTCGCCGGTCGAGTTGCGCGGCCAAGAGATGTTCAGGTTGCAGCCCGTGGTCAGGCCACCGATCAGGTGCAGCCCGTTGGGGAGGGATGCGTTGGAGGTGTCTACGGCAATGTCACCGTTCGCCGAAAGGGTCCCCTCGGAGACGGTCAACCGGTCGGATACGTCGGCCACGGCGGCGCAGACGGCCAGGGAGCTGAAGTTGCGCCATTGGCAGTCGCCCGAGCTGCAGAGGGGTTGCAGGTGGGGAACTGGTTGGTCCACGGCGTGATAGATGCCTGACTGGATGGCCTGTTTTTCTCGCGTGTCGAGGCTCCCTGGTTGGTGAACGGGGTTTAGTGGTCAAGTCCTCTCTCATTGGGGAGGGGGAGCCAGCCAGAAGCCTGTTGCTTACCATCCAGTACAGCGTACGGCTCCGGGTGGGAATAGGACTCGCTCCTGGAGACGACTGCGGTGCCGCTCCCTCCTTGCACCTGCCGGGTGGGATAGGTTATGGCTCCTTGCGTAAGGGGCGAGAGTAGGAAGCCCGTCAGCAGTGTCGTGGCCCCAGTCATTCCGAGTAACCTATCAAAAACACCCCTGGTTAGTGGGCATCGAACTACGGCAGGACAGGGGGTCAACACTGGCGGGTTTGGGGAAGTCTATCCACACCTTCCTTTTCTCTTGCAGAGGAGAACGGCAGAGCCCACAGGCCCCCGCTTTGCATTTTGAAAAGTCTGAAAGTCGCCCAGCGGCTTGTCGCCTCGGGCAAACGAGTTCCACATCAGCTGGGAGAGACCCTCCGTGAGGGGAACGGCCAGCGCCACCTGGCATATCGCCGTGAGGAAAGCCACCACGGTGTTGAGCGAGACGGCAAGCGGCCAGTCCGGCAGGCCACGGCCGTCGTACACCTTCAGCAGCGCAATAATGGCCCCGAAGCAGGCCAGACCGACCAGAGAGCATAGCACCTCCTGCGTCCACTGCGCGCAGTACCGCCAGATGGCCATCATCCCTCCACCGCGTCCCCCACGCAAAAGGCCCTCGCCAGTGTCGATTGGGTCCGTCGTTTTTCTTCGTCGCCTGCGCTGTCGGTCCCACCACCATCGTGCCTGCGGACTGCCTACGTCGTCCCCCGCTATGGAAGGGAAAGTATCCTCTCGCGGCATAGTATCCCCACCGACCTGAGACTCGTCCTTGGGCGGCTCCCCCGACTCGGGGCTCGGCCGACGAAAGTAATCAAGGTCTTCGTAGTGCATAAACGGCCCGCTGCCGTTGCTGTTCTGCATACCGTGACGCCGCACGCGGACCCCAAGGCCAGGAGGCCTCGCCGGCGGAACGGGGGTTTGCTCCTCTTGCCAACTGCTCTGCCACGGCACCGACGACGGAGTGATTTCCACACCTGTGGTGGGGGATGTGGCTGTGACGACGGGAGCCACAGGAGCGGCGGCCGCCGCCACCGGAGAAAACGAAACCGAAGCAGAGGTCCCAGTCGAATTCGGAATCGGGATCGGGGCCGGCATCGGAGCCGGTCCGTACGACGTCAAGCTGGGTCTCCTGCCGGACACGGCCTCGCGCACCCGCGCCTGGGTAAGTTCCTGCAGCTCCCTGCTTCCGCGCCAGTGCTGCGGCGGGGGCAGGGGTATCTCGATGGGGTCCGGGGGCAGGTCCCACAGACCCGGTTTCCCTCCCCCTCCTCCTCCTCCATCCCTTAATCCGAGCACTTCTCCTGCTCCTGGACCACGCCAGCCCGTCCGTGCCGCTGCATCCCGGCCGTTGTTGTGGTCCAGGTCCGAGACCTGCCTGACCGGTGAAGGCGATAGGCCCCCGCCCCTTTCTACACTTCCATAACCGTAGTACTCACCCCTAACATCGTCGTCGGTCTCCCCGTGAATCGAGCTCGCGGGGGAGACGGAAAACACGTCACCCCCGCTGCTGACCGTGCCTACGCGTTGTGGCGGCGGCATCGACGTCGGTTCGCGCTGGAATTCCCCACTGCCACCTGGTATGCTCATAGTAAGGCTACCCGTCCAGGGAGCGGAAGCTGTTGCTAGTGGGGCCTGGAGGTTGCGGTGGTGGTGGTAGTCATCTCTGGTGTTGCTCCAGCTGGTGCAGTGAGAGTGAGAGTCGTAGCGGTCACTGGGGCCGGCGGGCATGGCGAGCGGCGCTGGCAGTCGATGGTATACTGAGCATTCCCATTCCTGTGGATTCTTTTCTGTCCTTTGATTCCCCTCTTGAAGACTGTGGATTTGTGCCTGGTAAGTAGTCCCAGCCACACCACTGCAGCAGATTACCCGCCCTCCCAGGAATGAAGACCGAGATTGCAGCGCGGGCAAACAAATTCGGATTACAAAAGTTCCTTTCTCACAGCCCTTGTGGGAAAGGTGTAAGGGAAGGGGACGGGCTTGATAGGTAGAGTGGAGAGACAGGCCCGGGGACAGTTTTGAGAAATAAAAAAAAGTGAGCTAGTACTTGTTGGCTAGGTAGGGGCGGGTGTAGGTAAGTAAGCGCGCCGGGCAAAGAACCCTTTGACCCCTGACCCTTAACTCTGACCCTGGTGTTGATTCGGGATCCGGCCAAACCAAGGTTATGTACAGATTATATAACTACAGGCGGATTTCTTGAAGGTAAGGTGCGATGTGTTTCGGGTTTCTTCTCTTATTATTACATATGTATGCTTGCTGCTGCTGGGTGCTGCCATTACCCGGTTGAAGATAATCCGTTGCCCGTTTATCGTTACCTTACCGGCTTGTCCTCGGCTCTGATTCGGACGGCCGCATGTCGCTTCAAGTTTCCTACCCGTCCTTGTCTAGCTAAGGTAACGGTAAGGTTGTAGGATGGGGGGATTGGGGGCAGCTTACCACGGAAGGGTAGCACTTTGGAGCTCTTGTAAATATAGCTTAATCAAAATTTCTGACCGGGTGAAGTCACCTACATCCTTCCAGTCTGCATAGCGGACGGACACTTTGCTTCAACCGATCTGAGCTGAGCTGGGGCATTACCCACATACATTCGAATACATACACATAACCCCTCGGGTTGTATGTGAAGAGATATGTTTTGTCTATGGGAATATCCGCATGCAGCGTACCTTGGCCACCTCACCTCATGTATGGTGGGATATCCGTATTGTATCGTGTACGGGATTGTAGGCTAGGTGCATACGTATCTGTATGATTTGCGGGAGAAGATTACACCAGAAATACATGGTCAAGAGTGCGTTTGTATGCCGTCCTCTCACGGGACCCTGCACCTCTTAAGTTCTCTTACCCGTACACTAAAAGACTGCGTGAGCGTGAGCGCATCACCAACCGATCAAATCGCTGTGCAGTAAATGCTGCTGCCTGAGAGCGGACCCGGATGCCGGCTTCTCTTGGTGCACCGTCCCGTGTGTTACTTACTAAGGGAAAGGTATACTCTGCATATACTGTAAAAGGTACGGGCATGTAGTGAAGAGCGAAGACGGGTGATGAAACGTACAAAGTAGTGTCGCATATTTTGCAGGGTGGGGTTGTTACCTCGATCTTTTCACAAGAGGCACATCATCGATCACAATGGGATGGGCGGATCTCGGGGCTATCGGGAGCATTTCCCCAAGTTCCCCTAATCTGCTGTTTCAGCTGCGGGGAAGGGCAGAAGAGACAATCATTGGTGCCATTGCAACTCCCATTTCGGCCAGTTTCGCGGAGGGACATCTTACAATGAGAATCTATCAGTCAGTTTATCCGTTCTGACCCTAGATATTTCAACGCTTTCCTTGTTGTCAATCGTCTAGTTGGGACTATTTGAGCTATAAATGGATCAGGAACTTTTTTAGGTTGGCGCGCTATTTTTGCAAGTGCGTAAGAGTCGGTTGTTATCTCCCCGAGTCCGGTGCTAACGTCCGGTCCCCGTCCGGGGTGGCCTGTGCATCCCGGCTCCGGGTTGCCGTCGACGAATGCCACTGCTTCGTGATAGGAAGTTTGAATCAACGGTCAGAGGTAACATAACTTAATGAATACTTTCAACCGCCTGCGTAGATAATAGCCAACTCACCGACTTCAAGCCACTGCTCCAGCGCCCTGCGGAGGATCCTGTAGGTACATACATAAGTATCAACCGTATACCCTCTCATTAGATGCTTAGACAAGAGCTACTTATACAACCGCTAAGGGCAAACTTGCTTTTGACCCATGCCTCTCTCAACAAGGTACAAAGGAGCGCAATTCCGCGAAAGACGATCTTACCCTAGAACTTCCATAATTCATACTATAGGCAGTGCAGCCCAGTAGGCATAACCCAAACACCGGCCCATTGTGAGCAAACCCCCCTACTCCCAACGCCTGTTCATGAAATGCGCCTGGAGTGCGTAAATGCAGTGGTGACAACGTTTAAACATACAGAAATTGTACAGTGAAAACCCAACATCTATCAGCCAATTGGTATCCTCAAGACGCCTTTCAATGGACGTGATCACTGTGGTCACCGTGGTCGTGTCCATGTTCTTCCGCGGAGTGGGTGCTCTCGGGCCGCGACAGTGGAGGCGAGCAGCAGCCCTGACCGATACAATCGTCAACGCAGTCCAAAAGACATAGATTTCCCTCGCTGAGCCCGCACGCCGGGCCTGCGGAAGGGGCGGCGCCGTCGGTACCCGGCACCACAGCGTCACCTCTATGGTCATGCCCCCTGTCAAGGCAGAACTCGGGCTGGATGGTGGCGCTGTGGATGCCGTATGCATGGAGGCACTTGCGCGCCATCTTGGATAGCTCCATGTACTTCTCGCCGTTGGCTTCCGAAATAGGGAACGCAACCTGGATGTGCATGGATGCCACCACCCTGGTGTCCGAAAGTTGCCAGATATGAACGTGGTGGCAGCTAATCACCCCTGGGAGAGCCTGGATGTCCTCCTTGACATCATTGAGGTCGATATTGTCGGGCGTTGCCTGCAAGAGGATCTTGGATGCTGCGACCGTGAGAGGGATCGCCGAGCGGAGGATAATGAGGGTGATGAAGAGGGACACTGCGGGATCGGCATAGTAGCGTCCCTCCCAATCAGTAAGCCAGATGATGAGCGCTGTACAAATAACGCCCACATTCCCCAGCGCGTCTCCGAGAACATGCAACACCATGGCGTTCATCCCCATGTCGCCGTGACTGTGTCCATGCCCCTTGCTAGCCTCCTTTGGCTTGTTGTGGTTGTGCGAGTGATGGATGCCGGAACCCCGTCGAAATCGTTTCGGAGGCGAGTGCGAACCGTGTGCTCCGTAACGCGCTGGTGAAGTGCGGCCATTCTTTAGCAATGGAGTATTCTCGCGAGGATCCGACTCGTCAACAACCGCCGTCTCGTCTTCAGAACTGCCATCGCTGCTAGACTCGTCATCAACCCGCGACCGGCTGGCATCAATTATCTCCTGGCGAAAACTGGCGGGGTGGATGCTGATATCCTCAAGATTAGTGAGGCGGCCGTGCCTCACGCCAGATGGTGTACGACGCTCCCTCCAGCCGGAGCTCCGGCTCTCGCGCCTCTCAGCAGGAGAAGAGCTTTCTGGTCCGAACCGAATATGTCTCGAGGGCGACACGGGCGCCGCGGTGGTAAATCTCGCGACCGCCGCCTCGGGTAACAGATCAGCCACGCGTCCGCTCTCGTCGGCAGCAGTGTCTTGGCCTCCGAAATACTCAACACGCCCTTCTTCAGCCGCGCGGTCCAGCCCGTGGGAATGGGAGTGCCCGTCTTCAGAACTGTGTGCTTCGTCATCATGTCCATGATCCCCTGGTCCATGGGAGTGCCCGTGTCCTCCAAGAACGCCAAATCCAACCAAGTTTGAAGCCAGTCCAAGGCAGCCGACAATCAGGATAAGCTCAGGGTTGCCGATTTCGGGCGGGTCAATGAATCTGGTGAGCGCTTCGAGAACGATGGACACGCAAAGGGCGATCAAGAAGACAGCGTTGAAGAAGGCGCCGAGGATTTCAGCGCGAAGCCACTACAGCGGCTGTCAGTAAGCGCTCCGATTGTAGAAATAGCACGCAATGGCGCTTCACGAGATCGACTCACCCCGTAGGAAAACCTATCCGTAGTTGCCTTCCTCGCCACCGATACGGCCCACAGGCCAACAAGCAGCGAGATGATGTCGTTGAGCTGTGGGGAGAAGGGGAAAGCGTAAGCAGAAGAACTTGGTCTCTCTGTCGCAAGCAGAGCCGCTTACCATATGGAAGGCATCTGCCATCAGCGCCAGAGAATGGACAGCAAAGCCGACACCTAGCTCTAGCAAGAAGAACATGACGTCGATGACGAGCATCACCTTGATGCGAGTCGACTTTGACCACCCCATCCTTGCCGCGTATTTTTGAGGCCTTGGGTTGCGCAAGGGAAGGGGTGGTAGAGGCAACGCAATTTCGTCTGCTACCCGCAGCAGACGTATTTATATGGTATTCAAGAGAGTGGCACTTGTTTGCCTTCTTGTTGGCGGGCGGTTGTGGTTGGGTGCTTTTAAAGTTGGACTTGGCGAAAGAATTTCGGCACCCAAATTCGCCCCTCCTCGGCAAGTCTGATGATGAGATGGCGCTAGCAAGTTGTTGGAACCTGAAAAGTGAAGACCCCCCAGCGGTGGATCTGCAGCTTTGCCCCTGTCTCTTCTGCAACAAAGAACATAAGCGACGCAGGTTCCCGTCAGCGCTCAAAGCGAAAGCGGCGAGTGCACTCAGCGTGATTCTTAAGCCAAATGGAATGAGGCCAGGTCGCGTATCCAAGAGCGCACACCGCACAACTCGAACCACGCGGAAGGCAAGTTTCCCGGTGACATCAGCTCAGTAAATCATCAATCAGCGACCTCAGCAGCCCCGCTTTCCTTAAAAAACAGCCCCACCATCGCTCCCATTGATCGATCAATCAACCGCTGCTCACGAAGAAATTTGATTAGATAAGATCTCCTTGAACCAACCAAAGTTGCCGACGGATCTCCTGCCTCTCCACCAACCGGGGCGGGCATCGCTGCAGCTGCATCCGTTCTTCGGAACCTGAAGGAACTCGCAATGGAATGCCTGGTCGAGCTGCCTTTGGAGACTCGAAAACCGACGGCCTCCGAGATGTATCCGGCACGCCAGCTGATATGTAGTACCTAGGGTCTCCATCAGACGGAAGACTTGAATCTGATGACAGCCCTGGACTGCGACTTTTGTGATTTCGAAGCAAATCCTGACTACATAAACGCATATATCAGATCCACGATAATATGAAATTACGAATAGTCCGACACGGCATTGGCATGCCATATTATGTCAACATCTGACAACGCCACTCCTACTGTCAAAGGCGCTGGTACCGTATTGTACGTAACGTACATATGGAGCTGGCGTGCTCTGTTAAGATGGGTACCTAGTAGTTAGAAGAGCAAATTTCACAGCAAAAAGTTTCGCCACACTAACAGCAGGATGTGTATGTATGTACAGTACAGTACATGCCAGTACCGTTACAATACATATATAAGGTAATCACTCTGTACGGAGTACTCCGTAATCTGGACTTATCAGCCATCTTATCGCACCTAATCCGGTCGCCGAATGACTCGCTCCATGTCATGAACCCTTTTGAAGAGGGAATCGATTTGGTCTTCACTGCTACCGTCCCAGATGATATCGTAAAGCGCTAATTAGGGTTATCACATCGCAATTACTACTCATCACTGGTCTCACATTAAGTAACTTGCTTTACGCGGCCGATCAACGTGACATCGCTTCGTCTTCATTGTTCCAACATGAGCTATCAGGAATCCAACCCCGACCTAGAATCGTTCCGGGAGCAGTGGAGGGCCGAGGTCCGGGCGAGACACCCGGTGCCTGCCTCTTCTCTTCAACAACAGCAGCAGAATGCGGCCGCTGGTCCGGCCACAACCGCAAATTCCGCCAGAGCAGCACGTCCCATAGACCCTCGTGGTAAACCGCCACCGGCAACTAGAGTGCCGGCAGTGAAGAAATACGATGATGAAGATGAGGCACTTGTACAGCCGCCGGCATTTGACGAGCCTGCGCCCACCGGATCAACATCCGTCCAAGAACGCGGGCCGGCGAAGGGCCTGGCAAAGACAGAACCCGTTACGGCACTCGAGCACTACGAGAAAGCGGTGGAGAGAGAGGCGGCGGGCAACCTCGGAGACAGCTTGAGGCTGTATAGGAAGGCATTCAGGGTCCGTTGCCGACTTCTCCTAGTAACGAACAATGGATCTCAATGCTGACCTAACCTCAGATGGACGATAGCGTGGACCAAAAGTACAAGAATAAGCATTTTCCCAAACCACCCCTGAAGCCCGTAGCAGCAGCCTCATCTGGCAGCTCAAGGGAAGGCGCTGCGTCTACTCCCAAGGCAGAACAGCCGCAATCTATGAAGGACCTGATCGCCAGTTTCGCAGGTCTGTCAATCGAACCTGTGCCTCCCGAGATCGAGGGTATGCCACAGCCCCCCTGCCCAATCGCATCCCTTCCAACTGAGATTCTGGTCCACATACTCAGGGACGTGGCTATTCTCGACATTGGCGACTTTGTGCGCCTCAGCCAGGTCTGTAAACGTTTTGCCTACCTCGTGGCCACTGAAAACCGCATCTGGCGGCGCATCTGCCTTGGTACAGAGTTCGGCTTTGGCGGCATGCACTACTATTGGCAACGCCAAATAACCTGGGACCCGCTCACTGAAGCCGACCTACTCCGCGAGGCAGAGGAAGCAGCAGCCACAGCCGCAGCAGAGGCGGAAGCAGCGACAGATGCCGAGGATTCCACCACCACCACCTCCGCCCTCCCGTCACCGGCAGTCGAACTCTCCCTCTCGGCGCGCGCTCAACGGCACGCCGAGGAGAGCGCCGCCAACACGCTCGCCTTCTACCGGGCCCTGTACTCGTCCTCGTGGCAGCGCATGTTCCGGTTCCGGCCCCGGGTGCGCTTCAATGGCTGCTACATCTGCACCGTCAACTACATACGCGCGGGTCAGGCCAGCCCGCACACGACGACGTGGAACACGCCCGTGCACATTGTTACCTACTACCGCTACCTGCGCTTCTTCCGCGACGGCACGTGCATCAGCCTGCTGACCACGGCCGAGCCCGCAGACGTGGTGCATCACCTGACCCGCGAGGCCGTCACGTCTGGTGTGGCCAGCAACAACGCGGCCAGTCAGTCGGCGCTCAAGGGCAGGTGGCGTCTTGCCCGCGAGTCAGATAACCCCGGCGCGAGCATCAGCGAGGTTGAGGGGGATCTGATGATCGAGACGGAGGGCGTGGCGAAGTATATATACAGGCTGGATCTGGCGTTCAAGACGGCCGGGAGGGCCGCCAAGAACAATAAATTGGTCTGGAAGGGGTTTTATAGCTATAACACCCTCACCGGCGACTGGGCTGAGTTTACCCTGAGGGACAATACTCCCTTCTTCTTCAGCCGGGTCAAGAGTTATGTGGTTAGAGGGGAGTAAGCGGTAAAAGGTGTCCGAGGATGAGTAAATGAACAGGGCTTTCGGGTGCCAGCGTCTTGTAAAAAGTATTGATATGGTTCATGAGAACTAACGGTATATGTTGGTGGGCTTGAAAGGGGTTGAAGGAACAGGCAGGGTTAGAATTCCAGTAGGCCTTAGTTAGAATCAGCGTAACAGCGAAGAACAAACGAGCATGATAGATGAGAAACAACCTCTAGAAGCGGTTGATCTAGGAAATGCAGCCTTGCGCTGTTGATATTGCATCTGAAATTGGGAATGAATAGTTCTTGGGCGCTTGATGAGAACCGAGGTCGAGGAGCAAATTGCTCCTCCTCAACTACGGAATGCAAAAGGGGTTCAGGGGGCTTGGCAGCCGGCTCACCAGCTGATGACCAACTGGTAAGCTGTGCCTTGGCGCCCGCCCCATCAGTTGGACCCTGAACATCAGCCTGTAAGTTAAGGTACTGTAACGTTTTTACCCATTGACGGGCGCCGAAGATGAACGACACGAGTGACGAGACCAGTACCCTATGAAACCGACAATTGATGCCTTGAAGACAACGTGACAACGCTTCAGCTCGCTCGTCCAGCGAAAACGGCTTTTAGGTACCATTCGAAGCCACTCCAAAATGATCTAGACCAACGCATCCGAGAGAGACAACTACGTCCACTTCACAATGGCACCCGACAACGGCAGCACGAGCGGCGGCCCCCTTTCGTTCCTCGCAAACGTCTACGACCTTGACACTCTCGACACGCGTTTCACCACCCCTTCGTCGGTGCCCTACAGGGCGGCAGTGGCGGATGCGCGGGCAGGCGCAGACAAGAAAGGGGACGACAACAACAGAACGGCTGACACGAAGCGGGCTGAGCCGCCAAAATGGGGCACTTGGGAGTTCTACTTGTATTACCTGGTCTTCTTGACCGTGGTGCCGTACATGTTCTGGATTGCGTACGATGTGTCGAGACGTAAGGATGCTTGCTCTGTTTGTCGGGAGAAAGTCAGAAAGAGGGAAGGGATGCTGATGCTGATGGATCCTGCTGCCAGCGTCGGATCCGAGATACCCCAAGTTTGAGAAGCATCTGTCGGAAGGATGGATTCCGGGGAGGAAAATTGTAGGCATATCTTCACCTACGGGGTTCCTCGTTTGATTAAGGACGTCGTGCTGACCGTTTGCAGGACGTCTCGGATGCGCAGTACCACACCTTCCGCACCAACCTGCCCTACATGGCGCTGCTGCTTGTCCTGCACCCGCTCTGTCGCAAGGTGTGGAATGCCGTGTATCCCGTGCCGCAGGAGACGAGGGCTGCGAAAGCGGCGACTTCCCCCGAGGGCGCTGAGGCGAGGCTGCGGCAGCGAACGTCGTTTGACTTCGCCTTTGCGCTGCTCTACCTCGTCGTCTTGCACGGCTTCTCAGCTGCCAAGATCCTCCTGATTCTGGCCGTCAACTACAAGCTCGCAACGGGCTTGCCCAGGAAATACATACCCGCGGCGACATGGATCTTTAATATTTGCATCCTATTCGCCAATGAGCTCTGTGAAGGATACAAGTTCCGCGACATCGCGTTGCTCGTGTCCGGCGCACCGGCCAAGGATATGGTGACGGACCCCTCGTCGCTAGTAAAATTGGGCGAGTGGCTCGACAGCTACGGTGGGTTGATGGCCCGCTGGGAGATCCTCTTCAACATCACCGTTCTCCGCCTCATCAGCTTCAACCTCGACTACTACTGGAGCCTGGATAGACGAAGTTCCAGCCCCATCGAGGTAACGTTCCCCCCTAAAACTATTTCTACTGTCCTTTTTCACTGACCCCCCTAAGAAGAAACAACTCGACCCTGCCAACCTTTCTGAGCGGGACCGCATCTCCATCCCCGCGCCCCTATCAGACTTCTCCTTCCGTAACTACGTCGGCTACACCATCTACGCACCTTTATACCTCACCGGACCGATCATCACCTTCAACGACTACATCTCGCAACAGCGCTACCGGCCGGCCACCATATCCTTTTCCCGCACGCTCAGATACGCCGTGCGCTTCGCCCTGGTTCTCCTCGCCATGGAACTCGTACTGCACTACGACTACGTAGGTGCCATCTCCAAATCGTACCCAGAATGGTCATCGTACACGCCCGCGCAGATATCGCTGCTGTCCTACTTCAACCTGCACATCATCTGGCTCAAGCTGCTCCTGCCCTGGCGCTTCTTCCGGTTGTGGTCGCTGGCCGACGACGTCGACCCGCCCGAGAACATGATACGCTGCGTCAGCAACAACTACTCGACCCTGTCCTTCTGGCGAGGGTGGCACCGCAGCTACTACCGCTGGCTGCTGCGCTACATCTACATTCCCTTGGGCGGCTCGAGTTTCGCCACCGCGGCCGACGCAGTCCGGACCGTGGTTACGTACCTAGTTGTCTTCACCTTTGTGGCGCTGTGGCATGACATTAAGTTGAATCTGTTGATTTGGGGTTGGTTGGTTGTGGTGTTCTTCCTGCCTGAGATTGCGGCTGGGTTGCTGTTTCCCAGGCGCAAGTGGGAGGGCAGGCCGACGGCGTATCGCATGCTTTGCTGTGTCGGTGGGGTGGGGAATGTGCTGATGATGATTGCGGCGAATCTGGTCGGCTTCGCGGTCGGGTTGGATGGGTTGGAGAGTATTGTGAGGGGGATATTTAGGGATTATTCGGGTATGTCTGTGCTCCGTTACCTTTGTTTCGCCCCCTTTCCCCAACCAGCTCCTTTTTGTGGAGCGAAACATTCCCTACCTCCGCTTCCCCTATGTGATTTCCTATTCCCACTGCAGCACAAAGATCATATTACTGACATTTGTCGCCAGGTGTCGTGTTCCTCGTCACAGCGTGCTCGGCCTTGTTTGTCGGCATACAGGTCATGTTTGAGATCCGGCAGGCCGAGTTGAGGAGGGGAATCAATTTGAAATGTTGAGGCCGTCTCAATCTGTTTCTGTATAGAGTATGTAATCTGTAATTCCACCACGTAAACATTTACCAAGTTGCACCAGTGACGTTTCCTGACCATACCACTGGCGTCTTAAGCCGATATATCGGTGGCCCGTCGTGTGGGATTGCACTATGCACATCTGACCTACGCGCCTTTTAGTCTAGTATGACAGCGATTCGTGCAACGTCCTGAAGGACATATTCAGCATGGCTCAGCCTTGTACATGTATATCGGTGAGTGGACCGAGGCGGCTGACAGCGGCAAACAATAACAATGTAGTAGAATTGTGATATTAGATGGGTATTCAGATTAATAGATGAGAAAGGGTATATATCTGTTCTAGCCAACCAATGCCCAATGCTCACTTACACCCGCCAATCATGCCAAACAATGTTCCAGACAACAGGAGCCCTAAACCACATGGGTCTCCTGCGGCCTGGACATCTCCAAGTCCTTGCCACTGCCGGCCGAGTGGCCCGAGGGCTCGGTGAATTTGCCAGTCTTGCCCAGTTTAGTCTCGGTAATGTATTTTCGCAGCCAGATAATCCCCCAAACCACGCCAAAAATGATCAGACACCCGACGGCGATACCGAACACGTAGGCGGCCACCAGCCCGCCCTGCCTCCCCGGGTCAAGGAAGCTGTAGGTGTAGAAGCCTTTATCAGCCGCGGTGACGTACGCCAGGGCCAGGTACAGCGCGAGGACCAGGATGAGCCAGAGCATGTGCATAGCCGGCGGGGGGTCGGTGCGGGTCAAGACGAGCTCAAAAAACGCAAAGACGCTGTTCAGGGCGTGCTGCGAGACGTTGCTCCAGCCGCCGTACGTCTCGGCAAACCACGTGCCCGTGTACAGCAGCGCCCAGTAGACGATGGTCACGATGAAAGGGTAGACGACCACGGTCGTGTAAAAGGCCGAGTGGAGCGCTTGGAGAGGCCGGGGGAAGCGGTCGAGGAGGGGCACGCCCGACCGCGCGTAGGTGAACGTGTGGACAGCAGCGGCGAGGAAGTAGAAGGCAAGTCCCCAGTAGCTGAGTGAGGTGAAGTAGCTAAACTGGTTCTGGGAGGCGGTGCAGCCAGTCTCGTCGTGGACGCATTGCCATGCTAGGACGAAGACGAGAGTCGTGAAGCAGTAGAGGGACTACGGAGAGAGAGCAGAGTTGTGTGAGTTCGCTTCCTGTATGGAATCTGTAAAGGGGAAGCTATCAACAGGCTTGAAGGAGTTGACTTACAATCAGGGCCCTGATACAGAAGAGCAGCCATGGAGACAGAAGCCAAGAAGTCTCGAACCGATGGGTCGGATCCCACCGGTCGGTTCCGAATCTAAACGGGCCCCAGGCCATGTCCGCAGATCATGGACCGAAGATCACGAAGCGCAGATCCGGAAGGGGTTTGCGGATGAGAAGACAGCGCAATGTGCAAACTGCAAAAAGACACGACTCGGGGAAAAAATGATTGTGGAGAGAGCTTGGGATTATTTTCGTTGGTGCTTCTCCGGGTCTTGGCAGCTCCGAAGGAGAAGCTGATATGCTTCGTGGTCTTGTGGGAAAGATGATCAGAACGGATAGTTATTAGTGTACGGAGTAGTATGTCTGTCTCACGCCGAACAGTCACTCCCGAAAACTTCTGAGACTCTGAGTACCTTGGCCCAATGTAATCAAGAAAGCCCATTCGTTTGTTTTCCCGAGAAGGACGGACGAGGACAAAATGTCTTCTCGAGAGTGGACGTGAGTGGACACGCCAGCTTACATACCTCGGCACCCTCAGTACATACCTAACTTTTTCCAATCAAGCACCTGGAGGGACCCGGGGGCTGTGCGCTGCGAGAGGCATCGGACTCATCGCTGATTTGAGCTAGTGGTCTGACGAGAGATATGCTGGACAACAGACATCAGCCACCTCTCATTTAGAAGTTCGTGATCCAGTTCAGTTCGAGTCAATCCACTGCACTGGGATCGGAGAGTACCTAAGGTACGTACCGACATAGGTACCTGCAGGTGGTATGTGTGTATGTACTTACAATACATTACAGTACGAGACTCGAGCGTTCGAGGTACGGCCGGAACGGAAGTGGCGCCGCTTACGTGCTGCTATGACCTTGGCTAGGCTCCCTTTCTATTGCCGCCCATCCTGACTGCCCAAAAACACCGCTGCTTCGCTTCTGAGCTATACCACAGCGTCAAAATGTCCTCATGCACCCCCAACAACAACCCTCCTGGAGCACCACCTGCTAATCCTCTAGCTATGCTCTCCCAGCCCGCCAAACGTCTCTACTGGACGCTCCAAGGCCCCCTCTCCACCGCCGTCACCGTCATGCCTCTAGACCTCAACCCCGACGCCCCACGCGAGGCCTACTTCCGCCAAACCCTCGCCGGCACCACCTGGCACCCCGTCTCCGAGTCTCCCATCACCGAACCGCCCGTCGCCTCCCTGGAAGTCAAGGAAACTAACCTGATGGACTGGCGCGACAGCTGGTGGACCGCGAACCAGGAGGGCCTCGACGAGACCGACGAACCGGAGGGGGAGCCGCCCGAGTTTAGGCCGCTGGTCGTGAGCGCATCGAACGGGGAGTTTGTGACGGTGCACGATTACGTGACGGCGGTGCATCCGTGGCTTATGGGGCAGAGGGAGCAGATTCTCAAGGCGAGGAACACGGCTGAAGATGACGACTACGAGCCTGAGGGGAACGAGAGGTTATTGCTACAGCTGAATCGGCCGGCGGAGATCAGTGTTGAGGAGGAGGACGAGTGGAAGGAGTCGCTGAGGTGGAGGTTTCGGAATGGGCGGACGTGAAGCGGGGTAGTGACCAGAATCTAGTCATTGAATCTGTGTCCATTCTTCTACGAGTTATCTCCCTCTCCGCCTTTGCCTTTGTTGTTTATATCCTGATGTCACGAACCAATCATATACTGCGGCCTGGTGTGGGTCAGGGATCTGCAAGGCACTCAATCGGATGTGAGATTGGGGCTCTCACGTTCAACATGCTTCGCGGATGGCTAGCTTACCTCCTATTTACGAAGGCAAGCCAGTAGGGTTATCATTATCTCGAATGTTCAGCACATACCTAGGTACATAGCGCCTACCTAATCAATGTCCCTTTGCGGCAATATGCATGGTGATAAAGCGTGATGGCCTTACCTCGAGCTTACTAAGTGAACAGCCGCGCGTGGGGTGAATGTTACATCTGACAGTACCGTACTTCTTTACGTGTAGTTTGCCAAAGTGACAAGACCCTGGCAGCCAAGCTGATTTCAGTCATCGCGAAACAAACACGATCACTAACGGCTATAGTAGGCATATATATAAGTATCGCGGAGATACTCGGTCAGTTGGAGAGGTTTGATATGCTCCCGGGCTGTGAAGTACTCTGCTGTACATTGATCTTTTCCAGTTTGCAGCAACTGCCAAGATGGTCCTAATGCAGGGAAACGACGGAGCTGCAGCCTTGGAGTAGACAGTCTGGTGCACTTGCAGGCTGCGGCGTAGCTTGATTCCTCTAAAGAGGCTGGGTTGAAGTCCAAAACCAACGATGAGAGGATTGACGGGGAGGAAGCAATTGTGTGAAAGCGAGCCGACCTTCAAGAGCGAGTCTATGGCTCCCCAAAGCCCTTCATCCCAACCATTAGATAAACCGTCCATATTTGATCCTTCCACGGGCTCTGATGCTTATCCATTCAAGGGATCTATGGCTTTGCGTTGTAAAATGGAAGGTCAGGGAATCAAAGGTGGTACATCAAGGTCCATGCCAGATCGTACTGTACCCATCTTCTAGGTATTGTCAGCGCTAAGCGAACGCACATTTGCTCGAATGTAAGGTAACGTTAGGGTATATTGCCGTAATCATTACTCGATACATACGCTCGGTACAGTGCCTGGTAAACTACACAAAGCTACGGATACAGCGCCCCGAGGTGAGAATTTAACAGAGAACCCACCGTGATGTGGGAATTAGGTACAGTACAGAATGTCCCTGTTGGCTGAGAGCGAAATATACATCATTTAGCGTCGAGGACCATCTACCGGGTCTCTCTGGGCTTCCATTCTGCCATCCAATTTACGCATTATTGCGGTTGGACAAACAAATTCCCGGGTAGATACAGCGATGCCAAGTTTGACGGATTGCAGGAAACATTGGACGAACGTGGCCTAGGCGCGCATGCCATCACCGCCATGCATTTCCAGGTTGGTAGGTCGCGCATTCTCATTTAGCGATTCCCGGTCTGCAAAGGAAAGGAGTAAGGCCCCTGTGCCTGGCCCCTGAGAGACCCCAGCAGTTCGAGGGCCCAGCCGCAAATGGACTCTGGGTGTTGGGTCCGCAGGGGCAGGGGCACGATGTGCCACCCTGGTCGCCAGGAACCATTTCAACCTGGAATTGCCTAGCCTGCTTGCAATGGGAGCCTTGGGTGGAGTGAATTTCGGATTTTGTTGCTCTTCACTTCTGTTCCCCCGCTTGCTTCACTGCACCATCGCTGGCAAGAAGCAGCAGCAGCAGCGTGAGTTCGTCTCCGATCGTCTTCAATACCGACCTGCAATCGTTACTGGTCCCTAGCGACGACACACGCGCGCTCCATCTGATCCGTGTCGCCTTGGCCTCGGAGAGCAGAAACAACCTGGTCGCTTATTACGATACAGTACGATGTTTCATTCGAGTCCACATCCTTGACAGGAGGCCGTTTGCCGACGTTGACGTGCGCGGCCATTCTGGCCTTTTCTATCTCGACTCCGTCGCCGACTAGGCCCTGGCTTGTTTATGATTCTCTCTGCCACCACAGTACCTCCCGCTCCTAATTCTGCGGCCTCCCGGTGGACGCACAAAGATCGGGCCCACTGGGGAACTTCCCCTCCGCTGTACCACGGGTTCCTGTCGATCACCGCCGCCGTGATCCGCTGGCCAATGACTGCCGATCCCCCGAATTTCTAGATGCAGCCTTGAAGAATCTCTAATAATACCATGTCCCTGCCGCGATATCCGTCGTCACGCCTTTCCGATGTGCAGCTGCCCATTGTGCTGGTCCCCGATGTCGACGACGGGAAGATGGTCTCCGACCTGGAACCCGAGTTGGAGAACCGGAAGGAAACACCAAGGGTCTTAGAGAAAGAGCAGTCCCCGCCGGCGCCTGAGCACCCGATTCCGTCTATGCAAGAAGCTTTTGCTGAATCCTTGACCGAGGCCACGCATGGAGATGCCGCGGCAAAACCAAAACTACGCTCAGGGGATGCCAAGGCAAGACGGGAGGAACTTCTCGACCAGGAAAAATCGGAGCCGCCCCCGACTGCCCTGTGGCGTCGCCGCCCGGGACAGAAAACGCATGAGCTTTGTAGGCTCATGGCCCAGATATCGTTTGGCGTTTATCTGCTGCTAAACGGCATGGCCAACAGCCAGATCTTGGTCGTCTCTATCCTGCAAGGGCACATAGACGAAGTAGACGAGTTTTTGGAGACAACGCTAGAAGACATGGAGCTCGCCATCAAGGACATGAAGGACCGGATTGAGCACCTGAGGCTCCCCATGGACAACATCGGCGTCTTTGAGCGCATGTTGGAAAATCGCGATTTTCGTCTGCAGATTCTTGAGGGCAACCAGAAGATCGAACACATCCTGGTTCGAACCCAAGTGGCACTTAAGCAGACCATGCAGGATCTCACCGAGGGTCTCACGGCAACCAGAGAGTTTACAATCTATCTCGCAGAGCAGCAGCATGGCCAATGGCGACGTGAGCGTCCGGATGTGATCGATATTTTTGATGCTATGAGGGGTAACACGGACGGGTGGTTCAAAGCGTTCATGGATTTGCAGGCCATGGGAAGTTCATTGAATGCTCTAATGGTCAAACTTGGCGATATCGTCTCGGAGATGGAACGGCGGGCAGGAGAAGTCAGCCGCAGGACTAGGGTATGCTATCCCGCCAAAATTTGTGATTGTTAGATTGTTGCTGACTTGGACAACAGTTTAGTGTCGAACCTTATACCTCTCCCGGGCATAGTCCTCGACTGTCGGACACGTCTGAAGTCGTGACCACTTCAAGTTCGCCCACAAAAACGGCAGCAAACTTACCTCGACGCTCCTCGATACGCCCAAGCACGATGAGCACAGTTGCTGCTTCTGAGGCGTCCTATTTTGACCTACCTTTTCATCTTGAAGAGCAGCCGGAGACGACGGGGGATCCGCCAGGCGATGCTGCGCAAGGAGAACCGGCAAGTCAGTCACCACGAAGGATGGTCATCACGCTTCCTTCATCACAGTCGCCGCCAGGGTCCCCGCCTCGGTCACCACCAGCTCGCAATCCGCGACGACTCTCCGAACGGCCAGCGGCACTGCTAGATGCGCCTAAACTCGAAACCCCCCAAGAGAACGTGGAGGAAAATGAGGAGAGCACCCTCTATATCCTCCAGCCACGAACCTATACACCTCAACCACCATCACCGCATCCTTCGCCTCGTATCCCTGATGAGCCGCCCAAACCAGAACCTGAAGATGACATACCACGACCTGAATCACCCGTCTTCTACGTGGAGGCCGCGGCTCAGCTGCAAGTCAAGCTGCAAGTCAACTTACCGAAGCCACAGGCCGAGCAGGTCTTGTCGAACCCCCAGGTTCACAGGCCAAGGGTGGTTGAAATTGGAGCGAGGACTGATCAGAAGCCCGTCCCGAAGCGAAGCCCTAGGCCAGATCTCCACCCGGCGTCTAGGTCGGACCCTGCCCAGGCGCCAGAGCTAGTAGTTGCTGCGGAACTGCATGATGCGCCGGAGGTACATGAGCCGCGGCGCACCTCTCTGCGAGATCGGATCTCGCTGAAAATGAATCCCCCAGAATCCATCCAGGTTCCGCCGCCTAACGCGTTGGGGCTGCAGCTGCCAATGCACCCCGCTCACCTAGGCTTTCAGGCTCCAGATTCAGCCTACGGTTCTGATATGGAGCGGCCACCCATAAACTCGTCCCTTCCCGACTTCACTCCGCCGTTTGCTCGCCCGGGCGTGCTCCCCTCACCGCATTCAGACCGGCAGTTCTTTCGGCCGGTACAGGCCAGCCCATACTCACCCCTTCAGCAGAGACCACACACGTCCGGAACTGCTGGGCCTCAGCACTTCCCTCCGCCTCCCCGAAAGACACCGTCGGCGATGGGAATGAGCATAATGAGCAACAGCACAACAATGAGTAATGCGACGGGCAAGACGCTGAAGAAGAAGCGCAGTGCGTTTGGGTGGCTGAAGAAGGCCTTTTCCCTCGACGAGGAAGAACGGGCAGTGTTTGAGCAAAGGAGAGCAGAACCCGTACCCACACCCTATTATGCCAGCGAAGGCCCCAAGTTCTTGGACGGCAAACGCATCCGGCCCCGTCCGGGTTATTAGGACTCGGCCCGGTGGCTTCGCCAGATCGCAAGGACAGATCTGGGACAGGTCACACCCGAGCATGGCTGGTTCTCTGGCCCGTGCCGGCGCTGATATGAAACTACCCAGATCGCCACCAATATCACTGCGTTCAGCCCAGCGGGGAACAAAATGTTTCCATATTTCGTTGCTTTTCTTTTCTCCTCCTTGAATTCGATACCCGGCGAATTATATCCTCGGACCCGAGAGTCACTATTCTCACATTGGTTATACTAAAGTGCCGGAAACATCAGGAATCTAGGCTTAAGCTGCCCGGCTGCTTCCTGTCTCTGCAGCTCCGCTGCCGTTTCTCGTTTCAGTCCCCAATAACATCTGTTTTTTTTTCTTTTTCTTAGACTACTTACTATACGGATTTCCGAGGGAAATGGGTACTGCATAGCGAGGTCAAGCGTTGGAGTTCATAGTATTGTACTCTATGAGGGTCTCATAGTGAAATAATGGACTAGAGTTACTACATAACACCTTTGGGTATATAGTACCCTCACCAACCTGACTCGGAAGTTGATGCCGACTCGGAACTCAACGAGAGCTCAAGTTGAATGGGACTCGAAGAGTCGAAGTCAAGTTCGATGTGGTTGCTTTGACTCCGCACTGTGGTGATTACCTAATACGTATATAATTCAACCCCAAATTCTGCAGTTTGCTCCGTTCCCCTTTTTCTTTCAACATCCCCTGTACTCTTTTCCACGGCTGCAATGTCACAACAAAAGGACCACCTCTCTGACCTCGACCGGCACGTGCACCTTCTTGAGAGCAAGGTAAATCAGTTGCGCGCGTCTCTGACTCACTGGCAGCAATGGTATCTCGAGTATTCAGCTTTGAAAGAAGAGGTCGAGCAATTGCCCAAAGACACGCCTCCACATGAGGGTCTCCGCCGCATTCGACGTGACTTTGACGGCAAACTGCTCACCAAGAAGGAAGTCAATGAGATCCTAGGGAAAAATGATCTCAGAGATCCCGAACACGTCCTCGGCGTCCTCTCGCGGCGCATGGACTACGTTGAGCAAAACATAAACTCGTTGACAAAACTTGTCGAGACTCAGGAAAATAAGCTCGCTGCTGCCAACGTTGTCGCGCAGCCGGACGCCGGCACCGACGAGGAGACTGGTTTGCCCCTCACGGACATCGTCGAAGAGCTGGACGAGAATGACAATGTTGTCAACTTCCGGCTTCAAAGCAGCGGAGACGTGCAGCCGAAGGTCGTCGAAGCTCTCAAGAAGGCAGGGATCAACGACATTCCCGAGACTGAGGCAGATCTGCCCCAAAGTCAGGAGACTCTTGCAATCAACGCAGACGAAGACCGTGTTGGGAATGACCAAGGCGTGGGTTCCGCCAAGGAAAGCCCCCCATACGTTGAACGCCCCAACGTCAAAAAGACGGTCTCCTTTGCCGAAGACACAAAGCCTGGCCATGACGCCTCCGAAACGCACAATTCGGGAGCGGCTCAGACCCTCGAGCGGTTGATGCAAAAGGCCAAGGAGCAGGAATCGATGGACATGTCCTCGGCAGTCATTCCGGATAACGAGTCACCAGAAGAAAGGCAGTTACGCCGTGATATGCTCGAGTATAGCATGTCAGAGATCGGCCCCGTTGTGGCCGAACTGCAACTGGAAGACAATTATTCGGACGATGACGACTCCGCTTGGGACGACTCAGACGCGGTCGGAGACGAGAATGAAGAAGACGATGACGATTCCGAGGATGAACTTGGTCGGTCCAAACGCAGTGTCATCACTCCGGACTACATCAAGCGCATGCAGGAGCTTGAGAAGCGTATGGGGGTCCAGTCCGCCTTTACGGTCGGCCGTTCGGAGACACAGCCAAAGAAGGCTGACCAAGGCATCGGGCGAATAGCAATAGTGGGAAATTCCAGCTCGCCTGATGCCCCTCCGACGGCTGCGCCGCGGCAGAAAAAGAGCGTTAGCTTCGCATCGAAGCTAGATATCGCCCCCGATCTTGTCTCCCAGCCTACCCCAAGTGAGGCGCTGAAAAAGACACAACAGGAGGAGTTTTTCGGGGATGTTGTGGAGAAGATCACAGAGGAGGAGTTGCCAGAGGTGCCTGAGGAACCGCCCAAGCGGGTGTCGAGGTTCAAAAAAGAGCGTGCTGGAAGTTCACCTTTGCCCGCGCCTGCAACACCGTACCTTCCTGGTCCGCCCCAGCTTCGCACTGGTCTAGTGCAGACCATCCCCGCTCCTCCGCCCGAGCCTACACCACCAGAGGACCTAACCTTGGCACCGACTGTCGTGGAGCGACCTGCCGCCTCAGAAGCGGCAGAGCCCGACGAAATGGACGATGTGCTTGTCTATGAAGCAGCAGCAGTTGAGTACAACCGCTTGCGAAACAAGATGATCCAGAAGCAAGGCGGCTTTCTGCAGGACGAGGCTCAGGCAGATGAACTCGGACGCGTCCCTCTTGATGAGGAATTAGGCGGGCCGAAGCGGATGAGCAAGTTCAAAGCGGCTCGGTTGGCCAAGCTGCAATGATCATGTCGACAGGAAAGACTCTCTTTACAGCTAAGCGGGCTTCACATAGTCGATGGCAATCGAACTATACAATATCCCGTGTCTTTCTTTCCCGATTGTGTGGTCGATTGCGGTCTCGCTTTCCGACCTGTTTTCCCTTTTCGTTCTCTCTATCTTGACTAATCGCACGCAGCGTCATCAAATCCACTTTGACAAACGGAACGCTCAATATCTGACAATTGATGGTTTGCAGCTCTCCGTCTGCATTCGCATTACTGGCGATTCCAAGAACAAGCTGATGGGCTCTCTGACGCCTCGACCCTTGGCAAATTACCCCGTGGTCCCGGCGATTCGTTTCACCCCTCACATTCCATTCCATTTGTAGACGTAGCAGCAATAGAGATGCGTATCGTGGGATATTTATTTGATTTCTCGTTTATCATGGTGCCTTGTCCATGTGCGCCCACCTGCCGTTCCCCAAATTTTTGACATTTAAGAGCAATTCCCAGTACACCTGCAGCACCGTTATGCCATGGATAATAATGATTCAAATAGCCTTGTTTCCGCCGTTTCTCCGATTGTCCCTCCCCAACCAGAAAGTCTCAGTTAGTTAATCTTGGCCTTGCTGAAATCCATCTCGGGGTGCTGCTCCTGGAACTTCTTCAGTATGTCCAGCTTCTTCTGCTCGTCGCTCGTCGGCAGGCCCATTTCCTTCTGCCGCTGGTCGTACATCATCTTCTCCACCATGCTCCGCGTCTCCCCGTCCAGGTCCGAGAGCTTGCTGTTTTCAGGCACGATCTTGGTCACGTCGATTTTGGGCGCCGTCGTCACCACGTGCGGCCACCACTCCATCTTGTTGATCTTGTCCAGGTGGATCTCGATCTGCTTGGTGTCGGCCGAGGGCGTGGTCGTCAGCGTCCAGGTGCTGTCGTCGGGCCGGATCGCGTGCGCCAGCGTGCCCTCGAGGATGGGCGGCTGGCCTTTGATGCCAGCAGAGATGGTTGTTTTGGTGAAGGTGACGGCTAGGTCTTTCCCCTTGATGTTTCCTGGAACGGGGATGGTAATGTCAAGGTCGCCGATGGTCTGCGTCCATCTGTACGGCAGGGCATCTTGCTCGGCTTTTTCCTTCGCGCGTGCCGCGGCCTCTTCGGCGGGGGTTGGCTCTGCTGGGTATTAATTAGTATTAGCGGGTGCCGGGGAACTGAGATGTCTATGGGTGGGTTTGGTGAGATGGGCATGAGGTTGGAAGATGCGCACCTTTGTCAGTCATTCTGACGGTGTATCTCGACGCCTTATTGTCTGGTGTGCAGAAAGAAGTATTTTAACCGGTTGAAGACCAGATGCCGTAATTGGACGTTTTTGTCTACATAATTCTGTCGAAATTCATGGAAGGTGAGCTAGGTACAAGCACCGTATGTACAGTTCACCCCTTGGTTGTTTGTTAGCGCAGGACTTTCGACAAGGGTCCATGTCCATGTCCAGAAATCAGCGAAATGCTTCTCAGCAGCCAAAACGATTGATTCAATGCAAGAAAAAAAAAGTATCTAGCATTACTCAGGGAGACTATTTTCTTCAGAACCCTTCTTACGTGGAAAATCTGGCCGTTTTGATGTTGAGATTGAAATCTTAGCGTTGACCCTGGTCTTAAAGTCAGGCGCTAACGAACAATAAAGTTGGGGACTATACGCGGAAGCTTCTGGTGGGGCAATACTTCTTCACCCCGCATTTGCGCATTCATCGCGATTCGCGCACCACAGGAAGCACACTTTCGCATTGACAAGAAAACCGTTGATTGATTTGTCATATACCGAGGCAGGGTCGCATCAGGCGATTCTTGATGTTATTGTACATACAGACATCCGTGATCTACCTGCCGGCCTTTCCTTCAAGTGCCAATGTAAACTGAGTAACTGTGAAACGGAATCAAGAAACGGACGATAAACGGTTGTCTGCGTGGCTCAAGCGCCTCTGGGCGGCATAGACACCCGCCAAATCTCCGAGCTTGCCTTAGTCAAAGTGACAGCAGGACGTGGCCATGGAGGAGGCCAGCTCCTCGCTCGAGCCTGTTGTACAGGTGAAGTCAGAGGGTCCAGAGACGTTGTTCTAAATATATATATGTCTGTTGTAGTGAATCGAACATGCGACCTGAGGAGGGAGTGCCGCCTACTACTGTTCACTTCGCCACTTCTACCCGTGGGGGGCTGGAAGTAGGAAGGGGAATTTGAATTATATGCTCAATGCCGCCCGCCGCCAGTAGGCGAGGATGGGGTGGGAGTCGGGACAGGGCACGAGCCTCAAGGGTCGCCGTGTGGCCGGACGCGGTTGGGGGTTCGTTGAGCATGTGGATTTTTTGGTGTTTACATGCACATACAATTCGACCACATCAAGGTTCATGATACACAAGAGCGTCAAATGGCTCTTTTACCGTATACTATTTTGCGGTCCCTATAAGTTATATATGTACCCTGTTTCCTCCCTGCACAGAAGTCATGGTACATCGCCGCCTAGACTGTGCTCAACCTCCATAGCTTGCCCTAGTCAAAGTGACGCTTCTCAACGGCCGCGTCGGCTTGCTTTTCGAAAAACACGATCCAGTCGCGCAGCACGCGGATCATGTCTCGGGCCTCTCTGTATGACAGGTCCTGGACTGGGACAGCGGCCAGCAGGTCGTGGAGGCCGACGTTCAACTCCATCGCCGCGGGCGTTTGAATGTCGACCTCGTTGGTGGGGGCGGCCTGGGCACCAGAGCCGAGCGAATCGTCTTTGAAAAGTGAAATGACCTGGTCAGTAGAAGCTCGCGATGAACCGCCACATTGACGACTTACCACCGGCCTGCGCGGCCTCGTGGCGGAGGCTGCAATGCGCTCCGCGACTGTCAGAATGACAATTGGCGCAAGCGCCACGTCCAGCCACGTCTGACACGACGCAAGATGCGAAGGGTCGCAGGTTCTTTGCGCACCGGTCGCATTTCTTTTCGGAAATCTTGCCGGTCATAAAGATGAGGGCAGCTTCAACCCGGCTGGCACGGTGCCAGTCGGGGGTATAGTAGAGGTCGTCCTTCCCTTTGGCCAGACGGACCGGGCGAAGAATCTGCGAAAATGATCAGTATTCGGATCCCAAAAAATACAGTTTTGGAGCTCGTACAGGCTCCTGAACGAGCTTCGTCACATTGCCATTGTCGATTTTGCCAGTGACGAACTGGGTAATGAAAGTTTGCGCCGGAATCCGGCCTTGGGCATCGTGAGCCATATACTAAGTGGCCCACGGGATGCTGACTGGAATGGCTGCCATTTTGACGAAACGACTGTCAGCGGCTGCAAATCGAAGTGGAAGTGGGAGAAGTGGAAGCGCTGATGAAATGGGAAGAGGTAAAGGGAAGAAACGAGGGCAGAGGAGAAATACCTTTGTTATGTGATTGTCAATTGGCGGATTGCTCAATGTTCGTTGTAGCGAGGCGCAGACTCGTGTACGTGAATATTGTCGTGGCGGTAAGAGAAAGTGTGGCGTTCTGGAAGCAGAATCGGTTACGTGAATATTTTTGTGGTGGAGAGGAGAAAGTGTGGCGCCCTGTGGCGGTTGGGGGGAATTTATACAACAATCGGGTGTTCGCACTGTTCAAATACACAATGTGGACTAGGTTTCACATAGCCACTCCCCAACTGCAGCAGGTCAGCCACATGCGGCATTGCACTTTCAACTCACAGTCTCACACCCATTATTAACTTCATCATTTCAAAGCAGCTTGACTTATTCAGCACATGCACACGCCTCAGTCTAGATAGATAACCACCACTCACCTCCAACTCAAACAATCAAACCAAATCCTCTCCAACCCTTGGTAAACCATGTCGCGCAAAGCGACGGCAGGGCCCTCGGCCCTCCCCGAGCTGACGTCGGACGACATGTGTCCCGTCTGCAAAACAATCCGCTACCTCAACAAGGACATGGAATTCCTCATCAACCCAGAATGCTACCACTCCATGTGCGTGAACTGCGTGAACCGCCTGTTCAACGACGGGCCCAACCAGTGTCCCTATGCAGGTTGCCACCGGACACTACGACGAAAAGGGTTCCGATCCGCCTTCTTCGGCGACCTGGCCGTGGAGCGCGAGGTCGACATACGGCGGCGCGTCGCGGCCGTCTTCAACCAGGTCGAGGACGACTTCGAAACATTACGCGACTACAACGACTATCTACAAATGGTCGAAGACCTCACCTTCGATCTAGTCAACGGCTCCGAGGCGAAGCGGCGCGAGGCCGAGGCCACACTCCAACGTTGGGAGGCCGAGCACCGCGCCGACATTGAGCGCAACCGGCGGGCGGGACGCGAGGCCGACGAGCAGTCACGCCGGCGGCTGGCCGCAGAGCGCGAGGCTGCCCGCCAGCGCCGCGTAGAGGCCCTGCGCGAGGCCGAGGAGGAGCGGCGCGAGCGGGAGCGCAGCCGCGAGATGGAGCTCGACAGCCTCGCCCAGGGCGACGCAGCCGCCGCCACGGGCGCGCAGCACCAGCAGCGCGTGCAGCTCAAGAAGAGGGGCCAGGCGAACCGCGCGTTGGAGGCGGCGACGATGACGACGACCGCGGCGGGGACGCCGGCGGCCGCGGATGTGGGTAGGCTGTCGATCCGCGGGCTCAAGGAAAAGAAGAAGGCGCCTGCCGCGTCCGAGGGGCCCTACGATCCGTTTGGCGGCATGGATTTCGTCCCCAGCAGGTACAAGATACGCCCTGGCCTTACGCACCCGGCCATCGACAAGTACCGCCACGATCCGGCCCACATTACGGGCGGGTATAGCTTTGACGAGTACATCGACCGGGTCATGTTTGAGGCGTTTGCTGGGCTGGGAGTTTTCATTGAGGATGAGAAGGAGGCGGGTATTGGGCTCTCTGCCGGGGAGGTGGCCACCATTAGTGCTGGGATCGCCGCTGTGGGCGACAAGATGGAGCTCGACTGAAGTCGGGGAATTTTCGATCAATTTTATCCTCATATCTGTCATTGTATGCATAGCGTCGGCGTTCACGGGGGAGATCACACAACGGAAAAGGGACAATATGGGTCTGGTTTACCGGTATATAGCCATCACTTGGCGGGCGAATAATGAAAGGGCAAGAGATGAACTTTATTCACCCTGAGACTACGCTTGCCAGAACATCGTGATCTGCCAGTATTCCCTGAGTCTAGATGCCATGAATCCCGCTTACTGGAGCTGATGCCTGGAGAGGTCTTGCTTGACTGACAAGCCCTCCGCTTACTCGTCAATACCCCATCTCAAGAAATGGAATGCTCCAGAGTCCGGCCGTCTCAGCAAGAAATGGCGACCGCCCGAGAAAGAAAGCAGCCAACCCAGTTGAACGCCGTGCTAAATGCTCCGCCAAGCGAATGGATAAGGAACCCTTGAATCCCGGCTCTGCGTGTTTCTGACTAGCAATTAAAGTAGCTCCACCACCCATGGCGTATGAAACTTGGAGAATAGGTAGAAGTAGAATCAACATGAATGAATTAACCGGCCTGACAAACCCAGGCAGCATAAAGATCTCTCTCACTGCTGCCAAGGGCTCTGCTGGGCCGGCCGCGGGAACACGGGAATAGTCTCAAGCTGGTCCAGCCCACCGCCTATCGGCTGCTGGTTATGCTGCCAGCCTTGGCCGGTGGTATGGTTCACGAACGCGCCCTGTCGGAATGGGTTGGTGCTGCCGGTGGGCTGAGATAGGATGCCGCCGGCCGTGACAGGGCGTTGCTGTTGGGTCGGCTGGGCCGGTTGCGAGGGCCCAAAGCTTTTCGCAAACGGGTTGGTCCCGGTCTGCAGCGGCTGCATGGGCGACTGCGTGGGTGTTGCAGCCGGCTGCTGGGGCGTCTGGGACTGGAACGGCGAGTTCGAGGCGGGGGCCGCAAAGGGCTGCGTCGTCTGTGGGGATGAGCGGGCAAAGGGGTTGGTCGATTGACTCGTTGCGGGCCTTTGCTGAGTGTTTGTTGGGCCAGGAGCAGGTGCAAAAGGGGTGCCCGTCTGTTGGTTCATGAGCATGGATTGGCGGAATGGGTTGGTGCTCTGCTGTGGCGCTTGGAGACCCTGGGAAGCAGGCGTGGCAGTGCTCTGAAAGCTCGCGACAGAGTCCTGTGGTATCGGAGAGAGCGAGCTTGGCTGAAAGCTAGGCTGAGTTTGGGGCTGAGGAGAGAAGCCCCCAAAGCCAGCGCCCGTGAAGGCAGGCTGTATTTGAGGTGCTTGCTGAGATGGAGAAAATAAGGGCTGGGTCTGTTGCTGGAAGGTGGCATTGGTCTGGAATCCAGTAGGTTGAGCAATAAGGCTGTTTAGTTGGACCTGGGCCGTCGGCTGCGGTTGAAAAGGCGCCGGGCCCCATGGGGACATGCCCATTTGCATCTGCGTCTGCAGTCCGGGCTGCGGTTGTGGTTGTGATTGTGGTTGCGGCTGTGTAGCCATGGCAGTTTGGTTCTGCTCGATGGACTCGAAGAAGTCGATGAGGTCGGTATCTGGCCCCTTCGCGGGTGTCGGCTTCGTGGGCTGTACTGGTTGGGGTCCGTTCGACTTGGTGCTGGATGAGTTCTTCGCGGACTCGAGCCTGGCCGATTTGGAAGCCCCTGATGATCCACCTTTAGACTTCTTCACTTCCAGCTCAGCCAGATATTGCCTCCGGTGTATCTCAAAGTCGGGATCCTTCAGGTACTCCTCCAGCTGGCGCGCCAGATTTACCGGTGCATGCTTTAGTTTGGGGATCTCCACCCTCGTGTGGTGTTCGTATTGCCTAGCGATACTGAGGTACTGTACCACAAAATCAGTCTGCCTCGCAAACTTGCGATAGATGTCCAGGGCCCTCTCGGCATCCGTTTTGGAGTATTCAAAGAAGTGGCCTGTCGTTCTGGTTAGTCGGTAGGAAGGGCTGTGACGACCTCGCAGCAGATCTCACCTAACACATTGATCATGGCCTGATTCAAGACCTGGAACAAGGCCAGGAGATCGAGGACCAATAGCCTAAAGACCGTAATCGTGATCTCGTTTTCTGGCTCATTTTCCATAACCTGCATGCAACGTGAGCACAGGCCGCCCAACTTTCAAGCCAGCTGCCGGTAGGAATACTGACATCACACTCGAGGAGCGCGGTGAGCTGATGCTGGACTATCTCTGTCTCGCGCAGCAACCCCTTCTCCACAGAGAGCTTTTCCAACCGGGACTCCTTGGCTCGAACCCAGTCAATCTTTGTTTCCCGGAAGGCACGCGCTCGTTCGGAGAGGTAGTTCGAGTAGTGACGGATGTTCCGGCCTTGCGTTTGGGCTGCATACCGGAGGATTAGCTGCGTGCAGCATGGCAAGAAGGCCAACAAGGGGCCAGCGGATATGTTTATGACGAACCATCCGAGAACATGCTCACTGCCAGCATGTTCCTGTGCTTCGCAAGGTAGGCTAACGTCACATCTGGCGATCCTTCTCGGATCATCAAGTGGACTGTGATCAAGCTCTTGAGGACTATGGTCCATGTCGAGTCACGAAGCCGATACTGCAGCGCCCGGAACACCTCTCCCACGCCCGCCTCGCCCGAGTGTGTCGCAACCAGGATGTGCTCGATGTACTTTGTCTTGGGGGGTGCGGCCTGAAAGCAGCGACACCGGTTAGCAACCGCATCCCTCAGCATGGCTTCCAAGATCCAAGAACAGGGAGGACGTGGAAGGCGGACCTTGATCTTGGTCGCGCCCTTGACGGATTTCTCGAAGGAGCTCGCCATGGCTACCGAGTTATCGTCAAGCAACTCCGGGCGCAGTTCGCTATTCCACCGCTATACCGTCGCCTAGCGAAAGAGTTAAGTTCTCAGGCTTCAACACTTGGCTTTGCCGATGGATACGCTCCTTCTTCCTCGCCGGAATGATGAAGAATTACACGGGCTTGCGCCGGGGGAGGTGGGGAGGAGCCGTCTCCTCGTGAGGTCCCAGTCGGGCTGCGGGAGGCGTCAATCTTGGCGTTTGGCAGCTGGGCCAGTTGTGGTTGTGTTGCTCTGATGGAGGGCACAAAAGCAGCAGGTGCCGGTGTTTGGCAGACGGCGCGCCCGGCTCGTCCAAACCCATGTCTACACTAAACGGGATTGCCGGGGTATTAAGGTACGTCTTGGCATTCAAGGACAGGGGTTTAAGCACCAAATCAACGGCCTGTTTCATCAAGCTTTCAGCAGATAAGCGCGTTTCCGGCCAAATCCCAAGAGGCGAACATGATGATTATGTACACACGTTTTGCATTCAAAGCCTCAAGTTTACTTGATGGTGTTGGCTTTCCCTATCTTGAATTGGCCTGCTTCGGTGAGCGACTGATATAGAGGAAGAACAAGGGATACAGCGGATCCGCGCCCTATCACCGCCAGAAATCGAGCCTGAGCTGAAAGAACAAAACGATAGCTAGATACAGTGATGTAGCACGACAGTCGCATCACGAAGGCGTCGCTGGCTGCTTAGTAAGGCGAGCCTGCGCAGCTTCAATATCTAAAGCAAAATAGCCTCCACTTGGATACTGCTTCAATCAGGGTGCATCTTCGTGGTTCCCGTGGTCAACTGGTCAACTGCGATGATGCCCCATCAAGCCGGAGGGGAGACACGCCCACTTGGGCACCCGCAATGCCCTTCTTCCATTCAGATTAATCAGAGATGCCGTCATCGCGTCCGATGAGTAACAAGGTCGGTGTGCCGAACGCTGATATCACAATTCCATCCTTCTATCACAGCCAAACCACTTGAGCCCACGAGGGGAGAGTTTGGAAGTTCCAAAAGGAGGAAGCTTCATCATAAAGAACACGCTGGCTTTCATCATCTGGGCCTAGTCAGCTTTGATGGTCTTGTAGAATGTTTATCGGATCGGTAGTACTCACTTTGTTTTGAATGGAAGGGATGGAGGGAAAAGGAAAAGAAGTCCAAAACTTTCCGCGAGTGCAGATTTTTGAGCTCCCGTCGCTGCGTTTGGGACCCACAGCGTGATCGGGCCACACATCAGCCGAGGAAAAGCGGGTCTTTCTCTGTGTAACTTAGTAAACTTACACCGTACGGAGTACGGTAGTACATTCTTCACTCATTGAATCGCGGCTTCCAGCAGCGAAGAGCCCGGCGACAAAATTGAATGGCATTGCCACGAGTCGCTCTGCGGCGCGCCTGTGGCCTCGGCCAGCGGGAATTGTTCTGTTGCAGATATGGTTTTCGTCCTCAACTCGTCCCTTTGAATGCTCTCCGGGGTCCTAGTCTCCGTTTCACACACAATACTACTGCTGAATCACGGGCCACTGAAACCACCGAAGACAATGGGCAGAGAACAGTTGGAAAGCAACTTCGCGAGGAATGGTCCAAGTACAGTATGTACCCTTTTAATAGGCATATTTCAATCTCAATATCTGAACACACGCTTACGCCGTTCTTAGACCATTTCCCTCGGGCCTCCCAACTAAGCGAGTTCCGTGAGGGACAAGAGGTCACAGTTCACGGCTTCCTGTACAGGAGACGAGTGAAACACTCAAAACTGGTATTCGCAGATATTCGACTTGACCATGGACCTCAGGTTCAAATCGTGTCGAGCTATCAAGAGGTCGATAGCCCAGGACACCTGGCGAACCAGGCGCTCAGAGCCATTCCCTTGAATAGCCCAGTTGCCGTGATGGGTACTGTTGCTCAGCTCCATGGGCATCCACAGCCGCCAGAACAATCAGAGCAGTCTTCTGTGCCCAGCAGCTCCCCTTCCCAAGTCTCCCGCGTCGAGCTCGCCCTCAAGACAATACAGCCCCTCAACGTCTTCCCCAGGGACATTATCGTCTCCGATGGGGTCCAATTCCCCCCGTCTTCGCGCCACTTGCAGATCCGCTTCGATGATGCCCTCCGCAGCCGTCTCCTTGCACGGCCTCGGATAGGGCTGCAACTAAGAAAGTCTCTTGACAGTCTTGGCTTTACAGAAGTCGAGACACCCATTCTTTTCAAGTCTACCCCTGAAGGCGCAAGAGAGTTTCTGGTCCCGACAAGGCGCCCTGGTCTGGCGTATGCCCTCCCACAGAGTCCTCAACAATACAAGCAGATCCTCATGTCGAGCGGGATTCGGGCATACTACCAGTTTGCTCGCTGTTTCCGGGACGAGGATCTGCGGGCTGACAGGCAGCCCGAGTTCACACAGGCATGGCGGTACCGACTCTACAGCTCTGTCTGCGGGTAATTCTGACCAACTCCTCATAGCTCGATATAGAGATGTCCTTTGCCACGGGTCAAGATGTCATGCGCACGGTTGAATCCGTAGTCTCTGACCTGATGACCTGGTTGGATGTACATTTCCGGGCAGTGAGGAGACATGGAGATGTTTACCTCGTGCCCAACGAGACCTTGGTATGCAGAGTTTCGCCGCCTCTGGGCTACCTAGTGTTTCTGCTGACTCCTCAAAGGACGCGGCAGATGCAGGAGACATCAGCGTCAGAAGACGTCCTGTGCACTCCCCGTTCACTCGCATTACGTACGAAGAGGCCATGACGCGGTTCGGCATTGACAAGCCTGATGTGCGGATTCCGTTCGAGGTACGACACCGTGATGACTTTGCGGTGACTCAACTAACCATCGCAGCTTCATCGGGTTGACCATGCCCTGCCTCGGTCGTTTGTTTCCATGATTACCCATCTCGACAACCCAGTGGTAGAAGCATTCAGGTTCCGTCCTACTTCAAATGAAGATGCCCACTTGAGCGACACCTCGGAATTCGTCGACAAATTCATGAAGAACCTACCTTCTCCCCTGGCTAAGAATCCAGACGGGGCACCCGTTGCCTTGGTTGTCAACTCGAAGAAGCCGCTCCGTGGCCTCTCACCCCTCGGTTATGATGGTGTTGCACGCTTAGAGAGCGGGGAGCCCGGCCTAGAAGAATTTGCGGACTTGGAGGACGGAGACGTCCTCTTCTTCCAAGCCCGCGAAGACAAGCCGTTCCAAGGCGGCTCGACTGCATTCGGCACACTTCGGAACCTATTGTATCAAGCAGCCGTGTCCGCTGGTCTTCTCCCGCATGATCCCAGCTTCAACTTCCTCTGGGTGACCGATTTCCCCATGTTCACCCCCGAGAACGAGACGGATCCCGGTCAAGGCGGCACGGCAGGCTTTTCGGCAACCCATCACCCGTTTACCGCGCCGCTGACGGACGATGATGTTGAGATGCTCGCAACGGACCCGCTGAAGGCGAGAGCTGATCACTACGACCTTGTCGTGAACGGTGTCGAGCTGGGTGGCGGCAGCCGGCGTATCCATGTGGCCAAGCTGCAGGAGTACGTCATGAGAGACATCCTCAAGATGACCGACAAGGGTGTAGGGCAATTCTCGCACCTGCTTGAGGCTCTGCGTGCTGGCTGCCCGCCCCATGCCGGCTTTGCCCTAGGCTTTGACCGCCTAGTCGCGCTCCTCACGTATACGGATTCGGTCCGCGACGTTATTGCGTTCCCCAAGTCCATGAAAGGCGAAGACCTCTCTGTCAAGAGCCCCGGGAAATTGACCAGCGAGCAGCTCGAGACTTACCATCTTTCTTTTACCCCCAAGAAATCATGATGGTTTCCTGGAAGAACTGCCGTGGGCAGGCCCCGCTATGTACCAATACTCTGTACAAAAAGACTCGTGGTATGTCACCACTCCAAAATTCCATACTCCGTGCCATGGCGACTGCATAGAAAAGAGTTAGAAGGCATTTCGCGTCCTGTTTATACCATGTACTTTTGAAGTGTCAATCTCAATTATTATTCTTGATCTGTCTGACTCGACAACCTAGTGCTGCTTGTCCAATATTAAGATCTACTTTTCAGACAAAGGAAACCGAAGAATCTCAAAAACCAGAGGCAGAAAAGAGAGACTAAGACCAAGAATCAAAACATCCCAAAAGCAACAGCCACGGCAGCAAGGGCCGCCGCCATGACCTCGACCTTCTTCAGGGCCTCGCCATTCCGGCTAGCCGCTGCGCTGGGCGTGATCTGGGCGGGCTTGAAGGTCTTGGTGGGCTGGACGGGCTGGACGGGCTGGGTAGGCTGGACCGGAGCTGTCGTTACCGCAGCTGCAGCGCCGCGAGTCCTGCCAGCACCCGAGTACTGGGACCTGTAAGACCGAGCCACGCTGATGGCCTTCGAGTAGTCCTGTCTCCAAGCCTCGTCATCATCACTGCTGCTGCCACCATCACTGCCACCATCCCCACTGCCACCACCACCACCACCACCACTACCCCCGCCGCTGCCGCCGCCGCCACCACCACCACCGCTACCACCACCGCTGGGAGGCGGAGTCGCAACCGAGACCACCACCTCTGCCGGGGAACTGACCACAACAGTCGCGATGACCGTCTCCAATGTCCGGACCAGAGAGTTGATCAGGTCTGGAATTCCGTCGACATCTCGGGCCTTGACACGCCGATCACCGCCGAAGCCGCCAAAGCCACCACCCCCAAAGCCGTTGCCGCCACCCCCGAAGCCGTTACCACCGCCGCCGAATCCGCCATTTCCTCCACCGAAGCCCCCGTTGCCTCCGCCAAAGCTGCTTCCACCACCGAAACGGTTCTGGGGGCCCGGGCCGCCGAATCCGTTCCCACCACCGAATCCGCTGCCACCACCGAACTTGCCGCCGCCAAATCCATTACCCTTACCAAAACCACCACCGCCAAATCCATTGCCCTTGCCGCCACCGAAGCCGCCACCGCCGCCGAGGAAGGACGGCTTCTCATCTTCTTCTTCCCCGGATCCACCCAGTCCTGGTATTCCGCCGCCCGCGCCGCCACCTGGTGCCGCTCCACCACCTCCGGGTGCTACCGGTGAGCCACCAGCGCCGGGTCTTACCACGCCGCCGCCGGCAGGTGCTCCAGCTCCAGCTCCAGCTCCTCCAGCTCCCGGAGCACCACTAGGCGCCGCTCCCGGAGACTGGGAAGAAGACGACGCAGCCTCGGCCGCAGACTTGGAAGACTCCGAGGCAGCCTTGGACGACGACTCGGCGGCCTTTTGGCTCCACTCCTGCAGCTGGCTGCTCAAACCGGGAAACCCGGCGCCACCGGCCCACTGCCGGGGGCTGAGGCGCGGGGGTGGGGTGATCATGGACTCTTGGGGTTGCGTTTCGGACGGGGTCTGGGCGGTGCCGGTGCTGACGGCGCCAGAGTCTGCCGGGGCGCTGGGGCTGGTGCTGCTGCGCTCCTGTTGCACGTCGACCGGCGAGACCGGGACTTGGACGAAGTCTTGATCGCTGTCGTTGTTGTTGGGGCCGCCCTTCTTCTTCTTGCCCTTGCCGCCGAACCCGCCAAAGAACCCGCCGCCGCCTTTGCCCTCTTTGCCTTTGCCGGCCTTGAACCCGCCTGCAACCTCCATGGCCTTGTTGCGTGCCTTTTCCCAGTCGGCCAGGTCCTCCTCCTCCCCTCCTTGGCTTGGCGGGGGAGCAGAGCTAGGCGCCGGGGTTTGGGTCGAGGCCGGTGCTGAGCTCGGGCTGGCGCTGCTGCGGCCGCTGGTGGCTGCGCTGCTGCCGCGAGCGCGGCCCTCGTCGCGTGACTTTGCCCCGCTCGCCTTGGCCTCGCGGGCAATGGAGATACCCTTGTCGCGGAGCGCTTCCCAGTCGGCGCCCTGTCGGGCAATGAGACGGACTGGCTCAGTGGTTGTTGGCTCGGTGGTGGCCACCGGGGTGGTATCCGGGACTGGGGGCAACATGGGAGGAATAAAGGGGAAGGAGAGGCGGGGAGTCATAGTGCCGGTTTTTCTTGGGAGCTGTTAGACCTTGCCGGGATAGAGTGGGTGGGTGGTTAGGGACATACATGATCGTTCTGGTCACTATGATAGTGGTTGATGCCGGCTCTTCATACTCCTGGCAGGAACCAAGCGACAGCAGGCTCGCCTGGATGAAGAGGAAGATTGTTGTAGGATGCATGGTGAGAGTGGACGAAAGGACTTGGTTTAGTGAGAGTGTATGACTCGCCGTGAAACAAAGTCGTTCCTCGAACACAGTCGGTGAAGAGTTGATGTCTGCCAGAGGGCTCTGGGAGCATCGGCTCACCATAAATACCCATCCTGCTGAGATTCGAGTCCTAAGGGGCTAGGGTTTGTTTGTTGCTATGAGATAATAAGTGGTGCGGTGACCTATACTGGCCGTTTTGGTACGATAAGTAGCGTCTTAGCGCTTGCCACCGCCGGCCTCTAGGAGCAGTCCGCTCACAACTACTATGAACTAGCCCAGGGGTTTCAGTGTGTCTGTGAGAACGTCCGTGGTCAACCTTGCCAGTGAAGTGAAATCATTCTAGCTTTGGAAGAGTTATCAAGGAGTGCGAGAGTCATGTTTACCAACAAAACAACACCAAAGCCGGCGAATACAAGGTCTGAGGACTCACTAGACACAACCAGGCTCTTGTCAGAAGACCTGACGCGCTGCCATTTTGAGACTCGCCAATGGTGCGTCACTCGAAATGTGTTTCCTGGTTGCTAGTCCCGGGGAAAGATGTCCGAAGGGACATTGTATACGTCCAGGAGCAGCGGATCTGGTTCTGCCCACTGTCGTCGTCACCGCGCCGTGACACGGTGCTCCATCAGGTTTGGATATGCAAGTGAGAGTGATCGGGAGGAATGGCTGTTGTCCATTAAAAAAGGCAGGGAACCCTCGATGCATCGAAAGCGACATGAATAGTAGGTGGTGGCTTCCTGCTTCACTTCCGAGTTGCTTCTGATGATCTTATCAAAATCCTCTTCTACGCTCCTTCCTGAAGTAGTGATGTTTGCAGCAAGCAGGTAGCTGCTTCTATGACAAGACGTTCGAGAAGCTTTATCTCACTCGAAGGACTGCAGTATTGATACCCTCTGACTCTGCACGATTACAGGCAATGCCAACAACAATAACAGCGTAAATATCAAAAGTAAAAGAATCAGAACGGAGAGGCAAAAGAAGAAGAGAAGATGATAGAGATTGACTCGGCGGGCATAACTGTGGAGAAGTAAGTGCGCTTCATGACCGCCTTGCCCAACCGAGTCCATCACCAGAGACTCGTCATTCGTCAGGATCTCTACGCCCTCAATCTGGAAGATGCTGCTGAGCAGGGGGGAGCTCAGAGGAGGGTACTACTTTGCTAACCAGAGATCGCGTAGCAGACTCGTTAACTGGCCTTCTCCTTGCTCTCAACAGCCTGAACCTCAGGCACAGGATCCTCCCCTGCCACGCCCTCAACTCACTCGGCCAAGCAGAGCAAACAATGACAAAAATTCCTACCTTGTTGGCTCTTACCGCTGCCATGATGACGATGCTCACCGGCAAAGCCTTCAGTATGCCAGCGCCAGCGCCGGGAGCAGAAAGAACCACATCATCCCCTGTCACCGCGCTCGCCACGCCAGCCGCCAGCAGCACCAGCATAAGCATAGACTTGGTCCGTCCCCGCGGGTACCTCGAGGATGAGGGGATTCTGGACGACATCGAGCGGCTGCTGGACATCATCGCCGAGCACGTCGAGCGGATGCGCCAAGCAGGCGGCATCACGACCAACAATGACATCGGCTACGGTGGCAACAACGACAACGGCGACAGGGTTAGCTACAATACCACGATTTACAACTCCAACACCACATCGGTCAATCACACTGAGTGCATCGGCCAGGGCGTGTGCAACCCCGTCCACGTCGACAGTCACGATTCCGGCGGTAAGATTGACGATAAGGATAAGGATAAAGCGAACGGCGAGGAGGAGGGAAAGACATGCGAGGAGAAGAGAAAGAAGAACCTGAGGATCAAAGAAATGGTGCCGGGGAGGGTGCCCGATGCTCAGGAAATTGTGCGCATTGCCAATCAGGCCGGTTTAGGTGGCCTGGAGCGTCATGGGTGAGAACATTTTGTAGGCAACAGAAAAGGGAATGAGTGTGCGTTGTGGCGAGATGAAGAGTTGTGTTTCGCTCCTGTAAATAGAGGTTTCCAGCAGAGTTTTTTGGTGTAGAAAGCGATAGACGATAGAATATTTGATGATGTCCCAATTCGGAAGTTTGTTTACAATCGTGGTGTTGGCCCCTGAATCTCCTGATTGGCGAAACAAACCCGCTGCACCCGATAGGCAAATCCTTTGTTAGCAGCTAGGTCAGTCTTCTCTGGAATTTCACCGAGTACTCACACAAGCCATGGTAGTACGAAAGCAGAAAAGCGAGGATACTTATGTGCATTCACACCCCTAGTCATCGAAATGGATAGGTTACCTATTGGGGCTATGGCACCTCTGCGAAGGGAAGGCCTGGCTTGGTGATTTGGAAAATCTACATTCCTTCAATTACTACTTTCTCGAGATGGAAATCAGCTAATAAAACCGACAATCCCATCCCCTCCCACCACCCCTTTCCCCCCACCCAAAAGAGCTCTGCAGAATCCTTACAAACCAAGAAGCAAGAACACAGAGGAAAGAAGCCAAAAAACATCCCCTTACAACAACTTCGTCGCCTTGACCGTTACGCCGTCCTTTGGCCGCAGCACAAGCCGCCACATCTTCCACTTCTCCGGGTCGGGGCTGTCGTGGTCGCGGCGGAAGTCGTACATGCTGAGCAGAGAGCAAAGAATAATCTTCATCTCGGTCTCGGCGAACTTGCGGCCGAGGCATCCCCGCGGGCCCTGCAAAAAGGTCATGAAGGCGTTGGAGACGGCGGTCGACGGGAGATTGTCCCAGCGGTCCGGATCAAACTCGTCGGCCGTGTCGCCCCAGTACGAGGGAAGCCGGTTGATGGTGTTTGCCAGGATGTAGACGACGGTGCCTGCAGGGATCTTGTAAGGGCCCAGCCGGTCCTCCTCGACCGACTCGCGCACCGTCATGGGGATAGGCGGGATAAAGCGCAGCGACTCGCGGCACACCTTGTCCAGATAGGGCAAATGGTCCGGGTCGGCTGTCGCAAGCTCGGCCTCGTTGTAGCGCCGGGCCGGGTCGAAGAGGAAGGGCATGTACTCGCGGATCTCGTCGCGCAGCCGCTTCTGCACGTCCCGGTGTGTTGTGAGTAGGTGGATCGTCCAGGCCACACCCGTCGCTGTGGTGTCGTGGCCCGCGCCGAGGAACGTCATGACCTGGTCGCGCATCGTCTTGAAGCTCAGGCCGGGCTCGCCCGCCTCCCGGAGCTTCTTGTTCTCCTTGGCGATGAGTCCCAAGATGTCCTTGGTCCGCGCGTTGTTTTCAGCGTCGTCAAGCTTCTCGGTGAGGATCTCGGTCGCCTTCTGGAGGATGATGTTCCGGGACTTGTTGATGTCGCGGTTCATCTGGGCTGGGATATGCTGGGATTGCGGGAAGAAGGCCTGGATGCCGTGGAGCACCCGCGAGACCAGGTCAAAGTTGAACACCAGACGGTACGCCTGGCGGATGGGCACTTCAGGATCCTCAAGCGAATGGATGTCGTAACCGAAGCCGGCCTTGCCGATGATGTCCAGTGTGCACCGGTTGAGCCATTCCAGGATCTCAAACGACCGGGTCGTCTCGTTGGCTCGCTCCATCTCCTGCCCCCACAGCTTGGCCATGGTGAGGGACCTTTCCCAGAAGATGGGCATGAGAGACCGGATGGCCGATATGGAGAATGCCGCTGAGAGGGGCTTCCGCTGGTTGGCGTGGTCTTGGCCCTCGGCCAGAAGGATTCCTTCGCCGAGAATGCGGACCATCCACAGCTTGGCGCGCAAGGGCTTGGGGTAGTTGTAGGGATTCTTGAGCGTCATTTGCTTGAGGCCCTCGTCGTCGGCTATCGAGAGCCTTTCCGAGCCAAAGGGGAAGAAATAGCGAATGATGGGGCCATGGTCCTTGTGCCACTGCCTCTGAGGCACGCCGCACTCCTCGGTAATGATGGAGAAGAAATGACCCCAGAGGGGGAAGCCAGGGACGGTGGGTACGTGTCGTAGCTCTGAGAAGTAGAAGGGGTGTAGCCAGCTCAACCAGACCACCGAGTAGAGAAAGACGGTGGTGGTCAAGGCTACCGCAAGGATTCGTGTTGTAGGTTCGTCCGTGATCTTCGCATAGCCAAAGGCAGCGGCTGTTGCTACCGCGAGGAGAGGGACGAGACGGATCTTGGAGGTCATCTCTGGAACGTTATCGCGCGCCTGCTGGGCCGGCGAGACTCTGTGAGAGAGAAGCCACGATGGTTGTACGGGGGAAACTGCTGTCTTCAGGGACAACAAATTCTATATAGTCAAATTCTATATAGTTAGGTGCCTTGCTAGATCGCTGGGTAAAGCACGGCCGGGTTTTGGTCACATGGCCGTCCGACCATGATGTAGATCAACAGCCCTTGTGGCCGTAGGACCCTTTTGTGAAGCAGCAGACTGACAAGACCAGCGTTTCCCCTGCGGTAGTCGGCCATCTCTGGCTTCCCTAGTGTCTGGCCGTGCGCGCTGCGTACCAAGGCCCGATCATTGTGCGGCCCGATAATAGTCGAAGTGTGGCCGATTTAGTGCTGCAGCCGGCTGCAGACATCAACCCATCACTAGAAGTTAGTTAATCGGAATCCGTGATCAGGACAAGTAGTACGTTAGGATTCAAAAGCCCAATTCGTAGACAGTTAGGACATGGAAAGAAGAGAGACCAAGTGTAAGCGGAGAGAAATGCCACGATTAGCCCATTGGATATTATTCCCTGTGCTTCGGGCCTTTATGAGCTGCAGCGCAGTATGACGAAACGGTATCTCGCCCTTGGAACTGAGGTGTTCGGGTCAGGTAGACAACGGTCGATGGGCCTGGTCGCAGACCCACCACCAGACTAAGAGGGAAAAGGGGGGTTGACTGCGGTAGAGCGCTCTGTGCACCGAGGCTCGTCCGTTCGCATAGCGCCAACACAACACAAAAAAAAGGACCAACATTTTGGGGCTAGATGTATCCAAGCTCTTTAGCCCTGAATTTACCTACCTGAACCTTGGCCCAACATTTTTGTTGTTAGCTAGCCCGGGCAAAGCGAGAGCGACGCTCGGTGACGGGTGTTGGGTGGTCAAGTGTAGCTCGTTCCCCTCCGCTGGCGCCGCCACTGTCTCGACTTTGTAAACAATGTCTGGTTGCGAGGGGATGGTGTTGCTCTGGAGTTGTCTGGCCCTTATCCGTGGAACGGACAGACTCAAAATGCCAGGTGAACTCGGTTAACCTCTGGTCTCCTGCGGGAACACCATTCCGCAGGACGTTTCCACCTCTTTTCAACTTCTTTTTCCCTGGTACATACACCTACGGCGACAGTAGCTAGGATGGCCGACAGGGAAAGCAGATACGCAGAGCAGCTCGGCCAGGAGAAGATGCCAGGTTCCTGGCATTTTCCTTGGGGCGTGGGCGAGAGAAAGCTGCGAGATTCTCCGGTTGAAAGCTGCAACTTCTCAACCGCGCAAACGCCGCCGAGCGAACCTTCGGCGGCAGCAGACCGGCTGCAAGAGCCGGCGACATCACCGGAGCCGGGGCCCGAGAGGGAGTCGGTTTCGGATGACGAGACAAGGTTCATCAAGGGGTTTCGCCTTGTCTGTCTGATGATTGGCTTGATGCTTGCCGTGTTCCTGATTTCCATCGACAGGACAATCATATCGACCGTGAGTCCAGATCCCCAACAGTTTTCTTGCATTGAGCTGCTGACAGACGAGTTCCAAAGGCCATTCCCTACATCACGCACCAATTCCAGTCAACCCCCGACATTGGGTGGTATGGATCGGCATATATGCTTACGGCGTGCGCCTTTCAGCCGCTGTTTGGCAAGATCTTCATGATCTTTTCCGTCAAGAAGGCGTATCTCGTAGCCATGTTCTTGTTCGAACTCGGCTCGCTGCTTTGCGGAGTTGCGCCAGACTCAACGACCTTGATTGTCGGGCGTGCCATTGCGGGCTTTGGCTGTGCGGGCATCACGACGGGCAGCTTTGTCGTGGTAGCAGCCGCTGTTCCGCTCCGGTTGCGGCCCATCTTTATGGCCGTGGTCGGTCTCATGTGAGGACCCCCCTTCCCGTTTCTCGGATCGGCTTGCGTTTTGCTAACTCGTTCCAGGTTCGGCGTCGGAGCGACAACTGGTCCTATCCTGGGCGGTGTTTTCACGGATCTTGCGGTAGGTAACCCGTTACAGCTGCTCAGTCTGTGGGATCTCGGCTAATGGCAGCAAAGACATGGCGATGGTGCTTTTACATCAACCTTCCGATCGGAGGGTTAGCAGTGGCAGCCATGATGCTCTTCTTCAACCCCAAAAAGAAGAAATGCGAGCGCCGAGGCTTCATGGAGCGCGTCATGGACCTCGACATCATTGGCAATATTCTCCTTCTCGGGGCGTGCATCATGATGTTCCTGGCGTTCGAAATGACGACGCAAGGCGTGCTGTGGTCCAGCGCCCAAGTCATCGGGCTCCTGTCAGGCTGCGGTGTCGTGTCGGTTATATTCATCGTATGGCAATGGTGGAAGGGCGAGGAGGCGTTGATGCCGCCCCGCATCATCACGCAGCGCACGGTAGCGGCCTCGTGCGCACACTCGCTGACGATCTACGGGGCGCTCATCAACTTCACCTTCTTCCTTCCCGTCTGGTTTCAGGCGATTCGCGATGTGAGCGCGTTGCAGTCGGGCGTCTACATGATACCCTTCTTCTTGGTCAATGCCGTCTTCACGCTGATTGCCGGCATCTTCGTCTCCAAGGTGGGCTACGTGACGCCGCCAGCCATTCTTGGAGCGGCCATTGGCACCGTTGGGCTGGGAATGATGACGACGTTGCGTGTCGACGCCACGACGGCCGAGTGGGTGGGCTACCAGGTGCTGACGAGCGCGGGCTTCGGCATCTCGATCCAGCAAGGCTTCACGGCGGTGCAGACGGTGCTGACCCAGGACGAGCTGGCTATCGGCACGGCCGCTGTGGTTGCGGCGCAATCGCTAGGCGCCGCCGTGTTTCTCTCGGTCGGGAACAGCGTATTCCAGAACCAGCTGCTCCAAGCCACAGCATCCCGTGCACTGCCAGACATCGACATCAAGAAACTCATCGACAGCGGCGCGGCTTCTTTCCACCACCTCGTGCCCCCCAGCCAACTCCCAAAGCTGCTGCAGATTTACAACTCGGCGCTGATGGCTGTGTTCACCACGACAATCCCGCTGGGGGCCTTGGCTGTATTTATATCGTGTTTCATGGAGTGGAAGTCGGTGAAGGTCGACGTTGAGGAGAAGAGGGAGGTACCGGTAGATAACTAAGTCAAGGGCGTTTGGATTCCACTTCTCTCTTTCTGTTTAGGTAGTAGAGAATCAAATAACATTTTCGCTTGCCTACCTGATATAGTGTCCCAGCATACTTGAGAGATATCCTATGTCGATGTTCCTTCTAGGTTCAGACACGAATCATGGGAATCAGGGACCATACCGGTGAAACCTTGGCTAATCACAGGATAAATGTCGGATGAGCTTTCTAGGCATGGGCCATTCCAGGAAGGTGGGGCGAGCGATAGGTCAGTCCATATCCGTACACCACAATACGTACCTACCTTACCTGGGATTCGTCGTTGCGCAGCTGTCGATTCTTGAACTTCTTTGATTCAACTTTCTCTCTTTCTTCCCTGGTCACCATTTGCCGTATCCCGTCTCGACTCAAAGACATAGACGTGAGCACATATTTTGCCCGACGAATATTGCTTGCGTAGACCGACTGGCCGGACGACTCCTCGCTGCGCACCTCCGCCTCGGGCACCTCTTTCTTCGAGCACTCGATCAACTGAACTGAACGAGTGAACTTGCTAGCGACCGACTGACCGGAACTACATCGGAGCCCCCAATTTCAATATGGACGACAAGGAGCTGAGCAAGCGCATCCAAGTTCTGAGCAAGGCCGTTGTCGCCGAACCCGCGTCCAACGTCATCAACTTGCTCGAGGAGCTTAAAAAGGAGCAAGCCCCGACCGAGGAACAGCTTCGTGTAAGTGCGGTGCTATCGGAGCGAGGTCCTGGTTGCTTACAGACGGCCTGCAGTCCACCAAGGCTGGCGTGGTCGTCGGGAAACTTCGCTCGAATGCCAACAAGGACATTGCGCGCTTAGCTACCGAGATTGTCTCCAAGTGGCGGAAGAATGTGGATGCTGCAAAGGACGCGAAGCGGCGCAAGCTCGAGCAGAGCAAATCACCCACCCCCAAGGACTCGCCAGCACCGCCCTCATCCTCCTTCAGCAAGCCGTATGAGGGCGACCCGGAGAAGAGGCACTTCAAGACGGACAAGGTCGACATCTCACGGACCGGCAACAGAGCGCGTGACGGTAGTATCGGCGTCCTCTACAATGGTCTAGCGTACCGATCCACCCAATCCATCGAGGAGGTGCTGCAGCGTGCCATGGAGGTGGAGGCAGCTGCCTTCAAGGTCTACAAGGACACGCCGGCCTACGGCAACAAGATCCGCGGACTTATGACCAGCTTGAAACGCAAGGACAACCCCGAGCTGGGCCGCCGCGTTCTTTCTGGCGAAATCGCCGCCGAGAAATTCGTCGTCATGACGAGCGAGGAGCTGGCGTCCGACGCCCAGCGAGCCCGCGACAGGGAGCTGGAAAAGGAGAATATGAAGAAGGCCCAGGTGCCCCAGGCTGAAAAGTCCATTAGTGACCAGCTCAAATGTAGCAAGTGCGGCCAGAGGAAGGTTTCGTACAGTCAGGCGCAGACTCGTTCGGCCGATGAGCCCATGACTACCTTTTGTGAATGCACGGTCTGCGGCAACCGCTGGAAGGTGAGTATCCTACAACTGACACAGTGGCAGCTTCTGGCCAGCTTCAGTGCTAATTCCGTGGTTAGTTTTCCTAGACGCCGCCACAACTGCTTTGCATTTGCTTGCTGGTCCCTCGTCCGTTTTCTCCGTTTTAAGGTTGCTCTTCGAGGCGCAAGGCACGGCGGCTTTCAGCCACATTGTAAGGGAGGTCGTGTAAGGCTAGCATTACGAGACAGGACAGGTCAACCTTAGGCGTGCTTCGGCAAAGGGCCACTGCCGCCTCCAAAGGAGCCATGTCCGTCGTCACGGCCGTCATCATTGGGGTCGTCATAGCGGCATATCTACGTAGGGTATGATTGCCTAATGACTGGACCCTATTTTCCCCTTCTTTCTCTTCATGGTTTCGCGTTTTCCATTTGCATCTGTTTTTCGATTTGACTGGGAACGGATTGGGTTATGTGGAGTTCAGGGATACGCCTTTTTGGGCCCTTTGCATGATACCCGAGCAGCGATACAATGTCGATGATCTCTGCCTGGGGGACGGGGTAATATGCCCCTAGACTAGAGCAAATGGAGACAGAGAAATTTGTACCATACACACTGCGAGCCAGAGCCTTCTTCGTCGGGGGGTGGTATCAAGAGGGAATTCCGGAGAACCTCGGAGAGGCAGCATTACAGGCTCATAGCACTTCAGGAGCTTCCAAACGGGCTGTAACGGGCTGTACACTACATGGCTGGTTGGGGGTATCCGTCTAATCTTCCAATCGAGCTCGGTAAATGTTGGTCCAGAAGCAGCGGCAGTCAGCTCGCAACCTCTGTCCTTTTCTCTATGCCTAACACTGTAAACAAATCATCATCCTGTTCTTGTGTCTCATCCTCCAGCCCCATTTCCGCAATGTGTTTCCAGAACTTGCTCAGATGCCGGGCCCCGGAGTCACACAGGATGGTCACGACACGACTCCCCTTGGGCATCTTTAGCGCCGTCACCACGGCCGCAACACAGTTGACGGCGCTGCTGCTCCCCACGAACAAGCCGTCGTGCTCGACCAGCCACCTGGCCATCCGACACGCCTGCTCGTCGGTGACGCGTACGGCGTCGTCAATCAGCCCGCGCCCGGCCTCGAAATTTTGCGTGATACGGTTGATGCCGATGCCCTCGACCATGGTGTCGACCTGCCGCCGGCGGCGCGTGCCCTCACGCTCCGTGGGCGAGTACATGACGCCGTGGCGCACCTTGTTGTACAGCCCGCTGCCCTGCGGGTCGGCCAGCACCACGCGCAACGACGACCCCAACCCGCGCTCTTCCTTCAGGTACTTTGCGACGCCCGCGATGGTGCCGCCCGTCCCCGCGCCCGCGACGAAGGCGTCAAGCCGCCCGCCGCCCGTCTGCGCGTAGATCTCGGGCCCCGTCGTCTTCATGTGCGCCGCGTAGTTGGCCGCGTTCTCGAACTGGTCCGCGAAGAAGCCCCGGCTGGGCGTGTCGGCGCTGGCAGTGTGCTCGCGCGCCCGCTGCCGCGCTAGGTTGACGAAGTGGCCCGGGTCCGTAATGGGCGCCACGGGCACCCGCTCCACAGTCGCGCCCAGGTGGTGCAGCAGGTCCGACTTCTCGATCGCCATGTCGTCAGGCATGCAGATGTGCGCCTTGTACCCCCGCGCGCGGGCCAGCACGGCCAGCGAAATGCCCGTGCTGCCGACGGTGCCTTCGTAGATTGTGTCACCCCGCCCCGGAGAGAGCAGGCCTTGCTCTTCGGCCTCTTGGATCATGTTGAGGGCGACCCGGTCCTTGGGGCTGCCGCCTGCGCCGTTCAGATACTCGGCCTTGGCGAGGATGGTGCAGCCTGTCGCCTCGGAGAGGCTGCGGATCTTGATGAGCGGCGTGTTGCCGATGGTGCCTTCGACGCCGTCGACGATGCCCTCGGCTCGGTTGACGCTGGTCAGTGAAGATTCCTCGCGGTCTTCGAGGCTGACGGGGCCGAAGAGCATGCTTGTCCGCCGGGCGGATGCGTTTCCGGTTCTGCCATATCGCTTTTTCCCTTGTTGATAGCGTGCTTCCAGGTCTGGGTAGAGATCCTTGAAGCCCAGCGTCACAAAGATGCCGGCGATGAAGGCCACCGTCAGAGCGGCGGTGCCGTAGACTCGGGGGTGGTCGCTTAGCGACATGCTGCAGGTCTCATATTTTTGGGTCTAAGAAAACAAAGAAGTGCATATGATTTGATTGTCTGAAAATAATATAAGGCTTAAGATTGAGAATCCAAGATATTCACCATTCACCATTTGTCTTTTTTACTTACTCTTCAAATACTGTTTATTGATGATTTGATGTCATGACGGAGAGCATTTTGATAACCATGATCTAAGCTTCACACACTGGCCCGACTGGTTCGAGAACGAGCCCTTGTCAACGGTGAAGTGGAACCTTGAGCCCCTCAGGATGAAGCGCTAGTGGTCGCGTGCTTCCGTGTAATGTACGGATAGATTACCGAAATTACAGTACGTTACAGACACACTAACCGCCCAAGGTAATAAGGAGAATAGGGAGCTCGGGCCGCCTGCAAAAATGTCGTCCTCTGCTGGACATGGCGGGCAGTTCAAATGAGGTCCATTGATACTGGCGCATGATGTTTCTGTAGCTCCCAGCTGCAAGCTCAGAGCCACTACCCTGAGCCCATCGCGGCCCTCGCTGCCAGACGGCAAATTACCGTCTGGATCATGGACTCTCCAGCTGTTACGCAGCTGTTCCGACGACTGTTCCGCCACCATCCGACCTGTCAATCGCGGCGGAACCTGGCAGCGCTTGCATCGGCCATCCGACATGTGCGCCGCCAACGACTCCAACAGCAACACCTGTCGCGCCTCTTTCAGCACCGCTCCTATGTCAGCCGAAGCCGTGGCGGGCCGCAGTCGAGGGCGGCTTTGGAAGAGAGCAATTGGCAACAGCGCTCCAACCTGTTCCAGCAGGACCTGTCGGACGAGTTCAAGAAGTTTCCCATGGTGACGGCCCTGGACCTCCGCTACCGAAAAGAGCGGCCGCGTCGAGTCAAGATGCTCATGCGAGACTTCATCGAGGGTTGGTTTGTGCTGATGGGCTGGGGACGGCCGCGCCATACTGTGGGATAAAGCAGCCGCTGACATGTCCCTACCTTTCAGACAGCCTCTACAACCCACATTACGGCTACTTCTCCAAGCAGGTCGTCATCTTCTCCCCCGGGGAGCCGTTTGATTTTCCCTCGCTATACGACGACCTCGAATTCCACACCCTCCTCTCCCGCCGCTATGTCGAGTTCGAAGACGCCATGGACGCCGTGTCCCCAAGCGACACCCGCCAGCTGTGGTACACCCCAACAGAACTCTTCCGCCCTTACTACGGCGACGCGATTGCTCGCTATCTCGTTGCCAACTACAAGCTCACCACTTACCCGTACCATGACCTGATCATCTACGAAATGGGCGCCGGCCGCGGCACCCTCATGCGCAACATCCTCGATTACATCCGCGAGGTCGACCCGGACGTCTACGCCCGCACAAAGTACAAGATCATCGAGATCAGCACCCAGCTTGCCACCTTGCAAAACTCGGAATTGAAGCAGTCGGCCGACGCGCGGGGCCACGCCGACAAAGTGGAAATCATCAACCAGTCCATTTTCGACTGGAGTCACCGGGTGCCGTCGCCGTGCTTCTTCCTGGCTTTTGAGGTCTTTGACAACTTCGCCCACGACGTGATCCGCTACGACCCGGCGACCGAGGAGCCGCACCAGGGGCTGGTGCTGATCGACGAGGCGGGCGACTTTTACGAGTTTTACACGCGCCACTTGGACCCCGTCGCGGCCCGCTTCCTCCGCGTGCGCGACGCCGCCACGGGCGGGCGCTACAAGGTCCCCTACCCGACGAGCCGGCTGGGCAAGTGGCTGGCGGCGCAGAGGCCGCTGGCGCCCAATCTCAGCGAGCCCGAATACATACCCACGCGGCTGATGCAGTTCTTTGACGTCCTGGGCCGCTTCTTCCCCGGCCACCGGCTGCTGACGAGCGATTTCAACTCGCTGCCGGGCGCCATCAAGGGCCTCAACGCGCCCATTGTGCAGACGCGGTACCAGAGAGAGCCGGTGCCCGTTACTACTCCGTTGGTGAGTGCCGTATAGGCAGCCTAATACTGTCCCCCGTCCCTTGACCCGTAGTCATGAGTGGACTTCACTGACTGAGGGTTGTTTTCCGATGGGCATTAGGTCCACCAGGGGTATTTCGACATCATGTTCCCCACCAACTTTCAAACCGCAGAGGCAACCTACCAGGCCATCACGGGCAAACTGACGCGCGTGGTCTCCCATAAGGAGTTTATGCGGAGGTGGGCCTATCTCGAGGACACGGAGACACGAAGCGGCGAGAACCCTTTGCTGTCGTGGTACAAAAACACTAGTGTGTTATTTACTGTATGAATGAGAAACCACCAACTGTATCTCGAGAGCTCCTGTATATATGTACATACATGAATTCAGCTCTGTACGAAAACGAATCCTCACATGCCAACAGATCACCGGGCATGTACCCTGTATATACACATTAATGCCTCACATAGAAGCTGCCACCTTAGCCTATGACCACAGACATGCCCTGTACTAATTTTTGTACAAACCATCTCAAGAGCAAATGCTTGATACCCCGAGTTTTGATACTCGTATTGCCAGTCTATCCCGAACGGAGCAAAGGCACTTTGAATACATTTGAAACCCTGGGATACTCCGCCCGCCGCACCCCTGAATGACACCAGGGCTCTTGAGCGCAGAATTAACGAACCGACGCCATGATAACCTTCTCGCATGAATGCCAAAAGACTCAAATGCTGAGCTCCTTCATCTTCTCCAGCAACCATTGCTCGGCCTTGGCAACCGCCTCGTCAAGCTTGGCGGGCTCAGCTCCGGCGCCCTGGCGGCTCGGCTCCTTGCCGCCCGTCTTGCCGCCAATGACCTCAGTGACGGCGGCGGTCCACTGCTCAGCGGTAATACCCTTTGACGAGAGATGCTACAGGCACAAATTGTCAGCGACAGCCCAACTACATTTCAAAAGAAAAGGGGAGACATAGGAATAACTTACCGTGCCGACATAGACGCCGTGCATCACCGCATCGTCCTTGCTGCCTGCAAAGACATAAACAGTCCGCTCCTTATCCTTAGACTTGTAGTACGTCATGACGTCGGAGATCGCCTTGGCGTTGGCCGAGATGGGGAGGTGGCCGACGAAGAATTTGGCGTCCTTGTTCTCCTCTTTCTGGAAGTGACTCTGGACGGTGTCGAGTGCAGTCTTGCTCTCGGCCTTCTGGCGCTTCTTTTGCTCGTCGACAACCTCCTTCTGGATCTTGGCGAACCGTTGCCGCAACTCCTCCTTGGTGAGGGCGGAAATGGTGAGCGCGTCAAGCTCGACCGCAGCCGCCTTGATCTCGGCAGCCTTGTGTGGACCGAACTCCAGCGCCTGGATGTGGTCGAGCTTCTCGCTGAAGGACTTGGCGGCCTGCTGGGCCTGGTGGGCACCATCACCGGTGTACGCGACGATACGTCGGATGCCTTTCGCAATACCGCTTTCCTCGACGATGACCAGGTCCTTAATGAGACCTGTCGCCTCAACGTGAGTGCCGCCGCAGAATTCTACGCTAACCTTGCGCCATTCAGGGTTCTTTGGGTTCTTCAAGAGCTCGTCGACATCCACGCCAATTGACACTACCCGCACAGGGTTGGGGTACGTCTCACCAAAGACAGCACGAACCCCCTCAATCTGCCGGGCCAGATCCAGATCAACATCCTTGGCATATGTCTTGAGATTCCTCCGGATGTCTTCGTTCGACATGTCTTCAATCTTCTTGATCTCATCAAGGCTGACCTGAGTCTTGTGGCTGAAGTCGAAGCGCAGCTTGTCCTGATCAACAAGAGACCCCTTCTGATGAACCTCATCACCAAGGACCTCCCTCAGGGCATGGTTGAGAATGTGCGTGCCAGTGTGGTTGTTGCGAATTGGCTGGCGGCGCAACTCGTCATACTCGCAGATTACCTCGTCGCCTGCGGTGAGTTCGCCGTACTCCAGATAGCCATTGTGCACGATGTAACCGCCGTACTCTTGCACGTCGAGGACCTTGAACTCTGCAACGCCATCAATAATGATCCGGCCAGTGTCGGCAACTTGACCACCAGACTCGGCGTAGAAATTGGTCCTATCAAGCAGTAGCCCAAGAGGAGTCTTCGGTGGAAGCTCCTTGCTGGTAGTGCGGAACTCGCTGCCTGTGAAGACGAGCTGCACCTTGCCCTTGGTGTCTCCTTTTTGGTACTTAGGGTCCGAATCTGGGCGGGAGATCTTGATTGTGCTCTCCAGCTCGGCAATCTGGTGCACGTTGAGCTTGGGAAATGTCTGGACGGCCTCCTTGACCGCCTTGCTGGCCTCCCTCGCCTTCTCCCGGGCAACCTCAACCTCAGCCTCGTCAATGGTAAGTCCACGTTCCTCGGCCATTAGTTTTGTGAGATCCTCGGGGAAACCAAAGGTGTCATAGAGTCGCCACACATCAGCACCCGAGAGTTTGTTCTGGCCGCCCTTAATCGCAAGCGAAGCATACTTCTCGAACTGCTTCTCACCGCGGTCAAGCGTGACCGCGAAAGCGACTTCCTCCTCATCGAGAATCTCCTTGATGTCTTCTGCCTTCTTCTTGAGCTCCGGAAATTGCTCGCCCATCTGCTCGACGAGCGCCGGAAGAATACTGGAGAAGAAGGAACCAATCTCAGCCTGGAAGTATTTCCTGGCATATCGCACGCCTCTCCGGAGGACACGCCTGACGACGTATCCCCTCCCAATGTTGTTGGGCGCGGCACCGTCGGCGATAGCGAATGCTAGCAGTCGAATGTGGTCGGCGGCGACACGGTAGGCGGTATCGATTCCGTCCACATCATCTTTGCCGTACTTGTCGGTGTACGGCCTCGTGCCGGTGACCTCCCTGATTCTCTCAAACAGCGGGGTGAATATGTCGGTTGCGTAGTTGGAGGTCTTATTCTGAAGAGCAGACACCAGTCGCTCGAATCCCATACCGGTGTCGATGTGCTTTGCAGGTAGAGGCTTGAGGGTCTTATCCTTCTGCCGGTCAAACTGCATGAACACGTTATTCCACACCTCAACCACCAGGGGGTCGTCCTGGTTCACAAGATGGGCGGCATTCCGTCCGCCAACCTTGTCGTAGTGAATTTCGCTGCAAGGCCCGCACGGCCCTTGGTCCCCCATCTCCCAGAAATTGTCCTTCATGTTACCAGGCAGAATGTGGTCCTCAGGCACGCCAACTTCAAGCCATAGCTGCTTAGCCTCGAGATCCGGCTCGAGGTTCATGGCCGGGTTGCCCTCAAAGTATGTAACGTAGAGCCGATTTGGGTCCAAACCGTAGACCTTGGTCAAGAGTTCCCATGACCATTGAATCGCCTCCTTTTTGAAGTAGTCGCCGAAGGACCAGTTACCCAACATTTCGAAGAATGTCTGTCATCGGTAGATTAGCCAACCAAGTTTCGTGGCGTCTGGGAGAGTCACACACATGGTGGTAGCTGTCCTTGCCAACATCGTCGAGATCATTGTGTTTGCCACCTGCACGAATGCACTGTCACAAAGAAGTCAGCATCAGACTATCCCACGACGAATCGTAGAGAAACCCGCAGCTCACCTTTTGTGTATCGACCGCACGCTTCAGCTGGCCCATAGGCTCAGTCTTGCCAATTGTCCCAAGGAAGATGGGCTTGAACTGGTTCATGCCCGCATTCGTGAAGAGGAGGGTGGGGTCATTGTGCGGGACAACCGAGGATGATGGCACTGCACATGACAGAATGGTTAACGAAATCCAAATAAACAGGAGCAAAAGACATGTTGGCCTTCAGACGGGCAATGTCAAAGACTTTGCTCCGTCTGCATCGTCTGCATCGTTTCCCGCGGTATGACGCACGCGCGCATCCAGACGCGTGCTGCATCGCGATCGCGGGGTAATTCGTGGTGGCGGTGCCTTACCGATTGAATGGCCCCTCTCTGCAAAAAAGTCCAGGAAGGTCTTGCGGACCAGGGGCCCGGTCCACTTGACTTCAGCCATGGCGTGCAGTGTTGACGATCGTGAATAAAACCGATGGCTAATTCTGTAGTAAGTTGATAATCTCCCAAGGTGCACGCCGACCAGGCCACTGTGCTGAAAGGTAACTGCGTTTGTCTTTGCGGGCGTTGTGGTTGTGGCGACTCGAAAGTTCTCGAGTGTAGAAGGCTGCGGGGCAAGGGGGGTTTTGTGGTGGAAGGTTCGCGAGCAATGACTCAAAGTAACAAAAGCCGTGTGGTCGCAGCTCGTGCCACAGCTGCTCCTGGACCGGCGCAACCACAACGACTTTTCGACCCGTAGACCTCCCAACATCACCCCTTATCCTCCACTCGCGATATCGGCCGTCTCGTTATCTCAGTCCAGATTTCTGATCCCGCATTGATTGGACACCAGTTACGATATTCCCAACTCGGCGCGGCTGGCAGCGTGCCAGAAGGGTCAATTGATGAAACCGAGGGCGAGGTTAAGAGTCGCAAGGGGAGCGAGAAAAAAGGTTGCTGGCCAACATTGCGCCGCGCCAGGAGATGGACGGACTCGGCATTGACCACCGCTTACACCATCACCACCACCAATACCACCATGCACCATTCGCAACAACACAACAACCAACAAAAACCCCGCGCAAGCGCAAGCCCGAGGCGCCTCCAGAAAACAATGAGCGTCTTTCCAAACGGATGAGCTTGCTCAATCTAGGTATGCGCCCCTGCAGCCAATCAACCCTCTTCCCATCGCATATGGACACAAGCTCACCTCACCCTACCAGAGCACTCCGGCCAGAAGCTCTACGTCCCCGTGGAGAACACCAATTGGCAATCTACTGCAATTTTACCCTCATCAACAACAGCACAAACCAGTTTCACAACCACCCACAAAAAGAAAAGCAGCCCCGTTGACGATGACTCGCAAATGCGCCTCGACGACACAAAGTACAAGGTGTATATCTACAACCTGGACGAGGAGTTGAGCTCAGACAGCGAGTCCGAGTCCGGGAAACTGGTCTTCCTGCCCGACATTGAGAAGCATCTGCGCACGAGCCGGATCCCGATCCCGCCGTTCATCCGCGACCCGCCGGACCCGGCCTCGCCCGCCGGCAGGGAGCTGGTGCTGTACGGCGTGCCGAGCTCCATCTCGGTGCCCGAGGAGAGGGACAGCGTGCGCAAGGCTATCATCGAAGCCAGGGCCCGCGCTAGGGAGAGGCAGCTCGCCGGCCTATCCCCCCGGAAGGAGGTGGAGGAGCAGGCAAGGGTGGTTGGGGAGGGGGATGTCCCGATGGATGCAGAGCCCAATGGCTTTGCTGTTGTTGCGCCGGTGGATGTGAATGTACCCGCGGAGGAGGAAGACCCAGATGCGATGGACTTGGATTAGGTGATGAAATGGGAGGGACGGTGGGTTAAAGGAGTTCGCATCTTTGGCTTGGCTTGGAGTGAAACGCATGAGGCGCGCACCCACCCAAGGACTGCATTCGTGGCGCATTTTGGATGGGTTCCTCTTTAGCGGGTTGGTTTCCGGGGTGCGATACCAACGGATGGTTCGCTCATGGCGTATTGGCTTGGGCCTGTGATTTGCAACTGTATTGTTATTTTGATAGGGCTGTTTGAGCCTAGGACTTCAAGGACTTCTGCAATTCAACGCAAACTAAGAAAGGATTCTCTGCTTATGCTGCCCTAACGCCAACGCCTGTTTGCAATCCGTTAACGCCGAGTAATGTTCAGTAGTGGTGCTCTGCAACTCCCTGCTCCCATCTCCCTGTTTCCCACCGGGGATTATCGTTCAGAAGCACTGAGCCTTACTCGAACCCTCACTTGCCCCAGAAGTGCCGGTCATTCCCTTAACCCCGGAACGGATTGTTACTACCCGTACTCTGAGGCTGCACGGAGCTGGGTGGCGGCCCTGGAGGCTGTGCGTATGTCTCTGGTGGCTGGACCGAGCTTGGCGGTGGTCCGGGTGGCGGTACATAGTTAGCTCCCTCACCAGCCGGTTGCTGACCCTGTTCGTGCTGCAGGCTGAAGTCAACCTTAGTGGCTCCCGCTGGAGGCTCGTACTTCGGTGGCCGCGGCGCGTTGGGGTCGTAAACCGGCGGGGGCATCGCGTGCATGTCATAATAGTTGTTACCCGGGGCGTACGGGTAGATGGCTGTGTTCTCCGGCTGCGAGTACTGATAGTGAGGATCGACCCGGGCGAGGGATGCGCGAGAAACAAGGAACTAGCCGATCGTTAGAGGAATGACTAGAGATCTAGCCAAACAGTCGAACATACTCGGTGATAGCCCAGGGGAGCGAGCCCCTTATTCAACCGTCTCTGCGCATGCACATAGCCTACCAGGAGGTAGAGGACACAGAGGAGGATCAGGCCGAAGAAGAGCGACCACTTGATAATAGTACCAGTCTGCCCAATGCGTCAGTATTCCATGGTGGGCTACTGGGGTTGGACACCCGCTGCTTACTCTTGTGGCCCAGAATGGCACATAGCAGGTGCTTTCATCGAGGAAGCCATCTGGAGTGCGGCTGCAGTTTTCGAACTGTTGACGCTTAAGGATCGCGGCCAATGCGGCCATGGTGGAGAGAAGGCTTGCCGGATTGTTTTTGCAGACTCGACTAAATTCAAGAGGATGCCGTCTTGATCAGACGACAAGGCCGTCCGGGTCTGTCAAGAGGCGCAAAGCGCACGAAGAGGTCGTAGCCCAGATGCGGGAGCGCCAAGGAGGATGCAGACTACTAATAATATAAGAACACAAGCTAGGATAGTTTAGAAGGAGGCGAGATGAAGAAGAGATGCCAAGACGTAGAAACGGTAGCTGATGGACGAGTCCCGAAATCTTTCATATCGGGGCAGCGCTGATCATCAACTTGAGGGAGGTGCCTCCGTTGTCTCGGCTGTTAACGTTAGCAAGCTTGGGTACCTTAACCACTTGTGGTACCGCTTTAACAAGTGTATGAATAAATGTGCCCCGTGAAACGGGAGGTTTGTGATTTCGCTGAAGCTACCGATTCAAGACATGGCAGTGGCGTCCGGATTGCCGGGCACTGCCGACAAAGTTTCATGTCCTCAAGGGCGACGTGGGCTAGGTTTCATCCACTTGCGGGCCGAAGAACAACGTCTCGAATGCTCTGAGTGTTGCCCAATGGATATTGAGGCAGCCAAAGCCTGAGGAGATGAGATGGAAAGGCTTGCGATCGGTTTATCCAACTCGTGACTTTGCAGCCAGATGTGAGATATGAGCATTCGCCTCTTGGAATATGTATGGGATACATATATGGTGGTGACAAAACAATCCAGCCCCTTACTTCCAGTCTTCAACGAAACGCCAGGAATTTATCAGTCACCGATGCCGATTGCCCGACTGGCCACCAGAGCCCAAGGCAAGTGCGTCTCACGGCCCATTGTTCCCGTAGTGATAAAGTTGAAGCAGAAAGCGCAGGCGCTGGGGCATCCATATATGTATTTTACATAAGTTCACTTGGTGTATGAATTTGTTTAAGGTAACGTCTACGAAGTATGTCGAGGATTGAAATGATCCCTACGGACATGCTGGCTTTGAGCCGATTCATGCCGGGCCCGCAACGCGGATATGGTTCCACCCATCAACTGATCAAAATCATCAAATTCAACGAGTCCCACCTGAAATTCACCAGCAACGTTGTGTATTTGTGTAACGGACCGTAACTTACCAGCAAGGTGACATAATCGTGCATCAACTGGGTCCATCAGCGCTCAATGCCAAGCAATGCCGCATTTTGGCCAATGCCAGCCAATTTGCAGAGGGCGAAAAAGCGCGGCGCCAACTTCCTGACCACCGCCCAGAGACGCCGAACCCGATGACGGGAAAACCGTAATTGTGGCTCGAAAGAATCGTCTTTTGATGATCAAACGCCGACGTCCGTGATGCTGTAACCTAGAGGAACGCGGCCGCTCCGATCTCAGTGTTCCTGCGCGTGTGGCGGGGGGTCGCGCACGCAGAGTCCTCACTCCCTCCTCGCCTTGAACCCCGGAATGGGCCTTACTATACGCGCCAGCCGAGCGCTCCCGCTCCCGCTCCATTCTCGGTCCGCGACAATACCGCTGCTCGCAAGGCCTGTGCCCAGGGCCCGTGGGTTGCCGGCCACCGCCTGTCCGGCATTCTTCAGCTCGAGATCAGCCGCTAGAGCATCAATTACACCACGCTCGTCCAGTTTCAACGCAGTAGTAATATCACCACAAATACGAGCTAGACCCCGTTGTCACCTCATTCCCGCTTCACGATACGCAGCCCTTTATTCCACCTCCGCGCCCTCGTCAAGCGGTAATAAGTTCGTCTACAACATCGCAGCATCCTACATCGCCAAAGGCCGTGCCTACGACCCCTCAACACACGTGTTTCACTTCAATCCCTATAACCGCGTACAACCGCTCAAATCCGGCCGGGGGAAAACCTCACGGCCCGAGTCAGGGCAGGATGCCTTCTTCGTCAGCCGGCTCGGCGCCGTTCCCGGCGAGGTCGCGCTCGGCGTAGCGGACGGCGTGGGCGGGTGGATGGACAGCGGGGTCGACCCGGCTGATTTCTCGCATGCTATCTGCGACTACATGGCGGCGACGGCCAGCGGCGCCACGGCCGCGACGGGCGGGACGGGAAAGCCTCTGACGGCCCGGCAGCTCATGCAGAAGGGCTACGAGGCCGTCTGCCACGACCCGGCCATCAAGGCCGGCGGCAGCACCGCCGTGGTGGGGCTGCTCACGGCCGACGGCACGCTCGAGGCGGCCAACCTGGGCGACAGCGGCTTCATCATCCTGCGGCTCAACGGCGTGCACGCTGCAAGCGAGCCACAGACGCACGCCTTCAACACGCCCTACCAGCTCAGTGTCGTGCCGCGGAGCATGCTGCTGCGGGCGGCCGCGTTCGGCGGCGCCCAGCTCATGGACCAGCCGCGCGACGCAGAGCTGACGCGCCACCGCCTGCGCCACGGCGACGTCGTCGTCTTTGCCAGCGACGGCCTCTGGGATAACCTCTTCAACCAGGATGTGCTGCGCATTGTCAGCCGGACCATGGCTCGGGCGAGCGCGTGGCAGAGCACAAGCAAAGGGGTGCAGGTGGCCCCGGATTTGAGGCCGTACACGGGCGCGGGGCTACCAGGAGAGTCTAGCGACACGGAGAGTACGGCAGGGGCAGGCGGACGGAGCGCGCCGAAGCATACCGCCACCCTGCAGAGCATGCTCGCGACGGAGCTTGTCGGCGCGGCAAAGGCTGCCAGCGTCAACAGCAGACTCGACGGGCCTTTCGCCAAGGAGGTGAAGAAGTATTACCCCCACGAGGTTTGGCGCGGCGGGAAGGAGGACGATATCTGCGCCGTGGTGGTGCTGGTGTCTGAAGAAGAGGCGCCGGCGGTGAAGGCGAAGCTTTGAATACACGCTCACATCTCGCAAGAGACACATGAAACGCACAGAAACCGAAGCATCCGAGCGAACACACTTGAGGCATCAAGCAGGAGCGGTTTTCCATCTGTTGGTTGTTGGTGGTAGTGTCATGTTGATGGCGCAGCAGGCTTTTTGGAAGCAATGCGTTTTTCTCAAAAGCATTGTCAGGCGTTGTTTTACATTCAATACGGTCATGATGGCTGGCGGATGGATGTTTGAGAAGTACTAGGATAGGATCGGCGCCACGGCGAAGCACGATACGGCTCAGAAACTGACGGGAGCCGATTGGAATCTATTTCGTATGGGAGCATGCATACCTGGTTGGGATAGATAGGGTGCGAATCGAACTGCGATGGGCGGCGGCGATTGCTGTGGGAGGAACCATCCATCCCAGATCCCCATACCGTTGCCCTTGCCACGAAGTGCAAAACGAGTTGGCGGCTGTAAAGACACGAGTTCTCTGGCGGCTCAGGCCGGCTTTTTGCATCATGGATTAGTTTTAGAGATAGACCACAGTTTTATATGAGCTGGTTTTGGGTATCCCATCGAGGCTATCAAGAAGTCTCTGTAGCACAATTTCAGGAGTCTTATACCATATGCTCACTCAGAAGTCAGTCACAGACTGTCACACGGACCATATCTGGTCGACAGGGTTATCGCCATCGAGGTACTGTACTGTTTCACAAACTCCACAAATTGTATGAGGAGGCAGCTGTCACAGTGACACTGACCGCGACAGCGGTTGGCGTGCACTAGTCTGATGTATCCGCCCGTTTGCTAACGTCCCAAGCCTAAGACGATGTCCCGCAGCCATGGAATGCTTCTATCGGTAGTTATCTTGCTGCTTGCAAATAAAATGATAACCAGGGCAAACGATTGGCCTCCCGTCGTTCGCGGGGCCATGCATCCGGTGCGGCTGTCAACGCGGGCTGCGCATACAGTATCCGCATGTGGCAAAACATTCGAAGCATGTACCCAACGTCTGTCACACATGACGATGCTTCACAATTCGGATGGCCAGCCTGAACGACACCCCAGAAAAAACTTTGAACCCCTTGGCATCAAGTACACATACACTGCTCCGAATTGCGCTTCAGACCGCAGCCAAGGGGCATCAGGTAGCATGAAGTTATGTATTATTGACATTAAGCATCCTTTCGGGGCGCATACATCCCAGAAGACGGGGGCCATAACGGGTCTTTGTCATATGTCTTTCGCCATCCTAAACCGTCCCCCGACCAAGCCGCTCCAATTCCCGCCGTCAAGTCGAGAATTGATTAAGCAGCCTTCTTACAGAAACCTCTTAGAACAAATACGTGTACGAGAAATACACCTTTGAGAAATTTGAACCCGTTCCTAGCCAACAACGCCCGCCAAACCCATCACCTCACAGCCCCTCTAGTTAAAGAAGAGAAGGGCAGCAACGGTGCCCAGGACGAGGGCGAGGGGCGAAGCGAAGCGCTGGCCGTTGTTGGAGTTGGCGGGGGCGGTGGTCTGGGTCGTGCGGGTGGTGGTGGTGGTCGGGGTCAAAGTTGTCGAGAGACCTGGGCAAGTGTGAGCGTTATGCCAAGCCTATCACAAATAAGTACTGGAAACGCAACTGCGAGACTTACTTGTCGAGGTGATAGTGCTGTTGGACGCGCTGGTGGTGGTCAAAGTGGTAGTCGAGGCCTCGCTGGTGGTGCTGGCACTCGAGGTGCTCGTGACCGAAGTGCTAGTACTCCTGCGGGTGGCAGTCGACGTGACGGAGGTGGTGGTCAGCGGTTCGCCGGTGCCGACGTACTCAAAGCTCTCGCTGTAGTTGGGCTCGTCGGTCGAGTCGCTGATCCGGAAGGCATAAGTGCCAGAAGGCAGGTCGCTGGGGGTAAAGGTGAACGAGTTGTCCGTCTCGCCGGCTGCTTTCGGTTAGCATGACTTGATCAGAAGGCGAAGGTCCAGGACGCATGCTCACAAGTAATTACCGTGACCTCCTGCAGGTTGGAGGCTGGGCCGGTCATCAGTGTGATAGTGACGGGGCCAACCGCGCCGGACCAGGTCAAAGTGAATGGCTTGTTCTCCTCAACGGCAAAGTTCGAGTTGGTAAACCTTGGCTGGGCAAGCACGGTGGCTGCAAAGGCAACCAGGGCAGTAACTGAGAACTTCATTGTGGGCTGAGGCGATAGATACTCGGAGCAAACAATATGCAACTAACGACTCAAGGTGATCAGTCAATGCAGGGCGAAGGTTGTGGATGGGAAATTGGCGGCGCGAAGCTGGATGCCATGAATCGCGGTGGGCGCAATGAGCGCTACATACCAGTTATGCGATGGAATGCTCTCTTCGCGAGCTAGTCAAATGTGGTGGTTGGTATGTATTGCAATTGATATACCGGAATAGAAACTGGTGGTGAAACGATCGTGGAGAAGGTCTGGCTGATTATTATGGAATTAAAAACCGCTGCAGTCACCTGAGATTCCGAGACGGAGTTGATGGCAGGAGGAAGGAGAGAGAGGCAGGCAAGAATGGCGGCGGCGACTACCCCAGGCCAAAATACATGAGCCCAGAGGAACACAACCCTCATCTCGCCAATGACAGGCGTCGAGGGGAATCATTCGTTCGGTAAGGTAGCGTACCCCGGACAACCTAACTTAACCTTGGAAAGCTGCAACAGGGACGCCGCAGCGGGGATCCAGGGGTTACCTTCCACTAGTCAGGGGCATAAATTGTTCGACGGTGTCTTTGCTCCTAGTTCCGAGCGTTTCCCCACCGAAAGAGAAACACCGTCGTAGAAATCCTGCATCGAGGCACAAGATATCTGCAGCCAACGCAGGCAGAAAGATCTTACGAGCAACAACTATATCGCTTCATACTTGCTAACATTCATCGATTCCTACATTGGTGCCTTGGGTCACACACAGTTCCAGATTTTTTGAATATCATCGTTAGCGTAACCTTTGATTTGAGGCGTTCACTGTGGAAATTACATGCAATGGGATGCCAAGGCCCAATTGCAAGCGAGTCAGCGACGGAGAAGCCGTCTTTGGACTCTTTGCTCGGTGGTCCGGCTCATGCAGCTGTTGCCAAGTCTGCCGCGCCCCGGCCATGACAGTCTGCAAGAGCCCGTAGAAAAGGCCGGATGTGACGGGAATCTGCGTGAACTCCATCCATTGCAGAAATTCATCAACAGCGGGACGCTGCACGCGATATGTAATTGTCACGTGGAAGCCAATTCGATGTGGGCCATTCATCTCACCTGCAATACCTGATTGGGTTCTCAGTCGAGATGATGGCCCACCTAGCCGAGCTAGCCTAGCCTAAGCCCAGGCCAAGACTAAGTGTAAGTGTAAATATGCGCAAAGATCTTGATCTCCAGAACTCGCGAAACCCGCATCGTCTCGAATCTCGATGAACCTTTTGCATTCTCGAACCTCCGATGCACTGCTGTCGGCCTGAGGTCTATGCAACACGTCGACTTGAGCAGGATGGTTGTTTGCAGCAAGTAAGGTCTAAGCCACTAGGCTCCCGCAAGCTGCCGCGCGTCTTCGGCCCCCATAATGCATTTTGCCCAACAAGAACACCGTGCTGGGAAGCCATCGACCAATGCAACACTAACACCGGGTTTATAAGATATCGCCGGCACCCAATTCTATAACCTCACAGCTGTCCTACCGCATCAGTGGCTGGCAGGGCGAGTCACGCCGGACCTTCTGATATTGCGTCATTCGTCTGTACAACCTCTTTGGTTTTACTGTAGACGGGCATTGGCCTATTCTGCGTCGACCGAGCTCGCCCGTCCATGTATTCGTTCGAGCTCCGGTTCCGTCTTTTGCGGCCATGTCTCAGAAGGTTTCCGAAAGCCGGCCGACGGCAAGGAGACTTCTGGGTGGCTGCGTGATGAGTATATCGTAACAATTGCCCGTTATCCCACAGCCAAACCTGCGAGTCCGCTGCCAATGATTTCACTCGGTTGATCCCCGCGTTGTTCGTAGAAAACTTCTTGAGTACCAGAACCTCGAGTTTCAAACCCTCCGGGCAAGCACCAATTTAGGCGCGTTGCACTGTAAACCCCTTCGAGGCGGATAAATGGCCAGTTGCCGTATTCCTGCAGCCGACTGCCTCAAAGCCGGAGACAAATATGGCGGCAAAGCGTTTCAAACGCCGTTTCCGCTTCTGAAAAGCTGCTAGAAAAAGTTTGAGAGCGCTTCGACATCTCACTTCCATCGTGGGAGTGATTGGTGATCTACGGTAGTTTCTGTACACTACCAGTCGTGCTGGCCAAACCCGGTCACGGCGATGTTCGAGATCATTCACCATTCGATACCTTGGCCGGTAGAGATTGCTCAAGAGAGCTGGCACTCCACGACCGCTCGATGAACCCCGTGCGTCTCTTCGGATAAGGTTCTGACGCCGGTCCCAAGTTCCCTCATCTTATCCACGAAGTCGTCCAGAGATCCCCCAACGCCAAAGTATACCCTTTTGGCAGCAACGAGCGCCCTGGCTTTGCCGCCTAAACGTTCACGGCGCTCTCGTTTCAGAATGGAGAGGAGCGTACTGCTGAAGCTCTCCAGAGCAAACGGAGAGTAGATTGTTTCGGAAGCTAGCAGCAGAGTCGCTGCGTCGCCTGGGAAACCTGCAGGATAGGCTGAGCTGTAAAGGAGGTCAACAAACTCCGGAGACCACGCTCCCGAAAGAAGGGATAGAGTAATCTGATTCGCGACAAGCGACTTCCTGAAGGCCTCGAGCAGTTCTACCGTCAGCTCCAACTCCCCGTCGGCGGTGAAGGCCTCTTCAATGAGAGGTGCCTGGTTTCGCTGCTGAAAAGCCCAGGCAAGAATGAGATTTGGGACAGTCACGAGATAGAGAACGCTAGGATTGTAGTCTGCAAGCGTGAGTATCACAGGCTGCTTGGGCTCCGACTTCCTCTCCAAGGCCCATTGAAAAAGTACAAGGGAAGGCAAAGCAGTGCCGCAACCGAGCTGCAAAAAGAGGTCAGCAACAAAATCCAGCTCGTCAAAAGCCCTATAAAGATGCAAGAAGCTGCCGTACCTCGATCAAGATGCTCGGATCTTGGTTCAATGCCTCGGCCACCCTTTCGGAGGCGAGCACCTTGACAAGATCGATGGAGCTCTCCCAGCTCTTGAAGCCGCCCTCGTAGATACCGGTCTTGACATCGTGCGCCCCAAGACCTGCTTCGGATTCGGCAGGGTTCTCGACGTTCTCCTCAGCCATGAGCTGGACGCGAATGTCCCACAGCTCGCGGCGAGGTATCTGGAGGGTCCGCCCGTCCTCGAGATTGACGCTCAGCAAGCCGAATGCAATCTTGGACGGCAACCTTGAGAGGACATCTTCGAGTTCATGATGGGCCGGGGGCAGTAGCGGCTTGCCCTGGACGGGGAAAGCGCCTGCCGCTGGTGATGCACGCCCCGCGGTCTTGCTTGCCGATATTTGCGTAGGAGTGGAGGGACGATCGCCTTCGTCTATATCGTCGCCTGCAAAGGAGAATGTGAAGGCCATCCTGGACTGAGAACAAGATACCAACACTCCAAATTCTGACCGATGGAAGCTGCACTTAGGTTTCAGAGACCGAGTACGGAGGTAGACCAGTAAAGTTATCGCTAGGGCTCCAATTCGTCAATGGATAACCCAGATGCCAGCCATGCTCAAATGAGTGAAGAAGCACTGAGTCTTTTCCGAGACTCGAGGCCTCACGCAGCTGATGGGCGTGTTTACTGAACCGCCAAAGGTAAGGTACTCAGTGAAGATTTTCAGGTATCCTGTTCAACGGCCGTGAAGCTGGAAAACCTTGGCATATCAACACGTTGCTGGCAGGGTTAGGGTAAGGTAACACTTGGTCATTTAATGTACAGTACTGTACTCTACATATACAGTATGTACAGTACAGTACTATACCTGGACGGGAATGTTTCAGGGCCTGCTCCAGACCACCACATTAGCATAACGCAAAGTTGGGCTACTTGGCCAATATACCGAAAAATTTACGTTCGAAGGAAAATCGCTCACGCCTTTCCTTTTTAGGCCAAAACTTTTAGCGTGACTTTGGGTACCCAGCGCTATAACGCAAAGTTGCCAAGAGGCAATGTACTACGCTAATATAGGCCAAAATACCTATAGAACCTTCCCTCTATAGGCCTAGTTGCCAAGCTTTTTGCAACGAAGCACGCGAAAAGTCCGAAAAAACCGCCCAAATCGCTAATGCCAATTGGAAAGCATTATACTAGAGCCCCAGCGGTACAATGGCAAGCCTAGCGCCTACATACACTAGTGTTGCCGATTAGAAAGGTCACTTTCCAACTTTGCGTTATGTTAATGTGGTGGTCTGGAGCAGGGCCTCACTTTCCCCGCCCTCGACCTCTTCCATGATTCCATCGATGGAGCATCTGGACCTCCAGGCCCTACACAACACATTGCCCCGCGAACATGCACCTCAGACTTCAATGAACCGATCTAAGTATGCAGCAAGCAATGCATCTAAGACGGGAAGCTGCAGTGCAAGTCGGGCTATCGATCATTGCTGACACGGATGGCGGTCCTGCTTTGAATGGAGAAATCGGTACGCCATGCCATTCGCTGCTCAGCATTAGCTTCCCCGTGAGTCTCTCTAAAGGGCTGTGGTTGGACAAAATACGACTTCTTGACACAATATCACTCAGCTATCAACACGATCTCAATACGTAGTAGTCTTTACCTCTACCTTTAGCCAACTAAGAAACGGCAAAGACCTTGTGCCGCAACCCCCCTTCGCGTAGAAGCGGCAGCCTTGATTGGATTGCTAAGCCGAAAAAAGACTCCGAATGGCCACTTCAGATGGCCGCAGTCGGCGGGCCTGGGTGCGTATCTGGTTCTTTCTTCGAACCTAGTCCAGCAACCTGGACTTAGGATGGAAATCATCCACAACGCACCTGACGGGGTTCTTTGGCGACCGTAAATGGACCAACTATGCTGGTACATACATACCTTACATTGAGGGAAGCGACACCGCTGTTATCGAGCTGGACCAAAACGACACTCTCCAGCGTACCGTTGCTCGAGCATGGCGATGTATATCTACCCACTTGTTGGCCTACATGAGGAGGCCTGCTTGCCTAGGCCGTAACGTTGGTTCTCAATCTCTTGCCAGTCTTGGGATTTCAGACAAGGTCAGGGTGCGAAGGGATTGCTACCATCTCCTGATTACCCACAGTAGCTTCGGTTGATTGTCGTCCTTCCTTCCTTTGACACTGTTGGCAATGCGGCTGGCCACCACCTGTTCCTTTTCCGTAGGGGAAGATATAAATCCAGCGTCTCCATTTCCCGCCCCATCTGCTCAAGCTCAAGGACTATACCGCCGGCTTCAACTTGATCGGCTCCCTCCCATTACTCCCCGCCAACCCCCCTCCGAAACTGCCACAGGGCATCCTAGCAGCGTTATGGCTCAACATAACGTCAACGGCGTCAACGGCGTCAACGGCGCGACAGTCAAAACCCCACAGCTCGATGCTGCTTACACGGTTCGAGAGAAACCCCTAGGAACGGCTCGACATGTCCGTATCGTTGGCATTGGAGCCGGCGCCAGCGGGCTGAACATGATCCGGACACTGCGGCTCAACCTCAACAACTATGATGTCGTGGTATACGAGAAGAATGCCGACGTAGGAGGCACCTGGCTCGAGAACCGCTACCCCGGCTGCCGATGCGATGTCCCCAGCCACAGCTACCAGTTTTCCTGGCGACAGAAAAAGGACTGGACAAACTTCTTTGCGCCGGCCGACGAGATTGGGGAATACCTCTGTCGGGTTTGCGATGAAGAAGGCATGAGGGACTCGATCAAGACGTCGCACCAGGTGGTTTCAGCACAGTGGAACGAGGAAGATGGGCAATGGCAGCTGACCATCCGGGATCTGGAGACGGGGGACGAGTTTAGCGACTACGCCAACTTCCTCGTGAACGGGACGGGCATTCTGAAGTAAGGCAAATCGGCCTGATCCACAGTCCACACATAGCCTAGTAAGACTGACTCCGGGATATAGCAACTGGAAGTGGCCTGATGCCGAGGGTCTCGACGCCTTCGAAGGTACTCTGATCCACACAGCTCGTTGGCCCAAGGACTTCGACCATACTGGCAAGACAATCGCTGTCATTGGCAACGGTTCAACAGGAGTTCAGGTGCTACCGGAACTCCAACCAGGTAAGCGTCTTTTGGGCCATATTCTCAAAATGCAAGCTGACAACACACCAAGGGGCAGAAAAACTCTACCACATCTTCCGGACACCCACTTGGGTGGTCCCGCCCAGGATACAGGCGTGGAAGATCATGGGCCAAGCCGGCGAAATTCTGAGCAAGATCGGGTTGGATGCTAAGGAGAACTTTTCCGAAGAAACCATCGAGAAGTTTAAGGCAGACCCAGAGTTCTATCGGGAGTTTGTTAAGAAGATCGAGGTGGAGGTTAACAATGCCTTCCCGATTGTAAGTGAATTCTGCGCTCCACGGGCATCGAGAAAGGAGTTGCTCATCATGTATCCCAGGTTCTCGCAAACAGCCCGGTGCAAGCTTTCGCTCGCGGCAAGGTCGTGGAGTATATGACGGCTGTGCTCGGTGGAAACGAGGCGCTCTGCAAGGCGCTGATCCCTGACTTCCCGCTTGGGTGCAGGAGAATGACGCCAGGGCATGGATACCTCATAGCTCTGACCAAGCCTAATGTCGAGATCAGGAGATCCGGGGTGAAGCGGTTCGTGGCGGAGGGCATCGAGCTCGACTCAGGCGAGATTCTCAAAGTCGATGCGATCATCTGCGCGACTGGCTTCGAGACGTCCTTCCGCCCTCGCTTCCCAATCATTGGCCGCGACGGGAACCTTCAGGATCGGTGGGAGAAGGAAACGCCCAAGGCGTACATGTCGTGCGCTGTCGCTGGAATGCCCAACTACTTCAGTACGACTCCACCCCCTCCAGTCACATACCCCTTCCGTCCATAATAACCCCACAACTAACAAGACAATTAAACAGCCTTCTTCGGCCCCAACGCACCTATCGGCCACGGCAGCGTCTTCACCCTGTCGGAGCACATCGCCAAGTACATCACGGGCGTGATCAAAAAGTGCCAGACCGAGGGCATCAAGGCGATTGCGCCGTCGCGCGAGGCCGTCGACGACTACTTTGAGCACGTCACCGCCTTCATGCCGCGCACAACCTGGGCCGCGCCGGGCCGGTCGTGGTTCAAGAACGGCCGCGCCGACGGGCCCGTCACGGCCCTGCATCCCGGCAGCCGCATCCACTTCTTCCACATGCTCGAGCGTTTCAGGGGCGAGGACTGGGAGTACGTCTACGAGGGCGGCGGGCGGAACAGGTTTGCCTATTTAGGCAACGGTTTCTCGACCAAGGAGTTGACGCCTGGGGTTGATTCGACTTGGTACCTTGACGAGCCTGCCACGGTGCGGTAGTGTAAAGTAGAGTAGAGCGGCGCGGGCGGGACGGGTCACGGGCGTTGGGTGGCTGTGTCTGGAGGTGTGGTTGCGGTAGCTTCTTTTGTGAGGTTACCATCGCTATCTGCCTGAGGGAGTCTGGGGTTACACATTTCTGCTGTGTTTGGCGCGATTGGCTGGCGGGTGTGTGAGAATTCTTATATGCGGTAGTATCAATCGCTCGAGATGCTCGTGATGAACCCGTTGGGTGGCACGGTGGCTCAGCGGTCCAAAGACAAATGCAGACTCGAGGTTGGCATTCGTGGCACGTATGGACTTGACGTCTGGAACCAACCGATCGGTCGTCGCAGTTACTCATACGGAATACTGAGTTACAGAGTGATGGTTGAGCCTCAAGTGGGTTCGTGGGTTGGGTTAGAGGTTCCCGAGTCATGGCCCACACGCTGCGCCGACCTCCGTTAGCTACGGGACGGTCCGGGGGCCTTGGAGAAGCCAAGCTCAGAGGTGGTGGTGATGACATCCCGCCGCTCATTGGAGGCAGAAGCCCCGCTCTGGACCGGGGTCGCTGCGGAAGGCGCGCCCCCGCGCCGTTCCCGCTCACTAGGTATCCATTATCCACAGCCACACCTCCCAGCCAACAGCACTTTCTCTTTCGTCCCGACACTGTGGAACGCATTACAAGCCAAGGCGAAGCTCCCTCTTGAAAAGTACCCATACTTTGTCGCTCGAACTCGGTCCATGGCTAAACGCGCCCCTTTCTGTGCCAAGGGGAATTTCCGCGCGTCTTGACTGTAGTTCGCTGCTGGTTGCTGTTGTCATACTGAAGGGAGCTATTCTCTCTGGCGGCTATTCTGCAACCCCCGAAACAAACAGGACAAAGGCATGCCTCTGATGGCTGCCAAGTCTGAAACCCACGCGGATGCAAGTGGTCTGGATCGGTAGGTATCGAGACTTGCCCTGCCACGGCAGTTGCATGATGGATGCAACCAGGAGGCATATGGCGCTTAGCCCATGGCCTGTCATTGGAGGGTCGGATTTCTGGCCCAAGCAGGCCACCCACAAGGCCTCATGGCCTTGTACGGTATATCTTGTCCGCTAGGGCCAGTTCCGCGGATCTTGAGGGCATCAGACGACCGCGTGCCATCATGACATCGCTGGACAGGCGTGTGGTGATACTCTCCGTTGCTGAAAGCTTGTGATGATTACAATACTGTCGCCAAGATGCCTCTAGAACCGAACGAGAAGGAGCCCGTCAATCTCCTGGCCCTTGGTGAGTTACCATTGTTGCTCCAGTCAAAATGTCGACTGACCCTGAGTAGATGGCGGTGGTGTTCGAGGAGTGTCTTCACTGCTCATCCTACACAAGATTATGGTGCAGATCCAGATAAACTATGGCCTTGCCGAGGTTCCAAAGCCCTGCGAAGTTTTCCACATGATTGCTGGAACAAGCACCGGAGGGTGAGTACTCTGAAGCCTGCAACGGCCCTTTTGGGAGTCCGCACATCGCTCACCCCCTCCAGTCTCATCGCAATTATGCTTGGAAGGCTTCGGATGTCGACGGAAGAGGCCCTGAAGGAATACGACCAGTGCGCCTCAAAGATTTTCTCGTTCAAGAACAGGAAGAAACTGGGCATTTCGTCTAGATACCGAGCCAGGGCTCTCCGAAGAGTGATCGAAGACCTTGTCAAACGCCGTGACATGGGAGAACTGATGCGAGACCCCGAATGCCCCGAGAAGGGGAAGTGTTTCGTTTGTGTTATGCCTTCGGCGCGTATCGCCGAGCCGAGGCTGGTTCACTCCTTCAAAACAGACGCAGGCTCTCTTGAAGACAATTGGGATGAACACATCACCATTTGGCAAGCAGCGCGGGCTACCACGGCGGCGTCTACCTTCTTCAAACCTCAAAGACTAGGTCTTGGGCCGGACTCGGGTCTTTTCATCGATGCTGCAATTGGCGCCAATAACCCTATCGGCTATCTCTTGAAAGAGGCTGTCGAGGAGTTTGGGTCCGCACGGCGACTTGGCTGCATCGTTAGCATCGGCACAGGCACTCGGAATATAAAGCTGCGCGGTGATCTCACGGGTCCCCGTTACGTTATCGAGCTGCTCAAGACACTGAAAAACAACGCCACTGACGGCGAGAAAACTCATCGTGAGCTCGAAGAGAGACTGGCTGGTTTCCCTGACGTGTATTTCCGCTTCAATGTTCCCCAAGCAGCTGAGACAGTCGGTCTGGACAAGTACAAGAAAATGCCGCGACTGAAGGATATGACAACCAAGTACCTCTCCGAGGAGCTGATCGCCAGCCGGGTGGAGCGGGTAGCAGGCAGGTTGAAAACCGACACACTCCATGGCCTTACCCTCGGTCTCATATGTATGGAACCTGTTATAGGCGCTCTTCGGGACGTGTACACTAACCGAGACGCAGACGGTCTCGACAAAAACCAAATGTATCTGTCGAACATCGCCCAGGAGATGGGAGTACCCAGCAACTTCTTCACCGGGAGGCAAGATATCCTCGAGAAACTTGATTCATTCTTCTCTCCACGTGACACGGAACAGAAACCGCGTAGGGAGTTCCTGTTGCATGGCATGGGTGGTGTTGGGAAGACAGAGATCGCACTGAAAACTGCAGAGAATCTCGAGAAAAGGTATGTATTGTTCCCCCTCCTCCCCCCCTTCCCCCCCCCCCACCCTCCCGGCCCGAGGTATTGGGGTGCCTGTTAACACTCCCAGATTCGAGTATATATTTTATATCCACGCCTCTTCGGCCGCCACAATCGCGCAAAGCTATGCCGACATTGCATCCACCTACGGTTTAGGCGGCGGAACAGTCGAAGAACTCCGCAACAAGGCTATGCGGTGGATAGAAGGGCTGCCAGCCGAGTGGCTCATGATATTCGACAACTGGGCTCTGTCTGAGCGACGAGGCCACATCCCGGGCCGTAACAAGGGCAACATCATCTACACATCACGATCGTCCGAGTTGTGTAAGGATCTGCCCTCGGAATGCGTGTACGAAGTAACGCCATTCGGCGAGGCAGATGCTGTTAATCTTCTATTGAGGGCCTCGGACACCAACGCCGAGACTCCTGAAGACAGAGTCCTGGCTGAGGCCATTGTCCAGGAGCTCGGCTATCTACCACTTGCCATTGGCAACGCGGCGGCATCAATAAAGGAATCCAGATACCCGCTGCACAAGTACCTTAAGAGGATCCGTGACGAGAAGGTTAGCATCCGCTCTAATCCCCGCTTCGGAAAAGAAAAAGAAAAAGTTGAGAATTGGACAGTTTATGCGTCGTTAGAACTGTCTTATGAGGACATCATAAACCGCAGACGTCAGGCTGGGAGAGACGGTCCCGGTTTGGCCGCAATCGCCGCCTTAAAAGTCTTGAACCTGCTCTGCTTCTACCACCCCACATCAATCAAACTAGCGATACTAGGAAACGCAGCCCACGAGTACCATAAGTTTGTGCGCCCGGACCTGAGCTCACTCGTCCGGCCGAATGATCCGGACTTGGATCGACTGGTGGGGCTGACTGTTGACGGTCTATGGAGTGGCCGATTTATAACGTCTGGGCTTAATCTTTTGAGGAAGTTTCACCTCGTCAAGGTGGACAATGACTTCCAGACGATTTCGATGCACGACCTAATTCATGCATGGGCCCGGCATCGGATGGAGAATGAAGCCGTTTCGAAATGGGGCCTTGTAGCGAAGGTCTTGCTCATTGAGTCGATTCCAGTGGAGGATCCTCTCAAATCCAATACACTGCTTGTTCAGAGATATACCCGAAGCTTGCAACCGCATTTCGACATGTGCCTAAAGAACAGCGAGCCGCCGCGGATTCCATTTTGCCCAGAGTACGAATCTTTCTTGCTGGGGAAACTAGCCTTATACTACCGCACCGAACACGATTTTGAGAAGGCCAAGAAGTGTTTGTTGGAACGCCTTCACATTGAGAAGATGCAGTGCATGGGCAATATTATTGTTGTTATTACCTTGATCGAACTGGGACAGCTCAATCATGAAATGGGATGCCTGGGCGAAGCTGAGCTCATGTTCTTGACAGCCATTGAGATTCTCCGTTGGGAATACGAGCGGGTCACGGACGGCGAACGAGTGTCTCGACTCAAGAACCGATTCCTGAGGGTATGCGCCAATCACATTCCGAGTCTGACGCAAACTTTATCGATGCATGCTAGGATCTCAGGCGGTGTCTTATTCGAGTCTGTCTCAGATTCCCCCAAGGAGAGCCTGAAAGGCAAGGAACGGGCTGCGTCAATGGAAAGTCAGAATCCCCTAGACATCCCCGAGAACTACATCGCCATGAGCAACTTCATCCACGGGGAGCTGGGGCGGGTGTATATGGATCAGGGCAGATATGGCATGGGCCGGCGCATGCTGTGCCAGGCCGTGGAAAACCTCGGAAGGTTTCTTGACTACACGGACCCCCGGTATTTGAGGCTCTTGGTTTATGCTCGATGTGAGACCGATTACGACAATGTCGAGTTCTGGGGGGAATACCTAAAGAAGCTGTTGGAAGCCGCGCCTAACGAGGAGCTCACTCGCGAAGGGACAAAGCCGACTATGTCTATTCACGCGAGTCCAGCGCTTTGCGAAGGTCAGATTGCTCAGGCATTCTCTATAGTCGCTAAATATCCAGAGTATTGGGAGATGGCATTTGATTTGCTAGAAAAGTTCTATCCCTTTTTCACAAAGTCCTATGGTATCAACCATTGTATCGTTCTGAAGACAATGCGGCATCAGGTCCACTGTCTTATCGAAGGGTTGCAGTATGACAGGGCGGTCGATCTTGCCAAACGTTGTCTTGAACGGGCCAAAGAAGGCTATGGCGAGTTTCACATGGAGACATTCAAAGCTCAGGAGATCCTATCCCGTGCTCTTTTCTATCAGAGGATGGGGGCAGACGAGGAGAACTGTGCTATTTTACAAGAGGCGTTCGAGAAATCTGCCGTGAGCCTTGGATTGACCCATCCAACAACCAAACAGATACAGCGCCGGCTGAAGCGCTTTCTAGATGGTCAGGAATCGATCACAAGAGCGGTACGTGAGGACCACTACCAACAGGAGTTCGAGGAAAGTGTCATTAGCCTTGGACCAAACCATCCAACAACTAGACTGCTTCAACGGATGTTGGATAGTATGTCCAACCCAGCTTCGGAGGATATGACGCGGCCGGAGACCCTTAGGGAGCTCAATAAAGAGATCCTCGCGGAGTGCATCTTGGGTTGGCACAAGTTTAAGCAGCAGCTAGCAGAGATTAGGGCCGCAGAAAGGCCAAACCGTCAGCTGCTCCATGTATTCACACATTTGGTGGGAAACGGGCCGCCAAGGTCGCCGGCAGAGAATCTTGAACGGTATCGGGCTGCTTTTGGGCCAAATGACCAACAAGTCAAATGGCTGGAGAAGATTTATGAGGAGCGGCTGGCGGTTGAGGCGCGGATTGCAAGGGACGGATGGTGGCCCTCAAGAAAATTTTGGGAAGCCCGAAGTCTGGGTGAAGAGGGCGCACAGGTGCGCCCCGTCCAGGCGACGAAGATGACAGCAGTGAGCTCTATGACGGCGAAACGGAGGAAGGCTAGTGATGTGGGACTGGATCATGTCGGTATTGCGGTCGGTTCTCAAGAGTCGCTCCCGGAAGAGATTGTCGACGATAACGAGCTTGGAGAAGACATTGCTGGAGAAAAGGCAACACAGGCGATAGCATCTGCAGTGGCTGGCGAGCTCGTGGGTGAGTCAAGTGGGACACAACGCTGAGGGATGCTGTGCCTTGGTGAATGCGAGACAAGTCTAGCTCACTAGCACTAATTGACACAACAACGGGATATGTACTTCGAACCGGCGAGCCGTGTATCGATACCGTGCTCTATCGTTGCCGTCATGACCCGTCTTGCCCTTCCTCTGTACCACGCTTCTGAATTGCCTTCATAAGCTCATACAACTGAGCAAGTTGCTCATCTGTCCTGGACTGTCAGCTCGAGGGTGAAATCTCTCACAATGGCTGGTCAAGGTATGTATCTACATAGGAAGATAATAGATATAAAGTGCAAAAATCCATATGAAGACTTACCACTCATCTTCTCGACCTTGCCGGGATCGAGCCTCTCCCCAACCCAAGCATCTCCTTCAATCTTCTGCGCGTACAGTTGCCACTCTGTAAGAAATCCAATCTGTTGTGGATAAGTATGTAAGCCTTTTCTGCTTGGATCACTGTAGACGAGATTCCCCTCGGTCTCTAACCCACCATATGTACCGGGTTCTCAACGTTTCGGTGGGCTCGGAACTCGGCCTTGACGTATTCGTCGCCTAATAAGCGCATCTCGGGAGGTAAATGTTTTCTGTGTGCCCGGAGCAGCCGCCGGTAGAGGTGGATTGGCGGAAGAAGGGCCATTGGGCCCGGCGACATGCCCTTGGCCGAGGACATGGCTGAGGCCAGGAGGCAGACCGAGGGTCTCATTTCGAGAGTATTCGTTTTTGTGTTTCCGTTTTATTCTTTATTTCATGATTATTTTCTGTTGGCCTGAGCGCCTGGGCTCAGTTCATCGCCACAATTGCCAGCTGATCTTTTTGCGGACAACTGATATAAAGTCGAGGTACGAAGGTACAATCAATCGGTTGAGATTGCTTGATGTACTGATCACCATTGCCGTCAAAACCGAATGCAGCCTACTTTGTACGGCAGTGATGGATACTGATGATGTTCTAAAACCATACAGTGTTAAAATGTCGTTATCTTTGCTTGACACTGTGCACCCGTTTAACCATGCCATTCATGCAAGCCTAAACAGCAACACCGACGATGTGATGGTGTGGTGAATACATGATAGAGTACGGTGATGTGGTATCAAGTTGCCTTCAATTATTCTAAAGCTTCAGCGATCCATGTAGCCTCGATCGCGCTGACCTTCTTCGCGTAGTTCTTCTGGGTATACACATGTTCAAGAAACATGATGGCCTCCTTCTTCTGTCCATGTAGCACACTTGAGGGGTGTATAGCGACGACTTGCTTGCCATGGGAGGTTACGTAGCTGCTATCCGGTGCCAGGATCGCTGTCTTCAGGGCAAAGCCTTTCAAAAAGCACTTGAGAATGAGGACCGCCTGCTCGGGTGAGATCGGAGTGAAAGGCTGTGGATCTTGCAAGGGCTGTTCCATCAGGCCCTCCCGTACACAGAGGCCTCGTAGCTGTTTCCGAATATTGAGCGCCTGCTTCATGTTTCGAATGTTGATCTTCCGTTCTTTGCACCATTGGCCGCGGTCGGCATTCTCGGCCGCATAGAGCTGCATCGTTGTGAGGTATGTTAGAAGATCCCCTTCACGTCGAGAGAGTTCCTTCCGAAGCTCTTCAACTTCCTCTTTCGTCTCTTCCAATCTGATCTGAAGGAAAATATCGTCGCCAGCGGTGATGCAGGATATGATATCAATTGCCTCAAGGAGGCAGTCATATTTGGGTTCTGCGGCTGCGAGGAGTACTCGAGCGTATGGCGGCGTTACCGGGAACAAAACCATCTTGCGCCCCATTTCTGTGATAGACCCGTCATCTGCCAGTGCTCCAAGAATGTGGAGGTGTAAGAGAGCCTTCTCGATTGACTCGAGCTCTGGACGATCCATCAAAGGGAAAGATAATACATCATCAATCCCCCTCGCTTTCATGGTCAAGACGGCACTGAGGATGTCAGTGCGCAGTATTTCAGGAAGATCGGTCTGTTGTAACGTCTCATAGGTCTCCTCGGTATAGAGCCTGATGCACTTGCCGGGCCCCTCTCGCCCTGCTCGTCCAGCCCTCTGGATGGCCGACGACTTTGAGATGGGCTTGGCAAGCAAAGACTCCATGCCCAGTCGCGGTCGGAATTGCTTGACCTTTGCTTTTCCGCAATCAATGACATATCGCACGCCAGGTACCGTGACTGACGTTTCGGCAATGTTGGTCGCGAGCACAATCTTTCTCGTAAAGCCGCCCTTGATCGGCTGGAAAGCTGCGTGCTGAGCCTCCATAGACAGCTGACCAAAGAGGGGGAAAACCTTGACCTTGGGTAAGCTCCCATCAAGGCTTGTGGCATATTCTTCGATGAGTCGCTGCGTCGCTTCAATTTCCTCCTGCCCTGTGAGGAATGCCAAGATATCTTTCCTACCATACCGGTCTGATAGCGGCTCTTCTGCGTGTAGCTTGAAGATTGCCTTGATCAGTGCTTCCTGAATGTCGGGGACTGGTTTTGGTGTATGCGTGATTTCGACCGGAAACTGCCGTCCTTCGATCTGAAGGAACTCGACCGGAGTCTTCGACTGGGGCTCAAAACTGGACGAGGCATCGGAGTGCTTCGGCTCTGCTTCGGAGAAGAAACGTCGGATGCTTTCGACATTGGCTGTGGCACTCATGATGACAACCTTCAGCGGGACCCCGCCTCGTCCGGACTTGTCTCCTGAGACAATCTGCTTCAGAAAGCCAGAGAGGAGGTCGACGTCCACGCTGCGCTCGTGTATTTCATCCACAATTATAGCGCTGTATTGCCTTAGATGAGGGTCGCGAAGGAGTTCTTGGAGGAGCATGCCCTCTGTCAAAAACTTGATCCGTGTCCCGGGCGGGACTCGATTGTCGAAGCGAACCGAGTATCCCACCAGACCTTTCGAGAGGGACCCGTTGCTGCTGCCGCTATCTCTCTGTCCGTTGAGAGGTGTGCCTACCTCCCGGGAGACTCGGTGAGCGAGTGTTGTTGCTGCGACTCGCCTTGGCTGCGTGATTGCTATCATGCCTCCCACGGCGACCTCTTGCACGCCGCCACCAGTCTTCACCTTCACCTTCTTCCGCTGACACCACTTTTCCTGATACAGAAACTGCGGGACCTGCGTACTCTTGCCCGAGCCCGTCTCACCAACGAGGACCAACACATCCTTCTGTCGCAGGATGCCGCGGATGTCGTCCTGCCGTGTCCATAGTGGTAGGGCTTGCCGGGCTGCAAAATACTGCGGATCACCAGTTGGCTGTCTTGAATGTACGGCGTCGGTTGTATTTTTGTTCCTGTTGTCCGGCCCATGCGATGCCTCTGGTACTGGGGATGTTGTGGAGGAGCCATCATTATGGTTTCGGGCAGGCACTTCCGCACAAACTTCGGCCTGCCCCAGCTTCTGCTTCTTTGATAAATATCCCTCAAGAGATATCACTTTATCTCCAACCCTCACCACGTCTGTACCGGCCACAAGCTTCCTCTTTTTCGACATGGTAGATTCTGCAGGTCTGCATCGGCAAGCTTGAGCCTTACGCGATGTGTTCGTACTCGGGTCGGTCTCTCAACGCAAAAATACCTACAACCAGGGCGTTCGCTTACAGCGCTCGTTTCGCGGAAGTGTCCCAAAACCCAAAACCACAAAAATTTTAATTGGTCCACAC